ATACCAAGAGTTACTAAAATGGAACATACTTTATGCGGTCAGGCCCCTTCTCTCCGCGAAAGCTTCTCCCTCACCATCTACACATTTTAGCGTCGTCACATGTTTGAATTTGCTCGTTTGTACACGTTAATGTTCCTCTCGTACAAATGTCAATTGCCATGCGCACGAACACCAAATCCGCGTACTGCCTCTTTCAAAGACAATCGAAGCCGGCGTAGCAGGTCGACATATAGATTGAGGTATTATTATAGCTGATTTCTCCATTTATTCTAACTCAAATATCTTTCCTTTTTTATAAATTTATCTATATAAGAAGAAAAATTAAGTCCGGTTTTGTGCACTCCTGGTCAACGCTTTCGAATAAGAGCCTATTTATATAGTACAACCCCTAAAACAATCATGAGCGTAAGAAGCTGTAGCACTCCCGCTGACCCAAAAAGCCGACCCCTGCAGCAATCAACCGAAGTCGGGTTCTTACAGCTCCCATATTTTTGCGACAATCACATCTACCATGGACTCTGCCCAGTCTCAGAGGATTGCCTAGATGGTAAGCTGCTGGGTTTAAAATTTTCGATACTTATATAGCCAATGGAATGCTGATAATATCCAAAAGATGACGAACAACTAATCGCCTCATTTGAAAATGCCAAAAACCGTCTCTATAAAATCCAATCGACCTTAAAGTGTATCTCAATTCTTATCTTCTTTCTATCTGTTGGCTGTGGAGCTGGGCCCACACTATTCTCTAAAGGTTCTCGGGAATGGCAGCTTTTTCAATGCTTTATTATTGTTGGTTGTTGGGTCGGTATTTTTGCCGTTACCATCTCAGTTTACGACTGGGCGCATATAGTTGCGCGGTGTGAAAAACGGAAGCTACATGGTATTGATGTCTGGAAGAAAAGGAATATACTATCAGAGAGTGCTTGGTGGGACTTTGTGGCTGTGGCCTTTTTGACCGCATGGTCTGCTGGGTTCGTCTTGGGCGGTTGGTCGTCAATGTAAACATATAAAGGCGCTCTGTATTGGTGCGTTGATGCATTTCAAGGCGCAATGGCGAAGACGCTCTATAAATGAATATACATAACCAAGGCCCCTATATACATGACTGTAATCTGCGCATGTTGCCTGTTTTAGTTATTGTGAAGAATGGTACCTATCGATAATACCCGATCGAGGTCGTGTTGACTTTGTTGTATTTCTATATCTGGCACCATAGAGGGTAAAGGCTACTTAAGTACCACTTAGGTGCTTACTTAGGTACTCAAAGTAAATGAAGACGTGCAAACTAGAAGATATTTCTTTAGTTAGAGAGAAAGAATTCCCTTAGGCAAGGAGGTATGATGTGCATTGTGTATTATATTAGCTTTGTTAGATGTCAGCCGGCGATCCCGAGCTATACGGCTGTTGGTTGGTGCATAACGCCGCCCTGAAACGAACCAAGGCTAGCAGCTCCGCACTATGGCGCCGTTAAGACCGTCTTTAAAACCGCCTTTCTGCGGTTCTGGAACCTGCAAGGACGGCATGGAATGGCCGCTAGTTGCGTGTGTATACAAGTGAATATCGGGGCGGGCGGCATGCAGAAAAACAATAATACCCCTGGCCTGTTAGTTAGTCAAATCGTTAGCTGGCTGCCAAAATAGAAATATCGACCAGACCGGACAGGACTGGACTGTGACTAAGCCATGTGAAGTAGTCAAGAATTTCTGCATGAAACGATTTCTGATCCTGTATTCTTCTCCTTCTTCTCCTTCTTACCTCAGTCTGAATACTATCTTCTTCCACAAACCACCGAAAGCCCCAAGGGAACAACGATAACCGTCTAGCTCCTCATCGAAGAGGAAAACCAGGGACTTGTTCTCTGTAACCGTGTCGGATCGAAGGTTTGTTCTAGCTGTGCTGTTTGTCGTTCTCGTAGATTCTTCTGTCCTGTCCTGTCCTGTTTGCCAGCTGCTTTGGCTGTTTGAGGGCAGGTGGGAGGTGTTTTACTTGGTTCTTTTTTTTGCCTCAGAAAAAATTTGTCTTTACTAACACACCACCTGGCCATCCACAGAACCTGCTCCACTCCATCTACACTTCACCACCACCATCAGCAGAAGCCATAAAACCGAACTGCAGGCTCTTCCATCAGCGCTCACTTGCATCCTCTGCCGGTACTCGTACAGTCGTCTGAAAAGCAAGGATCCAGACTGTGAAAGAGATCCTGAGAGAAGAATTAGACCTCGGGTGTTTTTTTCTCCTCGTTTTTACAGCTCCACCCTAGAAACCCTCACCAGAACCAAGCGGGGACTTCTCTGTCCACGAAGATTGTTCATGCATTTGCACCCAAGGACCTTTTCATCACCATCATTTTGCAATTCCAGTTGGAATCCGACCAAGACCTGTCGGAAGCGTTTGCAGATTTTTTGTAGTGGTTAAAAAGAGCCTTTTTTACACTTTTGAATATTCAAACCCCAAAACTGCACCGGCAGCCTCGTTCTCGGCAGCAGTACCCAGATACTTGACGATTTCAATCGAAGTAAGTTTCCGCCCCTCTCTTCTCCCCTTTCCATTCCTTAGATAGGGTCGAGTCGACCAACCTGGATAGCAGTTGCTGACCTTTTTCACTCAGGTGTCTCGCATGTCATCTTGGATTGCTAGAGTTATCATTCCTATACGAACCGGACCGCTTTTACGTACCTGATAATCCTATATTTATACCGTCAAGATGGCTGTAAGTCCCACAGATGTCTCTTCGTTATCACATATATTTTTTTCTGGTGGGGCAACATTGCCATTAGTCATGGAAATACTAATTTGGATGCCATGAATAGACTGTGAATATCAGACGGGATGTCACCGACCCCTTTTACCGTTACAAAATGGAGAAGCTCCAATCTAAGGTACATAACCTCCTTCGTGTCTGTCAGCTGCCCTGTATGGAACATTAATAACTAATAAAAAAATACAGATTGAGGGTAAAGGTAACGGTATCAAGAGCGTCATTGTCAACCTCCCGAGCGTTGCCAACTCCTTGGCTCGCCCTCCTATCTATGTCGTCAAGTACTTCGGGTTCGAACTCGGTGCTCAGACCAACACCGGTGACCATGACCGCTGGATAATAAACGGCGCTCACGAGGCCACTAAGCTTCAGGAATTGCTTGATGGTTTCATCACCAAGTTCGTCCTCTGCAAGGAATGCCAAAATCCCGAAACCGATCTTTCCATCAGCAAGGATCAGAACATCATTCGGAACTGCAAGGCCTGTGGTCAACGCACTAAGGTCGATCCACGCCTCAAGCTTTCCGGTTATATCCTGAAGAACCCACCACAGAAGGACAAGAAGGAGAAGAAGGATAAGAAAGAGAAGAAGAAGGCTAAGGCCAATGGCGAGGAAAACAAGGAGGGTAGTAACTCCGAGGAAGAAGCCGGCAAGAACGGGAATGGTCATGTCGTCCCAACCTCCAACCTCGATCAGTATAACGCCGAAGCTGGGTCTGATGACGAGTTTACGCGTGTCATCAACGACGCTGCCAAGGATATCAGCGCTGGCGATGGTGCCGATGCCTTCACCATTGATACTTCCGAGAAGGCCATGAAGGAACGTCAGAAGAATGAGCTCACCAGTGCCGTCGAGAAATTGACGATGGGTGGGAACGACGAAGACGAGGAAGAAGATGGTGGGAATGGCCCTTATGACCAATTCGCCGCTTGGTTCGATGAACAAGCCAAGGAGCTTGGTGGCGTCGCCAAAGTCGACGATATCGAGATCTACAAGAAGCTTTCGGAGCTTGGTCTTGACCGCAAGCATAAGACACTCCAAGTTCTCGCGCAGACCCTCTTCGACGAAAATGTCGCCAAGCAGATTGGACCAAGGGCCGGGTTACTCAAGAAGCTCGTCGCTAGCGACCGTCATGAGAAAGCCTTCATGGGTGGAATTGAACGTTTGGTTGGAAAGCAATACCCCAAGTTGATTTCTACTATGCCAAACATCCTCCTCCCAATCTATGACAAAGAGATTATTAGCGAGGATGCTATCCTCAAGTGGGGCAGCAAGGCCAACAAGCGATATGTTGACACTGCCACCAGCAAGAAGGTTAAGGCCGCCTCAGAGCCTTTCTTGACCTGGCTCCAAGAAGCAGACGAGGATGATAGTGATGAGGAAGAGGAAGACGACGAGTAAAGAATAAACTTTTGAAAGTAAGATTGACTCTGGGATTGGGGTTGAATCCATTTTCCGAAGGACACGAACCAGATTGACAGTATTTTGTTTCTTCTTGTATCTTTATCCAACGATCCTTACCGCAACGTTTGTTTTGCTGTAATATTCTTCTAGGTCATGGTTTTCTGCGGTGACCTCGGTGCCTTTCTGATAACTCTGATTGCTGCATCGACCCTTCCTCTTTAAATGATTCTTACCATGTATGGAAATTACTCACTTTACTATTCCACTCGTTAAACGTATAACCGCGAATAAAACTTTTTTGAATTAACTAGTTACTTAAATACTCTAAATTTAAATGAAAATGCCATAACCATCTAAGCTAATCTTTCCATAGTACAAATGCATGTATGCATGCAAAAAAAAACCTAATCAACTACTTGCCTCCGCCGCTTGCGAGAACCACTGGCGTAATGCTGTCGAAAGCATTCCCGGAAGATCCTCAATCCGCCGAATTATTAGGTAATAGTTAAATGGGAAGGTGTCCATGTATCTCTTAACCTGCAGCTTCGGCCCCTTTCCGTCTCCTTGGTCTGTAAACGTAGCTTCTTTCATATCCAAGATGGAAGAAGAACCTTTGGATGTCGTATTTGTATCCCCGCTAATCGCACCGCTAGTAGCATCGATAATCACAAATATCAAGACAATCTTTTCGAAGTGTGCTAGTCTGACTAGTCGCTGAATCTCCTGATGGTCCTCGCAGATACCGTCCGAGATAATGAGTTCTAATTGCCATAGATCGGATTGTGAATTTGTTTGTCTTGCTTCACGGAATAGTCTGATGGATGTATCAACGAGTGATCTCATATTTGTCTTTGTCTGTCCAAAGGTCAATCCTGCGAAGACGTTGGCACCGGCTTGTGCTGTAAACGGTTGTTCGAAAGGATGAACAAGTTTTGTGGATTCTCCGAATGAAACCATGGATATCTGTCCGACTTCTAGGTGTGACAAAGCTCTAGCGACTAGGGCAATTGACTCGAATGTAAGTTCTATACATCGACTTTCGGACATTGACTTTGAATCATCAAGTGCGATCATGACTTGGTATTGGCGTTTTGAGGGTTTAGTACGACGCATCCAAATCTTGTCCTTTTTGTAATCTGAGGCGATGTAAGGTATTATTCGTTTCATGTTGAGCCTCTTTCCTGTGCGGTAATCACCTCGGAGTTTGGTGGATAACGTGGGTTCGAGGATTAAACGGAGTTGCTCGGTGAGACTGAGGGAGAGGACTCTAGTTTTGTTTTCGTAGAGTTTCCAGAGCGAGTGGGCCTCCTCGTTATAGGTTGACAATGTGGAAGAAGGCTCTAGGGATTTGGGGTTTTCGGCGGCTTCGTCATCATCTAATTCCATATCGATATCTAGTGGTTCCGCATTTTCGTTCTTAGAGCCGCCAACGAGACGAGGTGCATCGACCTCCATGGCAGCATCGGGGTCTTCCTTCGAATTTGAAGCAGCATTGGGTGCTGTATCGTCGGTTTCTTGGGGTCCTTCTTGGAATGCTCCTTGTTCTTCGACCGGTTTACCGTCTGTTCCCTCGACATTGCTATTGTCCGTAACTTCCTCGCCACCCTCCCCGGTCGGCTCGGTTTGATCGGGAGCTGAATCTATAACCATCGACTCATCTATTGCATGCGCTTCTTCGGTTGCTGCGGCACCCAATGCTTGAGTTGATGGTTTTTTATCGTCCTCGCCGACGTGCTCAAACTGGGATTGCTTTTGTTCCTACAAAACCAATATTAGAAAGTGTTATGGCTTGGAAAATTGTAAATAAGTTAGCTTACCTCTAGATTTTGAACATCATCCTTTGGTCCTTGGCTTGTCTCTGAGTCCAAAATCTCCATTGGAGTACGGTGGACTTTTTCTAACAAGTCTCCCAGTTTCTTCAATCCGTTTTCTATCCGTTGCTCGTTCGGTTGCATTTCATTTTGACCTTGTCCTGGACGGTATTCGGCTTTTCCAGAATCCCCTTTACCCTCGACGGCGTTAGAAGCGGAATTGTCTTGGCCTGTATCATTCTGATTGTCTATTTCCATATTCTCTTGAGCCGAAGTTGGATCTAGATCATTATCGGTGTCATCAGATGATTTTGCTGCCGCGGCCTTTGCGTTAGGTGGGACAGTGGAGCCATTCTGCGCGTCCTCAATAGAGTCCTCAGTAGGCTGCTGGAGCGAGTCCTCCCCTTCCTCGTCGGCATCTTTCTCTTTCTCTTTCTCTTCACCCTCTGATTCCGCTGCTTCATCCAATTCGTCCGCTATTTTTGCATCATAGTCGCCCATTTCCTCGTCTTCTTCATCATCCGAGTTCTGGCGTTCAAGCTCTGTCTTGTCAAAAGGCTTATCGAGTGGATCTTCTTCTCCATCCTCGCCTTCAGAAAGATCGCCTTCTTCCTCGCCATCTTCTTGGTCCATCTCGTCAAGATTGAAGTCGTCTGATATGTCAAGTCTTTCAACTTCCGGAATGTGTTCGTTGATATTGTCCGAGTTTTTGTTTTCAACGGCATCGGATTCATCTTCTGCTTCTGCTTCTGCTTCTGAATTGGCGTCGGCATCGTCATCGAGTTCCATTTCTTTATTCTCAAGATTTTTGGCATCTTTCTGCGGCTTCTCATCCTTCTTTGACTTTTCCTGATTAGAAGTCGCATTTTCTTCCTGTTTCCCGTCGCCACCTGAATCGACCTCTTCTTTAGGTTCTTCCGCCGGGTTGTCCCAGAAGTCTTTATCAAGAGAGTCAAGCCCATGACTATCATCAACCTTGCCCATTTCATCCGTAGCATCCTCCTCCTCACCCTCTTCACCATCACCCTCCTCATCAGACTTCTCATCCCCGGATTCTGATAATCCGTCGATATCATCGTTCTCAACAGCATTTTCCTGAGCATCGTACTCCTTTGGCTTTCCTTCTTCTTTCTGATTAGCAAGCTCTGATAGATCCTCGTCTGGCGCAATATCGTTGCTGATGTCCTCTTCTCCTTCTCCATCGCCGAGACCAGTGCCGCTTTCGACCTGACCGGGTCCACCGGCTTCTGCAGAACCATCGGATGGAGCACAGAACCCACTTGTTCCAATACTTATCACGAAGTTGGAGAGAATATGTGTAAGTCTGCAAAGACCTCTATGGAAATCAAGACGCTGTAGGAGCTCTTGTCGGCAGATGCTCTCATACTCGATGATGATTGGTGACATTAAACGCAAAAGTGAACGAAGAGCAACTGGGTTCTCCGTCATTGCCTCGCGTAGTTTTGGGGCAAGAGCTTCTAATTGGTTGGCAATTGCGGCGGAGCTAGATGAAGCTCTTGAGGCGAGAAGTTTCTCATGTTCGAAAAGAACAATTTTGTCTGAGCCACCAACCTTCTTTGCTAGGGTTTCATCGATCGCCTCTGGCTGTAATTGTGCAAGGATCATATCACATAGGTTCCGAATTTCATTGTCAGCAGAGGTAATAGCGTTTTCACTCGGATGCTTGGGCACGCCGTTCCCATTTGCTATAGGAGTCTGCTCGTTGGTCGGAATCCAAGGTTGGAGATAGTTGACGATATGCCGTAACTTGGCATTTGAATTTCCGAAGGCGATGAGTTCGGCTTGCATTCCCCTGAACCCATCAATTATTTCTCTGGTGATATCATTCTGCCGTGGCATGGTGATACTCGAAAAGGTCTTCGGACAAGCAGCAAATGATTGCGATGATTCTAAAGTCCATTTCTCCCACTTTGAAAGCATTCCTTGAAGCTCGCCGTATTGGTCTCCGGGGACAAACTTGGCTTCGGCTTCAACGACCTTTAAGGCAAACTGGATATTCGCTTGAATCCAGCCGAGATTTTGAGAAAGAGCTTTGGGGTCTGATAGAGCATGTGCAGTAACTAGGCCCGAGGAAGTAGTACCGTTGTCATTACAGAGAACTAGTAGGTACCCTATGAGCTCTTCCAAACGATGGAAAGCCATTAGGTGCGATGCAAGAGTCTTTCTCTGATTTACCACCATAGAAAGGCCGTGTTCAAAATACTTGGCTCCCCGAACAAAGTCAGGGACTGGCACATCGGCGGGTAGGTTCATCATAACACCTCTAGTCTTTGATAGATTATCAAGGGTCGCAACAAGGATGTCATCAACCTCCCCAACCCTCGTTTGGAAAGATTTCCCTTTGAATTCCGGGGCCAACCCAAGGATTTGTTCCGTAGACGACTGTCCCGCAAGTTCTTTCTGACTAAGGTTTGACTTGAACCCCATCTGGCGAAGAGATTTGAGAGCTTCGCTGACGGCTTTGCGTTTAGCGTCTTGGAGTCTCCGAATTTCGACTGTATTCTCTTTCGTTAGCTTCGATGGAGTAGCATCACGAAGTTCTTGGGCACGTTGTAGAATATGATCTGAGAACTGGTCGACGAGAGTGAATGCAGATTGGGTGGGTGCTATGGAGCTATAAATTTGTTGCATTTTGGTCACCGTCGATGTGATGTTGGAATGTCTTGCAGGTCGTGACTCCCAGTTAGTTATAGAAGTCGCACAAAGGGTCCTATCGGCGTCTGATGCCTGCTCAAAGAGACGAGGGGATGTCATTAGTGGGGAAATTTCGAGTTTGCTCAAGTCAGCCACCTTGGCTATTGTGGAAACGGAAGTAGAGAGGACGGCTCTATATTTCTTGACAACTTTGTAAAGCTGGTAATGAGACCTTCGGGTCGATTCTTTCAAAGCATTGATATTCGTATCCTTCCAGGATGCTAACAGAATTACTTCTCTCATATCCTTTTCAAGTTTGGTTCTCTCTGTAGAAGTATGCTCTAAGGCAGGTTTGAGGTATTGGAGATGAAGTTGGTGGACGTTATGGACAGTACTTTTGAGGGCTTGAGCGTGACCCGAGGGACTGTAATCGAGTTGTCTTGCGACTGCCTTGATTAGATTCAACCGACTTTGGAACTCTCCGATGCTCGACTGTCTTAGAAAAGTACTCAAAGTTTCTGCAAGAGAAATTCGGATAGTTGAGATATCGTCTTCCTCGACATCAACTGCTGTCTTGATGGCTTTGTAGATATGGAACCACCAGGTCGACGCTCGGTTTCGAGAAGAAGTTTCTTCCTGGGCGAACAAACTAGACCAAGTCTGCAACTCTAGTTTTCTCCAGCTAACGATTAGGTTGGTCAAATTATCTTGATGGGAGGCCAAGGAATATTCCTTGCTGGCCACTTGTTCCCACTGATGAAGTGCCGCGTGTAATCCTTCTAACTTCGCTAGAACGCTGTTAACTGGTGTTTTCAGCGGGAGTCCCAAAGTTTCCACGGTTCTATCGTTGACGTCTCTTAAAATGTCGTTCTCAGGCCAAAGAGCTATTAGATCTGCAATTTTCGCTTTTATTCCAGTAAGAAGCTCAACAACAGTTCTGACTTCTGTGGGGTTCTCGTCTTTATAAAAATTGAATGAATTTTTAGACGATCGGTTCAGCCAGGTTTCGGCATCCGAGATGTCAAGTAACATAGAAGGAACAAAGCTCTCCATCTCCCCTGGGGCGATGTAAATGCCCTCTTCAGATTTTTTCAACTGGGTTCCGAAATCTCGCTGGAGGGAGGCAATTTCAATCCCGTCCGCCAAAGTGCCGACGAATATGGCTGCGTGTAGTTCAGAAACTTGACTAGCTAGGGCCTGGACATCCAAGTTATTCTTCGGCTTTGGTGCATCCGTCTTTGGACTGCCTTCAGAGAACATTTCCATAACGCCAGCTTCATCGTCATCAGGGTCAACGACTTCGAGCCCCTTGAAGTGGTACATCTTGGTGGCTTCCTCTCTTTCCCTTGCATCATCACGCTCCTTCCTCTCCCAGAGTTTTAGGATACGAGCGAAAGTATTGTCAAGAAGCCTAAACTCTGCATCAGTGAAGGATGTCAAGCCTTCGACCTTGGCTCTAAGAGCTAAAGCGCGAAGCGATCGAAGCTCTGGTTCACTTGATTTTGAGGTTCTGGTTCCCATCTTCTCAGAAATAGCCGTTGGGGAGAGAGTACCCGGTGTAAAGATATATTTTGAACCACTTGTCCTCGAAGTATCAGCCTCACAGGCAATGGTAATTCCAAACTCGAGCGCTGAAACGAATTCCGCCACAATAACGGTTATATCTTCGAAAGCGTCGTCTTGAATCGCCAGCTGTTGGAGGATTTGTCTGACATTTTCCCTGATGGCCTGACCCGCCGCAACTACATCCGAGTTACCTGAAGCGAGGTTTTGGACAAATCTTTGAACCTGTTGCCCGTTGATAAGAGCAACAGTTCGTTGAAGAAGATGGCGTAGCGGCTCAAAGTTTGTTTGTTGAGAACGTTGAAACAATGAAATTCCGGTATCCCAAGTTACGGCTTCGATTTTTTGCTGTAGACGTCTCGTCCGTGCGTTATCGCGGGATCCATTTAATATCTCTGTCACTACTTCAAGACTTGAGAGTTCAGCTTGAAGGCTCTGTTGTCTATGCTGGAAAAGCTGGAAGTTCAAGCGTTCTTGTAGCGCAGGGTCATAAGGATGCGCTGGGACGAGAAGTTTAAGGCACCCAATGGCGTATTGGATCCATGCTAGGCCACGATTTATCCTTTCAGTCCCATCTTTCTGCTCTGTTTGAAGCAATGCCCTAAGTGATGGAATCAAAAAATTCGAGATTATGATAGTCCATCTTTCATCTGATCCTTGCTTTCCAGATTCAAGAAGTCTTAGGAGGGACTCGGGTGATTTGAGATCACTGGATAACAATGAAACCCCGGTACCTGAGAACAAGTCTTGGTGACATTTGCAGATCTATTTCTAGTTAGTCTTATATAGTCCCGAGATTCTTGAGGTTAAATTTGTTGTCAGCTTACGGAAGAAATATTTTCAAGGAGTAGATTATCAAACTCCCTCCAGTATTCGGTAGTATTGTTTACTATTGTCAAAACATATTGTTTTCCGAGTGTTTGGAGATCTGATTGGATTGTACTGTAGCCTCCAATATCCGTCGCTTGAACATGGTCGCTATTGGAAAATTAGTATTTTTTTTCCTATTCGGGAAGAAATGGAATTGACTAACCTAGTCAGCAGAATGTTCTTAACGAATGAGCCATAATATTCGTCTGAGGCGAGTGACCTCTTCAAATCGAGCATATCGGTATGAGTTGTCAACCCGAAGATAGTGTTAAACCTGAGATTTTGTGGTGTGTCTTCGAGTTTCTAGTTAGCGCCTATAAGCTCTTGCTAAAAGATCTCGAGTGTCTTACTATTCAAACCCAAATATCCCAAAAGCCCAGACAATTTCTGCGTCGGGTAGCCGGAGTAGTAGCTCAAGGCTATGATGTCCTCGGTCTGGTAACAATTAGTAAGAAAGGATTCTCTACATGGCACCAAAAATGATTCGCTCACCTTCAAGTCCGAGCCAGCAGAGTTCATAGTAGCGAGCAGCTGCATTCTCAAAATCATATCAAATCCATCCTGGAAAGAATGAACCGCTGTAACACTTGAGTTGCTGATCAAGCTGACAGCTTCGTCAAACTCAGTTATCGGAAGGTTGTTGGTAGAATCAGAAGTTCGTATCTGTTCAAATGCTTTCATGAAAGATAGCCTCAACTGCAAAATCTGTGCATTTGGCTGAACCATCCCCTGCGAGGCTTCATCAAACCTTTGGGCGACAGCTTTCAGCTGCCTTAAGGAAACCATTCCATTATCCGATTGGGGCATCGACACCCGCAAAGCTTTCCATAACCTTATCCAAGAAAACCCAGAACCTAGGCCATACTCTCTGATCAAGTTTTGGATCGAACGTTGGATTTTGTGCATCGTAGCGTCTGGCCAAACCCCAGAGATAGTATTAAGAAATGCTTTGATTCTGTCAGAGCAAGCTTGGAAGATCAAACCGTCGAGCTCACGACCTTCAAGGATGAAACCCAAGAAAAGTAAAAGTTCATAGAACGGCGTGAGGTTTATACAATTAACTTTCAATAGGATATGGTCGAGGTCTATTTGGCCAAGCCATAACCAGATTGTATGATTCAAGGTTGATAGGAATTCCAACAGTGCAAGGCGAGCTTCTTTGTCAATATTATCTGGCAGTCCATCCTTAGCATGGTTTGCACCACTCGCTGCGCGAAGGCGTCGCTGGTTCTTCAAAATGTCAATTATTTTGATTAGCTGGCTCTGACTCTTAGCAGAGGACAGGGCAACTTCGTAAAGGTCGCTAAGGATGGTTGCGATCTTCTGTGAGCCTACTCGGCGGCAATCTGTCTCTAGAATATGAATGTTGGAGAGAGCATGAAGCGACTATAGAATTATCGTTAGCAATGCACATTGATCCTTTACTGGAATATACTCGCCTCATTCTCAGTGAATTCAAAATCAAGGCTAAGCTTGGTGCAAAGTTGGGTTTTAAACTCAAGCAACAGTTTCCCCACGGACTGATTTTTAACTTCTTGAAAGGTGGCTACCGCTTTTTCCGTGGTCTCGATGAGGGAAACGTTAGATTTGGGTAAGTTTTGACCTAGCCAAGGGGCTATCATGGGAACCAGACGAATAGGAGCCTCTTCGAAAATATGATAGAGCCAAGTACCAAAACGTTCGGGGTCAGTATTAAGCGCGTGTCGAACGAGATAGTCAACCCGAGTAAATGTTCTCGCTGTAGATTGATCAACCAAGTTCAACAACTTGGACTGGTTCAGACTCCAATCTTCGGTATCTTCTTCTACGGAAGGAACAAATATCTCGATTGACCGATTGCGCATGGCCCTTGACAGTTCCCCATTTCGAGGATCCATGGTCAAGAAAAGTCTAAAATCTGGATGAGGAATGATAACTCTACCCCCGCCGTCGGCAGAAGTATGCTCATGGAGAAATAGAGCTCCTTTAGTCTCGAGCAAGGAATTGATACGATCCAGGACGGATGGGTTGCAAAGGTTTGCATTATCCAAAATGACCCAGTGTCCATTTTCAACGGCACGAACCAAAGCACCATCATACCACGCGAATGACACATTGCTCCTCTGGTCCTTTTCCGATAAGACTCTCACCAGCGTCTGAAGATGCTGTTGGATCCTTTCAAGACACTCGGATGGAAAAGAAGCACATGATTCTAAAGTCGTCTGTGCTATGCTGATGATTCCTTCCAAATTTTGGTAGGTCGGTTCCCACCGATGCAAGCTATCTGCCAGCACAAGAGCTGCTTGAGGCACCCCGTTACCAGCGAGACTGCATTCAACGATAAGTGTTTCCAAATCAGAATGAAGTAGTTGCACAACCGTTCTTGCTAATCTAAAGGGGTCCTCTTGTTCATAGCCACCAATAACATCTGATGTTTCCGTGTCGTTATTAAGCGGGATGACTTCAAGATGTGCCCCGACCGACTTTGCTAGAACTTCTACCATGCTCGACTTCCCCGAACCAGGTGCACCGACCAAGAGGCAAGGCCAGCGGTTATTGATTCCATTCAAAATAGTTTCTAAGATGGAAAGTTGACGGGGTAGGAATTCAACGCGGTCAATCTTCTGGGAGTTTCGGGTCTTCCTTCTCTGGCTCAGAGCATTTCCAACTTGGACATTACTCGGAGAAAGTCTGACAAACCCGGCTTGTATGTCAAGATTCAGTTCAGATCCAAAGACCTTTTTGAATATTGCGTTGACTTTCAATACATCCTCCTCACTCCGAAACCTGTGACTGACGATGGCTCTAAAATATTGCTCAAGCGTTTTTCGTGCAGGCAGTGGCGTTTCCCGTGCCGTAATTTCAAGCCATCTTAAGGTATCACGAAGGTTAAACTCCCACGGGGCGCCGGATACACCGAATGATTTGTCTTGGGTAAGTCCCTTAGAGAGCTGACTCGAAAACTCGACAATCTTAGCATAGTCCTCCGCGTCAAAATTCGGGAACGTATGTTGTGAAATGGCCAATAAGTCCTCTTGCTGAAGACTACGGATATAGACGACTGTAAATCTGTTAACAAATGAAGCCGGTAAACCCTTTCGTCCATTTCCTTGGTGGTGTGGGTTCTGCGCTGCGAATAGTCTGAAACCCGGGTGGCAGTGGAAAGTTTTCCCGAGCTCTGGAATGTAGACAGTTTTTCGATGATCAAGACATGAGTTCAAGCCTTCTAGGACTGACTGGGACGCCAGATTCATTTCGTCGAGAAGAACCCATTGCCCAGTTTGCATAGCCTGTAAGAAAGGCGCTTCTCTGAAGACGAAGGTTCCAACGGCACCATTTTCTGCAGGAACATCACTTCCAAATAGATCCATCATATCAGTCTCCTCAGAAAGATTGATTCTGACTAGAGGAATACCAACAACAGCGGCTAATGCTGTAATTAAACTTGTCTTACCGACGCCAGGTGCACCTTCGAGAAGAATTGGTTTAGATAGCTGCATAGCGCGCATGACACGCATTGCATTCAAGCTGGTTGTCGATGCATTAAAATCGAAAGGAACCCTTCCCATGTCCGAAATTGTACGAGGGAGTGCGAAGTCCCCGACTTGGAAAGCTTCAGGTGAGACCTGAACGCTGGTGGCCTCGAGGAAACCCAAGTCGAAATGCTTCCCAAGGAGGGTAGAAAGATGAGAAATGCATTTCCGTCTCTCGAGCTCGACTTGCTCTAGGGGTACTGACAAAAGAGCTGCGGGATTGGAGCCAAGGGTGTCTACATAGACCATAAGAGCACCTTGAAAAACAACAGTCAAAGGCTCACCCTCAACCTTATTGCAGAACTGAATCCAACTAATGATGTCCCTGATAGATACCGATCCGTCTTTACCGACTCGGAAAGTCTGGTTAAACCAAAAGCCAAACTTAACCATCGCTGGCGCATATCCTTTATACGCTGTAACCAATTTGGTTTCGGTGATCTGTAGAACGTCATCAAAGTCATACATCGGCGGGACCCAGATTTCAGTGAAACGATTTCGCAAAGCAGGAGATAGCTCCTTTTTTCCATAGTCGCCACCAGGGTTCATTGTTGCAAAAAACTGGAACTCTGGGTGAGCAGTTATTTTTGCATCTTCATACCCTTTCTCGGCTAAGAAGATTTCTCGCTCGGGTTCAAGAACACTGTTGAGCCTTTCCAAAACACTGTCCTCTGCTAGAGATATTTCATCGAGGAGGAAGAGATCGCCTTTCCTCATTGCGCCAACGAGACTTCCATCCACCCACTCGAAGAGTTGACTCGCTTGAGCGCGTAAGCCGTGAATGTAGTTGAGAACTTCTTGGGGAATGTCCTTTTTAGCCTCCAATTGCAATTGATCGTAGGCTCGAAGTAGCTCTTTCAAATCGCCTTGGATTTGGCTGGGCAAATATGTAGAAAAGAAATTCTGCAGGCTTTGGAGCAATTGCTGTGTAACCTCCGCTCGATTTCTCAAAGGCCGGTAAGCTCCAATAATATCACCAGTTTCAGTGTTCATATGGGCGTTGACAGTCTCAAGATTTTTGCGGAGAGCAAGAGCTAAAAGCTGGCAGACTGTTGTCTTTCCGCAACCAGTTTCACCCACAAGAAGAACAGGTTCATTTTTCACAATAGCTCTTTCAAGTAGCGCGTATAGTCGAGCCATTGCCTTTGTCCAAACAACATCATCTCCTTGACTTCCAAAGTCGGGAGGAGGCCTATTATACAGAATTTCATCTGAAATCTGAACCCGTAGCTTGGTTTCAATGACTTTCTTGACGGCTAATTTTTCGTCTTGATTCCTTACACGCTCGACAAGAAGCATATAGCCATTCTGCGCAAGCTCTTCATTCGTCACAGCATCTCTGTTCGCCCACCTGAACAAATCTCTCAGAGTTGCAAAACTCTGTTTTTGTTCAAAAAGACGGGATGATTGACGGAGGACCGAAAGTTCGTTGTAGACGGTCACGATCCTAGCTGCGAATGAAGGAGCAATTTGTGTTCTCTGTTGGAGAATATCTTGCAATTCATTTTGCGGGATATCGTCAAAGTGCAGTTCGATGAATCGATTTCGGAAAGCTTTAGAAAGAGCTTTACGTCCAGCATAGAGTCCAGGTGGATTTTGGGTAGCGAAGAGCATGAAGTCTTTATGGGGCCGCACAACTTCCTGTGTTTCTGGTATAAGAATTTCTCGATTATCGTCAAGCAAACGATTCAAGGCCTCCAAAACATCGGTAGGCGCAAGGTTCAACTCGTCCAATATCACCCAACATCCCGTCCGCATCGCCTGAATAAGGGCTCCCTCCTGAAACTTTAGAGAGCCGGTAGAATCAGAAACATAGGAGCCAAGATACTCCTGTAAATCAGTATGCTCATGATTATTTATTCGGACGAACTTATGACCAGTCCTGTTGGCTAGAAACTTAATCATACTTGTTTTACCACTCGATGTGGGTCCTTGAATAAGAACGGGATATTTCCGAGTAGCAGCCGCGCGCACAAGATTGAGAAGATTCCTTTCGACATATGGTGTAATAATGTAATTTGGTTGTTCTTGGACCTCAGCGGGCCCTTTCAACATCCAGTAGTGTTTGAATTGTGTATAGTCCCCGTGGGTTGGCATCCTCGGCACTTGTTTTAAGAGACTTCTTGCGTTCGTATGATCCGCGAGCAACCTTTGTTCGATGAGTCTATGGAGTAGATTTTCGGATTCGGTTGCGAGACAGGTGAGAAACGCCATACAGAACCCCTCGTAAAGGGACCTGAGAATACCGTAGACTGGCGCAATTTCAACCACGTACGCTAGTGTACGAGCGAGGGTACGAATGCTGTACACTGGTTTCTGTCCCGCCCCGTCTACAAGTCGATTTTGATCGACCATGGCCCGAATATCGAGATACAAGTCAGTTGTCTTGGATAGAAGTTGTTCAACACCCACGCAATGGCTTTCTAAGTATGCTTTCACAATCGCGAGAACATTTGCTCGTTCACCATCCGGATTGGGGACATAAAATTCGGTAAACCTCGATCTGATACCTTGGGGTAAGTCCCGTTTTCCAACGTCAGTGGCAGGGTTCATACAGCCGAATATGCGGAAGTCTGGGTGAGCGTGTATTCTTTCGACGCCACCCTTCTCAAGTAATAACATAGATCGAGATCCAGCATCATTCATAAGATCGGCGATAGATTCCAAAGTCTCTGGAGCAGCCAAGTTCAACTCGTCTAAAAGGACCCATTCTCCATTACGAACTGCTTTGACGAGAAGGCCTTCGACGAAGTTAAATATAGCTTGCTGGGGCGAACTCTTTAATTGTGTATCGAAAGATGAAACCTGTGCAACAAATGCTTCCCATTCTGCCACAATTGATGCTTGGTTTCTAGGCTCCAACTTTCTCCGCTTTCTAGGGCTCAATATGCCATCCTCTGGATCTTCATCATCCACTGAGACAGCAAGATGTTTCTTCGCCATTTCAATAGCTTTCAGCCAGAACCGAACAACTTTCTTCCACTGTTTATGTAGGACTGCTTGGTCGAATTGATCCAAGAAAGTCAAGTTTTTCTTGGAAGGGAATGTTCTTCGGAATAGAGAATCGAAGCTTGTCGCTATTTCCATGCCTATCCGTGACAAATCCATCGGCTGGAATCCACCCATTAGATCGCTACTTTCGGTTTGCTGCGAGAAGTTGTGAACCGTTAGTTTGACGTTTAGCAGGTTTGCAAGGTGCTGTACAGCAGTCGTTTTTCCAGTTCCCGTTTCTCCGACCAGAAGCACCGGTTCAGCCGTGTTCACGCAGATGGAAACTCGTTCGAGAAGACGTAAGGCGTATTTGTGCATTGCGTATGGCATACTTTGTGGTTTTCCTTTTCGATAGTAATCTCCCTTTGCCTGGGGCCTTTTCGAAATCCTTGATCTTCCAATAGAAACCTGGGTTGTGTCGTTCTGGTAAGTTGGCAGGTAACCTTCCGTCAGGTAAGCTTCACGGGTTAGATCAAGATTGACCCCATGTGCTACGCAGTTGCTGATAATCTTCTCTTGTTTAATGTCCGAGTATTGCCCCGCGAAACAATCCATAGCTTCAATAAATATCATGTCTAGTAGATATTCGGACACAACGCCTGACCTCGAGTCCGCAGGCCTTAATTGCAAATGCAAGTCAATGCGATTGCACCAGTTGAGCAGTTCCCTTAATCCAATTTGCCGGAGGGAAGGTCCACGAAACAGCCTACCCCGAGTAGGTGATGATTGTATAGACCGTACAGAATCATATACTTTCACAAGGGTTGAAGAGAAAGGCGATAGTGAAGGGTAACGGTCATTAATAAAAGCGATAATTTCATACTGGGACGGCTGTTGGATCGACACACGGCGCCACAATCTGATGCCAACGGTGCTCAGATTTGGTGGTAGAGAATCGGCACCATCTCGTAGGCCATCAAAAGTACGAACGGTAGCTATTAGTCGAAAATTCGAGGGAGCGACAATTGTTTCCGCTCGATTCGGGATGAACAAGGTTCTACGCTGCATCAGGGGGATGAGAAGACTGAGAACTTCATTAGGCGCCTGATCTAGATCTTCTATCAAAATCCATCGACCTTCCTTGACAGCAGTAGTCAAAACGCCCGGCTTCCATTTGAAAGAACCAGGTGGCTCTGATGAAACATATGTTCCTAACAGTAGTTTTGTATCGGTCTGCTTGCCCAAATGTATGGATATCAAAGACTTTTCGCTACCAAGCAATTTTGCAATATGGTGAACATAGTGTGTCTTTCCACTGCCTTGTCTGCCTTGTATCAGAACCGGGTCGCCCGTACGGACCGCTATTGCCAACTGACTAAGGTTTTGCAAAGCAGTTGGGGTTTCGACATGGCCTTCCGGATCTCGATCACTCTCTGGAAGACGAAGGAATTGTATTCCAGCTATAGAAACAATCGAGGGAGAAGTATCGGTCGTAGAAATCACTCTTCCGTGAGATGTATTCTCAGCGAAACTGGTTCTGGCTGATTTAAGGGTAGATTGGAGCAGGTCTAATCGGCGAGCCTCATCGGTCCTGTAAATTCCAAAGTGCTATCAGTTAGACGGGATCAAATTACTCTGCTAAACATGAAAACTTTTCCTTACCAAAAAAATCTAAAGTCCACGGAAACATCATCTATCACACCGACAATTGGCTCGGTTCCACAATGCTTAACCAACAGTTCTTCAAACGCGCTATCTGCTATGTTGAGATAGAGAACGGCAATTTGAAGACTTAAATATCTAATAACCACAGAAGAATGTTCAAGTAGCGACCATATATGCTCAAGACGTGCTAAAGGTGAAAAAAGTGAAAAGTTGAACTTTAAGAGCCTCAGGAGGGCCAAGAGAATTGCCTGGATAGATTCGACAGACAAACTAGAAAGATTTTCTGTGAATACCAATGGTAATGATGTTGATTGGTTTTGGTAGAACGATGAGAAATCCTTGGTCCCACTGCCTAGTAGATAATGTTCAGCGTACGGGACCAAATATGGTGCTGTGGGTAAGAGCTCTGCCAGTCTTTGGGCGAACTCCTGGGGAGTTGTGAAGCTGGTCCATCTCGATAGGATATCTGGGAATATAGGTTCGAATGAGGTAAATACTAGAGAAGTCAGTCGGGAATCAAGAGCAATGCGCGATAGAGCGTCGAGATATATTTGGTTGTTTTCGCTCTGCAGGTTGAGAAATAGTTCCGCTGGTACAACTTGTTGAAGCAGAGGAGATTCGGCCAGAGAACGGTCGCCCAAAGTTGTAGACCACATTGTCGAATAGGTGAGCAATAGCCCTGACCATAAATCTACTGTAGTATTGATGTTGTTAGAAAAAACTTGTCATTTTGTGACAAAAATTAGTGTCGAAGTGGGTAAGTTAAGTAAGTTGGTCAGAGAAGTATACTTGTATGCTCTGAGACTAAAAAAAAAAGTTTTTGGAGATGCGACAGGGTGCCAAGACCGCAGACCCACCAGGTGGTGTTCAAGCCCCAGAGCCCTGTACAGAGGGCCGTGTGATATATCGTGTTCCGGTGCTTATCGATAAGACCCCGGGGTTACCGGGGTGATCATCCCCAGATGTTGGTTGGCAGGTTGTCGATGCTTGCCTGGTTACTTAGTAGTTGGTAGCTACTGCATAGCAAGTAGCTCTCAACTCAAAAGGCCGCCTCATCTCCTTCCCCAAACCGAAAGTCGACTCGACGACCGCGCTCGATCAACTTCTCACCGCGATTTCGCTTCCATAATCAAGCTCGTACAAACAGCTCTAATAAGACCATGCCTCCTATAGATCGGAGGATTCCCCAATTCATACCAATTACTCAACCCCCGACATCTCGCCATCCCTGTTAACATACCTACATAAGTGCCCACCGATCTATCTATATCCGCGAAACAAGGGAGAGTGGCCGTTACAATCCACTCCCTCCTACCAGCCCCCAACGTCCGTGACGTATGATACTATTCCGTTTGACCCCCGATTTCAGGGCCTCGATAGACTCGAGTCCCGTATTTGACAAGTAGCAATGTCTCTCCTTTACAATCAAGAGTCCGTGCCCCTATGTGTGCCGCTCTATCGAGAGTTGGATTCTAATTACTGTTTCTCCCTTAGATACGCTATCCATCAAGTACGAACGCGGTTCCTAGCATCTGTCAAAGATAGTGTTGGCGAGCGTCTTATCAATTTGAACCAAAATGTATTCAATGTCCCAGGTTACAAGATCGCAGGTTGGCCTCGGCCCTCAGAGACTGAGAACTATAACCGTCGAGCCTACTCCCCTCCCATCCCCGCCGGCGGGACCACAGATTATTTTGCTGCACTTCCTAGATCAGCTGCCTTAGAGCGTCCAAAGATATTTGACGATGAAGATGAAGCAAAGGCCATGGGGAAAGGTATGGCGGCTGGTAGTCACGGCTCCTTGCGAAATTTCCACCGACAGTCCGATCAACAACGCCCAATTGGCCAAGTCGATGACGATGATAGTTCGGATTTGTCTGATGAATCGGACGTTGATGACGAGGTCGGCAGTCGAACCCAGCATATCAAGTTTCCTAAAATGCCAGTTAGACAGCGCGCTGGAAGCTCTCCTACACATTATGCGAACCATGCGAACCCAAGACTTCTTGTAACCTCACCGGGGAAATCTACTGGCTCCCGAACACGAAGCGGATCTCATGGAATGATGGAATACGAGCGTAGCAGGAAGATTACCGGAACGGATAATGATGCTGTCAACCTTCTTTCACATCGAATCGATGAGGACACCCAGGCCTTTAAACAACTTGCACAACAACTGAGGGCTTCCCCCGCTACATCGTTTCGAAACCAAAATGAAATTGATTTTGATAGTGACGAGGATCTCGAAGGTGATGACGACGAAGACGATGCTTCGACTATTTCGAGCGACTTTGCCGGTGCTGTGACAGCAAACTCGACACTGATGGTTACCAATACAGGAACACCGCCTCCTTTGTTTAACGGCCTACAAATGAACAAACCATCAGCACTTCCTCCTCTCCCCCCACCAAGGCCTATTTCAGTTATCCAACCGGTATCCCTTTTAACACAGCTAATTAAAGCAAACGAAGAGGAGATGCAGCACCCATTGGATGCTTACACCAAATTTTCTGGAAAGGGAGACATGAAAGCCGCTGGGCCTGTCTTACGCCGCTTTGGCCAATCGACCGATTCTTCTGCACCACTAAGATTGAGAGTCTATTGTCCATTCAGCACAGAACGTCTCAAGTTCGTCGAGGTGATCGTAAAACGCTCTATCATAGAGGATGGGATAAAGGTAGAGACTGTTGTAGCCGATACGCTTGGATACACACTCTATAGATACCGCGAAGAAGACCGACAGCCACCACTCACGGAGGAACAGTGTAACGTCAACAAATGGAGCTTGCACATAATGGATGAGCCTGGTGAACCTGACGAAGACTTTCCTCGTAAGCAACCAGACTCACTGTTGATGGGTTAACTCACTAATGTTTTCGACTAGCTCTGGATAGGACACGTGCGATCTCTGCTTACCAACTTGAGGACCTTGTACTCGTTGAAGCATCAGACGAAACATGTAAGTGAATAAAATTTCCTTATCCGCTAACGTTAGAGACTTACAAGTGTGATAGTCGAAGAGAATGAGAGACTTTTCCCGACGCCGAAAGTCGAAACGAAAGTCGAACCAAAAAAACCAACTACACCAGGAAGTACTGCCCCGCCTACCGGACCAAACAGCAGCCCAGTTCCCGCAAAAGCAACCCAAACTCCAACAAAGCCTGCGGATGCACCCCTCGTCATCAATCAATCAGGAACCAGACAAGGCGCCCTTTCCCATCTCAAGATCCACTGCAACACCCCGGAGGTACACGATCAAAGCGTTGTTCTCAGGATCACGAGTGATACATACATTGGGGAAATTCTGGATAGCATTTGCAAGAAAAAGAATATGGATCCCACTCGACATATCTTGAGGCTCCTTGGTACTACAACTGTCGTCCCATTAGATCGGATGGTAAAGGATTTAGAAGGTCGAGGAGAACTCGAACTTGTCGTCAGAGGACCTTTTGATCCTATCATCGATAAAAATGCGTCCCCTGGGCCGGTAAACCAGCAAAGTAAGTTGAGGATTCATGCTTATCGTAGCAGCATCGAGAGACTAAATTATTCATTAGCGGGATCACTGTTTGGAAAAAATGCTGCAAAGAGACACACACTATTATCACAGAGTATCACTGCTCACGATGTTCTATCGTCGGCTGGATACCAAAAGTTCACTGTTTGGAGAAAGATGCCAATGTCATTTATCAGGTACAACTCTAACATATACTCCTTCTAAATCAAGCCTTACTGACATGGCCCGTAGTCGCCACGAGCGTGTATTAGCTATTGATGGAGAATATGTTCATATCATGCCATCAGATCAAAATAAAACGCTTTTTGACTCTCCGAAAACTGTACGTTAGCTGCACCCATCAATAGTCACAGCTTCCACTAATGACCCTCACAGACAAGTATTCATATCAGTTCAATAATTGGCTGCAAACAATCTCGCAAAGCACCCTTGAACTTCAAAATCATTGCTATGAAGTCCAGGGAATGGAAACGGTAAGCGCGTCCCTCTACACTTCTGGTGATTCTCAACTCTAATCACTTGGGTTTTTTTTAGATATGCCTTCGAGGCTATGAGCGCATCTCAAGCTGCGGATATTGTCGAAGCACTAAAGAAACAGATATCAGCCTACAAAATGGACAAAGAGGCCTAGCCTGCTTCTAGTTGTCCTCGGTATGCTGGGAGGCTTTGTCCTACGGGAGATTGTCTAGACGCTATGTTCTACAAGGGTAGAACGCGAGCGGAACCTACGCGGAAGTCAAAGCTTGAGAAACTCAGGACTTTTTTTAGAGTTTTCAAGGCGAGAAGAGGCGATGCTTTGATATAGCATGGTCTCGTAAACTAGACGGCATATAGTATGGGCATTCAAAGATGTCTACGATCCCTAAGATTTCTTTTGTTGGCATTTGATTTGGACTGGGGAACGCAATACTTGAGCTAGCTACTACTTTTGGTTTCTTTTCCCTTCATTTATGTTTCGTGTTAAGTACTAAGCATTTGCGGGTCTATATGTGAGGGGAGTTTGAGGTGTATTTTTCTTTTGAATTTTTGGATCGAGTCATTTGATTGCTTTTGCCTTTAAATTTCTTTGAGTTGGTTCGCATTCTCTCTTTCTTTCTTTCTTTCTTTCTTTCTTTCTCTCTCTTTTTCTTCCGATTTTTTTTTTTTTTTCCACTTTCTAGTTAACTCTGCATTATGTTTCTTACTTGTATATTGGTTTCTTAGAGTGGATTATAACTCATCGCTGGGAGGTACCCTTGGGAATAGTCTAGGTATGTATATACAAGGCGCAGATTTTGAGATGCAATATTGCATGGGAACACGATCTATCGATTTGTTAAGTACATATACGTAGCCGGATAATACGTATTTATGTATACGTCAACCTGCGTCTCGCTCGACGTCTTGGGTTTGATCTCGTGTTCATAGTCTGAAATGGTATATAGGCACATGGACTTTTTTTTTTTGAAAAAAAAAGGGTTGAAAAAAAAGGGAACGCTAAAGCTGGGAAAGAAAAAACGTATAGTTTGGGTATCATGTGGACGCTAAAGATCTGAAGAGAATATCCGCCCGGAATTCAAAAAAAAAAAAAAAAAAAAAAAGAGATGATGATGAAATCCTTATCCTAGTCCAACGCCAGCAAAGAGGGGAAAGAAAGAAAAAAAAAGAAGTGCTAGACTTAAGTAGCGATCGCTTTTGTTCATGGAATCCAGGCGCTAAAATACATTATTCAAGAAAATTAAAGATAAAAGAAGACATAGAGGCATGCGCTATCAATGCCCCGCTAAGTCGTCTGTAAAGACAAAACAGAAAAAGAAGGTCAATAATATGAATCAAGCCTTTGAACCCCTCAGAACCTCAACATGCTTCTCCACTTCCTTCTTCGCATATCCCATCCACCTCGACTTCTCCCATTCACGGATTCTTCCGTCACCTGTGATCTTATTGTACAAAGCTCTCGAAACTGCTTTGTTTATTTCGGCAAATTGGTCGCTTGACATGTCGCCGGCATGGTAGTACGGTGCTAATGCCAAGCGGACGAGCTTTTCAACTTCCTTCTTGTTTGAGAGGGATAAACCGGAGGGCGATGCTGAGTCTTGACGTGGTGGAGGCGATGATGGTTCAGCTGGTGGGCTATGGGGAAGAGTGACTTCCTGAGGCTGTAAGTATTCGTTGGTTGGAGAAGAGGGTGATGACTCCGGTCCTTCTGTTGGCGGTGTTAATGGAGAAGACGGTGGTAGAAAGGTAGGACGATTGCTTGAAATTGGACGGGGAAATTTGAGTCCAGCCATAGTGGATGGCTGTACCTTGTCGATGTCGGCCAAGAGTGTGTCAAGGAGAGTAGGTGAAGATGGTGCAGGGTCTCGAGTGGCAGTGGGTGAATTCGACCCGGCATCTGCGCTTAACCGTCTGGGCTGAATGGTTTCAACCGGGGGCGAGTCGAGATTAGCCAAGGACTGTGGGACAAGTCGCCGGGTCCTTGGCCGTTTGAGTTTCCGCTCTGGGGCCGGCTGGGACGGAGATTCGGGTGGAACATCCTGGGGCTCTACACTGGTTCCATCTTCACGAAGTTTTCTTTCAGCCTGGGGGGAGGATGTTAGCAGCTTGCTAAGCCGCCTCTTCCGCGATGCCGCCACGTTACGTTCGGCTGTGTGATCTTGTGTTTCGTCCATGAGTTCTTCGTCCTCTCCCTCCTCCTCCTCCTCTTCTTCTTCTTCGTGTTCTTCAGGGTGAAGTAAGGCATCCTCGGCTTCTTCAAGCATAGCCCAAGCCTCTTTCTCTTCCGGCGACATTTCTGGTTCCTTCTCGACCAGTGGCAGGCGTTCCAGGATACGAGGAACAGCTTCATTCAAAACCTCTGCAGCCCCCAGCCGTCTAGCAACATCGATTCGTCTATGCCATGCATTTATATCCCGTTCGATGGGCTCAGGCACTCCGTCGTCTTCATTATTTGTGCTGTACTCGACTTCGAGCGCCTCGTATCGGCCACCGACGGTAAGCCAAACTCTTTCCCAGGGATCATAGTTCGGACGTGTACGATTTCTTCTCCCGGTCGGGCGAGAATCATTATTTCGCGATCCGAGCGATGGACGTTCAATCACACAGGGCGGACAGTACCATAACCCCCCGGGAGCTGCCTCGATGCCAAGACAGTAAGTATGATATGGACTACGGCAGTCATCGCAAAAAAGCAGGAGATCTGAATACCCTGACTCATTACAGATGAAGCACTCGTGAGAGAAGCCTCCTCCTACTCCTCCTCTCTCGTTTTCATTAGCTCCGGAGGGAAGGATGTTGTGGTCATTGGTTTCGGAGACTTGGGTCTTGTCGTCGACAACGTAGCTTGATAACGGTTCCCCTATTATTAATAATTGGAATTAGTCAAAGAATTCCCGGTGATATAATAAGGAATTTACTGTAGAAGAAGAAAAGCAAAAACAGGGAAGAAAAAGGACATACCAGTTGGACTTGTAACGAGCTCGACAACATTGAATGCTTTCCGACATATCGGACAACTATTTGCGCGTTCTACCCAAGGTTTGAGGCAGCTGTTGTGCATGAAATGGGAACAAGGGAGGCGTGCCAAGAGAAACTCAGCTAGGTCGTCGAGGTTGTACGAGATTGGGAGGCCATCGGCGCCAGTCCGGGGGAGATTCTTGTCCGGCAGTTCCGCAAGACAGACGATACAAGGGTCCATTATAGAGGATAGGTATCGTCGCTTGGGACATGAGTTTCTATTCGAATGTATTGTTCAAATCGTTGTTATTTTCTTGGACTTGGGGGGTTTTCGAGTAATGGTTTCTTTCGTTTTGTATCTGTCTCTCGGAATGGCGTGGCACTAACGTTCCTGTCAGGTACGGGATGAGTTGCGGGGGGTTTGTGAGTGAACAAGGCCTGAGCGCAGAACAACAACGAGAGATTTCGAGCTTGAAGAAAAAAGAGGTATCGAGAAAGAGACTCAGGCAGAGTCTCCCCGTAGAGAATATTGAGAATTGATACCGGAAGGTGGTTTGAATCCTTTCGATTCTGGCTTGGGAGCTGAAGATGAGGTGAGGTTGAAGGAAGACAGGTTGGGGACCCGGGGTATTTATACTTGGTGAATGGGGAGCCCAAGCGACAGGACAGCGACAGGGTGTTGGACTCCGTAACTTACCTACTTCCCTCCCCCCCAAGAAATGGGTGGTCGCAGCGAAGACGCCAATTTGCTCATCTGACAGCCTTTCGCCATCTTGGGCTTTGAAGGGTCAAACATACATAGCATTCAGGCTACACTACCAGGTACGCATATAGGGTGACTGCAGGGCTTACAGATACAAGATTCTTATCAGTTTATGCACTTGGATAGAACGGAAGAGTATTAGGTATCTGGTATCAGGCATTCTTAATCTTAAGCCTTTCGGCTGAAGCCATCATGGTCACTGATACGGGTTCGAGGGGGGGAACATGTTAACATGCAACCAACACTAGACCATTGCAACTAGCGAGAGTTGGGACGACTAATTTCATATCTGGATCCTGAAGAAAGTGTCTACTATGACGGACCCACTTTGATTCAAACGGAAAGGTAAAGTGAACTAAAAACTGGAGAGAAAGGGAAAAAATAAATTTGCACCTTACGAGTTCCTACAAGTTACGTTATCTTGTTTCCATTTCTGGTCTGGAAAATTCATGGTTCGCAAAGAAGCTATCCCATGTCCATATCATTCAAGGCGAAAAAATGAGGATGACGAAGATGTACACGAAAAATAAGGAAATAATTCGGCGAGTACAGAACACCGATTGTAACAAAGCCATGCCCATTAAACAGAGTGAAAACCTCGTATGAATTCTTCGTCAGAGAGTTGTGGCGGGAGTCGTGGAGATGGATTATGGAGGAATGTGGGCGGGTCTTTTCATTGCAGCAATGAGAAATTGATAATAATTCTATCTGCGGCTTTTCTGAGAGGTCGAGGTGGGTATAGGAAAGAGGTTGGAATCAAGGAAAACGAAAGAGAAAAAATGCAACGCTTAAACTTCAGCAATTTCTCTCAGACGACGGATTGTCGAACGGGAAGCAGCGGCGGCAGGTGTCCTGTTGTAGATGATACATATTAGATGTTTGTTTGCCCGGTATATTTCCCTCTGGAACATCCAACTGGGTCCCATAGGAAACGGTTGTGGTAGGAAGGAGCTGAACGTACGATAGCAGGTAAGCACCGCCAGCGAGCTTCTTTCCGCATCCCTTGCAGTCCCAGATACCAACAGCAGTCCTCTTGACGGTGGTCTTTCCGCAGAAGGCGCATGTGTATTTCGAATGCTGGCTGATTTCCATCTTCTTGACCTGCTTACGCAGCGAAGCACCATATCTGTAAAGTTGAAAGAAATCCCATCAGTATTTCGTTCTTATAATGTCGGTCCCCTATTCCATCTTCTGGTCGTAAAATTGTCGAATCCAGTTTCCTGAAGCCATCCGAAATTTCGTATTCCAAAACAATCACGAGGTGATGATTCCGTACCTAACACCGTATTTACCGGTAGCGCCAACCTCTGTTGAAGAAACCCCAATCGTTAGCATCATCCTCCAGAAAACATCTCCACGAATGAAACCACCGGTGTCCAAAGAATCGTCGACGTACTCTTAGTTCTCTTGGTCATTTTGAATAATGTGTAGTCGGAACGGAATTAGATAATCGGTGTATGTCGGGATGGAAGTTGAAGGTCGACGTCTACTTTGAAGATATCGAGGGGTCTAGATTGTAGGGAAGGTTGAGAAACACAGAGGAATTTCGCTTGGGTTAGCTCACCACACAAATTGGAAAAAAAAGACAGTCAGATCACGTGGGTTTGGCCCTGGGTCTTGGCTGGTGTTTTTTTTTTCTTTGCTCGACAAACGCGTTGTATGAACGCGTTGTGCGACACAACACCGACAACACCGACAACACTGACCACAAGAACAACTCAATTTGGGCACGAGACCAGGTATCAGGTACTCACCTGTGCTCAAATAGACGTAGCCGAGGGGACCGTTAGGACGAACAAGGTCGCCGGATTCAATTCCCTGTCTGAGAACGGCTTTGATACGTTTGTCGTGAATGAGCCCCAGGTATTTACCTTCGTCCTGGAGCTTTTCTTTGACCCAAGTGCTGATAGTCCAACGGCTTCGACCTTCGTCTGCAAGAGATTCTTTGACGAGAGCAAGATATTCCTCTTCAGTAGCAGCTTTCATTATCGATTTAAGTGGCTGAGATCTAGGAATTCAACGATGTTTGACTTGGATACAATGCAATGTTTGACGATGGTCTAGACTTGACTTGGTAGAGCAGGATGATGTAGTCAACTGGGAGGCTTTGTGGAATAGTTGCAGAGGCACCTTCTTAAGTACCCCCTGCTCAGGGGCAATCACACTACCTACTTTGGTAACTACGAGCATTCCGGAACGTAATAGACATTCTTCGCGTCTTAGGTTTTGGGCTGGTTTCCGCCTCCGATGATATAGGATCTATGGCTTCGATTGATTCGACCGCCTTGTTCTTAACCTTTGTCATAAACTATGACTATCGGTGGTCTAGCCGAAGATGCCGGAAGATACTTACTATGTAACCTAGTAGCCGAACAATCGTAGCATACGTACGTACTAAGAACATACGTCAAATTGTACTACAAAGGTGGTCTGGAGCTACAGATCTTAGGGCAAACTCTGGGTATATTCATTTCCTTCCTTGTGTACCCTTCCTGGTATCGATTCTGATTCGAAGACGCGTTGATTGCACCTTCATGGGTTTGCACCCCTCATACACTTGTAAATTGTACTTTATGAACCAGTAATTAGAATATTTGAGCTTTTAATCTCAATTTCAGTGGTCTCTGTTCAGCATGCGGGAATGATTGAGACGTTCAGACTCTCATATAACGTTATATAACGCGATTGATCCTATCGATACCAATGAAATCCACCACTCGCGTTGCCTTTTGTGGTGGTTTTATCGTTCCTGCATTTCATTTCCCATTTCTTCCATTGCCGACACAGTCTCCCCTGTCAGCTTATGTAATCAACATCCATCAAAAAGCCTTGTTACATTTTAAGTGACAACGCACAAGGAAACAATTCTAGCTAGCGTCGCGTCTACCAGGAATCTCCAAAACTAAATACCGGGTATCGTTCCTCAAATCCTCATGCGACGATGGATTCTGCATCGGTAGCGTTACAAACACTACTTGGCTGCCTGCGAGAGCATGGCGCTCTACTTACTCGCGCCGATGTCGAATGGGCGTTTAATTCCGAAAAGAACGTGAAGCAGATCGAGGGGTTTATTCGGCGGTTTTTGGGGAAGGATACGTTGTTGAGTTTGGAAGAAAAGGAAATGTATGTATTTTTTTTTCTTCTCCTTTTTATTTCTGCTAATTGGGCACTAAAGGGGATATTGGCTGATTTGTGATTTTTATGTTTCTGAGGGAAAAACAGATATGATGGCCTTAAATCTACGGATTTGTTGTCATCTACTGTCCCCCCCTTAAGTTCGAGAGCCGCAGACGGTGGGGAGGTTGAGAAAGAGCTTAGAGCCTTAGAATTCCAGAATGAGGTTCTTAGACGGGATATTAGCCGTCTGAGTGAGCTTAAGTCTGGACATCAAGCGAAATTAAAGACCGAGGCGGCATACCAAACAGATTTACTTCAGAGTAGAGAACATCTTCAACGTTCCTATGCATCTGAGAGAGATCAAAATGCTGCTGCTGTATGTTCTCCCCCCGCCCATTCTTTTTCGTTACTAAGTTAAATTGCTAAAATTTAAAATGGGAATACAGATAGACGATCTAGAATCCAATTTCCGCGCTAGTATCTCAGACCTTCAAGGCGCATCCGGGAAACTCGATTTCACGATGTCTGCTATGTCAGAGATCACGCGTAATGACGATAGGTTACTCGCTAGGTTGCAAAGTATTATCTCTGATATCCTCCTCGCTAGTGAGAGGAGTGGCGATGAGGTGATGTCTACTGCGACGGAGTATGCGGAGATGCTGGCTACGCTTGAAGAGCAGATTATAAAAACTAGGGTTGATAGAACTTTTTTGGATTATGTGGCTTCTTACTCCGAAGGGAAACAGAATGAGATGGAAGGGGCGCCATATATTGATCGTGAAGAGTTTGATGAATTGATCGTGGAGGTAGCAGAGGTGGCGGGGATGAGAGCTAAGGAAGGGCTGTTGGAGCCGATTTTGGAACATTTGGTTGCGGAGGGGAAGGGTAGAAAGGGTAGTATGGCGGTTCGGTGCGCCTATGTAAGTTCTCAAAAAGGGGGATTTTGATATGGTGTTTGGAGACTGGTAATGCTAATCGTATCTCTTGTGAGGAAAGATCTTGAATACATTATCTATTCTGGATGCGAGGAATAGAGAAGCTGAAGCAGAGATTTCAGTTAGGAATAACATGCAGTACGTATCCGGACGGATGCAAACACTATTCGAACTATCGATGAGAGATTTCCACGAAGCAGTACAAGCCTATCATCGAAATATTTCATCTCAAGCAAAGACATTACCACTACCCCAACCGCAGCAACCATCGGCCATGGACGAAAAACTAGCATACTTGGAAAGCAAGATATGGAGGTCTATGGGTATCGCTTCGCTAAATCCTGAGGAAGGGTTGGCGAAGGCGATCGAAGGACGCACGACGAAGTTACAGTCGAAAGAGGACCTGTATAAGCAGCTTTGGGAGGCACATTTGAAATATCTGCAAGAAGGGGAGGGAGTTGTGAGCGGTCTTGGGAACTGTGTGGGTGAAGGGGAAGGTGCCGGTGGTGGAAGGTTGGGGGCGGTTGAAGATAGGGTGAAGGGTATTAGTGCTGAAGTTGGACAGATTGCGATGAAGGCTAACGGGAGGGATATGGCAAAGGCGGCAGTTATAAATGGGTTAAAAGAAAAGGAAATGTATGGGGCTTGATGACTTTAAAGCGGTTCTACGATGAGACAGGGTATGATATGGGCTATATGGTAAAATAACGACATAACTCGCAGTCAAAGTTTTGCGACTGGCTGAGCGGGATATATTTGCAAGAACGTATTTATATTACATTAGATTATTAGAAATTTAGCGAAATAACTAGCGACAATGAATGAATTCAAGCGTCTAAGCAAGCAGCCATCCACGATTTCCAGCCGTCGATATTACCACTCTTGACACTTCCGCTCTGGATGGATATTTCCACGCCAAATTCTTTGAGGCCCTCCCAAGTGATTTGGTCGGAGGCTTCATCACCAAGAACTAAATCTAGATCTTCGTCATCATTCTCTCCGGCTCCAGCACCTAAAAGTCCCTTTCTCTTAGTTTCTTTCATCCTACTTAATTCCGTCTGGAGCAAATTGCTAATCTTAGTTGACGGAAGAGCCGTAAACAGATCGTTTTTATTGCAGGCGATTAACAACGGAATAGGTTCCGTGGAGGTGTTAGACTCGGATAAAACCGCATATCTTTTTTGGATAGCTAGGAGAAGTTCATAGAGGTATTCCGTGGTATCCGTAATCCGTGCCTGAGTGGATAGAACCGCAGAGTCGAGGACATAAACTACTCCCATGCATGATTCGGTAGGTTGGATGATTGTGTTTATAGCCGTAGAACGGAGCTTCGGGTGACCTGGCGTGTCTTTTAGGTGGAACGGTTTCGTGGAGCCATCATCTTCGGAGCCGGCGGGCGAGAGGGCTGATGGGGGAAGTTTTACTATCGCTGGGGTAGTGGAGGTTTGAGTCGGGATGAGAGTTTTCTCTTGGAGCTGTTGGGCATGTTAGCTTTGAAATTCTAAGTTATCGAGGCAATGGCAGTAGATAGGAGATATATATAGAGAGAGACGAACGTATAAAAGAAGGCTGGTTTTTCCGGCATCTCGAGGGCCGGCGAGAAGGATGACGGATGAGGGACCAGTTTTTGAGCCTGATGTGAGAAGTTTGCCCAAAATGATTGGGATTATGACGACAGCTAAGAGGGAGATGATGAGGATGGGAAGGGATACTGGGAACCCCAGGATTTCGAACGTCGGAAGAGTAGACATAGTTAAAAAGATCTCTAAAGAAAGTCGCTGGCGACTCTGACTTTGAAGTCTTTGGTGGGACGTTGACGATAGTGGTTTTATAGTAGAAACATGGTCGTGTGTTGGGGGTTAGCGGTGGTTAAGCGTTTGTTGACAAGCCAGCTTGGACAAGGACACTTTGACGGAATTGGAGCTAAGCTAAGAAAGCGCCACAGTTACCCGTTTATTCGCATTGGAAGCTACCAGAGCTATGACTACCCCAGCCCATGCCAGTATGTAAGTTCCCAGGTATGTACCAGGCCCACCCATCCAAGAATACAAATTGATTCGGTAATTTGTATATATAACACGGCATTGTGCTCTCCGAAGATACATCAAAGTTAATGTTAATTGTGTTTAGCAGTATCGATTTACAATCAGAAGGGCATGGGGGGCAGAGTGAATTCATCAAGGCAAGCATGTTATTTTAGTTATGTCGGTTACGTTATAATTACTTGTCTATTCAGGACCAGTGTTCAAATATACATTTTTGAGGATCGAAAAGACAGAAAAGAGAAATGAGAAAAGCCTAGAAAGCCCGATCCCTATGCATATGACTTGAAACGAGGCCAGGGGGGTTATTTCATCTGATGTTTGGAGCTTGTTCCCCCAAAGCTAAAGCCCTGTTCAACGACTCTCTGTCAACTGCTGTTAATAATATTCCTAACTTGAAATAGTAAATCCAAGTAAGTACCTAGGCAGCTATAACATCACACCATGTTAGTCGTGTTATCCTGGATAACATTTTGTTCGCATCCCACGGTTTTGTGACTACAAGGAAGTTGCATTGGCGGCGGATTTTAGGATCTAACTTTATTCTATCACTGCATCAGGCTCATCGAGTGTATACGTGAGCGGGTCCGGTAGCATATCAACGTCATCCAGATTAATCATCCCCAAAGAATGAAAAAAACCAGCAGCATCCATAAAGAACAGGACATCAAGTCCTCTTCGTCTCTCGCACAGCAGCAGCTACTCTCCTAACTTCTATCAATTTCCTGAATACCTGCAAGCGGTAACATAAAGCCTCCCACATCATGTAAACCTTATATTTGCTGTAACGACACGTCCCGCCAAATTTAGAGCACGTCAAGAGTTTGAGTCCGAACTTGATTTCAACTTTATAAATTTACTGGCTGTTAAAGTTATAACGTTATTCCACGTAGAATTTTGGAAAAGGATTTCTTCCATGTCGTTAACTGGATCTTTGTTAAAACTCATTCGTGAAGGCGTGTAATACCTCACTCGTGATACACCTTGGCTATCGAAAACTTCCTTGGCGGGGTCTAGAGCGAGAGGCACGATTTTTGAAGTTTGAGAATCCCAGCCTCGGTAAATTAAATGGCATTTCGGTCTATTTGAATCATCGAATAAAGGTTTCTGCTACGGATTGAGAGCTCGCGATCGATTGTGTGCTTGGTTCAGACCCATTAGATAACTACTTAAGTAGGTACTGAGTGTATGTATACTAACTATAAGTAATAGGTAAGTATATACTTAAGTACTTATATATATATTACATCGCCGAATTCTATCTAATTTCTTACCTAGACGTCTAGACACCTACGAATTCTCACTAAAACGGGGCGTATATATATAATATGTAGAGTTGTATTTAACATTAAGTATATAATTAAGTCTACTGATATTGCGAAGTAATCGTCAGCTAAGGCGGGAAGATCTCGAGAGGTGCCATAAACTTATTCAGATATATAGGTACTTAGACATCTAGCAACCAAGGATTATCGATATCAGCGATCGGCTTTCGAGGCGAATCGAATTACGTGAATTATAAAGCTATCTAACAGTTATTTTAATGCAAACCGTCGTCGACGTCGAGACACCCATAAATTTAAACTTGTTAATTTTGAGGCTTCTGAACGATGTGTTGTTGTTGTGAGGTTTGTACAAGAAGCAAATTTACAGAGCAAAGCGAAGTTCCAGGTTTTAATTGGGACTTGCCAGTCTGATTCGTCGACAGGCATCTGCTCTAGATCTAGCTTCGGAACAATCTCCAGATGAGTTTGGAATACTCCAAGAATGCCCCGGGGTTGTTGGCCAGGTACCTACTAAGTACTTACATGCGCATCTCTCCCGACTCGGTACTCAGGTACACAGGTACACAGCACACTTTGGTGGAAAGCCGGATTGGGAGATCGGACGACATGGAGAGTTCAAATTATACGATATGGTATGATAGCTAGTATAATCCGACGGTAGATCCGACGGGTGCGCGACCTGCAGCTCCACGGATAATTTACGAGTTTGAAGTATATACGACGGGAAAGCACATGTCAAATTATCATGCCTCTGTCTTGGTAGCGTTAGTAACAAGTATGTATGTACGTGTAATGTAATGCCAACAACGATATGAGTACTTATGTAAGTACCTGGTTAAACGAGGTATCCCCGGTCGGTCACCATTGCGAGCTTAAGCTCGAGTTTCTGGATCCTGCGTGTGCACCGCCTGTCTGCCTGTCTGACTTCCGTGTGCGCCTGGGAGCTAGTGGAACCAGTTAAGCTCCGTTAGACTCATCGAGAAGAAATAAAGTAACTATAATGGTATATACGGAGGTCTTGGCTGGTTGCTCTTTTGTATGAACCTCCATTTGTACTTATAAAATATTGATCTGAATCATATTATATTATATCGGTCGGTGACAGTCATGGTCACCAAAGCAATTCAGCTGTCGACTACTACTCTGGTTACTAGATGAAGCTATAGTTACTTACTTTATAGCATCGCTACCTAGGTACCTAGGGAAATACACCTTTTGGCAGGACAGCACAGCTCATGAGTCGGTTGCAATACATACGGTAATGACTGATCGATGCCTCATGGCTTGTCCGGCGAGCTAATTAATTGTCCAGCGAGAGAGGTTTGTCCTTTTCCCATTCTCCCTCTCTCTGCTCCTCTTCTCTCTGTTTTCCAATAATCAGCCAGTCAGTCGCGTTCATTTGCACCAAAGGCCTCGCCTGCTAACCATCCCAGTAATAGAATAGTAGCTCACCCACCAGTGCACCACCAGTGCACCACCACCACCACCACCACTTCCACCCGCCTATCCATCCACCCCATCCACTCTCATCCACCTACTTACTTAAGTACTTACTTACTTAAGTACTTACTTAATAACCTCTTACTGGAGTAATTAAGTACTTACTTACATACTTACTTACTTCTTAGTACTTACAAGCTGGGCACTACCCATCATCATACAGAGACCAGTAAACACCATCCCACCGCAACCAACGGATAACTGCCTTTCGGCATCTCCAGGGAATAAAAAAAAGGTTTCCGTCTTTCCTTGACTGCTGTTACTTCCCGTCCGATAGCATTCCTTACCCACTTACCTATCTTACCTTACCTATTCACTCTTCGAAAACGGGCTGCCGCAGCTCGATCAGCTAGTAGCGTTGTGGGGAATATAGCAAGCAAGCCCGGACGTGCAGCTGTGGTTTCTTTTCGCTGTCAACACACTTTTCCGGAGCCTCGTCTGTCTCGTCCTGTCCCTCCACATCCCACGCTCCTCCAATCCACCTCCAAAAATTATCCTTCTTTCCCTCCCATCCTCCTCAACCACAGACTCTCTCTCATCAACTTCCACGTCGCTTATAGCTATACCATCCCGTCCGCTCTTTCATCCCTAGATCTCACTTCGCGACTAATCTTTCTCTGTCTTTCTCCAGTAGAAAAAAAATCTCCCCCCTACGTCATCTCCCACCTTTTCGCTATCGATAGTCAGCCAGTTAGTTAGTTACTATTAGTTAGCTCTCTTTTCTCTCTTTTCTCTTTCGCACCTCAGAACGTTTTCAAAGGGTCACCACCCTTCAACAATCGCCTGAATCCCGTCGCAAATCTCCCAAAGTTAATTGTATGGAAGGAAATGGACAAAACATCCACCTTGGAATGGCAATCGAGAACCAGGCACCGACGGGACAGCTGAGTTCACCATCTCCAACTTCTGCGACTTCATCGAACACTATCAACATGAACCAAACGGCAATCAACGGAACCCATTTCGACGGGCTTAATAATCCCACCCCCCCACGTCGCCCATCCTACGAATCCGACGACGAGTCCGACCCGGCGAGACCTAGAAAACGCCCTGCAACGTTAGCCACAGTCGAGCTTCTTAGTGCTGAGTGCATGGCTGCTGAAGCGAACAACTTGAGAGAGGACGTAAATATGGCCAACAGTTCACCTACCGTTCCCAACGATACTTCATCCGAAGACACAATGGCCGGCGACGAAATCGAAGAACAACAACAACAAGGTGTGGTTGTTGTTGTAAATACGAGGACGGAAACATCCACAGCTGCAAACGAGTGCGAAAATACAATCGACCCAGACTTACAAGCCGTTCCTAAATCTGACGGTACACATCCATCGCCGGACTCTGAGGATTCCTCACCGACAGCAGGTGGCTCGGATGCCACCGAGGAGGAGTCTTATAAAAATAAAAATTATGTCATATCGAAAGAAAGAGAAGGTCAGAGGGAGCGACGAGAGGTCGTCCATATTTTAGATGACGAAGATGAGGAGATTGACAGTAACATGAATCAGGTAAGTGGCGCTCCTGGCAACTACAGGGAACGGGGCTTTCCAAATTACAGCTTTGCTAATATAACAAAGGCTCCTGAATTTGAGCCCTTTGCGACAGAAATCCTTCCACAGCTGCAACCTCGTACACCTACAGATGCTGCGGGTAGAGCCTTCTTTATTCCTATGTATACAAAAGTTGGCCAGGGTAAGCTGCTCATCCCTTTGGGTTTCCTTATCACAGACCTGTGATTTCGTTCGACCTCTCATACTAATCCTTGATTGATCAGATTTGCAAACCGCACTCGTCGCATTTAGAGAACTTCTCCCATGCATTAGCCTGATAGCAGACTCAGTTAGCGATAACTTTGGGCAAGCATATAATGAAGGGTCCCATGCATGGAAATATGCAGGGCATGTCATGAACAATGCTATGAAAAGAGGGTAATGAGTGCACATCGGTAGTGTTATGGTTAGGCCGTTTTGCTAATCTCTCGACCCTTCTAGTCCGCACCTCGGGATTGCATTCTCAAATCAACCTCTACGAGCTCAACAGATGACCGCCTCGAAAGGAATGTTCCAAACTCTCAAGGCCTTTTTCAAGCTTTGTTTGAGAGTAGTTCAACATGACATAGACAGAATACAGTCCAAAACCCCTCTCCCATACAGGCCGTGCTCGTTGACATATCTTGGCCCCGCCGCAGACCTTTGTCGCCTGCAGCCTTTGGCACTACCCCAACACTACACCGAAGCTTCTCAGGTCATAGCTACTGAGTTTTGGTTTGGCATCATCGATTTGGCTTTAGATGAGAATTATGGATTTGGGCGTTACGGGACATATCTCGACTTAGCGCTAGAGCGATTATCAAAACAACCAGATTTGATAGATCATGTCAAGCAGCTCTTCAGATTACCGACCGCAGTGCTTAAGATGACTGTGGAGATGAACACCTTTGGTGACCCATTCTCGGAAGAGAAAGCTCGGGCCGCCAGGGCCAAAATTAGCAGGCATACATACAATATGAGCCTAATTACGCAAAAGAAGCTAAAAGAATTCATCGGCGACAATTTTTTGGAATCTAGAGAGGATTTCAACTCTCTTGTCGAATATGCTGCTCATCTGCTCAACGAAAGTGTCGCCGTCAATCCAGCTCTCATTGATGATAACTCTGAATTTCGACTAGCTGTTGACTTTGCTTCTTTCCCGCCCGAATACTATGCTTTAATATCGGATGCCTGTTTACGAATGACGATTTACGATCTTGCACTTCGCAAATGCAAGAAGCTAGAGATTAGGCTTCATGCATTAACGACTATTTGTAACGAACTGTTAGAGGTTTGGAAAAAGCGGGCCATGAAGCGGGAAGACCCGCTCCTTCAGTAAGCTGTACCAACTCTCTGTTGTATCGTTGGGATTTGTTAACAAGGGTGCGATAGATGCATATCTCGCTTCATTAAAAACTCGGGACTAGTTGAATACATACTCGGTCCCCACTCACATTTCCAACTTATCCAGAAAGCCGCAAATGTGGTTGGTTTCTTGATAGTCATGGGCGACTTTGATCGACACTTTGTGGAAGTAGTATGGCAACCAATACTGGTTGTCAAAGACCAACGGGAAACCCATGCAACAATTTCCCTACTTCAGGAGCTGTGCCATAATATGACACTTGGCAATCACTATGACTCGTGCACTGCGCTATGCCGAGCTCCGACCAATGCATGGGATGAACCGCTGATGTCCTACTTTGACCGAGTTATCGCCGAAGTCAAGCGGCATGGCCAACAGAACGCTGTTGTGAGTAACTGTATTGACGTAGCTGGTACTGATGGGAAATGACAGCTGACTCCCCGCTTTCCCCTCACTTAGAATTTGGAACTTCCTCCGTATAAGCTTATTATTCAGCTCCTAACGCAGTCTTTTGATATCTTGGTTTCTGACCCCGGTGCTGCCTTCACCAATTTTCTAGCGGCAAAGTTCGATTGGCTGTATGGTCAACTCGGAGACCTGCTGTTATACGGTCCTCAAATCGAGGAAAAGAAGGAGTTGATTACTAAGTGCATCGAGGAGATTGAGAAGGCTACTAGCTATAAGGCTACAAACCTATATATATTAAACGCTGTTTTAGAGAGCTTCCGTAGGTTCTTATCGCTCTGACGATATCTGCAATGCGTTACTGATCACTAGTCAATTAGCTTCTCACACCGCCCGCCTCGAAGATGGGTCGACCGTATCGATCGCCCAAGAAATCGCTGATATTGACCTTGTCGGTCTTCTTGTTAGGCAAACGGTCCTCTGTGTCGAAGGCCAGGTCAACTTTGAAAATCTCTACCAAGACTTGCATCCAATATTCAAGCTCCTGCGACTCGCCATGCTCCATACTCCCGAGTTGATACAAGACCATCAGGGTTCGCAGCTTTGGCTAGTTCTTTGCGGCGAAGGCTCTCGTGATCCCCGTGTCCGGAACTGTTCATTTGGATTCTTCAGCGATTTTCTTTCTCAGCCTACTAGCTTAGAGGCAGCAGAGGTAGTAAAATATTTTCCCTAGTATTCCGTTATGGGCCCTCGCTAACAGTGACAACAGACGAATACTTTCATGCGCGCGATATTTAGGGATTATTTCCCCGCCTTACAGCCGTGCCTTTTCGTTCCATCATGTTTAGAGTTTTGCAAAAACGCTGTTCTGTATTTCAACCAAGGCCTAGACGTACGTTGGATCCTCTGAAAATAAAATTAAAAATTAGCCGAGATCACTGCTAATAGAGGAGTTTATAGATCAATGAGGACTTCGAGTTCTTAAAAATCGATGGGATTAACCAAGTGTGGCGGATAATCACAACAGCTCCGCAAGATGACGTTGCAATTGAAGCAATTAACTATTTGGTCAACTTTTTTGCAGATGTGAGTTCCTTTGCCGCCATGCTCTCCGCGGTGCTAAGCTGATGTATCTTTTAGTATCGCACAAACTATGCCGGTAATAATCTACTAACGAAGGTTAATTGCGACCTTGTCAACCATTCTATCAAAGAGCTGTGTGAGGCAGCATCATTTCTAGGAGAGAGTGGACCGGAATCTTCTGTTCCTGAAGGCTCAGCTGCATTGAAGTTTCGGCGGTCTCTCGTTGTGCTTCAGAATCTCCTAGAAAGCACGCCTGCCAATTCCAACATCACACAGAAACCTGAGAGTTTTGAGTATCCGGGGTTAGATGATGAGATTTGTGAGACTCTTACCATTCAGTTCCAAGGTCATGCTCCGAAGTATAACGGCTCGGTTAGTATTTCTTCCCGCATTGAAACTATCCTAGCCCACTAATTCGGAATACTAGAAATGCGAAATCACGGTTCCTGCCACTTTGACGGGGAAAGAGTTCTATAATCATCTAGGGCTCATCACAGGCTTCCAAGCCTACAGATTGATTTATGCAGGAAAAGAACTATTTTGGACCGAAACAGAAAGCACGTTGTCGGAGCTCCATGTTCCAAACAGGTGCTCGATGATGCTGCACAGTCGGACGACGCCAATTAATTTGTCGGGTCTGACGACGAATGAGGCCGTACGAACAGAGGTTCAGAAGCACTTTGCAGATCTTCATCAGCTCTTAACACTGCCGGACGATTATAGCGGGAAGGTATGGTCGACTACTTTTCTAGTATATAATCAAGCTGACATTGTTATAGATTTGGCGTCTCGTTGGCCGGTTTAATCCCCCAATTGATAGGTATCCTGAGACGAAGGAGAGCCTCTTGGCATCCCCGATTGAGTCCGCCACACACCATCCCTTCAAGCTGCTCTATGATCTTGCCATAATCAGAACCGTAGTCGAACATGCTACCGTTGGATTGCTGGACTCTGTAGAAGTGTATGCTCTATCGGAATGGGTGGCTAAAACTTTGCTATCTTTTGATGTTCCTGGCATCCGAGCCTCGCAATCTCATACCGAAGTCGTTATAGCACTCTTAGACTGTCTCTACCCTTTGATATCTCGTAAGTTTGGTTCCTTCAACTACAGCTTAAAGCCGCTTGTTAACAAATCATAGATGCCTCTGGAACAATTTCTTCTCCGGGAGCTGCTTACGATGCTCCAATTCTGATATCATTCTTGCTTTCACTGCTGAATGAGTTTCAGGGACTAATTACGTCTGAGGCTGGGAAGGTTGGCGTTAAGGCATTTAGATCAGTCCTCTCGCTTGCTATCCAGAATCCCAATGGGCTTGAAATAATCCTGGATAATGGCCAATTCCCCGCTTCTCTCAAATCATTCTTGCTGGAAGATATCCGCGAGGATCTGCGGAAGGATATTTGTGCCGCTGTCACCAATGCTAGCCATGATGCCTTTGTCGCAATTCCCGCGGGCCAGGACTCAACTGAAGGCATATCCACAGAGGCTGTCAAAGTCGCCTTGTACATTTGGAAGAGTCTCTACAACCTCATTCCACATACATTGAACGCCGTATCCCAGAGCCTCGAAACTTTCCACGCCACCCAAGAGGTTTTCGTCTTGATATCTAGTTACGAACAATTTGACACGCCGATCCCTAAATTCTTTTCGGACTGGTGCGATTTGCTCCTGGAACATAGTTGTCAGGAATCCATCGATGTTCTTCTTCAAGATAACGTCATATTCGGACTTTCAAGTCTTTTGACCGCTTGTATCAAGATTTCGGATAATGGTTATGATTCTTCGTGGACAACTAAACCGTGAGTGCTTATGGTCACCTCCCCCACAAAGTTTTTAAACATTACTGACACATTCCATGTATAGTCAACTAGGGATACTTCTTCAAGAGCGTTTCTTATTCCCACAACTTACTAGTGAAAGGGATGAGGAGGCAATGGATCTAGGCGACGCGAATACGGCCATTGTTTTGACAACTGAATCACGTAGTCTTCTAAACCAGTTATCGACGATGGTACTACAAACCCCCGAAGATATGGATGCGCTAGTCAGGTTTCTTAAGGAAATTCTCACCGAAGGTATGACCTCATCCCCATTTACTTCATACCCCTATCATGTTACTGAAATCAACATCACCTAGCTGCGCCTGGGCTCCCGACAATGTTCAGCGTCGATCGCAGCCGATGGCTTCGCTCCGAAGCTGGGCACGTAGGGCTAAAGAATTTGTCGAACACCTGCTATCTCAACTCGCTGTTGACACAACTTTTCATGAACCTCCCATTTCGAGAATTTATCCTGAATGCGGATTCTAACTCAGAGACTTTCAACCCACTCGAAACTCTCAAAACGATTTTTGCGAACCTCCAGAATTCATGGCAGAGAGCTTTCGAACCCAAGGATTTCGTTGCTACGATTCGTGATTATGATGGAGAGCTCATTGACGTTGGCATTCAGATGGACGTGGAGGAGTTTTATAACCTTCTTTGCGACAGAATCGAAAGTCAAATCGACTCCCCGGATTCTAAAAAAGACTTTCGAGGTTTCTTCGGTGGCACGTTTGTTCAACAGGTTAAATCAATGGAGTGCGAGCACGTTTCGGAACGAGAGGAGTCGTTTTCCGCAATTCAATGCGATATCAAGGGAAAGAAAAACCTTCAGGAATCCTTAAAGGCTTTTGTTGAAGGCGAAACCTTAAATGGCGGTAAGTAGCTTCTTCCTTTTGATATTAGTTGAGCCAAGCTGATACTAGTAATATAGACAATAAATACTCCTGTACGAATTGCAATAAGCACGTTGATGCTGTTAAAAGGTAAAAAACCCAGAGAAACATGCTTGATTCTCCAGTTTCCTTTTTTCTTCGTTGTAGCTAACATCTTGGTTAGAACATGCCTCAAACAGATCCCAAATCAAGTCATCTTCCATCTCAAAAGATTTGAATTTGACTTGAGGACAATGAATCGAAGCAAGATCAATGATGTTTTCGAATTCCCTACTAGAATCGACCTGCACCCATTTTCGATAGAAGCGATCAATGGTACACAGCAAGGAGATGCTATAAAGGATGAATTCGAATTAGTCGGCGTTCTTGTTCATAGTGGCACTGCGGAAACTGGACATTACTATTCCTACATCAAGGACAGAGAGGGCAAGACTATCGAAGGGGTACCTATGTGGTTCGAATTTAACGACGCTGATGTGTCCTTATTCGATCCTTCTACTATCCCGTACAACTGTTTTGGGGGTACTGATACAATACCATCTAAGGACGGACTGCTTCCACACTCTTTCATGAAGCCATATAGTGCCTATATGCTTTTCTATGAGCGTATAGCGTCACAACCCCAGCAACCCCGTGCGCCGATAGAAGTTGAGCCTGAACTTTATAAGAACATCTTCGAGGAGAACGAGAACGCCTTGCGACGGTACTGCTTGTTTGATACATGTCACCTGGACTTTGTTTCTGGGCTTATGCACCGCCTACAGGAGCTCAATGGTGGATGTTGCACTGAAGAGCATGACCTTGAGGATAATACGTTGCAGCTAATGCTTGATATATTCAGTCAAATCGCCATCAAGATAAAGGATTGTGAGCAAACTATCGACTTCCTTTCGGCACTGGGAGAAACCATCAAAGGATGCAGTCTCTGCTGTAAGGGTTTACTCTATTGGCTAGAGATTCATCCTGAATATCTCAAAAACACACTCCTCAAATGTGGTACCCCAAGAGTTCGACAGGAATTCGGGAATCTTATCATATTTGCTGCTCAGAATGTCGATAACGGAGGGCCTAAACAGCTCGAGTTTTTCGATTCGATGACCCATGAGTGTAACGAATATTTCGAGGTACTATGCTACCACATGAGGGCATGGGACGACTACTTCGGCTTCCTTAGGAACGTTGCCGAATTGTCGACCGAGATCGCTGTCCAATTCATCAATGCTGGATTCTTGCAAAGATCCCTTGAAATTTTCATGATTGAGTTCCTTCCAAGGGCTACTAAAATGAAATATGGCGCTCTTGCTAGGTTTGTTGATAAGGGTCGGAAGATGCTTCATTCTGGGCTTCTTGAGTTCATTGCTGCTCTCCTAGAGGTTTGCGATCTTCACAACGTGATCGGCGATGGTGATGAAGATGAAGAGGATGACGCCAATCGGGAATATCATGAAGGCTATGGTGTACCTATCAGTCGTATCGAACTAACTACTCTTAGGCATTGCACTAAGAAGAATGGCCTTTATATTCTCTACAAGTCTCTGGACATCACAGCCAGCATCAAAGCGATCAACAAGATTCTGAAAAAGCTGGTTTCCTGCGACCCACAGTTGGCGTTGCTGCCTGATATCGCTAGGGCTCTTCATGCGACAGTCGCTGTCGACCCGGCACATCTTGCCGAGCCCTCATTGCAAGCCATTATCGTGTTCTTAGAGAATGTGAAGCAGGCCGCTGAGGTCCGAGATATGGTTCGACGAATCGCGATGGAGGTCAAAACTATCGGGGCACATGGCGGGGTTGAACACTTGAGCTTCTTCAAGACAGCTTTTGTGACCCGCAATCCGAACTTCAGCCCTGCTTTTATCCCCAACCAGGTCACAGAAAACGCGAAAATTTGGGCACCTCCTTTGCTGACCTACCATGACGAAGCAGTCCGATCTGCGACCCAAGACTTCTTGCTGCGAAATTTTGTGGGCGACATTCCGAACCAAAGCGAGAAAGTGCGAAGTAATCAGAAAGAGTTGCTACGAGATTTTACCGCCCATGCTATCGCTTGGGTTGATGCGAAATTTGCGAAGACTCGACCTCAGATGATACGGGATGAAACCCGACTTGCGAATATTCTACAAATATTAGGGTCTTGTTGCGAAGGCATGGATGATATGGATGAAGATGTAGAACTTAGACTCAAAGTCGAAAGTAAGTTCGGGACCTCAACGTACGATAACACGAGCTGCTTTACTTAACTAACATCATACGTCCAGATATCAGGAATAGCGTCGATCGACTAGTTGTATTAGAAGAGGATGAGCCAAGTGGTATGTCTAGCGAAGCCTACAACGTTAGTAACAACGGTTTTGAATTGGCTTCGCTAACTTCCATTGACACAGATCTCGCCAACTCTGACAGTGCTAGTCTCACACAGGAGATTGACCTCCTTGATAATGACTATAGTAGTAACTGATAGGGTCTTAAGAACTTTTCATTTTCATTCCCTCTCTTTGCTTTCTATAATTTCTAGTTTCTCTTAATCCTTCACCCGGATGATTTGGAGAATGGTTCCTTTTATTTTTCTCTTTACTTTTCCTTTCCTGATTTCAGTATGGTTGAGCTGGCTTCTTTCATGAGCTTTGATGGATTGAGATAATACGCCACTGCTACGAGCGCTATCACTATGGCTGTTACTATTGAATAGATGGCATTGCATTGTAGCTGGAGGGCACACTGCATGGATATGTTATATTAAACCATTGCCTTTTTTCCGCTTTTTTTTCACCCTCTTCACATTCGGTCTTTTTTATCGCGTGTAACAGGGGTTCATTTTTTTAGAAGGCATACGGGATCTGTCAAAATCGGGGGCCATGGTTGGCCATCTCCTTCATTTCCACGTGCATTGTTTTCCTCGTTCTACAGTCATGATTAGCGTTTTTTTTTTCCAAAGTTTTTCTGTGTCGGATATATACGGTTCATTGCAAGTTTTTGCAATTTTAACTGATGAAAATTCGAAATTGATTTGATGCAGGAGTCCTTTTTTTTTCCCTTCCTCTTTTTCTCATTTTTGTTATTTCAGTTTTTAGTATATTTTTTCTCTCAGGCTCAAATGGTATCTACTATAAAAGGGAGAGTTTTAACGTACATATTTCTCTCCCTCTCTCTCTCTTCTTTTTTTTTCCAGATTCACGTATGAATTATTGTATTCACGGGTTTATCATACATATCTGCTTAACTAGGCGCTATGTTTTGGAATTAATAGATCGATCGATTTGTTCAAGTAGATTTTGTGGATTATACATTTTCTCTCTCTCTCTCTCTCTCTTCTAGACCAGTCTATGGTTATAGCTACTACTATACAATTGTGATAGACTCCATGACAAGGTAAACTCTCTGACTTGAGTCTATTATATAATACAAAAAGGTTCCAAAATGAGATACCTTGACTTTTTTTTTTTCAAAAATAAATAATCAAATAAATAAACACCTAGGCGAGTATAGTTGGATAATTCGTTCTATCATTTATAGGGTGGTTTAATGAAGGAATGATATTTTAACTATCCACGTTATCTTCATCCTCAGATTCTATCAGAGCAGTTAGTTGCTCATCTTTGGACTGTTTTTTGTTACTTTGGCCTTGGGTTTTGCGAAGATGAACCTCCTGGACGGATTTCATGCCCTTGGAGGTTAGATATTCGAATTCTGGAGTTTCAAAGTTGTCTATGAAGGAGAGGAAGGCGTTGAAACTGGTGGAGATATATGTCAGTTAAGAAAGTCAAAACAAGAAATAACAAGATAAAAAGAAAAGAAAAGAAAAGAAAGAAAAGAACTTACGTATTCATCTTCTGTTCCTCCATGAAGAGTTTATCGTAGATATTCTTCTGTTTGAATTCTTGAATCTTTTCTTTATGAGCTTCGAAAGAAAGATGGCTTCTATTACATTGATCTGCCTTCTTGTTGTAGGTTTCAAACAGCGGATGGTCGAGTAGTAATCCCAACGCCGGGGCCTTGGGAATAGGTATGACCAGTCTTCCGTAGGCCTCTGTAATCCTTTCGATTGGACATCCATATCTTATCGTCAACATGACCATTCCGACCATCTTTCTGATCTGATGCATCATGAACGATTGGCCATGGACCTTGAGACTAAGCCATTCGGAATCATCGATTATGATTGGGTCGCTGACTTTGAAGGTTTTGATATACCTCTTAGCACTGGCGTCTCTGAATGTCTTTTGGATTGTGAAGTTGTGGAAACTGTGGTTTCCTTCGTAGAGTTCGAAGGCTTTTCGGATGCGTTCTAGACGGGCAGAAGGGATTCTGAAGGAACGTTTTGAGCGGGCGATTATTTGTTTTTGGATTTTGCGGGCGGTGGAGAGGGCTTTTGAGTATTTGTGTGCAGCGGCGGATGTGGAGGTTTCTTGTTCTTGCTCTTGTTCAGCTGTGGAGGAGGTCGGTTCATCTGGGGTGATGTCCATCGGGGTGAGTTCTACCACACCGCCATCTTCGAGTTCTACTACTGATGTTTCTCGTTTTTCAGAAGTATTAGAGGATTTTATGTCTGTTATTTCGTTTACGAGGTTTTGTAGTTGTTCTTCCGCGTCCTCGGCCTTGGAGTTCAAGACCTGTTGGATTACTTCTTCCGAGAAACCCTGTTTCTCGAGTTCGGCCTTGACTTCATCGGCGACCTTCTGCCAGAATCCCAGAGAATCTTCATATCTTTCCCTCCATGCTTCCAAATCGTTTTCTTCCTCCGCTACCTTCGCGACTCGTTTAGACATATAGCTTGTCGGATGCGGGGGTAGGAAACAGTATGTAGGGACGAGGTATTCGTATACCCTAGAATCGCAGAATTGATAACACGAGAATCCATTTGTAGTGGGGATTATATCCCAGACTCTAATTTGAGGGACCAATTGGGCGTTTATGTCTTCTATAACGGTGGGGGATTCGATGATTAGTTTTAGAGAGATGACGTTTCCGGCTGCGTGGACGCCTTTGTCGGTTCTAGCGCAACGGACTAGAGAGGACTTTTTGGGGTCGTCGGAGTTGGCTTTTGAGATTGCGCCGGCGGCTACGAAGGCGGCGAAGAGGTCGCCTTCTATTGTTTTTGTAGGTGGATTTCTGTTTTTTTGCATTTGAATTGTTAGAGAGTGTGGGATTGTGAAGGTGGGATGGTGGGGGTGGTACTACATACAATTGCATGCCTTTATATCCAGTACCGCAATATCCGATCAAAACAGCGACTTTTTTCTTCGGTCTTCTTTCCTCTTTCTCTTCACCTTCGGCCAATTCTTTCCCCAGTCTTGGACCTTCTTCAATTGGTCTTCTAGAACCTTTTTTCCATTTACTCTTTTTGTCTTTTCCGTCCTCTAGAGCTGGATCGACGCCTGTCCTGTCTTTTATAGCTTTCCGTTCCTTCCAGTCTTGTTTCATGGTTCGACGGAATTCGCCACGAGTCATGTTTTTTAGCTTTTTGTCGGGACGGGAGGATGTTGAAGATGCTGAGGAGGCACGACGTTTTCGGTCTGTGTCTTCGGTTGGTGTTTCTGCTGATTCCATGGCTGGTGTGGATGTAGATGTAGATGTGGGTTCTACTACTGCTGGCGGAGCAGCAGCAGGTTCGGCAGCAGCTACAGCTGCAGACGCAGCGCGATCTTGGGATTGTTGATCCATGTAGTCGTTGTAGGCTCTGGGACGGGGGCCGACGAGATCGCAGTAGTAATTCCGGGCGAGGCTTGAAGCTTGAGGAATTCGTAGATGGGAGAGGAAGATGTCTTCGTAGACGATGTCTTTTGGTGGTGGTGATGATGATGATGATGACGATGATGAGTGATGGCGGGGTGTTATGAGTCGGGGACCTCGTTTTGAGGATGCTATTGATGTCGTAGGTGTCGGACGGATACGAGTGGTACTTCTCGCGGTGTTTTGAAGTAGCCGGAAGAGGAACATTCAATGCTCACCAAACCTCGTCTCTTTCTCTTTCTCTTTCTATCCCGATATTGATATCACGATAGTCGATGCAATGATGATAAAGTTTGAATTATTATTTTAGTCTGGGATGAGGTTGGTTTGGTTGCATTCGGCTAAGCTCTGGCCTTTTTTTTTTTTTTTTTTTTTTTTTTCTGGCGTCGCGGACATCCCTGTCAGGTTTTTTCTTTCTGCGCCTGGAACAGAACTTAACCTTCGACATCTTCAAATTCCATTTCTTTCAATTAGACTTCAACGACAAGTAGGAGCTTTACAATACAGAAAAAACCACCATCACCATGCGTCCTCTCACCGATGAAGAGACCAAAAAGGTCTTCGAGAAGTTAGCCAACTAGTAAGTCTCTCTAATATCTCAAGAATCTACAATAAAAATAAATAAATAAAAATGAAGGCTAACAATTACCAGCATCGGCCGCAACATAACCCACCTCATCGACCGCCCTTCAGACCCCCACACCTTCCGTCTGCAAAAAGACCGCGTCTACTACGTCAGAACCTCAATCGCCAACCTTGCAACTTCAATCTCCCGTGCCTCCCTCCTTTCAATGGGCACCTGTCTCGGTAAATTCTCAAAAACAGGGAAATTTAAATTACACATCACAGCCCTGGACATGATCGCTCCTCATGCTAGATATAAGATCTGGGTTAAACCTAACGGTGAAATGCCGTTCGTGTATGGAAACAATGTGCTAAAGGCTCATGTTGGAAGGATGGGTGACGATGTGGTGGAACACCAGGGCTGTGTGGTTTATTCCATGAGTGATATTCCTTTGGGGTTTGGAGTCACCGCCAAGTCGACGGCGGAGGTGAGGAGGCAAGATCCTACGGGTATTTCGGCATTCAGACAATCTGATGTGGGAGAGTATTTGAGAGAGGTTCGTATATTTGCCTTCTTGATTCCTAAGTATATGCATGGGTATATTATGATTGGGAAGACTAACAATGCCTGTTACTATATTATAGGAAGATACTTTGTTCTCTTAAGAAATCGAAAAAAAAGTTCTCCTCGTGTCCGTGTGTCTTTTTTTTTTGAACTTTGCCTCGATCTTTGCACTTGTTACATATGATACCCAGATAGAGCATTATACCGCCCAATATACGACCATATACAAGAACACGTTTGGGTATAGCTGCGGAAGGAGGGGGAGAAGGGCTACATTTTGCCTTCATTCGCCTACTTCCGTTTCCCACCCTTCTTTTTCCCTTTATTCTTCGACGCAGTGCTTTGCGACGGTGCAACTTTCGTCACTGTATTGCCTCCAATCATCTCCGTATCACCATCTTTATCCGTCACAACACCACCTTGCGTCAAATCTCTCGCTTTCTTCTTATCCTTCCTCCCCTTCGGCTTATATGTACTCCTATCCCGGAGTGGCAGCCATCTCTCAGGATCCGGCTTCTTGTTGGGATCGATACCACCCTTCGGTAACCTGATCTTTCTCTTCTTCCGTGACTTGATCTGGGGTTTGGATACTGCCTCATCCAACGACCGTTTCTTAGTCGGTGGAGCTGCAACGCCGGAGTCTAAGAGGGCATTGACATTGATGTCCTTTAGAAGGGTGTTCAGTGGTGTTAATTGGGCGATTTTTGATGGCATATCTTCGGCTGGGTGGGAGGCTATGTAACCTGCATTGGAGAGTGGAGAAGGGTTGCTAGCGGCGAGGGACTCAAAGATCGAAGCGGCCATCGTTCGGTCTTGAAGATTCGAGGAGTTGAGTTGGGCTGTTCCTGTGGCCAGAAGGACGGCTGGGTCCTGTATTTCATTATCACAAAAAGTATTAGCGTAACAATATTGGAACAAAATAAAAAAAATCATTTGGCAAAGGAATATATATGGATGTTTGTATTTGTATAAAATAGGGTAGAACTTACGGGATGGGTGGTGCTGCGCCAGTACGCACTAGCATTCTCCAATTCCGCCTTCACCTTGGTGTTCCGTCCTTGCAGAGTATACAAACCTGCTACCACTCCAACAAGGCCTGGTAACCACCGTTTCTCGGGTTCGTTCTCTAGATCCTTAAGGAGAGTTTCGATGACAGCTACGGCGCTCGTCACATTGTTTTCTTTCAGGTAATTCTGAGCGTTGATAAATGCAATCCCAATATCCGCTGTAGAACCCAACTTCCGGCTCGCAGCACCTTTCAAGGTCTTCGCTATCGACTTTGCAGACGACGAATCAGCACTTTGTAGTTCTATAGTTGCCACAACGCTCGATATGGTGTAGTCGTTTGGATTTTTAGCTTTTAATGCTTTTGCGGATGTGATTGCAGCATTTTCCTTGCCGGCTTGAAGGTTTAGGGTTGTGATGTTCCGGTCTAGGATATCGGACTGGAATGTGAAGGGCTTTTGGGAACCTTGTGGGGCCTTCTGAACAGCTTCGAGGACGCGGAGGCCGACATGTGGGTTTGGAGTTTGAGAAGTTAGATAGCAGTTTGCTGAGACAATCAGTTTGACGGCTTCGTCGGATGTTCTAGAAAGGTATTGTTAATATAAAAAAATTGGATTGACGATCGATATGAGCAACATACTCGAGAATACCAGAAGACTTGTAGAGTGCTACTGCTTCTTCGAGCTTCCCTAGCTTGATAAGAACGTAGAGTTCCTGGGCAATCAAAGGGGCTAGTTCAGCTTGGATATCCTCCTCTGATACACCTTCCAAGCTGCTGCAAAGCTCTAATTCCGAATATGGTTAGCTATAGTACGAAGCAAAGAAACAATGGGCAAGGGAGCGTACTCTTTGATGTCCTCAAAAGCATTAATCCGGCATTTAAATCGCCACGAGCTATCGAGATACATGCAGCATTGAAAGCGCTCTCGTACTGTTGCAGATCTTCAGCTGTAGCCCGCTTCTTAGGACGCAATCCATCTTTTCCAACGAATGATAGCTGTGCCTCTGAGGCTCCGAGATTGACTCTTAAATCATACTCTTCATTCTCTACTGCAGGAGGCAAGGAAGATAATTCTTCGTAAATTACAGTTGCCGATTCGAAGTCTTCCGCTCGGTATTGCTATAAGAAAAGAAACCATGACAAGATCCAATTAGCCATACGTCCCTGTTTCGAAAGTGATAGAGGTGATATATAGAGGGGCAAACATACAGCCTGAGCGTGTAGATGTTTCAAAGCCCTTTGCCTCCGTTCTGTCTCCACCTCATACACCGATATATCCAAAGCACCCTTCAAATCACCAAGCTTATACAGAGAATATGCATGTTCGAACTCCAGTCCAGAAGATGTACCGGCCTGTACTATCGATTTGATTGCTTCATCGTATCTCTCGAGTTTTATGAGGGCTACTACACGGGTACGGATTGTTTGTGGGTCGGATGAGGATTTGAGAATGTTATTGGCATGGCGGAGAACTTCCTCGTGAGATTGATTTTCGTCGAGGGAGAGGTTTTGGAGAAGGAGGGAGAGGGATGCAGGGGTTGAGGTCGTCATTGTTGGATGGGCTGATGGTGTGGGGTTGATGGCATTGGGTGACGATGGAGGGGGGATGAGGGGTGGGCGCAGTGCGGTGCGGTTGTAGTGTGTAGTGCAATATTTGGTGTGTGGTGGGGGGAGGTCGCGCGACGGGGAAGCTCTTGAGCTGCGCTGGCCGGTTGGTGGTTTCGACGCTGGAATTTTTGTTAGACGTCAATTAAGTCAGGTTGACCGAACCGTTCACCCCACCACAACCACCAATTGCATTCGCTACTTCACTTGGCCCCTGCACCACTACCTACCACCACAATCGGCTGCTCAATTTAAGACTTCATTATGGGCTATGTGGATATCTAAGATGGTTCCATACTGAAGTTGGTTTTAAAAAACTTTGTTTTTCTTTTCGAAATTCGTTATTATTGGATCTTTGATGAAAGATAGACCAAAGTTACTAACACGTTAGACGCCGTTTTTCAACTGATTGGATACAAGATAACCAAAGTTTTTCACAGTGTACGAAGTGTATAACTGTTAGATTCCAACTGCTTAAGGTATCACAATGAAGTTGGTAGTTGGCTATTATTCTTCTAGTTCACGCTAATTGAAGAATCGGACTGTTACCAAATCGATTCGGCCAATCGGCCCCTCAGAGATGAAATCCGGCCCGAACATACAAGATGCCCCGCCATCGTGACCTGCGAAGACAACGGTCATCGCTGTCTGATTTCACAGATTAGAGATCAGGAGAGCAAGAGAAAAAAATGAACTATAGCAAGGATAAGACGATATTGAGGCCACCAAGCCCAATATACGTAATACAAGATTTCCGGCTTCTAGAAGAGCTGTTTCAACAGGAACCACCCCTGTCGTTTCGAAGGCCGGCTGAACCGGGAAGGGTGATGTATCACCAGGATCCGAACCAAACCAAGGGTTTCGATTCCCTCTTTGGTTCAAATCGAGGAAGTAGCATCCCGTCGGCTGATGATAATGCATGTAATGGCCACCGTTTCCTCTAAGGACTTGCATACATATGCGCCCCAGATTAACACGTCCACCGATTGAGATAGTCACGTTCGAGGAGAAAAGAAAAAAAACTCTCTTTTAAAATGGGTCTTCGTTCTTACGGATTAATTACAATTGTGCCGGAGAATGTCCCTGCTGGAATTTGAATGCAAAGATAATAGTGCGAACTGGTGGTAGCCATGGCCATGGTGGCGTATATGTATTATACCCAACATGCAAGTTACCCAGCAGCTTGCTCCGAAGAAGAACTGTTCATGCGACTGCTGATGTCGGACTATCTTTAAAGCGCTGTTGTAACCACGTCTGTAAGAAAGAGAGGGAAAAGCCTGCAGGAACTTGTACTTGCTTGCTTCTGTATTAATATTTCTTCTCCCTCTTCTCCTTCCTTTCCTCCTTGCTTGGAATCCTCTTAAGCAATCGTGTCATATACCAAGTTCCGGCCTTTAATTATTTTTTTGTCATGTCCTTGTTGTCTTGAGCTTTCTCGTTCGTTCGAAACCTCGCCCAAAGCTAGCTTGCTTCACTCGCAACCCTGCGCAATAATTTATCTCCAGGTATCAAGAATATCTCATAATCGATACTTTCTAGTACTGAGCCCGACCTCGCCAAAGGAAAAAAGAAAGGTAGAAGTTAATCCTATCGATTTTTCAATGTATCTCTGTGTTTTCCAAGCTGTCTAACAAAATTCTAGACTGGTCACTCGTAGTTGCTCAAGCAGAGAAGTTTGTCGCCAGAAACCTCACATACACATTACCTCACCGGAAAGACCAGCGGGTCCACATAACCAGCTACAAGGCCGGCATTCGGACAATTGATACCGCTCTTGAAACCCATAAGGACAAGTAGTTCAAATCGCCAGTTTTCTACATCCCAATGGCTCCATTACGGACCTGGCTCCCGGCGCTCGGGCTATGGCTGTTACAGGCGGGGCATGCTCATGCGCGAGCTCAAGGCTATACCGGCGCCGACCACCCATACAAGAAAGAACCTGAATGGGACCCATTTTTCACATTCGGCCATCACCACCCGTAAGTGCCTCAATTATCTAATATATCCTAAGTCGCATTCTTGTAAACTTTTTGTTTATTTTATATATTTTTTGTTTCGTTTACGAGATCGAAAATCATATCTATCCCATTGGCGGCCATATGTATATAAGACACATCCCACTAGACCGATAAGGACACATAGCTAACATACCACGTCCTGCAACACAGAATCTCTCACGACGGCCAGACGATCGATCATTTCGAAGTCATTGGACATCCTGAAATTCTTTCGGATCGAGTAATTCTCACACCGCCACACCCTGGTAATCAGCGTGCGGCTATTTGGTCCGATCATTCGAATCATAACGAACAGTGGGAGTTCCACGTACCATTCCGTGCCAGCGGTCCCGAAAGAGCTGGAGGTAGTTTACAGATCTGGTATACATATCGAGGATCTAGCGTGACTGGTACAAGCTCAATCTATACTGCAAAGCCATTCGACGGCCTTGCAATTGTAATTGATAGCCAAGCTGGTCGTGTGAGTACCCCATATCCCTTTTATACTTTTCTTTCCTTCCTTTTTTTTTTTGGTGATATATTACGAAAAAAACGTGGCATCGCCCAATGCGACTTTTAGACTTTTAGAGCAGGAGCGGCAAAAACTAACCTGAGAACATCATATATGCATATAGGGTCAAATCCGAGGTTATCTCAACGACGGAACAACAGATTTTTCTATTCACCACCATCCTCAGTCTCTCGCATTTGGCCAGTGTGACGCTGCATACCGAAATCTTGGTCGTCCATCCGATCTAAAAATCAGCTATACTCACGACCACGGTCTCAGAGTTGAATTAGACGACCACATCTGCTTCGAAAGCAACAAGATTAAACTTCCTAATAATTACCGCTGGGGTGTTTCCGCTGCCAGCGCTGAGAATCCGGATTCATTCGAGCTCTTCGGCCTAAAACTCGCCCTTCACAAGGAATGGGAGGACCACCACACTGATCAACACTCTGACGACCACCACGAGATTCACGAGGACTTCCACGCCGAAAAGGAAGCTAAGAGTAAAAACAGGGAAAAGAAAGGGGAGAAACCAAGAGAAGAAGATATCCAAAAACGTCACAAGGAAGCCGCTGAGCACCACGCAAGAATGGCCGATAGCAAATACAGAGATTTCAAGTCTCAGTACGAGCTCAAGGATGAAGATGCTACTCGCTTCAAGGATCATGATTCGCAATTCACCGATTTGCATTTAAGAATGCAGGCTTTGGTATGGTTCTTGAAACAAAGATTTCTTTTCTGCTCGATCATTTTATTGACACTATCCTTAAAACCCAGACCCATCAACTTGCTGAAGTCCAAAGAGTTACCGGAGAAATTTCGTACAACGTCGGTAACATGCTTGACACAATGAATGAGTTCTTTGGCCACCGAGACGGCAGCGACGGCGGTCAATTCGAACACACCTTGAAAGATATTGACAGAAGAATGTAAGTATTTAGCCTTTGGACTTAAAACCACAAATAAGCTAACCTTTAAATTAGGCACCATGTGGACGAGACCGTTCAGAATCTCGAAAGATCTCTTCGTCACGAGGGTGACAAGATTAATCGTTTGAATGAACACCACGACAACCTACATCATAAGGTCAAAGATGGTATGTTTATTAACCTAAATTCCTTTTCTTTCGGGAGAAATACGTAGTGGGCTAACTAACTGTGTATAGCCGTCATCGCTCACGGTCCAAACATGGGATTCTCAGTTTCCCTCCTGGTAGTATTCCAGGTTATGCTTGTTATCGCATATATTGTCTACAAACGAAGAAGATCTATATCCCCCAAGAAATACTTGTAAACCACTCTCACATACTTCTCTTTCGACTCTCTCCCTCCCACTCTGTCTCTCCTCCCCCTTTCTCCCCCCAAAAGTTACTTCCCACTTTCACACACCTGCCGCTCTGTACGATGACGATCGTATTAACACTCGATACCTTTTTTTTCTCAAATCTTCCTCATGATCTCCGTACCCAAGAGAACTTTTTTCTCGTTTTCCTTACCTGGACAAATTCGATTCCTTAGCGCTTGAGAGCTTGTAGCTTGGAAAAACTAAAGTTTTGATATTGAAATATGAAGAGCGAAGCACTATTTTCCTTTTACAAGGCCTTTTTTTTTTGATACCGAACCCCTGTTTCTTTTAAATATTCATTCTTCTTCTCCTTCTTCCACCAAAGTTGGATTTCTTTACTTGTACATACTTTCTTTCCTTTCCTTAAATATCAATGTGCAACGTATTTTCTTTTCTTTCTCTTCTCTAGAAACAAATTTAGGAATTGATTCCTCTACGAATCTTTGAGAAAACAAAAACTCCCCCTCTATGCATGCAAGTGCCTTTTAAGAAAAAAAGAGAGAAAAGAACATATCGACGGGGGCAAGAAATCTTTAAATTACAAGCGGGAAAAAAAGAGAAATAGGATAGAGGGGAAAGGGCAGCCAGTGAGATCTAGAGATGCATAGTTTTTCAAGCCGGAGATAGTGCAAATAAGATTTTTTTATGAAAGAAAAACATTTTCCGAAGAACGCCAGGCAACCTCTCATTAAAAAAAAATAGTTAGTATCGAATAATCCACTAGTCTCCTCGTGATTATACCTGCTCAGAATTCTAAAAGCGAATGGAACGTCGGTAATTTAAAGGAAATTAATAAGAGCAATGCAATGCTAGAAGCTGCAGAATATAAATGCGAGAGAATCACTAAATGTCCTCAAATTCTGCTTCTTCTTCTTCCGAATCGTCACCTTCGTCTTGCTGTTGGATTTTAGCTTTCTTCTCACCCGGCGATTCCTCTTTGCCTCCAAAGTGATCAGCAGTTCGTTTAGCACTCTTAGGATCGGCGCTACCGCTCCTATGGACACCGTTTGCTGATAGTGGTAGGAGGCTATGAGAAGGCTTTGGTGTTGATGGTTTGGATGCGCTAGCTGTGGATGGAGGTCCGGTTCCACCGTTTGATATCCCGACAGGGACCTCCTCGAACTCGATATCGTCGTCATCTTCCTCTTCTTCCTCCTCCTCTTCCTCTTCTTCCTCATCCTTCTTCTGTTTTGCCTTTAGAGCTTCATAGTACTGATCGATAGCAGACTGCTGGACATTCTGTTGATCGACTACGGGTTTCTTTTCTTCCTTTGTTGTTCCCGTTTTAAAGTCTATGTGCCTAGCAGCTCTGGCCTCTGCTTCCTTAGAACCCAATGTCGTAAGATCCCCAGAGACTGTACTTTGCGTATGCCAAACTGGTAGAGCATTCTGCTCCGCCTGCGCAGCCTTCTTTTCCCTCTCCGCGGCTAATTCAGCAGCAGTCTGTTTCTCATCCGATGTGAACTTAATCTCCATCGTGGGACCTTGCGAAACCTGAACAATCGGTACGGAAGTAGGAATTGAAAGCGCAGAGGCGTGTGATCTCTCTCTGGTAACCGGTACAGCAACAGCAATCGCATCATTGAAATCATTGGCAGGAACAACCAACTGATCTATCTGTCTCAACATCCTCAGGATCTTATCCATCTGATGCATCAGCCGACCCAATCGCTCTTGGCTTTCCTGAATTTCAGCACTATCGTCATCGTCAACCAATTGAGTTCCGCACTCGCTACAATCAAACATTCCCGTATCGTGATTAATGAGCGGCAGAGCGTCGAGTGGTTTGTAGCGACGGTTACATCGTGGACAACAATAGCCCTTTGAATCGGCGTCATTGTCCATTTTGGATTGAACGGATTTTTCGAGCTTGTGCATTCGGTATTTTATGCCGTCGACTGTTCCGCGGAAGTCGACATAGTAGTAGGTTCGGGCTACCGTACGTGTTTGGCCTTCTTTGAGTTCTTGGCGGGTATGGCTATGTCAGAAGATAAAGAAAGAAAAAGAAGAATCATATTAGCTAGGTTCTCAGAATGGATTATGACTTTCTCTTTTTTTTGTTTCTTGTCGCTACGATGGATATGCAGGCATACACGTTCACCATACGGTCCTCCTTTAGTTTTCCACATAGCTTATGAAGTTCTTTTGTCTGTGTACCCAGAAGATGGGCTAAATCATCGTCGCGCAGACTAAATTAAAAGAGAAAAAAAACCGCTCTCGTTAGATTTTTGTGTAACCATCGAAATATGCAAAGGTCTTTGCAGAGAAACCGATGGTTTTTACTAACGCGGAGTGTATCATTAACGCGTCGATTACGAGTATATGCTTGACATCGTAGAAGGCTCGCGCCACGCAGCGCACGAGTGATTTAGCGACATCCATTTAAGTTGGTCTATTGGCTTTACGGCGATGAAGAAAAAATTGATTTTAGATAGAGCACAAGAAGATGTCGGATTTTCCTTGAGAATGAGCGTCGAGGGTCGGAATCGGGTCTATGGACGGGTTTGGCTTTGGTTTCGCGATGAAGGATTCGAAGGGAATGGAAGGGAAGGACTAGTGACGCATCTGTTTGGGAGGGCTGCTGGAGGGTCAGCCAGATGGTCTAGGCCTGCTCAAGGGCGTTATCATGTATTTATGATTCTCCTGGAGCTAATAGACCGTGATCGGGCTTTTCGGATCTAGTGGGGGTTGTCGAGTGATGGTGTCCGAGAGGTTGGAGATGAGGTTGATGTCCGCGGATAGAATCAAATGGGATTTGGTTTGGGAGAATCGCGCATGTTTAGCTCAGACAAGGCTGCGGCTTGCTCGCCTATTTCCAATTGGTCACGTTAGCAAAATGCAACGTCAACAAATTCGAAGAGAGAAATTATAAATATACATAAGTACTTGGTAAGTAATGGTAGTCTCGTCTTAGGTACAGCAACAGAATGATAGACAAATGATGTATAGTATGAAGTCTAAACAATCAATCCCACATATGTGCGTAAATATATATTTAGCTTAAATTTGGGGTAAGTAGATCGAGGGCCAGTATCCCCCATCCCAAAATCGGAGTTATAGAGTAACGTATCCCGCCCAAATCTCATGTTTTATTCCACTCGCGGCGTCTATTCTGGTTGTAAGAACTTAAACCTTGCCTGTTCGTCAAACCCAAAGCTCGAATGCTCCTTAAGAAATTTAAAGACATCCCTTGTTATGACGTTGGAATCTTATCGACCACCAATCCTTCCAAAAGTTGAATATCTTTCTCTCCGATCCCTTCCACCTCAGGTATTTGTCCGGTTTTGCTGTACTCCAAGATAATTTTCAATCTTTTTAGCGGATTCCACCCCAGCCAAGGCCTACCAGTAAACGTAGGGTCGAGGAATCGACAGATTTTCATCACATTGCTAGATTTCCCATTTGCCATATTTAATAATATCGTAGACACTTGTTTCCCGGGCCAAGATTCATATTCTTGAAGTTTAGACTCGGGAAGATTTTTCAGAATCTCAAGTCGGATTCGAGAAAATAAATCATCCAATATGATAGATATATCGGCTTCGTCTTCGCCGTTAGAAATATATAGTACCTGGAGTATATCTCGGGGAATATCGGGGGTTTTAAGTAGAAATTCAGCCGAGCGGCTAGTTAACAAAACCCGTAGCCAAATCGCTTCCGAATTCGATGGTGCTGCTGGGTCTTGCGGTCTTCTGAGGAGACCGAGAATCTCCAAGATGTCATCTTTTGATTGACATTCATCTATGGCGTTAATAACCAAAATAAATGGTGCCTGCACCGAGTGTATTTTAGAAAAGGGTCTGAAAATAAGAGCGTCGAACTGAGAAGTTAATGGCCGACTCGCAATCATAGGATCTTTGTCCACTTCAGCTGTCATATAAGGGAGTAGATCAGGTATCCTTTGTAGAAACTGAAGAGCAATCGTAGTAATAAACCCGGATGCATTGTTGCACTCTGCATAATCAGATCGAAAGAAAAAGCTGGCCCCTAGAAGTTGGATGCCTTCCATTTCTTGTGCAAAATTCCGAGCTATTGTTGATTTCCCCGTCCCGGCTGAACCAAACAGCAAGAGTATGGGTTTCTCTTGTAAGTCTTTCGCCCACATCCTGATACGAGATTGAACATCGGCTTGCGTGCTAAACTCTAAGGTTTCCCTGTCATGTGCGTTCGAGCCAAAATCGTATACTGCTTCATGAACAAATGGTAGCCTTAGGCGTACTCTCCTCAGGTCTGAATCCCTAAAAATGCTGAGCATTTCTCTATTTTTCAGAGATGTTAACTAAGTTTTCTCCTATTATGACCACAAGAGTTTATAATGTACTCACTCGCGGCATCTCACAAAAGTTGTGACGGCAAGTTGAACCATACACGTATCAACCGAAATCTTAATCGGGGTTCCCGTAAAATCATACGAAGTATCGGCGCCGATTTCTGGTGATTCAAATCTAAAAGCTTCCCGAACCAGCAATTGCGCCTGTTCTGTGCAGACAGCCAAAATTGATCGTAGTTCAACTAGCTTGCCTTGTGTCCAACCCCCGTCGCCAAATAACATTCGTAAGTTTTCCGGCTGAGACAGAAAGTCGACTGGCCTCTTAGAGGCAACAAGCACCCCTAACAAGCCATTGGCCTCTTGAAGAAATATTGTCGCGGCTGCCACGTCGTCGTCACTAAAAAACCGATTGCGTACAGATCCGAAGTAACTGGTAAGTGTATTTAATAGAAGAAGTAGAAAATCTATTTCGCTCCTGATATCAAACGCTTCCTCTGCTGAACTTATCTGGGACTGCTCACCAGAGTTTCCGTAATCTTCTTCTCTGGGCACTTGTGAGGGCCCAGGTAATTCATCTTTTGTATTCGCTTCTTCGACTTCAGACACTTCCAGCGCCGAGTTCAAGACATCGCCGTGTTCTAGGACTAGATCGGAAGGAGGCTCGCTGTCAAACCGTAGAGACGCAGATCTCAGGGAGCCCCGGGAGCCGAAGTTCTGAACACAGTCAGATGTCTTCTCGCTCGCACCGGCGACTTCGTCTTCGTCCTTTGGGCCCGAAATGTCTCGAGATACCGGGAAAGTAGCAAACCTTTGCATATGCGATGCCATATGATCCCCGAGACCCTCTGGGAACGGGCCTCTGAAAAAACAAAAAGGACAAATGGTCCTTGTGTCCTCGATACTTAGAGCGCAAATTTCGATCAGGTTCTCGATCTGCTCATCGGTAATATCATTACCATGATCGACTTTCAGATGGGCTTGAAGTGCAGCTTTAGAATTTAAAACTGGCTCCAGATGTTCAAAGCATTGCCATATTCGCCGGTGGCCTAATCTTTCATGCTCAAGCCATGCTGTCCGGCTATTGAAAACGCGGTTTCCATCTTCGCATTTATCGTACGTACAGATATATGGTTGGAGGTCTCGAAGGACATGGGCTTTCCAGGCACCACCTTTTCCATGACGAGCCGGGCATACAATGCCACAATAGGTGCACAGAAATTCAGTACCCTTGGATGCTGCAACTGGTGGCGGCAGGAGCTCAATCTCGCCGCCGTCGCTTTCAACCCGTGCTGAAGCATATGAGATGACAGACCGAGTTTCCAAGGTATCATCAAGCCGCTTGTCGAATCTGGTAGCCTCGGTCCTCGAGAATATAGTCTTCCCAGCGACAGTTGGTGCAAATTGGACCCGCTTTCCAGGGTTGTCTAACAATACCAAGCTCTTTTCCGGCTGGGGCTTCGACATTGATTGTGGCTTCATGATTATTTCGGCCTCCTTTGGAATTTCCGCCATTTTTTTGGCATGCCGTTGCCAGTATCGGAGAAACCTGCGACGTTTGTTCATGGTAGCAACTAGTTGTTTGATGAGATAAGAATCGCCATCCGTTATTTCAGGAATCTTCGAGGGCTTCTCCTCCATCTCGTTGGCGGCATCCCGGCGGAGTTGAAGTAGCAAGTCTTCAACGTGTCGTTTATCGAACTCTGTGTAAGCGGCGAGCTTATCAACCGTGTGTGTAGTTTCGCCGTCATGAATGTGTTCAATCTCTGTGTATAGATCTATTCTCAATGTTGAGGTTGGACGAGTGGAGCTGTTTCGGATCCTGAACGAAAGCATATACAAATCACTCAGAATCTCCTTGATGGAAGTCATGTGTAGAACAAGTTCCTTTGGCGGCTCATCGTCACTCTCGCTTTCTTCTGATGAGGATCCACTACTCGAATCCTCCAGTTGAGGCTGCTTCTCAAACGGTAGTCGTGCATTGGAAACAACCTCTGTGCTCTCGACAAGAGTACGACTTAGTCGGAGCAAGTGCTTGAACACATTAGTGCGTATCACCGTCGATTCCCGCAGCCTCGAATCAAGAGAACTATTGCCAACCTGCAGCGCACCCAGATTTCCACACCAAAGCTTGAATCTCGAAAACTCCCACTCAAGTTTATCAGGAGGCATGGATTCCCGATTTTCTGCATTGGCGTTGGCGAGGAAATCTGTCAACTCCGAATTTATTGAAGCATGTTCTTGCGATTTCCGCGATAGAATCCATGTTATATTGCAGCTATGACCGATTTTAACGTTATCAGCGTGTACGACAGTGACCGTGAATTCGATTCCGACCCCTCCATATCAAGATCCTTCTCAACTCCAAATCGTGACGGATCTTTGTTCCATACTTCAGAACCCGTGCCACCCTTGCATTGGGTTTTGCCTCGATAGTGACGGACACCTTCGAGGTTCTTATAATGCCCAACGTGAATTTGCATCTACTGAAGGAGAAACCACACTTCAAGACATCCTCACCAAACAGCCCGGATCCCTCAGCTTGCAAGAGCGGTATAATCTATCTATAACACTTACATCATCGATGCTGCAGTTAAGCCATACGCCTTGGCTTCAAGAAGGCTGGAGCAAAGCCGATATCATCTTCCTTAACGCTAAGGGCGGACGTTCAATGTCAAGGACTAAAGTTGATATCCAGCGGCCGTACCTAACTAGAGAACACAAACAAATAGCAACGCTTGCTCGTAAAAGCAGCGGCGAGCCTAACGACTCATCTAAAGTTTTAGCGCTTGGTATTATGCTCCTAGAAATCTGGTACGGACTCCCAATTGAGAGGTTGATGGAACCAGATGACCTTGGTCCGAATAATCGGGAAACAGAAATTACGTATCTACAAGCTGCTAGGAGGTGTGTCATGGATAAGGCAGGTAAAGGGGACTTCTCGTTTGCATTTATCAAGGCCATATCATACTGCCTTCAGTGTTTCATGAATCCCAGTGCAAGCTTGTCCGACCTAGCATTTTCTAAGACCATTGAAGAGCAAGTTCTAGCGCCCTTAGAGGCTGAAATGAATATGCTGTTATTCGGACCATCTGTGAGATAGATAGCTACGAATAGGGCGCTAACAGGCCTCTTCGGCGTAATCGATGGCTTAGGGTTGCAGTTTCTCAGGAGTTTCTCCGATATTAATGTTGTCGTTTAGCGATATTCTAGCCAGCATGATAGATGCTTTGGATTCTTCAACCTAAGAATTACCTATATATAAAATTACTATCTTCAGTGTGCTTCGTCGGCACCGACCTCAAAATCCCACCCAACCGGCCGCAGCGTCGGATCCTCCTCCATCCTAATTGAAAAGGATCTCGTAGCCCGCCACCTTCTAGTATCCCCATCGATTATACAACATTCAAGACCCTCCGTAGACCCATTACAAAACTCCACCTGCTCTAACATTGTCAGCGGCGACGGATTCAACGACTTAAACTCCTGATCCGGTCTCTTCCCCATCCAGTACTCAACAGTTTTATCCAACTCCCCCTCGTCCAAAAACCTCGCGTACAAATCCGAGGGCTGTGGTAAAAATATACGTTTCAGTTTCGGCATTCGGCCGATCTCCACGTATGGTGTTTCCTTCGTAGGTCGCATCATGATTCGTTCGTATACACGGTTTCTTTTACCCCCAACTCTTAATTCCTCAATTTTTGGGAATGAACAGCTGATCTCTGACATGTCCTGAATACCCATACCTCCGCACCATATGCTAAGGAAGCTGAGGGTCGGGAAGATGCAGTTTTTTTTTTCAGAAAAGAGTAGATGGTATACGTCGATAGATAGTCTTTTTAGCACCAGTCTCGAAGAAGCTAGAAGCTCATCAGCGAAGCCTATTGATTCTTCACGTTCGCTGTCATCCACGTAGATTTCGAGGACGTTTAGCGATAACTCTTCCAGGTTAAATATTCCTTTGGGAAAATTGGCAATTTCGTCCTGTTTTCGAACACCATTCTTGATGAAAATATTGTTTTCATCGGTAAGGCTGTCGAGGTAATGTTCATATTGAGCTGCCAAACTGAAGTCAGACCGGACAGACGTCGAAAGCATTTGAATCCTCTTCAAATTCTTGAACGGTGGATAAGTTGATAGTTTTTTGAAAGTAGAGGAAAGCAACCGATACTCGAATTGCTCGGGAAGTTTGAAATCAGCGATTTCAATGACCTCCAGATTTTTGAAGTGTTTGAGGATGTCAAATGACACTCTACATTCTTTGACAAGGTCGTGGAATTGCTCTTGAGAGACTTCCCTACTACTGTTGGAGGGCCTCAAGATCGCATATCTAGTACGTATGTTTATGTATTAAGTAACTGATTATTTCAACATAGAATATAATATATCTTGTTACTTTTGTTACTTACCGAATAGTAGTTACTACACTACAAAGGCTACCCCCGTCCCTTAGTGCTCGAGCTGATTCTTGACATATTGCAATAGCCTTGAAGACGCTCGGTAGACTTCGAAATCGACTCTGTTTTGAGCAAGTTGAAAATGATTTGATATCTTTGAGTGAAAGGTATTGGAGTATCTCCTTGAGAAGTTCTAGAGGTATTTCTGAAATCATCGACGTTGCTGAATATGAATTATCTTCTATATTACTATAGAAATGGCTGACAGGGTATAGTGGAAAATCGATGTCTAATTCGAGTTAACTGACATTCCAGTTGTGTGTAGTTGCATCTGAATCCTGTATATCCATTGCATTGTCATATACGCATAATATGCATATATTAGTTACATCGCCCTGTGCGAATATAGTGTTGGTCTTGTTATATGCAGCCGCTTAGTCAGCAAATCCAGGACGCCAAGAGCTGCGACAAAACCTCCAAACAGAAAAAAAAAAACCATTGGCGACGCAGTTGCAACAGAGCCGCTCAAACACCATTACCACCGTCTTTCATATTGTAGTCTTCCATTGTTAACCAATAGATACTAGCGACCTATACGCTCGCAGTTTAGTATAAATTTTATCAAAATGGCTGGAGCGACAGCTTCCCGAAAACGTAAAGTTTCCCAATTCCTGAACGACAGCGATAAAGCTTCAGCGCCTCGACATGCCAAAGCGACGATAAACGGCAAGGTGGATTGGGATGAAGAGCAGGACTATGAACGATTAGCTAGGCGGAGACAGAGGAAAGGCGATAAACCGGAGAGTCAGCGATTGCCAATTAAGACTCCAGAAGGAAGAATTCTTGCCGTGGAAGCGACCGAGCCAGAGCGACAGGAGCCGGAAAGTGACGATGAAGACAATGGTATACACGATGAGGAATCGCCAGAGGAAGCTAGTGATGATGAAATGCAAGAAGCCGAACCTGCAAAACCGAAAAAGTCGGAAAGGCAGCGGATCGTGGAGGCTAAAGAGGAATTGGCGACTATCGCATCTTCTATTAACGAAGAGCCCGAGGAAAATGTACGGACTTGTCGTATTCTATTTGAGGAACACCGAATGCTAATTCGAAAACAGTACCATTTGCTTCGAAAACTCCAAGAACTATTCGGCTCCGAATCAAACATCACGATAAAGAAACTAACCCTGATCACACAAGCCACCATTTTTCGAGATATAATCCCTGGATACCGAATACGCCCTTTAACAGCTGAAGAACAGGCAATGAAAGTCGCATCGGATGTCAGGAAGCTTCGAAATTTCGAACAATCTTTAGTCTCGAGTTACAAGTCCTACATCGATACTCTGGGCAAAGTATCAAGACAAATCGGAAATCAGTTATGCCCGGTTGCTATATCGTGTGTTTGCACATTGGTCGACACTGTCCCACATTTTAACTTTCGCCAGGAGCTTCTGAAGATCCTTGTTGAAAGATTGAGTGTTCGAGTTGTGGACGAAGCATTTGTTAAGTGCCGGAATACACTAGAGGAATTTTTCAGACAGGATGAGTCTGGCACTGGAAGTTTAGAGGCTGTAAGGATGATTATAAAGATGTTGAAGGCGAAGGATTATCAGGTTGATGAGTCTGTGCTCAATACCTTCCTTTCGCTAAGGCTCCTGGCGGAATTGAATGTCAAAGCTTCATATGATACGATCGATCAGCCAGGACAGAAGATGAAAAAGAAGGACCGGTTGCCATTTACGAAAAAGGAGAAAAAGGCATATAAAGAAAAGAAAGTAGTAGACGCGCAAATGAAGGAAGCAGATGCGGTGGTAGAGTATGAAGAACGAGACAGGAACCAGAGTGAAACCCTCAAAGCCGTTTTCTTAACCTACTTCAGAATTCTGAAGGAGAAGAAGCCGACTTTGATGGGTGCTACTCTAGAAGGTCTAGCCAAGTTTGCACACCTGATCAATGTCGAGTTCTTCTCAGACATTCTTGCCGCATTGCGAGAGCTAGTTGAGGATGCTCAAGCGGACGCGGATGCAGAAGAAGAGGTCGCCGATGAGGAAGCCGCCGAATCTCTTCAACGGGAGAGGAATTTACGGAGAGAAGCACTTTTATGCATCGTCTCTGCATTTTCCCTCCTCGCAGACCAAGCTAACGAAGCTAAAGGCCTCGTTAACATTGATCTCTCTTTCTTCACCACATATCTCTACTCCGTTCTCCTCCTACTATCGCTCTCTCCAACCATCGAACTCTCATCTAAATCCCTCCATCTCGCCGACCCTTCATCCTCCGAGCCTGTCGAAATCCCCAGCAGTAAGGTCAACAAAGCCACAGAAATTGAGATGTTGCTCCGATCGCTTGATGTTGTATTCTTCAAAGCGCCACGAGGGACAGGTGAAATATCATCCGCAAGAGTAGCTGCATTTACTAAACGATTATCAATTGCAGCCTTACAGCTGCCCGAGAAGAGTTGTATAGCACTTCTCACATCGTTACAAAATCTTGGGAAGAAACATTCAAGAAAGGTACATCCGTTATTCGTATCTGACGATATGGTTGGAGATGGAACTTACGACCCGTTCATTGACACCCCGGAGTTGTCAAATGCCTTGGCTGGGAGTGCTGTTTTTGAGCATGCTTTGTTGGCGAATCATTATAGCCCTAAAATACGGGAGCAGTCTAAACTAGTATTGAAGAGTGGAACATCTAACAGGTAATCGAGGGAGACATGGTTATGTATACTATTTTACATGATTTATAGTTGTACTTATAGGACATATTATAGGATATCAGCTTGCTAAGATCATGCTTGAGTTATCATGGAAAAGCGTAAACGTAAGGTATAATATATACAAAAGCTTATTCACATATATACACACTTCCACGGCGTACATATAGTACAGCCAAAAGTGCTTCGGGATATTTACAAAAAAGAAGATACGCCAAACATGCCCCCCTTTGTGACGTTTGGGGAACGAGACCACGCCAAATCCTTCACAACCTAATTTCGAAGATTTTGCAAACTATCACCCACTATTTCTTCTTTTTACTCGGATTTGGCAATTCCTCAGTAAACTTATCCACCGTCGCAGCTTCTTCCAATGGATTTCCAAAGTACACCTGAGCCGTCAAAATAGTCTCCTCATCCAACTTCTCCAACCCAGACAGAATCCTCCTAACGTAACTAACCACCATCGCCAATTTTCTAAAATCAATATCCTCACGCATCAAGAAAACATTCTGCCAGATGGCCGCAGCCATCCAGGCGTCTCCTCTGATAAACGCTTCATCGTAGGATAAAATGGTATATTGAAAATGTTCATAAAGTTCCTTCAGCATCTTTTGTCTTTTCGACTTATTGGTGACTTTGTGTCTGTCGGTAAGAACGGCTTCGAGGTCGAAGAAGTAGTGGTTTATGAAGGCTTGTTGCCACATTTTTGCACGAGAGCGTGGGGCCATGTTTCTGAACCGGACCATGATGAGCCAGACATGGAGATTTGAGATTGAAGACCAGTTACGAAGACAAGGTGCCATGCCGCATTCTATCGTCATAGTTAAACCAATTGTTAGTCTAACCTTTCGAAATAATAATTCATTCTTAAACCAAAAATAATCGTGCAATATGTATAACATACCTTCATACCAAAACTTCGCCTTCCCAGTCACCGGTTCACCAGGATAGTACTCTCCTTGCAACCGACATTCCTTATACAACTCTTCGGACTTTTGATAAGAATAATACTGCTCCTTCGTACTATCTGGTAACACCTTCGATACAGCCTTTGCAATAGCAGCACGAATGCCGGTGGGTCCTTCTGGTTCGGAACTCTGAGGATCGGAAGCATATTGTAACCGTGAAGATGTTACAAATGATCTCCGCTGTAGATTTGCAGATGTAGATGCGGGGAGCGGGGTTATTTTTCGCTTTAGAGCGCCGCGGAGGGGTGAAGGTGGGATGGATTGAGGTCGAGCGACATGCCGTATCTAAGAAGTATTAGTTTTTCTCTCCTACAAATATTTCATCTCGAAACGAAGGGAGCAGGATTAACGTACCGACTGAGAGAGGCCGGCTCTCAATGAGGGTAGTATCGGTTCTATCAGCGACATTGTGAGGATGGACGACGACGACGGCGTGAAGTTAACGTTGTAATCGGCATGGGGGCATGTGCGGGTTGCCAATCGAAGCCTCGAAAATTTCGGGGCTGCAGTTCGAAAAACACGACAGGGATCCAACGCATGTCATCCCGGCTACGATGCGCTAATATAAATCGGGATGGGTAATTGCAGTTGGTATTTTTGCCAATTGATAGAATTCAAATTCGATATGCATATGAAGTATTACTATAATAGAAAATAGATAATGTATCTATCGATAATGTAATGCTTTGATTCAATTAGAAAATAAAACAATAGGAGGAGCTATGGTGGTTGATGCTCATATGCAGGTGTATTTCGATATCAAAGATCAGTTTCTCATGACTCCGTAAACGCCATTTAATCCAATTCAATTCATCCGCCCTGACGATATTCTCGACTTTTTATAAAACCAGCTTCTCGACTTTTACCGACTTCAAAGGCAAATACTCCGCCATTTGGTTCGGGTCCCTCATAATAGCAGGTATATCATCTCGATATGGTGGGAATTTCTATCTCCAAGTTAGCAAAGGGATCCTTCAAGAATCGACGTCGATATAAATATAAACGTCATGATGAAAAAAAAACAATCCTTACCTTCTTAACATTCTCGTAACTATCCTCCTTCTCCTGATATTCTCTTAATACCACTCCGTCCGCGAATTCTACAAAGACCCTCGTATCTCTGATCCTAAACACGACATCATCAAGTCGCATGTAAAACCTTGCCAGCAAAAGAAGTCTGGCAGGCATAACCCTGACTTTCACAGATAATATCGACATGCCATTGTCTGCTAGTTCGTCTTCGTAAAGCATGACATCGTCAAAGAAGAGGATGGGATCTTGACGTCGGAGTTTGTCCAGAGGGATTTGGTCGGTCGTTTCGGTGAACTCCTTTGTCTGTTTTTTATATATAAAATCCAGGTTTTTAGTAAAATTCGGATAGTAGAGATATGTAGAGGATATTGATAAGAGAACGTACTCCAGATATCGATCCTTGGTAGTTGGTCGAATACGTCCAGTCGAATGGCTTCACGACCTCTTTAATCCCTTCGTGCATTTTCTCTCTAAAGGTATCAGAATTACCTCCTCGCATTAGCATCAGATACGCACATCCCTCCCGATACCCCCTTGATAATAATATAAAAAAAGGGGGGAGAGATGAAAAGAAATATATAAAACCAACCTCTGCTTCTGCCACGCCGCCGAATACGCAACCTTCAACATATCATTCCCCGTCTTATCGACCAAATCCAACGCATCCAGCGCATTAAACTCAATCTTCCACTCCTCTCCCTGCTCCCCGACCTTTTCAATAGAAACTATATTATTCCCAAAGATCATTTCCGGTGGCGTAATCCCAAGCTTTTCTGTCATCGCGTCGATTTCTTGCGCATTGAGGATCGGGAGCTTGCGGGTCGTGATTTTGAACGAAGAGACTGTAATCGATTTGCCCGCGTCTACAGCGGTAGGCATTACCGTTGCCATGTTTTGAGGGGTTGGGAGGGTGGTCGGTGGCGGTGGCATTGACATCTTGGATACCTGTTGATTCGGGTTTGAAGGTGTCGGTGGGTATGTTAGTTTATTTGTTGGACCGCGGGGTGAAGTGTGGGGTGTTTGAGTATGCGAAGCGCTCAACACAGTCGTTAACCTCGATACGAGGTGTCGTTGAATTATTTATATCACGATGCGGCTCTATTTTGAATGTACGCCACTTCAAGGTTTATATTTAGACAAGAAAATACTTTGGTAAAAGATTGAATCGTTTCATACGCCGTAAGCTACACACAAGATATTCTTTTGAGGAGTCAAGAGAAGAAAGAAAAGGACAACAATGATCAATGGAAGTATTTTTAGCTACAATAGAAAGAAAGAAGAAAAAAGGGAGGGAAAGGACCAGGGAAAGGGTTGAATTTAGTGGGTGGTGCGGTTTTGAGAAGCGGCGGCCGTCAAAAAGGAGGGCAGAGGACTATAAACTTTGTAATAAACGACAATCATGACTTTCGTACACTTTTCATTTCTCCCCACTTGCCACGCTCCTTCGTTGTATCGTAAGCTTGAATTAAACGTGATTGACCCTCATCGGCCTGCGAAAAGGCATAACCACGTTGTTTGCGCATGCGCTGGACTTGTCGAACTTTTCGAATGGCTTTCTGGAATTGTTCCATTCTATTTGTTCGATGTTAGTAATGGCTAATTGGCATGGCGAGGAACTGGAGTATTGCGGAACTAACCTTGGTCTGTAATCTTGAATATTGTATTTTTGGATCTCCTGGACATAATGGTAGGTTTGAGGGAAGTACATTCGCTTGGCACTATAATGGGACGAAAGTCAGTTCCTGTATCATGGTTTTACAAGGCGTGTAAAAAGTGAAAACTTACTATTTCCAAGCAAAGTCTCTGATAAGACAGAGGGGTACCATCACAAACGCGAATAGCCAGAAAACAGGCGACGTATAGAGTCTGGCAATGATACCTGTGAACTCGGTAGAGAAGTGGAGCATCGGTGCCACGGTGGCATAAGCTGGCAGGAAAGCCAGCCAAATCAATAAGGAACCGGGAATGGCGATAACATGGTATTTTGTCCAAATACTAAATAGTATTAGCAATAGCAATTATATGATGGGCTTGGGGATGGACTAACTTCGTGATGAGCGCGGCCTTGCCAAGAGCGATTGTGAGCGCTGCGGTATAATTTGTGGTACCCCAAACCCAATGGCCGGCGACTCTTCCATCACTCTGTGGAAGATCCCATTGGAATACAAACTCGGAGACGATATATAGAAGCAACGAATGGTAAAATCCGTTCACCAACCACGACCAAAAACTGCTCATTTTGAACTGGAAGAGTGTTAGCTCCCATATATTTACTTGGATATGAGGAGGAATTGTGAACATACGAAATAACCCTTCTGACCAAGTTGGTACATCTGAGGATACCTGTCTAATAATCTCGCACTAAGGAACTGATCGAAGACACCCATCGCGAGCGGCGGTAATACGGTGAACAACACGTTGTAGAACGAGAGCGTCCATGATTCGTAGATGACCTGACCGGAGAATCGATTTCTGAAGGCATACTACATGGTCTGTTAGCATGAAATATTCAATTGTGACAAATGTAATATATTTACCCAAAACTGTGTCATGAAGAGAGTGATGTTCTTGTAAAAGGAATACAAGATGACACGACTGATACGAGAGTAACTCCATGCACCGTGAACAAGTAACAGTTTCCTCAAGTACCTGAATTGACCAATCGAGACGTCGGCACTTCGCGCGGCTTGGAGACCTTCAACACCGCTAATACCAACACCAACGTGGGCAGCTTGAATCATGGACACATCGTTGGCACCGTCACCAATGGCAAGAAGAATTGCCTTGAGATGTTTCTTGACGAGTTTCACAACAAGAGCTTTCTGTAGGGGAGACACACGACTAAAACCCACTTCATTAGCCCAATTTTCAGAATTGTACTTCGACTGCATAGTGATACGTACCAGCAAATAACAGCTTTACACATAACAGCGATGTCAAGGAACGTCTTTTCAAGCTCCTTCTCAAGGGCGTATGTAAGAGATCGCCCGTCAATGACCAAAGCAAGGGTTTCGATTTCCAGACTAGCATCCTTCTGACTTCGTATGGCTGCCAACTTTTTAGTAAGGTTATCCCGAGTAGCGTCGAAACTTTCTTCGTTGATGATGATGAGCGTCATGTCCTCGCTAATAAGTTTACAACTCATTCCAATGTTGATAGCGGTTTCCTGCCGATCGCCAGTCAAGACCCAGACCTTGATACCAGCGGTTTGAAGTGTGTGGATCGTTTCCGGTACGCCGTCCTGAAGCCTATCTTCAATAGCGGTAGCTCCAAGCAAGAACAATTCCTTTTCAATGAGTTCGGCAGCCTTGTCAAGTTCATCTCCACGGTTGTTGATAGTGGTAGCAGCCTTGTCAAAAATTTTAGACCATTGCTGATATTCAGATTCGGGAATCTCGCGCATGGCAAGACATAGAGTTCGGAGACCGTCAGTCGCGTAGTCTTCCAAATGGGTCAGAGTAACATCGACGGTCGGGTTGTCCTTTGCCAAACGTTCCAAAATAACGGTATCAGCTCCCTTGGTATAGATCCTGATCTTTCCATCAGGACAGCGGAAAATTGTAGACATCCTTTTTCGTGTGGAGTTGAATTCGCAGACATTGAGTAATTCGTAATCTTCCAATCTTCCGTTGACAGAAATGGTTACGGAACGGGGTTTTCGAGAAACAAACTGATATCCTAACTGCACAGCTCCCTCAACCAAGGCTCCCTCATCGGGCGACGCAGCCTGATACTTGATTTCCGTGGGCTTTTCGTCATTTCGCTCTGGAATAACAGTGTGGCAGACTCCCAACAAAACCAAGAAGTGATGCATAATCTCGCGGGTAGGATGGCTGTTCAGGTTCTCCTTCAGTCGCTTAAAATCGTGGACACCGATTTCAACGCCATCCTGTACCGTTGCACGTTTATCTTCCGGAACCTCATCACCATAACAGACACCAGCAATTGAACATTGTCGGAACTCCATTTGGTTACAAGTCAGTGTACCCGTTTTGTCAGAAAAGATGTATTCAATTTGACCAAGCTCTTCAACCAAACTAGAGGTTCTACAAACTGCCGGAGTATCTGTCTCCGCATAGTAGATATCAAGATCCGAGTTGATGAGGAAAGCTTGAAAATATTTTACCAGTTCGACTGTCACGAAAAGACTAAGGAAGCTATTAGTAAGGGCAACATCGATGGGGGATGTCGGTGACAAGAACATCAAGCTGACTTACGAGATGGGCACAAGATTAGAATACAAGACCCAATATGTCAATATATCCTTGAAAAACTGGGCCGCAAGGCCGATATCCTTAAGAAAGAGATATGGAACCTGATTCAGTTGTGTGGCGAGCTTGATAACATCACCAGCCGAAGAAACGAGGGACAAGACCAAAAGAATACCAACCAACATGAGAATCTGCTTGTTCAGGAGGCGTTCCACATTTGTTCTCTTAATCGGGGTTGCAGTGGCGTTCCTCATAAGCTTGGTTTCGTGACCTGTGAACACCACAAAACCATGAACCCAAGGTGTATTCCTCAAAGTTGCACCTCTCAGGAGGAGTTGCTCAGGGCTCAAGGGATACTCCTTCTCAGCCCCTCCCATGGACATGGTGATTGTGGCTTCATAGGTGTACAAGCTGCTGTTCGGTTGCTCCGACTTAACTTTTCCTGACAATCTACTTAATTCACCAGGGCTGACGAGATGGGAAGTCTCCGGGACTGCTTGCTTGATTTTCAAGTTTGTTTCTCCATCCAAGTTGGCTGTTTCGATATAACACAAACCTTCGGGTTCGGACGAGGCAAGGAGTACTATATCGGCCGGAAAGGGTTCCTCAGATTCAACGCGTACAATATCCCCAACTTTCACGTTTAACCACTTTGTTTCTTCGAAAGTTGTTCCATGGAGTACCTGGGTTTTCGACTGATTGAGTTCTCTATCCTGAGTCCGTCTCTTAAAGTCCTCTACTAATTCCTTCACTGCTGATACTATAAGCACAAGGATTAATGGGACGATTGTTGTATATCTGTTAGTTGGAGAAATGTTGGGAATTTGTTGCATAATTGCGGTAAACAAGAAGAATAAATTGGCATATTTCGAGAACTGCTCGTATAAAAACTTAGGAAGGAAGGTAGCAACGTTGTATTTGGCGGTAGAGACATGGTTATCGAGGAATTTACTGAGGGCGTTTGCAGGCGGGTTGTTGATGTGGATCATACGGGGTCCTAATGTCGAAGGGTCGACCTTGTTCTTACCAAAGCCGAACTTGAATTTACCACCACTATCGCTCTTCTTTGGTGGTTGACCTCCACCTCCGGATGAACCCCCAGCAGCGGTCTGGCCCCTCTCAGTAAGAGGTAGATCCATTTCGCTATACTGGGGGCCCATCCCTATGGCGGTTTTTACCCTACCCATGAGACCACCTCCCATACTCAGGACACTATTTCTATTACGTTTCTGGCCTTTGTTGTTACTTTCGTGGGCACCATAATGGAACTCTGCCGTCGATTCATCGTCTGGAAGTATCGATTCGTCATAATAACGCTCGTAGTTTTGAAGGCCTGATGTTTGGGAGAAAGTGCGATGTTGCCCTAACTGAGGTGGACGTTGGTCATAGCCAGGCTGCTGCTGCTGCTGCTGCTGCGACGAAAATCCGGGCTGCGAATACCCGGATGCAGTGTTACTCGGAGCGTAGATATCATCATCTTGGATGTTATGGGTGGCCATATATTGAGCGTCAGATATCGGAGGCGGTCGGCCTGGATTGCCATATGTTCTTTCGTCCTCGTCGAAGTCCAGAAGCGACGGGTGGTTTGGCTGGTGCGCCATGATGCGCAGCTATAGCTCAACGCCCGTCTTCGGGTGCCAGAACCCCCAAACCGGAAGAAAGCTTGTGTAGGAAGCCGGAAAAATATCGATTAAGTGTGGAGCAAAAAGAAATGTGGATCGTTACGAGAGCTGGTAGGGCTTGCCGTAGTGTTCGGTTGGTCGGGTTGAGTTACTTTCCGGGTAGATACTAGCTAAAAGCTATGGAGAGACGTCTGTCAACCGCGGAAGCAGGTGGATAGTCTAAAGAAATTGATTCGTCGAAAAAACGCACGGTGAAAGGAAAGCTTTCATCAAAATGAATCCGGAGGGAGGTATTCGGAACACCCAGGTAGGAATGCTGTATCGTAGGCGTCGAAGGAGGTGGTGGCCTTTGGGAAGCTATCTCGCCTGTCGCCAATGCAATGGGGGGGGTTTTTTGCTAAAAAGGAATGACGATGGAGTAACGGTAGATGCCAACAAGTTAGCGACGTGACATGGAGAGATTCGAGAAAGCGGAAGCCGTGGCTGGGATGGTATGTTTCTTTCGAAGGGGAGCAGGTAACGGCGAGGTTGGTGACGGTGACGGTGATGATGCTGGCGATGATATTAATTAATACCGAACGAGAATGGGGGGTTGTTCGTATGTAACAGTTGCTTGCTGAGGGCTGAAAGATGGTTTGGACGAATGTCAGCACCAGCTTTTGGACCGGTTCCTGCTTACGCCAAACCAGAAAAGGGCCTGGCTGCAGAACACAGGGCAGGACAGGACAGAACTATATTATTTTACTCATGCATGCACACGGCATGTGTCTATGGCCTCACAGTCAAGCTATAATATTACAGTCGAAGAAAGAGAGAAAGAACGAAAGAAAGAAAGAAAGAAAGAAGAAGTGGAGATCATGCAATGGTCTCCGCCGCAGCAGTACTACGTAAACAGGGGTGACGACGCTGCAGAGAAGAAGAAGAAGAAGTTAAGTTTCGAGGTACAGTACTCCGTACGGTACAGCACAATTGTAGATTAAGGGTCAAGCCAACCTCGAAACACCGTCAGAGATTTCAATCCCAGCAAGCTGTAAAAGAAATATTAACCCGACAAGGCCTCCTGAGCTCAAACTAACCACGATTTTCTTAGTTACCCCTTATAGCTGCTAGCATTTGAGGAAGTTGAGTTCTAGCTGGCATGGCAGATACAGGAGAGAGGAAGGAATGAGAGAGAGGTATCTTGAGATACTCCGCGCGATGCTTCCCTACGAAACGTCTCTGCTTCCGTCCTTCCCGAACATACACAAAAAAAAATAAACGAGTGCACAGCCGCAGTTGACCTCGAATTTTGCCATCTCCCGCGATGCAATGCTGGTCCCAGATATCAAATCAATTGTTCCTTTCGTGGCTATTTTTAGGGCCGTAGACGTCCGCCAAGGACGAAAGGCTTGGCCCCTCTTAGGCCCAGCCAAGCACCGGCTGAATCTTTACCCACAAAAAATAAAAACCCACTTCGTGATGAGATGATTATATTACCTCGAAGTAGATATATCTATTCGATATTATGTTCGGCTTTGAGGGGGGGTCTTATTTCATTTTATTAGAAGAGGGAGGCCTTGAGTGCCACAATCACTCGAAACCATGGTAATACGCCGGTATTTGTATGCGTATGTATATGTACACGGTGTATCAATTCGGTATAATTACAATAATCACGTCTCAACCAGAGAGAGCCCACGTAATGTAAGCTGGCTCACCGAGATATGGCCGGTTAGCTATATACAAGCGGAATATTTAATATCTAATAGAATAGGCGTCCACCAAGGCGCTTCGCTTTCTATTACCGCTCCGACGGTTAACTACCTGGTTACCAACATGCGTCTGATGGCCTTCCAGTAGTCTTTCTCGACCACTCCTTCAATCTCCTCTTTCGTGAGCCATTGGTAATCTGCGATGTTCGCCTTGTTACCCGTCAGTTTTGGTCGCCCGGCGAAGATTCGTGCCTTCATGAAAAACACTTTCTTCCCGGTCAGCTCCCCATTTTCGCCCTTCGCCTTTCCGTCGGGGAGCTGGTAGTCGTAGTATCCGATAGGAACATTCCCAACCATCCAGTAATTCATATCACGACCACATGCCTTTGTCAAGCTACCCTCTGCAGTCTATTTCCCCTCAGTTAGATTTTTGATATTTCAAAAGTTTAGGAATCCGATATTGCGGATTTATGCATACCTGCTTCAGATTCTGTCGTCCCTCGATATTTGCTTGTGGAAATTTCCAGGTATTATTTTCCCGATCTCCACGCTTAACAAGCAGATATAGGGTCCTTGATAGTTGTCTATTCAAGCTTCTGGTATCGTTGTTTATATCGGCCTCCGTTTCTCGTGGTAAAGGTTTGGTCATAAGCTTCTTGGCAGCAATTTCTTCCTCGGTATCACTGGCACTGATATCCTCCCCGGAAACAGTATATTTCACCAAGGAGTCATAGTCCATATTCTCATCTTCTTGCGGACTATCGCCATATCGTAACTCGTCTTTCCAATGCTCATCGCCATATGGATTATAAACTTTCATACCAAGCCTTTTCCTTCTCCATTCATCGTAGGCCAGAGTCCCAGGTTTAAAATAGAAGTTTCGAACAAAAGGCTTGACCAAACGTTTATCCAACCGACGCTGATAGAAGAAAAACTCCGTTTCGAAGGGTGTGAGTTCTCTAGTCAGAAGTGGAGCCCGAGAGATGACTGTAGAAGCTGCCAATTGGAATGACGATGGCGGTCTTTTGTAGTCCGGAAGGAAGTCATCATATGAAGGAGTCTCTTCAGGAGCATCCAAATCAATGAGAGGCTCTACCGAAGGTTCGGCTGGGGCGGCTGCTGAGGAGGTCGCTATCGAAGCAAAGGACCTTCGGGACTGGAATGCGATGCGGGTAAAGCACCGACGGCACAGCGATTCCATCATAGTTGCGAAAAGATAAAGGTCTCCTGGATAAGACTAGGTTGGACTTGGGATATAAAGTTGGTTGATATCGAGATAGGTCAATTATTAAACGGGTGTGTTATCTAGAAGTGGGTAGGTTGATATCTGTCAGTGTAATTCTCGAACAGGAACATCAATTGCACTTGTCTCCTACCATGCTGAAATTAAAGCTACAGCAAGTACCAGTTCTCCCTTCAATACCCTCCGATATCCCGATTATATCACCCCAGTCGGAAACCGTTGTCGTTGAACTTGCAGTCCGAAATGTGTTTTTCGCGAAGTTGGGCCTGAAAAAGTTTTGGAGCATGCTAGCGCGCACGTGACCACAAATCTGCGAGAATAAATTTGCGCTTCGCTTCACAGTTTCTCAACTTTTCTTCTCTTCTCTTCTCTCCTCAGGCACTTTTCCTTATCACCAACTAAAAGGATATAACGACAGAGTTTATATCGATAGTAGTCCATTTGTTCTGGACGAAGTACCTCCACTTCTACCGTTGGTCATTATATGGTGCTCAGAGCGAGAACTATTTGTTTATTTGCATGATTCGCTAGCACCGTCTATTTGGAGGAAGCAATTCCTCCCCTCAGGACTGAGTTAGATATATATTGCATACATACCTTTTACACTATTATGATGAATACGATTGATTCTTCATGGAATTTTGGCTTTGTTCGCGACAGAGCATGTGGCTATGTTCTGTATTGGCTCGTTTCTGGGTCCCACAATGTCGCCCGTAGACGCTATCGATAGTATACCTACTCCGTGAAACCTTAAAAAACATCCATCGACTTAGATCAAGTACATGGTACCGCGATGCCTGTGTGGACTACCGATTCCCGCTCATGACTGCGGGATTAGGTATGCTGGAGACATGTATCCAACGGCACCTGGCGTGACGGCTGTGTTGTGTTTGCGGGTCTCACTCACATCCAAGCTCCACTCCGCGCCGTCGTGGCAGCTACTTGTTAAGCCCTCGTAATACAATGCCAATATTAATATCCGGGCAAATACAACGGCTTCGACCCTTCACTTCGAGAGCCATATATACCTAGGTATCTACTTACTTCCCGAAGTAGACATCTGTTCGACCCTTAGAGCGTCCACTTGTAGGCAGATTCGAGTATCAGAGTATAGACATGTCCTCCCTCACGTCTGGCATCCTTGGTCTGTCTACTCCTCGCACCGTACCTGAGTGAAGCTATTCGGGCTTCTACATCTATTGTCTAGCCTCCAACTAACAATATATTCTACTCGAGAACAGCCTCCGATGAACTGACCCACCAGTTCACTAGCCTCACTTCGTCTACTAATGTCAGAGGCATCATCGCTGGAATCTCAAATGAACAACTGGTACCCATTGCTACCATCCCACGGCGGGGTACCTTCGAAGAGGATATTCCACAACTCGAGAGCCTTCTAAAGGAAAACGAACCAGCCTATATCATCCTCAGGAGACGAGACTCCGGACCGGCTCCTTTTATCTGCCTCACATATGTTCCTGACCACGCTCATGTTCGGAGTAAAATGCTTTTCGCCAGCACCAGGAATACATTTACAAGAGAACTTGGGACAGAGTACTTCTCGGAGTCCATCTTCGCGACGACAAAGGCTGAAGTAACGGTGGAAGGATTTAAGAAGCATGACGCCCATGTCGCTAAGTATGTAGATGGTATGACGTACCCCTGTGGGACGGCTATAGGCTAATCATTATTAGGGCTGCACCGTTAACGGAGGAAGAGATCGCTCTGAAAGGTGTAAAGGAGGCTGAAGCTGAGGCATCGAGGGGTACTACCGCCCGTGCGTCCCATGTCAGCGGCAGCGTAGCTTTCCCCGTGAGTGATGCAGCTCTGGATGCTCTCCGACGCCTCCCGAATAATCCGAACGGCTTGGTCCAATTGGTATGTTTCTCGGTTGTGCTTTTAAGCTTAATAATTGTGCATCGGTACTGATAAGATCAACTAGATGCTTGACATTCAAAGGGAGACTATTGAACTCGCTGACGAGTCGACATCAACTGCACACGACTTGATAACGGCCATTCCGAATACCGCCCCACGTTTCTCCTTTTTCAACTTCAGCCGTGAGTGATTTCTACGATTATAGAAAGCTTAATTGTCGGAACTAACGATAAAATAAAAAAAAGATAAATACCCTGGAGTACCGGAAAATCCAATCGGTGAGTATCAGGCCAGTCTCAGAAAATACTAACAATGTGGCGCTAATACAATGTAACTTAACCCGCAGTATTTATATATACTTGCCCACCAAGTAGCAAGATCAAAGAGCGCATGCTGTATGCATCCAGCCGATCATCGGTCTTAGCTATCGCAGAAAGGGATGCCGGGCTTACAATTGCCAAAAAGTTGGAGTCCGGGGACCCAGATATCTCTGCACAACAGCTAGCGGAAGAATTCCAGCCCAAGACTGAGCAGAAGCAAGCTTTCCAGCGACCAAAGCGTCCCGGAAGGAAGTAGGAGGTATACCGGTATCTGCAAGCCGCCCGGGTGCACTTTTGTAATTGATTAATATTGAGATAAGCGAGGGTCAATGCAATAGAAATGAATAAATTGGATGCTTTCCCCCTGAAGATATCTGGCTCCGAAACTAATATGATGTTATCAAGCATGTTCGAGCGGCCAAGCTTAAGCAACTGAGCTGCGAGCTGCCCCGCCAAAGGAACCCGTTTATTGTGTTGCGGGGCAGGTTTTTTCGGACCATCGCCGGCTGTATGACATCAACCTGGTGGCAGTTCGGTTACCACAGGCCAACCTAACAGACGACCATCGGAACTTTCACATGTTGTCTTTTTGACTAGAAACAAACCCAAAAGGCTGGGCTTGGGCTGGAACCCAGCGACCACAAATAAGCTTATCAGACACATGTGAGGGCAAATCAATCAGCCCTTGTCTCCGGGGTCGAGGGATGCAATTATGATGGGGTGCTGGTGCCAGATTCTCCCCTCCGCATTTCCGGCTTCGGCTAGGGAACAGGTCTTGGGACAAAACGGCAACTGGTCCATTCGTCCTTTACCTACTGACCACCGCGCTCCCAGGCGGCTATGACACACGATTTTCAGGAAAAGGAAGAAAATGAGGCCTGACCAAATGGGTGTCGCATGGCAGTGCGCCCTTTCTTCCTCGGTACTTTGCCGGCTTGGAACAGCCATTTTCTTTTGCTATGCGGATTCGCAAGCTTGAAACTCCTGCATCGGAATATTTCGTAAAGCCTGATGGCGTAGTGAATAGATCCGTTATATAAAATTTTCCACGTGCTTGGTTGTGCCGAAGTAGCTTAATAGCATGCTTTGGCCCAGGAGTTTAAACTTAATGATAACCACAGGTGTCGACGGATCTTCCCATCCTTTCTACTTTTCTCTCTGATTTCATCTCTTCTTTTTGTTCTCTTCCCTTCTGCCGGTTTGCGAAGTTAGCTATTTTACTGCCAGTGCTTTCTCTCACACGAGTTATCGCCTTTTTTTAAAAAAAATCCCTTCTCGGTGTCTACGTCTGAATCGATTTGAAGTTATTCTAAATTCGAAGCCAACAAAATGTCGAAACAAGGAAAAGGCGATAGACCGAAGGCTACAACTGCCGTGCATTTGATTGGTACGAACGACTAAAGAAACCACACAGAATTATTTCGATTTCAACAGAGCTGTTTACTAACTTTCTTCTTCCCAATTAATAGCCGGTGGAGGTGCTGGATTGTGCGAAGCCTTAACATGTCATCCACTCGGTGAGTACAATCAACGCATCCCTCATGTTGTAAATTCCGAGGTTGTAGCTAACTAGTTCGTGTAGATACAATCAAGGTAAATTTAAACACTCAATGAAAAATATATTTTTACGATTTCCACCAATTGGCAAAGTAAATCAACTCACACGATGTAAAATGAACGAATAGGTGCGCATGCAGCTGAGCCGCAGACGGAGAGCTCCCGGCGTAAAACCCCGCGGCTTCGTCCAAACCGGTGTCGAAATCGTTAAACGAGAAACTCCATTGGGTCTTTACAAAGGTCTTGGTGCTGTTGTTATGGGAATTGTACCAAAGATGGCGATTCGGTTCTCGTCGTTTGAGGCTTATAAGGGCTGGGGAGAGAACCCGCAGACTGGGAAGGCACCACCGCAATGGATTTTCCTTTGTGAGTTACTATTTTCTGATCAATTGGTTTTTTTTTGGGGTTAAATTGAAAGGGAATTGCTAATTTGGTTATGGTGGTTTAGCTGGTCTTATGGCTGGTGCTACTGAGGCTGTGGCTGTGGTTACACCTATGGAAGTCGTGAAGATTCGGTTACAAGCACAACAACATTCGCTGGCGGACCCGTTGGATGTGCCAAAGTACCGAAATGCGGCGCATTGTGCGTTTACCGTGCTGAAGGAGGAGGGTGTCTCGGCACTATGGAGAGGTGTTTCTTTGACAGCATTGAGACAAGCGACGAATCAAGCCGGTATGCATGTCAAAAAGATCGTTTGATGCGATAAAGAAAGGTTGCTGATATGACTCATAGCAAATTTCACTGCGTACACTCAGATGAAGCAATATGCCTTGAAAGCTCAGGATGTAGCTGAACTGCCAACTTACCAGCATCTGTGTCTTGGTTTGGTATCCGGTGCTATGGGTCCTTTCTCTAAGTAAGTCTCCTATGTCAAAACATTGAGTGTCGATATCCTTCTAATTCGTCATTTAATAGCGCCCCTATCGATACCATCAAGACCCGTCTCCAAAAGTCCGCTGCCGAACCTGGAGTCTCGGCCTGGAAGCGTATAACTTCTATTGCCGCTGATATGTGGAAGCACGAAGGTGTCGCTGCCTTCTACAAGGGTATCACTCCGCGAGTGATGCGTGTCGCTCCTGGTCAGGTATACCACCCGTTCTATCACGTCAATCAAAACATAGAGAAGGAAGCTTACTAAATATAAATGATACTTCTAGGCCGTCACATTCGCCGTATACGAGAGAATACGAAACTGGATGGAAAGCAACAGGCTCTCTAGCTTTGACAAGGAATACGCAGAGTAGTGACATTTTCTTCCTTAGTGCGAAAAACAAAAGAGTTTTTAAGCCTTTTGCGTCCTTTGATGTGTCTAATTGGTTTATTTTAGGGCACAATGATTGGATTCTTCTTCTTATCATTCTATTTTATATATGAGAGAAACGGAGAGAAACAGAAGAGGAGAGTTTAAAAGTTGAGATAAAAAGGGAACCCAGGGAAGGCGTTCGCTAATATATATAATACCTTATATACCCAAATCACCTTACCCTGAACCAACCCTGTCTTTTTATGGTTGGCTGGTGGAGCATTTGTACAGCTGTTGTGCATGTTTTGGATTGCGCAGTTCTGATCAGGTCGGGTTATTGCTGTTGCTGTTGGCGTCGATGTAGCTTAGTTTCCGTTCGTCTGTTAATTGTCAATCAATCCTTTTTTCCCTTTGATATTTTATATCAGCTGGTCCCGTTTTAAGTAAGAATCGGCCGACCATATCAATTCTCGTGATAACTAAGGTTATGTCATGTCGCTATATCTATTGCTATTATATAGGTGGTCTCGACTATGAAATTTCGGACGAACAAAAATGAAATGAGATTGAAGGTTGTAAGGACAGCTGACGGTCTCGTAACCAGGCTTGACAGTTGTGGTAACGGACCCGAGAAATTGTGTTGCAGGATTGTACAACTACGCGACAAATGTGTTGTCCCAGCGCTATGGGACATCCCAAACAGGTAATCCCGGACAACAGGGCTTCGCAACCCGACGACCGCACCAACAACTTCCATCGCGACAGGTACTCCATATAATTCTCATCCTCTCCAAACCACCCGCCTGGTTTCATCTCCGTTCCTCACCCCATCTACTCGAGAGCTTGTCATCGCCTCAACTTCTTTTGTCGCGTCATATCTCTTCTTCAGATCTCCTTCTTCAAAGATTCAGAATCTTCCGATCGTTCGGTTATTTAAGCCGTTCGATTCCTAGTACCCCTCGACACGTTTGTATCTCACTTGAGACTTATCAGCCACAGAGCCTCGTCTTGCCTTTGCACACGAGCTTTCTAAAACGTCTTCAACAACGTCAGCTAGCAACCCTCTCTATCTCTTATTTTGTTCTCATCCCTCTTTATCCTGAATACATCCGTCTTTTTCTCCTTTCGACCTCCACTACCTGTTCGTCCGCTTTGTTTTGGCAGGTAGTAGGGGGTTAGATTAAGGTACACCCATTTGCACAACACTCGCTTTCTCCGTTGCCACAACGTCACTTCCCACACCCCACTATCTCACACGCCCTTTGTCCGAACATTCCATGTTCCTTTCTCTCCTTCAATGATGACAGAAACAAAGAGTAAGTACATTACCCATGTATTCCTTTGTTTTTATTTTGAAGAAATGGGTCCTAACAACAATAAACAGTGAGTGCTGCGCAACGACGCAAGCGTGTCATTGACATGCTGTGTAACCCGGCTGCCGATAATGTTTTCACTGAAGAAGACCGCGTCCCAAAGAGATTAAAACTCTCGAGTCCACTGGGCAGCAATCTTGACAAGGCAGCTCCTGAGAAGAAGAACGGTAAATAATTTGGCCTTCTCGTGGTATCCCTGTTTACCTACTGCAAGAAATTAATATTTTTGATTCTCGACAGACGCCTCCTATGCTTTATTCGTCAATAGTCGTTTGAGCGAACAGGAAGCTGCTCATCTTCCCTTCGGCCGCCCGTTACTTGATGAATCTGAGATCATACAGTGTAAGCACTGTAAGAAGCCAATTCTTCGTCCTCTCGCACAGAGCCACATTAAGGCGTGTCTCAAGGTTAAGGCAGAGGCGAAGAAAGAGCGGAAGCTAGCTAAGGAAGCTGCCTCGGGTAAGGTTGATTTGAAGAAAACAAAGGAGAAGGCCGAGGGTAAAGAAGGTGAAGATAAAGAGGAGAAGGCCAAAGCCTCTAAACCCGCTACTACGGGTGCTACCGCTTCAGAAGCGGTTAAAAGCACCACCAAGACAGCCACTAAGACGAAGGCCGGTGCCGGTGCTAAGAAAAAAGCGGAGGACGAGGGAGCGGCAGAAAACAAAAATTCGAAGAAGAGGAAGGCTACAGCTGACGGTAATGATTTCCCCAACGTAAAGCCATTTGGTATCTCAAATTATCTAACGATCAGACAGACGACAAAGCAAAGGCAGGTGAGGGACCTAAGACTAAGAAGACGAAGAAGGAAAAGCCGGCTCCGAAGCCGAAAGGTGTGTCAGCAGTTCCCCTACAGGGGCGCTTCCCCAGGAAGGCAAAGCGTCCAGTTTACTACCAAGAGTAAAATACTAATCGAACAAGGCCCTGTTGATGTGGAGAGACAATGCGGTGTCCCTCTCCCTAATGGCCAGCTCTGCGCACGATCTCTTACGTGCAAATCTCATAGTATGGGCGCAAAACGCGCAGTTCAGGGCAGGCCAGCTCCTTACGATACACTTCTTCTTGCCTATCAAAAGAAAAATCAAGCTAAACAGCAAAGTAAGAGCACAATAACTTAAAACTTCAGAGTCCAGAGTTCCACTAACCAGTTCTTGCTTTGCGTTCCTCCGCGTTTGTTTTTTGGTTCTCTGCTTTATACAGAAGCTGCAATTAATGCTAGTAATCCCGCTCCTGATGATCTCGAAACGAACTCGCTTCATGTCGACTCAGACGAAGAAATGGAGTTTGTAATGGCCGCTGTCGCTCGGTCCAATCCACAACCAATAGTTCCGACCATCCTCCTCTCCTCCCGACAGAAGTATAACCACAGACGATTCGCTTTAATGCTTGGTGCCGCCCTTAAACCCCCCAATCCGCCAATGAGTGCAGTCGATGCTAGGCCCTTCGGTAGTTTCAGCCATGGTTTTATGAGCCAAACTTAAACTCCCTCATCTATAAACCGGTAAATTCTTTTATTCAGTAGAACGCAGGGTAGTTACTGGATATCGCTGCTTTATGGTTGTGGCCATGGTAGCCGCATGTTTTTTTTCTTTTGCTTTTCATTTCTCCGGTGTTCTTTTATTCATCGATCCTGCATTTTCTAAAGTTTTCTTTTTTACGGATGCATGGCTATGGTGGCGTTCCCGAGGTGCTTAGATTGTACTTTTGCTCAGCGGGCGTTATGCATTTACGGATGTTCTTTAGTTTATTCGTTTATTCGATGTGCATATCATACCCTTTCCGTTCAGGCGCCATAGATGGGCTTCGTACGATCTTGATAATAGGATTTTGTCATCCATTCTTCTTTCAAGGATCTATTCAATTCATCTGATGCATGTGATGTTAGAAACTTCTGATTATAATACAGTACTGTGGCGGTATGGTAAGGAAATCGTTGGGCCACGGTCTTAAGTTAGCCTCGTAAATTAGAAGAGCTGTTCAACCGTCAAATCCCATGCACGTCTTCTTTTTTTATTATAGTATATGTCCTATCAACGTTCGATTCCGACGACCACTTGGCAATATTTTTTTCTTTGGGAGGCGCTCGCGGGCTTGGGGCCGGGTATATGCAGAGCGCTCGTATAAATAAGAGTTATAAGTGATTGGCACTGCAGCCTAGCTAGCTGGGAACTGCCGCTTCCAAGGACTGGATCTTGGTTATCGCAATTTTGACGTTTCATTCGGCTTCAATGCATGCATTTTATATAATCATGGTTAGCTAGGGAGGGGGTGGATTCGAGGCTAGGGAGGGGGCTTGCAGTTAGCTATGGCCCGACAAATCAGTGTTACTTGCTGAAACACGTAGTTTCTTGCTTAAATAGCTTTCTTGCTTGTAGTTGGATATGTGGTGGAGATAACCTTTTTGAGAATAATCAAACTGTGGGAATAATGGTTGGTACTATGGGATGGCCATGGATGAGGTTTTTTGGATTATGCACGTACATACATGTGACGACGAGTATTCGGATTAGGAAGATAGGTGGATAGGTGGATCAATGTTTTCCCGGTTCCGCGCGATTAGTAAATTCTTGTTTCTATTACCGTAACTTTAGCATGCGCATGCATGCTTCAACGGGACGTTTGGGATAGGATCTTGGGACGAAGACCACGAGTATAAATACTGCGGTTTGGAACATCCTTTTTTTCAATCATAATAATCCATAAAGCACCAATAACCCGAGTAAGAAGTAAAGCAAGTAAATTAACAGTTACCTTCAAACCTCATTATCACTGTCAACATCGTTTCCCAATAGAACATCAGTGTCATAAGGCAAGTACCGTAAACTCTATGCCATAAACTATATCTCCACTACATGCATAGAATCATCTCACTAACTCCCACCCTATAAGCCAAAAGCAACAATGTAAATCAACAGCTTCACCCTCGCCCTCCTCTCCCTCTACCGATGTCCAAGGCACCAATTGTGTCTTGTACTCGGATTCTCGCTGTCAGGGGTATATCGGGGAAACAGGGAATAAGAGGGGGGATGGTGGTTGTTATGTTCCTCCGGTTCCTGCGTGTTCTATGAAGTGCTGGTTTGGGTGTTAAGGTTCGGGCATCGATATTGTGGGTTGATTATTTGATTGCGAGCGGTTTGGCGGGGTTATCATTTGGATCTTTGTGTATTAACAAACCGATAGATTGTTTCTGTGAAACCATTACGGGTATACTTCATTCGCTAGCAACGATGTATAGTATAATATATAATAGTAAGTCGATATATAGGTATACATGACTATACTTACTTTGTAGATATCGGTTGGCCAATTCGGAGGGCTGTGTGGCTTATATATACTTAAGTATATATCAAAGTCAACTTTAGTTAGAGCTCTAGAATTCCTATCCCTTCTATAACACCTTGCTTCTCCTCCAAAAATGGATCTTTCAGATTTGTATTCTGCAAGCTAGTGTCTCGCCTTGAATTGCCTCCTCGCAGCCTTCTATAACGGAGATTTTTAAGAAATTTAATACGGTCCCGACTACGTATAGTCTCGGGGTACGTGTACTTTATCAGGTAGCTGGCGAGATTCATTTGGCACTTCCACCACTACATCTTTATCATTAATATCACCAATAAGAGGTATTATATTTAGGTAGATACCAGACCAGCTAACACAATACAATACAACGCAACAACACGAGATAATGTCGCCAAGATGTTGTAATTTGGTAACATGACAGGGTACCCGTAGGCATACGACGGTTTGGTAACAAAACCAATTAGTGATTGGATTGGAATTGATCCTAGATTAGACACGATCCAGGTCAATTGGGGAAAGCCAAGAGGATTGTTGAACGTTCGAGTATTAATATGGTACCACGAGCCTTAGAATTTGGGTTCAACTTCAAGATCGATATATCTAGAATTCGAATGTGAATTCGCGAATGCTATTGCGCAACTGCAGGCAATCTGGGAAGAAAGATCTACTAGGTACCTAAGATAATTATCGATAAGCACGGAATCAGTTATCAAATTCGAGTTGAGTTCAGTTAACTTTCAATTGATGAGCTACCGAACTTAAGGTACATAAGTATCGATTGTTATAGTTATAGTGCGACCTAGAATCCCGCTAGCTCGACACCGATGACCCCTCATATCCATCGCGACTGCTAGTGGGGGTTTGGTGACACCAGCATCTTGGCAAACAGCAGATGCTTGTGTTTAAAGTCTGGGCATGAGGACGAACCAATGCATACATTGTATGCCGCTCAGGCATGGGGAAATCCCTAAGAAAATCCCATGAGGCTGATAACTTTCCACACCCCGCACCTCGAGCTAGCTAACTAACTGAGGAGGGTCGCAACATTCTCATAGCAGGATTTGAACTTGAGGGGGGCCAAAAACAGGGAATTAACATATGTACACGCGGGTTTTCATTCAAAGTACTCACAAAGCAGATGGTTTACATATACCCTATCAGCCCTCTTGAATCTTGCCCTTAAGCTTGTGCTCTTAAATTTAAACCTCAGATTTCTTCTATCTCTAGTTTTATCCAACAATCAGCTGCAGTTGTTCGCGCGATAAGGCGAATTCAAAACGTCTGTAAAATCTAGAATTAATTCTAGTTATAGTTACCTACTTCAGTACTAGGTGTACCTCGACCATATGCATGCTTTGATTGCAAAATTGCATCTCAACGTGATCAATTAATTGCAATTAATATCGCGTAATGGCATATTCCTATCGCGACAGAACGTACACCGAATCCTCACCCTCTAGTGCCACCCTCGCGCCTCAAAATAAAGTAGAACACGAAGGCGACACACCGGGGATTTCGACGGGTAGTCGCGCAGCCACCTGGTCTTCACAGAACGAAAGCATTGCAAGAAATTCGGCATCAATAGAAAACTGGTCTTCCGATATCACTACATTAAATACAGAAGACCAAAAAAGACCTAAAACTGTTATAAAAAGAAAACCAGTACCTAGTACTGGGCTGCCGGAGACGGAAAGCGGCGGTAGCTATAGTAGAAAGAGAACAGAGACTATGGATTCTTCAGGGGGCTTTTCTGAGAATTCTAGGGCTCAGCCAGCAGAGCTAAATGGGAGATCTGAGAATACGAGTTTACGAAGATCGTCGGCATCCGAGGTGAAACAGGCACAAATTAGCCATTCGGAAAGATCTGAATCCCTCGTGGAATCTGGCCTGGCGTTGTTAAACCGACGGAACTGGACCCCCTTCAAGATATTTATGCTAGCTGGTCTCATTTTGACGCTTCCGGGGATCTTATCAATGATTTCTTCTTCGGGTGCGGGACCGGCGACTGGGCTTACACCGGCAAGCCCGATAGTAGCTATCATGGGAGAGACTGGTTCAGGAAAGTCGAGTTTTATAAAGGCTTTAGGAGGGAGGGATGATTCTGGGGATTTCCCCCTTGTCGGCCATACTCTAAATTCAAGTACGCCACTCATAGCTACCGATGGGTATATGCATAGTATTATCCTTAACTTAAAATATTGGGCCATCGCTAATTAGACGGATCGAGTAGCGACAAAGAAGGTTCAATGGTATTCTGCTGTGGCTGGCTCGAAGGGGTTTTATATCCTTGATACACCTGGCTTCGACGACTCGTATATGAGCGACTTTGATATATTAGAGGGCCTGACCAAAGAACTTGCCACGATATATAGCAACTCAAGGCCTCTGACGGGGATTATATATGTTCATGATGTCTCGAAGGAGAAGATGGGTGGAACATCACATAAGGTGGGCATAATTAAGAAGCTCCCCTGTCGAATTTAAACACAGGTATATGTGTATATCTTGCTAATATCAAGATATTTACGACGAATAGAGCCTGCGAACATTTCAGAAACTTGTGGGAGAACGGTCAATGGAAAATGTAGTTCTTGTGACTACCCATTGGCGATCATTCTTGAAGGGAGAACAAGTAAAGCGTGAGGATGAACTACGGAAAACATTCTGGGCGTCGATGATAGGACGAGGATCAAAGATTTTGCGTCATGATGGGTCAACCAAATCGGCAGTACGGATTGTAAAGGAGATGCTTGATAGAAAACCAGTGGTGGTCAAGATCGTAGATGAGATGGTTAACCAGAAGATGGCATTTTATCAGACAGATGCTGGTGGGGTTGTTCAGGAGGGGTTGAAAGTATTGGAGGGGAAATTGGACTCGAATGTGGCGGCTCTTAACGATGAGATCACACAACTGAAGAAGGAGAGAAAAGATGCGGAGAATGCAGTAGAAGATAGAATGAAGAAGTTGGAGAAACAGTGGAAGACTAGTACACAGAAGGAGAGACAGGAAATCGAAGCGCAAATGAAACGGATTAAAACTGAAGGGGCAGAGCAAGCTGGGAAGTTCAACAAACAACTTACGGCGATCGTTTACGAGAAGCAGCAACAAGCATACCAGATCAACGACTTGAAGAAGGCTAATGAGGCTCTCCAGAGTCAACTAGACCAACAAAGGCAGAGACAGCTGCTCGAGGAGGAAGAACGGAGGAGGAAGGAGAAGGAGAAGGAGGAGGAAGACGATGAATCGGGTTTCTTCACAAAGCTTTTCGCAGGCATCATTACAGCTATCATTTGGATTTTTTTGACATTAGTTCTGATAGGGTTCTGCGTTAGCCCTAGCCCGTAAAAATTGAAGCTTTGAATTGAATTGAATTGATTGTATCCCTACCTTAAGTACTAGATGTACTGATGTTGTTTGTGAGGTTATAAGATTATTAGATTATGTAAGCGTGGATATAATAATATTAATTTGATCGCAGTCGGAGCATCCGAGGCTAAAAGGCGACTTTTTGTTGTATCAAATGAGACAAAATGCGGCAGCTGGCAACTGACTGGCAAATGGCAACTGGGAGTCAATCGATGGCAGCTGGCAACCCAATTGGCAGCCTCGGTACCGGAACAACAGCATCAGCACGGGCAGGCCGATGTGTTGTACTGTTTGTATGGAAGGAAGCCCGCAACAGCCTCGCAAAGTCCTCACTCAGTAGCTGTAAGTACTACTTGCGGAGTACGTAAAGTTGGGTTGCCACATGTGCGCCCACCTGCCGGCCCACCAAGCCAGCCCCGTTCAATTGCATTGGCTGGCCTGGCCTGGTCGGTCGAAGTCAAAACAATTCGAAAGCCCCTCGCTCACTGGCTCCTATCCGAAGAACCTCCCTTTATCTCTTTCCCTCTCTCTCTCCTAATTAAATTAATTTCCATCCATCCCGACCTGTCGTTCCTTCTTCTCCATTTCACCTGGACTTTTCGGTTGGTATCTCATCATAATCCGGCACCGCGTCTGAATACCTTCGCCGTTTTCATCACCAAGTCACGCGCGGAAAGCAACTATTCTCTCTTTTCCCTAGCGACACCGAATCCAAGTCCGGCTTCCGCCACTCCAACATGGATAACCGACCAGCCATCAACGGCCTTGAGGACCGACCTCTTAACATCCACCGCCCGCGTGTGAACCAAGTAAATGGCTACCAAAGCAGCAGCAGTCCCGAACGTGTGTCGGGATATCATTCCGACTTCATGGAATCCAGTGCCAGCGTCCCATCATCTCATACATCAAAATCCTCCACCATGTCGGCATCGAACGTAGCCGCCTCCCGGTCCTATAAGGAAGCTGCCAACTTCTTCTTAACGCGTCAGATGGCCGATGCTCTTGCTGTGTTGCGACCAGCTTTGAGAGATGCTGCCAGCCAATCGACACAACGGGCCACAAGAGTTAAGGTCTGGAGTTTGTATTTCGCCATCTTTGATGCCGCCGTTAAGATGTCACCGGAGGAAGGGAAGAGGATATGGGGTGGACAGGACTGGAGACGGATTGTCGGAAGAGTGAGAAATGGTTTAATCTGGGATGAAGTCGAGGACGCGTATAAGGGCGAAGGACCAATCGATACCGATGTTGTAATTGCATTGTGAGTCCGAAAAAACAACCCTGTCTATTTCGAAATCTTCCAAAACTTTGGCTAATTCCCTACTGTAGGGTTATGTTGGTTCTTGCACACGGGAACGACCAAAAGACTACTCAGAAACATATTGAAGCCGCTCTTGCCGAGCTACCTTCGGCTAGTGATAGCCCGAAAGCTCTTGCCCAGAGGACTAAACTTATGGAGCTCTATATTCTCCATGTCCTCCCTCGGGTGGACGAGTGGGATTATGCTCGAGAGTTCTGTCAGATGAGTCCCTTCTTGGACGCTGACAAGAAGGAGGTATGGATGATATCTTTCTTAATAATATATCATTTCCAGTCTACTGACAAATGTGCTAGAACTTCCTTACTGCCCTGGAAGCCCTCCAAAAGGAAAAGGCTGAACAAGAGGCCCGACGTTTAGAGGAAGAAAGGATGGCTGCTGAAGCCGCTGAGCGTGAAGCCAAACTTGCCGAAGAGCGTCTCCGAGAATCTGCCAGCGCTAGCGAAAACCGATCTCGTTCTACTGTTCGAAAGGGCGACAACAAGTCACAGAGTGGTACAATGCGCAGCCGTAAGCGTAGCACTGCTCGCAGTACCGCATCCTCTGATTACCGACCTGCCAGCCGACGCTCTCGGTCTCAACGACCATACCAGGACGATTCTGATGATGCTCTTTCGACTGTTTCGGGCGCCCCCCGAAGGGCGAGGAACATCTTTTCTCAGACCTCTAACTTCGCCGGCACTTTGGTGAAATACGTCAACCACTCCGTTGGCGCGCAGAAGACTATTCAAGCTGCAGTCTTCATATTCGCCTTGGTCTGGGCTCTCGCTAAGAAAAGCGCGAGGTCCAGACTGTGGAGGTATCTTATGTTTGCATGGATGAAGACTATGACCACGATTGGAATGGGTATGAAGGTGACTTACGTTTAATTAACCATCATTATAGCCTTGTGATTATTTTCCTTACCTCGGTCTACATGATATTTTTTTTTAGCGGCCCCCTTTCCGTCTCTCCCTTTCTCTTTCTCTCTCCGGTTATTTTTGGTAGGAGCATGCCCTCACGGTGAAACCTTGGCTTGGTACCTTGTTGGCGTTCTCTGTTTTTGCGGGCACACACAAACACACATTGCATATATTATAGTACTCATCTCTTTTTTCTACTATTGATACTATTCATTATTGTATAATACTATTATAAAACAGCTTACGGCGTTAACGTTATCAATCATACTGTCTGAACGTATTCTATTTAGAAAAAGTTTGTAGTTTTTTTCGGCGTGGTGCAGCTTCTTTTGTTGTCTGTATTTGATACTGGTGTTTTAAAAGCCGCGATTGAGGATGTCTAGTTAATGCGCAGACCAAACACCATTTTGCCAATAAAGCTGTGAAGATGATAGTCAATAAAATTGAAAGTTTGGAATCGCCGGCCCATCCAAGCATATGTAAACAAAATCCTAGCTACTGTTCCGTGATAGATAGGGTTCTGTCTTGTTCCTGGTATACCACGTTCCTCGCCTCTGATCTAACCATTTGTAACACACAAAACAACCTCACACCAACGCAAAATTCCAGTTTGGAAACCACAAAATACAACACAAGGGAACGGGATATATTCCCAGAAGAACTGCTGAAATACTGAAGGGTAAGAGGTGGGGGAGGGTGCTTACATATTCATGAGGCGGGTTGTAGTCACCGGCCTCGGGTGTGTTACACCTCTTGGCGTGGGTATGTATAAACTCATCCTTCTATACCTTGCATGGCTTCCATATTATATTCTTCACCCCATACTATACTAGCTTATGGATAAGGCTGTCAATTGATCGTATTATAATATTTTATAGGTCTCAAATCCTTTTGGACAAATCTGGTCAACAGTAAATGCGGTGTAGTGTCTACCGCGGACCTTGCAAACGGTGCATTCAAGGGTATTCCATGTAAAGTTGCGGCTTTAGTGCCTACGGGCGAAGATTCACCGGAACTATGGAGTAAAAAGAGAGCAGCGAAAGAGATGGAGATGAACAAGGTTGCGGTTTTTTCACAGTACGCTATTGTTGCGGCGAAGGAAGCGTTGGAGGATGCTGGGTTTGGGAATGGGAAGTTTGGGAATGAGGTTGCTGAGAGAGTGGTATGTTGTTATATTCTCTCTTTTCTTCTTCTTCTCTCTATATTTGGGGGATGATTTAGCTGATTAGTATTGGGATATCGATAGGGAGTTTGTATTGGGAGTGGGATAGGTTCTTTCGAAGATGTTTGCGAAACGGCTGTGAAATGGACGAATAAAGTAAGCTGAAAGCCATAGAAATCATATCTTCGAATTCAATGCTAACAATAAATCTAGGGCTACACCGGTGTAAGCCCACTCCTAGTCCCCCGTCTTCTAATAAACATGGCCGCCGGTCACGTCTCCATGAAATACAACATGAAAGGCCCCAACCACTCCGCATCCACAGCCTGCACAACAGGCCTACACTCCATCGGCGACGCTTCATATTTCATCCAACGCGGAACAGCAGACATGATGCTCGCCGGCGGTGCAGAGTCCGTCATCCACCCCCTCGCAATAGCAGGGTTTGCACGAGCTAGGGCGTTATCAACGAATTATAATGACACACCCGAAAAGGCTTCAAGACCGTTTGATAAGAAACGCGATGGATTTGTAATGGGTGAAGGTGCTGGGGTGTTAGTTCTTGAAGAATTGGAACGTGCGAAGGAGAGAGGGGCGAGGATTTATGCGGAGGTTAAGGGGTATGGACTTTCTGCTGATGCTTGGCATCTTACGGCGCCGCCGAGTGATGGGGACGGTGCTTTCAGAGCTATGAAGGCGGCATTAAAGGATGCTGGGGTTGAACCTGGGGCAGTGGATTATGTCAATGCTCATGCGACGGGGACAAAACTTGGGGATATAGCGGAGAATGCCGCCATTAGAAGGTTAGTTGTTAGGGAGGGTGGGAGGAAACCTGAGGGAGTGAATATCTCGAGTGTTAAGGGGGCTATTGGACACCTTTTGGGGGCTGCTGGGGCAGTAGAGAGTATAGTGTCTATCATGGCGATTCATGAGGTAAGTACTTTGGAACCTAAATTTTGATATAAGAACCGAGTTTACTAAATGATCACGTTCCGGTCTACAGGGAATTCTACCACCGACTTTGAATTTGGAAGAGCCAGGTGACCCTCCTGAGGACTTTGATTGCAATTATGTTGCGAATGAAGCACAATCCGCGAATGTTGACGTGGCTTTGTGCAACAGCTTTGGGTTCGGGGGGACGAATGCCAGTCTTTGCTTTACAAAGTATAAGGCGTAAAAAGGCTGTAAGCGTTTTGTTTAAATTAATCAATTTCAAAATCTAAATATTAAAGGGATTATTGTTCTATGTAGATATCGCGGTACGTATACGAGAGAGCACGCATCACTTATTGCCAATTGTATAATTAAATATTCTTATCACCTCTGGAATTAATTTTATGTATCATAAAGAAAAATTTTCACTTGGTGCTATATCTTCTCAAGAACCAGCATTGAATCATTGTAAACGAACGTTAAGGAACAATATGATGGTGTCTTGAATTCAAACTTCAAAGCCCAAACGGAACATGCATAATGATCTTAATAGGGCGGGGGGATTCAAATATCGTGGTGCCTATTATAAAACTTCTATCAATATAGCTCTCCCCCTTCTTTCGTGGGATCCCTAGAACGGCTTCAATAGGACACCCAAATCTATAACTAAAAAACATTAACGACAAGGAAAACAGACCAGAAAAACGAAACTAAGAAAAAAGAAACTAAGAATCATGAAATAGGGATGAAGGCACAAAAAGAAAACAAGTGATATGTAAGAAAGCTATGCGGAACGCCGCGCTGTGCAGAGGTGAGAGACCCTGAGTGTAAAAAAGAAAGCTCTCTTCATCTAAAACGGCGTGTAAATACTGATATCTCCCATCAGTAAAGCAGAAAATATAAATTCTGCATGTATGAATTAATAAGTTTGAACACTGAGGAGCTCCAAGATAAGGAAGCTGCGAGTTCGAGCATAAATAAAATTCAGGAAGGAAAAAAGCCACAGAGCTCCTAGGCAAGGGAGTTGTGGGTTTAGACAAATAGAATGAATAGAGTTCGGAAATACTACAGAGCTTCAAGACAAGGAAGTTGTAGATTATGGAGGGCATTGAGGGGAACTAGTCAAACCCTCGCCGCAATACAAGTAAGATGTGATATAGCCGTTTCAGAGGGTGAACTCCCCTTCAACGGTTCCATTAACACAAATACGACCTCCGAATACCTTCCAGAAATGGCTTGACCAATGTGGAATTCGCACCTTCCGTTTATCCTCGAGTTCCACCTCAACTATCTTACCATAGCCAGCTTTAGGGGGTCGAGTAGCTAATGCTGCCACGATTTCTTCCTTTCGGGAGTCTAAGCAAGAAGCGATTTCCGCGGGCGGTAGCGGGTTGTCTGAACCGGCGAAGTACAAGATTGCCGATAGCTTGACGAAAGAACGAGCTGTGCACCATGCATCATACCCGGCAACGTGATTTTGCTCTGTATTAACGGGGAAATCATCTATTACGGGGTTAGTGTGAAGCTAGGTTGGGGTATTTGCAATAATTCATACCTATATGCGGGTAGGTCATGTGGGATAACCTATATCCCAATTCTGGGAGACTGCTGGAGGCTGAGTTCTATAAAATATGTTAGAAGGATCCAGATAATTTCGATGCTAGAAGGTATGATTACATACCTTATTGGTCTCTTTGCAGTGAAGAGCGAGAAATTTGGTGTCAACAATCCTGGAGATAAAGATGTATTAGTCAGGCCCTGAAAGTTTACAATAAGTCTTCTTGTTTCGACTAAAAATGGACTCACAAGCCAAAGCTCTGCTGCAAAAACCTTCGAAAATCGTTGATATCTTCAGGAGGGTCCCCGATAAACATGTTGTGCATATAAACCAAATCGGTGAAGAGGTTATGTCCGATTAGAGGTTTTTTCAACTCCATGATTTTATCAATTAGGTGCCGTACGCCGCGTTGCACCTTGAGCACCTTTTGGAAGTCATCCTCCCTTTTCAGCACGATATTCCTCTCCCGGTCTCCATTGTATGGCACCACCTGCAGATGCCGCTCATACCATATCCCATTGTAATCGGGGAATTCGCGACGGATAAACTGAGAGATGATACGACGCTGGTATCCATTATATCCTGCATCACGCTGTATATTGAGGAAATCAAAGGGGTCCTATCCAGAAGCGTTAGCTGAGACTCGATCTTCGAAGAAGCGTAGAGGGGTGAAGACATACGGATTCCCGGCGCTTGATCCATCCGATGATTTGTGATCTCACATCCTCAAGCATTGGGAGATCTTCCTCTTTGGGCTCAATTTCTTTTTTGTCGGCTTCGTCCCGCTGACGTTTCAGACCTTTAATATGTGCCTCCTCTTGGTGACCGAGGTAAAGGCACCCTCGACTAAAGAGCTTGTTGAAATCGAATCCATTCTTAAGATGGAAATCGATTGCTATTAAGACAAAGGGTGAGTGATTGTTTATGGTCAAGCTTTATAGGAAAGGATAATATACTTACCGCTAGCCGAGAATAAGTAGGCCCTATCGTACCGGAATAACCTTTTCTCCACATGGGGAGCGACAAAGAAGTTGAAGGGCCTGGAGCTGTATTTTGGCTCCCGTGGAGCATTCGGCTCCCATTTTACTGGGCAAATGCCCATCTGCATGATGCGGTATGCCTCCGCAGATTCCTATCAAATTTAGGATTAATTGTTTGCTTGTCAGGCGGTGGGAGGTTAGGGTCCATACGCAGAGCTCTTTGTACCTCTCGGCCAAGGTGGGTTTGTGGTTCATATCCACCTGGCCTCTTCTCGGGTCGCTGCCCACCCCCGAGAACTCGAAATCGAGGGCGATAAACTATATGAAAATTGTTAAATGAGAGTTTAGGAATGAGTAGGGGTTATTCTAAACTTACATCGCAATCCTCGATGAGTTTTAGGAGGTTGGGCAGCTCCTCGTCGAAATCGGCCCGGTCAATCTCCCACCGTGTGCCGGCCAGCGTCAGTGGACCGAACTCCATCTTCACTATAAAAGTGAAGATGGACGAGGTGTGGGGAGGTGCCTATGATAGGCAACCTCGAAACGAAGAACGAAAAGATGGGGAGGTGCTGCTAACAGCAACCTCGAGGAGAAGAGCTAAAGAGGGTGTTAGAAAGCGGCGAAGAATTGAGGATGAAGATGCATGGATCTTCGAGTAAAGAGTCAATGATAAGGAAGAATGATTCGATGAGGCAGCTGGAAGGGGGTGGAGCTGGTTTGTGATTGGGGATGAGAATGATGAAGAGGGGAGGGAGTATGGAGAGGGAAAGGGCACTTTAAATAGAGAGGTAGAGACCTCAAGGGAAAATAAGTTCAAGACTTTGTAGAAGGAGGGTTGAGCTCCAGAGCGCGCAAGCAACGGCCGAGCAAGCGAGGGAAACCTAGCTGCAAGACGCACGCCCGCACGGTGACCAAGGGGCTACCCGTACGGCGAGTCTCCAACTGCTGGGTCGACGGATTATCCTAACGGAAAAAACAAAACCCCTTCAACAAAAAGCCCAGCGACTCTTCGAGAAGAATAAAGACGGGACAAAAGGAGTCGAGGAAGGGAATCAGGGGTGTTGCATCCAGACAGGTATGTGGGAAAGGGATGGATGGATGAATGGATGGACGCGGCGGGAGTAGGGGACGCATGCGCATTGAGAGATAACTTACAGTTTTAAAAAGAAAAGTGAAGCGAGTGGAATTTTAGATGTGTCGTCCAGACCTTCTGGGAGAAACCTTTATCTCCAAAGAGGGCAATAGTCGCGAGAGGGGGGGAGAATGTTGCGAGGACTTGTACCTGGAGGTGAGCTGAAGATTCAAGGAAGGATGAAAGATACTTTCGTGATACTTGTATATGATGATAGCGAAGGGAAAAGAGTGATGCTGAGAGGAATGGGATTGAGGGGGCGGATGGCTTTATATAATGCTAATCTAGCGGGAGGGTTCCAGAGCGGGCAATTGCAATTCTAAGTTTCCCTCGGACCGTCGAGTAGTCCCATATATTGCACTTTTCACGCTTGGTTGCCTCACTAACCCTACCGAGCGAGCGGATATTTTAAAGCTGACGTCTTTGTTTCGTGAAGTTTATAACACTCTCCTTTGTAGCGTCTGGAAACGAGGCTAGGTCTGTATCCTATATTTTAAACGTCTTTGAATTCTGATGAATAACCCGTGGTTTGACGAAATCCGAAGTCCGGGAACAGGGCACAAGACAAAAAGTGAGCGAACTGGGAACTCTGGACCGAGAAATCGAAACCGTGAAAGAAATATGTAATTCTGGACTGGTCTAGGTTGCAGTTATGATAAAACTTAAGGGCGATTTAGTAAAACTGGCCTTGAAGTAATTCTTTCTCTTAGTTCTGATATTTTATTAGCATCAGATCAGACCCGTTAAACAGCTTCAGGGCCCAAGCGAGCAACAGCGAAGCTAGCGGCGATCCCTAGAGTTTTAGGGCTAAAAGATGCACCGTGGCTGCAATCGAGCCGCTGATCGCATGGGGTAGGTGGTGACTCAGTAGCGTATAATAGACTTGGCATAAATAACCCCCAAGGGACCTCACTTTCGCGAGCTTTGGGCGCGATAGATAGGGAAAGGAGCAGTGCTTGGTGACACAACTGCTCATAACACCTTGGTCATGTCTTCATGAATTCGAGGGAATCTGACCTACCGATATATTGATAGTGGTTAGGCTCGCTAGCGAAAGGAGACTCCGGTATCCGTTCTCCCCACCCGGTCACTAGCGCAAATACTGGTATTACGCCCAAAGTGTCTAGACGGGTCCAATGGATTTAGAACATGACTCAATATCCTCTCGCCCTTCGATAAGTCCTCGAATATAATAAAATACTATGTGTTGTTATTGTGGTATTTCGAATCTAGCAATTTCGAACGCAAAGTTTCATGGGTTTGAGTTAAGAGACCAGTGCGAGTTGACAGTTGCGGCCGCTTTACGGATAGCTATAGATTCAAGGTTGATCTTCTGAAAAGAAAATATTAGAGGGAATTCTTTATTTTTATAGGATCCATGTGGTGTTGTATGAGCCATATTGTAGGATGTCGACAAATGGAAGACGGGAGAACACGAATTGTGAGTTTCTAGCTTGTCTGGCCTGGGTAGCCTGCGAAACTATGCCTGAACTGTCCGTTAGGAGGCACAGAATGAAGTCTCCGACCTTTGTATCACCTATGTTTAATGCGGCTCGTAAAACCTAGAAATATTGAATTTTTTGTTCATTCCCGACTCGGTACACGCAAAGGAAAAGCTAAAGACTTCGCTTCCTCCACTGAAAACCGCTGAAGACGCCTCAGTCACACACGTTATCCATTTTCGTCCTGAGGTCTGTGTAACATGCTAATAAAATACAACAATAACCAACACAGAAATATGCATTCGAATTAACACAAGCAGAACAGATATATTGACAATTGACATACCCTCTCGTATAAAATATAAACAAATTAAAGATAATAATACTGATGCTCATTTCCGGCACACCTGTGGCAGAAAGATATAAAGCCTTCTCTTAAACCAGGATTGATACCACGAGTTGCGAATTAAGAATAACACATGCCACTAGCGCCGACAACATTGCCCAGCTTAGCTGCCGGACTGAACCGCCGGCAGTAATAGTTGGTTGGTGGGTCTCGTAAATGTACTGATCATATTCGTACCGTCCCTCCAATGTCGGCTCTGCCGTTACTATCACCGGGTAGTACCCCGGAAAATCAGACGCTTTCCAAGTTTTCGTCGTCGCCTTCGTAAGATCCTCTCCATGCGTCCTGCTCGAGCAAACTGCAGCTGTGGTATTGCTGACTTCGCAGCCAATACTCAACATCTTGCTTCCTGTTCCATAGTATAGTTGTGATGTTCCAGAGGCTGTAACTGTGAAATCTTTGTACGTACAGCCTAAGGATGCATCCTGAGCTTCGCAAGTAACTCGATATTTTGTAAAGCTAAAATGGTCGGTAGATAGGATTCGTCCTCGAAGAGTCGGGGTCGGAGCACCAGGGTCAGGCTTCTTGGTTTGGAACCAGTAGAAAGTTTGATTAGTGGTGGCTATCGATGCTGTCGGGCGTCCACCCGCCCGGGATGGGTAGAGATAAGCGAATGTAGTCGTTGGTAGGCTTGTCGACCGAGCGTCAAGACCACTAGTGAATGAGAAAAATGAAAAGAATAAAACAAAGAGTGTAAATATCTCCTGCATTTGAGTGGAAATATTTGTGTGCGGGCCAGCCTCCAGAATCCAACCAAATTATTAAATGAAGCCAGAGATTGTCGAAGATCCGGAGCTTGGTCTTTTCCTTCCACCGGCTGACTCGTAAAGTCTAGGATAGTAAACCAACATTCAAAGTATCAAAAAGAAACTACAAAACAAACTTCAATGGTGGTGAAAATTTTCAAAAAGGGCAGCCAGTGCGTAGAATCGAAAGCGGTTGGTGTGCAAAAGTTCGAGAAGAAAATATCGCCCAAGGCAAAGACTTTAATCCTTTTGGGAGCTGCTCAAAATGGTGGGTCGATGGGCACTTTGTTTCTGCCGGAATTCCAGGCCTTTGACAGCTCGGCGCAAAGTGAAGACTTCCTCCCACGAGTAAAATCCATTTGCGACCAGTCGGGTTCTCGACATGGAAGCGCGCAAAGCGCTAACTGGAACCTTCTGCATGAAGATCGACTTGGCTTCTGGCACAGACTAAGCTAAATTTAGAACACCACATAAAACTGTATATTAATGTGTTGTATAAGACCTCGTTCTTGCAGCTTGATCTTGAATGGTTAAAGTTTCTACACGGCGAGGGGCGCCACTTGGCCAATTTCTTTCGCAGCGACACTGATAATTTTCGAAAATCTCCTAAAAATCGGCTTTGTCCAGTTGACCCAGACACCCTACTTTTCAATGCGGAAATCTTGCGATCACAATTAACCTCAATTGCTCAGCAGTCACTAACTTTGACTGTTTGTAACCTCGTAGACCGAGGCGAGCCAATCGAAATCCAACGCAACGCGCGACGGCATGTCATGTCTGCATGTATATGTATGCCTCGCCCTGGTCTCGTACTCAGATATGGATTACAATCGGCGTATCAACTTCATAAGCCCTAAGAAGGGTTGGTAAGTGGAAGCATGACCAACGGGAGGTAGGTATCTGTAATCTGTAGTCTTGTGGCTAAGCTCTTAGCTAATTAGGCAAACTGCTGAAAGTGAGGGAGTACTTATGTATGTACGGACCCTCTTTGGTCTCCGTTGTCAATCGCTTCGAATTGGTTGTGATTAACCCCAGTGGCTGTCTTTTTTTTTTTACAAGGGTTTGGAGTGATATTTCAGTTGTGCCAGCTTTGTATGGGGTGAAAATGGCTTATTGGCGTTCGTCAAGTACTCTATAGTAGACAAGGGTCATGGTTTTCTAGAGATATGTCGTAAACTTTGTATCAGGACCCGCCGGAGAAGAACGGGAAGAGCATTAGCATGTTGGCCCGCTAAAAAAAATCATCTATCGAGATGCCCTAGGAGTATCTGAATGTGGGTCATGAAGCCATGGATTTGGAATACTGTGATTACAAACAAACGATGTTCTCCGGGATAGAAATGGCTGAAAACGAATTTATTATCTTTCAGAAAAGAGATAAAATAAGGCTGTTTCGATCAATTAGTTGAGGAGCTCCATCAGGTAACATTTGGCATAAGTCTAAACTACAAGCTTCATTATTTCTCAACCCCGTGCACAGCCCGCAGTGACAATATTAATACATATCCCGAGTCCCCAGTTTTACAAATACGCTCTCGGGGCTACACTTAACTCCACCCCCATTACTCATCTTATATATGTATTCCCTATGAATATCGAGGGATCTTTTGGGAGGCTTCCATCATTTCAAGTTTAATGTTTGATTCCAGCCGCAACCTGCCGAGTCATCTGTGCCTTCGTGCTCGTCAAGAAGAAGGCTAGGACAAGAGTAACGAACGCAAACGGAATCAAACTATACCAGATGAACCGATAAGAATCAGCAAGCCCTTGAACCATAGCAAAAGACCCTGCTTCCAAAACAACCGGAGAAACACCAGGAATATTGAGTAAAGCGCTAGTGATACCATGCTCTGATCCTATCAGAAACTCTTCTAAAGACCCGGAAGGAAGCCCTGCATCCAGAACCGCCGTTGAAATCTTTCCGGGAAGAATATCCTTTTCCTTTGAGCTGAATACCTGTTCAAATATAGTAATACCAATGCTACCACCGAATGCACAAGAGGAAGCCAATAAGCTCATAGCGTGTGCTATGTATTCGTTAGGAGTACAGAGACTGACCACTATTGCCAACACGAGGGTGGACGCTCCAACAGCCATTCCTAAAATGGCCGTAGGAAAGAACCAGGCTGCAAAGTTTATATGAGGCTGCATGACAGCCATAAGCCCTGATCCGACCAGGAAGAGAACAAATGAAACGACAACAAGCGTTTTTGCCTCTTTAGTTTTTCCCATGATGGCGCCGGCACCGAACGAGCCGACTATACTCAAGAAGTTAAACGGAAGATTGTAAACACCTGTCAGGACTGCATCACGAGTGAAGAGGTTTGTTATTTCTTGTGGGAGGTATGCTTGCCCGCCGAATAGTACGAATCCACCGACGAAGCTCAAGACCTGACAGATGGCGAAATTCCGGTGTTCGAAAAGCGCATGATAAAGAATTCCATCTTTCCGGATGAGCCCGTTGTAGAACCCGAAAGATATAAGGAGGACTGCCCCAATTATCAAAGTGCAAAGGACACGGGCTGATGTCCAAGGGTATGGGTTTCCGCCGTACTGGAGTCCCACAAGAAACAAAACCAAACCACTGGCGACGAGAAATACTCCAAGCCAATCGATCTCAAGGATCCTTCGACTAACCGACATTCCACCTTCTGCGGAAGGGCGGGTTGCAGGATGGTAAAATAGAACTAAGAGCACGAGCGTCATTGCGAAGAAGCCCGCACTCATGTAGAACCCTGCCCTCCACCCTTCGTTCACACCACCAACATTATGTTTGATGAAAGCCCCTTGAATGATAGGTCCAGCGATAGAAGCAAGTCCTGCGATTATACCTGCGATACCCTGAAGCATCGGTCTTTTATCTTTGGGAACGACTTCGGCTACCAATGGAATCGCGAGATAACCTAAGGTTAGACCGACGCCGTTAAGGACCTGTCCTGCAATTACCATTTCTAGATCGTTTGCCCGGCTGGAAATAAGTGTACCGGCTGTTCCGAAAAGCATACCAGTAATGAGGAAGGGTTTGCGACCAAGGATATCGGAGAGCTCGCCCATAAATGCTTGGAGGACGCAATTGGGGATTGATACGGAGGCCGCAATCCACGCGGCAATACGAGCCTGCTGTGGAAATCTGGCCACAATGAAAGGAATTGAGGCACTAGGGACAATGAGAGCCCAGGTTGACGAAAAGTAGCAAGCAAAAAGAGCCAAAAGATTTAAGAAAATCGGTAGGTTCCAATGGAACTCTTCAGCACCGCCGTCTGGGTGTTGATTTTCTGTGTCGTCGGCATTGCTGCCTTTTGAGAATTCGATCTGCTGAGATTCCTTTTTTTCTTCCATTCTGAAGTTTTGATTTTGAGGATATATGTATTGTACTCTGGGATACCGAAGAATAGAACCCTTTCTCGAACTCAGGAATTGAAACGGACGATATCGGCGGCATATATACCGTATGCCATGCACCTTCAATGTCATGCTCTGAGAGCATAATTTCGAACGGCGTCTGACCCGGACCTGAACAGCAACATGATAGCTATCCCTCGCTCGAAGGGAATGTACATCAAAAGGTTGAACAAAATTTAAAAACCATTCGGTTCTCCAGAAACTTTTGAAAGATAGTTGCACATTGAGGACCAACTAGCCGAGATGGCGAGCAGTGTCGAGTTTCTTCCCATATTGAACCGTCGTCACATAGTTTGTAGCTACCAAATTACCCCAGCCAGGATACGGGACGATGTCGTCCCACCATAAATTTAAAGTTAGGCATTGAACAGGATAACGGGATACCCATGAAAGCTGGCTCCTTTTGGCATACCCAGTAGACCGGTGGCGGCATAAGGCCATTTGGTACCTTGTAAAAAAAAATCGGCTCAATGGATATTCTCCTTGACGTCTCATGATCTAAGGCCCATTGCATTGGATGATTGATGCGGGGTACCGTGTCACCGGTATTCTCTATCAGTGACTCGGTTTAGAAATTTTACGAATGTCCCTAGTTGGATCTTTGGTTAATACTAGTACTTGCATGCTATCTTATCCGAGAAATACTATCACGATTCTGCCATATCTATAGCATCTAAATGCGCAACTAGTAAAATCGATTTTGGATAGCCGTTAACGTTTACCATTCGCGCCCCTTTTCTCGTAAGATCTTGATTACCAGAACTACCATTAGCAGAGCTTAGCCCCATTAAACCCTTAGGCGCAACTGCAGTAGATGAGAAATCCTTATGTATTTGTAACAATGTATGTGATTTTTATAAAAGAACACTATATAGATTTTGTATTTGAATATATCTGATTACAGCTCGGTATCACATACTCGTTCAGAAATTGTGATTAATGTGTCAGTTCTCCCCAGTGACAACTTGAACCATCAAATCCTTCGGCCAAACAGGTTTATCGGTGCCGTTCCCTCGAGTTCCCACATTGTACTTGAGTTCCACAGCATTATCTTTAAACTGTGCAATCGGCTTTACTTGTACAAATGTTACCCCTAAATTCTCAGCACGTCGAGGCTCAAAATATTGTGGCTTGAAGAGCGTCTCTTTATCATATTGATAAAGAAGGCGCACCATCGCTGGTAGGAGAGCTTGCATAGGTTGGTAATGGCGGAAAACTGGTGATCCATGGCGACTCCAAAGCTCCTTCCAAATTTCGTCGTCGTATGTCCCGCAAGATCGTACTAGCCACTGTGAATAGTAGTTCAGAGATACCTACGCACTTAGTTTAGCGATATGTTCAAATTTTATCTGTGTCCATATTAGTGTCCTTACATCGACGCCGTAGCTTCCACCTTTTTCGGCTCGCTCTATAAGTGCGTGTAAAACAGAGGTAGAGCCACATACTCCGCAACTATTGAAGAGAAAAAACGAGAGTTAGCCGGCGTTTTCTCGGATATCGGAGTCTCTGTATACGACTCTTACCAGTAGTCGGAGTTTGGGAACACCGGCGTAACCGCTTCATCATTTCCCATAGCCTTCCCGTATGCCATAGACACTCCACAGCACTAGAAATGGAGATTAATTTCAATACATGTTAGCTCACTTCAAGATAGCTCAAAAGGAATCATAATTAACATACCGCATCGCTAATCTGCTGCCATCCACTTCGATGACTCCATGGACCATGCCAACCATAACAATTCTCCCGGACGTAAATGATTCCATAATCACGATCTTTGACAAGGTCAAAAACAGCATCACGTCCAAAACCTAGACGGTCCATTACACCAGGACGGTACCCGTCGATAACGACATCTGCTTCTCGGATCAGTTGTCTCAATTTCTCCTTATCTTCTTCATCCTTTAAATGCAAATGACAATTCCACTTCCCCCAATTAAGATCTTGATGAACCATCGAAAGATCTGTGAGCTGAGGAGAAGTAATCCGCATAACACTAGCACCCATCTCCGCAAGGCCCCGGCCGATTGCTGGAGAGGCAATGACTCTCGTCAAGTCTACAACCTTAAGGCCTGCAAGTGGACGTTTTGGGGAAGATGGAGCAGATGCATCCTCTTTCCACCATGTTGCCGGTTGGGATGACTTTGGATCCTTGGCGATCTCATATAATCCCACTTTACTGTTTGCCTTCCCGTGTTCAGAATTGAAAAATTCTTCGGCGGTATACGCAATAGTACCAGCCTGTCTGAATTGTTCGTTCATCAATTCATCAAGCTCTTTGGAGTCAATTTTTGATGTAGCACTTTGGATTCTGTTAACTGCAGATTCCTCTGTCTCATCTGGCTCGCCGTCAACCGGGAGCTTTAAAGCTGTGAGCGTTGGTTCCGGGTTCATACTACCATGAGTATGGTAGTATCGTCCATCTTTGGTCTGATAAATATTCGTAGCCCATCTTCTAATGATGCTAGCTTGACTGCGATGTTTATCTTCGCTTGGGAACATCCGTTGCATATCCGGGGATAGTGGGGATAGTGGAGTAGGCTTTCCATTTTCAATGATCTGAGCGAGCATCGGGCTCATAAAGAATAAAGAAGCATGATCCCTTCAAATTTCAGTTAATTTCTATTTGAGGATATCCCAGGGAAATAGTCAATATTGACAGCATAAACTTACGTATCGATGGTAATATCCAAAGGCTGGGTTTGGTATTTCTTCGTGATCAAGAGATCCAACATCAAAGCTTCGAACCCTTTCAAAGCAGAGATACTTTCCGCAAATCTCCAATTGATTGGGACACTCGGTTTGTCTGAGCCCTCGAAATGTATGTGTTTACTGAGCGACTGTAACTCCTTTGGTAGGTTTCCCATCAATGGATTTTCCAAGATACCCTCCTTGAGGATCTTGAGTGCCTCTTGTGGAATAGAGTAATTTCCAATTGAGCCCATGATTTTTATTTCAACTGCTCTAAGTTTACTGTCCTAAGCCACTGATCAATAGTTGTGGATATATGCTGTTGGATTTTGACGTCGAAGGTGTTGACAAGCTCGAAGACTGGAATCAATGAGAATTTAATTGCTAGCAAATTTGCAAATAGCTTTCCAAAAAAATCATACAATCCAAAGAAAAAAGGGCCAAATTGTGGCCAGATAAGAAGAAACTCATAAGAGCTAAAAAAATACTTTTCAAAGTAGAATTCCAATGGATTGTAGCATTCCAAAGACCTACGTAAGGGCTGTTACGTTTCGCCAACCTACGTCAACCTGTAAATCGAAATCTAGCCGCGGCCGGAAACCTTTCTGCCGAACCGCGAATCGACGACGTCGTGCTAGCTTTAACTGCAGCTGACTCGTCCAGAGCCATTAAGCTTCACCCCGCATTTCCAGAATGGGAGCTTGTCAATAGGAACAGGGATTAGCATGGTTGTATTTTGTTTTTCCTTTTTTCTTTTTCCCCCTTCCCTTGTGATTAATGTATTGCATTACACAAATTCCTTGTATCCGCGGCCAACTTGGATAGTGTATATATATAAGTAGACGTAAAAGCGGTCGATATGGCATAAATAATTTGGCCGCGGCCTTCAATCAATAATCTATAACTAAAATATAGTTCAATTCGCCCGAAGCTCGCCAGATATTGCGAAAGTCTATATTTTATCATATCATATATTATATATCATAGCATACACTTATACGTCTTGTTTATCTCCCCGAGTACTAGTAACTCAAAACCAACAACATGACGCAAGGAAAGAGAGCTGTTAGAATTGCCAATTGTTCTGGCGCAGCATGTAAGATTCGTTTTAGTTATCATCCTTCTTGAGATCTATGTGTTAACTAATACTTTCATATAGGTGATCCAGGATTGCATATGTACAACCAGGCCAAATATGGACCTGTAGACGTTATTACAGGAGACTATCTCGCAGGTACCATAACAAACTGAATCTAGTTTCTATATGTTAAAATATTTGCCTCCATGGGCTTAGCTTCAAGTACTCACTATCAAAATGTGACAGAGATTAATCTAGCCACCAATGCTGAGGAAATGGCCAAAGGTTCCCACCCAGGCTGGGTACCTACAGCGCTAGATGGACTCCAGCAAACCCTCGAGATCGCAAACGAAAAGCGAATCAAAATCGTAATCAATGGTGGTGGATTGAATCCCAAAGGCCTCGCGGAAAAAACCTTTGAAATGGTAGATAGAACCCCTAAATCAGATACGTTTCCTACTGCCTCTTTTTGGACTAATGAATGACTTTGACAAAATCAAGGCCAAAGAGAAAAACCTCAACCTGAAAATCGCATACGTCGACGGCGACAATCTCCTTCCAAGAGTTGGTTCAATTTTGGAAAAAGTCAAATCGGGTGAATACGGGCATTTGGATAACACTAACAGCGATATTACCCTCGCTGAAAATAGCGATACCTTTATGGATGACCCCGAAGGCATGCCTATTGTCTGCGCTAACGCCTATCTTGGCTACCGTGCTATTAAGAAGGGTCTTGACGAAGGTGCAGATATCATTATCTGCGGTCGTGTCGCTGATGCATCTCCAGTTATAGGTGCAGCAGCTTGGTGGCATAGCTGGAGCGAGACTGATTATGACGCTTTGGCGGGATCTTTGATCGCCGGGCATCTCATCGAGTGTTCTACTTACGTTACAGGCGCTAATTTTGCGGGGGCATATAAATACCCAGTTCAAGATTTGTTGAACCTTGGGCTTCCCATTGTCGAAATTGCTTCTAGTGGCGAATGCACTGTTACTAAACACGAGAACTTAAACGGAATTGTGACTGCAGACACAGTAAAGTGCCAGCTGCTCTACGAACTCCAGGGGAATATTTATCTAAACAGCGATGTCAAAGCTGATATTAAAAATATAAAAGTGGAGGAAGAATCTAAAAATCGTGTTCACGTTTTAGGCGTTAAAGGGTTCCCTCCACCTGCGACTACAAAATTGGCGGTTTTCTACAGGGCAGGGTATCAGTCCGAGTTTCTACTAAATGCAACAGGATACGCTACAGACCATAAATGGGACTACCAAGAGGCACAAGTTCGTTCTAAACTTGAAGAATGGGGCGTAAAGCTCGATGTACTTGACTTCCAGCGTGTGGGTGTGCCGAAGGAAAACCCAGATAGTCAATTGTCGTCGACAACATACATGCGTATCTTTGCACAGGCCAGAGATCCTACGGCCTTGGGGAAAGTCATGGCTGCGTGGATGTGGAATGGAATGGCACATTTTGCGGGTAAGATATATAAACTAGAGACACTTGATAAACTATGTCGATGCTAATTACAAACTCTAATACCACAGGAATGCATTCCTCTCTAGATATGCGAACCGTCGTCCCCAAATCATTTCTCGGTTTCTACCCCGCTACAATCCCCCAAAGTGAGCTTGAAGAGGCCGTCAACATTCTGGGCGAAAACTCCAAGCGCATCGTTGTCGGCCCTCCTCAAAAAACAGAATTGCTTCAAACCCGCGAAAACTATAGTCCAACCAACCCAGTACCCCTGGAAAGCTTTGGTACAACGGCTTTACGCCCACTTGGCGATATCGCCCTGGCTAGGTCTGGTGATAAAGGCGGCAATGTCAACTTTGGAGTCTATGTTCAAACAGCCGAACAGTGGGACTGGCTTCGTTCGTTCATGACGCATGATCAAATGCGGAAACTTATGGGTAAGGACTGGAAGGATTGGTACTTCATCGAACGGGTTGAGATGCCCAATATATATGCCGTTCACTTTGTGATCTATGGGCCTTTGGGAAGAGGAGTTAGTAGTTCAAAATTATTGGATAGTCTTGGAAAGGGTTTTGCAGAGTTCATTAGGGCTGTTCATGTGCCCATTCCGACGAGGTTTTTGCCGAATAAGGCTCGGATTTAGACATGGTCATTTAGAGCGGTTCCTCCACGATCAATTGAGAAATTCAAATTTGTATCAATAGTTTTTTTTATTTAAAAAATTGGTCCTTTCTAGTCTCGATCGGAATCTGGTATCAAAATCTCTTGCTTTTCATTGGTGAAGCGCATGTGATCATAATCATTTATCTTAGGAAGTGTATCCGGATATTCGCCTGGATATTTACAGCCTTGCATAAAACGTTCCCGATTCCTCGCGACCAGTAGTATTAGACATTAACCATATGCACCGGAATACTCAAGTAACTACTAGATACATTAGATCTCAATAACTCTCAACCATATTAACAAACCCCACAAACCTCGGCTGCCTCAAAGCCCATAACGGACCCATCCTCCAATTCGAAAACTTCCATATATGTTCTTCAAACTTCGGATTTAACACCGCAGAATTCGTTCTAAAATCCTTAACCAGCAACGGTTCCGCCTCCGGCCACCCCACCGTAATAGATTCTGTGATATCCCTACTCAATCTCAGCTTATCAAGCTGTTCATAAATCGGGATGATTCCATTTCGTAATTTCGGCCAAGCTAGTAGGTCGATGCAGAGAGGGTGTGGCCAGGTTTTTTGGAGTTCGGAGGGACGGTACCATTCTGGGAGGTCATAGTATGTTTCTGGGGTCGGGCATATGCGCCACTATTTAGGAGTGTCTTTTAGTAAAGCCTTTGAACCACAAACAACTAGAATTATGGTATGTTACGTACTCTCAGTAGTCGATAAACAATAAAATAAGTTGCCACACTATCGGCCAACTGCGCTGGGCTGCTATTCAACAGCGCCCTTCCAACAATACTAGTGAGAGGATTTGAATCCAGATCTAGAAGTAAAAGGTTTGGTATCGATGGCGAGCGAGGGAATGTTAATGCCTTTCGCATTCCAGCTGCAATTGCTGCATGTGTGTTTACAATGAGATTAACGACTTTGTGGTTGATACAGTGAAGTGCGTGATTATGTTGGTCATCGATGCCGCATAGACAATCGGGAACTGTTTTTGTTCGGATTGGGGTGGGCGGTTCCTCGTATTCCGGGGAGTGGTCGAATAGATCGAGTTCTCCGTCGGCATCGGGTGGTGCTAGATGTGCGGCTGGAGATTCTACGGTATGTTGAAGGAGTGTTTCGCATAGGTCTATTGCACTCGATATTCCTTGTGTCGCTAGTGATAGTGTGGTATTTGGGACGTTTGTTATAGGATCGTTTGGTGGAAGTTCTGGGGCTAGTGAGGCGGTATTTGCTACGGTATTGAATCCAGTAGGAAATTTGTCCACTGGGGAGTTATTCGCCGTCGACGGAAGACCATTCTGATGAACCCCGTCGTCTGAGATTTCACTACCAATCTGAGAACCCATTTCGGTCCTACATTGATGAAACTCAACATCATCCAAGCTCATAGGGTCAATATTCGTAAAGGCCGTAATAGCATTCTCCATAGACGATATATGCGCGCTATTTGGTGTAATAGCCGAAGAAGATATAGCCTCCCCTGCCAAAGACAGCACAAGAGAAGTATTTATCCCAATCTTTTCTGCCGCAGCGAGTAAAGACTCATGTCTAGACTTCAAACTCGATAAATCCGCTTCCATTTGCTCGATACGCACTCGATTCTTCGCACGAGAGAGGCGTTGAGATTTCCTATCTCGCGCTCGCTTTTGTTCTAATTGCGCATCAGTGCGGATTCGGCGCTTCTTCGGATGGGAAGCGGTGGTTTGGGTGTCTGTATCAGGGGATGATGACATGACTGATCTTCTCTTTTCGCGTATAGTTGAGTGAGCTGGGGAAATGGAAGCGCTGGAGGGAGAGGGGAGGATGCAAGGGTTGCAACTGGAATATAAAAAATTTGGCGGCGTGGGCTGGCGCCGAAAGATTCATGAAATCGCCACATTATGCTCGCAGAACAGTCAAGCTGCATGGCCAGCCTACATAACTGTTTGGCATGAAAAGCTTAAAGTGTCTAAGCTCGGAGGGAAGGGTTGGCAATAATACGATCCGGTCCAGGGGATGATGACCAAATTGAGGAAGATGCGGAGACGAGGTTCGTTTAGCTCCATTTCAAGCTGTAGGACCGGGCTTTCTCCACAGTACTCGAATGCGGGGTAGCGGTGCTCTGTGAACTAGAAGTTACGAGGCTTTCGATTTTTTTTTTTAACATGTTGTATTGATAGGCTGTAGAGGCTAAAAGTATATGAAGTTGAACATCTTTCAGTCACTCGAAGGCGGTGGTTATTCTTTTATGTAAATTTCTCAATTCATCTACGTCCGGCATGGTCTACGTCTGGTCTCGTTCGGTTGACATATTCGTGAATGGTCATGCATATCAGACGCCTTCACTATTTCCAGAAGCTATAGCTATAACCCCAGCTAGATTTTGAGAAACTAGATGCTATTTGACTGCTCCACATTGACTAGTTCAGTCATTTGTGGGGTTGGACGAGTCAGTTCTCAAACTCTCGGATGCCCCAGAATCCGAGATTCGATAGAGGCCGATACATCCGACTAGTCAAACTCAAATGTTATATCTGATTATCCGGCATTGGATTGTCGGAGCATATTCGCCGACACGCTGTTCGTAGATAAGTGACAATGATCGATAAAGCAAATTAGTAGAACGAAGTGGTAAAAGAAATTTTACAAGGGAAAAATCTCTAAATTTGTTTGAAAACGACCGTTACAGTTGACATCTCTTAATCTAAACATATGCATATTTTAACACCCTTGACTAACAACACAATTTATGGGGAATTGAAACCTATAAATTCTATTACTTCGAAAATGATTCGGTAAGTATCTTAGCACCGACGATAGAAAATTTCGAAAAGAGCTTCAGAGAATTTAGACTACATAGATAACGGCCTTCAGGCCGAATAGCTACCTCTGTAGGACGCTAATCAATGCAATATCAGGACCATAATTAGCTAACGCCGTTATGTTCGATCAACGGTTACACAAGCCTCAAGATGTGTTGATCCATGTTGCAGATCCGATTCCGGAAATCTCGCCTGAGTTCCCTTGACAACGGTTCCCATCACCGCCCAAAAAACACCGCAACCAAAGCCCCAAACATTTTTGTGAGGTTGGGAAGGGAAAGCCTTCACAATAACATCCACAATAAGTGGGATTGGCCATCTCTTCTTTCTGACCTATCAACCTTGTCCGGTCCTTGGTCTTTAATCTCACTTCAACATTCGAAGATATTAAGTCTGATCATCTTGACTTTGACTTCTCGACACCACTATACTCGCGCTCCCTAGAAATATTTTGTTACGGATTCTTCATAATATACCAACCCCCTCTTCTACGGTGAAGATAGATAGAGAAAGACAGGAGTCAAGATGTCTATCCGACAGATTGCGCAAGTTGAATCGCAGCTTCGAGGCTTGACGGTCTCTTCTGGATCAGAGGAGAATGTCGACCCTCAGGCTCCGGTTTATTCTACTATCAAACATGTCAAGTCGACAGTATGTATACTCGTATCCAGAATGGATCTAGGAAAGACCTATCTAACAAGTAACTTCAAAATATCTAGAGCACAATCAAAGTCGTCCCCTCATCGCTCGCCACAAAACCACTAGCCCTCCAGCCATCAATATCACAGGCCCAAAATCTCTCAAAACATACATACCTTAAACTCGCTGTTCACAACCAAGCCGCGTCGAGCTCGCCGAAAAAGAAGGCGGCAATCATTGATGATGAGAATAGCCGAGACGATGTTGGTTCCGGCGGCCCTAAGAACTCCCTCCAAGTCGCTCCAAGGCGATCGGACCCAAGCAATAATATCCCTCCACAGGTCTCCTCCAACTCCAAGCCTATGCACTTGGGAATGTTCGAGATTGGACGACCTTTAGGGAAAGGAAAGTTTGGGCGCGTTTATTTGGCTAAGGAGAGGAAGACTGGGTTCGTGTGTGCTTTGAAGGTACTCCACAAAAATGAATTGCAGACCGGTAGAGTCGAGACGCAGTTAAGGAGGGAAGTCGAGATTCAGTCGAATCTTAGACATCCTAATATCTTGAGGCTGTTCGGACACTTTCATGATTCCAAGAGAGTCTTTTTGATCATCGAGTTTGCGGGACGAGGTGAATTGTACAAGATGCTTAGGAAGGCAGGCAGTTTCTCTGAGCCCCGCGCCGCAAGCGTAAGTTGTTGACCCCGATGTGTCCCGCACGTAATACAATGCCATTTTCTAACAAAGTTTACAGTATGTTGCCCAAATGGCTTCTGCTCTTGCATATCTTCACAAGAAGCACGTTATCCATCGTGATATCAAGCCCGAAAACATTCTCGTTGGATCTCATGGCGAGATCAAGCTGTCCGATTTCGGCTGGAGTGTTCACGCACCAACCAACCGCAGAACCACACTATGTGGTACCCTCGACTACCTCCCACCCGAGATGTTGAGGGGAGACTCGCACGGTGAGAAGGTTGATCTGTGGTCGCTTGGTGTCTTGATGTACGAGTTCCTTGTTGGAAATGCTCCATTTGAGGACACCCCCATCGAAACTCAGAAGAGGATCGTCAAGTTGAACTTCAAGATCCCGGACTTTGTGAGCGCCGAGGCCAAAGACCTTATTACTAGAGTATGTCTCCTCCTCCCACAGCCAATTTACCAAAATTAGTGCTAACACTTCCTAGCTTCTTCGTCTCGATCCCGAAAAGCGTCTTCCTCTTGACCAGGTTGCCCAGCATCCCTGGATTCTTAAGCACTGCTCTAAACCACAAACGGCTAGGGAGAAGCAGAGGAACAACCACCAGAGGCGCCAAGAATCTGATTACGAAGATGAAGAGTAAATGGGGTCTATAAGGATTTTCTACATCTACGTTAATGGAGTTTAATGGTGGTGGAGTTTTTTTGTCTGTGGATTTTACCATGAAAAATACGTCTGATACATACGCCCGACATGCAGGTTGATGCTAAACAATAAAGCACATGAACCATCATTCTGACAATATTGAAAGGGCTCGTCTATGACATTTTTCTAGGCTTTGTTCGTTTAGCGACTCGCTAGTGATTCTATTTTGTCTCTGTTTTGTGTCTCTATTTTCTTTCTCGTTTTCTTTCTTTCTCATGCGAGTTTGCAAATAATTATTATCCGTTAATTGGGCTGTCTTTCTCTTCGGGATCAAGGTAGAGCGGAATGTACTATATTACTACATACATACAATTGTTATCATTATTCCCAATGATGAGGGAATCCGGAACCAGTTTGAACTCCAAACTCCGATTCTATATACAACTTCCCTGTCTCCATCATACATGCATCATCAATGATTTTAAAAATCTTGATGGTGGATTTATTTATTTATAGACCTCTCGGAAAGGTCTAGTATCCTTATAGCAAGACTCAAAGACCTGATCTACGATCTTCCCGGCGGCTTCCAGGTCTCCTTTCAGCGCAGGATGACCGCTAACGCTCAAAGTTGCTCTTCTCCTAACACAAGCTTCCATATGCCGTAAAAACTTCCATTGTCCTCTAACCATCCACTCTTGGTATGGTCTACACTCTCCACTCAATGTCGACGCACGAATTTCCGAGCAAGCCAAATGTTTAAAATCCGCCCAGTCGACTTTGAACCTCATATGATCGTATGCATGGACCATTTCGTGAGCCATTGTATCTTCAGTATGACTTCTATCTCGTAGTTTGTTCTGACAAAGTAGGATACCATATTTTGGATGGAAACCGCCGGCTTGGTCTTTACTGCAAGGTAGGCATTTTATATTTTCGGAAGAGAGGTTGCCGTTTACTTCTCTGACTTGGTCCATCATGAAACGGACTATGGGGCCTGTGAAATTTATAATAATTGAAGAAAGATAGACCGCGGGTGGTCAGGGAGGGGGTTCTGGAGTGTTGGATTTAGTTATTCTCAATCTAAATTTCTGAATGCTTTTCTTTTTCAAAAGAAAGAAAGAAAGAAAGGGAAGGATAAGGTAGGGAAGTAGGGATAGAAAATGGGAGAAGAAAAACGCACTGTACTGTATTAACCAATCTCTATTTTCTTCACAGCGTTTACAGAGGGTTTCGGCGTAGTAGTCGTCGAAATCGCGACGGTATTCTTCGATGGATTCGGGTGTCATGCCGTACCCTGTTATCGCGGACATGTGACGGAAGAAGCCCATTGGTTTGCCCTTATACGCAGGTTTTGAATCTGAGACTGAAGATTCATGGTCCAAAGAGGCCGTGCCTTCGACCTTTGGGATGTTGTCGTCGGACATTGTGACGGTGATGATAGTGGTGGTAGTGGTAGTAGTGGCGGTAGCAGTGGTGGGGGTGTTGAAGTTGAGATTTTTTTTGTTGTTTCTGATTGGCGATGTTTGAAGAAAGCCGCAAAGAATGCGCCGGCGACAATGTCAATGTCAACGTGCGAAGTCGGGTTTGCTTGGCCACAACGGAAAGCTGCAGATACCCTGGCCAGCTGTTGTTAAGGATGTCCGATATCGATGTTTAAAAAAAAGTCTCAAGTGAGAACAAGCAAGTATAATATAATAGAAAGTAAGAGTATAGTAAAGGGGTTACATAATAGTCTCTGAAGTCACAGTGAAGGATCGTTTTAAGTAACTTAAGCTCCTGGTCATTGCCGCTGCGTCATTTGTAAAATCTTCCAGCTCTGATAAATTAATTTCTGTTCCTTAAAGGCCTCACTCAGGTTTTCCCAGCCGGTGGCGATACCTCCTTTGTGCTGATACATACAGACAAAATAAGTGCATTCTGCATCGCCTATTTCATTTTCTTTCAATCAATTGTTCTTTGATCAATCACAATCAAAAGCTCGAGCTTCCAACGGAGTAAAATAAACCGCGGGGGAAACTAGCTTGACTCATCCAATTCACCAGAATCACCAACTTCAAAACTCCAGTCAACACCAGGAATCGAATCAAAATGGTCAAAAGCACTCGGCAGCTCACGATCGTCATAAAGCTTGGTACTTATGCGCCTCCTATCCATCCTTCCCACCCTGCAGCAACAGCAGCAGCCCTTGTGCATTGGCGATAGCGAAAGGCTGACGGAATTCACAACTTCTTCTTGTCGCAACTGTTACAACACACTACAGGCACTTCCTCCATCTGCGATGAAAAGACTCACGAACCCTTAATTTCCAATCTTTCGTTACTTGTCGAGACGGTGGTTAAGCTTAGACGGGAGAACCATAGGGTTATTTTGGTTTCTTCGGGAGCTATTGGGATTGGATTGCGGAAGTTGAAGTTGGAGAAGAGACCCAAGTTGTTATCGAAATGTCAGGTACTTGGTCATTCGATTTCCCTGACTTTCTATGCTATAGAGATATCGACGGTATTGTGGATTATGGTACTGATTGGTTTGCTATGGGATAGGCTATTGCGGCAATTGGACAGTGCGAATTGGTTGCATTATGGGACAAGCTATTCTCGCTGTTGGGACAGCCTGTCGCTCAGGTTCTCTTGACGAGGAATGATATCGTCGATGTAGGTTCTGATCCTCTTTCAGTACATAGAACTTCAGCTGCTGACTATTGGACATTCAACAGAGACAACAATACATAAATGCAGCTAATACGTTCAGCGAACTATTGTCCATGGGTGTTATCCCAATCGTTAACGAAAACGATACCTTGGCCGTCAGCGTATGTCCTGATTTTCTCCACCATACTTTTCCAAATATACGAACGAGGTCTGACAACTAGATGTGGGACTTTTAAGGAAATTAAATTCGGTGATAATGATACCCTCTCTGGGATTACGGCTGGGATGGTCAATGCGGACTATCTGTTTCTCATGACGGATGTTGATTGTCTTTATGATAAGAATCCAAGATTGCATCCTGATGCGAAACCGATTATGGTAGTCGATGATGTTTCGTCGCTACGGGCTGATGGTGGGTGGCCGATTGCTCTAGTCTTTCTAGAGATTCATCGTATTGACTAGTGCTTTTTATCTAGTTTCGACGGCCGGCTCTGCAGTTGGTACCGGCGGTATGGCTACCAAACTCATTGCTGCAAAGCTCGCGACTTCGGCCGGTGTCACAACCATTATCACTCGCAGTTCGGTTCCTAGCAATATCTTCCACATCGTCAACTACTGCCAGTCCATCAAATCCCAATCACAGACGCCAGTTAGATCTTCGTCACCACCACTACCGCATACTCGTCACCCTACCGCTACTTCTTCTGATGACCCGATTAGCACTGACCTCCTAGCCGCAGCTACAAAGCTAGAAGCGACAAAGCTAAGCCCTTCGCCTTCCTCTACGTCCCTATCCACGGCTACCGCACATCACACTGTCACATTCGTGAATTCGCCAACCCCCTCTCAACAAACACAGTCCACTTCGACATTGGTAGGCACTCCCACTAGTGATAAAACCCCATTGAAAGTCCCACTTCACACCCGTTTCCTCCCACGTACTAAGGCAGTTCGTGACCGTCACTTCTGGCTTCTTCACGGGTTAAAACCCCATGGTACCTTGTATATCGATCAAGGCGCTTACAACGCTTTAACCCGATCAAACCGAGCCGGTCTTCTCCCCGTCGGCGTCGTTTGTGTCCATGGCGAATTCCACCAATTGGAAGCCGTGAGTCTTACAGTACTACGAAAGATTCCACAACCTCAAGATGCTGGGGAAAGGTCCCCGAGCCCGACTCTGGATGATGGATCGCCTGTTAGAGGATACTCTGTTGTGGCGAGGGATGTGGGAAGGGCTATTGTGAATTATAGTTCGTTGGAGATACAGAAGATTAAGGGGATGAAGAGTAGTGATATCAAGCCGGTTTTGGAGTCGGCGGATACGGAATATATTTCCCATAGGGATAATACTGCTTTCTTTCCGAAATATGAGAATCCGCAGGGTAATTCTGGGGATTCTAGCAAGGGGAGTGAAGATGAAGCGTAAAAGATACAAAAACTTCGACTGTTTCTTTCTTTCTTTCTTTCTTTTTCTTCTTGTATGTTTTTATTTGAGGTATTGCATTATATGCATACACGGATGAAGGGTTGCAACGTTGTTTCAGCGGGGTTTTGTTGGTACCATGGTCTTTACTTTCGCATATAGATTTTATGGAGCAATCGAATACAAGAACTTTATAATTTGAAGACATATCGATCGATATTGATATCCGAGATCTCGTAGAATTAATCTATAAGCGAAGAGTATAAGGCCGTGGCACCCAAAATATATACATTGGTACGTATGTATGTGGTAGGTAGTATAAAATATGTACAGATATGAAACCCGAAAGTGTTTAAGGTCGTATATAACAAGCTCTTAGATCAATGCCTGTCCCAAGAACATAGTCTTCCTCACTTCCTTCACGTATTCCTGGTTACTATCCTTGTCAACCAAGATCCACGCCCTTCCTCTCCTTCCCATCCTACCAGTTCTCCCCAACCGATGAATGAAATCAATACTAGTATAAGGAACATCATAAAGTATGATGTTCTTCACATTCTTCGTATCGACACCTCTGCTAGCCAAATCCGTAGTCACCAATATCTTCATCCCACCTTTTCTAGCCCCATCCAAATCCGCCGTCGAAGCTTCCCTCTCTTCAGTAAAAGATTCCAAAATCTTTCTAGAATCACTATCACGATTGATAGATACGGCATTAAACCCAGTTTCTTGCAGGAAATTTGTCACTTCTTCCGTTGTTTCTCGTTCGTTAACAAAGACTACTACTCTCTTTGCGAATCCGGGTTCTGTGGAGTCGCCCACGATTGTTTGACAGAGGTGGGCACAGGCTCGGAGTTTGCTGCCTTTGTAGATGTTATTCATTACATCGACGACTTGTAGTTGAATTCTTCGTGGTACGGCGTGGAGGTTTGCGGTGACAAGACGTTTACAATCTGGGTACTTTTTGGTGATATAGGTGTCCAGACTTTTTGGGATCGTAGCGGAGCAAAGGACTAATTTTTCGAGGTTGAGAGCACGGGAGATAATTGGACCCGTTAGAGTTGAGAATGAACGATCGAAAAGGGAATCCGCCTCGTCTACTATAATGTGAGACGTTCTGTGAAGCATCGAAGGGTTTGCTTCAGTGATTCTATCGACCATGAAGGGTGTTCCGACTATTATATCCGGAGTTGAGGATTTAAAAAGTCGACTGCGGATTACGGCGCCCGAAAAGTCCTTTGAAATCATCTCCGTGCGGAGTTTTATTATGAACGAAAGCTTTTTGAGGAGGGAGCCGACTTGGAAGACTAATTCGCTAGTAGGGACGAGGATTACGGCGAATGGTTTGCCGACTGTGGTGTCTTGAGTTACCGGTGGGGCGGGGATGTCGAACATCCATTTACCCTTCTGTTCCAGGATTTCGGATTGTTGTGATTCCTCCGCCTCGGTGATGGACTTTTGGTAGAGTTCTCGACGTTTTAAGGTGTCCATTAGCGGGAGGACGTAAGATAGTGTTTTCCCTGATCCTGTTTCTGCAGCGATTAGATATGTTTTGAAGGATTGGCGTGATGATTCGTCGCGGTCGAATTGTCCTGGATCCAATGGGTCCTTTGATTTCTTATGTCTGCTGTTTTCGGATGGGAGGGGTTTAAGTGGTGGCGCTGGAGATTTGTCGAGGAGAGTTGGGATCACTAGACTCTGTACCGGAGTAGGAGTTACACCTTCCAGACCATCTAGAGCGTCCTTGTAAAGGGCTTCGAGCGTTTGGGGCAGTAAATCAAATGTTTCGAAGGTATTGAATTGTTCTTCTGCCGCATGCGTAATTTCACGAGTTCGGGACGAGACGTGGTCTAGGGAAGCTATATGTTTCATTTGACCAAATCGACGAATTGGTGGACGAGTATATTTTTTTTCTGTCCCTCCTTCTCCGTCGAGTTTTGCAGCTGCGAGGCGACGTTCTGATTTTTCCGCGCCGCTGGTACTATTATCCGTATCATGTTTTGAAGCACTAGACCGTCTTTCCGATTTCAATTCCACAGCAGGCCTTTGTTGAAACCGAGAAGGCGAAGGTCGTAATGTTGTTTCTCTTAGATCACGTTTTCTCCGTTCTGTTTCTCGAGAGTATTGCGATTTATCATCCGATCGGAGTTTGAAAGCGCGTCTGTTCATCCCGCCACCTGTGTCCACGGTTGGTTCTTGTCTTCTGTCCAACGACTTCGATCTTCTATCTCCTTGTGCGAATGAAGCTGATGTCGACCGTGGTGTTCTAGCCACTTTTTCGGATAATGTCATACGAGAAGGTTTGTGAACTATTGATTTCAATGCTCTGTGACCTTGAAATTGGGATTTTGATCTGCCGCCACCGGTGTTACCACCACCACCACCACCACCACTATAGCCTCCACTACCACTACCACCACTTCCACGGCCACCACCGACAGCATTTCGAGAGTGAGAATTGGAGCGAGAGGATGAAGAGGGAGAAGGGTTCCATTCCCCCCGCGGAAGGGAATTTACGGCGGAACTGTGGAACGGTGCAGCGGTTGCATGGTTACCGGGTAACTGCAATTGTGATTGTGATTGCGAGTGTGAGTGTAACTGCTGGCGGAGTCTGGCGAGACAAGAGATGCAGACGCTGTTGGCAGCGGTTTGTGGGACTAGTAGGTTGCTGGGGCGACTCCTTTGGATTAGAGACGACATTTTTTTTTTTGATATCTCGGTCTCGGCCTGTCTAGTCTGTTGTCCGATGGGGATATCGGGATGATATAAAAAAAAATTATATCACCATGTTGGATTCTTGGTTGGTGGCGAGTTAGTGCTAGTGAGAAAATGAGGTTGTGTTGAGCGTGTGGTTTTTAGTTGAACGGGAAAAAACGAGAATTTATGGTGCCAAGACTTTTGGTCTCGCTCGTGTGCGTGCTTGTCCGGCTTGCTTGCGGGCATGTGCGACCAGATCCAGAGATGGTGTTTTGTTTGGTTGTTATCCAATCCACGCACATCGGCTATTTTGATATCGTCTCCTTCCTTCCTTCCTTCCTTCCCTCCTTCAAGGCAGGCAAGCCAGGCTTGAAAGAACCAGGTTATTGTATTAAAGCGCCTGGATTTGAGATTTCAGCCCCGACTAGTCAACAGTTCCCTTGCTTCGTTAGTTTCCAAGCCCCACTTTGTGGAAAAGTCGGAGTATTTGGATCGAAGCAAATAATGGTGTTTTGGTCCCCACTGAGATACGGACATTCCGATGGATCTTGTAGCGCCTCTTTTTTTGCTTAAATCGTTTTGATATATATACAATATGGTTAGTCCGTTGGTTACATGGGTAATAGGGATTTAAAACGGATCATTGACTCAATGGAGAATTTTCATACGAGGCCGAAAAGGGTTTTTAAAAACCAGCCTCAATGATCAACTGATTGAATTCAGTTGAAATATTATGTACAGCCGCTTGGTGTTTACTGTGTCCGCTGTGTAAACTCCGAGGGGGGAAGGTTCTAACTTCTGATTTTTTTCCGGGGGGTGGTCTCCTTGTGTCTCAAATCTCCAAAGAACCCGTCCGTCGGTTGGTTTAATTGGTAACCATAACAGACACGAGACTGGATGTTATTATTGCTTTGCTGGTTCGGGTTTAATCTCGCATATGGGAAATCTTGCATGCGAGTGCGACATACTATCATGGTTTATCGAGACGAGAAGACTTCCTCTGGTTCCTTAACTGTACTATGTCGGTCAGTATGTATGTATTGGCACAGCATGACGTCTTATTTTGGAGGGGTGTGCGTGTGTGCCATACCGATCTCAGCCCTCCGGTATCCATAATCCGGCCCAGGCAGGCATGCAAACAAAGACGATATGGAGGGGTCTCCCCTGTCAAAATATCGCCAGTCTCTGCGAGCGGAAGTTTCATATTGACGACTGCGAATAAGCAGCTGGGGGAATTACTCTGTATCTGGGAAGGGAAGGGGGGTAATTGTTTACTGGTTACTGACCTGACTGCCAGTTGCCCCACCTCATCCATCTTGTGGCCGCTTGGGGGCAATGATGTTCAAGTGGAAGGAAAACCGATAAGGCATGGACATGGGGTTGTGGGTGGTGAGGCGTTGTCATGGGGACTGCCGGCGCTTGGAGAAGGGCATCAACAAATGGTTCTGCTGCTAAGGGCGATGCAGCAAGCAGTGCAATTGTGATAGCCACAACGCTTTGTGATTATTGTATTGTATTGCATTGTATGTACACTTTAACTGTGTATGGTTACCTGCTTAGTATTGAGCTGAGCAATAGTTACGGGGGGTGGTTATCGGGTACCTAATAAGAGAGTCCATCTCCACCTCAACCTCAGTTCTGTCCACTCTCCGTCTACCATTCTTCTTTCTCTTCTTTCTTCTCAACATCAACCTCAACCTCATCTCCCTTCTTCTTCATCATCATCATCATCTCCTGTTATCATACGGAGATTGATAGAAGGATATCAAGCATTTCCTTTCTTTTATTTTATCTTATTTCTATTCTATCAAAAAGAAGAGTCTTTGGTTAGAGCTCTTAAACGTTCTTCATTCATCAATTGCATTAGTTGGTTGGTTGGTGATCAATCCAATCCAATCCAATCAGATCGCGGGCAGCTGATTTGTTCACGCTGCTTTTCCTCAAAAGTAATTGAAAGACATCCAACATTCTTTCGCTTCGACAACATCTTCATCTTCATACTTTATTTCTTCTAAAACTGTTCACCATCTTTTTCTTGTTTTGTCTTTGCGATCAGGAGACCTTCACACGGCCGTTTAGGTTTCAATCAATCAATCAATCACTCAATCAACAGACCAACCAATCAACATACCAACATACTTGATATTGACTCTGTCGTATCAGATCACATCAGATCACATCTAACTTTACCCCTAAGTGAACTAACTAAGCAACCAAGCAACTAACCGACTAAAACCCGCTTCCTTGGGTGGTCGAGATATGCTATTGACTGCGACAAGTAAGTAATTACCCCTTCCTTCCTTCCTCCCTCTCAGGCACACCCTTTAAATTTGGGTCTGGATTTGAATTCAACGTGTCTGACATGACATCCATGTGTTCTCTAGCCGTTGAACATTCATAAGCAAAACTCGATTTCTTCAGGCGGCTACGATTCTTCTTTTTCCTTCATTTTCGTTCGCTTTTGCTGCTGTTGCTGCTGCTTCGGATAATGGAGGACGACAGCGGTTACTCACAACCTGCCACTTCCCGCGCTCTTGCAGATATTAGCGTCACTGCAGGCAGACGTAACAGCAACAACTACTCGAAGGTACTTTTCTCCTCCACAAAAACAAAAAAAACACCTCATCTTCCTTCCTTCAGCTCCATCTTTGTTATATCTTCGACAGCTGCTAATCCTCTTACTTTCTTATTTTATGCATCTCCAGATGGATGGACCATACGATGATGACATTCCAAATTCTTCCCCCTATCCAAGTTCATACAACGCCCCGACCAAGTCGGCTTCCCCTCTCAATTTCTGGCAGGACAAGTTGCAGGAAAACATGACACACTCCGGATTGAAGCCCTCGACTTCCCAGCGACGGACTTCAGTTGAGAGACTCAGGGGCCGCGCTCAAGTCTCTAGCAACCTTTTCCAAAATTCTAGCCCTCTCCCCAGCAGCACAACCGGTTCCATCAGAGCCAAACCTGCCGGTTCAAGGCTCCCAATCCCCACATCTTCAAAACAAAACACTCCAGTCAAGGGCGTCAACACCACCGGTGCCAGCAACATCTCCGGCTATGGTGCTAACCCCGACCAACAGAGATCTACACCACCCCCTGCTAGACCGATCTCAATCCTTTCCCCTCCCCGTCCCGATGATTCTCACCTTGTCATTTCTAGTCCTCCCAGAAACAAACAGGTCACTTTCACTGCTGCCCCGCAGGTTCAGATGTTCGTTCCCACCACACCCGAGCCGTCTGTTTCTGCTTCTGAAAACACGTACGAGACCGAGTCTGAGGATGAAACCGAAGATGATGAAGACTATAATATGCCCGTTGTCGGTCCGGAAGACTGGGACGATGATTCGCAAGATCCCGCCCTAGTTCAGCCGCAGGTTCAACACTTGAAGGAAGAAAATATCCACCGAGATGCTGCTCCATCACCAATTGGTAGTCGCCCATTGCCTCCAATACCTCCCACTACTACCGATTCTCCAGCTGGTACTCCACCACGTCGACTACCACTCCACGAACGTCTCGAGATGGTTATGAGGTCTAGTTCTCCAGTAGCTGGCGGGAGACCTGCTCCTCCTCCCCTTGCAGAAATTGCTCAGGAATATTTCCCAACACTAGAAGATGAGGTCGAAGAAACAGATTCTGAAGTCACGGACTCAGAAGTTGGCAATGATGAAGGCTTCAGCCCGGTTATTCTAGCCGAGGAAGCTCTAAGCGATGATGATATGTCGGACGGCAATCTTTCGCGCCAGTTGTCCTTCTCCAGCAACAAGGAGAACATTGATGTCAGGAGACCGGACCCGGTACCAGCGCGAACAGCCGAGGACATTCTCAATGCCGAATTCCGTATTCCCAGGATTTCAAGGGAGTCGATCCGCCGCCAAGTTCAAGCCAATAGGGACCAACCAACGGACGAACCAGTTTTCGCATCTCCGGAACCAAGGAGACAATCTAACGGTGTCAATAACTTCGCCAATCCTGTTGAGCAAAAAGCTCCCCCGGCCCAGAATGCTAGGATGGATCTTGCCACGCTCGCACAAAAATTGAACACCGATCAAAACGAGATGGAGGTTCTTCCCAACATTCTAGGGCGGCAAGCATCTTTCCGCAGAAGCTTTATCGCCAACCCAGCTGCCGCTACTGAGGAAGAGTATGATTCGCCTGTTGGAGAGGATGACGAGTCAAGATACAGCACTGACTCGGAATACGAGAGACGACATCAATATGAGGAGTATGAAGAGGACGAGAGCCAACCCGCCACCCCAACTCAGGCTTCATTCGCCAGCGCTTTCGGGTCTTCGACAGAATACCACGATGATAACGAGAGCCAAGCTGATCTAGATCTTCCTGAGCTCGGGAAGCTGTCCTTGAACGACGCTGCCTCTAGCAACTCTTCCCACACCCTAGTTGAGCAGCAACCCATGCATAAACCTAGTGACTTCTTCCCTCGTTCTCGTAACAGAAATCTCTCCGATAGTGACTACGATGAACGAGCTGATAGTATGAGCATTTGCGAGTCCGTCATTCGTCATGATATCTACGATTCCGATGACTACGAGGATGATGAGAGCATGTGGGATGCTGAATCTCTCCGCGCGAGGACCCCATCTCCGGTTCCAGCTCAACGGGCCACCATCAGATCCGCTAGTGGCATTATGCTAAAGACCCGAAAGAGCTCTACTCCGGCTGATATCGCGACAATGGCGGCTGCGAGGCGACATGTGAGCCGCGCTGAGGAAGTGCCACCGGTTCCTGCTGTCCCTCCAGTTCCCAAGATCGATACTGCCTTTTTAGGAAACAAGGACGCGAAGAATTCCGAAGTTGAAGCTAAAGAGGAGAAGGTTGAAACTCCTAAAACAGAAACCCCAGAGACTGAGACTCCCAAGGCCGAGAAGATCCAACAAGTAATTGTTCAGCCGGAGGAAATTAAAACGGAAGTAGCCAAGCCAGAGAAAGTACAGGTCAAGGATGAAGCTGTTGTCGAAGAGGAGGCAGAAGAAGCAGAAGAAGAGGAAGAAGAGGAGGAGGAGGAGGAGGAGGAAGAAGACCGACCTTCTACTTCTGGCTCTCAGAGTACCATCGGCGAGGAACCGGTCAAGAAGGAAAAGGCCCCAGCCCAACGAACCTCGCAACTCGCTCTTCCATCGCTTGGCCTCAACCTCAACATGGGTAGCAGCCTTTCTGTCGAACTTGAGCGCGTCATCGAAAGCCAGAAGCGAGGATACCTCATGAGAGAAAACTCTAAGGTCGTCCATGCTTCCACTCGTGAAGAACCAAGCACACCTTCGACTAAAACCCCTACCCATAAGAAGACTCAAAGTTGGACCGTGGAACCATGGCAAGGCTCCCCTGGCTCTACTACTCCCCGCCGACGCAGCGGGCGAGGCGACAGCGTCAAGAGAAAATCCTTGGATACCGGCCGCCAACACCACGCTGCAGCGATGGCCCAAGCGGCTAAAGCCACCGAGTTGTCAGTTGTTGAGGAAGATAACAAGGACGCACGAGCAGCTGTTGCCGAAGCAGTAGCTGATACCGCACCCGAGAACGCCATGGGTGGTGAAGGAGCGGAACGTGGACGATTCTTCGTTAAGGTTGTCGCCGTCAAAGACCTACAACTACCACTCCCACAGAACGAGTCCAGTTACTTTTGTATGACATTAGATAATGGGCTCCACTGCGTTACCACCTCTTGGTTGGAGCTCGGAAAGAATGCGCCTATCGGACAAGAATTCGAACTCATTGTTCTTGATGATCTTGAATTCCAACTCACCCTTCAGACAAAACTTTCTCCACCCCCAGCGCCTATTACTCCCCCAGAGGTTTTTGTCGCTCCCACTCCAAGTCCGACCAAGTCTAAATCCAGATTTGGTAATTTCTTTGGTTCCCCAAAGAAGCGCAAAGAGCAAGAACGACTTCTCCAACAGCAACAGCAGCTCCAACGCCAACAGCAGGCCGCTGTTGCTGCCCAGCGTCGTGCCGCGCCACCATCGTCTTGGGAATTACTCCACAACCTAGTCGCTAAGGATGGGAGCTTTGCTAGGAGTTATGTTAGTGCCAAAGACTTCGAAGATAAAGCTTATGGTCGTCCGTACATCATTGAGGTTCCTTGTTTCAATGAGTGGGCAGTCGAGGTTAGCAGCCTCAAGGGCAAAAAGAATGTCCCTAGTCGCAAGCCGCCTTATAAGATCGGCCGTTTGGAGATTCAACTTCTTTTCGTCCCTAGATTGCCAGGAATGACTGACGCCGACCTGCCTAAAAGTATGAACGCAGCGATTCGGGATATAAGGGAAGCCGAGAACGTTGTTAATCAAACATACGAAGGATATCTGTCGCAGCAAGGTGGTGACTGTCCCGTAAGTAAAATCTCTTGGGCCTCCAACTTTAGTACTTATTATGAAGCTAACACGTTTAATATAGTATTGGCGCCGCCGTTGGTTCAAGCTTGAAGGATCGCGCTTAACTGCTTACCATGAGAGTACCCGTCAATTACGGGCTAACATCAATTTGGCCAAAGCAGCTAAGGTCCTTGATGATCGCAGCACACTTACGAGTCAGTCTGGTTCCAAGAAACGCCGTAAGTCCGGCTTTGCAGAGGATGAGGAGGGCTACATGTTCATCGAAGAAGGCTTCCGTATCCGTTTTGCCAACGGTGAATGTATCGACTTTTACGCCGATAGCACCAAGGAGAAGGACGGATGGATGAAGGTCTTGAATGATACCATTGGCCGTGCCTCCGATGGCAAGAATTGGTGCGATTTTATCTTGAAAAAAGAGCGCGACGATAAACTCAAGTCTCCACCTCCACCTCCTAAACAAAGCATGATCCCGACTACTCCCAAGACTCCTGTCCAAAAGACATCCTCCCACTCAAGGAGCCAGAGCGCAGTCTCTGCTCCTAACTTCCAACAATTGGGCATGACACCGAGTTCCGCGGGCACTGGTACCCCGGTAAGACCAAGAACAGGTCTTCCACCCCGCGGTTCGGCCCGTCCCCAGTCCCACTATGGTGGCAGCACGAGATAAACGAGGTTCTTTAATGACAACGACCTTTCTACGACTACATGACGACGACTGGGTCCTCTCCTCCCCTATTTACCCGATATACCCTGATGATACATCCCGGAGTTTACCCTGAGGTCGAAGTTATGTTCGGAACGTCATGACATGCAATCTTGAAGCATATTGAGCGAGAAAAGAAGATAGATGCAAGCGATCCTTTTTCCCCCCTTTTCTAAGGTTTTTCCATTTCGGCCGGTTTCTTGTTTTATTTCGGTTTTGTTTTTTTGTCCTGATGCATAGCGATTTGGCCCTGGATTGTGCTTTGATTTCCTGCAAGCCTCCATTTTTACTTTGGCTGTTTTTATTTACGCATATCTACACGTTGTAATAATGCGTCTTCGTCTTTTTTTTTTTGTTTTTCTCTGCACAAAATGTCTGTGACCCTCTGGAAAGCCTGTGTCTGTTCTAGTAATTTGTCTTTTTGTCTATCTTCGTATCCCTACTCGATTTTTCTATTCTTCCTGGCCCCCAAAGAGACAAGATCCACTTCTACTTTTTACTATGCCCTCATGAGCAAATACTTTACCATGAGTACATACTTCTTTTCAACCCGTCGAGAACAGATTCTATTGCTACCTACCTTCGAATTAACAGCTTGTTGGTTTAAAACATTATATCTTCACTTTCTTCTGTTTATTTTCTCCTTCTTCAATTCACCTCAGGGATCCTCTTCTGTTCCATACAACCAATCTTCAACCTGTCCCTATCTAGCTAGCTTGCTTCTTCAAGTCAATTGTTGATGTGCGCTGTCGCGTGTATCCCCCTTTTTTTTTAGCTCCGAATATATATAAAAATTTCTTAACATGGTTAATTCTGAAGCCTTCTCTCCCAGTATCGTGATATCGTGACGTAAATTAGACCATGCCATGTCTTCCGTCGAGGTCCACCCACAAGTAATACTAAGGTCTTACTTTTGAAATCCCGCTGACATCAAGGTGAGGAGGTGTGATGCCGCTGCTGCAAATTCCCCGTTACCACCATTATCTGGCGACTTCGATCATCTGCGATATCGATACAATGCATATTGGCCGGGCGTGTATCCATTACATGCCACCGCATACCTTATCCATAGATCCAATCCATTCGTTTTACAAACTGCCCTCGCATATCAACACCCCGTCCAGATTCAGCTCTCCTTTTTCGCTTTCTTCGCTGGAGCTCTACCTTCACCTTTGGTTTGCGTATTTGTAACTTCCCCGCCTTTTCTCTTGACTTTCCGTCTTTCGCCTACGAAGGTCTGGGTGGCTTTATTTCGAGTCTCCAACCATTTCGCCTCACTAGGCTGGAGTACCTCTGGCATTCCAACTTTTCCTGCTATAATCTGACCATCTTCGCCAAGTAAAAGCTTTGTCAACTCTTCGACTCCAGGCGTGTCCTCAAAAACCACCAACATGTATACACTGCCATTCTCTGGTTTTAATATCTTAACCAATTTCTGTTCCGAGCCCTTCGAGAGAGCCACCAAAGGCACTGATACTGCGGCACATAGAAACGGGATATGCGAGTGTAACACTGATGGTTGGTCCGATCTTGTAACAAAGACTGCCAATGGTTTTCGAATTTCCTTTTGGGAGGTTTCTGGCTTTGAATTGGGATTTAGAAGTGATGTTGGAACTGATCGTTGGACTAGATGTTCCAGATATGATGTTACCGGGTTCGGGCCGGCCAATATCTTTGGTCTTCCATCTCCTATCGTCGTTGCTGTCGCCGTCGTCAATTTTTGAAGCTCTTGTAGGTCGGTGAGAAGTTTTGATAATATAGCGAATGCATCTGACGACGCCTGAGGCGAGATATCAGGCCACGACGGGGAGAAAAAAGTCGGAGTGGGGGAATCGAGGGAGAAGATTGTCTTTGCCTTCTTGGCTTTATCTTTTAGTGAAGCCATGATGAAGATTTCTTTAAATTTTCAAGCTAGGCTAAGCTATTCTGTACTAAGTACCAGCCTACTCGCGTACTCGGGACCGGGGAGCTCAGAGCTGCATCTGTCTGGAAGGTGGCGGTGATGGTTGACGCTTAGATGCGGCCGGTGCTTTCCCTGATTTTTTTATTTTATTATTTTATATTTTTTTATTGGGAAAAGACAGACCTGCAACAGCCGCAACACGTCTTCTGCGAGCCGACATGTTCGAACAAAGGACATTTTGTCTCGGGTACTTTTGCCCTGTCATGCACAAGAGCTTCGGCGCTCTTTGAATTCTTAAGCACAGCTTTTTTTTCACTTTCGCCTTTCTCTCTTTCTCTCTTTTTTCTTTTAACTTTCAACCTCATCTACACTTCTTTAATTCTCTTTTATAGCTAGCTATAATCATTCCTCTTTAATACATAAATATACTATTCTGTATTACGATAGTCCCTAATGGAAGCATTCCAAACAATGGCATCATCCATCGCATCCTATGTCACCACCGACAATTCGTCGTCTGCACCGTCTAACCGTCCCGCCCCACCAATCGCTTCAGACATCCTCACGCATATCGGCCAAACTCCGCTTGTAAAGCTCAATCGAATCCCACAATCACTGGGTATCAAAGCTACCGTCTATGCGAAATGCGAATATTTCAATGCAGGCGGTAGTGTGAAGGACAGAATTGCGAAGAGGATGGTGTTGGAGGCTGAGAAGAGTGGGAGGATTAAGCCTGGTGATACTCTGATTGAACCTACTAGTGGGAATACGTATGTCCCTCTTTTTTTGAATTGTTTTTCTTATTTTTAATCCACATTCTTTTCTATTGATTCATCTATTCTATTTTCCTTTTTTCCTTTGTTTTTTTTTCTTATTTTATATTTTGAATTTTTTTTTTTTTTTGCATGACTTTTGCTGGAATGCTGAAGTACTTATTTTATATAAGTATTACTTAAGTATGTGGGATTTCTATTGGCTCATGATGGCGTGCTAACGATTTGTTGCCCCTCTGTGGGGGAGTTTTCTATGAGAACCACAGTGGCATAGGTCTAGCACTCGTCGGCGCTGTCCGAGGGTACAGGGTAATAATCACCCTTCCCGAAAAGATGTCAGCAGAAAAGGTCTCGGTCCTTCGAGCTCTTGGTGCAGAAATCGTTCGTACACCAACCGAAGCCGCGTGGGATGCTCCGGAGTCCCACATCGGGGTCGCAAAACGTCTGCAGCAAGAAATCCCAAACAGTCACATCCTAGACCAATACGCAAACGTTGATAACCCGCTTGCGCATGAATATGGAACCGCGGAGGAGATTTGGGAACAAACTGGTGGGAAGATTGATATGCTCGTTGCTGGGGCTGGTACCGGTGGGACTATCACTGGTATCGCTAGAGGGTTGAAGAAGCATAAGAAGGATATTAAGATTGTTGCTGCGGATCCGTTGGGTAGTATTTTGGCTTTCCCTGAGGAGCTGAATACCTCTACGGAAGGGTATAAGGTTGAGGGTATTGGATATGATTTCTTACCTGAGGTTCTGAGTAGGGAGATTGTGGATAAGTGGTATAAGACCGAGGATAAGGAGAGTTTTATGTTTTCTAGGAGACTTATTAGGGAGGAAGGGCTTTTGGTCGGCGGTAGCTCGGGAAGTGCCATGCAGGCCGCTATGCAGGCTGCGAAGGACTTGAATGAGGGAGATGTAGTAGTTGTGGTTCTACCGGATAGCGTTAGAAGTTATCTTACTAAGGTATGCCATAAGATCTCAACCGCCATGGTATTCTTGATAGAGGGTATAGGGGACTAATCACAGATTCGAAAAATAGTTCATCGACGACGACTGGATGGTTAACAACGACTTCCTGACCCCCGACGAACTCGAAAAGCCAACAACCTCCAAATCCCCTTACCAAGACGCCACAATCCGCTCCCTCCGTCTCAAGAACATTGTAACAATCCAAGTCGACGCAAATGTCAACTCCGCGATCAATGTCATGCGCGAAAAGAGCTTTGACCAACTCCCCGTCCTCTCAGGAACCCGTCTCGTCGGTCTCGTCACCCTCGGAAACTTACTCTCCTTCATCTCTCGCGGCAAAATCGACGGCTCGTCATCGGTTGAAAACGCGATGTTCGATTTTAGAAAGATTCAAGAGGTCATTACCGATCCTAATGAGATCGGGTCAGTGAGGACACAATCCGGTGGGAAGTCTGCGGGAGGAAAGAAAAGAGATTTTGATCAGATTACTCTGGATACTCCCCTTAGTGCTCTCACTAGGTTCTTTGAACATAACAGTGTGGCTATTGTGACTGAACCTAGGGAGGAAGGAGGACTGAAGCCTGTGCATGTTGTCACCAAAGTTGATCTTTTGGGTTACTTGGTCAGGCAAGGAAAGAAGGAGTAAAGAAGGTTTTCTTTTTATATATACTCGAGTATAGGCTTTGAGGGAAACTTATAGAGCCTACATTCATTTAATTACCCCGCTATCATTTTGTGGAAGGCTGATTGTATGAAGGCCAAATGAGATTACCTCAGTTAGATCTGGTAGCTTTGGAGGCTCTTCTATTCTTTCATTGTTTTACCTACTATTGTATTGCATGATATCATTTTTTTTTTCTTCTTCCGGCGAAAGAAAAACAGTTTTTGTTCTTTTTATATATATAGGGATTCATCACAGCAGAGGAGTTGGGTTTTCAACAATTCAACGGGAAAAATACATATGCTTTCTTTGATTTTACATTCATTCTCTATGAACACCAGAATACTATGTCTTACGATTGATATACAACTAGCTTGATTAATCCCTTCCGTGAAGTAGGATAGGCATATGTGCATGGTGATCGAGCTAACCTTATACGTTAACCAACTAATTATAATATTCGATTGACTGTACTTTTCGTGCCTGGATCCGGAGATACCCACTGGCGTAGACTCTATAGCTCTAGATAGAGGAAGTAGACATACTCGGAGTAGTATTTTGCAGATCTCCATAATATTGAAGTGCGAATTGTTAATATAAGAAGCTGTAGCTGGAGATATCAAGATAGATGATCTAAGACAGACAGACAGACCAGGCAAGGGTCGAATACAGGTAATATGCAGCTGCAGGTTGGTGTTGGATATTTCAGCTGCCTAATCCATCGACAAAAATGAATGGATGACCAACCGTGCAACTGAAAGGAAAAAAATGCAAAAAAATGCAAAAAAAAGTATGGTAGATAATTCATTGGATTGTTTAGTCCAAACGGGATTCGAACCCGCGACCTTCGCATTTCTTGTATATGAAGCTGAGCTTTTGCAGGAAAAGTCCAGTTTCTCCATATAAGAACGACACTCTAACCACTGAGTTACTGGGCTGGTTACCTCACTCCCGCTCCATATGGGCTATATGAGGGCGGAACACAATTCGGTGGTTCGGTTGTGTGTGGGCTCTGCTGGTGCTTTAGGTTGTGCTTAGTGAACGAAAATGTAACAATGCCAACTCATAGTTCGCTTTGAGAATATTCAGAATCTGTGCATTCACCGACGGAGCTGAGCACAAAAGTTTGTGCAATGCTCTCTCTAATTATAATTGCTCACAACCACACCAACCTTCCTTCTCTTCCTTTCCAACAACATTCTCTCTGCTGACACTCCCGTCTGCCCACCACCATCACTTGTTTGCACTCATTTAACTTCCGATGGAAAGGAACGTCCATCTAGCCTGATTATTTCACTCACAATCATCACCATCTCAATTGCTCAAACTTTACTCTCGTATCGCCGACTAGAACTTGCAAACTCAACATCATGTCTGCACCCGACTTACCCGAATTAATATCCTCACTGGGTACGCCATCGTCATCGTCATCGGACTTAAATACTCCAGAACCCTCTGATCTAAACTTCACGCATGTCAGCTCGGCAGACAATGATGAAGCAATCAGAAACTTCACAGATGACGAATTAAAAAGCTTCATAGCCGCTCTTCGGAACAAGGCTAAAGATCGAGATCATTGTCGTCGGTTATCTTCTGCACGGGTAATCCGCATCTCTCAAGGCTACGTCACAAAAATACAGTATGACGGTTGGATCCAAGATCTCAAAGCTGGGGTCGACATCGCTCGGGGACTTGGGATACGGGCACCGGCTATCGAAAGGATTCTAGAATATACGGGTGATAAAGAAGCCTTCTTCGAGTGTGTACAAGAATATGTACCCGGCACAAACTTAGTGGAACTTTTCTCAAAACTCGACCTACAAGAAACAATCCGTCTAGCATTTCAGCTACGAGGCATGCTAAAGATTATGCACAAGAAAACCAACGACCAACTGGGATCCTGCCACAGTCTGAAGTGTCGGTCTTATTGGCTTGAATGCGAGCTCGGTCTGCCGCCAGCTAGCACGGCTGAAGATATTGCTAAAGTGGTAAACTTCTGGTCCAACTACACACCAGATCGTGCCGAAGCCAAGAAATCATTCGAGGAGCTCGAGAGGTGTTGTACTACTGGCCCGGCGGCTCTTGATTGTCCACTTGTGTTCACACACCATGACCTGGCTCCTCGCAACATGATTGTTGATCCAAAGGGGGATTTGTGGTTGATAGATTGGGACTACGCTGGGTGGTACCCCGCTTATTTTGACCGTGCTTCTATGGATCATTTTTCGTATTACCGGGAAGGATGGTCTCTATCTACCCAGCTTCGTTGGCATATCTTCTGCTCCATAGCTTGTGAAGGCAAGTGGGAGAAGCAAGGTATAGCTGTTCGAAATATTGATACATATTCGGGGATGTATGGAGATGCATGCCGTGCTGCCACTGTCAAAGCCGGGTTGGCACCAATGATGCCCCAGCCAACAGGAAGATTTCCAGATTTGGAGAATTGAGTTTAATCTAAAATCGCCCTAGAATAGCGAGAATACCATAACTTCGTGACAACAGAATGAAATATACCATGTCCAGTCGCAAACTAGTTGTTTTCTGCGAGGTTCCGGAACGCAAACAATTTGTTCTCATTTGTGTAGCAGACCTTAGAGCTTCTGATAGACTATCTGCACGTTGATCTTTCATCGCCAGTTGTCTCACCCCCCAGCCTTCCATGAAGGACCAGATGTATATTATATTTATAGGCACTCATCTCATTCTGGTAGCCACCGATGCTAGTATCTATATCCGCCGTTCATCGTCTTCTGTATTGCTTCCACCAGCCGTCAAAATACTCTCTTCGAGGTTTCAATATTATCTCCCTTTGGACACCCCACAAAGCCCAGCCGCGCTCGTGGTCCCAGCGCCCTAATATTTCACGCCGTAGTTCATAATAAATTCTATATAAACGCTGAATACATTAATCCACCAAAATGCCCAGTGAGTTTACTAGTATCCTAGCCCGTAACACTTAAAACACGTACACCGTAGATGTCATATTTTTTGTTTTCATCGTTTTACAGCTCTGTCATCTTTTTAATTGATGCTTGTCTAAATGAACAATCTGTGTGTACAGGACGGGAGTCCCACGAACGACTAGATGTCCACACAATCACAGAGGATCATGAGGACTGTGTAGTTAGTACCGTTCACTTAGTGGCGGGCAACCCAGTGAGAAACCTCAATCACTGGTATCTCTTCCTCGAGTATTCCCCCGGACGATACATCCGGCTGAACATGACATATTCGGGGGCCGAGCGGCTTGGGAAGAAGGAGGGCAAACTAGTCGTGGCCCCAATAAATTATGCAGCCCCCAGATCTGGGGTTAAGCAAGAAGTCTTCCACCTTCCAAAGGGGCCCACTGTCGGCGATCTTCTAGATATAATCATCGATAGAAACAGAGAATATTACTTATTTACAGAAACGGGCCAGGGCTGCCGTTTCTGGTGCAGGACAATACTAGATGATTTTTATGAGTTGAAACAAATCAGGAAGGACTATGATAAAGGCCTCAACGCCCTGCAATGCCTTTGGAATGCCCAGGGGGTCGGTTCGGCCCGGGCAATGCAGTGCGGTGAATTCGAATTTTGATGAAGGTTTCCGGGAAAGTTGGCATGACCCCGGCACAGGCTGGACTCTTCCTCTCCCCTTCCCCTTCCTCTAGGCCTCTTCCCTCTACTCTTCCCCCTACTCTTCCCTACTCTTCCCCTTCTTTTTCTTTTCTTTTCCTTTTCGGTTAGCAGGTTGCAATTGCAACATATTTTATGTTAATTCGACCGTCGGTTTCTACTCCCGACTTGGGATTTTTGGGCGCCATAAGGGAGGTTAACGGTTTCCGCATGTATTTTATAGCGGACATAGAATCAAGTGTTTCTATTTTCTTTTGTCCCTTCTTTTTTCTCCTTCTTGTCGTGGTTCCCCCTCTGAGGCCGCTCAGTCGAAACAAGGGCGATAGAGTATATAGAAAAGCCCGCGGCCAGGCATGATAATTAGTAGACTTCATAGGCCTTTTCCTTCCGTAGATTTGATCGCTGCATATGCGCATATGTGACGGCGTCATTAAGTGCCGGATGCTGGTATTTGAACGGATAATAATATATAAGGCACTCTCGACATAGCCACTGTGGCATCCCGCTTCACTTTAAATTTTGAGGAAGAATATTCGAGTAGAACATATCCCGAAAGGATGTAAATCTAAGGAACGAGCTTAGCATATAACTGGACCATACATTATACCAGGGTTCATAGTCTTGGAGGCTGGCCCTACGCCAAGGTTATATCTCAAGATCGGGTCTGGCCATAAACCGTGTACGGGCGCTTTTATAGTTACCATGGCGGTGGGAGAGGCTGCGGCTGCTTTTACCCGAAATGCAAGATTACAATAGCACAAGAGTCGCGAGACCACACCAAACCATCAGTGCAGCTGGACCTGGGACTAGCCGAAGTCTTTTGATATCAAAACCCAACGAGGATAGGGCGAATTCGAATATCAAATTTGAACAAGATAAAATTTGAAGGTGTTTGCGTAAATGGCTTCGCTTTTTTTGCGGGGCGGTGGCATCGATACTGCGCCCACCATGACCAGCCGCAGCCAGTTACAGCTACAAGCTTGCTTGGCCAAACCTGAGGCCCCATTGCGAAGGTCGAGGATTTCGTTATGCGATGAAATGATATGATGCATGAGAGTCAGCATCGGGCGAGCAACTTGGCTTAGCGTGGTTCTCCCTATCGACTTGCAGCTGTAATTTCTCACCCGGCAACTGATCTGTTCTGTATCTGTACTGAAACAAGAATAGCAATAACAACCGGTGCACATCTTCGTCTTTTTTTCTTTTCCTTCCCTTTCTCCTTCTTCTCTGTCTATTTCTCCTTCTCCTAGCCTCCTTATTCGGTAGACTTTCGTACTAGACGCGGTGTGGAAGAGACATAATCCGTAGTGGTGTGGTATAGTGTGTGGTGAAAAGAAGACACCGCGACTGCGCGCCCTTTCCGAGTTCCGCGACAGCCGTCTGCTCGTTACGCAAACCTCGTTCCACATCTCCACACCTCTCAACTCTCAGCTTGCGACACCCTAACTCTTCCCCTCCACCTCCTTCCTCGGCCTCAACCAGATGAATCCTGCCAGCTCGGCCGTTCCTGCAAAAGGGAAACCGACGTTATCAACTACAGATGTCGAGAATACGGACTTAGAGCTATCAGATGTGCTCCCAAACCCGCCTCAGCCCGATGTCATGAAAATGGCACAACTGGGTGATGAGGCGGGCGTAAGACAGCTACTCGATTCTGGCAAAATCCCGGCAAACTATGCCGATCCTGAGGGCATCACGCCGCTACATGTTTGTACAATCTCGTCTTACGTCTTACTCGCTTTAGACATCGGCTGACCATATATATCTTGAAATGGCGATAGTGGGCTGCAATCAACAATCGTTACAATGTCTGTAAGGTCCTCCTCGAGGCTGGTGCCGACGTAAATGCCGTCGGTGGCGAGTCAGTCGCTACTCCCGCTATGTGGGCTGCCCAAGAAAAGCACTACTACATTGTTGACCTCCTCACACGATACGGCGCCGACCATCAGATCACAGACGGTCAAGGCTACAACATCCTCCATCTCGCAACCTTCAATGGAAATCTCTTCCTCATAATTCTCCTCTTACATCAGGGTATAAATGTCGATGTCAAGGACACACAAGGTCATACACCCTTGATGTGGGCTGCATATAAGGGTTTCCCGGCGTGTGTGGAGTTATACCTATCATGGGGAGCGGATGTCACCGCTGTAGACGATAAGCAACTTACCGCTCTGCATTGGGCGCTGGTAAAGGGAAATTTCCAGTGCATACAGAAACTTGTCGAATATGGGTCCGACAGATTTCACAAAACCGACACCGGAAACACGCCCCTACAAGCTGCAAAGGATATGGAAACACTGCACATCTTCCAAGAAGCTCTGGCGGAATCCGGATATACGAAGGAGGCCAGGCCGAAACACACGAACGCGCCCTTCTTTTTGAGCGTTCCGGAGTCCCGGGAAAGCTTCTTAAGAAAGTTTTTGTTCTTTTCACCTTTCTTTTTGATATGGGTGGCATTAACGGCATTGTCGATATTACCTGCGATATTGTCAATACCGATACTCATCGGCCTTTTCATTGCTTCAAACATGGGTGTTACTAAGGCGTTACAAGAGTTCGGAGCTCCTGGGCAAAAGGTAGTGCACAAGACACCATTTTTAGCGGGTATTTTTGCGGGCACGGCGTTCTGGTTAGGATTAAGATATTTTTCTACGGTATTCCCTGGTATGGATCATACCCTACCCCAAGATAATGCCATCAAGAAATCCCCTACTAACAGATAACTCGATATAGCTACATACGAGCAGCATCCTATTCTAAATTTTGTGTTTATGATTTTTTATGGGCTTTGTGTGTATTTCTATGCTTTCAGCATGCGGGCGGATCCTGGCTTCGTCCCTTTAACAAACTCCCGGGAAGCGCAAAAGGAGATTGTGCAGGATCTTCTATCGCAGTGGAAGTACGACGAGCGGAATTTCTGTGTTCACTGTATGGTTCGAATGCCACTGCGATCGAAGCACTGCAGGAGATGCTCAAGATGCGTAGCGAGACATGACCAGTGAGTATTCCTCGAATTGAAAATATAGCTCAGCAACATACTAAAAAAAATTGCTAGTCACTGTCCATGGATTTTCAACTGTGTTGGCGTTAGCAATCATCGACAATTCCTGGCCTATGTTGTTACTCTTGAACTCGGTCTAATTTCTTATATTTCATTAGCGTATTTCTGTAAGTTTGGCCCCCAGTCTGCTTCTCACTAGAGACTAACTCAAAACTCCAGATTTCTCTGCCCTCCCTGAAGTTTCTGTGGAAAACTGCCTCTTCCTTAGTGTCAGCATGTGCCAGCCAGTCTGGGCGGATCCATTTACACTTTATTTAAGCATCTGGGGAGGTCTGCAGTCAACTTGGGTAACCATGCTGTTTATCGTCCAGACTATCCAGGTTCTACGCGGACAAACCACGTATGAGAATATGCATGGCTCCCACCAAGGATTCGACGACCATGAAGTTTCCAATATGGTATCCAGCATGATCACAGGCGGTGGGGCATCGTTGGGAGGAGTGGGATTGGAACCCAGCGGTGCAGGCCCAAATCCACTGATAACAGCCCCCGGAGGGGCCCATGGCGGGAGACAAGGTCATGGTCACCAAGGCCACTCGCACGGTCGAGGCGCACACGGACAAGGCGGTACATGGAACAAAGTATTACGACTCCTAGGTGTCGACACATTCCTGGCTACGGCGAAGGACGGCGTAGCAGATAATAAGAATCGGTCGAGACGGCGGCAGAACCCGTGGAATCGGGGCATCATCACAAATTGCAATGACTTTTGGTGTTCTGGCGTTGGAGAGTTGTTCCAGGGCGCTCCAAGCGGAGAAGCTGTGCTGGGTGGCCAGAGAGTGGATTACTATACAATGTATGAGACGCCAGCAAGGTTGAGGCGTGATGGCGGCGGGGCAGGAGGGGCATACCAGAGTGTGGCAGGAGATGAGCAAGTTTAGGCGGGGCCGGGGTGAAGGTAAGGCGCATATGATTATATATCTGGAGGGGCATACCTATCTTAGTACTTTTTTTAAAGTTTTCCTTTGATTTTTGGATGATTGGTTCCCATGATGTATATGCATATATAATATTCAACTGGAGACGACGGCGATATTTGCAACAAAGGATTGGACGCCTTGGCTTGGCGGTTATGATGGCGAAAAACAATTTTGGACGAAGTTTCTCTTATCTTTACTTTTTGTGAATACTCATTCTTATTTTCTTCGGGGTCATAATGGTAATAATAGCCGGTTTCTTTATATATCTTGAAAGTTCTTTTTTTCATTCCAGATGTTTCATTTCTTCCGCTACTGACATCGACCAGGGTTATCCAGAGCCGTGACAAGGGTCCCAGGTCGTCCCAAGTTCCGACCCCTGTCTGTAGCACGCTGATACGAATGGCCAAATCCGACGATGGTCAACAGCCAATCATGAACCGCCAGGGTTTTCCGACTAAACTACATCGATAACACTCTGAAACCAACATCCAAAATCGCGATCTTTGTTTCAGGATTGGGGGAAAAACGCCATAGCTAGAACACCTCTAGAAATTTCCGCCTAATAGACCAAGCCAAAGAGGCTGCAAAGCCAACGATCCGATCAAAGAAAAATTGAAAATTGCAAGTTAAAAATATAAAAAAAATCTCAATTTTTCTTCCTTTCAGGTAAATACGACCCGAAGGCTCCCGCGGTGGCACCAAAAACCTAGTTAGGATCACAGCTGCAAGTGTTTCAACTAGTGGAGCTCACAAGATCACCTTGTGGAGTGACTATTCGCACGTGGCGGATCCGATCGAGCTTCCGTAACGGAGAAGACGTTCTAAGGGGCGGTCTCAGCACAGCCTCGGTTACTATACAAAGATGCCTTGGATGCAGGTACCGGATATTCACATCTACACTATTGATTGTTTTTTTTTTTTCCGAGGGCAGCGTAATCTGAATCAATTCGTTCATACCTCCCAAAGAAGAGTTCGGCGTGTTAACCATGTGGTTGGTTCATGGCACCATTTTCACGATATCTGGCTTCCCTGGGTTAGTAGCAAATCCCAGAAAGTTCACCTGGAACGACGCTGCGGTAAACCCCCCATGTTTGGCACAAATTTCATGCATTGACTAGGTATTACCAGCCTCTGGGTAGGTAACCTGCAGCTCTAGCTCTGCAGCTGCGGGGGCCTCCCAGTGTGACGGTATATATCAGAGCAGGCATGATAATACTTATGCAATTCCTAAGCTAAGCTGGTGGGTATATTAAATGTATGATTCCTATCACATCTTCGAAACTTCGAATATTCCTCCCACAGTTCTTCACCATCTTCATCTTCACCAATTTAAATTTCTCTCTAAGACCCTTTAACGACTCATTCAAACCCTTTTGATACCCAAATCTCTACGATATTTACAAAAATACCCATTCCAATCTCCATATAAACCTACAAAGACAAAATATATCCAAGTATATATTCCACAATACAGTTATCGATATCGATATCGCATCTGCAAAGTTCCTAGGAACCCTTCGCAAGCGAACCAACAAAAATGCTTTTCTCCTCGCTCCCCCCGGCCATTCTCCTCCTCCTCTTAACCTCATTCGCCGCCGCAAAAGCAGGAGATCGCACATTATCCCTCTTCCCTGCGATCCCAGAAGTCACTGAGATCGCAGCCAACTCGTCCTTATTTGCTATAATAAAAGAAACAGGAGCAGCCAGCACAAACTATGGTATAAACGCCAAGAGTCAAAAACCAATCGAAACTGGAACTGGAACTGGAACTGGAACTGGAACTGGAACTGGAACTGGAACTGGAACTGGAACTGGAACTGCAACCGCAACCGCAATAGCAGCAGTATCAGCCGGCGTCGATACAAACTTTTATATCGACGTTACAACATTTCCAAATCAAAACAGTCAAGTACTGAATTACTTCACCGGAGCATTCCCACCTACGCGAGTCGCCGAGGTGACATGCAGTTTCGAAGGTACAACGAGTGCGGTATGCCAAGTCACAAGGTTGGCCAAAGAGACAGGGAAAGCAATCGCACCTGGTAGTTTGACTTCTTCAGAAGTCACCTATGCGCCAGCACAGATGACTTTCCAACCGATAGTATTCCAGATGGCCTCCGCAGACTCAAGCGCAAGCAGTTTGAGGATCTTCGGAGTACCGGCATTGGTGGCGTATATGGTGGCGGCAGTTATCATGCTGTTTTGAGGATTTGAAAATATGGGGGCTTTTTTTTTGTGTGGGAAATTATATGCATTAAGCGCATGGAAATTTGTTCATGCGCATGCGTAAATCAAATCCGGTAGGGATAATTTGGAAAACCATGAGGTTTATGACGGGGTGATAGGAAAAATCTCCGTTTATCGTCGATGATTGCGTACTTTATGAAGCTAATGATATAATTATGTTGGTTTGGGTTATTGCTCTTTTCTGAATCTTATACCTTTGGGGGAGCTTTCTGGTATTGTTGTTGATGGGGGTTTGCGGTTCCTTCTTCTTCTTTTTTTTTTTTTTTTTAATGTGCAGGTTTGGTGTTCTTTTCGGCCGTCCTTCTTTGATGATATCCTTGACTCTTAAGATCTTCTTTCTTCCTTTAGTTGTTTAGCCTGTACTGTACAGCCAGTTAGAGGCGCGGTGTATTCTTTTTCTCTGTTTTGCAAATTTGACCTGTTAACTTAATTATACTATTGTACATATTTATCTACAAACGAATTTCCCTTGTCTTGCCAATATATAAGTAGATATAGTCTAGTTTCAGTATTCTGATAGTAAGTCAAGGAGTTACTCATTACTCGTATGCAATATACCTACTTCCACCACCGCAAATAATTATGCTACCCTTCGAACTCATTAACATATGTGATCCATGGCCGAAGAATAACATATATCGAAGAATAATATATACAGACACGTGCACACATATAAGTATAATACTAAAACCACCGACTGCCGCCCTCTCACAGGCGGTACATGCATGGGGAGCATAATAAACCCCGGGCCTTCAAAATCGATGCCATGCCCACAAAGAAGTAAGTTAACAGTCAAGAACTCCTCTAAAAATGCGCTAAATATACAAATTGAATGAAAGCTAGATCTTTATGGATGTGGCCTGCTCTGGGTGCACAATGATCAAAAATGCTGAAGGGCTGCTGGAAGACACCAGAACAGATGACTGGAAAATACTCTGATATAAAAAATGGAGAAAAAAGAAAAAGAAATCCAAGTTCAACGGGAATGAGGTTCCAAGTTCTTTAGATACTTGAGAAGATCTTTCTTATGTACCATGCCAGCAAACTGGCCCTCTTGGGTGATGCAGAGGAAACGTAGTCCTAGAACCGTCATTAGAATACTCCGTTGTATATAGATTTTAGAACAAGAGAAGGCTTTGAACTTACCCAACTTGACAAATAGCTCGTAAACAAGTTCCATAGGGCTCCTGATTTCTAATGCAATCGGCGCAGGATCAACGTAACCGGTGAAGTCTGTCAGCATCCTTGTGCCGTCTTCACTTTCATAATCGTGATATCCATCTTCGGTCTCCATAAGGCAAAGGTCTGTAGCTTCGTTCTTAAGTCCATCGAGAGCATATTCGAGATCGGGAGCAGGGATCAGCCCGACCAAAATCCCATCTCTCAAGAGCGGTAAGCCGCCATCAAGCTCTCCACTTGCTTGGAGAGAGTGTAGCTTTCGGCGCAGTTCTACGGCAGGTACAAGAGAGCTGTTCGAAACGTCAATGATCCGTTGGGGCGGTAAGCTAGAAATAATATCGCTGAGCTCGCTAGTAAAGATCGGTGCCATTTTTGCGTCAAGGTAAGGATAGCCGTTTAGGTCTGTCAATAGGTCGTAGATGCTCAACGGTTCCACCCAATCCGCAACCCATTTTGAAACCATGACTGCGAGTGAAAACGGAAGGACGTAGTCCAAGCTCCCGGTAAGTTCGAATAAGATAACGACCAAGGTCACCGAGAGTCGAGTTACACCGCACATAGCGGCTCCAGCGGTGACAAGGGCGTAAACTCCCGGTACCACGCAAGGGAAGTGACCTTCAGTAGGACAGGACTGAAACAGGAAATGGCCTGGTTGAGTCAGATGAAGATACTGCAGGGCTAGCCCGACCATATGACCAATGATACCACCAATAACCATGGTGGGCACGTACACTCCGGCTGGAACTTTGGTACCAAACGTAATGATTGTCAGGAATGTTTTGACCACAAGAGCGACCCCGAGCTCTTTAATCGTCTCAGGAATATCCTCCACCAAAGGACACAGCCTCCAGTCATCGTTCGGGTTCCTAGAACAGGGTTTTGCGAGTTCGAAGAGTAGCTCTGTGACTGGCAATCTAGTGTAACGATTCCAGAAGCAGATGATACCAGTAATGAGGGCAACAACAAAAACTTCAGTAGTAGGATTCTGTTTAATAAACTTGATCTTTCTGAAGGTCGTCGCCCAGAACCTGCTGGCCTTTATGAAGAAAGCACCGAATAATCCACCTAGCGCCCCTAGGATAGTAAAAGCGATAATTTCGAATCCGTGCCATCGGGTCTCGTAACGGACTTCGAACATGACGATTTTCGATGTACCGTAAGGATCTAGAAATTTTAAGGATATCGCAGCAACAATGCAACAGAAGAATGTCCTGAAAAGAGTTTTCGGAGGAAAGTAGTAGCTGACTTCCTCCAAACTGAACAGGACTCCACCGAGAGGGGCACCAAAAGCGACTGCTACGCCTGCTGCCGCACTGGCGCTAAGGACTTCCCTACGCTTTGCATCATTGGAGTTGTACTTGGGAAATAGACGACAGCAAATGTTTCCGATACATGTCGCAATGTGGACATAAGGGCCCTCCTTTCCAAGACTCATTCCAGAAGCGACACTTAGAACCAGACCGATCGTTTTCATGAACAGCGTTCTGAAACCTAGATAACCGTGCATGACGAACCCGGATAGTATAACCTTGACTTCCGCCACTCCGCTGCCAGCGGCTGTATAGTACTGCCTTAATGCCTGTCCGTCGTCCTTTTTCGTTTCGTCACCGGGACGGTTTGCCCCAAGATCCTCGTCAAGTGCCGATATTCGAATGGAAGAAGGGAGATCCGTTCGGGTCGCCATGGTAATGGCCGAAGCACACATCGCAAAAAGGACCGTTGCAAATATAAATACGGTGTAGCCTCCTACCATTCCTGCCCAAGTTTCGTTGCGGTCACCCTCTCCCCATGTACGCCATGAACTACAAAACTCTTCCGAGACGTCTGACAAGCAGCACTTCCTTCTACTAAAATACCATCCGTTCCCACAATATCCATTTTTGAAGTCAAATAAAACACTCTCGGATACGTCGACGAAAAATGCCACCCCGGCAGTGAGAGCACCAACAATTGCCGCCAATAACCAGCCCTGTGATGCATCGTAGAGGAGTGCTAGCCGTCCGCGAATATCTTTTCTTGCCCTAAGTTCTTTTAACCGGAAGGCCTCTTTGACGGCATCATTAACCCAGTCGGTCGAGGTGAACTAGCAAACAAATAATAATTAGTTAAGTTGCTGCGTAGAAGACGGGAAAGAAATTCTCGCACGACTGCCCCATACCTGATCGTACCACTGTTTGTGATATGCTTGGTCGGTAGCAATAGCCCAATCGGGACCATGGTCTTCCAGGTGTGTAAGAGCAGTACTCAGTCTTTGAACAAAGGACTGTGTTCGATTCGTTCGTAGTATGCTTGGAGAGACGGACGACTGTATTCTCGATGCCCTTGGATGAGATGCTGTTGTTCTAGGAGTCAATGGTGCTGTTTTATAAGACCGACTAGGTGCATCCGTAACGCTTTCGAGCAAGGAAGATGTCTCATCGGGTTCTGAATGTATCCGCAAGGGTGGTCGGGTTCTCTTCGGTGGGCCTTCATCTTCATCATCTGCCATGTGGACACCTCTCGACGAACGTATCGACCTCGCGTCCGAAGCCATGATGTTGCGTAGAAAATGAAGATTTGTACCGGCGAAAAGCCGATAAGGAAAGAATGGGTTCCTGTTGAGCAAAGTAGTTTAGTTGTGTAACTCGAGGTGATGAGACATGACGAAGTGAATGTTAAGAAACATAATTATGTTGACAAACCTAGAGCTAAGTTAAGGTAAAAATAAATAGCCACATGTGCTATTATTGTTACTACCTAGTATATATAACAGACCGGTCCTTGCAGAATATTTTTAAGGAAAGAATGAGATCACAGAGACGGAGGGATCGAAAGTGGTCCGATGATTTATTTTTCGAAATCAGCAGGTCATCCGATCAGGGTGACCACTAGCGCGGGTATATATAAATGTGGTGGGTTGGGTGTCCTCAAGGAGGACGTAACTAGTACTTAGTTACTGGGCCGCAGGGCGTACACGGTGCCGGTAGTGTAGTGCAGTGAGGGTATTTGTATTTGCTTAGCAACCAACCGACTTTAGGGGACCAACCAAGAGCTTGGCCTGGAATCGGATGCTGTATGTATTGATGGTTTGAAAGATCCTGTTTAGCAAACAGTAGCTCTTTTGCGGGACAGTAAATGGTTAGTATGTAAATACTAATAGTAGGTATCAAATGAATAGGTTAAGTTGGTCAGTTGGTAAAAAGGTATGAGCTGAGATACCTCGCAAGCCAGTGAATCGGAGGCGAAGATGCCGCTCACGAAGACTCGACCAGACCTCTGACTTGACTTGGGTGCACCCTTTTTGACATCATGTCACATAAAACAGCATCAGGAGCTCAGTTTGCATAGCCGAAATTTCAGCAGGGCCAGGGGGCGCTCACCAATCCCAAGTTCCACAACTGAACCAGAAGATCCAGGGTAAGTAGCTGATAGTTATGTATACCGGCCTATTTTATAGCTACGCGCCTGAACTATATACTATCCAAGGCGTGCACTATCAAAGATCGCGGAGCGTGTGAAGAATGGATGTTTTGACGACGCGGCCACTTTGGAAACGAGAGCAAGAAAATAAAAGCTGATCAACTTGGTTCCCAAATGATGGCCTGCAATATACAGCACACATGTTGGCCTCATTTTGTCAGACGGCAGCCGCTTGACCCACACGACCGATAGATTTGGTGAATCCCGATGGTATGTAGGTAGTGGTGGGGCGCAATTTGGGAATGCACCAGACCAAGCTAATGGGCTGGTGATAACGAGCCCGCCCTGATCAGGCAACCCCAAGCCCCCACTGGTGCCATCTTGCATGCTGGGCACTGGCAGCAAAGACTAGCGTTAGCAAATCATTATCGTCAGTTTCGTCCTGGAGCTTCCGAACTTCGATCGAGTGTTCCCCGTTTGTTGCCGTCTGTTAGGACATCCAATCGAAGGATTCGAAGGTAGGGCATCCGCACATCCGCGTGACGGGAGCTAGCTGTTTAGCCGTGGTCGACCAGTCCCTGTGCCACTTCGCATCCTTCAATGTTGGAACATATCATCATGATATCCAAGGGATCCAAACTTAAAACTTAAGTCCGAGTAAGCTGAACTGGGGGGTTGAAGGGTCTTGGTACTTTCGGAACTCGGCGTGGGGAAAGGTGGAGATTGTGGCTAGTGAACTCCGCTTCGTCTGTGGCTAACAACGCCCTAAAGTAATCAAAACCTCACGGTGTAACCGGTTTATAATGTCTGGAGCGGATTATTGTCGGAATCATAAGCACTGAAATGTTTCGACGGGAAGACTATTTCTGAATAAGACTCGAGATGTGGAGCGGTAGGGCCTAACTTTTCCGTGCATCAGTTGCTACATAATTGCATAAAGGACAAGGCTTGGTACGTCCGAAAGCCAACCAATGCAATCCTTCGATCTGAATTCTGTTATACAACCACAATTGCAATTGCACAATTCAACCGCATACAATTAATATTGCTGGCAGCTTAGGTTAACTTCCTGGGCATATGCATCCTGATCCGACCCAGATTGGCTATTGAATCAAACCAAATCGTATCGATCATTGTATTTAACTACATGAACGATCAATTGCAAACGTCCCACGCAAATTAAAAGTTAAACAAAATATGGCATCTACAACAAACAGCTCACTCCCAAAGGGGTGGCCTGCTATAGTCTTATTTGGAGAGTACGTTCTACCGACATCTATAGGTATCTACTATATATCTATATGGCTTTGCTTCGCAGAGCTCTTGCTTTATGATTCTAACCAAAATTTACCGTTATATAGTAGCATTACCGAAGGCGAGTACCTTATCTCGCATTGCCCCGCTCCTCGTTGCTATACTATAGCGGGGTATACACGTACATACAGCACCCGTACGAGTCTAACACCAGTTCAGGCATATGGCACTATGATTCCGGGTATAGCTTGGGGGCTGTCCTCACCGAAAAGTTCTCCCGGAGAATACAGGTCCTAGAAAGAGGTTTCTCGTACGTAATTCAATCCCATGGATCATATTTAATTGAATTTATATATTAAACTTAACACTGGTTAACAACTATCTATCTAGAGGCTACAACTCATCCAATGCCAGGGTCGTCGTTGATGACGTTATCCCGCCGGCAGGAGGGGCAATCGACCTGAAATTATTGGTACGACCGCTTTGTTCTTATCTATACCGATATCAATAGCTCTTGGCTAAAAGATGTTCAATTATAGCTGGTCTTTTTCGGCGCGAATGATGCCGTCCTACCTCCAGACCAGCAGATTGTCAGCGAAGAACAGGCCCAGAAGGGAGTCATGGTGGTGTCTCAGCATGTTGACATCGAAGAATACAAAGTCCATCTGAGAGCTATAGCGCAACATAAAAATGTAAAGGATCATGGCGCGAAAGTTGTCCTTGTCACACCTCCACCGATATGTGAGCACAAGATCCTCCCGTGGAAGGATCGCAGGTCAGCGGTTGCAAAGCAGTATGCTGAAGCTGCTATCTCCGTGGCAGAAGAAACCGGAGTCGAGGTCTTGAAGCTCTGGCATGTGTTTATGGAAGAAGCCGGATGGAAGGAGGGCGAACCATTATTGGGAGAGATCGGTGTTCCAAAGTCAGAGAAACTGGGTGAGCTGTTGAGCGATGGTAAGTAAAGTCCCATATCCTTATATATAAGGTCCAAGTATACAGCGCATCTTTGATCAGGATACTAATATAATATCTTTCACAGGCCTCCATTTAACACCTAAGGGATACAAACTTTACTTTGAAAGTCTGGTGAAGCTCTTGGAAAATAAACTTCCGGATATTTATAATCACAAACGGATATTCCCTAACTGGGGTGAGGCACCGAGATACCAGAAACCAGACAACTAGGATTCTTCGGGCCCGGAGTCGAGGCGACGCAATGCGGTATAGAATTCGGATGGCTTAGATATAGATGACGGCATCCCGACCCCGAAGAGCAATGCGGTTCCTGCTTTTGGAACCAAAAAATGCAAAAAATTACAAAGTGTCATCATTGTCGACAATACTATAGAGTACAGAGACGAGCATGATTTTTGTCTTTTTGTAATTGTATTGAATCATGCTGAAGGCTTTCCGATTGTATACTAATTGCATGTATGGGAGAATAAGACCAAATGGCCAAAGTGGTTGAGCTATAAATATACTTTGATGTCGGCCTTAACCTAGGTAGCCAAGATATATCTTACATTCCCCGTGTAAGTACTTACATGTGTGCAGTGCAGCGTGCCATTCATACTTATTACATGCATGATCATGACACAGCTAGCCTCAATTGCAATTGAAGGCTCCACCTAGCACAGCACGGAAAGATAATCCGACCCCGCTATCTACAATGAGTGCACCCTTTACACCCCTCTTTCTATAAATATATATAAGTTCGTTCCGTCCTCGATATTATATCGATCTTATTCATCCCTTGCGACTACTCAATAGATACTCGAGTACGTACATACTCTAAGTTATCCGGGCTTCTTGCGTTGACGTTGGTATTGTATTAATTGCAATTGGGGCAAGAGATAATTAATTTCGGCTGGCATCAAATCAGAAGCAAGACAACCAAACCAAACCAACATCCACACCGCCACCATCCAAACCCTTCTTCTGTTCTCCATCATCCTTCTTTCGACCCATTCGCCCCGTATAGTACCAAACACCTACCATCCCACCGACATTCCTACCGCAGGTCCGCATAGACAATACATTCCAGAACAATCTAAGAAGATACCAAAGAACCTTCCTTGTCGTTCGATTTCAATCCACACAGTTGGTGGAAACCGCTGGCCTCTTTTCTGCTGGGGACCACCGAATACCACGATTCAGGGCAGACTGAGCACTGCCAATAACTCCTACCCCGTACCTGCCTGCTCATTTAGGCCATTCTCGCCAAATACTCGTCTGAGAACGACCATTTCATCCGACCTATAAGCCCTATCCGCCATACAGGAATCACACCTTCTTCTCATCCCTCAGCTCAGGATCCAGATGGTTACCTTTTAGTACATCCGATTTCGATTTATACATTTTATTGTTCTGTGATCAGACCGAATCTTTCATCGACAACCCCTCACTCACCGACACGAGACTTCATATCTTAAACATCTACGTATATTACCAGAAATTTACAGCGAATTCGCAAGATACCTATTATTCAACTCCCCATTTGCCTCTGGTCCCTCGCTATCCGGCCGATTGAATAGTTTTCCACGGCCTGTACAGACCGGCTTTGCCTCCATTACCTGCGTCCCTTGCCTCACCATAGATTTCACCTCGGTACATACCTCACGCTCTCGTCCAATTAGGAGTTTCCTTTCCTGAGAGAGTTTGAACGTGTCATATCCAGCAACTAGTCAAAAAAAATCCTTTGGAATTGAGTCGCAGGAAGTAGTAGCCACTACGCCCTCACACTCCGCGTGGGGGATTCTCCGTGTTGTGAGGGATAACCGTGTATCCCCCAATGAGACTCCTGTGATTCCCGTTTAGCAGAGAGATGCTGGGAATGACGCAGTTTGGAGTTGATGATTTCTGGAAACTTCAACATGAAGTAAAAGAATTAAAAGCTTCCCAAAGTGCTATCATGAAACGGCTACAGCGTGTCGAAAGGCGAGATGAGGAATCAACGAGGATAAAGTCTTTATGGAAGAGCCCAAGTTTATTCCCAGCACCGCTTAGTTCCTCCAGCAGTGTTGTAAACCAAGCTCAGACGAATGGTGAGTGTCTCTTTCTAGGTGCGATGCGAATCTCTTCTATGTAAACCCTTATCTAATTCCCCGAATATAGGCGTGCCTTCGAGCTACCATAATACCTCACGGTCAGAAACTACCAACCTACACTTCGAAGAGCTTGATCCTCAGCCCCATATTGAACCATACGCAGACCTTGAAAACGAGCTTCCGAGACGCGGTGCATCTAGAGCCAATAGTGTTAGGTTCGATGATGCTATCCAGAATCATTGGTTTCACGATCCTCAAGACTCTGTTGAAGACAATTACTTCTCAAACTCTCGAAGTGTCAGCCAACTTGGTGGGCACATGCTGAGTGAAAGGTCCGCTTCTAGCAAATCTGATGGACGACACAATTCTCTCAACTCTCACAGTGTTGGTTTCGATAACCAATCCTTTTTCGACGCAGATTTGGGAGTTCCTCTCGTTAACAGCTCATCAAGTCACAGCGCTGTGTCAAAATCTGCAAAGATTGAATGGGCTGCAAACGCCCAGATATTCTGTCGCTTGAACCCGTTTGCTGACGAGTCATTCACAGCATACATCAGTAGCGCTTCCGTTGACTCCGTGATCGACTTTGACATAGTCTCCAAGCTTAACCTCCGAGAAAGTTTACGCCACAGAGAGAATGGGAAGCTTCAAATCCAACTCTCTTTATACTTCTTCGAGAGTGACATCCTTAGCTCTGCTAATTTGGATCATAACATGTCGAAGGTGACTGCCGAGTTTACGGTTTTGGTCAGTGAAAAGGATGGGATTTGCCCTTGTAGTATTGTTATGGGTAACGACATCTTGATGTCTCGGCAGGCGGAAATATCGTTTCTTCGACAGCGACTAGATATTCAACTTGACGATGGAACTAGGGCAGCTATTCGATTCGCAGGTGCCCCTTTGGCCATAACTCACCCAATACCAGAGAAACCGGTGAATTCAATCCCTCAAGTGGTGACCGCCCCTGTTCCAACCAGCGCTATTGAACGGCCATATACATCTCACTCAATTGGTAGAAAGGATTCAAGGTTCACTCGTACCTTCCAAGAAAAGGCCATCTCTTCACCAGCAACTCCATTCAACCGAGATGAGTTCGATTTCTCCAGCATCTTGTCCAAACCTTCCATCGAAGCCCCCCAGCCGGCTAAACCCACTCCAGAGGAGAACACTGAAGAGCGTATGGGCCAAGGAAGCAGTGCAATTTTAAACTCAGTGGAGGATACACATAGTCCGAAGCCAGTTATCGCAGAATTGGTTGGAGCCCCCCAGCAAAAGCCGGCGCCAGCGAGTCCATGGTCTCTATCTTCAACAGCAGCCCTCTCGCAAGAAGGTGCCCTCGCCGAACCCAAGAGCCCCCTCCCAAAACTAGATAGCAGCAACTCCTCATCACCAAAGCAACCAACCCAGGATAGGGCATCGGTCGAACCCGAGCCAAGCAAGCAGGAAATTGAAAACCCTAAGGTTGAGGAATCCAACAAAACCGAACAACCTCGCAAGCGTCCTGGAATGAAAGTCCTACGACCAAGCAGGCTCAACGCCTCGAACTCTAACTCTGGTCAGCGCACCCCATCCTCGTCAACTTGGAACGTACCAAAGAGCGCGATCGAACCGATCTCAATTGGCCGCGAACTCAGAGACGCCGACGATCGGTTGGATTCGCCTCTTCGGCCTCTTCCTCCACAGACACCTTCAGAATCAAACCGAAGAAAGTCCGATGCCACGTGGGGATCTTCAGGTCCACGAATCTCCAACGGAGCCAATGGATCACAAAAGAAGTACGGCACAGTTAAGGAGACAGTTTCCAACCCAGTCGGCGGGGCTTCAGCATTCAGCTGGATGTCTCCTAAGCAGGTCTAAACGGTTCTCCTTTACCCCAATTGCCGTCTCCCGTTCTTGCTGTATTTTGTTCCCTTTTTCCCGCAGATTAAAGAAAACTAATCACGCAAAGGTTGTCGTTTTTGTTGCGCTTACGCTCTACCAAAAGGGTTGTTTTTAGTAAAAACCTGTAAACATCGTGTTCCTCCCATCCATTCTCTCCCTACAGGCCGAAATGGTAGTTGCTAGGTTTGATTGGAGCGGAGATGTCCCACGAGGTTCCTAAGAATTTTACATTTTTGATTGCTGCCACTACATATGATTTTGCTCAAGCCTTCATTTTTTCTCTAGCCAAACCAATGCTTGGCGAATACAGAGAGCCTTTATATTATTCTACAAATCGGGGGGTTTTGTGAGATTTTGATCTCACGGATTGATTTTTGTGACCCAAAGTCGTGAATACCCTCCTTCAATGGGTGTTTCTTGGAGAGGGTGTTTTAAAATAAGTATGACGTGGACGATGATGGTGTTTAATCAAGGAATATTCTTGACGGAATGGCTTTGCTCCCGTAGATGGTGCTTTAGAAATCCAAATTCTCCAGCTGTCTTGTAGCCTTTGATACTTGGTACCCTTAAGTCTAGATTTGCAACTAGTCAACGGGAACCTTGGTGCATCATATGAAATGCAATTCGGGCCTATAGCTACTATAGCTACTATATCTTCTTTTTGATAAGATTTTAAGGTAATTTAGGGAATTCGATAAATCGATATTCTTCGTAGGCGACTATAAAGTCTATTGGCTTGCATTTGATCGTAGCACTCCTCCTAGGATCCTCCCCGCCCGAACTTTAACTTCGTGTTAATATATACAGCAAGATGCATTCCAAACCCCTCCCCTCTAAACTCGATCTAGAACAGTTTCGAGCAATCAGAACCTAAGTAACAAGTAAGAACCCAAAAAAGATAAATAAGAAACTGTTTTCCTCCAATGGATGGAGGAGGGTTTCGTTTTATTTACAATGAGAGTTATAGCTTACTGATGCCGCCTGATTCTTGTGCTCCTACTGGACCGACTAGGGCTTCGAGACATTCTTTTGTTGCTGTTTATTTTTTTAACGAATTGTTAGCATAGTTTTCTCCGAAGTGATTGATTGAAGAGGACTTACAGGCTTTGGTCTCCTTCACAAGGCCGGCGATTGTCTTGAATCTGTTTTTATCATGGTATTAGTATATATCATTTGTATAGAGGGGGGGATGCTTGATAATTGGGTGCTTACTCTGGTCGTGCGCTATCCTTCATACACTCGAAAAGGAAGCTTTCACCTATCCCCCCATACCTTATTAGCATAACACCCAAAATAAAAACATATCTCAAAAGATATATATATCTATATATAGATAAAGGTGAAGAAGCCATACTAGTAGTAATAACAGCCCCAGCCTGCTGCATCCTCGCCAAAGCCGTCGAAATCTCCTGAGGATTACAACTCGATACCCCATCCCTAACGACCCAAACCTTATGTCCCCTCTCCAAAAGATCCAACGTAGTCTGCATAAGACAGATATGACTTTCAATCCCCACCACGATAACCTCCCTCTTCTCCCCTCCTTCCCCGGTATTCTCGTCTAGCTTATCAAGAACTTCTTGGGTACACATGCTGAATAGGGATTTGTCTGCGTTTATGATTAGGTTTGTTTCCTTTGCTAATGCTAGGATTTCGGGGACCGTGTCGCCTAAGGCTCGTTTGTTTTGGGTGGTTATGTAGACGGGGATTTGGAGGGTTTTGGCGGCGGAGAGGAGTTTGAGGGTTGTGGTTACTACGGAGGGGAATTGGTAGATTGCTTTTTGGAAGCGTTCTTGGATGTCGCAGATGCTATTTTTATTATAATTAATAAATTATATACCTACTATATATATATATACTTAAGTACATATATATATATATATTTACCAACATATATATATATATATTTACCAAAAAGGGAGGAAGAGGAGGGAAGAGACTTACAACAGTGCCGGATTGGCAATTCGTGGTGGACTGACTTTTGAAGACATGGCTGTGCGTTGATATTGTTGGAATCTGAAGAACTGAGGTTTGAAGGCGGATTGGCGGAGGATGGTACGGTAGAGTTGGTATCTCATGGATTTTGACAGATATTTAAATTTAAAAAAACTATAAAAAAAACAATTCTTTTCGTTCAGAAAAGTTATGTTCTATTGAAAGAAAGTCGCGGAGGTGGGATGTGGGGGGAAAGTAATTATATTGGAGTGAGCGGTTGAATGGGGAGGCGAGAGATAAGCTAATAGCTCGGATCTGGGGAAGCTGGGCTTATGAAATGCCGTTTGTGCGCCTCGGGCGAAATCCGGAGAATACTATGCTAGCTAGCTAGGCTTGCTTTTCTAGAGCTCTTCCTTTTAAACTTGGTCATTATTAGGTGATGATTATTATATCAACCTTTGCATAGGGTCTAGATTCTCTGTTCGGTAGCCGAATGGATGCTTAATACATAATAGAGAAGGTGGGTATGAGGAGTGGTTTCTTTTTAGTTTACAATAGGAATACAGGCCTAACAGAATGGGTTATGCTATGTAGTGCTGCTGCTGCTGGGAGGGGTAGTCGATAATGCAAAGAACTATCGTAATCAATCAATGAATCAATCAATCAATATTGTGAATAGAATACTTAAAAAAGAACTAGGAGTTTAGATAAATCATGCTTGTGTGCTGTCCTCCAGATAATCAAGGCCCGATGCTTTTGATCAGTTGAAATAGAACCTCATCTTCCTTCCCTCCTTCCCTCCTTCCCTTCCTCTTGTAAGGCCTGGAACCAAATCCCCGCAACTAATCCTTCTCTTCTTACCAAGCTAATGTACTTTTTTTACCATAACAAAGACTTTTTTTAGGAGGGCGCGTGTTTATTTCAGGCCAATCTAAAACCTGGACTGCCTCTGCTGGGCTCTGTAGAGCGTGTATCCGACATATCCACCGACAATAACAACAACCCAAAGAATAAGCTTGATGAAGAACCATCCCCATCCACTGCTCTCAGGAACATGTCTATCGTCATACTCCGGGAAGATCTCCTTGCTCTTCTTCTTAACTGGTCCCTTATTCGCACCGGGAGAATTAGGAGTAGACGGACTATTGTACAGATTCCTCGCAGAGACGGTGATGATGTCGTGGTTATCCGAGAGTTCACCGGTTTGTGCTGTGAAACCGAGGTAGCCGACTGTGGGGAGGGAAACGTTTTTGACATGGAAGCATTCGGTCCAGGTGTCCGGTTGTTTGTATTGAAGCTCGAGGGAGAGGAATTTATCCTGGAAGTAGGTTACTTTGGCTTTCGTGGCTTGGTTGGGAGCACGGATTCCTCGGGCCTGAGGGGGTTATTTCACCATAGTGGTTAGTGCTGTACAGTCTATGTCTATGCTTGTATCTGTGACGTGACGTGACATGACCTTATCGGACGATTGTGAAATAATATATCAAGGAATAGGGGAATGGTTCTTACAGAGCAACCAGCCAATTCCTGTTCCTTCCCATCGGTATCGTGATCATAATCCGTATGTCCATCACCGAGCATGGCCATGACATAAGGGAAAATAACACCGGGTCTGTTATTCTTATAGGTATCGAAGAAGATACCCAATCCTTCGAATTTGTTCAAGGATCCGAAGACGGGACCGGCAGTAGCACGATCTTTGGTGACCCAGAAGGCGAAACCGTCGCCGTGTAAATGACCGTCGCCATGTATGCGGAATTCAAATTCGATTTCCCAGTTTGTGGCGGTCAATGGGAGACGGGACCAGAGCCAGCCGGTCTGATGTTGGCGGTCGGACGTTATTCGGATGTACCTGTGCACCGAGAAGGTTTATGGTGAGAATCGGTGTATATATAATAGGTAGCATACTAACTAGTATACCAAGCTAGCTAGGAAGGGGGGGGTGAGGAAGTTGTCGTACTGATCAGCTCTTACTGCAGAGAAAAAATGATGATGTTAGTTAGCTAATCTATTTCAATCAACTCTGACGATAACTACTGAAGCTTATAGTAGCTATAAAGTAATATAAAAATAGAAATAGAAATAACAATAAAAATAAAATAAAATAAAATAAATAAATGAATAAAATCGTTGAAGCCAGATATCGAATCTTGAAGATATCAAATAGCCGAAAGCAAGTTGAAGGGGAAGGATGAAGAGAGGGAGACACTCACTGATCGTAGTTCCTCCAAAGTCGAACCACCGCGACTGCAGGTCAGAATCCAAGTAAGGTTGATAGAGCGAATGAGTCCTCAATGGGACGGTCTTGTAGCCATCGTGGTCGTCGGCGCTGGTGAGGCCATTCAGGGCGACGGAACAGATAGCGGCAGCCGCGCACAGGCTGCGGCACAGGGACTTGAGCATTTTATTCGAGTCGAATCGAATCCGAATCCGAATTTGAATTTCGTTTCACCTCCGAAATGAGAGAGAGCTCTTTTTTATTTTAGTATACAAAAATAGATAAAATCACAGACAAAAATCACAGACTAAAAGAAAATCGACAGACAAACAAAAGGACGGGCGATGAGGTTGGGGGTGGAGTTCAGTTAAGGTGAATTGGATCGGATTGATATTGGCGTGTACAGTACTGTCGGGCGAGGAGCAGGCTCGTGATGCTGATACATTTTTGGGGGCAGTCCAACAGGGCCACTGTGGCAGCTTTCGCTAGTCAGTCGCATTCCATGTCCAATGCATGTTCATGTCCCCACAGTGCAGTGCAATGGATGTTTGAGGATATTCCCGGGGATGTTTAACATGGTTTTGGTCCCCGAGAATATATCGATTGCTGCCCGGGATCTATTTACTTTCTGATCAGATTGGTTAAATTGGTGGTGTGTGATATGAATCTCACGATACCCCCCACTTGGGTACCATTGAAGCAAGTATGCATGTTCGACCAATATCCAGTACAACATACTTACTACTTAGTACTTACTAGCTTCAGTATAGTATGAAAGACTGAGAGCTCTTTTTGGAATGCAACCTCGGCGCAAGATATCACCTTCTGGTCATACAAAATATGTGATATGATATGTAATAGGAAGTATCGGGTGGAGTCTGGTCGATTTATCATCTGATGGGCATTGTGGACTAGTGCAGAGACTGGCAAGGCTAAAGCTGACCATCTCGCACTTCGGAAGTTCCAAATTCTCTCATCCATCCACCCACCCATTCAGACCATACCATACCATACCATATCATATACTGCTTGCCTTTTACTATTTATCCATCTACTCCTTCTGTCCGTCCGCTATCAGTCATCATTAAATCAAAACCCTCATGAAATCCTTATAACTTCTATCATCGCGAACGAAGGGTGGTGCAGTAGTAGTCGTCGTCGTCGTCAGTTCAATCTCACATCATGAAGATGGATGAACCAGATGCCCGTGCCTGGGTACTCACCATCTGCTCGGCTCTAGCCTGCTGTGCTGGTGCCTCCGTTATCTTCATCGATCTCCTACCATGGAAGCACTTCAGCATCCAGTCAAATTCTACCTTTCTAGCTGCCTGTCTTTCTCTCAGCTTTTCTGTAAGTAGTATTTACATATGTCATCGAGTTGTGTGTCTGCAGCTAACCGTCTGTTTGTGTTATCTACCCAGGTCCTTCTCTTCAGCAGTGCCCGTCTGTTTGGCGAGGCCATCACCTATCTCGAACGAGGATATGGCAATAACCCGTATTATATTATCATGGTCTCCTTCTCGGCAGGATTCTTAGTCTGCTACTATCTATTCAAATTCCTACATCGGTTCATCCCTCATCGAACCGTCAGTTGTGACGACGATAGTGAAGATGACGATGATAAACCCCTTGCGAGTGGATTCGGTAGTGTAAGTAGCGGAGCTACTGCCGTAGATCATGATCATGGAACTTCAAACTTGAAGGCGAATAACGGTAAAGGTATGTACATATTTCCATACGGTCGGGTGATCAGCATCATAATTATGATTATAGTGCTAACAAAACAATCTTCACACACAGTTGTTGTGCCGGACGAAGAAACGGCTCTTCTCGGAAACGGCCATACCTTCGAACATCGACCTACACTCGCAAAGCGGTTTTCCGATACGGTCGGAAAGATCACGCGACGATGTACTGAAGACGGTCGTTGCTTCGGATTTGTCACTTGCCCTTGCGAGGGGAATTGCTTGCACAAAAAGGGGGAGGTAAAGCCACTACATGCTTGCCATCCAAAACACTGCGAAAGAACCTATTCCGGCCTTCATCAAGCCGGGTGCTCGAGCGACCGAACATTGAGGGATGTTCCTATCCTTGAAGATGAAGAAAGTGACCATATTGACGATGGTCATCATCACGGACATGAGGAACAACACCAAGAACAACACCATCATGGACATGGGCACGATAGCACTCATGACGCTGAGGCCCACGGTTCGAATCACGGTGATGAGGATGGACATAAGCATAATCATCATCACCATGTAGCGAATAACGCTTTTGTCGGAATAGGCTTCCAGACAAGTCTTGCTATCGCCTTGGTATGTAAACTGCATGATCATATGATTTGCATAAGCTTCGGTTATGTGAGTAACAGTACTGACAGTTTGTTCTGTAGCACCGATGTCCTGATGGATTCATTACTTTTGTGACCAACCATGCCGACAAAAAACTTGGCTTTACGATTTTTCTGTCTTTGTTTATTCATAGCGCTGTTGATGGGTTTACTATGTGCTTGCCATTATATCTTGCATTGCAGTCGGCCTGGAAGGCTGTTCTTATCACTTTTGTCATTGGGGGTTTGGCGCAACCTTTGGGCGGATTGTTTGCATTTATCTGGTTGAAGTTCGGGTCCGCTCCGAGTGAGACAGTTTACGGGATCATTTTCAGCTTCACCGGTAAGTCTTTACTCCAACTTATAAGCATTCTGATGTGATAGATAGATACTAACTCTAGGTGCCCTATATAGCGGGATTGATGTCAGTAGTTGCTGTGCAGTTATTGCGACAGATCCCCTCGGACCACAAGCATCCGGACTTGCCTTACATCTCCATGCTTGTGGGTGTAGTGTTGATGTGTCTCTCGGTGGCATTGACGACTTCTAATTAGTTCTTGACGGCCTCTTTTTACGACTTCTGTATGACTATTTCTTAGTTGGGCGGATTGGCTTGATACACACATAACGTTTATAACTGGTTCATCGGGTTGTCTTTTTTGGTTTTTTTAACACGGCGCACTGTGTTCTGTCTCTCTTCTCTTTCTTTTCTTTTTCTTTCCGTTTTGGTATATTTGGGGGAGGCAACGATATAAATCTTTCTGAAGGGGGATTATTGAACCTCGTGGTTCAAGTTTCGAGTGTCGAGTTTCGAGTTTCGTGGTTGGTCGTGTTATGTAAGAGTACTTGAAGAGTAGAAAATTGGATATTCAGCCGAAGCGAAGCAGCCTCAATTGAACAAACTCAAGCTCAAGCTCATGCTCATGCTCATGGGCAGCCCAGCCCGGAGAGTTAGTTAGTTTCAACCGAGAATCGCTACCCTGCACAATGCATGTTGTTCAATACTTATTTATCATTCCGCGACTGCACGCCGGTCTTGATAATTTCGAGTAGTAATAACAGAGAGAGATTCGCGAGCTGGTCCGGCAAATTAATCAGCCTTCTCGATCTATTTCTCCTATTTCATCTTTCTTTCTTTCTTCATCGATCCTTTCGTAGTTTATGACGATAGTTATGCTATATGTTTTTACCATGCATCATTAACGCTTAACCAATTTATCACGACCCACATCCGTCCCAAATTCAAAAAAACATCCTCGTATCTAAATATATATCTCTCCCAAGTCCACTCCGACAAGCTTCACTACAGCTTCAGTTCCGACTTCTTTTCAAATACTACCCTCATCGAACGAGTATCAAAATTTAATATCATGTCGGACTCAGAAGAAGACATCGATATAACCCCCTTCTTCCCACGGTATCTCTTCCCGGACGGCGACTACGCACTCGACGGTATCGGACTTCGCGCCCAACTCCTGGGCCTCACGACCGGGTTATCCATCTCAGCTACGATAGCTCTTTCGATCTATGGGAGATACTATCATGCGTCGATGTTTATATTCTGCTTGAGTGTTTTTCATTTTTTGGAGTTTTGGATCACGGCGAGGTATAATACTCGACGGGCGAATCTGGGGAGTGAGTACCCTTCTCTCTTTATTCCCTAGGGAAAAAATAAAGATGAAGATATTGAAATCTTCAAATTCTCCTGATATATATATATATATATATATATATATGCTATATAGATAAGTACCTATGTATAATCAAAATGATACTAACAATCCTACGAACCACCAGGCTTCCTCTTCGCAAACGGCAAAGAATACAACCTAGCCCACACAATAGCCCTAACAGAATACTTCCTCGAATCCCACTTCTTCCCATCCTTCCTCCCCTCCCGCTCCCTCATAACCCTCGGTCTCCTCCTAATCCTCACAGGCCAACTACTACGTTCCCTAGCAATGGCTCACGCCTCAACATCCTTCAACCACCACGTTGCATACGTAAAAGAGGTAGATCATAGACTGGTTACGACGGGGGTATACAGATGGTTTAGACATCCCAGTTATTTGGGGTTTTGGCTGTGGGGATTGGGGACGCAGGTTATGATGGGGAATCCGGTTAGCTTTTTGGGGTATATGATTGTGCTTTGGAGGTTTTTTAGGGGGAGGATATATTGTGAGTTCTTTTCTTCCTCTTCTTTCTTTCTTTTCTTTGGTTTGGAGACCGGTGGCTAATATAAGATATGTTGATGGTTTGGTGGTAGATGAGGAGAGGTATCTTATCAAATTCTTTGGACAGAGGTATATTGATTATAGAAATAGGACGTGGGTGTGGATACCGTTTATCAAATAGACGTAGATGTCATTAGCATATTTATCGACAGATGAAGGATCCAAGGATGTATGAGGATGTTAGTTAGCATCATTAGCGTCAATACGAATTCAATGATTTATTATATTCCCTACAAATGATCCTTCAAACTATATGTGTATATACCTATTTCATAAACCTTCATCTAAAATGCGACTACAAGAAGCAAATATCAAATACCATCGCTAAGCTAAAACCTCAAACTTATTACCCACTTATGCATACCATACTGCATACCTATCTAAGGGGATATCACGCAGAAATCCCCAGCACGACCTCCCTCCCCCCTTCACTCCACCACGGAATCGCCAACTGCGATCTCCCCACATCCAACTCCCCACTGATAACATCCCAAAACCTTCCCCTCAAAGCCTCCCTACTATCTCCCTTCGTCGTCTTCCCCACATACCCCGCCGCAATATCCAACCACCTCTCCAACGCCGCCTCCTCCATAAATGGCAACGAATCTAACATCGAAAGAATACAAACATCTCTTTCCGTAAACTCCTCTTCAGCCTGTGGTTCCGCCGCAGCGGGCGCACTCCCATCCGGTGTCGCATCCGCTGGAGCGCTGGGTGGTTTGTAAGCCTTAACCGGATACCTAGAATCCGCAGCTTCGATCCTAGCACACATCATTTCCAAAATTATATCCGGTAAATCTCTTTGAATCCCACTCAACGCCGTCGGCGGCGACGTGAATTTTACCAAACTTGCCATCGCAAGTCTGAACTGTCTCGTACTTAAAAACAACGGATACGCTGCGAATACGGATTCTATATACCCCGGTAGAATCTTATAACTCGATTCGACTAATTGCGGACATCCGATCATAGCTAGCATGAGGGAATGTGCAGATTCGAAGGGTTCACGGAGAATAGGAGTTATGGATGGGGAGGTCAAGTAGGGTGTTAACGAGGGAGAAACGATGGTAGTGCAGAATCGTGAGGAGCAGGAGACTACGAGGTATTCGAGGGTGTTGAGGAAGTATAGGTCCCGAAGGATGTCGGTTGGATGGGCGGGGATGGTCCCGGCTGAAATTTGGTCTTTAGTATTTTGGTAATTTGTATTAATTAGGAGGGACGCAAAAGAAGGAAAGAAAGAAAAGCTAAGGAGGAGGGATGGGTACCTTGAATGGGTGCCAATTGAGCGGCTAGGCTTTCTGCCTGTGCGGGATTCGACATGACGATATCCACGCAAGCGTGGTATACGAACATGTAGGTTCCAAAAGCTGCCGGGTTCGTGCGATGGGTGATGAAATAAAAATCGCGGAGAATGCATAAGATCTGGCTAGCAAACGTATGCACTTCTAGATATAGATATTAAATCTCTTCTGCCTTCTTGAGATATAGATATTATGAACACAAACATACCATTATTCCTTGCAATCTGGTGGGACTGCAGCAGAACCCTCACAATACTCTCGAGCACCACGACCGCACTGAAAAGCGAAGACTTAAGCACATGCCATAACTGCGCTGTGTTCGTCTGTACCGGGTCTTGCGAGATAGTAGCATCATCCGGTAAAGTCGATAACCCGGTTTCTCGCCATATCGACACCAAACTTCTTGAGTATGTAGCAAGAACACTTAATGCGCCGTTGATTGTTTCCGTTTCTCCAGACGAGGCCATCGATGTTGCAGCAAGCTTTGCAAGGGCGCCCATATTGGCTACGAATGGGTGAGTTAGGAAGTCCTTCAAGCTGAAGGATGGTACAACTGCCATTTTCTGGTGGCCGATAGGGATAGAACGGTCGATTTGACGGAGGAAGTCGCCGGTTTGGTACCCTTCCGGGGATAGGAACATAGCAGGGAGAAGGGCACCCGTCAGAGCCTGTAAGACGATTAGTTATCGATATACCTAAACTTCGGTATTGGTTGTGACGTACAGGATAGTTCAACATGTATCTTGAATCCTCGCTCAGTAGCCTGTATGCATTCGATATCGCCAATATACAAGCATGTGTCTCAATTCCCGAAGTTGAAAATTCGAAATGAAAGTTCACAACCTCCAAAAGATGTGCTTCAAGGTTCGTACGAGTTGTAAATGGTAGTCGGGCATCGTCGGCTTCGAAGGCGGCTAGGATCCCACTGGATACAAGTGCATGTTTCCATCGTGGTACCCGGGCGTCTGCACCGGTAACTACGGCATCTATCCATTCGTTAAGTGAGAGGGCGCGGTTAGATTCGCGAGCCCGCTCCTGGGTAGAAAGTCGGAAGATGTCGAAAACGGCTTGAGAGGCGGAGAGGGGACTGGGATTATTCCAGACTGCGGGGGCAGCAAGAGATTGGGTGGCTAAGAGGGAGACATTGAGAGGGTTTGTGAGGCGGGAAAGGGTGACTGCGGTGTTGTTTACGATGGTGCTGTGTAGATATGGATTGTTAGCGGCGCTGAGATGTGGAGATCGGAGCAAAGGAGTGCGAACCGAATGTTAGTGTTTCGGCCGGCTGGTGCTTGGAGGGATTGGAGAATGGCAGTCAGGAGATGGGCACTGCCGGTCGAAGTCATCGTGGCTTGGTCGAGAGGCACGGCGCGCCGTCAAGGAGCTCCAACAAGTGAAGATTCGAGGGAAGAATGGAGTTAAATTCGAATTTCGAGCTTCAAGTTGAAGATGAAGATGAGGATGAGGATGAGGCTGAGGCTGCCTGCACACTAACGCGAGGGAGGTTGTGGTCGGGCTCGGGAAGCACGCGACGACCATGTGAAACGAATGTTTTAAGCCGAAGACGCCCACCAATGCAATGCAAAGAAACTGTGAAAAGCACAAGAGGAAGGGGAAATAAAAGCAGAAGAAGGAGGGGGTATCGAATTGTCTATATCGAACATGTATAATACAAGATAGTAGTCATAGTAATCATACTGGCTTCAATCGCAAACGAAAAGATAAGTATGTCGTCAGATATGATATATAAAACAGTGTCGTCAAGCGCCGGCTTTCTTCTTTTCTTCAGCTTCCTTCTTTCTCTGCAAGTATCGCTCTCTAGCAGAATTAACATCGCCGGTGGTAGTCTTGCGCATTTTGGCCTGCCTCTCGATCTCTGCTCGATCTGCAGCCTCGTCACGGGCGGTTTTCCGACTGGCTTCTTCCAGCTGCTGGGCAATCATGCGGCTCTGTCTTTCCCTCATCTCCTTCTTCGCCTTACTCGCACGGTAGTCGTCATTCGTAGGCCGCGAGTAAGAATCTCTCGAATCTCGACTCCTCGAATCGCCTTGAGACTTTGAGGATGTCGGTTTAGGTTTGGGCTTGACATTCAGCCCAGCACCCAGTAGCTGCCGTTTGTCCACAACATGCCCTTCGTCGTTGACATCTACAGACCCAGCAGCCTTCTTATTCAATTCCGCTGCAATCTCAGCTTCTGATTTAGCTTTATCCTTCATATCTTGCTCTTCTCCGGGTCTTGACATTAAGAACGAAGGCTCATCGTTCTTCTTCTCCGTGGCCTTGACCAATTCCGCATGGTGTTTCTCCGTATCATCCAGCATGTTTCGGTAAAACCCAGCGATACCACCGCCTTTCTTTTCCATTTCTTCCTGTTTTCTCTTCTCTTCTTCCTCCAGTCTTCTTATCTCTTCTTGTTGCGCTTTGTAAGCTCCCGTCACGAATTTGTCTTTATCTGCAAACTCTTCTCCTTCTGCCTCTCGCTCCTTTTGAAGCATTCGGTCTTTAGCACGTAAACGGTCCCGTTCACGGACTTTCGCAGATGCGAGGAGATTTTCCATGTACTTTGGTTTCCTCTCCTGTGAAGAGCCTTGAGTAGTGGTCTTACGACGATCCTCGGCAGCTTTCATGCTATCCCATGCTGTATCGTAATCATAGATCGATGGATCCTCTTTCTCCTCCTCCTCTTCCTCATGAGGGGGAGCCGGTTTCGACAATGACGGTTTATTTAACGAGCCAGGACCAGATCGTTTCGACGGTGCCGAGGAAGAAGATGAAACAGGCTTTTGGAGCCCGTACTGGACGGGTTTATTGAGACTTTTAGTCGGGTCGCCATCGTCGGAATCGTCGTCGTCTGCTAGGCCACCGAAGACAGATGGTTTGGAAAACGCTGAAGGTTTGGATAGTGGTTTGCCGGGCTTCGAGAGACCGGGTTTCGCCTTGAAACCGAATGAAGTGCTCATGGCGATGGCGATGGTAATGATGCTATGCTGATTGGCGGTTGGTTGGTGGTTGGTTGTGGAGAATGAAAGAGGACGCGAGATGACGTTTGCAATTGGGCGGTCGGGCAGCAGCGAACGGTCGCGTGGAGAACGAGACAGCTGCAAATCGGTTAAGCTCGTCTCCACGGAATTGATTGGAATTGATTAGTACCTCCTACTACTACTAGCGCCTTGATCGAATCGAATCGAATCGAATTGAAGTATACCAACTTGGATACTTATTTAATCCATACAATATGCATAATAGTTACTTATAAGTAAATAGTTGGTTGATGTTGTCGTGGCCTGTTCGAATTCGAGGGCGGGTTCGCGAGGCCAGGCCAGGGAAGTTAACGTTGTGAAGAGCTTCCCTGCGCCGGAAAGTGCATAAATAGCCCGGTCTGAATCCTTTGAACCGCATCTGAATCCTCCTGCTGAGTGTCACATATACTTAAGTATATATATCTCCACACATCGCGAAACCTTCAATTTCAGGCATTTCAAATCGTCTTTCGGGCTTCGATCCTTTTCCATTCAGAGCGACTGTACGATTGTCTGCTGTCGATGCAGTAGTTATCGCCATCTCGCCATAGCGGGGTCACCCAAGACCAAAGCGCGGGGCATCTCATCGAAGCTCCTCCCCTCCTCCTCCTCGCCACCAACATCATCACCCTCCTCATCAAGACAGCCACCATCACCACCACCACTATTACTGTCACGGTCATCGCCACTACAATCATTCGCATATAGATAGATAGATAGATAGCCAGGTATCTATCGTCCAACTTCGACACGATCATGACAACTCCAACAATACCCGGCGTCAAGGCCGAACATAGTGTCGCTCAGACCATCCGCCAGGAAGTCGCCCGGCTGCTGAACCGAAATACTCTCAGCTTCCCAGGTACTCGATCTCCTTTCTTTTTTCTTTTTTTATTACCGTCACCTGGGGATACGCATTCTAATTGAGGGAATAGGTGCACAGCCGGTTAGTTTTGCGAAAAAACACCTTAACGAGCTACACCACGAAGAGTACGTTCATTCACCCTTCCACCCTTCCCCCAATACACATATATCCTACGGGGATTTTTTTCTCATATTTTAATATTATTGATATAGTTATTACGTCTGCGAAAAGTCGGATGGAATACGATGTCTGCTCTACTGCACCCACGGCGACACCCAGGACTCCGAAGCCTACTATCTCGTACGGTGACCTATATTACCATCCTACTTTCTCTTTATTTTGTCTTTATATACTTTTAGAAAGAACTACGACCAACAGATCTTCTTTTACTCTCGATAGATTGACCGAAAAAATGACTATTACTACGTCAGCGGCCTCCACTACCCTAGAAATCCCCCTCCAGACTCGAAGGAAATCGACTGGGGAAGCTTCCACACCCAAACAGTGATCGATGGAGAATTGGTTATCGACGTGAAGAAAGACGGGAGAAAGGTTCTGAAGTTCTTGGTATTCGACTGTCTGGTGTTGGACGGTCAGTTACTGGTCCAACGCTCCCTTGACAAGAGACTCGGGGTACGATATTCTTTATGCCATTCCCCTCCTTTCTTCTGTCGATTGCTGCAGAACGTATATAACTGACTCGATACAGTACTTTAGAAGTAACTTTTTTAAGCCCTATGAGGCTCTTTGCAAGGCCTTTCCGGACGAGATGCAATATTTCCCTTTTTAGTCAGTATTCCCAAAGTATCCATAAACACATATTTACTTATACACTAGCTGACAATGGAGGATAGTCTGCAATTCAAAAACATGGAGTTCTCATACGCTTTGCCAAAGATGTTCGATCAGGTCCTACCGAACTTGGAGCATGGAAACGATGGGTTGATCTTCACGGCTGTGAATGCTGATTACAGATTTGGCACAGATGAAAAGATGTAATGCACCACCACCACCACCCACACTACTTACTTACTGTGCGATCCACTAGCTAACATGGGACTCGAAATTTAGTCTAAAATGGAAACCTGCAGACGAAAACTCGATCGACTTTCGCATGAACCTCCGATTTCCATTGTTACCCCCCGAAGAGTGCGAAGAAGACGGCTCCGGATCACCACAGTATGACTGGTACGCTAAGCCGCAGATCACTCTCTCCGTTAATGCCGGAGGTGGGGGGTATCAACGATGGGCGGAGATGTATGTTACGGACCAAGAGTGGACCGATCTAAAGAACATGGGAGTTGAGCTGGACGAACGGATCGTGGAATGTGCGATGGATGAAGAAGGAAGATGGAGGTTCAAGAGGTTCAGAAATGATAAGAAGGATGGAAATCACATTAGTGTGGTTAATAGTGTTATGGAAAGTATTCGAGATGGAGTGTCGAAGGAAGATCTGTTGGCTGTAGCGGCAGCGGTAAGAACAGAATGGAAGTCACGACATCCACCACAGCAGGCGCAGGCGAGGCCACCCCAGGGCAGGCCGCAAGGGAGATAGGCGAATTTTCCTTTCCGTCTTCTTTACTATTCCTTTTTATCGCCTTCTCGATTGGCCCTATTAAGGTTTATTCTTCTTCGCGCGACTGCTATTCTTTTTACTTTTTCTATTACGTTTTTCTTTGTGGGTTATCATTGGACTTGAAAGGCATTCATAGATGGATGGGACTGGTGTTATTCTTCCACTTTTATCATTTTATACTACACTGCCATGCACTCTAATTCTCTTTCTAATATTTACTATACTTCCAAGTGGGATTTCTTGAGATGCATGCGATGGATATCGAGAGCGAGTCTTCGAATCGATCTTTGCTTCTTCTTTTTTGTTTTTATATATTATACTACTATCACTACTCTCACAATATTCTTAAATTCACACATCTCATCCTTGATCTGGTCCCATCTAATATACTATACCATACGTACTTTATATGAAGTACTAGTACTTATATAAATTATAATACAGATGCACACGATATGCGACTTACTAGGACATATCGAACAGGAGGTCAATGTCCATTTGATTAATTTTGATTCAAATTTATTTATAAATTTAATCTTCTTTCGCTGCGGGAGTCGGGATGCCGGGGCATCTGATACCCGCCCCCGGGAGACATTTACTATATACTATCCATTTTGATTAATTAATTTACCAATGCTTCAAACAGCAGCTCACAAAGATGCACATGCACATGTATGCCTTACCCGGATCTAGAATTTACACGGAACCTGTGCGACAATTTGCTGCAGATGTCGCACCCAAGACCGGGACTTTCCTGACTTCCCATGGCGCGCACTGCGCATAGCCTTACAATCTAATACCCTTTACCTAGTACTTTATACAGATATGCAAGAACCGGGGTTTCACCGGCCACCGGGAAGAGAAAGAAAGAAAGAAACTGTGGCCATCCTTCAATCTTAAAATCTTTTTTTTTTTTCTTCCTCATAATTTTGCATGTGAAAGTCCAGAAAAAAAAGGTTTGGAGGTTTGTGGTGGTCCCAAATGGGCAAGACGCAAAGACATTGGCAATTAAGCTGCGCGGTGAAAACGTCATGCCAAACTCTCCGGCGGCCGAGCTATCAGCGGGCAAACCGACCAACTAAACTCACTTGACGAGGGGGGAGACGATTCACTTTTTTTAATTGATACTCATACTTACTTACTTACTTACTTACTTACTCACTTATTTACATACATGTAGATTGGATCCAGGGGATTGGAAGTTCTGCAGGTGAGTACATAGTACGTATACGTATACGACTCGCTGGCCCCTACATCCCAGCACGGTATACCGTAGTAGCTACACTGCATATCAGACTTCTTCGGTATCTGTTGGGCTTTATCAACAGCTTCACCAAGTAACTTCCTAGCCCGGGGGGAAGGGTATACTATTCAGACATTCAACTAATCTCCCAAATCTTAGATCCTCTAGATTCTCTATATCTAAACCTTATAAGAAACATACTACTTAAAACTACTTCCCATCGACCGTGTCTTTGTTTGTCGGGCTGAACATCCCCCTGACACCAGTTTACACTCTGCCAACCCGAGCATTCCCGCTCGTCAATTCCAATTCGCCAGGATACTTTCTACGTCTACATCGATATCTACACCCACCCACACACACACACACACACACCAAGTCATCCCTCCCCCAACATTGGGGTCTTCCCAATCCTCCAAAGATCTTAATTACGCATACATATACACATACATACATAAGATAATAATAAAAAAAGAGAAGAAAAAAAATATGGGGGAAACAAAAGTAGTTCCGGCGCCATTGCCGACGAAGGATTCGATAATTCCAAAGTACAAACACACGTTGGCCATCCATTCCAAAGCTCGACCGTCATGTTTGTCGCACGATAGACAGACCACGCCGTCGTTCATTGGGTTTCGAAATTTGATGGTTCTTGTATTGAGTCCGTTCCTAAAATATCAATTTATAAACAAAATAAGAGTAGTGATTGGGTGGAAGTGCTAATATTGGATGTCTTGGTTTCTATTTTAGTTGCTGGGAATTTACGACTGGTCATGGAGAATTTTATGAAAGTAAGAATTATAGATATATATATATATATATATAGATAATTTTCATGATACTAATCAGATATATTTTACATCTAGTACGGCGTTTTAATCGGCTTCTCATCTGGAAACTTTCGCCCAGGCGATGTCCAGCTCGGACTTCTTTGCTATTTCATGATCCCATGCCACTTGCTCGTCGCATATATTATCGAACTTACGGCTGCAGGACAGGCACGAGCTGCCCAAGCGACACAGAAGAAGACAGACGAGAGCAAACCGGTCAAGCTACGGGTTAGATGGAAACTTATTGCGTTTGCACACGCCCTGAATGCGACGCTATGTTTGAGTGTTACTAGTGCCGCTGTTTATTGGGTATGAATGACCTTTTTTTTTAAGATTTTAGTGATTGGACTGGATACTGATGAGGTTTAGAACATTGATCACCCGTTAATCGGAACATTGTGTGAGCTGCACGCGGGTATGAATCCCCCAATTCTACTTCTAAGTGGGATAATAACTGATGAATGTTTTGGTATATAGTCATAGTATGGCTTAAACTGCTCTCTTACGCCTTCACAAACCGTGACCTTCGAGATTCGTACCTAGAATCGCACCCGGTGCCCGAAATTTACGCCTCTTGTCCATATCCTGAAAACATCACACTTGGGAATCTTACATACTTCTGGTGGGCGCCGACGTTGGTGTATCAACCTGTGTACCCCAGATCTGCGAATTTTAGGATGGGATTCTTCCTTAAGAGGTTTGGAGAGGTGATTGGGTTGAGTATGGCGATTTGGTTTTTGACGTTAGTATCTCTCTCTTTTTTTATTTTTACAAAAGCAATTGCTTTGAAGGGGTTAGTGATGCTAATGAGGAATTTGGGGTTATAGACAACAATATGCAGTACCAACACTACGAAATTCGTTGATTGCCATGGATAGAGTGAACCTGGCGCATATATTTGAAAGGTTGATGAAGTTGAGCACGATATCAACAGTAATCTGGTTGTGTGGGTTCTTCGCGATCTTCCAGAGTGGATTGAATGCTCTAGCTGAAGTTATGAGATTCGGAGACCGAGAGTTCTATGCCGAGTACGTCGTAGTTCATACCCTTCCAAAATACTCTTTTAGTAAGAAGTAGAAGTAACTAACTCTTCATAACTAATCGCATAGTTGGTGGAACTCCGCCAGTCTCGGCGGGTACTGGCGAACATGGAACCGTCCCGTTTATCAATTCATGAAACGACACATCTACGCTCCATTGAGAGGGAGAGGATGGCGTCACGGTCCAGCTAGTACGATGGTATTCTTGTTTTCGGCGGTACTACACGAAATGCTTGTGGGATTGCCAACGAAGAATATCATCGGGGTGGCGTTTGCGGGGATGTTGTTCCAGCTGCCGTTGATTGCGGTTACTCTGCCGTTGGAGAAGATGCATGGGACATCGGCTAGTACTGTGGGGAATGCTATATTTTGGTATGTTCATTATATATAGACTTATATATATATATCCATATTGATGGAATGGGATATGGTGACTAATTTGTTCTGTTTAGGACGAGCTTTTGTCTTGTTGGACAACCATTCGCGGCGCTTTGTTATTTCTTTGCGTATTCGTTACGGAATCAGGATATAGCTCCGGCGAGCTAGGTATATCTCTTTTTTTTCTCCTTTCGGTCTTTTTTTTTTTGAAAATTCTGTTCGGGTTTCTTCGGTTTTTATAAGTTCTAGGAGAGGTTCTGGTTGGTTTGCGGGTAGAAGGGTTGATATATTTCTTCGAAGCGTTTTGCAAGGGGATATTACCTACTTGAGTACCTATAAATCAGGCTTTGAAGCTTCTTTTAGATAGAGCTTCTTAGTCGGGGAAAAGCTGTTATATTACATTTTGCTGTAAATATTAGTTCTGGCATTAATGATGGTGGTATTCGAGGCGGGTTTCTTTTCAAATTTTCTTAATAGATATCGATAATTGTCATCATCATCACCACACTGGCTCGTCTATCTGATTTTCCATACATAAATTCAAGCGATCAATTGAAATGATGTTTTAGATTCATCTTTAATTAATCATGAGATAGATAAGCTGGATGCTATATACGGTGGGAAAGACGAGTCATAATCGATCCCATCAAACTCTACACACGACTCGACGTCGCAACAATGGGTCCAATATCATCCCCCTTCCCACCCCCCACATCCTTCGAATCAATTAACAAATCCCCCCCTTTCCCATCCACCGCACCACCACCCCCACCACCTCCAACCGTACCGGCCAAAACCTCCCTCCTCTCCTCCTCCTCCCCGGACCCCTTCGGCGAATAATACACCCCTCCTTCTTCAATCCCTTCAACCCGTCTAGCATACCCCTCCCTAACCTTCTCAAACCCTTCCCTCCACCTTTTATAAAACACCAAACTCAACCCGCCAACAACCACAAAAGCAGCAACAATACACCCACCGATAACATCATACCTCTCCCCAGCACCTTCAACCCCATCCCAAAACCTGCCCGTGGGTTCAGCAACATGTAATACCAAATTCAAGATTTGAAGAACACCGATCACGACGGCTACTATGCAGGTTACGACGGATAGGACGATTGAGTAATATAATACGGCTACGTTGTCGTGGGCGAGAGAGGTTGAAGTGTAGGCTACTAACATTAGAGCGCCGTCGATGGTGTCGATTAGACACATGCCTGCGGTGAAGAGGATGGGGAAGATGAGGATTATCCAGATTGGAGTTCCCTTTGCGGCTTGGAGACTTGCGATTCCTAGGAGGGCGATTTCGGAGGAGGTGTCGAAACCTAGGCCGACTGTTTTTTTCACCCTCTTTCTTAGTATAATTTGCCGTTTAAGGGGGACGGGGGGGGGGGGGGGTTTATTAAGGAAGGGGGAGGGGAGAAGGACATACACAATACCCCCAAAGGATACATCTTCCACGGTTTATCGATCAATTTAAACATCTTTTTAAACAAGGGGAATAAAACCCCTCCACCTTGTATCTTGAACACTTCATCTTCACCTTCCCTCCCAGGACCGGCACGTTGTATACGTCTTAATTGTAATACCAATGTTACTAGGATGTAGACATTCATTATGGCGAGGATTATTAGAAATGCCGCGGAGACTGAGGTACCGATTGTTCCACCGATACGGGAGTAACGGTCGAAATCATTGGAAATTGCGGTGGCTGTGGCGGCGACGGCTATGGAGGTTACTATTACGATTCTGGTTTTTTTTGTAGAGGAGGGGTTAGGTGGATGGTGTTGGAGATGTTGTATTTTTTGAGGGGGGTATTGGGAAGGCTTACGTTGAATGACCGAGGGAGAAGAAGGTTCCGATCTATGCATTGAAGTCGATTGAGATAGTCGTCAGTTGGGGATTTTGTATATAGACCAATGGCGTCGATAACAGGACCGTTTTATAATTGATATTGTGACATACGGTAACGGGTTTTTGACCAGCTGCTACCAGCCGTCTGGTCATTAAATCTATGGCCTATATATTATGATTATAGAAGAATCTGTTAGCCATATATATCTCTAATCAATAGGGCAGTAACATAGCATAAAATAAAATCAAGATACAAACATACACAAATATGGTCCGCATCGAGAGCGTGTCGTAATCCAAGAGTGTACGATAATATCGCCGTTCCTGTTAATGATCTATAGATCCATGTATGGTCGAGTTAGAAACGTAATTCGGAGTTTGAATCTTTTTTGAGAAGATCTTCGAAGGGAAAGCGCCCTTGATAGAAGTAGAAGTAGATATAGATATAAATATCATTTTTATCATTATCTTCTCGACCAATTGACTCTTTTTCTTTGTTTATATGGGTTTGAATTCATATGATATCGTGAAGTTTGACTAAGCACTTAGGTAGTTTGCGACATACGGTTCAAAATGCTAATTTCCATTACATAAAAAAATGAAACAGTTAGCTTAAACTCCTCATGCGACAAAAAAACCTAAAAACCCCCCAAGATATAAAAATCTCGAGGTCGCAGTATATATATAAAGTAAAAGGAAGGAAAAAAGAAAAAAAAGGAAGAAAGAGGAAAAAAGACATACCAATGTAATTCCGACACCGACCCAGACGAGTATGTTGATAAATATCAACAGTACAATGATCCATATAGCCGCGAGCGGGAACTTTCGAAGATACGGTGTACGAGCATGGATCGTTTCGATGCGAGTTTTAGCTCGCGAAATGGGTTTGAAGGCCATTCTTCTTGAGAGAGGCCTTTCGGGGTATATGATTGATCGATTGGCAGATTCCTGGGAGGAGACGAGAAGAAGGAGAAGGAGAAGGTTGAATGTAGAAGAGGAGAAAGAAGAGAAGAAGGTCAGAGGTTAGAACAGGAAGTATTCACCCATCAATTGCGAACCTCCACAGATACCTACCTACTTACTTACTTAGCTACTTAGGTAAGTCAGTAGTACTCAAAGCACCCAGCAGATAGTCTAAATGTTCATTTTTTTTTTTAAAAAAAAAGACTGGCGGCAAAGAGCTGAAGATTCTAACTAAAAGGTCACTGAGCTAGCTATATTGTAAGTACTTACATACTAACGAACCCCTCCACAAGCAAGGGGGACCTTCGACCGGTGCCACCATCTTGGCCAACGATAATTCCAATCGATACATAACAAGCTTAATAAAAGCCAAGTGATAAGAAAAATAACATCCAGCTCTAGTCTATATTATACCTCTACTTAAAATCTCTATCATCTTGGATGGACGGACAGATAGATTGGGGGTTAACATATGCATCGTTTAAGTTAACATCTTCCCCCCACAGCAGTTGCCGTCGCTCACTTTCTTTCCCAAATTGCCCCGCTTCGCAAATCAATACTTTTAGATTTTGATTAAAAAACCCGCCGCCGTTTGACGCCAATCGGAAACCTCGCAAAAGATAACAAACCCAAAGTTCAATTGGAAAGGGAAAGGGAGAAAAAAACTAAGGTACGCATTTAACCCGGCTGACGGAGAAATTTAACCAGGGATGGATGTCGTTTGGGATGCAAGCTTAAGCTAGTTTCCGACCCGGACTCACTTTCCCCTCCCCTTCCTCAGCCTATCTGCAGCTAGCCTCTCTCTGTCCCCTCCCTCTCCGGACGACCGGCAAGAGAAGGTATAAAGCGGCATGGCTAATCTACTTACTTTCGTCAATCGAGACTCATGCACGCCTGAGAAAAAAAGGGTGTCCAAATGTGTATTTGTTAATGCATGATGCATGATGCCTCTTCAACAAATCATATCACCACCCCGCTTCGAATTCATTCGAATTCGCCAACAGTAAAACACACAAAAAGGTCTACTTAAAAGGACTGAAATTCTAAATTTCAAGACCAATCCAGTTCACACGGTATGGTATCATGCGTGATACTATTGATGATTTGATATAACATATACATATAATAATATAAACTATTGACTAAGTCAGGCCGCAGCTCGCGAGATGCAAACCGTAGTGAATCTAACTAACTATACATGACAGATGAAAAATAGATATAAAAAAGATATAAAAAATGATACTAAATAAAAAATAACAATAGTATATATAAAGAGAGATAGATGGTGGTCAAACGAACGAGTGTCAAGAAGAGTATAGAGAAAGAAAGAAAGAAATAAGCGAATCAAAATATAGACAGCGAAGGTGCATGCTTATAAACCATTCTTTTCGAAACCCCATTTTGCAGTTCAAACTAACGGATAGGAGAAAAGATGGCTAAATAAGAAGACGGTAGGGAAAAAAAAAGAATATGTAAAAACGTATTTCAATTCAATACTGAGGACAAAAAGTAGACGTGAGATAATGTGACAGGCAGTGAACAGTTTTGTTCCTCTTCTGCTCCTTCGTATAAAAAACACAAGTGTATGAAGAGACGAGGTCAATGTTAACGCCCAATCGTTGAAAATGCAGTTAGTTGAAAGTCGTTATTTGGTCGTTACGAGAAGTAAAAGGTCAACAGACAAAAATCAAAATTTTGGCCATAAGGAAATGTTTTCTGGAGGGAAAATTGCTTTTATGCCCACATATTGTGAGTGTCGGGAAGTGATCAAGTAGTTGAAAGTGGAAGGGAGTATAAGGGAGCGTAGGGGAGTGGAGCCCATGGAGCTACACGTCGAGGGTCGAAAGATCTCGAGTCCTCATATCCAGCCAGCAGATAATGAGGTTAATTGATCTATTCGGCATTTATACCGCATAAAGTAAATAACTTTGATGTGCTCGAAGACCGTTCTTTGGCTCGTCTGGCCATCACATAATACTAAATGCATGATTTAACATGCCGTTTTGGTGTGTCTAGTTATAAGATCAATTTAACGCTGTTGAGAAAGAAAAGAAAAGTTAGAACCGACACTGCGACTACCGGGGCTAGGAGTAAATACATACCCTTCTATTGCTAGTGGCCTGGTTGGCCTGCGGCTGTGGTTGTTGCTGCTGATAGACTGGCATGTTCGGAACTCCATTCATGGCTGGGTAGCCTCCATATGCTCCCATCATGTTCTGGGCCAACATAGGGTTAAAGCCTTGTGGGATTCCGACTGGAATAATAGGAGAACCAGCCATTCCACCTTGAGGTGTGATTGGGCTAGTATTCATCATGGCGGGGGAAGCCATTCCCGGCATTTGTGGAAGCTGATTGACATATCCTGGCATCGGGGCCGGAACAGCCGGATAATAGGCTTGCGGAACCTGTCGGCCCCCACGGCCAGCTGCCATCATAGTAGCTTGGTATTGTTGTTGGGTAACCATAGGGGCTTGTCCATACAAACTGAGTTGCTCCATAGTCTGAGCCATTTGGTCCATTCCTCCATTGCGGGGAATTTGGCCGTTAACAATACCGTAAGCAGCGGCCTGCTCATATGCGCCAAAGTTAACGGCGGCGGGGTTGATAGGCTGGTTGAATTCACGAGTTGGGGTACCGTGAGATTGGTGCTGGTTGTGGTGATGATCTCTGTTATGATGATGGTCACGGCTGCGGTTTCGTTCACCTCGGCTTGGGGAAGCAGTGCTATGTCCACGACGCTCGCGGGAATGTTCCTTGGTGCTACCACTCCTAGTCGGTAACCCAACCTCGTCCATGAGTCGCTTATAGCCCTGAGCAGGGTGTGCCTTGATCTTTATCAAAACGTTCTTGACATTCTGGACAACCTCTGCGCGAAGAGCCTCATCGAAGAACGGTGTGGTGAGCACCTTGAAAATTAGGGTCGCTCCACAGGTGTGATCAATGAGGATAGCTTCCAAAGTCTTGTCACCTGCGGAGAAGAACATCGCACGCAAAATAGCTTCACGGGCTTCCGGCTCGTTCCTTTGATTGATCACCTTGAGCACGGTAAGGTATGCGACCTTATGAGTGCACAAATGGACGAGATGGGGAACCAATCGCGGAGCAAGAACGGTCCTGCGGTTTGGGAAGGTGCAAGTGTCGAGCAACCAGGTAAGCAAGAGGGCGCCGTTGGCATTGGTTGCCAATTGAACGCTGTGTAGCGAGATAGCAGCGGCCATCATCCTCTGCTGATCCTTGTTGGCATGATGGGATTCCAAGCAGGCACGCATGGCACGAGCACCAAATCTACCTTGAGAAATCTCCCAGATCTTTCCAAGCATGGACTCGAAGATGAAGTTATTGTATGGAGCACCAAATCGCAAGCAACATTGCAAAACGTAGTTGCCATACTGGTCCAAGAAGAGAGCAACGGTGTAAGGACGAAGGCTTTCGCAAATGACATTCTTTTGATCATCAGTGCGAGCGACATCGATAATCTTTTGACCGGCCCAAGTTCCATTCTTATGGACACCGATCTCAGCGAGATGTGGGGCGATTTGCTTAAGCATCTTCATCTTGACTTCTTCAGAGCAGAATTCAAAGAGCTTCTGGACCACGGTGTTGCCAAGATAATCGCTTGCTAACTCAGAAATCTCATCCAGCATTCCTTCAGCAATCTCCTCGATCTCAGCTTGGGAACAAGTATTATTGTCGATGCGCTTCCTGATATCACGCAACTTGGGGGCATCATGAACCCTATTGTGGCTTGGCTCTTGGATAGATGGAATCTCATCGGCAAAGCTGTTGTAAGTGATGGAGATGTCAACACTTTGGCCGATACGTTCAGCTTCCTGTTCGGTAGCGCCAAATTCCTGGACGATCTTAACAATATCAGTCTTGAGATCGGAAAGGTCGGGAACGGCAATGGCGGCGTCTAGATCAGCATCTTCACCGGTAGCATCCTGAGGGCTGCTTGCTCCAGCATCGGTAGCAGATTTTCCGTTGGCCATAGCGTTCGGATCAGGGCTTGGAGTACCGATCGGTCCCGGGGTACCGGAGTTCGGAGTGGTGGGTACTTTGGCGAACCCAATACGAACTGGGCCAGCGCCAGGGAAGATTTCCTTCCCATTGAGGACGCTTCTGGATTGTACGGCCGACTCGACGCGTTCGAAGTTGACAAACCCGCAATTCTTGTGAGTCAGGACTCTAGCCGACTCGATCGGTCCGTAGTTCTGGAAGATGGCAACAAGGGATGAAGTTGTGGTTGATGCTGGGATGTTTCCGAGCCACAGTGCTCGAGTTGGGCCTTCAAGACCTTCTTCCACAGTGCTTAAAAGAGCAGCTTCACCGCCACTGGAAGGCCGGGGGAGCAACCCATTGGCAGCGAGCTGGCCGTTGTCAAGTGTGAAATAATCTCTTTCCACCCCCATATCAGAAGCTGAGACACTGTCACCCAATCTGGAAGGAGTGGTCATATAACTCTTCATGGTGCGGGGGGCCGGACTATCTAAGATTCCGGCAGTTCGCGCTCGAGGACGATTAGCAGTAAAATTACCGGCAGAGTAAGGGCTGGTCATAGCTTGAATGTGTGCTTGGACCTGTGCCTGTTGAAATACGGTTGCGCTGACAGTGTTAGGAGTAACGTTTCCACTTCTAGCGTCGTACTCCCGATTAAGTTCCTCCTCTTCATCCTCCGCGTACTTCTCCTTAGCATTGACGGAATAAGATCTGAGGCGGGTAAGGTTACGTTGGAGGGTAGCGGGATCGGTCATAAGCTGTTGTTGAGGAATTTGGATAACCCTTTGGGGGTCAGCCATAGACGCATAGCCGAGAGGAATAGTGTTTATACGGGTGACAGGAGGGTCAGCTAGTCCTAAGTAGTCCAATGTTCGCATGGGACCATTGTGTTCATCGTCCCTAGAAAAAGATGATTGGGCGGGGCTGGTAGGTCCATTGGTGGAGGATGTGCTGATGCCTCTTTCGCGAGCAGTAGGCTGCCAGGGGCTCGTATTAAAGATAGAGGTGCCGAAGGGAGAAACGTAATTTGCTCGAGGAGGTAGATTCAAAGATCCGGACCTCAATCTAGACACCACAGCGGAGGTCGAGAGATTTGACCCATTTTTAGAGAGATCGGACTCAGAGTTGCTGTTGATCGATGCCGATTTAAAAGGGCTCACCGACGGGCTCGGACGGCTGGTTACCGGCATAGGAGGCCCCGGGGGAGGCAACAACCCACCACCAGGTGGAAGCCTCGATGGCATCGTACCAGCACGGGCCCGACGGCCAATTGGTGGGGCCAACCCTGGTGGGGCATTGGTAGTAGTGGTCGGAGCTGTGAGGTTTTCGCCATAGGTAGGGGAGGTGACCTCTTCTTGGATGGTATCATGCTCGCGAATAGAATTGGTCGTGTTCAAAGGGCCCCAGATGACAGATGTGACACCTTCTTCAGCCTGGATTTCCCTCGCCCTAAATATGGAACGCCCAAAGTTAACAAAAGAAACCCTCCCACTCTCACTTTTTCTATTTTCATTTTCCACCGAATTCCAAGGGGGGCCGAAGCTCGTGTGTGTGGCTAGATAATTACCTCTTGCTATATAATTTTCCACCTTCATAATTAGAAGGAGACCCAGCCCCTCGTCGCATCGAGTTCGCGTTTTGAGGCGTAGTCAACATGATGATATTCGTCGGAATTGTAAATCAGCAGTAACAATCAAGTCCGATAAAGTTGAATCTAAAGGCGTAACGGCAATCGTAATCTTGCAGGATTTTGTATATGGAAGCAGGTAGATGGGTAAAGTATTATGAATTAGACGTTAGGGACTCCTTCGCGCAATAGAAGATGAAGATGAAGTCGATATCGATATCGCTATAATAAATCAACAAGCTGAGCCAACCGGTGACGCTCGTTAAAAATTACAATTGCAGCTTTCTTTTTTGGATTGGATCTTCGGAGAAAGGCTGCCGTCAAGGGCCAATATAAAAACACGAGGTTATATAAAGCCCGTCGCGGGGAGTGTATATGTATCTGGAGATATATTGAAATAAGGATCGTGGAGCTGTAAGAGGCCTTTACACATTAAGCGATTATCCGTTCGGTTATGCGAAGAGCATGCTGAGTGCTACTACCACGGCCAGAGTATAATCGTTAGGAAGGTTGACTCGACCCGGGAAAAAAAAAATAACGCGCACGGGACAGGAAGGGAGAGGAAAAAGAGAGGAAAGGGGATCAATTCCGACACTTACCTGTAACCAGGCACTTCAATTTTCTTCGATAAACCGCGATATAAAGAGCCCGTCCTTATGGTGGGTAGGTAGATGATAACGATGAAGGAGATGAGGAGCAGAGGAGGAGAAAGCGGAGGCGGAGAAGTAGAAGAAGTGGAAAGGAAAGGCTGACGTTGCCTGAGCTGGGTGAGGCTCGTTAACGTTTCTTGTTGGCGGGCCGAGAAAAAAGGAAGGTGTGTGGGCCTCTCTCGAATTGATTGATTCAAGCTTCGAGAAAAAATTAAAAAGAGCAGTATCAATGGGAATGAATATAATAAGATCCGTATCAATTGACTCGACGGATGAATGAATTGTGACTGCCTTGCGGGAGTTAAGTTTGGTTTGGAGAGAAAAGGGCTGACAGCGCCAGGAGCTTTTGAGGGACCAGTGGTAGTTCCCCTTGAACCGTCGTTTGAGCAAACCCGAGACACAGGAGAAGCAGAACGGGATCTCTAGCGGTTGCAGGCCAATTATATTCGGACAACCTGCCTCACGAAAGAGCGGGCAAAGGCACAGGAAAAAGGAGAGGGGAATGGATATGGATGGCGGATTCGAAGGATGGAGGGGAAGGGATGATATGATATGATATGATATGATGATATGGTATGATAGATCGATATGATATCAACAGGAATGCAATAATTGTTAAGCTGCCCGTGTCTGGAGAATTCTAGAAAGAATTATCAACCGTCCTTCGCTGTTTAGCCTTCGACCTTTGACTTTCAACTGTGTCTTCGTGTCTTCGTCCTTGTCCTTGTCCAAGACCAGAGAGTACTATACCAGTCCAGGGAGGGAGGAAACCGAATTGAAGTCGGAGGAAAACGCTTTGCAAAAATGCAATGCAATGCTCGCAACCAGCTATGTGAGAAGGGAGATAATCGATTATAAAGGCAGTAGTCCGAAGATATTGACAAGTTGTCCCGAGCTAGCTATAAAAGAAGCTTGAAGAGAAAATGGACAATGGACAATGGGCGAACTTTCAAAAAAGGAAACAATAGAAAAGGGAAAAAAATAAAATAAAAAATGAAAGAAGAATGGTACCGGTATGGTTTAGTAGAGTCTAGTATAGATGGTATGGTGGTGGAGGGAGTATGTGGAATATTACTATTACGATGTGACTTGTATACCGGTAGCCAATACACAGACACACTACACTCACACTAAACAAGCAAGGTAAAAAAGGTTCAATTCAAAAGAAGAGGCCGTGGCAAGGAATTAACAAGTGGGGAAGAGTGAAGAAGAAGACGAAGAGATCAGTTGGACAGACAGACGGGAAGGATTACAAAGATGGGAAAAGAAACCGCTGAAGAAAAAACAGGTCAGCAACTTTGGCCCAAAAGACCAACTTGGACTTGTTTCGACTTTTAAACAGCTACCGAGCACGGAGGTCCTGCGAGCAAAGGCACAAGAGCCGGCCAGACTGCTAGTCTTCATGCGCTAAAGGGTACATCTTCCCGTACAGAGTATCTACTAGTTTCCTGTCGGCAAGGAGGCAGGTCAGTGCGGGCAAATATCAACTGTACTGACATTATTCGGACGGTGGACCCTGGAACAGACAGGAATGTATGTATGTATTGAACATCGACAGTATGTACTTACTTCCATACAGTACATACAGTATACATACATGTATACATATATTACATACGGGGCACGGCATGCGGCCGGGAAAATTTCAGTTGATGCAAATTATTCATGATGGCATATCCGGACCCTGGGGCCACGTTTTTCTTTCTTTTCCTTTCTCTCCCCCTTGGATCCATGGAGGTAACAGGGGAATGCCAATTGATTACCTACTCGATGATATAATTATCTCGAGTGTCGTCTCATCGATCCTATGTAATGTAGATGTCTGTCTGTCTGTCTGTTTGTCTGTCGGTCCGGACCTTACAGCGCGCTACTTATGCAATGATGTAGCTTCCATGTACATGTACCTCCATACGTATACATGAAAGTACATATTCACCATCGATGGTTGTGGATTAATTCGGCTCGAAAGTACCGAGATGTACGGCCGTGATATGGAGGGTAATGCCAGATGTCCGCATGAAACATCTCTAGCTGTATGCATGCGCACTCCATGTATGTATTGTCGATTGCCCGCATCCGAACACAGTTCGTTCACTGGCTAGCTAGCCCATGCCTCCGGCTGCTACTCGATCGAACGGGAGGGAAAGTTGGTCTCTTCATGCTTTCCCTTTCCGTGCCTAGTAAGGCAGCTTGAAGATTTTCCAAGTTGCAATTGCCTGGGTTTTGTTTCCGCGCTAACGATCGTGCCCAAACATTTCTTTCTCTTTGGCCGTCATGTTTCCAAAGGAGCGTTCGCATTCGAAATAAATTTAAAGAGGCTGCTCACGGGGAGGCATTTCCTTTTTTTTCCTTTCCTTTTTTTCTTCTTCTTCTTTCCTCATCGTGACACCATTCTCAAAATCATGACCTGAAACCGTTTAAACCTGTCTTTGCACCAGCTTGTTACCAGGGCCGTGGTATTCGCCTGATACATCAGGAAACCTGCACAAATTCAAGCAATCAATTGCAACCCAAATTTAAATTATTATTTTTCAACAAAAAAAAATAATCTGTCAATGCAAATGCATACTTGCGCTTGATACCAACTATATCACAACATCGATCCGGGGGTCATGCAGTCAAAAAGGGTGCTCGTTTACCTGAAACAGTTATCGTTACCGACCAATTTCGTAAGATTCGAGAAGCCTGCCAAAAATGCACTTGGACGTCTGAGGTTATTCAGCCGGCTAGATCGACCAGACCGGAGAGAGGGAAAATGCAAGCTCCTAGCAAGTCCGACCCCACCATCTTCAGCTACACAAAGCCGTTACAAATTCCAACTGTACTTGCAACAGTTGGACATATGTTGCATATCCGTAAAAACAGTTGTTCCGAACAGAATGTTGTAATGTAATTGAAACGAATGTCGGGTATTGTCATGTTGCATTGGGAAGATCTAAGCAGAAGACGTCGAAACGTGTTAAAGTCACGTGGTTTGTGTTCTGTGTTGCGCAACCTTTGTGCCAAGACTTTTCGGCGTCGCGTTTCATCAATTAATACTGTTGAAACTTCAAATCCACATCAATCACCCAACAACTACAGCTACATCCGTACCCCCCATCCACCGTCATACCAGCAGTCACACCATGGCGGAGATGGATATAGACGGCAAAAGCGATGCCGAATCTAGCGGCGAGGAAGGTCTACAACTCCCAGAGACCTTGATCGCAGGTCGTGCACGCCGTTCGACCGCTGGCAATCGTCTTGCCCAGCTTCTCCAACAGGAACAACCAGATGACATCGACTTACTTTTCGAAGAGGACGGCGATGATGACGACTTTGAGGCAAAGCACGAATCCGACGTAGACCTCGGCTCCTCATCTGATGAAGAGGACAAGCCACAAGATCAGGACGAGTTATCGGGCGAGAAGAAACTAGAGCAGGAAGAACGAGCTGCCAAACGGCAGAAGAGGGCTTTTCCGGGACAGAAGGAGCTTGATAAGCTGGTTAAGAGACAGCAGAATCTCCGAGAGAAACGTGTCACGATTCAGGAGCCTGATCAAGCTACGAAGACGCTCACGGATGACGAAAATACTCCCCGTGCGCGAAAGAAGAGCGAGCGTATCTCCTGGATCCCCACGGCCGAAGATTTACCATCACGGCAATCTACACGGCGTCAAACCGTGGCTAACAAGCAATTGATCCATGAAAGAATGAAAGAGAGCAATGAGCGCCGACTCAAAGTTATCGCTGCGATGAATGAGGCCTCCCAAAAGAAGAAGGTTGAAAAGACGGAAATGACACAGGAAATGCGTTTAGAGAGAGCCAAAAAAGTTGAGGAGATAAATAAAAAGAGTTTAAACAAGTGGCAGGTAGCTGAAGAGGCCCGTTTAGAAGCTCAACGAGCTAAACTAGCTGCCCTGCACAATAGGAAGATTGAAGGCCCGTATATCCGATTTTACAGCGGCAGGGCAGAATACGGCGCTAATGGTAAACTTATTACTATGGGAAGGCGCAAAATGGTCGAAGAACTCCCCGACGTTGTTGAAGTCAAGAAACCGGATGAGAAAACTACGGATGAGAAGACTACGGATGAGAAGACTACGGATGAGAAGACTACGGATGAGAAGACTACAGATGAGAAAGCTACAGATGAGAAAGCTGCAGAGGAGAAAGCTGCAGAGGAGAAAGCTGCAGAGGAGAAGACTACGGATGAGAGGACTACGGATGAGAGGACTACGGATGAGAGGACTACGGATGAGAGGGCCACAGATGAAAAAGTCATGGAGGAGAAGACTGTGGCTGAGAAGCCTATAGGTGAAAAGCCTATAAGTGAGAAGCCTGTGGATGAGAATACAGATTCAAAGTCTACGGATACCCCAGCCTCCATCGGTATCAAAGAACCGGATGAAGATGTTGTAATGGAAGATGCACCTCAGGTTCCAGCTATTGTAGAAAAACCTAGGGGCCTCGACACCAATGGCACAGGCCTGCCTGAGCCAATCGCTAGCGCCGAGCCGTCAACCCAACAGCAACCTTCCTCACCGCCGACAACTTCTCAAGTTCCAACATATGCTTTGGTTCCCTCTGATGCGGATGGCTCGTCGGATGATACACAGCATAAAATAGCTGCGCAATTGCAAGGAGACCTTGACGCTTCCCTTTTCCCCTCAAAGCCTCAAGTCTCTTCCCAAACCTACATCGTGTTAGAAGGGTTCACTAAGCGGGAACTCAACAACAAAGAGCTTGCCAGTAAAGTCCTCTTCCCGCACAATAATGGCCCACTTCCTAGTAAGCAATTATACCCTTACCTTAGCTACCCAAACATCAAGAAGTTTCTAACCTGTTTCCAGAACCCGAACGCCCATTGTGCGTTACCACCAGTCTGCCAGCCCGCTACAAGGACCCGTCAACTGGACTCCCATATGCCAGTTTGTTCGCATATAAGCAGATCCAAAGGGTTAAAGCGGGTGGTCTTCAATGGAACAACGAACTTCAGTGTTTCTTCGACGTACAAGAAGCTGCGTCCGGGGTTCCTGAAGGGTTCAATGACTAAAATCGAACTCATTCCTCCTTTGTGATGTTTTTTTAGCGTGTATTTTTACATATTTCTCCGACATCTATATGCATCACTGGCGTTTGGTGTGAGTTTTCACAATGGTAATATCCTTTACTTGTATATTTTGCTCACGGGGTCGTTTCGGGGTTGCTACTAAAACAAAATTTTCATAGTCTAACGGCCGCGAATGGGGACAAATGGAGTTTCTATTAAGATGGTATTCTTCAACAGAAGTTAATATTTAACACAAATATCTATTTTTATCTATAAACTTTAAAGCTTTAATTTTAGACGACAACGCCACTCAGTTTCTTCTAATACTTAGGAACATCTAGACACATCAAATTCACACCTTCGTTACAATCTCGTCTCGTCGAGAAATAGACCACGGAATGCTACCGACCGAGGAAGCGGCTATTTTAGATGGTTCGTTAGCAACAGAATAGTCGCAAGCTCAGCCAGCATAGGAGAAAAAGTATGTTTATGTGACTTACGTCGACCAGCCACACATTTGAAGCTTGCAATTCGATCATTCCAGTTATTACCAAATGACCTCAAGTCCTTGCTACCTGGATAGTAAATTGTCGCCACACCGGCCTGGGTACCACAGTTCGAAGCACTTTAGGGTTCCAAGAACTCGCTTGTTAGTATAGAATAACTCGCCTCATTGTCGTCTCCAACTTCTAGATAAGGAGAGGGGGGTTATTCAGAACACATACCCATAAATTGTGCAGATGGTACCTTCATCTGGGCCGAACGACGAGATTTTACGAAGGTATGGAGCGCTGAGGTTGATGCAGGTATTGAGAGCGTAGACGTTGTAGGATGGGGAACCGGCAAAGTTGATGTCGAGGGTGAAGTAGACCTTGATTTGGATGTTAGCCTATACCATCTCGATTACAGTTTTTATTAAATATTGAAACATACACCACCGACGTTCCCTCGTCTTGCTATCGAAGGACGTTCAGTCACGGCTGGTCTAGCTTCAGCTACGGCATTTGGGGCGGCGAAGGCAGAGCCGGCGAGGGCGAGGAGGATTAAATCTGGTCGCATATTTTCGGTATAAGGATTTTTGATAGTTGATTTTAAAGATGTTAAATATATAAAAGGCGTATTAATATATTAATATTGTAGTAATCAAAAACTTTGAAGCTATGAAAAATATATCTATGATCCCTGGTGATCCTCTCTATAATTCCAAAATATTCTGGGAACCATCATTCCTCCTTATATAGTATTATAAACACCCCCCCCCCCCCACGTGCACTCGGACTGACGGGAAAGGGAGAAAAAACTTCATTCAAATCCGTGAAGTTGAGTGCTTTGTTACCCTGTCAAATCATCACCATACGTATACATGCATCTCACCATATCTCTTGGCCCTTTGAGGATCCATAGATACTATACCTAATTACTATGCTGCGGCTTCCTTGGCCTCGTCGGAAACTCACGTTTTCCGAGATTAGTTTCAGGAGTCGAGTCAACCCTCGGGACGTGAGCGCTAGTACCTCTTGCTGACTACTGTGTGCTACCTCAAGCTGCCCTTCCGATTCGATAAATTCGAATCTCGCGATCCCGCGTATGTACCCATGCTCAATTGTTTACGAGTTTTCGGATCAGATCAGTTGAAAACGACAAAAATAACAATGAAAAGGCGGTGAATAATTGGTTCCTGAACCCTTTTAATTTTTTTCCAAGGGCGCTACAAATTCGTAGACCTTAAGCTTAGTACTGAGCTGAGGCAGTAATAAACGAAAGAGAGGGAAGGTTCCCAAAGAAAGAAAGACGTCCGCTCCCATTACCCGGTTACAGAAGCGCAATGTATGCGGATGTGTACTATGAATATACGTAGGAACTTGGATGCTGAGGAGATATAAGGCGATATCCAGACGGCAGCTTTGCCTTATTCGTGTCCCAAGACCGATGGGTATCGGTCTTAGAGCCTCAATTGAGACATGTCTTTTCCAGGTAGGCTAAAATCTGACATCTTGCTTCTAAGCGATGTGGATTTCAAGTCGGACCTTAATTATAATTAAACTAAAGATAAGGTGATGTATGGACTACGTGTGTGCTATATACGTAGACCCATAGGGCCGCGGGTTGCATGGATTGAGATTTATTCCGATTCGATTCCGATGGGAACAGCGGTGGATTGCAATTGGGATCCTTGAGGTTGTGGTAGGGTGGAAAACTCGGATTTCCAAAATTATAAATATCAATGCGCCATTCCAAGACGGATGCTTGGGCTAGGACCCTGAATGCTTATTATGGAAACAAACCAAGGCCAAGGTCGAGCTTCATAGTTTTCGCAGGATCAAAAGCAATTCTCTTCATACTTTTTTTCTTCTCTTCCTTTTGTCTTTGTTCAGTCCACTAGCCACGTACTGCCACGAGTCGGGTCGAACACGTTCACACACTGATTTATGTGGGTATGTATGAAGCATGCTGTATGTATGTACTCCATACATAACACCATCACATATTTTCCGAATACCCTCAAACCGGAAATATTCCAAGTTTCTTTCGCTCTGACCCTTGAAAATACCCATTCAGAAGTGAGCGCCGACATTTCGAATTGTTCCATTATCATTGCCATGACCAATGCATATGCATTATGTCGCTGGATCGTAGTGGTCCCCCCACGCGAGCTCGTGGTAGATGCATACATGCAGTACAGTACATGGATGGTATAAGATGCAGATATGATCCAACCACACCACCCACGAGCTTGGACTTGGAGCTTGAAATTTTGAGCTCGAGCTTGGTTGAACCGATGGCGAAAGGGTTGTAATCTTCTAGTCTTGTCTTGTTTTAAAATTTCGTGGTCGACTGCTAGTTGTGGAACCGTTGTGATAGCTTGCTGCTAGTTAAGTAAGGTATGTAGACTAGTGAGTGACTGGCCTAGTTAGCTGCGGTTTCGACCACCCGCCTCCCGATTCCCGCGTGATGGACTTTAGCTTGTTTTGAAGTAATAATATACCTTCATTACATATGTCGGGCAAGAAAAAAGTGATTCCGCTGTGATAATGGGGAACCGGCAGCGCTAGGGCTTTGTGTGATAGTATACACACATACCTCCTCAGTACTGCAGTGGGGGATATTCTCGAGTCGAGATGGATCGAATCGAGTACATACTGAGTGTTCTGTGTATATCTCCTTTTTTCCACGTCTCAGATCGATTTTTTTCCTTCTCTTTCTTTCTTTTCTTTTCTTGTCTTTCCCCTTCGGATTCCGATTTGCTAAGTGAATTGAAGCCGGCCGGGGTGGTGATGTTTCGCAATTGCATTGGCCCAAGATTGAGTGCCGTACGCCTCCCCCACATTGGCATCGTGCTCAGATACCCTTTTACCCCGGATTACTCTCGAAACGAAGACCATGTCTGTGTGTGTGCATCTCATTGTCGGAGTTCACCACTCTAGAAAAGCCACGAAACTCTGGGGATTTTTGACTGGCCAAGATATGCATATGTAAGAGAGAGGAGTGTGTGTATGAATTCTAATGGATGGATGGATGGGGGTAGCAGAAGCAGTAGCTCTAAAAAGAAGCCTGCATGCTCATCTCGGGTTTCCCCTTCGAACATCTACCGTTCTTTTTTCTCTCTTTCTCTTCTCTTTCTGTCTTTCTCCATTCCGATCCCTCAAGAATTTTATTAATTCTTTCTCCACCTTTTTTCTCCTCTTTCGTTTACATTCGTTTCCATCGAACGGAAAGGTTACGGTCTTGTTTGATTGAATGACGACAAGATAGTATATTAATCGAGTCGTTCTACTACAAAAGGACATCGATCCAACAGACATCCCAAACAACAGCACAGACTATCTTCAACTTAACTGTCTACTACTACCTGCCTAGCTAAGCCTTTTGCTTGACTCGGGTAGTCTTCGCACTAAGTTAAATTCGCGCGGATAGCTTTAATCTAGCGGCAGTGATAGACGAGTTCTGGTTCTGCAATTGCATCCGGACAATACGCAATCAATCAATCAATCAATCAACCACCACAGATCGACCGCTCAATAGCTGTCGACATTCACACACACATACAATCACACACCCCTTTCGAAGGACTCGAACATTTAGCCATCTGGTCTACAGACTGCATACCCATCTTTGCAAGGGAATAACCTAACGGCTGTCGCTGTCACCATCTGGACCAGGCAAGACGTGCGTTAATTTAGGCGAACTGCAATTGGTTCTAGAAGTCCCAGGATCCTTAGCTGTTTTCCCCTAACGACAACCCGACAGTCCCGCTAGTCAGGATCGCTTGTGAAGCAAGCAGCAAGCATCTGCAACAGCTTGTGCATGATCACAGGGAAGGGGGGAAAATTCTTCGATCCAAAGGAAACCTTGAGAAAGAAAAAAAAATAAAAAAAAGTTTCCAACATCAGGCATCGCATACACTTCCCGGATACCGCTAAGCTAACTAGGAGTTTAACGGTTAAGTTATTATCTCTTGCTGGCTGGCAATTACGAGTGAGAGGATAACCAAATAACGACAGCGTTTGACTTTGGCTTTCTGTTTTGACAATTCTGTTTGCGTGAAGACCAAGCTTATCTTTCACTCAATATTCCTCCTTCCTCGCACTCCTTCTCTTTCGCCTTATCTGCGCAGGGGGAGCCAATCACCAAAAATAAAGACAGGCTAAAAAGCTACCTGGCTGCGAGACAGGATACGTTTTGGGGCCAGCTCCAGATACCACCCCAAGTTGGTCTTGCCTCTGGTTAGCTTCTGCGTCACAGATAGTGAGGTGCAGCGTCGGCCGACGGTGCTCGCTCGCTCGTTGCTGTGTTAGCAGGTGGATCCCCCCAGGAAGAAGCAGAGTTCCTGAGGAATAAATCGCTCGCGGGCTTCCAATTTGTCTTAGCTGCTGGCAGCAGAATTTCAGACGCGCGACTCTATAAAGGACGGACTGAACAGAGCTCAAGAGAATAAAAGAAAGAAGAAAGAAAGAAAAGGACAAAAAACTAGTGAGAGGTATCATTGATATCATCATCGTCGTCGTCATTACATTTCTCTAATTACTAGAGATAAAGTGACCGGTCTCGTCGTCGAAATTCAGATTTCCGCCGCCGTCTTGTCGCTGGTGGTTGCACCAAAAGCGGAAAGCAATTGCAGTTGCAACCCAACTGATATCATAGCATTGATACCGTCCTTACCAGACATACCTGGGGCTTGCACAGCACTCTGATCAGCTCAGACAGATAGGAACCAAGCCATACCAACCGACCAGCCAAAAAGCATAAATAAGAAATAAGATTTTTTTTTTCAAGGCCGAGGCATTAATATCATTTATTACATTTACAATGGCTGCTGCTGTGCGAAGAAAGGCCATCAGACCGCCCCTTCGAAAGTCTGCCACTGTCTCTTCTTCCTCATCTCGAGGCCTTCCACCACCAACATCCTCAGCTGTCGCCGCCCGTGAGAAGAAGGCTTCCGCCAGATCAGCAGGAGCAGAAATAGATCCATTGATGGCGGCCAGTTTTCTACCATTCTGGTGAGTACTTTTTTTTCTTCTCTATCCCATTCTGTTTTATTGTTATTCGTCTTTGGTGATGCGAATGGCGTATCTTGGGGTTTTACGTAATACCCGTCGACATCGTGTTAGCTCCAACCAACATGCCAGACCAACAACCATCACGATATCGAATCTCTGCGAATGTATTGACTGACTTCGGCCTTCTTTTTTTTTATGATAGTTCGTTTTGCGAGAAGCAAATTGTAATTCCCAACAACGGGATTTTATATTGCAGTGAAGCGTATGTTATATACTCCTTTCCTCGGACTTATTTCCAACTTCATCCAAAACTAATATAATAATATCTCCGTTTCTAAATATATAGATGTCGACGACGGGATCGAGATACAAAGTCAAATCCAAGTTCTGCACCTGTCAGCGGCTCGGTTCCGCTTCAGCTCCATGGTGGTTTCGGATCATGTAGTACTCCTCCAATATCTCCTAGACTGGGTTATGCCGACATTGCCCCGCCGAATCTAATTGCTCCATCGTCGCCGACATCCGCTCGTTCGATACCCATGGCAAGAACTGTATCCAATCCTCTGGGGGACTATGGCCATGTATCCTTTTCTCCGCCATCCGACCCCATCCCTCTCCATCGAAGGCCGGCATATGAAATATCATACCCGAGCATATCTGCGCCGCCTTCGCCTACAAGCAGCAGTGGGGTGTTTCTGCCATCCAAACGCCCTCACCATCTACCTCGCAATAACACTTTCACATCAATACCCAGTCTTACAAATTCGCCTGCGGCAAGTAGTACATCTTCACATGGAACATATAATCCATACCAGGGGAACTTCGCTCGTCCACTACCTCCAATTCGTAATCCTTATGCTTACTCACACAACTCTTCGCCACGATCTATCGACCTTGTAACCCCGATCAACAGCATAACATCACAGCCGGCTGATATGATTTCTATGGGCCCACCTGCTGCATTGACAGAACAGCAAATTTACGAAAAACAAGCAGTCTACAACCAGGGACAGGGTCAAGGAAGCCTCAAGAAGCTCTTCAACTTCGAGGGCATGCGAGCACCACCGCAGCCAATGATGCGAAGCTCGCCGATGGCTAGTCGAGCAGCTAGCCCGGGCCCCTATATGACGACTAGCAGGTCGAGTAGCCCAACTCCTGGGGAGAGCACAAAGCTTAGAAGCACCTGGACCGATATCTATTAATCAGCATATATACTTTGTTTTATCCGTCAATATACCCTTTTGGATACACATCAGCATAAACTTCGTTATCAGCATATAGTAATATTGGGATGGAAATGGCCGGTTTTCTTTTTTCTCGTCTTGCTTTCGTTTGCACTTTAGTCCTATCTCCATGCAATTTTAGCGTCCAGGAATACCGCGCGGGACTATATCATACAACAATTTTTCACGACGTTCTACGAATCCCCTTGCGTCAAAGTTTTTCATTTTCACCATTTCCGTATACATTTTATCATCCATTCCCCCCCTTCCCGGGATAGCATTTCTTAATTAATTCTTCCACTTCTGTTCATCGATACCTACGAACACACACGTTCTTCTCGACGGTCACACACGAATGCACCCACGCAAACGCACGAGACACAAGATTTGTGGGCCCGGAGTACCCTTTCCGGGCAGGCTTCTTGGGTTTATGGTTGCCTATATGGATTTATCTCGATCAACATGTCTGAATCTGGAACGTCGTACGCCTTTTTTTTTATACAGGATTCTACATTTACGGCAGCTACGATCTTGATATGCATCATATATCATTTTGATGATAAGCTTATCATATTCTCTTTTCCATGAGGGGAGAGAGATTATGTTAATCTGTACAACAATGGTACAAGATTCACGAGGAAGATGATAATTATATCACGAATTTCTTTTGATCGATTTCAATATCTGATTTCGTCATCCTTTTTTTTCATTTTCTTTTCATTTTATTTTTATTTTTTCATAATATAATGATATCTTTGTTTAATTCTTTCTTGTGTTATCATCGTTTCATCATTTCTGATAGCTCTTTCTTTTCAACTGGTGGAGTTTGTGCAGCCTGCTTTTTTTTTCAGTTTTTGTGTTTTTTGTAAGCATAGATAGCAAGCGATTTTTTGATTTATTTGATTGATATATTTTGGTTTATTGTCTAATGATGCAATATGACAGGCCTTGATGGTCTTTGATCGAATTTTTTGGTCTGCTCGTTGGTTACTTCGGTTTTAGCGTGCTTGATTTGGGGGGCATGTTCTGGCTCCAAGATTTCATGCTTTGATAGTTAGTTTTCGTTTCTAAACTGCTATCCAATTACCTACATACTACCTATAGACTTATGATTTTTTGATATCTTCACATTTAATCACTTTATCATACTAAATCTATAAGCTCCAAGCTTCCTTCTTCGATTCGCCAATGATATATTACAGCCTTGATGATATATGTATGATACTTCACGATCACACAACCACCCCACACCCTCTAAACACCACAGGTTCAAACTCCACCACCCTCCTATTCCCACCCCCAAATTCCACCTCCACCTTTTCAGGCACCTCTCCCCACAAACTCCCCCCCTTGGCCCCCGCATATGCACCCCATCTCGCCATCTCCAGCCACACCACATCCCCATCCATCTCTTCCAAAACCTCCTTCAACTTTGTATACCCTTCTTCTCCTTCTCCTTCTCCTTCTTCTTTCACAAACTCCCTCCCCACCATCCCTACCACATCTTCAAATATCCTGTCACTAACCCTCGTATACCCCATCACCGCCTCAAACAATTGTAAACATGCCCCCCAAATCTGGGTGTGTACTGCATAACCCCCCACCACAGCCGCACCTACACTTTTGCGTACCACAACAACCTGTTTCTTCCCATCGTTCCTTTTTGATCTTTTAAGTCTTTCATCATCATGATCATGATCAACCCCAACCTTCGCTTTCCGTGCTATACCAATTAATACACCCCACACCTCTTCAATCCTCGATGATAAAAAATCTCCGCAGTCAATACATAACCTTGTTATAGTATTAATCGTAGTGATTTTTACCGCTGGTTCTGAATCTTGTAATCTGTCGATTATGACGGGCCAGAGTTGGTTTATTAGTGGTAGGAAGTTATCTTCTTGTTTTGAAAGTAGTGGGGATGCGGTGGAGATTAGGCGGAGGAGGTGGAGCCTTAGGGAGGAGGATTTGGAGGTAAGGAAGTTTTGGGAGAGACGGGTGATTGATTCGATCATTAGGTATGTGTGGTTTGGTTTTGGTTCTGGCGGGTTGGTGGGTGATTGGTCTGTTGGTTCTTCTTGTTCTTGTTCTTCTTCGTTATTGGCGTATGGTTCTTCTGGTTTTTTTCTACCCCAGGGTTTATGTGGTGTATTCCCTTCTTCTTCTTCTTCTTCTTTGAGTTCTTGTACTAGAGGTTTATTCTCCCGTTGGATCAAGTTGTCTAAATCCCCTAGTACGTCGTCTAACGTCATGATATGCTTCCTCTTCACTCTATTCCTCTTCTCACCGCTCTCAACTTCCTTCCCATCGGTAATCAACCTAAGCTTCTCCTCCCCTCCAGCACTCTCAACCACAATCCCTTCTAACACCGAAAACAAACTTTCTGTTAATCTTTCATATCCATGATAATTCTCCAATGCCGCAAATATTGATACCACCAGATCATCTAACAATGGTACCAACTCCGCGCCGGTGAGTTTGATCATCATCAATAACACCTGTGGCGCTTGCGGTTGAATGTTAAACATGTTGAGTTTGAGAGATACGGCGTTGACGAGGTAGTCTGCGTTTTCGACTAGTAAGTCACGGGTTGAGAGGTATCCACAGGATTTTGCCAGTGATTCGAGGGTAAGAATTGCATGTTGTTGTATAGTATACACCGAGGATCCGAAGAGGTGGACGATGGGGTAAAGACAGTCCACGAGTTCGGGACGGAAGGAGGTGGACATTGTGGTTGCTGTATAGGCAAGGATTTCGAGGGAGATGCAGGTTAGTTGTGGATGAGTTTCTGGATTGTCGTAGGTATTGATTAATGATGATAAAGCGACTGAGTATAGTTCTGCTGTTAGTTGTGGTGCTTTTGGGGTATTTTGTGTGAATGATGTGATGAAGAAGTCGTCTAAGGGTTCTGATTGGGAGGAGCGGAGGATGTTTAGTGCCATCCATAGTGAGATTGCTTTGCTTAGGTCGGTGCCTATTCTGGCTTCTCGGACGTGTTCGTGGACGAGTTGGAGGCCGGTTGATGTGGTGCCGAGCATGTGGAGGAGGGATAAGGTATTGTTTGAGGTTCCTTCTTGGACTTTTCCGGGGATTATTACGGCGGGGTATATCACTTCGGCCTGGGCTTCTCGTTTTATGAGTTCCATTGATGCGGGTGAGATGGTGGATACGATTTGCTCTGGTCCTATTGTGGGTGCATTGCTTTCGCTGAGGTTTATGATACTGCCTTTCATGTTTCTTGAGAAGAGGTCTAATAGGATGTCGGATGTCTGGCCCAGGTTCGAGATTATCTTGAACGATGCTGCGATTTCACGTAGGAGATGTGATTTCTTGACTTCATCGTTGTTTTGAAGGACTCGAGGAAGGGATAAGATCCAGCCGTGGAGACTCTTCTGTAGAACTTGGGTTATTTTATCGTTATACCCAGCGAGGGTCGTGAGGGTTTCCTGGGCCTGCGAAGCAAATGTCTCTTCTTTGTCTGCTGATAAACTGACTAATGTTTCGATTACGACGGGTAGAGTGGATTCTAAAGACTGGGGACAGTCTCGTGCTATCGCCTGACATAACTTTAGGAGCGACTTTTTGACATTCAACATCCTGTGCTTTCGTAAAGCGCATACGCCCGTAAGTCCCATCCTTACTTGTTCCGAAGTACCATGGAGCCAGGATTGTGTTCGTATTGTTGTAATAGAATCGCTGTTAAGGGCTCCACCACTCATTCCATTTGATGTTGGTAGATTGGACGTTTTGATATCCATTAGGACGAGTCTTATTACGTCTGACAATGTGTCGATTGCTTTTACTAGAGCTTTGGATTTTTGAGATCCGCTGTTCCGGGGATCTAGGAATTTGCAAAGCGTGGATACGGTACCAGGTAGAAAGCTTGCGAGGATATCGTCGTCACTGATACATCCAGTAAAGAGATGGTGAACGGCGCTGCTAGCGGCCACTTGAAGGTCTGTGAATGATGTCGCTGGGATGATATCCAGCAATACCGTAAGGGAATGACCTAATGACGGTGCCATTTCGATTAACGCGAACTGATTCCTAGCAGCTGTAGACCTCGTAACCGCTGCAAAAAGGCTCTCAAGGCACTTCGTAGCTGCCAGTTTCGTTTCTTCGGACGCCCTCGACGGTTTACTCCCATCAGGCGGACCACCAATTATGAAAGCAACCATAATCATCAACTGCTTCGCCAGTTCTCCCGTGATATTCACATTCCAGCATTTCAACAACAGAACATTTACACATTGTAAACTCAGGTCGATTGCTCTATCGATAAACATCTGTTGTCGACCGAATATGTGTGATAACGGGAAGAATATGTAGTCTCCAGTCGCCGGGTTTATTAACCCTTCCACCTCGCCGAGCTTTGTGATACATTGTAAAAGACTTTCGAGTGCTTCTACGAGTTGACGAGACCTTTGAGGATCGATTTCGGATCGGAGAACGATTTGACTGACGGCTATACACCGGGGTTTGAGCTATAGGATGGTGGTGGTGGGGATAAGTTAGCTATAAACTGTGGCTTATATGTGTGGTATTTTGTGGCCAGCGGGGGAAAACTTGTGTAGGATGGCTATACCTCTGCGAAAGCTTGCTTCCGCCGTATTTCGAGGGAACTATCCATTCTGTTCTAGATGTATGTCTTGATCATGTCCCGGGAGGTGATGTAGATATAGAATGTGAAGGTACAGAAGATGCATTTTATGTCGGTGCAGAATGATTCAACGGCGCGTGCCTGGAAGGCCTGGTGTGGCTCGTTGACCAATTCCTTAACTAAGCGACGCCTCTTCTTAAATGATCTGCTGCAGCGCGCAGAGCTATCTTTTTGCCATGACATTTATAAAAAGCACCATCCCTCATCACAGCCCAGCCCATCATATCCCATTTCTTATGGCTACCTCTAGATCTTCGACAATGTCATAATAAAATCACGAAAATCTTAAACAGCATGGAAGATATAACTACGGCTTCCGGAATCGACAATGCATACGTCACTTCAACTGCAAAAAAGGGCAAGCTAAAGCTCAAATCTAAACGACGGTCCCACCGCCATGACCACAACGATCGAGAACGTGACCGAGAGCGGGAACGGCGACAATATCGAAGCCATACCCGCTCTCGATCTCGATCTCGATCTCGCTCTCGTTCAGCTTCACCGAGCCGCAAGAAACGAAAGCAACAGCAACAACAACAACCAACGGTAGCCGAAACAGATGATCCAGCACTCTACGATGATGTTTTTCTACCTGGTCAAAATAGTTTTAAATATAAAGATCCCGAAGCCGCATTTAGGGAATCATTGTTCGAGGCGATGGCTGATGATGAGGGTGCATCTTATTGGGAAGGCGTGTATGGACAGCCGATACATCTTTATGAAAGGCCGAAAGTGGAGAATGAGAGGGGAGAGCTGGAGATGATGACTGACGAGGAATATGCAGAGTATGTAAGGAGAAGGATGTATGAAAAAACAGATGAGTTCTTAGAGAAGGAGAGGAAGAGAATTAAGAAAGAAAGAGAAAGAGAACGGAAGCGAGAGGAGGAAGATAGGGCTGAATGGCAGAGGAGGGAAAGAGAGAGATTACTACTTGAGAAAGAAAGACGGTCGAGGAAGAATATCGAGAAGATCAAGAAAGCATGGGCGATTTACACGGGTATTTGGGACGATATTACAAAGAAGGAGAGACCGAAGTCGGGCCGGATAGAGGTTCCGTGGCCCGTGGAGTCGGGACGTCGAAGGGATATATCCAAGGAAGCCATTGAGGAATTTTTCAAATCGGCACCGGGAGCGAGTAGCGGTGCTGACGGTTCAGAAAGCAAATCTTATGCTGATATCCTGCGACTTGAAAGAGTGCGGTGGCACCCGGACAAGGCCTTGCAGCGATGGGGAAGAGAAGCAATCAGTGATGATATATTGCAGGGTATCACAGCCGTTTTTCAAATTATCGACTCGTTATGGGCAGAAGAGCGCGAAGGTGAGAAACGCTGACGGCGACAGGTCAAGCATGCAGGCATGCAAGTCTGCAGGAGGCAGGAGGCAGCCGAAATATAACATATTGCCATCTCATTCCTGCAGGCTGGCTAGCAACTGTCGCCAAAGTCTCGCCGTATTTTTTTTTTTTCTTTCTGGTCTTTATGCCTCATACCTACCTGCCTTGTATAGTGGTAGTACTTACATAGATACATAGATACATAGATACGTAGATACGTAGTTGAGGGCCTCCTGGGCGGGTTTATAATAGGCGGACTGCTCGCTTGGTATCGAGATCCTTCGCTTTGGTCAGAACTTCTGAGCTCTGCTACTGCTACATAAGCAAGGTGCGGGTTCCATAAGGCGCCAATTATAGATTGTTCCGAGAAACCAAGGCGTCGGAGCCTCAGATATAAAGGACGCGATACTACCTCGGTATCTTCCACAAATATCGAGACATATATAGCCGACTCGTCAAAGCTTGATGCAGTAAACCGATCGCGACGATGAAACTGAGACCGAGCGCGCGAGAGAGCGAAAGAGAGTATAACCCTGATATAATATTTAACTCACTTGCAGCAGGACTATAATACTATAAAATATCAATTGCGAATCGATAAGCTTAATAAGATTTAAATCGAATCTATAACGATAACTACCGGGAATTAAACCCCTCCAGCCCAGCCCAGCCCAGCCCAGCCAGCCCAGCCAGTCCATGGCCTACCTTGCCCTGCCAGCCGCGTTTGGTCGAACCTGATTGATGTTTCGCAGGACCTTCCGTATGCAAACGGGGATAAGGAAAGAGCAAGCTGAAGGTGCCCCACAGTTGCAAATACTCATACCTTGGCCTCAGTAGCAGTTAATTAGCTCTCTGAGGGCAAGCGCGACACTGCATCATGCGTTTTACAAATGCCGGCCGGATCCTGAGATATCTGTTTCACGATTTTGCTTTCCAAGAAGGAAACAGTTGACTAAAAGTCGTGGGGAGCGCACCGGCCGAAGGCAGCGTCTGGTCGGTGTCCAGTTGCCGAAAACAGTCGACTCGAGACCAGTGGCGGCTTGTCGATCGCCAGGTTCGTCGTCTGCGGGGACATTCTATTCACTTTTTTATTTTATTTTATTTTATTTTATTTTATTTTATATATTTAAGATAGACTTGATGACATATTATATATAAAGTTGAAGGAATGGAGAATTTCTTTTCTTAAAGGGAATTAAAAGAGAAGGAAAGAAAGAAAGTAGAGTTTGATGGAGTGAATACTATACTAGCTATGGTTGTTATCAATGCAATGAGGCTGGGCTTTTGGGCGGAGGTGGGAGGTGGGAATATGATGCATTGGAGTTTAAATTTAAGTCGGAAAAAGCATCCATGGCCTCAAGGCGACTTCAAACTTGCAAATCCGACAGACAGACAGACAGAGAAAGAAAGAAAGAAAAAAAAAACAGACCAGTTAAAAGTGAATTCCGATTCGCATGCAAAACAGACTTTTTTTTACTTTATTTTAATATTTAATTTTTCATTTGGTTAAATGTGGGCATGCTTGGGGGTGGGAGGAGAAGCATACAGATGCACAGATGCACAGATGCACTGTACAGTATGCAAGCCAGGGAAATACAATTGATCCTAATGGCCGGATTGGATAATGAATTATAATTAACATTACATGAAGAGAGAGAATAGAATAGGATAGAATCATTCATAAGATATTGAACTGTACTGAACTGTACTGTATTGTATTATATTGTATTGTAGGTAATGGGAATGGTAATAATATGATATACTTTTAACTTGCAATTGGTTCCTGAATTAATTAAATTTCCTTCCTTTCTTCCCCTCTCCCTCTCTTCTCTTCTCTTCTCTCTTTCTTTCTTTCCCTTAATCAACTATCTCCGCTGTACATCAGAGGTAACTACCTATTATAGATCTAGATCTATCTTTCGATCACACATCTACTATATTTCCCTGTCTCCAAGTCATACGTTAATCAACTTGTCGTCAAATCCCGAATTAAATCCAATTCGATCCAATCCAATCCAATTCAATCAGCTAATCCTCACAAATGAGTGCTACTACTGCTACTCCTGGCACTCTCTAACTTAAAACTCATCCAAGCTGCCTCGACTCATATTAAACCAGATCGAAAGGTCCCGGATTCTACCGGACAGCTGAAGCGTCAAAACAGCAAAAAGCATTGCCAACCGAAGAGAGCTCGAGAGCCAGCGAGACCTTTTGTTTTTCATCCTTCCCTGATCCTGCTCCTTTAATAATAACACTACCCTTCGATCCGGCTCTTCTGAATTTCTTCCTCCTCCTCGAAAATCGATCCTGCCAGATAATTTGGTTCCAAACTAGCTACTCTACTAGCTACCTAGTCGGCCACGGTTTTAAATTCGTTTTATTCGATCAATCAGGTCAATCATTCGGTCAATCAATCAATCGGAGTAAGTATTGCCAATCTGATTTCTCAATGTTTGTCCGTCTTCCCCCTCCTCTTTTGGCCCACAAATAAGCAGGTTTGGTTGTTTCGTCATCGGGTGCTGCAGCTCAATCCGAATCCTTGCCGATAGAGGTAGAGCGGAGCCGGCCTGTGCATGAATGGGAACCTCGAGGTCCTCGTTCACAAAGGTGTCGATAAAAACATCCCGTTTGTACGAAGTCCCAAGCGTCCAACTAGCAACCTTTCAAACCCCATGTACCGTGGCCGGGTGTAATGTACATGTCTGAGATTTCTTTCCACCTGGCTGGAAAGGTTTTGGGCTTATTGCATATCTTAATACATACACACACCCCCTTCTTATGCTCCACCTCGAGCTTTTAACTCGATCAATCCATGATCCATTCGCCAATGGAGGGGAGTAGAAGGAGGAGGAGGAAGAGACCGGAGGGAAGTGGTGGTGTTCATGGTGTTCATGGTGGTCATGATATGTGGTCTCTAGCTCTATTTATACTATTCCGTCCGCGTCCCCGTGTAGGGTGATAATAATAACAAATTACTACCTACTTTTTTTACACTGGTGGGACGAGGATCGAATCGAGTTTAAGTTGAAGTTGAAGTTGAAGTTGAGTACGTACCACGACTACATGCAATTGGGATATATAAGATTAAAACATCTGAGGATTTGAATCTTATTTACTTGATCTTGATCTGTTTTATCTTCACTTTCGACGTTTTCAGTATTTTTATCTATTTTTATTTTTTGTTTTTGTTTTTATTTGTTTTATCAAGAACGTCAATACTGAGTCGTATATCGATATATATACGAGACTGCTCTGCATTACACTAAACTCGGGGTAAGTTAGGTACCTTAGCTAAGTATCTAAGAAGTACTTGGTATAGTATGGTATACGATGCTAGGATACTACTAAGTACTTAGCATCTACACTATACATGCAGAACGAGTAACCCCTTCCTGTGTTTTCTCTCTCTCTCTCTCTCTCTATCTCTCCCTCACTCTCATTCACTCACACACACACACACACACACCCTCTCTCCCTCACCCACACACACACACATACCCTCCTGGCCCTTATTCCTTCGCCATCTGGTGCTTACTTCCCTAGGTACTTACTTACTTACTTACTTACCTACTTACCTACCTAAGAATAATACATACCATCTGCCTTTGATTTGTTTTGCTGTTTTGCTTTGCTTTGCTTTGCTTTGCTTTAATATCTCCACCCATTGCACCCGTGTGGACCCCGTCAATTCACGTTTTGGGAAGCCCCATACCCGACACCAGGCAGAATTAACCAAGCTGTCCGTCTTGTCCATTCTTTGAGATTCCTCGCTCTGGTCGTTTGTCCCACAATCGATTCGAATCCAGAACCCCAGACAGGCATCATACCAGCTTAGCTGTTTAGTTCCTTGTCTTTTTGCCCTGCTACGAACGGGAAATGGTCGCTTTCTAATTCTACTAAGATGATATTCTCCCGTCTTGCTTGATTCCATTCCATTCATACAGATATACAGCAAGTACTGTACTAGCTAAAGAATTCGAATAAGAAGCTACCTGGCCCCTCCAAAGGTCTCCCCGATTCTTTCCCTTCCTTTTCTGGCTTTGAATCTTCCGTCTGCATTTGCACTGGGGGAAAAGAACATCCACCAACCTCATCCGGGTCAGTTTCTTTTGGGGGAGGAGGACTTCTTTGCTAACAAAATGGTCAATTGGTTGTCTTTAGACCTGCCTCCCTTTCTTTCATAATCAATAATCTACTCCGTCGCCCGTCTCGTGCAATTTCACCATCATCATCTTCACCATCATCTTCACCATCATCTTACCCATCTACCTATCTATCTACCTTTGATCTCATCGATTCATTCAATCTTTTCGGGGGTACCTACCTAGGCCTTTTTCCCCTTATATATACACATATCTGTGGATATATAAGTACTTGGACATTCTTGAGGAACTCGGCTATCGACAGCAGTCCCTATATACCCAGAGACTTATATATATATCATCTTAGATATATAACCCTCCAAATGTACGAATCATGTTCTTCCAAAATAAAGTTAATGGCTAGGACCTGCCTGGCTCGACTTTCCTCCTCCTCATTCTCCTCTCCGTACCCGTTCCTCCCGATACCTCACTCCCTGTATCCCCTCGGACCCGATCCAGCTGGCCTTGACTTCTGCCGAGCCTTTAATAGTCCGGTGAACTGACAATTGGAGCCAAAATGCGGGGTAGATTCCTCACCGGCTACAGCTTGTACAGTCCGAAAAATTAATTCTCTCATTAACGAGCACCCTCCGCGATTTCAGACGACCAGCTGGTCCGTGAACGTCGATTTCCACCCGGTGAGTGGCCTGGAACAGTGCGCGTCTGTTGGAGCTGTTTTTTTTGCTGCTGCTTTATACCGGTTTTTTGAGAAATCGCTGCTCTTGTCCCATGCTCCCCTGTTATTTGGTGGTGCATTGAATTGTCGTGTCTGTCTGCCACCTGCCACCTGCCTGCCCGCTGCCGTCTCCACGTTAGATCGCCCCTGCTCCATCGAGAAAGGCCAAACCTCCAAAAATCTCGTATTCAAAAGAAAACCAACTTGCATTTTCCCGCTCCTTTCGATTCTATCTGCCTATTTTTTTTTGTTTTCTTTCCCTCTCTCTGCCCTTTAAAATTCCGGTTCGGTCGCTCGCAGAGAGGTATGTTGGCATTATACTTTTCCGGCTATCGCCCCCGGAATGCTACCTGATACCGGAATTTTGTCCTGACATTATTCAACTTCATGAATTTAATTGTTATCTGGAAGGGTTGGCTAACTGATGACTTCATTGATAACCGTGTAGGAGTCCGTTCACTACAGCGGTAAACCCAGATCCACCCCAATCACAGACCCTCCGAGTACCCCGTCCGACCCCAGTTTTGGACCGCCCAACTACAGATTCGACGGCGAATAAGCGTGAGTTTCTATCCTCGCGTCCTTTTTTCATATTTTATTTTATTTTTTATATAAAGGATCTATTCTTCAACAATACATCCTTTTGTTTGAAATGAGGATTGGGTCTTCAGGCGGGCTGCAGCGAATCGGTTTCTCGCCTTGCCCTGGCTCTGTGTCCAAGCGAGATACTACCCAGTGGAGACGAAACGGAAGGCTAACGCATTTCGCCGTTACACAGGAGTCAAGCTCGATCCGACCGTCTCTAAAGTTCCTTGGGAACCTTCCGTAAAACCAAGTAGCAGTAAAGTCGAGGGCGCTAGCGGCCTCGAGCAGGATTCTTTTATGCCGACTTTAGGATCCGTTTTCAAGAAAAAGAAGAAGGACAAAGAGGCTACCCGCCTCAAAGACTCAAGTGGAAACCCTGATACCATAATCGAGGATTCCCCAGTCACACCGTCGACCGAGAGATCCCTCAGTCAGTCGTTGGGCTCCGCACCATCGACGGCGACGACTGCAAATTCCCACGGTGGTTTATCAACAGTCACTTCTGCTACCTCCCAAACACCCACTTCCCCAATTGCCACCGGCGGCCAAGCCGAGAAGGATCACCCTATGACGACTCCGGTCAATGAATCTGCTGGTCATAGCAGTAAGTAGCATATTTCGGGAGAATATTCTGAGGAAGGAGGGGTTATACTGACATATAGCTTCTATAGGATCAGACAGCCAGACTCTCCAGAAGGCCGAAAATGCAGTACGAGCTACGAAGGGCAAATATACCCTTCAGGACTTTAACTTCCAAAGGACATTGGGTACAGGTAGTTTCGGTCGTGTGCATTTAGTACAGTCGAAACACAACCTACGCTTCTATGCCGTCAAAGTGCTCAAGAAAGCCCAGGTAGTTAAAATGAAGCAGGTGGAGCACACAAACGACGAACGTCGTATGCTCCAGAGAGTCAAGCACCCCTTCTTGATCACGCTCTGGGGGACTTTCCAGGACGCCAAGAATCTGTACATGGTTATGGATTTCATTGAGGGTGGTGAATTGTTTAGCTTGTTAAGAAAGTCTCAGGTGAGCTTTTGAAATGATGGAATGTGAAGGGAAACTTGGTTATACTAATGACGATGATGCTCTCCAGAGATTCCCAAATCCTGTTGCCAAGTTCTACGCTGCTGAAGTTGCGTTGGCCTTGGACTACCTACATTCGATGAACATCATCTACAGAGACTTGAAACCTGAAAATTTGCTATTGGACCGACATGGACATTTGAAAATTACAGATTTTGGTTTCGCGAAAGAGGTTCCGGATATCACTTGGACGCTTTGCGGTACACCCGATTATTTGGCACCAGAAGTCGTTGCGTCAAAGGGTTACAATAAATCAGTTGACTGGTACGTGGCTTCTTAGACCACTTTCCCTAAACAGCAGTTTAAACGCTAACAACATGGTTGGTGTGTATAGGTGGTCGCTGGGAATCTTGATCTTCGAAATGCTTTGCGGTTACACTCCATTCTGGGATGGAGGCAGCCCGATGAAGATCTACGAAAACATTCTTCGCGGAAGGGTCAAATATCCAGCTTATATTCACCCTGACGCAATGAATTTGCTGCAACAGCTGATTACACCGGATCTAACGAAACGATTGGGTATGTCACAGTGTGTTTTCTATTGGTTTTGGTCTCATCCTAACCCTGTTTTCTAGGTAACTTGTACCACGGTTCTCGATCCGTTTTGGAGCATCCATGGTTCGCAGAGGTCAACTGGGAACGATTACTTAGCAAGCAAATCGAACCCCCTTACGTTCCACCGGTCCGTGGCGGCATAGGAGACGCCAGTCTGTTCGACAAGTACCCAGAAGAGACGGAAGAATACGGCAAGGATGGTCCCGATCAGTATGGGCATTTCTTCACCGATTTCTAAACGTATATGGATACTTTTCTTGTTTGATGTTTGCAAGGTGCTATGGGATTTATCAAGTCCAAAGGGAAGGGTCGAATCCGGAATAACGAGTAGGCAAGCGAGGATTGAATTGTTTAACATCCTTATGACGAGCGTGATGCACAATGAGTTCGGTTCTACTTTTTTTTTTTTCCTTTTGAAAGAAAACTGGATTGCGGGGAAGCCTTGGACACGATAGTAGCTTGCTTTCCCTTTTATTTGGTTTACTATTCCCTCAACTCTGTTTCCTTCCCTCTTAAACTACTACCGATGAAAGGCGAGCACATATGTAATAAGTGTATCTTGCGAGTCATTCATTCTCTCAGAGCCACCCAGACACTCCCTTTCTATACCGTCTTAGGCGTTGTTCTTCGTTTTCTCTTATCTCTATTGTGGATGTGTCTTATTCTTCTTTTTTGAGAGTCCTTGGCGAATTGTGTCTTATTACTACCGTTTCCCTTCTCGAGCCGGAATTGACAAAAAAAATGAACAGTGGGAAGCTGGTGGCGGCGTTTAAACAGAGTAGTTGGTGGTTGATACCTGTGAGATTCATGGAACGAAGGAGAAAAGTCGATATAGCTAGACCAAATCTATAAACAAAAGATATCTTCTGACCACACTTTTGCCATATTTTGGCCGTTGACTCCGCAATTCAGTGCTGGATTTGTTTGTGGATACTCTGAAGACAAGATGCCACAGTTGCACTTATTCCTTTCGGATATGGACGAGTGCAGGTGCAGGTGCCTTCGGAGGGAGGGCTCCACATCGATGCGGGGTCTATCAGCAACTGGTCCTAAATGGGAAGACTGGATTTTTTTTATATTCTCTGGTTTTCCGAGCATCGTGAATTCCATTTTATATGTACAAAGTCTTTTTTTTGGAAATCAGACTGGGGATATATTACACTGTTGAAGAATATGGGATGAAGATACACATTAGATGTGCATGGGAGCCAAACTGAGGATCTTGCTCCACTTCTTCTGGCCAAGTTCTCGCCCGACGACGCCTGTAAAGATAGAATGTCAATGTGTGGTCCTTGGGATGCTGTGTATTGATTTCAACGGCATATGCTTCAGGTTATCTCGTATGGAATGGTGTGGACTGACCGTTCATTCTCGTTCCAATAGGCTCACCAGCCTTATTGACCAATACACACGCATTATCGTCGAACCTGACGACGCTTCCGTCTTTCCTCTGCAGCTGCTTCTTCGTCCTGACGACAACTGCGTGTCTGATATCACCCTTTCGAACCTTCTGTGCAGCCGCGGAGTTGCTATGGCCGGAATCTGAGAGACCTAAGGCACGTTGACGTTGGACGACAATGACAATACGGTCACCGATACGGGCGTGACGCTTCTGTCCGAGAACTTTGATGCATTCGACAATGGAGGCGCCCTAGGCACATACTGTTTAGAACGGTGGTGGGGGATGGTTGATGGAATACCGAGAGACCATGATATGATGTTGTGGAGGGGTGTGTATCTACCGAATTGTCGATGCAGTTGAGCATCGTCTATAACACATGTGTTAGCATATCTGCCATTACAATGGATAGAAATAGATAAATTGGATCGATGTACCTTTAATTGAATCATGATGAGCTATATCTGTGGGGCCTGTTGTCACCGGGCAGGCATCTGTCGATAACTGTCTTTCGAGGAAGTTTTTCGCTTGAGACGGTTTTCGCCGGCGGTTCTTTCTAAACCTTGCCTGTTTGAGAAGCACAGCCCAAGTCCCCCATACAGGGACAAGTACCCTCAGCCTACGAGTTCGCCTACAAGGTACGACGGGCGAACAGGGCAAAAGTGCAGATGCTTGAAAGGGGATGGTGGGACCATGCGACGAATTGGCTGTCATAAGATGCTAAGTTCGGACAGGATAAGAAAGGTCGTTGGGATTTTTAGCTGAGCGCAGAAATCGACTTGAAGACGAGGCCTTTTGTTCTCACTCGCTCGCTCACCCCGGACTTGTTTCTCTTCTCCTTTACCATCACCATATTACTATTCTTCTCCAGCATCATTCCGTAGGATCGAATAACCCACTTTGACTAACAACCAGCTTACCCGATAACCCCCGCGAGTAGCTCCGACCCATCAATCTGACTCTGCGGGACTCATCCACCCTCTTGAAGGGAATTCAATCGCTTACCATTTCAATCCGGCCCGTCGACGTTGCCCGTTGGAAGGGGACAGGCTTAGCGATCACTGTACAACCATGCGCTCAATCATCATCTACTGCGCCGTCGCAGCTCATCTCTGCACGACCTCACTGTCTTCCACGATTCCCACCAACTCCGAATCCGTAATACGCCTACCCATCCATGACGACGAGAACCATTCCAACACCGCCGATACCTTCTCCGATATCTTCCATGCCGCTCCCCGGGAATCACGCAATTCATGGTCAAAAATTCGCAATAAGATTGTTGTAAAGATATTCGGCAGTGGACAGAGACATCATGGAGTACGGAGCCACCCACATTACTCTTCCGGGTCTTCTTCTTCGGGTGCTCAAAAGCCGTTAGGAGATACACCGGCCAAGGCACCGTACTCGAGGTATCAGAATGAAGTTGTCTTGAGGTTTAATATCACGACGACAGACGAAGCCGCAGCACTAGCTGAAGCGGCCGAGATTTTGTTCTTAGACGTTTGGAGTGCTACGAAGGATCATGCGGATATTAGAGTTGATAAGGACGTTGTCGAATCACTTCTTGGTCTTCTACCGGAATCCCTTCAGTCTTCACATGCAAGACTTATGCATGATCTTGCCGCTACTGTCCGAGAAACATTCCCGGGGTCATCTGAAGGGCCTTCAAACCCGCTTTCGGCTCACTCCTTGTCGCAATATTCCGGTCCGTATCGACCGGCACAGTCGGAACATTTCTTTTCGAATTACCAACCAATATCAGTTATTAATCCTTGGATGAAGCTACTTCGTTCGCTATTTCCCGACCACGTAGAACTTTTTTCCATCGGACAGACGTATGAAGGACGTGAAATAAAGGGACTTAAAATCTCAAAAACGGGAGAACCGAGCTCGGGCAAACGAAAGGCTATCGTTATTACCGGTGCCTCTCATGCTAGAGAATGGATTTCGGTGTCTACTGTTTGTTATCTTGCACATGCTTTTATCACAGGATATAGACCTCGACCTTTTAACAAGGAGAATGCGGAGGCAGATTTGGGGGATCGAGAGATTACAAGACTTGTTGAGAACTTTGATTGGTATTTTATCCCGACATTAAATGTTGATGGATACGTATATACGTGGACGGAGGATAGACTATGGAGGAAGAATAGACAGCCAACAAGTCTGGGTTTCTGCAAGGGGATTGAGTTGGACAGGAGTTATTCGTTCAAATGGGGTGGACAGAGCCAGAATAATCCTTGCAGTGAGAGTAAGTACTATCTATGCTTTCGTGGTTGTCGTCGTCATCCATTATTCATGGGGATCGAAAATTCTAATTACTGGATAGACTACCCTGGAGAGAAGGAATTCGAGGCTCTCGAGTCAAAAAATTTTGCGGCGTGGGCACAGAATCTCACAACTGAGGGGAACACACGTATCATGGGCTTCTTAGATTTACACTCCTATTCCCAGCAGAGTAAGTCTTTCTCACTTCCGTCTCAACAATGGGGCTTCCTTTTTAACATGCTACAGTTCTTTACCCATATTCCTATTCTTGCACCCAGCGTCCACCAGACCTCGAGAACCTCGAAGAACTTGCAGAGGTTCTAGCAAAGGGTATTCGTATCCGTCACGGCGAACACTATGAAGTTTCATCAGCATGCCAAGGCGGCGGACAGTTCGCACAATCCGATAAGGACCAGAAGAAAGACGCCAAGAAGGCGAAGAGGTCTCAAAAATCCAGCGGAGATGATTTCATGCTCACAGAAACAGGCGGCGGCGGGTCTGCTCTCGATTATTTCTATAGGGAAATTGGGGTTTCATATTCTTACCAGATCAAGTTGAGGGATCAGGGAAGCTATGGGTTCTTGTTGCCAAAGGAGAGCATCAAGCCAACTGGACAGGAGATCGAAAGTATGGTGAAGAGCTTGGGTAACTTCTTGATTGGTGATGACAAGTTGTAAAAGTAGGTGAGGGGGGGGTAGTAGTTGAGGGAAGTTTATTAGGGAGAAGGTGGTTTTGAGAGGAGGGGGTGAGTAGGGGGGCGAATGGCCGCACGCCGATGTCTACCTTTCACCTACCTTCCTCAGAACTGCCTTTTACTATTTGAGCTTTCGGAGCTAGGGGTGGTTAATGATGCGGTTTTTGAACAGGGGGTTGAAATTTCTTTTCACTTGGGACTTAAGGACGGACGGATAAAGTTGTATACCATAACACACTCTGGCGTTTTATTGCTTTTCTTAGTACTAAGGCGGTTTTTGTTAACATATTTTGGGGGCATATTCACATCATTATTTGTAGCATATTGGTCTTTGTTTTTGCTTTTGCATTTTTGGTTGCCGCCTTCCCCTCCTCCTCCTCCTACTCCTCCTTTGGCTTTTTTTTGGAGCGGGTCCGTCCTTGTCCTTTGTGGATGTATACATTTTTATTGAACTCTAATTACATGCATTTTTGAATGTCATTGGTAGTATACTATAGAATGGAAGAATTGATGGTGTTATATATAGCAGGACCTATTTGAGGATTATAATTATATTATATTAATATCGATTTAAAGGTCGTGAAATCATATTATATTATATTACAATTGTTGGGGATAAATGAAATGTTCGTAAGTTAGCTCCGGCTGTGTACTATACCATGCTATACTATTATTGTATATGAAATTTAATTTGAAGCATCCAGATCGACTTTCGAATAGAGAATTCGAATAATGGTGGATTGGAATTAGTATATATATATCGGGGCCCTGGGGTTGTCTCGTAAACTAGACCCGTCCTTAGACAGTATAGTAGCTTTGTAAATATGCCAGCCACCATATCCATATTCGATATATGAGTCGCACACAAAACGTTAGCATTTTTTGAATTTTGTTATGAACCTATGTCGCATTCTAATATGCTTGGTTTTCGAGTGGAACTTGGGGTTTTTTTATCAGTGATACTGCTCCCATGATATAATTTGGTATGAGAATAATGATTGATTATTTGGGGGGGGGGGGGGGGGGATTCATTCTAGTTAATTGAGTAGCTAGGTATTTGTAATCGCATGTATGAACTATGTCGCCATTCATGAGGTTTTTGGGAGTATTTTATAATTATATAATACCTTGATAGGAAACAATAATATTCAAAGAAATCAGGACCCCCGTACAGCCTTCGGCTGCGCTGTTAGGCATTTCTAAAGGGGCTTATTTATGTATATATACTTGTCATTCTGTATAAGTAAGTTTTGGGGGTCTGTACTATATGTATTACTCATGGCTTGAATTCTCGGTCACTGTTGATATATGTAACGTTAAATTCTTTACAGTACTAGTGTTAACTTGATGCAATGCAATGATGCGACTTGCATGCCACCGGAGGTGTGTTTCTCTTGAGCTGTCATATACCTGGGGAGACAGTCTGTATGATTACTCTACTTATTCTGGGTTATATTATATCGAAGAATCTGTCTCACTGGCCGCGAATATATCACCTCCTGCGAGTACTTAAGATGTTTCTTTTTGAGGAAAATCTTCATGTACCCGGGGCTCAAAAATGTATGTGCGCTTTGTGTGGAATAAATACTAACGATCAATTTAGATCGGAATATGGTTGGTTTAGATTTGTAAATATATATTTTAAATTATCATGAGATGCGTCTTTTAATGTTGATGTTGGGAGTTACTTACCTTCCGCCTTGGCGATGGGACTGTAATATTGTTTATATTATGATAAAGATATAGATGGGAGAGAGAGAACTAGACGAAATCGTGACCTCCCTAGCTGGTTTCAGAAGTCACATATTTCCACTTTTTTGAATGTGTCGCTCTCGCTAAGGCTTCACAGGCCTTACTGTTCTTCGATTGGTGGCTTCGAGTCTTGAATCCATAAAATGCTCCTCCATCGGATTACTAGTGGCTTTGTGGTAAATCACGATATGGCTTCTCTTTCTCATGGGTTAAGTTCATGATAGGCTAGACCTGGAGTGTATATATACCCCTATATATATATATATATATTGGGCTTGAATCATATATGATTCGCCAGAGCTGTCGTCATCAAAGCTACCCTCCTCGTCAGATGAGGCGCTGGTATCCTCCTCCTCTCCATTATCTTCAGCTAAAGTCGGGAGAGAGGACATTTTGTTACTCAGTCGAGAAGCGCCCTTCGACCGAGGAGAAATAAAAGCGCGCATACGAGCACCGTTGCATGTATGTACGACGGTCAATAGTACAATTCCCACAAGCATTTTTGAGATTCCTCAAAGTACCCCCTTACACATGTTGAAGGCCCCCTTCTCCTCGGAACAGGCTTCACAAGGCATAATGGCTTTAGACCCTCATCGTTTGGATCACCCAAGCTAAAGAATGGTTAGCTAAGGACCTTCACCGATCATGATCACCCTGATCGTTCACTCACCTCGCTTGGCGGATGTATCATGTTGTCGCTGACGCATGCGACCATAGGTAGCTCCTTCCCGGAAATCGATCTAGGGAAAGTTCTCTTAACTGATAATGGTTGATGATGATGGTTGTATTCTCTAATCGGGCGAATGGCAAGGATTTTCGTCCTGAATTTTTCTATAGGGATTTCTTTCGGTATTCTCTTCCTCGAAATCGGAGTATTACGATGTGGTGATGGTCTCGTTGGTAGGGCTCATAACCTCTTAACTGATAATGGTTGATGATGGTTGCATTCTTTAAGTCTAAATGACTAACATCTATCTGTATTTACATGCGGGCACAACACATACGTCCCCCCCTCGACAAGTTCTTGGGATAGAAACTGCATAATTTGTATATGGGTGCTCGTTGTGTCCATTGATATGGTTATTCAAGCAGTGATGCTGCTGATCGATATATATAACTGTGTAACTTGCTTGCCTTAACGTTTAATGTGACAAGATCGAAATTGTTCTTTGATACTTAATAGACGCTGAAGGTATCTGGGGAATAGTAAATCTAGTTATTAGACGCTCAGGATGTGTAAAATCCTGGGCGTAGTAACATTTTATGTTATGAGAACATTCAGAGTTTCCATGAAATATCGGGGAGACTTGTGGTATTTTCGAAGGACTTGTGTTGCTGGATGCTGGGGAATTCGAGAAGTGCGGTGGACTTGATCACTTGAGAGAAAGCTGAAGGATCTAGAACTGACCACTTCTTACCCTTCCTTTATATTGTACAGTCACCAAAACAGTCTCTAGACTTCACCCGCAGATTAATGGCGAACCAAGCTCATTACCCTTCAACCCACCTCACCGAATCCGCAGGATGTGTTCTATTCCATCTCCCCAGTCGTAAAATATGTCTTCTAAGCATTACTTTACAAAACGCGAACGGAGGCGTTCTCATTACGCTCCCAAAGGGACGTCGTAATATTAACGAAACGAGAAAAGACGCTGCCGTCAGAGAAACAACCGAAGAGACTAGCTACAAGTGTAGCTTGTTACCGGTCAAGATGGGCACTAGGTTGACTCTTCCAGAAGATGATGAGGATGTTAGAGATCGTGTTAGGCAGTGTGATGCTTGCACTGAGGGCTTTCATATGCAACTTAGAAGTATTGGAAGGAAGGAGGAGAGAAGAGCAAAGATCGTTTGGTGGTTTATTGCACAGGTTGACGAGGAGGATTATGAAAGGAAGGAAGAAGTGGGATGGGATGGGAAAGTCAAGGAAGGTGTGAGGGTTGAATGGAAGGAGTATGATGATGTCTTGGGGGAACTTTCGTACGAAACGGATGTTGAGGTAGTCAAGACGGCTTGGAGGATTCTAGAAGCCACGGAAGGACCTCGAACCCGACTCAGTGGATCTTAAGTTATTTCCGATTCCATGGCCTTTTATTCAGGGATTCTTATACATTTTATTATTTAGTAGTTATGATAGAGTATAACTTAAATGATTACGAACTAGCATATTGATATAATTATAATATATAGTATGATATATTCCACGAAAGCCCCCTCGCCATGCATATGATGCGGTAGTTTAGGCGGAAACGTTCCCGCGTATACTTAGTAGCTATACGTGTAAGCATAGGATTTATATATAAGAATCAAGTTGTAGCAAACAGCTCGCCTCATTTCACCTACTTGAAATTGAATGCAGCCTGCAATCTGCAATCTGAAGTGTGACCAATTGAAAGTGCATGGAAAATCTTAGGAATCATCCACACTATATAGATGGTAAATATGCAGATCGATGGTAAATTCCGACAGTTCGACAACGACAAGGGTATATGGGACAGAACTGGATACCGCAGAAAAGTCCTATATACAACAATTAACAACATCGGGAAATCAATTGCAAAGGTGTATGTAGATGTATGCAAGTGAATTCCCCCGTGCCTGGTGGAGCATGCGCTACCGGCCGGGATTGCTGGACCCTTATTTTGAATATTTCTAATGGGCGGTTCCAACCTTGCATTTAAGCTTGTACTACCCAGCTACCGCTCAAATAGTTAGTTCCAAACAAGCTTTTTGGCCATCTCCTCGGCTAATGAGCTCATATGAGTACGCGAGTGGCTGTTATGATCGTGATGGTTAGATGGTGATACAAATATTACAGATCGGGATCAGTTAGCCCGGTTTATATGCTGGAAGATACGAGAATGGCCAAAGTCGCTGCTGGGTAAATAGCGGTACGCATGATATAGCTGTAGCAGTAAACAATCTTTCGTCATGTTATAACGTTAGGAGTCGAAGACTCAACAACTTCAGAGTGAACGTGAACGTTAACTAGTATACAATGGTATACCAATTCGCAGATCAGCGAAAGAGTGCATATTCTTCTTTGCGGATTCCCTTACTTGGGGAAATCGAAGCCTCAGAGGATTTTGATTTGTCGATGATGACTGGGCGGCCGGCTGTACTGGCTATAGAATTAATATCGCTACAACTGGACTAACCGCTGGATTTTTTATGGACGGAAGATGGATTGATAATATGTTCATTCTACGAAGCCCAAAAGTATAAAGGAAGGCCCAGAACCCCAGCAAGATGACCTGTTTTCAAGCTTCGTTCGCCAGTCTCTCCTTCAGATACATCGCGAGCGCCTCGAGCTCTAGGCCACTTCATTCATTTATTCCTTTGAATGGACTAGTATAGTACTCCTACCAACTATTATTCATTCCCTAGATCAAGTACTTCGGTACGTATTTGAGTCAGTCCTGTTTCTTTGTGAAAACTTGGGCCGCCTTCTATACCGTATACATTGGGTGATTCCGGGGCTAGGTACGAGACAACAGTTAACCTCAAGTGCTGGATCATTAAGATTCCTTGAAACTCTGGTAAGTGGTTATCTATATCTTACATACCGATACCGGTGTATATACTCAGGTTCTTGATTTATAGATCTTGAATAGTTCGAACCAAGGAAGCTAATTGAGTACTGGTGTATAGACTGCATACCATACCAGAACATATATATATATATTATCGATCGGTATATACACAATAAGAGTTTACAATGAAGTTCAATCTAATTGCTCTTCCTATTGTCTTTGCGACGTAAGTTCAGTTATGAATATCTAATATTATCGACTGGTATACTTAGTTACATATTAATATATTCGATATCATATGGCTAACTCTTCAAGCATCTGCGATGCATCATGATACAGGGTTTCTGCCAATGCACTCGTTGGCTATGACCACGAACTTAAGCGCCGCTCGACAATCTCAGTCCGTAGCGGCTGCAGACTGGCAACTTTGACTCAGACTCAAACCATCACCACCGTGTTAACCACCGTCGTCACCGTGGAGTCAATCTTCTGCAATGGCGCCTTAAAACCTACCTCGAGTACTATACGACCAATCCCGGCCCCAATCAAAGTCGAAGTCCCCATAGAAACCCCGCCCCCCACTTCTTCAAGGCCACGGCCGGGTAATTGTAGGACATCTATCATTACGACGGAAATCAACAATATTAGAGTCCCCCACGTCTGTCAAAATCTGTCCTTACCCCCCATTCACTTTTACAATCCCTAAGGAGTCAGATCCATCTCCAACCGGGAAGCCTTCGACCGAGGAAACCCCTGTCGACGAAGAAGTTCCCACCGACGAGGTTCCTATCGACGAACCCCCTACTTCTACAGTATTACTTGACGGCGCTTGCGTAACTAGGACCACCGAAATAGTATCCGACAAGAAAACTATCACCACGGTTACAACAGCTTGTCCTTATCCTGACCGAAAGACTTCTGTCTCTAGATCTCCAATCCCAATCAAGAAAACTCGACAAGATTCAACTACGACCCCGATTGCAATGATTCCAAAACCAACACCGTACGGGAAAGGAACGGGTTGTCCACCGTCCAAAATACAGAAGTTTTCTCCAACCTGTCTGGGAGAGAGAAAGAAGAAATGTAAAACACCTTGCACGTCAACAGTTACCGTCACATCTGCTGGTGCCTGTTCGTGTATCGGAGCCAAGGCACTGGTTACGGGTACTACATTAGGACCAATAATGTGTCCTGACTATTGCGGATGTCAGACTTCAACTACGTGGCAGTTCCCTGCGGCTTGTAAAACGCTGAAGCCGAAGCCGCCGCCTAAGCCAACTATGGACGACGAAGAAGATGGATATGGCAGTGGTGGATATTAGTAGTAGATCACCTGGAAATTATGAAGTTGTTATCAAAGTTAGGGAGTAGACAAGGCGAGGAGGAAGCGAAACTAGCTGATGCATATCGATGTTGTGGCGATTTCATTATCTTTACGTATGTTTCCTACTTGGTGTAGTTATCACTGATCTAAATCATGTACTTTTCATAACAAACTCGACTACCATATTTCTGATATAAAGTTGGACTGGATTTTACAAGCAAGATGTACTATCATCTCGATCTCATAGTATGCTTATACGTATACTCCACAACTTCAAATAACAAAAAAAAATATTTTCCTATAGTACAAGAATATTTTATTCAAACCGATCCGTATACTTTAGTCAGTGGAATAAAAAGCCAGTAGAACTTGCATAGACAGATGAGATATAGCCGCATTCACAAACCAACGGACCATTTCCATGAAGCCAACCTTATACCTTAACCACAATTACAGTAATAGCTATCACCTATATTCACCAATCATGACCCTTATTAGCAAACTCTGACTATCAATCACCCTAACAAAAAAGAAGGCAGCAAGAACAAACTCCGCCAAGTGTAGCTGGGAACAAGACCAATATGATCCATAAAAGTAAATAGTATCGACTCACCAGGCTGAGAACAAGCATCCCTCGCAGATTCCTCCGGCAAATCAGGCGACTGCATCTGAAGAGCCCTAATACAATCCTCACAACTGTAAATACCAGCACAGTATCCACTGCAATCTAATTGAGATTGAAGCACGCAGCTAGAACTACACTCCCCGGCGGGTTGGTTCCAGCAGGTGCCGGTGCAAAGTACGTTCCTTAGACGAACGCATTCGGGGTAGTTCCCGCCCATACAATTTGGGTTCGAGCCGGGTTCGCGAGGGCCGTTGCAGGCGGATGCGAGGGAGGAGAGGAGGAAGATTGATGTGATAATTATGGTTCGCATTGTGGTTAAGTGTTTTGTTGGTAATTATTTAAGTATAGGTATTATCGAAAAAATGAATTCTCAGGATAGGAGAAAAAAAAGGATGATATAAGTCTTTAGATTGAAGGAATTGCAATTGACTGGACTGACTTCTTTACTCAAACTATCTCGAGAATTGGAAGAAGTCTGTCCAATATATAGGTCTACAGATGACACATACATGAACCCGGCCTCAATACGAATATATGTATTCAAAGGCCTATATCCGTACCTCGTACCGTCAATTCAACCCCATTTTCCGGTTATCCGTCTAGAGAAGCTTACCATTTCTCACCGTTAAACAAGCACAAGTATCACAACGTTACGAAATTTAACAAGATCCTGAACTTCGTACGCCGATTATTCCTCAAAAAACCCCCAGAAGAGTTCGTATTCTCAGCTGCCGAATCCCTCCCCCAAAACACGAATGTATTAAGCTCCGATCATTGCGACGAACATATAAAAAAGCGGGAAGAGCCTGAATTAATTAACGCCTAAGCCTCAGGTCCTATCCGGTATACATATGGTCCCGGTGTCTGCAGATCCGGCTTTTAGAAAAGGGAAAAAAGCTTGGCCGACGTCTTATTTACTCCAATCCTCCTTCGCTTCGTGCGATTGATCGGCCAGAATGAATGCGGCTCCTCCAAGGCCAAGGCAGTACGGTGTACCACTCGAGGGAGTCCAAAATCTTCAAAGATGATGTTATAATACCAATTAAGATACTATGTATGCGTTTGGAACTATCCCATTTCTTCGAGCTAAGGAAATTGATTTTTTAAAGATCTAATAAACTAAATCGCGTTGAAATAAGCTACGTTCACTACACCATCAAAATTAAGGCGTAACAAAAAAAAAAAGATGTATTCTAAGCCTCAAGCCTCAAGCCTGTAAGAACCAGTGCACACCCATAAACAGCTACCTAACCAAGTTTCGTCATACAGCCCACAACTAGGTTATAGTCATGCATATATGATGTCAGGGATCGGCTTTCCACAGGAAACCATAAGCGCCTGACCGTACCACCCGTTACATTACAAAAGGAAAAAATGTAACAGTAAGAAAAACAAGTAAGTACTTACTTAACTTAAGAAGTGCATGTTATATAATATAATACCGTCCAATTGGGAAGTGGGTTACACAAAACGAATACTAACTATCCAAGAGCAAACCGTTGGCCACGTTGGTTCCCTTCCCCTTCCCCTTCCCTTTTTTCCCTTGCATTAGGCTTTTACCCTGCGTGTAAGCTTATGCGGATGTGCTACCTTGAAATTACTTACCTACCTACCTAGCTATACCCCAGGTCTATATTCTAACTACATATAAATTTAGATAGGTAAGTAAGCAGCTTCCACGAACTATATCCCAATTTGGTTGGGTTGTTGTATTTTTGGATGGAACAACGCAAAAAAATTAAAAATCGACGTAACCACTGATTTTTGAACAAAAGTCTCGTTACGAGATTGTATTTTTGGGTTAAATTAAAATATCGCCATAAGAACCCGCCACTTTTCGGTTATTGTCAAAGAGCACTTATAGTAGTAATAAAAGGAGTGGAGCTTAGAGTATGACAGAATTACACTCGGACTGCCAGAGATTAGGAAATCGATGATTAACTAGACTCGACGGTTACAGGCCCTAAGAGGAAAGGAAGCTAGGTATAGGCACTAAGGGACCTACTAGATCTAGATAAGAACGGGACTATAGTGAACTAAATTAAATTAATATTTTAAACTATAATTAAAACTATAATTAACGAGTCACCACCATAAAAGTTTATCTGATGTATATCATTTCTGACGCAGATTCCATAATATCAGGATATCGATATCGATATCGAGGACTCCTTTCGGGAATCTTCACCAAGTTGCATCTTTAGAAATCGTATTAGGGGAATAAAACCATTACGAGGTGCAACCATAAGTTCCGGATATATTTAGTACCACCTCAATTCCAATTTTAATTCTGATCTCCCCGAATCCTCCAATAGCGATTGAATAATCCACAATAATCTGCAATCCTCAGGTAAAATACAAAAAGAAGAAGAAGAAGAAGAAGAAGAAGAAGAAAGAAGGACTCGCTACGTCGCTACTTTTGCTCAAAAGCTAAACGGACGAAATGAAAAGGAAATTTTTTTTATCCGATCAAAGTCATCAAGAAGATAATGAATCCAAACCGAAGTGAGAGCTGATAGGAAAGACGAAGACGAATGACAAAGAATAACGTAAGTAGTAGTTAGGAATGAAAAAGAAGCCCTCCAACGCCAGCCCAAGCTCTAACTACAAACAATTAAAATCAAAAGAATCACCTTTCTACTTATTTAGCTCCTCGTCTGGCTTGCCTGCATCCAATGACGCCCCAACCATTACTGAAGGTTCTGGCTTTGCCAGAATATCATCAGCGGTAGTCGGTAGGTCGTTGAGGTTCCTTTGCGAATTAATCAAAACAATGACCTCCTCAATATTCTTCTCGTCGCTCTCCTTAGCAATCTCGACAACTACCGCCTCTGCTTCACGGCTGGTAGTTGTCAACGAACTTTCAGTATCTCCAAAATGTGTGATAGTAGCATCAGAGAGCGCAGGGCTAGTGATTGCATCGGGGATGAAACTCGACATATCATCGTCCGTGACCGCCGATGCTGTCATGATACTGATTTCCCCATCGTTAATCTCCTTTTCTTCTGTTGCACCGGTCCCTTCTCCTTCATTATCTGGGTTCACAACTGCCAAACGGCCGCTAACAGCGCTGGATCCACGGCTCAGCTGACTCCTGCTAATGCTCGTAGCACCGCTCCCGGATCCGCTATCCTCATTATCGGAGTTATCCCCAGTGCTAGTCTCCGTGACAGTAACCCTTCCAAGACTCGAGGCGTCAAGAACACGATCTCCGACTACACCCTGTACAGCAGAAGGCAAAGAAGTGCTAGCGGCGCTCCTATGACGCTTAAGCCTATCCTCAGCGGGGATGGTGTGCCAATCGCTTCCGAATGTGATAACACTAGCCTTCTTGCCATGGACCGTGAAACTACCGGCACCTCGAGCTAAGCCTTCGCTCTCCTTCTTTTCGCCATCGACCTCACCATCGACCTTCTCACCTTGCGGGTTTCCGTCCTTCCCTTTGCGAGATCGGTGGTGTGGCAGTTGGATGACTTGAGATCCTTCACGGAGGGTGCGGTGTAAAGACCGTCGGACCTTGTCCTTCTCATCTTTTCTCTCCTTCTCCTTGTCCTTCTTTTCTCGATGACTAGCAGAATCCTCCACTTCCTTTCCTTTTTCATCTTTGGCTGTAATCTGCTCTAGGAACTCGGATTCGGGATCCCCGCCTGGTTTAATAGCCTGTACAATCGCTTGTTGCGAAATAACAGACCCATTGCTTGGCCGTCGTGGTATTTCTTCGTTGGAATTGCTAGTTGTAATACTGACATACTCACGAGATTCCGTATTGGTTATATATGGCTCCCCAAGCTGGCTAAGGTCGATATCGCCGTTGATATCACTGACGACGGATCCCCTCTTAAGCTCAAATGGCAGCTGTCCTATCTCCCAGCCTTGATGGGATCCTAATGTAGATGGTCGTGCCGTAGATTGCGATGCCGTCCTACTAATCGTCGTTGTTCTGGTAGACTGCCTAACGATCTCATTTTCGAAGAGCGGCTTGTTGAATGAAGCGTTGACAGTAGCTTGAGTCGGCGTGCTTTTAGCAGAGAGTGGAGATTCTGCAAGGCTCGGCGATTTGCTTCCACGAGCTGGCGTCTCGGGCGGGGTCTGCAATAACGTTAGTCTCCTGAGCTTATCCTTTGCCGACCTTCGTTCTTCCTCAAGATCCAACTCCAGAATATCGCGGTGACATCTGAGCCGCCAAATATCCACACGGACCCACTGGAGCTTTGCATTTAGACTTCCTGCAGCGAGGATAACAGCATCTCTAGTTTTTGGCTGGATTGGAGTCAAAAGTTTGAGATGATGTGCATTCCTCAACAGCATAGCTAGCTGGTCTAACGCATCCTTCAACTTCATATTCGAATCGTGGATCTTTCGATCAATGACTTGACGTCGAGCAGCAGCGATTTGTGCTGCGAGCTGGGGATCTATTCTCCCAGAAACAATGGACACCTCCCCGGACGCGGTCTGCACAGACTTGGTGTTAGTCGAATCCATCCTGCGAATGCCTCTACTGCGCTGGCCATCGTAATGTCCACCTACAACTCCTCTCATACGTACGCCTGCCGTTCGGAAGGCGGCGGCGTAGTTGAGCTTCGAGAGCCAGTCGTTCATCTCGGCCTCATTATCTGCAAGAAAGTACTCCTGAAATCCACCATGGCGAACAAACATAAAAGCGTTTTTATGTTTTTTGTAAGTGCGGTCGAGAAGGGCGACTGTGTCGTCGGTGGAGAGCATAGAGTCGGGATTAAATTCTAATAGCGGTGGCGTGAATACGCATGGGATGATTCCCACGTTGCCGGCTTTCACGTGCTGTTCGTACTGTGACATTAGATTCTTGACCCAGCTCACATTCTTGAAGAAGTAAAGCTGGGATCCGGTGAGCAGTGCACCCCATTCTTGCCAAGGGCTTCTGGTCTTCTTCTTCTTTGGGTCCTTCCTCCACAAAAGACCTATTTTTGTAACTTTAATCTCCACGACACCGGGACTGGCATCTTGGGGATTTTGGGCGGTGGCTGGGTTTAAAAATGCATCTGGCCGCGACCTCGCAGACACGATTTGAAGCACAGAGCTCCTGAAGAATGACTCGTGGAGCTCTTTCATATTCATCGTGTGAGTCGTCCCAAGGTAGCTGTACGGATCATCCACCATGAGAACGTCAGACAATGATGGGCGTAATATGTCCATCTTATTGTCAATGATCAATGTGTATGGATCCACAGGCTCCCTCGCCTTTTTCAAGTCAGTGTTCGCCTTGGTTAGCATATTTCGTCTGGGCATGTGCGAAAGGATCTTCTCGCCATTGATGTCAAGATCATCTTCAACATGAATAAATGGCGTGTAACTGATGTTGTCATAGAAGTACTCCAAAATGTCAGAGGTAATTCCTTCCCCACTGGTGTTCTTGACGTAATCAGGTTTCTGCATCTTGTGCTTGTTGTTCTTGTTGAAGACGTCAGTGTGCAAGATGAGCAACGAGAAGGCAATGAAGTAAGCGTTTTCTATTAAATCGTAGTTAGTTTACCGCAATTTGCGCCAATCGCAAGGCAAATAGTAACGCACCACTCGAAGAATATATCAAGGGGTTGCATTCATGATATCGATCCGCAAATGCTTGCAAAACTCTGTCAATTTGTTGAGTCTCCTTTGGCAATTCGACCTCCATCAATAGCTTTCGTAATGCCATGTCCATCGGATCCCGATAGAAATTGAAAGTGCTCATATACTGCTTCAGTACTTCTACATGGAATGCATCATCAGTTTTGCTTAGCAGGCTGGCTACTACGCTTTTATTGACAGCCTCCTCCAGTTTTCTTAGATACTGGTCTGGTGTGTCGTCGTCCAATCTCTCCGGTATTATTAACTTCTCCCGAGAAACTGCCATTGAGTTTGGATGAGAAGTTGAAGCACGAGCAAGGTAAGGGGCGGGCGATGTTGTTCGCGTCGGCATCCCGGGGAGATTGGCCTCACTATTCTGCCTAGATCTCGATGAGAACAGCCTCGAAAAACTATTTCGACCAACAGCCATGCTCGTCCGAGTGCTATCTGCTGGAGACCTATCCATTGAACCAGCCGTCGAACTCCTCGCCCTATTGTACCGGGTTTGAGGCGCCAAAGGACTAGAGGTAGTAGATCGTAGTGAATGGGTTGAGGCTGTAGAATTAGCACGCGCCAAAGTCGCCGAGCCTCCCATCGTACCTAGTACGGAGGCTGCCAGGGCACTTGTAGCAGGAATGGGCATTCCATCAGACGTAGGTACTCGCCGAGGAGTGGCAGGGGCCGAAGAGAGCGTATTCGACGGGCGCGAACGAACGGAAACATTCGAACTAGATGCACCACCGCCTATTGCATCTGTGCTTACTCTAGGCTCTGTGTGAGATACCTTTGGCGGTAGAGGGAACAACGGCGTATCCTTTTTGCGCCTAGAGAATCGAAAGAAAGTTGACGTTGTGGAGACGGTATGGGTCGTCGTCGTTGTAGTGACAACCATATCCGCGGAACTGGCTTCAGATCGAGAAGATTCGGACAGCCGTGGTTGTGGAATCGGGAGACCATGTTCGTCGTATGGAGGTGGAGCAAAACTTTGTGTAGATCCATTATTCGGATAGGTTCTCTCCGGCTCGTCAAACGTAACTCTACTCGCTCGACCAGACGGGTTGCTCCCGATGTTCCTTTTCGACGATTCCCGACGTGGTGCAGAAGCTGGCCGAGGAGCAGGTGATACCGACTGTTCTCGACTTATCGATGCAGACTGTGCGATTAATGTTGCAGAGAGGTTGGTACGCGATCCCGTAGCGGAACCAGTCCTAAGTTCTGTAATGTCACCAGTTGATTTGGTTTGTGGAAGAGGAGGCGCAGCGGCAATATCAAATGTCGGGGCTGTTGTGATGATAGTTGGGGTCCGAGGCGGGTCTGGCAGCGGTGGGATTTCCTCATGAGCCCTAGCTTTCGATCCTAATGCTGGGTCGGAAGCATTGCGAAACTTCAAGATGGAGAACCTATTCGATCTTGTTCGTTCCTCAGACTTCCTAGGCCGCGGCCGAACAGTCGACGTAGAGACTCGCGACGCGGTTTCTTGGGTGGTGATGCTCTTCGGCGTGGGAGGTCGTGGTTCTTGGGGAGCAGCCGTTATTGCTTCAGACTCGTTGACATTCGCAGTCGAAGCATTACTTTCCTGTTGCCTAAACAGAGCCCCCACGTCCACACTTTGTCGTCTCAAACTACCGTCTTTCTTACTGTTCGCCGGTCGAAGTCTCCAAGATAGGCCGGTCATCGTGAAAACTACCCTTTATGGCAGTTGCAAAACCGACTAGGTGATGCCAATGGTTTGTATACGAGGTATACAAGGCAGGGAGAGGGAAAAAAAGTAATGATCGAAATAATTGTGCGACCCGGAATGCTGCAGAACGTGACAGATGTTACGAGAGTTGTTTTTGTTTTTTGTTTTTTCGATCGGAGGATAGAAGTATAGAAATTTCCAGTGTGGTAATAATCAAGCTTGTATGTAGTGAACCAAGTAGTGAATGGTATCGATAGGATGAGATATGAGGGCCGCGAATAATGGATGCTAAACCGGAAGCAGAAAGGGATAGGCTCGCAAAATGCCGGACAATTCAAGAAAAAGCAGATATGGTACAGTAATAATTAATTAATTCGCGAGGTAGTGGTAGCGGTGGTGGTGGTGGCAGTAAGAGTAATAGTAGATTGTGAACGAGTGTGTCGACAGTTGATGATGACAATGATGACAGTGATAGTAGAGGTAGTCGGAGGCCGGCTCACGGATATCGGAAAAGGTTGAGAAGATGTCAATCAATCTGACGGTGACGAGCTGAAGCTGAAGCTGGAGAAGGAGAAGAAGGCAGAGACGAAGCAAGGCAATAATCGCATGGCGGCTTGAATCGCGGAGGGTACTTCTGACCTAACTACCTAGTTGAACGGCGACCGGATGGAACGAACACGAGGGATGGCACTGCGCTAGGATTAAAATGCCCGACGGAGAGCGAAGGACAGGTAAGTAGCCTGCATGTGCAAGCACACACGATTGAACGGTTGGTTAATTCGATTCGATTTGATTCGATTTAATCCGATTGATTAGTTTGATGGGAAGATGAATGTGCAGAAGGTGCAGATGAAGTGAATGCGAATGCAGGTGGATGGCAGGTGGATGGCAGGTGGTTGATGGGTGGTTGATGGATGGTTGGATGATGGAATGAGGATGTCGTTTAGCTGCGTGCGTTTGGCCCGAGTTAGTTGAGGTGAAAGGAGTAATACGCCAGCTGCGGCCAAAATTAGCCTTCAGCCAGCCTGATAGAAAAAAAAAAGAGAGAGCCAACAGTCAAATTTAAATTTTAAAAAGAAAAAATAATAATAGAACAAAACAAAAGTAAAAGAGGCGAACCAGGTATGTATGGACTTTTCTTAGGATATCAAGGGCAGGTCCAAGAAAAGGATTGCGTAGACGGGATCCATCAAAGGGAGAAGATCCGATGCATGTTATAATATAATTTATAAGAGTGGGGGACAACAGGTAACAAGAGAGAAAGAGAGAGAGAGAGACTCTCACGGACAGACACTCTCAAACTTCACTTGCACTCACACCACCCTCATTCACTTTAAATTCAGTTCACTTGGCCTCGAGAAAGAGTAGGTATCATGTTATGACACTACTAATCTGCTACATGAGCAGTGCGGTGAAGTGACCTCTCGCTTCCCGTTCCTCGTTCCTCGTTCGATGTCCGTCTCGGAACGCTGGAGAACCGCTCGAACCGCTCGAACTGCCTGGCCAGCCAGGTGGGTTTCTAGGAAATTGAACTCGGAGAGTACCTTTTTTTTAAATAAAAAAATATATAGTAGGCATACGTAGGAGGTATGTAGGTACTTATACATGTACCAGGTACTTACTTGAATCCTTCAGTTTGTTGGGATATCGAATGGTTGTAGTAATAATCTATGTCCGACGCTGAGCGTGTGTCTGTCTTATATATCTGATATCTTAGATATCTTAAATATATTAGTTATCATATAATATAATATCAATCGAGAGAAAAGACCAGCCGAAAATACTGTAAGTATCGGGGAGGGGGGGATGAAAAAGAAGTATTATCGTGTGAGCTGAGTGAGCTGGAGGTCTGAGCTATTAGCTACTACACCTACTTACTTATATAAGCCCATGCATGCAAGCAGTACTGCAGTATATATGCGTATAGTATAAACCGCAATCAATGCCTCTCCATCTTTAGGCTTCCAGGAGTATACTAGCTGGATACTGGTAGTATGATATAACAGCTGAGGTAGTGGTCGTGGTGGTGGTCGTGGTGGTGGTATCTTGGTATTGGTAAATGCAAGAGGGGTAAGGAGGACAGTGGCCTGTAAGAAGTAATATCCACCTCACCACCAGGTACTCTTCTTCGAGGCTATACCTACTACCTAGCTTACTTACCGGTATACCAAGAACCGCCCCCCAAAAGAAGAAAGTCCCTTCATGTCGCCCAGTCCTTAAGCTTCGCGGCCTTCGCGGCCGTTGATACTGTCAGCCCGGCAGGGTATAATATTATGGTAGCTTCCTCAGACGGCTTCCGGAACTGAACGCCCCGCCGCCTAGATGTTTCGTCGTATCTCGTGGCTGCATCCACACCTGCCATGGTGTCGGTCCCGGCAAAACTCCTGTGGCTGGCTGGCAAACTAGAACCCGTACGATACCCTTACATTGAGCGCTCAAATCTACTGATATCCGGTAATATCGTGTTCGCATATTACACACATTGCATCGCTAAGTTAACTAGGTATCTAGGTGGCTGGCCCTGTTATATTATCTGAATGAGATACTACAATTGCAATCTTTAGATATCCTGATAATATTTGCATACGATATTGAAAGATACAAGATACGAGATATACCAAAAAGCAAAGTGCTAATTCCTCGGATCTTGCCATGAATATATTAATTCTTAACCAACGTTGGTCGCTCTGTCCAAACCCCGCAGCCAGCGCATGCATTTCATGCACCTCATGGCCTACTAAGGACCTATCCGGTCGACCCGAACAGCGGCAGATATGCAACCAAGTCCACCCCAGCAAGCTGTGTTCATTGGCAGGTTTCAAATTTCTGGTTGGGGGAGAACTATCGTTTTCAATCGATCGCGCGGTCCGGAGAACACCAACTTGGATTAGGGATATCAGCCGAAAAAAGTTTATGTGATCTCAAATGCATCACCATGCAATGGCTATTTCGAAAGTTCTTCACATTTCCGGTGACAGGTGAGTGCATGTCGCCATTTGAACCCATGTACCTGCATGATATCGAGGTCCATCTCCCCAAGAAAACTCAGTTAACTTGGAGGCATATACCGGTGTCTGGGCCGGATCGAGTGGATGATCCGATTCTGTTGGGTTTGGTCCATATGGCGGCACCCCCAGTCCAGTTGTCGACGAGCGCTGACCGACACCCCTAGACGGATTATATTACAGGTCACACAGGCAGTCTCACCACTCCGGATCCACCTTAGCCACCGTTGCCTCCCTCCCAGAGGATCGCAACAAAATTTGCAAAAGCTAGTATCCGAAAGACATGTTCCATCCCTGTTCTAGTGGCTAACCCGACAGATGCTATGTGTAGCGACGATCAGGCAACATCTCTCCAGCGCCAGACCACCATGCATCAGGTACGGCTAGGTTTTGCATTGTCAGATCGCTTCGTTTCCCAGAAATGTGTACTGCAGATGTATACATAGATATTTATATATCCTGCCTATACATTACAAGCACTGGCAATGCAATGGCGCCGCGCTGCGCCATCTGGTAGCTGATTCGCGGATTATATTTGGATCGATTCAGCCGCTGTCGATCGAAGTCGACATCGCGTCGTTGGCCATGGCATGCAAGACACATGCACGAGAGCCCTCAAATTGGACCTAGTGTGAGATCTACATGTCAAAAGAGCTAGCTATAAAGATTAACATACGAACCACCCGAGAGCCAGACGATACCATATATAAAGTATGTATACTTGGATATACAGTGACATATATGATTGTTTTTATTGATAATCATCATGCTCCCAAAATGGAAAATACACAGAGTTTGAGATCACTCGGGTCCTCAATCCGTCAGATTCTGTTCTCAACCTTGAGAATTCAACCCTTCCCGCGACTGCATAGCGCATTCGCATTCTAGCTAGCAATGCAATGCAATGGCAACCTTCGGCTAGGCGATCGACTGATCCATGATAGGACAGGCTACAGTATTATTTGGTATACTTCGAACAGCTGCTTTAGTTAGAAATGGATATTCAGGAACATTTGGTCCTTGAGCATCCCCTCACTTGGAATCGAATTCCCATATTGTGCCAACGTTGACCCCCTTTTCTCTCTCCTATTTATATGTACTTTGTGCGAATAGTTTGTATATTTTGGTTTATCTTATATATACTGTAACTGTGCATTTCAACATTGACAATCTGCAGTCTACAACTTGACTGTTCTGTTTTAAATCTACCCGTTTCAGGTCGGGGTTGGCTGTTATCCTGCAGGTGGTCTTGAGACTAGTTACAGTTAGTATGATATGCCTGTGGTCCTGTTAAACATTTATTGTTATTCTCCCTCCCATTAATTCGCTACCTCGACCTTCCAACCTTCACCAACCTTTCAACCTTCTCAACTTCCAACTACTAACCACCAAACTCACCAATACTCACCAGTCGATATCATAACTCAAACACCAACATCCCGTGGTCCCAACATTTTTCTTCCGCTGTCTTCCATCTGTTGTCGCAGTTTTCAGTCGAATTTGATATGGTCGTCTGAAGGTTGATTCTGGCTTGGTGTCCCAGGTGAACATCAACATCAACACTTCCCTCGACATCAACAAACCACAACCACCATCACCTCCCCATCGTATCGCTCACTCCACCAAAACTACCCACCCATATCTTCGATGATGCCTACAAAATCTAAAAAGCCGTACGCGCTTACGCTCCGTCTTCTCTCCAGTTTTGACGATATTTTAACAGACGTTCTCGTTGATAAAGTACTTCTTCCCCTTCCAATTGTCCCCTGTAATTCTCGCGCGCCTTCAAAACAAACAACTACAATTTACCGATTATTCGTCGCATAAACATCGCTAACATGGTCGCTTTGTGGTAGCTTTATTATTGGACAACTATTCGGAAGGTTCACCCTAGGTACCAGTCGAATCGAACTATTAAGGACAAATTGGTTGGGGATATCATTCGCACCAATGTTTGCGTCGGGCGAAACGTTCAGGCGGCAACGGATAGGCTGCTTCAGTATGCAAATTTTCTATCTTTTCCTAGACCTTCTAGGAATCTAAACCAAAAGGAGAACAGATTGGCTAATTTGTATGACAGGATCGATGGCATTCAAAAATTCTGTCAGAAGCTCCGACCCGAGGAAAAGGCAGACTTCATAAAGTAGGCACCTCTGCATCGGATGGATCAATTAGGCTCCTCGACTAATCGCGAAAACATATACATAGGCACGTAAAGCGATATGTGGAGATATACCACCCGGACGCGACATATGAGGTCACCACCACCAATCGGTATACGCTGAAGACCCATGAGGCTAGTGTCCTCGCTCGGGTCCCCATTCCGAAGGGGGATACCATCAGATACCTCTCCGGCGTCATGGTCACGATGACCAAGGAAGAAGAAGCCGAATTCAACGAAGCCTCGAATCGGGATTTCTCGATCATTCATAGTTCACGAAAGGCCGGGGCCCAGATATTCCTGGGTCCCGCCCGATTCGTGAACCATGATTGTTCGCCAAATTGCCGATTCCAGAGTGCCAGCAAGAGCACGGTAATGTTCAAGGCCCTCCGGGATATTGAGCCCGGTGAGGAGCTGACGGTCTACTATTCCGACGACTACTTCGGCTACAAGAATGCCGAGTGTCTGTGCCATACCTGTGAGAGGGAGATGAGGGGTGGGTGGGCGAAGAGTGTGGGGTATATGGCCAACATTACCCCTAGTAAGCGAGCATACGAGGAGGCCAAGGACGAGGATGACTATGCTGGCCGCGCGAAGAAGCGGGCCAGAAAGTCCCTACCAACCCCAGCCCTTAGCACGGGCGATGACGCCTCACCAAAAGCAAGCTCGCCGCCGGCGCCAAATTTCCTGGCCACGGTTACCACGGAGGTGACACCAGCTGTCACTCCGTTGGAACCAGCCGATACCCCACAGCCCATAGCCGGGATCGTGTTGGTTGTCCCACCATTGGAAACAAGCAAGACTGACCCAATGGGGGTCAGTCTGCTTACCCCAGTCTCCGTTGAGACTACCCCGGACCTCACAACCGCCCTCGCCGAGGATGTTCAGCTGACAGCTTCTGCCAATGATGACGGTTACGAGAGCGATCTCACCGTCTACTCCGATACAGACATGGAGATCCTCAATGGGAAATACAAGTGGTTTGCGGCCATCGAAATTCCGCCGAAGCCCATCAATCCCGACCCCCTCTCTCTTCCGCAGGTCCCCGAAGGGATTCGCTGGCCAAATGATCATCTCGTCGAGCACACCTTCATTGACCCGAAGATGGAAATGCGATGCATTTGCCAAAATCCCAATTGCAATGTCCCGTTCATCTACAAAAACGAAGACGATTTTCGGTTTCTTAACCATATTCCGCGATGTTGTCCTCGTTGCGAACGGCACTCCAAAATTTACGGATTGGTCTGGCCGAAGACCATCCTCAAATCCGACGACTCCGAGGTTCGAGTCATGAATCCGGAAGATGTGGAAAGGTCGGTAAATTTGGCACAGCACAAGAAGGATCTGAGGATGATTGAGGAGTGGAGAGTCGAGAATATACTGAAGGAGGTGTTTAAGAAGAATTTACGAAGGGAGAACCGGAAGTTGGAGAAGAGGAGAAAGAAGGAGCGGAAGGCAAGGGGCTCCCCAGCTGTTGAAGCTTAGTGCCTCTTTGTGGATAAACTCAACTACATAATTGTGTGATATTTTTTATCTTTTTGGAGTGCAGGCAAGGGGTTTTATGGTATTTTGCGGGTGGATGCATTTGTCGATGGCGTTTTGAAGGGTGTTTTTTATGGCGTTTTTTATTTCGACGGGTGGTATCGACACTTTCGACACCGCCCATTCCTATGGAGTCTGGTGTTTTCGTACTCCGATACCCAGCATCGATGGCTGCTTCCCTTTGAGACCATACTATGTATACTATTTGTACTCTTCTCTCACTAATGATAACGCGCATTTAGCGATTTAATTGATTTTACGCGTGTACTCTCTCCCTTTTTCCTGTTTCTGCAGCCATAGTGCATTGTCGTGTGAAGTTTCCTTTATATTGTAGTATTATACAGAGAAACGAAGGGGAAGGAATTCTCACGGGAAGTAAGTCATATTTACAGGATATATACTCCAAGATAAGCCAAAAGATGCCATATCTTCAGCCAGTCTCTAATCACCATCCACACAAAAAAGCCACACCCCCATTAACCCCCCACCCATCCATTCCTTTTCCTCGTTACTTTTTTTTATTCATACTCCATTTACTCGAGATCAATCTTAGCTCCCAAAGCCTCAAGAGTCTTCTTCATCTTCTCGGCATCATCCTTTGTCAACCCTTCCTTCAACATCTTCGGTGCAGCCTCCACGAACTTCTTGGAGTCGACTAACGATAAACCCAAAAGCGCCTTTACTTCCTTAATGATCTTTGGTTTGGAACCGGCATCGAAAGAGGCGAGTTTTACGTTGAACAGGGTCTTTTCTTCTTCGGCTGCTGCTTCTTCCTCTACTGGTGCTGCTGCTGCGGGGGCGGCTGATGGAGCGGCGGCGGGGGCGGCGAGAAGGGTATCTGGGATGTTTAGGCGGGTCTTTTTTGTTTGAAAAGTTGATTAGAACCCAGTTTTCTCTCTTTTTGCTCCAATTGATGACTTTGAACATATGCAAAGGGATAAATATACCTTTAACAGACCAACCAAATCCGCAGTCTCCAGCAATGTTAGAGTAGATATCTGATCAACGATCTGTGTGAGCTTTGGGTTTGCAGCAGCAGCTGTGGAATCCCACCGTCGCTGGCAGGGTCTTTGGATGTGGAAGATGGGTCGGGTGGATGTTGTCGATACTGCCCTGGCGAGGGAGCGTCGAAGGATCGGGGCCGCCATTGGAAGTTTATATCGATTGGATTTGGAGATGGGGAGGACGGCACGGCAATGCTGCTGCTGCTGCTGTGAGGGAGAGGAAGTTGGGAAGTTCGAAATTGTGGGATTTTTGTGTTGGACGTCGTCAAAATTTCAAAGATCGGCTGTTGATAAGCGAGGATCTTTGATGGTTTGTTTCAGTCGCCACTTAATCATCGAATAAATACAGACTTTACTTAGATACTCGGACCATTACCTCTTTTCTCTTGACAACAATTAACTATAGCTGCTACCTGCTCATAAGCTCAAGTTCCATCTCCATCTCAACTTCCATCACCATCATCATCTCCGTTCGAGTACTCGATCAAACCATTCTCCAACATCATCAACGGTAATCACGAATCACAGCCATGGAAGAAGACGGCGCCGCCCTTCAGAACCCTCGCGAACGAGAGGCCGCCGAGAAGATCACGTTCCGCTTCTGTCGCGAATGGTAAGCTCCCCTTCTATCCGACCCATAGCTATTACTATACCTTGCCCTCCCATGCTGACTCGATGCGATAATCTTTAGCTCCAACATGTTGTACCCTAAAGAAAGTCGCGAACACCGTCGCCTCATCTACGTTTGCCGAAACTGTGGCTTCGAAGACGAAGCTGCCTCCCAATGTGTTTTTCGAAACGTCCTGAGCTCTGTTGCTGAAGAAACGGCTGGTGTGACTACGGATGTCGGCAGTGATCCTACAGTATGTCTACTCTGCGGGTCCCTTATTGAAGAGAATGATGGTACTCGGGAGGATGATGATGGGGAAAACGGGTCTAACTAAAGCTCTGGATGATTCACAGCTCCCACGCTCTAATCGTACATGTCCCAGCTGCCACGAATCCGAAGCAGTGTTTTTCCAATCTCAACAAAGAAAAGAGGATACAAAGATGGTATGTTACCATTCTACCCGGAATGGGGTGCAGATATATCATTTCAATCACTAAAACAGGTCATATCCACAGCGTCTCTTCTACGTCTGCTGCTCCTGCGGAAAGATTTTTGACTAGGCGTCAAATATCATCATCCGGCTCGACTGCATGTCCACCGTCAAAATGACTCCGCAAGACTACCTCGCTTCCCCATTCTACCCCGCCGACCAAGAATCCCTCAAATCTCGCCGCGCTGCCAACGACCCCTTTGGCGAAAAAGACGTACTTGCTATCGGAGATAATTACAAAAACACAGTCCACTGGCCGTCAAGAAATGAGACAATGAAAGAGAAACGTTTGCAAAGGATGAAAGAAGTTTTGGAACAGGAGTTTAAAGATAAAGAAGGAATTGAGAAAGACTTGACGTTGGAAGAGGTTGATGAGATCTTGGAGGGTAGGAAGGCGGTTGTACGTGCTGAAGAGGAGAAAAAACGGGCTGAAGAGGCCGCTCAACGCGCTAAAACGGTTTTACCTATCTATGAAGCTAAAAGTGGCTTGCACGTTGCGAATGCTGAAGTCGTTGGGAGACCTCTGAGAGGTAGAGGACGAGGCCGCCCCCGTGGTCGTGGTCGTGGTCGTGGCTCGACTACACGCGCCGCGGCTACAGCTGCGGCCGGCGGATCTGATAGGGGCCAATTACTAGCTCTCCCAACCGGCAGCCAGAGTTCGTCGCCGCCTAGTTCTCGAAGAAAAGGTAGCAGGGGAAGAGGGGGTCGCGAGAACCTCCTACCCCGACCTTAGCGCTCCAACAATCATCTCCTCTCCTTTACCTCCGTTACCCCTTTTTTCTTTTTTTTCCCTCACTTTATTTTCCTCTTCTCCCGTCTAACAGCCTGCAATACTCACACGATAACCGCTTTCGTGCTCTACATTTATATTCCAATTGTTTACTACACATGGGAGGACACTGCATTTTGATTTTTAGCGACTTCCCCCCCCTTCCCTTCCCTTAGGCGCCTTTATTATTACTACTATTAGACATGTTATTATACAAGAAATGACATCCATAATCATGAATTATTTCGTTTAATTCGATACCATGAGTAGGATGACGGTGTATACGCGTGATGGCATTTTATATATAGTCGCCAATCCATGTTCTGGATTGCCTGAATCATCTGAAGACTCGAACTCTCTATGAGTGCAGGTGTCGCCGTATTTCCCTAGTCTCTGCTAATCCCTCGTCTCTGCTAGCAGGATTTTGGTGTGTTTCTCGAAGAATACTTTGGACGTTATAAACGGACATCCGGTGGTTTTCACATCCGTATTTATGAGAAAAAAATATCATCATGCTGTTACACAATGCTTTCGTTTTTTTTTTTTTTGGTTGTGAATATTGGAATCGGACGCAAAGCTATCATCATACCTACTAGCCAAGGCTTGTATTGGAATCGAAACTTATATCCAAATTCCTAGAACCTCAAAAGGCCGATGTTGGACGATTCAAGGTGCCCACCCACTATCCAGATAGTCGTTTATAAATTTCGTTCCCAGATCCCAAATTCAAACTTTACATCCCCCTCTTCCTGAATCCCTTCTACTTTCTCCAATTCCTCGCCCGTAACTTCAATAAGACGGTCTACACTCCCTTTCGTCCATTGATTCTCATCAATAGCCGGGAAGAACACATCAACACCTTCCTCACTAGAATAATCCGGTTGTAATATCGTAGAATGAAGAATACACGCCAAATAAGCGTCGCTCGTCTTGGGTAACTCCATAGCCAGTTTATATATCTCCGCCCCACCGATGATAAAAATCTTATCAAGTGCCACCACGGGTTCTCCACCACAATCCGACAACGAAGATTCCTCAGAAGACGACACCGTCGGGACCGGGAATTTCTGTTTCAAAAGTCGTACACCTTCTTCGATACTCCCTACCCATATTTCATCGGATGTTGGTGTAGTAGACGATGCGGTCCGTGAGACTACGACGTTTATGCGCCCTGGGAGCGGTCTGTGTTTTGGCGGAAGGGAGTCCCATGTTTTTCGACCCATGATTACTGCGTTGGAGTATTTGAATGGAGAGTTGGTGGGGACGGGGGGTACGCGACGGGTTACACGGGAGAAATAGGACATTTCGGATTTGATTCGCGGCCAGGGCATGTCATTTTTCAAGGACCTGCCGATGGCAAGCGTCGGCCGCGGGGTCGACGCGACGATGGCGATGACGGTGTGTGACATCGAGGGTGGTTAGTAGTCTTTGATAGCCGGGGGGTTTGGTGAGTAGTGGGGTTATAATAGTTGAGGAGTTGCTGGGGGGAAAGTTGGGGAAGGTGTGAATGTCATCGGGCGACATGTGCTGCCAAGCAAAACTTTGGGCCGGAGTTCGGCCTCACAAAACTATGACCAATCCATCCCACCTTAAAATCCCTCGTCCCAGCTACTTGCTTTTCAACATCTTCACCTTCAATTCGATATTCTGCAAAAAAAAACAGAAACTAATAATAAACTGTCGGTTAAAATGAGCATCAACGTCATGTCTGAGAAAAAGGTATCGGGTCTTTCCCTCGGCTTCATTGGCTGCGGAACAATGGGTGTCGCCGTTCTCTCAGGCATCCTCGCCGCTCTCGCCACAGAATCGAAAACCGCTCCTCCCTCTCCATTCCCCTCGACACCATCGACGCCAACCCACCTCCCGACCTCCTTCGTCGCCTGTGTAAAGCGTCATGAATCTGCTACCCGTCTAGGGAAAATCTTCCCACAAGCAACCCTTTCCCCATCAACATCTCCACCAGTCACAATCATCGCTGGCGATAACACCCGTGGCGCCCAACTCTCCGACATCATCGTCCTCGGTTGTAAACCTCAAATCGTTTCTGAAATCCTTTCGGTGGAAGCTACCCGCGATGCTCTCAAAGGAAAGCTCCTCATCTCCATCTGTGCCGGTGTGACCCTCGCCCAACTTGGCGCCCTCGTCGATCCTTCCACCCGAGTTATCAGAGTTATGCCGAATACTGCCTCCAGAATTCGAGATTCGATGACGGTCATCTCGTGCGACCCAGCTGTTATCCCCCAGGAAGAGAGGGATTTGGTGTTCTGGATATTTTCACAGATCGGACGGGCTATTTTCCTGGCAGAAAAGCATATGGACGCTTCAACAGCGCTTTGTGGTAGCGGACCGGCGTTTATGGCGTTGGTGTTGGAGGCTATGGCCGATGGTGGTGTGATGATGGGACTTCCAAGAGTCGAGGCCCAGATGATGGCTGCGCAAACAATGAGAGGTACCGCTGGTATGGTTTTGGAAGGAGAGCATCCAGCTATTATTCGTGAGAAGGTCAGTACGCCAGCCGGGTGTACTATTGGTGGACTGTTGATTCTGGAAGATGGAAGGTTGAGAAGTACGATTGCTAGAGGAATTCAAGAAGCAACAAGGGTGGCTTCGGGACTTGGAAGCAAGTGAGCGTAATTTGCATGCATGGATCTGGAGTTTTGTATCAGTAGGGTGCGTAATATTAATATTAATATGAACCATTGTTGTTTCTTTCTTTCTTTTTATATCAACAAAATGGCAATTTGATTTCCTGGCCTGTGGACTACCAGCCATATTTTGATCCTGCCTCTTTCTTGTTCCGTCGTCCTTCTGCGAAGGACTCTTCCAGGGCTGCCCGTTGGCTTTGTGCAGCTATTTTATTTCGTTAGCATATAACATAAAAGCGGATGGTGAATGAATAGATGAACGAAAGTATACGCACCATTGAGCAAGCTGGTAAGTTGGTGCTTTCCGGGCTTGATACTCCTGACAACATTTCTTTCCGGTGCCAGTTCTCCCGCCGCGCGAGCCGCCTCGTTCCTTTCATATTCCTTATCGACATTGAAGTCCACAAGCTTGATCTCTGCGTTCCGACCTCGTCGCCCCATGAACATTCGCATTTCCGCTTCGTCCATACCCACTTCCTCGCTGATACTCTGAAAGGTTTGGGCGCCGAGCGCAGGCTGGTATGATGTTTCGGTGTACACCTCCTCTTGATACGATGCCTCGACCGGGACTTCATCTTCGACCGCTGGAGCCGATTCCTCGACTAATAATGGTTTGTATTCAGCAGCGGTCAGTGCTGTAGACGCCGCCAGGGGCCGTTCATTCAACGCCGACCCTAACGAGAATAACGACACCTTCTTTTCCTCCACTTTCGTGGCACCGGTCGGTTTCGTGGTAGCCTTCTTCTTCGTCGCAGATTTCTTAAAGAATGGTTGGATTGCTCGTCCTTGTATCGGCCCCGCCGGTTTTGTTTCCACCGGTGGTTTTGTAAGAACTTCTTCCGTGGCTGGTGGTGGTGGTGTAAAATTTGAGGTTTCGGGATCATCTTCGACTGTAGGTTGGAAATCCATGCCTGTTCCCGCGTATTCCATCTTTTTGATACCACCACCGAGCATTCTAGGCGCGCTATCACTTTCAGCAGTAACAGCAGCAGTTACTTTCTTCTCAGATTCCTGCGCGACCTTCGCTGCCTCCGCGCCGGTTCTTTTAGGCGCGGGTAAGAAACTTAACATCCCACTCCCACCCGTCGACTTCCCAATCCTTGCACGCGACGAAGAAGATGATGATGCATCGACATCGTCTATATCCGGTGTGATTTTTGGTAATTCGATCTTTATCTTTCGAGGACCGGTGGAAGTGGCGTCGGGTTTGGTATCATCGACGAGTTTTCGCTTTTTACTGGGCGGAGGGAGGAAACCGGAGAGTGAGGATTTGGCCTTTGGAGGTGGAAGAGTTGGTGCTGAGGGGGCGGATTCGGTATCTGAACCTTCTGAATCGGAGTAGGAGACCAATGCCATCGTGAAGTCCCCTTTTTAGGATTTATTTGTTTTTACTTTGCGTGGATGGTGTGAATGGTGAAGAGGATGTTTGAGGATTGATTCGAGTGTTGATGAGGCGACATGCAAAGCCACGAGCTGGCGGCAGAGCTGTTAGCCCATGTTTTTGACCCTAGTCAGATGTCAGCCATTTTGTCACGATTCGCGACTCTTAGATGCGACTGCTCCGACGATAAGATTGACAATAATATTTTGTATTAAAATAATTGAAGTTAAAAATCTTGAAATTCCAATAGATTAATTACTATCCTAATCTATTATAAATAATATGTGAAGAAATCAAACAAGTAAAGTTAAACTTCATATATGACCGGGGAATATTAATAAAAAGGTAAATTTAAAACAGAATCGATTATAATTTCAGTGTCTACAAGCTTAAGCTTATATAGCCTGCTAGTAAATGGACTAGATGTGGTTTAAATTAGAAATCATATAATACAAATATAAAACTAAGTTCTAAGGATTCGAAGTCCAATGGTGAAGATTTGTGATACATCGATATCGATACACGATGATTCGCTAGATAATCTATAGATCTAGATCATACAAACTTCTAATATAATTCCAATTCCGACCGCTCTAAATTCGAATTCTTGTATTAGAAAGCCGTCTCGAACATATTACAGCCAGTGTATATTAAAAATTCGTTATTATATATATCTATTTATTCAGTCCTAATCGGACCAGAGAATATACACTAGATATCATGATCAATGGTACAGTAAAAGATATATACAACCTTGTCTCAAAAGTATATACATACGTACTTACATACTCACAGGGACAGGAAGGATTCATAGAACTTCGAAGAGCACGGACCATATGACATATGCAGGCATATCGGATTTAAGAAAGACCCGGGGTGAAGTTCAGTCCGCCGGAAGGATAGAAGACTCGTCGGCTAGTCTTCCGCGCGTATATTACGTATATACACATACTCGATTGATATCTCTGAGACAAGCCTGGTATATATGTAAAAACCCGCCTTGGAGGAAGGCGAGAGCGATGGATCAGTCGATAAAGTCCAGGGTCCTCGAGTTTTAAGCCAAGTGGAGCTCCCAGGTTAATAATATTATAATATGTCAAACAGTCTTCTGACATTAATTAATACCCATATCAAAATTTGATAATCAAGAAAGGAAAAAAAAAAAAAAAAACAAATGTTAGCATCACAAGATATATATTTAGCCATGAGATCAAATCGATCTCAGGATCTCAATCCCGATAAGGTCGTGCAGTACAGTGCATCCGTCGACTCTGTTGTGGCGTGTGTACCGCAAATGGGTGTCTCCGAACGGGACGATTCAAAACCCCGCTGCCGAAGCACTAACTAAATTAACCCTTGCAAGATTTTAATATTTTATGCATGATCATGATAGATTCAAACATTTTCGATTCAAGTCTACAAGAATGGGAAATAGAATAACGTTAACTTACCTCTCCTTTAATTTGTGTTCTGTGTGTAAAACGTGAAGGCAGCCCATTATCACGATCCCCTTTGCCTTATAACAAACTAGCTTGGCCTTGTCGATAGTGTGATTGTCGGTTCAGCCGAGGCTTAAATGCATAATATGCCTCTTGACTAATATAATTTCGAGCTGTTCGAAGCAATACGAAATGTATACGAGAGTTAGCTTTGGAGATTTTGAATTCGACATTCGAATTCGAATTCATCATCGATTCGTGATGTAGTTTCGACATCAATTGCCCCCTTCACAAAAATCCAATCGATCACCAGAGCCTCGAAAGCGGCCAATGCAATGTAGAGAAATCCAATCCAAAGTCATTGCATTGCACCAGTATAAATACATCTCCGCGTACTCTTCTGAGCTGTCAATTTATCACATTCTCTCCACAAAAAATATCAAACCAAACAAACATTTGCAAACCTGATCAAGTATAATATACTTACCTACGTACTATAAAACTTAACTTTACAATACAAACTTCCCCCCCTCGACTCCCAAACCTCCTTCTCGACATATAGATTAAACCAATTGAATTCAATATTCACAATGCCTAAAGACGGCAGACTCGATCTCACCCTCTTCGGCGCCACCGGTTTCACCGGTTGGATCGCAGCTCAGTATATCTGCAAACACGCACCCCCCGACCTCCAATGGGCCATTGCCGGCCGTTCGCAGGACAAATTGACTGCGAAGTTGCGGGATATCCGTAGAGACTATCCGGACAGAGCTTTACCTGGTACGTATTCCAGAATGTCAAGATACCTGTATTACATTTTATATCTGGTCCAAATCCGGAAACATGATATGTCTGTACAGTTGTGCAATTGTGCAATTGAATTGTGCATGTGTAGCTCGGAGAGGTGGCACAAAAACCTGGAGACGTGTTGGAAATTGGTGCTCACAACACGATTTACATGTTTTAAATTTCTTCGTCATATGCATGATCGGATATATATAAATTGTGGATGGATTGATGAAGTTTTACTAACTATTTTTGGTTTTTTTATAGAAACCATTGTGGCGAGTTTGGACGAAGTCTCCGCTATAAAGCTTGCTAGCTCTAGTAAAGTCGTTGTTACCACAGTTGGACCGGTTAGTAGTCTAGCAATCCGAAACCTTTTCTCACGAGTTCGACTGGGACACCGTCTAATGCATATAATCAAAAAAAATTAGTTCTGCAGATACGGTTCGAAATTAGTCAAGGCGTGTGCCGAAGCAGGAACTCATTATGTTGATTGTAAGTTAATATTTCTCCGTTCTAGATGTGCATGTGTATACATGAGCCATTGCTAACATGTTGAACAATTAAGGCACCGGAGAGTACCCATGGGTTCTGGAGATGATAGAGAAACACCACGAGACGGCGAAACAGACTGGTGCATTCGTAAGTGATTATACCGATATCGATCCCCGGATCGAGTAGTAGGTCCGATGCTAATTTGATATTAATAGATTATCCCACAATGCGCCTTTGATTCTGCACCTGCAGATATAGTCTCATATAAAGTCGCAAATTTTATTCGCGAAAATTATAAAGCTAGTACCAAAGATCTCACCTTCTCGCTCCACAACCTCAAGTAAGTCAAAAAAACAAAAGCAGACTATCAAACCTATTTCCCATGTACTAAGCAATTTCTAGTGGCGGAGCCTCCGGTGGCACCATGGAATCATTCTTCAGCACAATTGAAGTGTACGGTCTATCCGGACTTGCACACGCCACAAAACCATTAGCTCTCTCCCCCATTAAACGCCCATACTCCGCACCCTCCCACTTGCCCGTCTTTACCCATCCGACCCTCGGCAAGCTCACGCCATGGATTCAAGCTAGTCCAGACCGCGCGACTGTAATGCGTTCATGGGGTCTCACGCAACAACACATACCAGAAAAATCCTGGGGAAACAATTTCTCGTTCACAGAGTATAAACGTGTAAAATCTTCTTTCGAAGGGCTGGCGACTTGGATTACTATCGGTCTCCTTTCTGTCGGTGTACTTATCAAACCCTTCAGATGGATTGCACGAAAAGTCATTACCCAACCCGGGTTCGGACCGGACCAAAACTTTGATATCAATAGAAAGGGGAATTTGGATTGGAAGGCTGTGGGGGTTGTTGATGATGATGGTGGAGAGAATAAGGGTAAGAAGGTGCTTGGGACTTTTACCTACGACGGGGGAGATGCTTATGCGTTGACGGGATTGTTCATTGTGGAGGCTGCACTCCATCTATTGGATATGGAGAAGGGGAGGTCGAAGAAAGAGGGTCTCGGACAAACTATTGGAGGTGGTTTGCTCACGCCTATTTGTCTTGGAGAAGGTTTCCTCAAGAGATTGGATGGTGCCGGTATCAAAATCGATGCTCGGGAGCTTTGAGTATTCTTGGTTTTTTTTTTTAATTTTAGTTGATTGTTCCTGTTTGAACGAGTATACTTTCGATGCTGATCTTGAATTCGTTCGTATAATTTATAATATGTTTGGCGCAGCTGATTAATTCAGAATCATTTATGTTGTTCTTCGCAATGTCAGTCATGATGTTCATAGCTTTGCTTTGGATGCAAAAACTACATTTCCAATCCAGTCCTTCAGAATGGAATTAACCTCATCAGTCTGTTCCCAGACCATCCAATGGCTTGCCTCCACCTGCTTCGATGTTAAATCCGTTATAAACTTCTTTTGTCCCAAAGCCATCGACGGCGGTAATGCTGTATCCCTCGTCGCACCAATAAACAGCACCGGGACTCTAACAATAGGGTCTTGTAGCCTATAAACACACACACAAGTTTAGAACTAATATAACTTCAAAAATCACACAAGGGAATACCGAATATAACTCACATCTGCTCATCCTCCCAATTCTTCCTTCTATTCTTATAATACGCCAAAGGACCATGCATCCCCGTCTCAAAAAACCGTTCAACATACCACTCCAACTCCTCCTCACCAATAATCCACCCACGCGGCATATCACCCACACTCTTCAAAATATCCTTCCGGACATTAATATTCCCACCTTTCGACCCTTTCCCATCACCAACACCTCTATACATCGCTTTCAAAAACCTTCGAATGGGGTCTTTACCTTGCATATCTTCTAGCGTTTGCGGATCTGCTAATGCGATTTGGTATGTGAAATTCGGAAGCCTTTTTACGACTTTTTCCAGATCGAGGTATGGTGAGTTCGGATGAGGTGGGTCGTAGGGGACGCAGAGGGAGATTATGTGGGTGACTAGATTTGGGTGGAAGTTGTAGAAACGCCAGGCGATCATGGAACCCCAGTCGTGGGCGAGGAGGATGGTGGATTGGATGTTTAGGTGGGATAAGAGGGCGGCTAGGGTATCGGCGTTGGATTTAAGACTGTAGATGGTTTCCGGATGTTTGGGGGCTGACTATATAGAATATGCCAAAGGTTGAGTCTTTGGATGTTATGTATATATATAGGTGATAGGAAGGGCTTACGCTTCCACCGTAGCCCAGACAGTCTGGAGCTATGACACGGAGATTTAGGTCCAATAGAATCGGGATTTGATATCTCCATGTGTCTATGCATAAGAATATACGTTATTAACACTGACTTATCCCCATTTATGATTTTAATTGAACTGAATTAGTAGTCAGAACTTACACCACATATCAGGGAATCCATGAATCTACACCATAAATATAGTAGGTATGCACGGTTTAGTCAAATTTCAACATCGATCATGACAAATATACCATAGATCACAGAGAGACTTACACAAAGTACTGTTCCTCGTGGATTACCAGACTTTGGCTCTCCGATCACATAATCTGCATATTGTTGTATTATATCAGCCAAAAAAAAGTATGGTGAAATTTGTGGTATTTTTGGTGTTGATCGACTTACGAAGCTTGTGTCCATTAACATCCGCGTATGCATGCTTGACTCTATTATCATCCGTAGGATGAATGGGCTGAACTGAACGATTTGGAGTTGGCATTTTTGAATACTGTTCGTATGAAAAAAACTTAAAAATTTTAATGATCCTCGAGAATGGGGTTTTGGTTCGGACGCTGGGGCGGAGATATCGTCAAAAGCAGTAATTATAGTTAGCAATTAATTGGCGGCTCGTTTTGAGTTGAGAAAGGCTTCAATCTTCAGGTATGATGTTTTTTTTTTACAAAAAAAATTGAGGATGCCTCTGGTTATAAACAAAAAAACACGGCTGACAGACAAAACCCCGACTGCCTCGCATATGATCAGCCGAAAAAAGTGGAATGCAATGCCGATTGCTTGTGTGCAATCAATAAGGATGTTGGTTTTTGAAGGGAGCTTTGCCTTGCCTGTGCCATGGAATTGGGATTTGATGCGGTTGGGCCGTTAGTGTAGCATTTTTAAGCCGGCCGTTCTGCAACTAAATTATAGTTCGAAACAGGTGAGCTACCCCGGATTCTGGGTTACAAATGGGGGAGATCGTAAAACCTTTCGGGCTTGGGGTTTAGATATAAGTAGTTACTCTTTTTTTTTTTTAAAAAAAAAATACTATACTATCGTGGAGATCTTTAGTTCAACATGTCTATATTTGAAATACTCGTTTTGATCAGTGAAGTTTTCTAAACATTCGGCGAGCTAGCAACAAGGCAAGTATATATATCTTAAGACAGAATTTTTCAGAGGCAGATATCAATAAGTACTTACTTACTCGGAGTTTATCTGTTAAATTTTGATAAGAAAGGATGTACTATGTATGTCGATGTCATCCTTGCTCCCTTGCTTCAAGCTACCCCAGCCCAGCCCTCTTCGGCCACGCCGACGAGTTCCCCACTCCGAGCATGCAATTTACAATATTTGGAAGGCAACCCCGAGCCGTTAGTATTCCAAGCTAAAATACAACATCTGAAAGCCAATAACAACTCGGCTGGAATGGCAGCGGGTTTGAATTCGGATTTGAGGGAACATGGGGTCTTGTGTAACGGGGACATGTCGGGAGCTAGGAATATATAGATACTTAGGTATAGCTATAGAACCTCATGCTCAACGGTGCCATCGCGTCGATTATCTAGACTACGTAACTTTGGCTGGTTCTAGATCTGTGTCTCTATTTGAACATTCCCGGGTTAGATCGCGATTTCTGGTTCCAATTACAGGACCACGCCTGGTTTTTATATCTTTTGCAATTGAGTTAGCAGCAACTTTATCACCTGGGCCGGAAGCGCCGCTCCAGACCCTGTCTTTCGGACCTGTTGAATGGTATATGGAAGCCTTGTAGGATCAATGTTAATTAATATTCGTACCTCAACAGTGCAAACCAAGTGTAAATTTATGAATATCATATACTACCAGGTACATAGATCCCGACTCAGCTGTATGTAAGTAGTTATTAAATCCAAATTGGTAAATATAATATAGCCTATGACCTGGGTCACAGTTGAGGAGTCTGGCGACGAGGCAAGAACTGAGTACCTTTAGATATAAATGTGTACTAGAAGCTATCGATTGTGATATTAGTCCTCATGTTTTTAATAGAGGTCTGGAGACACGCATCTAAGTAATTACTTAAGTAAGTACTTAAGTAGGCCCGGTAGGATTTGTCTTGTCTTGAAGTTGCCACACCCACCAACTATGAGAACGTGAGTAAAGCTAGGGATTGCAATATATATGCAATATCGATATGAATAGATCTGGTTTTGTATATCTGCAGAACATATGCCGATTTCCAGAATTTGTACGGTGTTTTTAGTATTATATTCGTAGGAAGCTGTTGACAATGACGACATCAGTTATCAGGCGCGTTATAAACGTTCAGGGGAACCGAGATTTTTGTCTCATATAAATCCAGAGTGTACGACAACGGAGCAATACGGATAATTTAAATCGAATTTTATAAGTAAAATGGACTCAGGCCCGACCGACTCGGGGGGATATAGAGAGCCGACAATGCAATGACTCGGGACTGATACGGCGTTGGTGTGTTAGAATATTAACCTGGGCAGCTGAGATTTCATTGGTGGCAGCCCAGATTTGTGGGCCTGGCATCGCTTCGTTGCCCGAAATGGATCGTATTCAGCGTAATTCAGAACATGTTCTGCAGATTAGACTTCTCGATGGGTCTCGGACCCGCGGGGCAGCGGGTATACGTAAGTACCTAACTGACAGAAGAGAGTAACCTCAGGGTCAATTTCAGGGCTTAGCTGAGCTAAGCTACGAATACGACCCAAAGTTTTCTGCCGCAAGGTGTAGTATCGGTCCGTAGGTCGCACTAGCTTATGTATGGGTGAGGGATTCTTTTGAGTTTGGATATGTTGTATATGGCTTCAAACCTGGATATTTAAAGCTCCACGACCGGCCCGGCTTTCTCGAGGATTCCTCTGTACCCAGACCTTAACTTTATCATAGGAAGCGATAGAAGAACGATATTTGCGATACCTTTACTCTCAAAACCAAAGCTCCAATAATGACGGCAGAAGAAACGACTCCAAACTACCCTGTGACCTTCTCTCAGGCACAAGTTCAGGAATACCTCGAGTTCCTTCAATTTACAAAAGATGAAATCGAAAATATCCAAAAACCTACGTTTGAGAACCTCGCAATCCTTGTGATCAGACATCTAGCTACTGCACCGTTTTCTAGTGTTGGTACGCATGGCTTCCCTTAATCCAGTCGAGCTGGCCCGGTAGCTAGCATATATAACATCCATCTAATCTTTTGATTTCTTAGACATCCACTACTCCAAAGATCACACCATAACCATCGCCATCGATGCCATCTTTGACAAAGTCGTCAAACGCAAAAGAGGCGGCTACTGCATGGAACTCAACAATCTTTTCTCATGCTTGCTTGCTACCCTCGGATTCAACACATGGCTTTGTCCTTCCCGAGCTACTAGCAATCATGGCGGGGACGTCAAGAACCGTGCTTACCATGGCATCTCACACTGCGTGAACCTCGTTGAATTTGAAGATGGGAAGAAATACCTAGTCGATGTCGGGTACGGTGGTGCTGCTATCGTGCGACCTATGGAGCTTATTGAAGGGACTCTAATCGACGGGGTGGGAGAAGAGCAACACCGACTGATCAAAGCGACTGTTCCGGAAGCAAGAAGGAAGGAATTACATTGGTTGGTACAGCATAAATTGAGCTCTGAGGAGGACTGGACGGATCTTTACATGTTTTTTGAGGTCGAAGCGATATTGGATGATTGTGTTATCTGGTCCAATTGGTCTTCGACCCAGGAAGCGCTCTTCAGGAGTAATATCTTGGTAGCGATGGTTATCAGGGAAGGGAATGAGCCGGTGGGGAAGTATACGCTATGGAATGGGATAGTTAGGAAGAAATATCAGACCGAGCTAGAATATTTCCCATTGGTAAACGAAGAGGAGAGGGTGAAGGCCTTCAGGACGTATTTTGGGATTGAGCTTTCCGAGGAGGACGCCGAGGCTATAAAGGGTAGAGAGCCGGAATTAAAACCTGCCGATACGGATGCGACCCATTGAAGGGTGCTAGTTGTATTCTTATTTTCGTGTCGAACGTTGAAGTTTTAGAGATAGTTCTTGATAATGCGTCTGTCTACTCAATATTAATAGTACCTGGCGTGGATGCTGAATTTGGCTGGTGTTTGTGGTTTTCTTGGCAGTCATACTCTGCTACCTCACAAAAGCCTCCTTCGAAAGTAAATCAGCCGACCAACCTAAGCTCCAGACACGAGATGATTGCCGACACCTTGAATTCCCCGCGTCCACCTTAACACCGGCCAGTGCAGCACTCGTTCTGACCTCAAAGACCTGATCCTTTTGCTCGCCCAATAAAGAGAGGACTAGAAGTTACTTCCCCGAACATGAGCCTGCGTGCAAAAGCCTTCCCAAGTTATCCAAGACCAAGACCGCGAACCGTCCCGAAAACTTGAAGACACGCACCTCTCTTGTTCCCCCCGCGAAATATTCGGAACTGCTGCTGCCATCCATATCGTGTGATCACTATCATCATTGACCGACTCCCGCGAAGCTTTACCGTACCTATATACTAGACAGTCACGATGGGTGATCCGTTCGAGATCCGGTTGCAGTTTACCAAAATGCTGCAGAGGCTGAATGCCTCGGTGAATGCCTCCAAAAGCTGTGCAGCATTTGCTCTCAAGCACAAAGACCTCGATGAAGATCTTCACAGCTGCATATTGGAGCAATTGGGAGAGGTAGGATAATATCTAAGATCGGATGTATTTCTATCACTGCTAATGCTTGGGTGGTTTAGTCTAGTATGAACAACCGCGTTAATCTTCTCTATTTCATCGAGCACCTTCTTGAGATGTCCGTCTCAAAAGGCATCAGCAACTACATTCCCATGATCCAATCCGAGTTCCGTACGATCGTTGACTGCGTCAGCCCCCCTGACCAGTCTGGCCTTCAAAATATCGCGAGTACTCGGAAGGTGCTGGGGAAGATCAGAGACCAGAAGCTCATGAGTACAGAAATATACGACGAATTGATATCATCGTTGGACACACGCGAAAAAGCCGGTCAACACCAGCATTCCGATGATGAAAGTAATAAGTCAGAGTCCGAGGAGCTGGAAGAGGTTGATCAGGTACCCAATGGTACCAGCATTGCAACTATGATAGGAAAGGACCCAGAGTACCCAGATAGCACGAAGGGGTCGCCATCAGCTCCCATTTCAGCGATACCATACTCCCCGACAGCTGTGAACCCCGTCGATAGTGGCTCAATCGGCAGCACTCCAACCAATGATGCTCGTCGGCAGTCTTCATCGCAGACAATAACTTTTAAGCGACCGCCAAAACAAGTTATCGAAGAAAGAATGGAAGAAGATCGCGAAAGACATAAGAGGCTTAGGGAGACTATATGGGCGATCTACCCGTCGCGCGATGACGAGTCTTTGGATAAGTCACTGGATGGTCTAGAGGGCCTTGTGGGCCCGGAATTTGAGATGTTTTGGAAGGATGTTACGTTGGTGGAAATCAATGAGGATGATATGGAATTGATGGCTGAGGAGGCAGAGCTGAAAGTTGAAAGTTTATCATGAAAACCCGGCGCTTTTTCATGAAAGAGATTCGGAGCATGATTTCGAGGGATCTTAACCGACCTAACGTAGCTTAGTTATGAGTGGCTCCTTCGCTGTCAGAGTGTTTTCCTTGCATTGAAGCATTTAGCATTTCTTTCCATTCCGACGATTTAAATATACGAATACTGAATTTTCTCCATGAATAAAATACACTATTTTGTCGTGAAAATAACGTTTCTCCTATTGAGACTTTGTAGCTTCCTGTGTACTGTACATGTAAGTAACTGACTACGAGGACGAGGGAGACTTTAGGCCAAGGTTTGTTTCAAAGTGCCTGTTCTAACCCTGCAGCAACTAGCAGGGCACTTATGCAAGGTACCCGTCAAACCGCTGACGAACTGCTGGTCGGTAGTTACAGTCTGCAGGAACAGCGTTACAATACACTTGTTTTACCGACAGAGCCTTTGAACACTAAATAATTACTACAATCTACCATGAGAAGTACTGTATCAACGGCACTGAGCTCGTATGGTGTACTTAAGATTGTCTCTCTAGCCAAATATCTCATTAAAATTCCATTTCAAGCATAAACAACCCCTTGCTTTGTAGATCTAAGATTGAGGTGTTGCGTCTTATGTGGGTCACATATGTATCTGTAGACTAACCAGCAGCTAGTCCCTCGCTCGACGCGACATAGTACCATCGAACCCCTCCCATTGGCTGTTAATTAAGACTACAGCTTTGACCCATCTGAATAGGTAAGTTTCCGGCGACGAAACGTATGTACATGTACCCCGATCAAATCTACTCCTTTTCTTGAAATAAGATGATCCTTTGATCGGTTCTGGGAATCAAATGCTTGGGTTGTTAATGCAGCTGCTGAATATATTAATATCAGCAATCAATATAGATCCGGAGCCATTACTATTATCATATGATATCAACAACTTTAACATTTCCACTGTTGATGCTTAATATATTTCCGTATCACGAGGCCCGGGCGGAATGAATGAAACCTCGAGGGAAACCCCTTTTCCGATATTGCGGAAGGATACCATGTGGCGCTGATGAAAGAGATCATCTGCGGAATTTCGAGCTTACCTAACTCTGGACCGGCCTGGAGCTGGTCGGATTGCTATCGATATGTTGAAAGTCTTCGTACCTGTACAGGTACAAGATGTCACCCAGCCGTTTGGTCTGCCCGTTGATTCTGTGCTGTGCTGTGCTGTGAGGTTTGATGGCGTTTTTGCTTCTGCATGCACAAGGAACAGCTGCATGCAGGCCGACAGTGCACTTCGTCCCAACTTTCAATCGGATTCGATTCGACCGCCTAGATTCTAGAAAGATATCACCAAGTCGGCGGTTGGCGCGTGCAAGACTCGAATTCGTCAGTACGGGTTTTTCGTCAACTATAGGTCTCCACAACTAGAGTTCTTTTGCTGCAATCAAAGGCTATCATTTAGCCCGAAATAAGTTGCGGGACCCCTCTGACAATTAACATTGGCTCTTTTCGACATTCGTTCTATTGCCCCCTTAACCGTTGTCCTTGGCTTTGCGCTCCTCATTTCCGTTGCCTTGTCGCCTTGCCCTTTAGCAAGCCCTCGCTATCCTCCAGTTTCGAACGTTTATTACGATTGAATGTTAAGGCTGGAGCTCGAGCTTTGACGCCCGGAGCTGGGTCTCTAATGAATACTCTTTATTCCGAGGAAAAGGGTTCGATTAGTACAGTCCTGATGTGAGGAAAGCTCGAGTTCCCGGGGAAAATACATCGCATCGCAGACAGCGCGTAGCAACATTGTTACTGATCGCTAAAGGGGGGATTAAGCTCTAGCTTATCTGACCAATGCTAAACCGCTTTCCCTGTGCGGCTGTTGGGCTCATTCCTTTTATGTAGGGGTCCAGTAGGTATGTGAAATGGGAGCTTCTCTTCTGCGCTGCTCCACCCCAGCCCTTTCCCCTTGAGCCTGTACATATATCCTCATTGGACCCCTTTCCACTCAGGACAGCTCCTGGACCTCTTTGGACTTCCTCCACTAACAAACTTCTTGTAATTTCTATTCTTTCGCTCTGTAGATTCTTTCACCGGAATCCTCAGTTTCAACTTCTTCCTTTGACGACCTCTTCTTTCGACTTTCTTTTTCGGTTCCAATTTTTCGAATTCGAACTTTCGGTTTAACAGGCCCCTGTTCGGTTCCGTTTCCAACGCACGCCTTTTCGGACTTCCGCTGTAACGACAAAAAAAGGGGAATTTTCAAGGTGGATCGTTTTGTTCCTTGCTCCCGCGTAGAGCAGATACAATTGGCTACACGAGACGACATTATTTCTAGTGACGACGTAAGTGGTTTTGTTCGTCTGATTTTCGTTACCCGTATTTGCAATGCAATATAACGTATCTTCCCTGGTGAGGTACGTGACCGCATGATTCGGCTCTGTTTGAACGATGTTGCACAGCTGGGGGCATTTTTATGAGGCCGCAATTTCCTATATGTTGGGAAACTTGCTGACCCTAGGTCTCCGCCTGTCGACACAGGCATGCATTGGTAACCAAAGTCAAGAGAGACCCTGCAAAGAGTCTCCTTTTCTTACCCTTGGGACAAACCTCATATTCTAGACTTCTCTAGTGCTTGGCAAACCTTTGCTCTAGAGCGTCATGATCACCAGACGGCCAGGGTCTCAATCCTCATATTGACGGAAGGACTGCTGAAGTCTGGCGTTATGGACGTCAAATGTGCGCCTTCTGTTTAATCTCATTGCACATGCTCTCCTCCCAGCGCGAAAGACCGCATTAGAATGGTTTGTCCTAGCCTGGATGGGCGCAATACCAGACATCTGGTAATTTCCCAATTGCCCTTGGAGCTGGCCCAGGCCAGGTCTGGGGTTGTAATCTGGAAATTATAGCTGCATCTGCTCGCAATCTTGCCGCATGCAAGTATCTTAATTATTTTGCGCCTGTATCCTCACAATTGATCTCTTCGGCAAAAAGCAGCTTTAACAAGAGTTGGTTGCAGCCAGATTAAGATTTTTATTTTTTTATTTTTTTATTTTTCTTCTCATTCCCCCAGTCGGGTTTTTTTTCTTGCTCACCGCTTCGCTTTGTGTGGGTTGGTGTCTCTGAATTTGTGTGTGGTTGTCTCTTTATCAGAAATTTCCCCCCCAAATTTTAATTACCTTTGCCCGTCGTCTACCGTCCTGACATAACCCGCACTATTCCTCTTCTCGCACCTCCTCCTCCTTTAGCCTTGACCTCTTTTGGGGCTTTATCCTCGCCTTTTTTCTGTCGTTCGTTAGTTTTTTTTTCTTCTTTTCTTTTCTCTTCTTTTCAATATCCGCACTGGTCTCGTGTGTGTGTGAATATTTCTCTTCATCGTCAATCTTTATCTTTCGTTCTTAGGCAGAGAGATATCCCTACTCTCCGCTTCCTTCCTTTCTGCTTGATTGGATTCTTGTTCGATTCGATTCCAACTAGATTTTTCCCGTTCGATCTCTTGGAGAGACCCCTTATACAGTGCACTTTATTTCTTTCTTCCTACGACATACATTACTTTTATCTTATGTCTCATCGATACTGACGGGTAGCTTCGATAGTCGGCTCAAGAAACTTTGAAAGATTCATTCTCCTTCTTGACGTTCACGGTCTTTCGCCTTCGTTTTTCTTGCTGTCTTTAACGTCGGCGGAAAGGGCATTTGGCAACCTTGGTTATCCCTTTCTACCGTACATTTTAAAATTACAGAATTTCGACGGGGTTTTCAATTCGTGGTCGCTTTGATACTTATTTTTTTTGTGCAATCTGTCGAGTATTGATCGATTGGCGGACGAAAGGTGCAAACTGGTTACGACAATTTAGAGTCTACGACATTCTTATAGGCTTTACTTGTCTACCCCCTTAATTCGCGGTCTTTGTTGTTCTGGTCATTTTTAGTGACCCGAACACCAAAATCACTCATTCACCACGGCCGTCCTTCAGGTTCAAGCATCGGACAAATTTGTCCTTCCACCGCACTTGCAAGGAGTCCATAACTTAGACTCCGGCTCAGGTGCTACTGCTTCCACTCGTCAGCCTCACCCTCTGTCCAAGTCGATCAATATGAGTGACCGTTCTGCCGCAGAGGCGGCCTCTCAGGCCGGCCAGTATGGAAACGACATGTCTGCCCAGGCTAGACGTCGTATGCAAGTTCCTTCCATCATCACCGGTGTAAACGGTATGGGGGATAACAATATAGCTTCCCCTGGAGGAATGGAGATGCAATTCACGCCTCTTCTGCCATCCCAGCTTTTGCTTGGATCCCCTTTCCAAACTGGCACCCCACAAACCGGATTCGGCCAATTCCCTGGAGCATTCAACCAACAGAACCCGGCCGCGGCGCTTTCTCCAACGGCATACAACTCTGGTGGTATTGTTTCCCCAACCGCATTCACTCCTCAGTACGCGACCTTCTTTCCTCAACAATCCCCAACTGTCGGATCTCCTCTCCCCGCTGGTATGGTCTCTGGCACTTCGAGAACTGTATATCTAGGAAACATTCCAGACGAAACTTCTGCTGAAGAAATTCTCGGACATGTTCGATCTGGTCCTATTGAGTCCGTCAGGCTCTTGCCAGATAAGAACTGCGCCTTCATTTCCTTCTTGGATGGTTCCTCAGCAACCCACTTCCATTCTGACGCTATCTTGAAGAAACTTTCGATTAAGGGTCAGGATATCAAAATTGGCTGGGGAAAGCCATCTCAGGTGCCAACTTCTGTTGCCCTGGCCGTTCAGCAATCCGGTGCCTCCAGGAACGTCTACCTGGGCAATCTCCCAGAAGACATCGGTGAAGAGGAATTGAGAACCGAGTTGGGCAAGTTCGGTGCCATTGACACAGTCAAATTGGTGAGGGAGAAGAATATCGGTTTCGTACATTTCTTGTCGATTGGAAATGCAATCAAGGCAGTTACCCAACTCCCACAGGAGGCCAAATGGCAAGCTCCTCGTCGTGTCTACTACGGCAAAGATAGATGCGCCTACGTTTCCAAGACCCAGCAGCAGAACGCTGCTCAATACCTTGGAATCAACCCAAGTATGGCCCACGCTCTTAGTGGTCAGGACCGCGAGGTTATCTCCAACGCCATTGCCCAGCAGTCTGTCGCCGCCGCCGCTGTAGCTACCTCTGCTGGTGGTTATAATAATCTTGGCAATCGTACTGTGTACCTTGGCAATATTCATCCGGAAACCACTATCGAAGAAATTTGCAACGTTGTTCGAGGCGGTCTTCTTCATCACATTCGATATATCGCTGACAAGCACATCTGCTTCGTTACATTTATTGATCCTACTGCTGCCGCTTCCTTCTACGCCCTTTCCAACTTGCAAGGTCTTATGATCCATAACCGACGCCTCAAGATTGGCTGGGGAAAGCACTCTGGTGCCCTCCCACCAGCAATTGCTCTCGCTGTCTCCGGCGGAGCCTCCAGGAACGTCTACATTGGAAACCTGGACGAAACATGGACTGAAGAGCGTCTCCGACAAGATTTCTCCGAGTACGGCGAAATCGAACTCGTCAACACCCTCCGTGAAAAGTCCTGCGCTTTCGTTAACTTCACCAACATTGCCAATGCCATCAAAGCAATCGAAGCCATCCGCGGAAAGGAGGACTACCGTAAATTCAAGATCAACTTTGGAAAGGACCGCTGCGGAAACGCTCCTAGGCAGAACGCTCCAAACGTCCAGGTCAATGGTGCTGAACAGTCCCCAAACGGACTTAACGGACCTCCATCCCACCATTCTGGCTCCCCGACCTCCCAACCAGCCCTCTCCCCATCCCCAAACTCGATGCAGCAACAAGCCCAGACCAGCTACATCACCACCAACCCCCTCCATGCCTATCTCGCTCAGCAGCAGCAGCAGCAGGAAGCCGCCGCATATAATGCCGCCATCCAGCAGCTCGCTGCTTACCCACCCGAGAATGGCGCCGCCAACGGAGTCGCCAATGGCAACGGCCAGATTCCCGCCAATGGCAACAACAACAACCTCGGACTCCCCCGATCTTCGTCTCATAACCGTGCCGTTAGTTTGCCAGTATTGAGCTTGATGGGCGGGAACTCGAATGGTAACCAAAACGGACATTCTTTCGGTATGTCCATGGGAGGCAATGCCTGGCCCGAGAACGAGTAAAGAAGAACGAGTCATCTAAACTCCTCGTTCTCAACAGCATAAGAGAGGGAACAAGAGAGAACACCACCCCGAAAGAACGATACAGGAAGCAAAATTTATTTTTTACTCTGTTTTAATTATGCATACACATCTTCACAATTCTATCGATTTGAAGAATAGGAAAAAAGGAAGGGAAAGGGGACGAAGAGTACGGATAATGTTTCCGAAAGTTAATCATGCTATAATATCACATCTTTATTGTTACGTACTTATTTGTAGTCATCATCATGATATTGTTTCTCTTTCTTCCCCACATCTTCGTTTCTATGTAAATGCTTTTATCTTTTTGGATCCTCCCTCCACCGAAATCCCGACCCACAAATCCCCTTAGTATCTGAGCTCTTTTTTTTTTAACGCATTAATATATGATATTCTTATCGAACCTTTTCACTTCTTTTTTGAGATTTTTTTCTTTCTTTCTTTCTTTTCTTTTCTTAAGACCTTTTTCATTTTCTTCGTTTCTGTCATGCTCAAGAATTCCTGTATCTCAAACCTCACCTCTCACACCATATGAAATTCATATACCCTCCGCACTCCATAAACTGTGGATTTTTTTTTTTCTGGCTCGATCGAATTGACTCGCTAGCATTGCACTTGCATGATATCAAAAAAAAATCTGTTAAATGCTAAGCCTGGGCATTGTGTAAAGCGGATTACCTGTTGGTTTACCCCAAGTAGTTCTACATACATATATACATAAAAAAAGAGTGGTGTAAATGAAAGAAAAAATAAAATAATAAAACTAACAACTAAGTAGCTCGATATCATATCCCTTCGCTATATTGAAAAGTAATTAAAAGTAGATTGTTGACGTCGTGATTTTCGTGGCTGTTGATGTCATTGTATTGTCGACAGGTCGTTCGAACTTGAATTTGCTTGCTTGCCATCATGTACAGGGGGTTTCTTGGTACCTGTTAGTGGGATTTTTTGGTCGAGGACAACACATAAAATAACACAAACCTTTTGGGACCACACATTTATTTTATGATTAATTGCTTTGGTCTTTTTGACGAATGCGGTGGATTATTCGGATTCGAACTTATTTTTTGTGGAACCATCTAGGTATACTAAGCTCCACAAGGTTTAAATACTCTGCTAGGGTGGATGCAGTCTCGGGGTGTAAGGATTGGCTATATATATATATTGCCGTGGGGGCTATTAAAAAGAAATCACTTGTACCAGTATACTCATTTATCATCGACTCCATGAAAAAAAAGATGTTATCTCATTTTGTCTTTTCATTTCAGTTTAAAAATAAAACAAAATTGATAAAACTAAAAGGCTACTTTCAATATTAAGCCTAGCTTGTGTGTGTCTTTCCCCCAATTTTGCATTCCTAGTTCTCAGATTCCCATTCAACTCTGCCTATATATATATCACATCCAACAAAAAATAGTAATTAGATGGAAATAGATAGGTGCTATTATATCCCTAATCAGATAAGATAGAAAAAAGGAACGTCTAGTAGTCATCGGAACGTCTGCTTCCATAGGTACCGGTCTCGTTATCATCTGATGAACGATTATAGCTAGATACTCTAGCACCATCTTCATCATCGCCACCATAGGATTTCTTATTCGAGGAACCGTAAGAATCGTCGTTGGAAGAACCGTAGGTGTTTGAAGAACCGTAGGATGTGGTGTTTTCGCTGTCGTCGCCGCCGTAGGATTTCTTGTTCGAGGAGCCGTATGATCCCGAGTCTTCGTCGTCACGGTTGGATTTGGAACCGCCGTAAGTGTTGGAGGAACCGTAGGAGGTTTCTTCACTGTCGTCTCCATAAGACTTCTTGTTTGAGGAGCTGTATGATCCGGAGTCTTCGTCGTCACGGGTGGGTTTGGAGCTGCCGTAAGTGTTGGAGGAGCCGTAGGAGGCTTCTTCGCTATCGTCGCCGCCGTAGGATTTCTTATTCGAGGAGCCGTATGATCCGGAGTCTTCGTCGTCACGGTTGGATTTGGAGCCACCGTAAGTGTTGGAGGAGCCGTAGGAGGTTTCTTCGCTGTCGTCTCCAGAGGACTTCTTGTTCGAAGATCCGTAGGAGGTCTCTTCGCTGTCGTCTCCATAAGACTTCTTGTTTGAGGATCCGTAGGAGTCATCATTGGAGGAACCGTAAGTGTTCGAGGATCCGTAGGATGTAGTGTTTTCACTATCATCCCCGTAGGACTTTTTGTTCGAAGATCCATAGGAGGTCTCTTCGTTGTCGTCTCCGTATGATTTCTTGTTGGAAGATCCGTAGGAGTCGTCACGGTTAGAGGAGCCGTAGGAGTCCTCGTTATCGTTGCGGCGGCTGCCGTAGGACTATAGATGTATATGGATTAGTATGTATATACATGTAGGGATCATAGTTAGATCTTACATCGTCACCGTAGCCAGACATTTTTGATATGAAGGGAAGATATGGAAAACTACTAAAAGTATTGATGGAGAAGTTTGGTTTTAGATTTAGCCTGGAGGAAAAACTACTGCTTGATGATGATGATGATATGATAGTGATATATAAAAAAGAAGTAGGATCAAAGCTGGGGATTCGGGTCAATTTATATCCGGATTGCTTAGTTCCCTCTCGATGGACTTACTCTTTTACTGACTTCATTACCATTCGATCGTACGACTGTGAGTATCTGGTGCAGACGCATATACAGCCCCCCCTCCTCCCATCCGCATTACATTAGCTTCAGCTAGCTACCCCAGCAGCTCAGCTTACAGCTTCCCATCCCATCCCTTCCAAAGGCCCGCCTCACATCGCGCATGAAATTCTAAAAGAAAAAAAAGAAGCCATGTGGGTGTGGGTTTCAAAATCGGTGTCCGATGAATACCGGGGTAGGTAACTTTCACGCTCGAGTAGTATGGCATGTTACCAAATCCATACCATGTATAAACCCGCAGGAGTTATAGTTCCTGTAGGCTAGAACGTTGTATAGTTTTTTCTTCTCTTTCTTGCAAATCAGGACTTAGCTATCCCCACCGTGGAACCGCAGTATGCGCGTTATTTTGGAGAAGAGGGGAAATGTACATATGTTGGCTCGCTGCATTTGGATGAGATCATTGCTTTCGCTTCCTATCTCTCTCTTGATCACGAAACAACCCCTCCTCTTCTCTTCTTTGCGAAGATCGATCAAAAAGGACTTTACGGGAAAAGAAAAGAAAGAAAATAAAAAGAAAAAGAAAAAAAAAAGGGATGCATGATGCCATACACCCATGATCATTGGTATATTTGAGATGCGGGCTGAGTATTCTTCTCTCTTTTTTCATCCTGTTCTCCAAAATAAGGTGGTAAACTCCGTGGGTTCAAAAAAATGTATGCATCTGAATGCAGTTGTAAACTGTTATATCGTATGATGCGCCATTTGAATTTCCCAACTTACAAGCTTTTTTTTATTTTATTTTTCCCCCTTCTCAGGTCCCACCGTCCCTTTCTTCGTCGGCATTAACGCGCGTACGTCACATGAATTAGCCTTTTTTATTTATTTTTTTTAAGGTGGGAACCCCGCTTTTACATTCACTTCAACTACTGGTACCTGCAAGACCAGTGTAAAGCGTGGATATCAATGGATGGGATGGGGTATCCACGGAGAAGGAGAGAAGGGAAAAAGCATATACACAAGGTCTCTAAAGGAACTTGAAAGTCAAGAAAATTAAAATAAAAAAAATATAAAAAAAGGAACGTGTAACAAGGTTAGAATGCAAAGCTAAGAAGCTTGAACAGGTTGACGAGGGAATATCGGTCATGCAATATGCAAGCCAATTGAGGCTGTACCTTAAGCTTGTTCTTGAGACCTTGCCAAAAGTAGGTACTGTACGTACATAGAACGCTACAATCCTGGTGAGGGGGAAAGAAGAATAGTCTAGTTAGCGATGTCTAGAAATGTCAAGTCCAGCGCCAGCGCGGTGAGGGGTGTGGGGCTAGCTAGCTTAACTTCCACAGAAGAAAAGAAAATCTGGATTGTTCTTAACATGATGCGCTGCAGGGTCGGGGAAGAGCGGGAAAGTTAAAACGTGGTAGATGTTATGTATCTTTGGTAAAAGTCCGCGGTGGGCGGGTACTTTGGAGTTACATTTTTGTAGGTAAGTATGGATACCTAGGTACTTAAAGTACGTACGGGCTGAGAAAAGCCATGGATCATATGAATCGCGTCGATGCGAGGAATGCTTTTCCTTCTTTCCTTCTTCCTGCTTTCTTGTCATTTTTAACCGAGTTGCTTGAGTAGGTACTTACTTACTTACATATATTCTCAATTGATATTCCTAGCGAAGAATGGGTAGCCTCGATGGAGATGGGTCTATGCATCGAGTGGAGGGATGATGGTGATGATGTCGGTTAGAGGTCGAGGCATCCAACTTTTCTCCCCCTCCGCTCTCATGCATGCAAGAGGTCATTGCATGGGCATCGAATTGGTTATCATATCGGGGAGGGCGGGGCCAAGTTTTAATTTGGTTAACCCCGAGATCGATTCGATGCTACGCATGGACCCAGCTTTCAGTCGACATGCAGTGTGCAGTCCAATGGATGTAGTTCACTCGCCACGCGCGGATTGTAAGACTGTCAGGTCTAGCGGTGGCGGTCTAGATTGTCAAAATCGTGGCAAATACGGTCAAATGGCGAAGATAAAGTATACATATATAGTAGGAAATACTGACTTAATAGGGCTGAAGCATGAAGCTTTACCAGCCAAGACCCATGATCATTACATTCTCTTGTGGCTATGTCAATGGTGGCGTTATATTAATGGTGGCTGGTAAACCTGCAAGCCTAAAGCTTTGTCTTTCGGCGCTCGCGATAACTGGAATGCCGCGGAGAGCTGGAATTAATTATAATGAGGAGAAGTTGGGATTTGGAGAGCTCTGTGATCGTGCAGATATGCTGGTAGTCTATACGTCTATTTCATTGGTAAGTTATAAACCGCAGTACTGCAGCGTATCTTGATACGGGAGGTTGAAGCTTTGAAGCCGGGTATGCACAGATGCAGCAAGCTAAGCTTGCGACAGTGCGACAGGCCTGAGCTTAATTACTGCTCCCTGCTTATACCCTGCTCATGCTCTCGAGGTAACCAATATTCCTTGCTCCTTTTTTTTTATTTTTTTATTTTTTAACTCCGTGTAGTTAAGTATCTATCACTGGTAAGTATCGATCCCAATTTCATGAAGATTAAACGGGTCCACCGCGCACCGTTTATAAATTTAGTGAGATTAGACCAAGAGCATTATTATGTGGCTACTAATTTACTAGCCAATTGAAATATTCCGAATATGCAATCGGTATTTCATGGCGTCAACCGTCTAGTCATTCTAAAAACTCCAAATTTAAGGATATGTATAGCGTAGCTGGCAGATAGTACTGGGATACTAGAACTAGTCTGGAACTACTAGCTATAATTGCATCCTCCAGGATACTTTACATATAATTAAAAACTCTCGATCCGAGCACCTTCATATAATTTGATAGGTACTTCTAGTATTAAAAATCGTACTCAGCTTTGGGACGTGCATGGAAACTACACATGGAAACTATGCCGGCCATGTCTATCAAGTGTATATTTATGGGTAATTATACAATTGTACAAGTCCTTCGATGTAATTTTAATTCAAGATTGATAATAAGATACGAAATCTCCGTAAACTAGAACGAGTTATTCAATTTGATACTATTAATATACTGAGCTGAGGATTGCTAGTATTGGTTTTGAGGAGACCTCGAGCATCACCGGTACAAAAAAGTAGTTACGCCCATGAAATCTAGTATTATAAATACACCTGCTTACAGATTTCGCTACAAACCTTCCATTCACTCGGCACACCTAAGTAAGTACTTACCTATATAGTATATCAAACCATTTATTACTTTAGCCACTGTTTGCGTAAAACCCGATTGAATGTCGGAAGGCGTCGGTGCTGACTAACATGGCCATGGCCTTGGCTGGTTACATATCGAACCACTTTGAACCGTAGGCGGGCTTGTTCGTCCAATGTTAAATATTCTGCAAACCTTGCAATGGCCGAAGATTCTCCGGGACTTTCGAAATTTCTTTCGATATCGTTCTCCGCTGGTTGCCTAACATAGTGTGCTTGGAGAGAAAACCCTAGTTGTTTAACCTTTTTTTCTCTTCCTCGTGCCCCAAGATACTATACTACACCATACCATATCATATCGTATCGTGTCGATTTATCAGATCGTATCGTCAGGCCACGCAATATCAGACAAAACATGCCGATATGACAATATGGCGGGATTGTATCTGCAGGAATCCTCCGTAGGAATGTATACGTTTCACGACGACGAGGAGAACGAGAATGAGAGCGAGAAGAAGGTATATTCGGCCCGAAGTGCCCGAGAAGATTCTTCTTTTATCCTTTGAGGTTGTCTTGAATCGAAGCTTTAAACGCTTGCCACCGAGATGCAACCATTAACAAACATGATCAGGCCGGGGCGCCGGGGCTGGGTACCCCTTACCAGTTGCATTGTCATGTTATTGCATACTGACACCTCTATGATGGCAACGGCGATACATTTATATCCTCAAGTACACCATAGACGATATCTTGGTACTTGGCTATTGGCAATACTGTCGTCTTGGGACCTCGCGGTGACGTCAAAAGGTCCATCGGCCATCGTCACACCAGTTATGTAAGTCGCTCCTTCCTTGTGGCCGGGCCTGTTAGTGCTAGTTAGCTGGTGCTTGGCGACGCTTATCTACGAGGATTGGCTTAGCTTCAGTTTAGGCTGTCGCACGATAGAAGGCAAGCAGGAGGCAGGCAAGCAGGAGGCAAGCAGGAGGTCTTGGTATTCGTATTTGTCTTTGTATCTGTATCCGTATCTGTTTCTGTAATCTGTCGACGGGGCAAAGGTTAGTTAGTTGACCCACGGAAGACGGGTCATTTTCATGATTACTTACCTAAGATACCTTGAAGTCGGTAAGTACCTATGTCTGTTCGAATCTCCATTTTCTTTCACAGTAACGACTAATATTAGCTAGGCATTCCTGCACAGCCTCTTTGAAATCCCTCCTTTTTATTCGATTTTATTCGATTTTATTCTCTCCAATTCTTATTCCTATTCTTTCTTATTTTATTTTTATTTTTATTATTCTTTTTATTCTTACTTGTTTGCGAGGTTTAAAATCGAAACGTTTCTTTTCAACTGCTTCTTTGGACTTCGGCTGTGTGAGATCTCGAGTCGAGTCGAGCGGCATCCCTCTCAATCCTGCTCTCTTTCATCATTACATAACAACTTCCTTGAAAAGGACTTGATTAACCGCATCCCAAATACGTCAGTTAAGAAGAAGAAGAAGAAGCTTTTAAGTACTTACTATCACCAATTATCAGAATATAATCTCGAAGCTCAAGTTGGATGGCACCGAGCATTAATATTTTCATTTGAATTGTTTCCTTCAGCCCTGGCTCTTTCTTGTCCAACAAATTAACTTCAGCCCGAAACCGTCACCATGGCTGCTCTTTCGCCTCCTCCAACAATCCACATCACCACCTCAGAAACAACTCTCTCTGAAGACCCCACTGTGGAACTCTTGAATGATCAGACCGATGTCCTCAAGATTCCTTGTAACCTCCCTTCTCTCGAGAGAACTCAATCATCTCCTTCAGTAGGGACTGTCGAAAACCTCACTGTCCCTCGACGACCTTCTATTCGTCGTTCCATCTCCAACACATCTAGCAGGACAACAGACGCTATCGTCAAGCGCTCACGATGGTCGCTTCATCTAGAAGCTGTAACATGGCGCAATCTCATGAATATCGGCATGTACTTACACACCGTTGCTCTCCCTCGACCTCCATCGCCGACTTTTACTCGAACAATTCCGGCTACTTTGTCACCAAATAAAGGGTTCATAAAACTTCAATTCTACTGTCCGATCGGATGGCCCAACAAACCTCGTGGGAAGGATAACGACACCAAAGGATTCCCTGCTATGATCAATTTTCATGGTGGTGGTTTCACTATTGGATCTGCCACTGACGATTGTCGCTGGGCAGATGCTGTCAGACGAGCAGTGGATTGTATCCTTGTCAGTGTGGATTACCGACGAGCACCTGAATTTCCGTTTCCAACAGCCGTTGAAGACGGTGTCGATGCTATATTCTATATCGTGCATCTCGCCAGGGAACTTAAAATCGACATCAACCGTTTATCCGTCTCTGGATTCTCAGCCGGTGGTAACATGGCATTCACCGTTCCTCTCAGATGGCAATACGAGTGTCGTGCATTAATGGGGATCCCCACTGATGTCTCGGGGGGTACACCTCTCCCTCCAGATGCTGCATCCGAAGGTGCATTCAGCATGAGCCGTCATGGTGGAAAGATCGTAACGATCTGTGCTTGGTACCCTTCCCTCGACTTCACGAGCCCGCGGTGCGATCGCAGAAAGACAAATGTACGACCAGATAAGGGCATGCCGGAGTTCTTCACCAACCTTTTCGATGCAAGTTATTTATACCCTCCAAAGACAATAGATGTTACATCGCCATATTTGTCTCCTGGTGTTGCATCGGATGGATTGTTACAGGGCTTACCCAAGGATATTTTATTGTACACCTGCGAGTTCGACGAGCTTTGTGCCGAAGGGTTGAGGTTTAGGGATAGATTGCAGAGTGAGCCGTTGAATAAGAATGTGGCGTGGAGGATGGTGGAGGGACAACCGCATGCATGGGATAAAAGTCCGAATGGGAAGGACCCAGAGAGAGATCGGTTTTATACGGAGGCGTGTAGGAAACTGAGAGGGATCTTCTATGGGGATGAGGAGGAGCTGGCTCCACCTGAGTGATCATAGTTAATGAGGTTAAAAGCAGCTTCTTATTCTTGATTAACTGATTGCGTTTACTAACGAGGGTGGGTCAACTGTGAGTTAGCGGGAGTTATGTTTTTTTTTCTTTCATGTCGCTTCTGCATCGTTTCAGTCGTCTGATTACCCGTTATTGCATTGTCTCTGTTCCCTTTTCATTCACGTTTGGCATATTCTTTTAATGGGGTTAGCTTTTTGACGTTCGTTCATACCCATTTTTCTTCATATGCATTATCAATCCTCGTATAGTTTGGGTTTATCAAACTGTATAGCGCGAGCTCAATAGAAACATCATTCTTAAACGCCTTTTAGATCTTCATATATCGTGACAAAAATAGAAACCTTAACGCCCTCGAAAGTAGACAGCTTTTTTCTTTTCTTTTTGAACCCTTACCACTCAATATCAACCTAGTCATCTGGTGTTAGGATTCAGAGTCTACCTTTCATTCTCCGACCTGCCCTCCTTCAACCAATCCAGATTTCCTTTGTTCCTAGCAATTTCATCCCCCCTCAATGCTGACGCAATTAACTTATCAATCCCCTTCACCTTCTCCGCCGCCTTCCTCGCACACTTCATCAACGTCTCTGCCTCAACTGCCACACCACCACTCTTTGAAATCTGACACACTTCACCATTCTTATTAACGGTAACCGTCATATCTCCCTCCCTTAACGCCTCTTCCTGAGCAGTAGCATCAAGCACACAAACCATCTCGCCATCATCATCTTCCCCAAAAAAGCTGAATGTAACACAAATCGGCCAGTGAAGTAGACTTAAGGGTACAGGCACTCGTTCGGTTACTGGATGTATTGTTATGTCCTCACCCGAAACGGTGACGACAGGGAGACGAAAGTGGGCTAGTGCGGTTATAGTGGCTATGCAGGCTGTATCTATTAGATTTCCGTCGTGGGAGAGGAAATGTAGGTCGGCTCGGAGGGACCAGACGCGTTGGGCGGTTACTATGCAAAGGGACTCGAGGTCTAGAGCTGTACTACGGCGTATAGACTTCTCGAGGAGGCGGGAGAGGGTATTATCGAGGTCTGTGGGACTATATAGATGATATTGATGTTTAGATTCGGTGGTTGGTATAGGTGGATGAAGATGGTTGGGGACTTACCGTCCCACCTCGAATGATGGAGAAGCCATTGGACCCATTTCGGTGGATATTGTGAAAGTACCTTCGAACGGACGGTCCGGACGAGGTCTTATAATTTCAGCGGAGATCCTTGCGAGGACTCTGTTAAAGGCTTGTTAGATTTTTATGTCGAAAGGTTTGAGTCGTCCGGTACTGTGGGAGTGTATATGTGTGTAGCCTGTGGCCTGGTGGAAACTCACCTACCTCGTCTTCCCCAGCCTGACGTCTACGAAACCATAGTCATCGCCGAAGGAAAATTGGATGTCACGGAAGGAGTGGATGTTCCGGCCGTCGACTCGTAGGTTTTGCTTGAGGGCTTCGAGGACGAAGGTTTTTTCTGCGAGCGAAATTTCGGGCTCTTTTGGCATTGCGATGGTGGATTATGATAAGTGAGTGGGCCGGTTAAGCTGTGGATGGAAATTGGTGATTACGGTGCCGATGAGTAGTATCGGTGACGTTGAAGTTGGTGGTAATGGCGATGGTGGAGTGGCGGGGGTGTGGAGGAAGATTCGAGTTCAGGCGCATTAGAAATCCGAAATTTCGCGACTCATTTTTTGGTCGGCTCGTTTAAGTATAAGAAAGCTCCAACCACCAACCAGCTCTCGATCCTCTGAATCCACTCCACACGACATCTCTGCAATATACCCAAGTGCACACGCATCTTCATTGTCAATAATATCGCTTCGGAGGTTTCATAGTACGAAATATAATTGTAACGTTACTACTCGCGATACCACAGCCTAAACCAACATCGCCACGACTTCTTCATCACAATGTCGCGCCATCACCCGTAAGTCCACCTCCCACGCCTCACCAGCCACAATTTATAAACATGAATGAATATAAACTAACATTCAAAAACACTATAGTGATTTAGTAATGTGCCGCAAACAACCAGGCATAGCAATTGGCCGTCTCTGCGATAAATGCGACGGTAAATGTCCTGTCTGCGACTCCTACGTCCGACCCACAACCCTCGTCCGAATCTGCGACGAATGTTCCTTCGGCAACTATCAAAATAAATGCATCGTCTGTGGTGGCGAGGGTATATCCGATGCCTTCTATTGCTTTGAATGTACACGTCTAGAGAAGGATAGAGATGGATGTCCGAAGATTATCAACTTGGGAAGTTCGAGGACGGATTTGTTTTACCAGAAGAAAAATTTTCGAAATCATTAATGACAGGGGGTCTTGGATTTTTCGGGGGGAGGAAATGTGGGGGGGGCGAGGGGGGGGGGTTTTCGGTATTATCACGGTGGTTCGACGCGAGAACCTAGGGAGGCGTTTACGGCTGGAAGCGTCACCTTTGACGGCTTCATACATCGATTCGCGACATTTCGTGGTTCTTTTCTCCACAGCTACAATCTTGTTTTACGGCTGTTGCGGGAAGACCAAAGAACTGACACCAAGAACAGAGGACAGGGAAGAGGGAAAAAGAAAGAAGACTCTTCTCTCCATCCACGAAGAACGTTGGAAAAAGACGCCTGTGCATCAGTGGACACAAAGCTTTCCTTACCATGCTATCGCGAACGGCTGGAAGTACATTTTTCCGGATCTCAGAAGACTCTCACGTGACGACCACCAACGTCGATAACCCAAAATGGACCAGCCGATGCGGGCGGCGGTAACCAGATCTAACCCCCCCTTCTGACCTTGTCTAATGATAGATGTTCTCCCCTCTAACCCCTTTATAAGGTGCATACCGATATTCCTGTTATGTAAATAGGATTTAGTCATGACTAAAACACGCGTAACGTTATAACTGCCCCATTTTGTACAACATCCCATGGCCATATATACCCCCGTCTATGGCGGAAATCGAATTGTCCGCGTCGTGGGAAAGATATAAATTAATAAACCAGCGCTCAGACTTTGGTATCAAAAAGAACACCTAGACATCCTACGTACAGGTTCCCCACAGTGTCGCAATCGGTAGAAACAGTGGCCAGTACCCCCTATAAATGTTACCTGATTCAAAATCTCGCTTGCCAATTTGTACTCGTAGGCATCATTCAACATGACGGCTGAACCGGGTAGTCGGCAAACTATCAGGGCTGATGGTGAATTCATGAACTCTATCTCGCAGCGCATCTGCTCAACTTCGGTTGAACGTATGCAGCCTGGGTGTAAATAACCGATATGGCCAGAGATACGTACATGTGCGTACATTGCATACATACATATCGGGTCGGTCCTCGGGTAGCTACTAGTCTATAGCTAGCTTTGCAAGAAAGCCGAGAATGTGATCTGTCGTGGCTTTCGTATCTGTGTTTTGGGTAACTACTAAATTGAGATGCAATGTATTTTACCTAAATTAAACAGGTTGCTATCTAGAGAAAATGCATGGCAATGCATCCGCGGCTCGTGATAACGTTTTCTGGTGATCTTTTTTTTTTTTTTTTGTGGCCTATTTGACATGCACTAGCTACTACTAAACTACATGCTATTAGCTTCCATCGCGAAGAATGTTCGATTTCCGGTAAGTGAGGTCGACGTATACTAACCGTCTTGGGTAATTAGAGACGACAAGCCGAACACAACAGAATGGCCCTTTTAAACCCGAAATATGATTGACAGACGCATATATGCAATCGTATACATAATAGTTTAGGTGCTCAACTCTCTCTAAATTCGGGGACGGAAGGTCCGGTCTGATCTAAGCTTCAAAGCTAAGCGTTTTATAAGGCACCAAGTTGGCATTTTTTATGAAATTGTATCAGCGGCAACCACTTGTGGGAAGGTTCTTCTTTATAAATGTATGCGAGATGGCATGATAACCGAGCGCGATCCTGTTTTCAAATTAATTAAGATAACCTGCTGGCCTCGGTGATCGGCTAGCCGGCATTAGCAAGGCCTGAAAGCTAGAACCACCTAGCACAGGATGAATACTTGCTTTATACCTCTGGGTTTATTCTTAAGATCTTAAAACATAGGTTAACGCCACTTCGCAATGGATGTATCGGAGTGGTTTAGCTTGAGCCTCTTTCCCGCGAAGTTCTGAAAATGGTATATATCTTATCAGAATACTGTAATCTTACAGCTCGAGTTTTTGTAACTAACCGACGTATTTATCCCTATTGGCCATGGCGCCGCTTGAAGAATTTCTGATCCTAGCAGTGGGTGGCAAAATCTTTGGATTTATTGGCATCATCGATCCGGATTGCACTTTTGTCAATGTTGATGAATATTGCTTTTGCCGAAGACATCTAGAAGTCTAGAAATCTTGCTGGGGCTAATCATTAGCTATAGATCAGATGAATTACATGGTGGAAAGGGGGGGGGGGGGGGGGCAGGAACTTGCCAACGGTCACAAGTACTGGTATACTCGGATCATTTTTTTTCTTCTGGATACAAAGTATATGTCTTTGCCGGAATTCGGCTGTGACAACTGAAAAATACGCCCCGATGATCTGATTTGACTTGAATAAGCCTGGAACGATATCAGGAAATCTCCTATACCCCTCGAATGGGTGCTTCGTATCGGTTCTTTTTCTCTCTTCTAGTTGTTCGATATCATGATTTGCGATGATGAGCGTTTACGAACTAGCTGCACAATATGTCGATATCAGTTTAGACCAAAAAAATCCAATAGGTAGCCAGCGGGTAAGTAATTCATCTCGAGAACAGTAAGTTGGTGTATAAGGGTATCTGGATATACATGGAGAAAAATACATATAAAAAGGGGTTCTTCGCCCAGGAGTTATCGGAGCCACCATCGATTTCAGCTGTAGTTCACGGCAGTCCTTCACTGGTGCACACCGAGTCATAGTCATTCATTTACACCCCAAACTTCATTCATTCATTCCTTCGATCCTTTCAGATCAGGTTTATTTTATTTTTATTCCTCTTCAACGGGATTTTTTTAAAACGAATCTAACGACATTCTCTTGAAAAACATGCATTTCTCCACTCTTTTTAACGCAGCCCTTGTCGCTGTCGTCAGCTTCAGCGATGTCACAACTGCCCACGTCGTGTTTGTAGATGCATACGGAAACGCCAATGCTCATGTTCACGGCTTCGGTCTTGGACATCACGCAGGCACTACCCGAAAGGGTTTTGCTCAATACCCGCAACAAAGAGATATCGCAGTTTTCAACCAGAGACCTGTGCATACTGGTTGGTGGAAGGGTTATCTTAAGAACACTTGCGGTGTTTCCATTCTTTCCGTCACTCAGTGGTATCAAAAGTTCCATCCCGCTAAATGGAGCGGAAAGGGTATCACCGATGCTAAGAGGAGGTGGTATTGGGCCCAGGCTGCCAACGCCGGAGCATACATTTCTATCAAGGGCAATATTGATTGGATGATTAACTCGGAGGTGGCCAAGGGGACGAGAACTGATATCGCTACTGGACGAAAGGGAATCAAGAACGGTATTCCTAAGGTCACCGCTGGTGGTGTTTTGAACATTTTGGCCTGGCAGGTAAATGCCGATGGCGGTGGACACTTCAAGTGTAACCTCGACACCTGGGCCAACGGAAAGGCATTCTCGGTCCCCCTCAAGGTTCTCAAGAACTGTGGCGGTACCAAAGCCTCCATCCATATCGCAGGTGTTCAAAAGACCTGTTGGTTCAAAGTAGCAATGCCTGCAAACTTGAACTGCCTCGGAAGCTCGACAACTGGAAAGAATACCTTCAAGGATCTTTGCATCGTGAGATGTGAAAACAGTGCCAGGGTAATTTAAATAGCATCATCCCCCCATAAAAAAAACAATACATATTACTATAGTCATTTTACTAACATTTCACTCACTAGAACGGCCCCTTCGGAGGATGCGTCCCAATCCAACAAATCAGGCCAAAGCCACCACCACCACCAAAGCCAGTTGTTGTTACTGTTAGACCCGCACCAGTCACCGTCACCGTCAAGCAGGGCAATGTTGTCACTGTCACCAAGGGTGATGTCGTTGCCGTCCCCAATACTCGGATCTCTACTATAACCCGCGCTCAAGTTCTCACCGTCACCCAAGGCCAAGTTATCACAATCATCGTCAAGGGTGTTGCGAAACCCACAACTTGCACCAAGAAGGGTGTTATTACCATCACCAACGAGTCCCGCGTCACTGTTACCCAACAGAGCACTGTCACGGTTGACAACAAGTCTGTTGTTACTGTTACCCAAGATAGCATTGTCACCATCACCAAGGCCCCAGAAATTGTTACTACTACCAAGGAGGCAACTACTACCACTATTCTACCAACTGCCGATCCCGAAGATGGTGATGCCAATAAGGCTGAACCTACTTCTGAGGGTACCAGGACTCCCACACCTGAGGAAGTCGAGGCAGCCAAGGGTGGAGAAGAAATCGATCCGGAAGATCTTGAGGAAGCCAAGGACGAGAAGATTGACGAGAAGACCAAGGAGGAACTTGAAGAGGCGGTTGAAGACCAGAAGGCAGGTGGCAAGACAGGTGAGGAACCCCCAGCGGAGGAAGTTGAAGAGATGGGCTACGATTAAAGGGTATGATGGTTCGTCGAGGTTTTTTATGACACGAGATGAGTATATGTATATGTATATGTATATGTATATGTATATGTATATGTATATGTATATGTATATGTATATGTATATGTATAGAGCGAGCGATGTGATTAAGTACAGGAGATATGGTTGTCTATAGATCGAGAAGAGGTTAGGGGCATGGTATATAGATAAATATATTAGCACGGTTGATTTAGACGATGAATATATATTCTTTCATATTAACTTATAAGGTTTCAGGTCCAATCTTTAGTTTAATTAGGGTAGTACTATAATATACACGGATTGCTTTAATGTAACCAAACCGAAGGGGGGAAATGATTGCATGGCAAATACGTTGTGAGGATGTATCTCCGTCCGATAGGGCCAACTGGAGTACATATTGAAATAAATGGAGGGATACCTGGTAATACGATACCCTAAGAATTTCGCAGTAGAGCTAAAGCAGTGTATGGTCTCTTTTCATATCAATCTGAATCAAAAAACAGAGCAGTTCTTTGGAAATATTGATTTTTCGAATTCGAGTATATATCGAACTAACTGTACTACGTACTTCCATGCTTAAAATTAAACCAAGTTTTGGAGCCGAGGCTGTTGTTGTTTCTGTTGGACTTTGACCAGTCTTGGCCATAATAATGCGTTGTCGCGCAGTTCTGGCCCACTTTTCTTCCAACTAGCACCGCACTGCACTGTATCGTATCTTTGAAAGAGAAAATCGTCAGGGTAAATAAATAACTTGATCCTGGTAGCGAAATATTTTATATCCATTGTATAGACTTGGGGATTTTGTACTAGGAAGCCATTGAGTTATTGTGAGGTTGGTTGCTTGTTTGGAGCTATTTGAAACTCAAACTTCCCATCGACTCGCGCATCAAACTCCACCAGCCTATTCCATTCATCGCCATTGAACCATCACCACTCCGGATCCAAAACACCGCCTCTCCTCCGAATAGTATCCATCTTAAACCCCTGCGAAAATGACGACAGCCCATCGTCCCACGTTTGATCCTGTAAGGAACCCCCGACACCCGATTCCCGACTCCTAGACAATCCAGACAAGCTAAAAACTTTGATCACAGGCAGTTGGGAAGGAAACCCAGCGCGGTCCAGCCTATCATCAACGTCTTCTCCCAGCACATACGGCTCTAAAAGTCCGGTACGTACGACACTCTCCTTTCAAACCCTACTTTCCTTCCCTTTCTTTGGTTATTCGTGCGACCTGATGATTCCTAATTTGGGGTTTTTTTAATCATCAACAGAAAACCTGGACAGGGTGGTACTGCAGATGGAAAACGCGACCTCCGAGCCGAATTACTCAAAGCCGAGGCAGCACATTACGCCAAACTTCGCGGCGAAACTACAAGTTCACGGGCCGACGGCGACGACGATCTTACAAGTGTGGTAACAGGGAGTACACGGAAGGGACGAATAGATAACGATGAAGACGAGGACGAAGAAACACCTGAAGCGAAGAGACGGAGGATATTAGAAGAGTCACGCGATTTGGATGCCGACAGCGATGGATCGGATAAAGATTCGAATAAAGACAGCGACGACGGTTCGGATTCAGGTTCGGATGATTCAGACGAAGACAGTGAAGATGAAACAGCGGAATTAATGCGAGAACTTGAGAAAATAAAGAAGGAAAGGGCAGCTGCAAAGGAGAAAGAGGAAAAGGAAAAGGCGGAAGAGGAGGAGGCACAGAGGGAGATAGATATTGCAAGGGGGAATCCGTTATTAAATGCGAAAGCATTCAATGTGAAGAGGCGGTGGGACGACGACGTGATTTTTCGGAACCAGGCTAGAGGGGTGGAAGAGAAGGGGAAGAAGAAGGAATTTGTAAATGACCTTCTGAGGTCGGACTTTCATAAGAAGTTCATGGTGAGTTTCTCTTTCCCTCCATTCATTGAGTTCTTGATTTATCGCATTTAAATCGGAAGCCCGTCACAATCAATATACTGACTCCAGAATAGAACAAGTATGTGCGGTAGTTACTACCTATGCCCAAGTACCTTAACATTACAAGTGGATACGTAGTACTTAGGGGTATTTGTCAGGCGATCCTACTTAGGAGAGGTGGTATCAACAATATGATATGGCATTGACGTGAAACTCTCGGTTTAAATACCAACCGAAAGACGAGGTGGTTGTACGATAGAATACCATTAATAGACCTGGCTAACGAAGTAGGTACACACATACATGTACTACCTGGCTTGAGAAGATAAGATATGCATGGGTCCTATCTTTGGCGGCTGCTGGCTGTTCTTCCCGTAATAGATTACCCATCGAGCTAGTTCTCATTCGAAACCGTGAGCGTGTGACTCAATTGCAACCTTTTAAAACAAGGGGGAAACAAAATAATTGCATTCTTCTTTTTGACTTCTTCCCATCAACCAATATTTTCAATAACCAACCTCGTCGTCGTCGGTGCTGCCGTACATTATAGTCGTTGCATTTTGGATTGCACCGTGTGAAATAGAGTTGAGTCAAAAACCACAACAATTTTGCCGTTGCTGCTGTTCTGCCCCACCACAGCTTGCTCCTAAAGCACCTCCCTGCATAACCACTACAACCATCACCACCTTCTTTTGCGACTTCATCTCTATTGCCACAACCACAACCTCTGGCTCATACCCACCCTCGCAATGGCTGAAGTCGGGACTGTAGCTTCGGCTCTCGAGGGCCTTTCGATTGCCCACCCAGAAATAAGTATGAAAACTCATCTGCTAGCCCCACTATTATCACTGTCGCCGATGGACATTAACGCTTCATTTCTCCCCCCAAGTTTACATTGACGAAGACGGCGGCGTTGATTCCACCGACATTCCAAACTCCCAGGAGACCCCTTACAAGACTCTTCTATTCGCATTGTCCCTACTTCCGCCTCCAACTACCACCTTCCACACTCGCAAGTCCAAGACTGTAGTCCCACCTGCAGAGGAACCATCGCTGGAATACAAACCCGTCTCTCCAACCGCCCTCAAGAAATCCAAGAAACTCCACGAGGCAGCTGTCCGAAAAGCCGCCAAAGAAGCGGCCGGTGCTGCACAGCGAGAAAAAGAAGTCGCCGAAAAGGCTGAAAAGGAAAGACTTAAGCTTGAAGCTGCTAAAGCCTTTGTCTTGAAGGAAGATGCTAGCCTTCCTATCGCCAAATCTATCAAAATTAGGGATTCTACCGCCCACCGCGACACCCGTGTCAAAGTTTCCGGCTGGATTCACCGTCTCCGAGTCCAGGCACATATGATCTTCATTGTCCTACGAGACGGAACAGGGTACCTTCAGTGCATTCTCGAAGGTGATTTGATCAAAACCCTCGACGCACTTCAATTTATCGAAGAAACCACAATTACAATCTACGGGACTATCAAGACCCTACCGGAAGGCAAGACCGCACCCGGAGGTCACGAACTGACTGCGGATTACTATACTGTGGTTGGCAAAGCCCCAAGTGGTGACGCTGCGATTGGCAACATCGTCGCCCCAGATGCGGAACAACAAATCAAACTTGACCAACGTCATTTAGTCCTCCGTGGTGAACAAGCCTCCGGAGTTCTTAAAGTCCGTGCTGGTGTCCTTCGTGCTTTCCGCCGAGCATTCGAAGACCTAGGTCTTCTCGAAGTTACCCCGCCATGCATGGTTCAAACTCAAGTCGAGGGTGGTTCAACCCTCTTCGAGTTCAACTATTATGGTGAAAAGGCCTATCTGACACAATCCTCGCAATTGTACCTCGAAACCTGCCTTCCTGCCCTCGGCGACGTTTTCTGCGTCCAAGAGAGCTTCAGAGCAGAACGTAGCGTTACCCGCAGACATTTGTCCGAGTACACCCACATCGAAGGTGAACTAGCTTTTATTTCGTTCGATGATTTGCTCTCCCACCTTGAGGAACTGATCAGTCGTGTTCTCGACTACGTTCTCGAAGATCCTAGCTGCAAGGATATTATCAAAGAGCTCAACCCCGATTTCAAGGTACCTGAGAGACCATTTATGAGAATGAAATACGAGGATGCGATTAAGTGGTTGAACGAACACGACATCAAGACAGACGAGGGTAAAGATCATGAATTTGGAGACGATATCGCTGAAGCTGCGGAGAGGAGGATGACCGATATGATCAACCGCCCCATCTTTTTGACACATTTCCCAGTAGAAATCAAATCGTTTTACATGAAGAGGGACGAGTCAGATAAGAGGGTCACGGAGAGTGTAGAGTACGTATACTCAACCCCCCCTTTTTTTCTTGAGTGATAAGACTGTTTATATTTGATGAAGAAACTTGATACTGACGAGCTGGATTTGCAACAGTGTCCTGATGCCTGGCGTCGGCGAAATCGTAGGAGGTTCAATGCGCATGGATGATCTTACGGAGTTGATGGGAGGTTATGCACGTGAGGGGATCGATCCTGCACCTTACTATTGGTTTACAGACCAAAGGAAATACGGAACTTGTCCACACGGAGGTTATGGGTTGGGTCTAGAGAGGTATTTGGCATGGCTGTGCAACCGTTGGACAGTTAGGGAATGTTGTTTGTATCCTAGATATGTGGGGAGATGTACACCATAGACAAAGACTGATAGCCTCAAGAGCTAGAGGTGTTGATCGAAATGAGATGTATTGTGCCCCGAGGGAATGGTGGTTCATGTCGTTTAGTCTAGTTGGGGCACGAGATCGATATACATAGATACATTTACTTAGGGCTTCGGTGCTGATTTCAGTATATCACCTGTTCTTTTTCTTCTTCTTTTTTTTCTTCTTGCTCGCGATCGATATCGAAAGAGAATCTAATCCAACAACCGAAGTTGTTTCCGGGTCTTGGTTCCCGGTTCCCAAAGCCAACACAGAATCTCTGACCTCTCCGCGCGGTTGGGCGGTTTCAAAGCGCTTTAATCGACATGGTCTCTTGCGTGCGGGCGGCTTGTTCACCGTTTTCGTTTTTACAACAGATACAACACGGAATGTTGCGAACCTCACGCAACATATTTTAGGGTCAGGTAAGATAAGACACAACTTCAATCTATTTATTTGAAAAATCTGACTGCTTCGACTGCTCCTTAGTAGAACTTCTAGGGTGATGGACCTGGGATGAAGGGAACTTGCCTTTTTTCCCCTTCCGAGTGGTCATGTTAGCACATAATTTATTTACCTCGACCACGGAGCCATGGACCAATTGGGAGCGAGAAAAATACAACAAGTCTTGAAGCAAATTTGTGTTGCGAGGTCCTCGATTGTGTTGCATTGTAGTTGCATTAGAGATGGGGTGCGGCCTGCGGATGCAGGGAAGAGCATAGCCTCGAATCCGCACAACTGATCCCGTGAAACCAATTCTTGCACGCACGCATTCTTTTCAAAAATAGATCAACTGGCGGGATACAGTCTCGAAACTTGGGAGGCTTGGAGTGAGATCCCTTTTTTTTTTAACTCCTTTCTGTGAATGTGCAACATGACCAACAATTGCAGCGTAGGTACAAGTGTGTGGCAGGTTCAAGCACACTAGCTTGGGCACAAGCAGTACAACCGGTCGTGAAACGTTTAAGCGGGATGATATCACCCAATTCCTGGGCGAATATAGCATCAATTTCTTTAATCGATAGTCTGATCCTGCTGGGGGTGAACCTGCGTGCTGTGGTACTAACACCATCGAAACGGTATTGATATTCGTTTCTTCTTTCTCCCGTTTGTTCGCAAAGTTAGGGTGTACATGTAAGAGGACGTTTCCCCATATTTTGGGTTTGCGGTCATAGTGTTACTAGTAGTTGTAAGTAAGTATCTACCTAGGTACATACGTACGAATTCACTCGAGCCGCAAAAATGACTTACAGGCCTGGCTTGCCTGTGGGCATATATGCACAGGTGCTTTCGATTCCAAGCGGCTCAACTTGATTCTAAAACTAACTGAACTGAAACTACATGGTGTTTGAAGGGGGTATGAATATACGTCTAGCTAACCCTTTTTTCTTTTTTTTTTTTTGGGGGGGGGGAACCCGATAGTAACTTGTTTTCATTTTTGGACCTACGAACGTTCGAACTTCGAGATTAGCCTTTTGTAATTAGAACTAAAACCCGTACCCGGAAGCTAGGAAGCTAGGTATGTTTGTACGCCGTGTCTTTTATATGGTTTACGAGACCACGTATGTACAAGTGTACAAATAGAATATACCACCTAGGTATGATATTCCCCAAATTTCAAGTGGTTGTCGAAATCATAAGTACAATGATGCTGAAAGACTTGATTAATTAATTGACTCTTAGGAGGAATCGGGCGATTGCCCTTTCAATGTGCGCTTGCAAGATACGACGATAGTATTTTATTTATTTATTTATTTATTTTAAAAAAAACCAGCTAATATAAATTAGTTCGCGACTGACGATAAATGAGAATATATATTAATGAAAGTAAATCAAGGAAAATGAAAATAGCGCAACAGAATGGATGAAAGCGAATCAATGAACACGAGTGGATGAAAGCGAACCGACGAGGATATATGAATGGATGAACACAAACCAACGAAGACACATGGATACGATCAGATTGACAAAACCGAATAAATCGGATGGCAAGAAAGAAAAACTTGCGTGATCTTATACTATCAGTAGTCCATTCGAATATTCGCTCACCCATGAACCGTAAAATGGGGTAACTTGGTGTATGTTTGAGTTTAGCCCGCCGTTTTGTATCATGATATCTTCAAATGTTATATAATTACTTCCTATATTGCCATCAGCATAGACCTTTATCATAGATATCCGAGTGTTCTCGGCTCCTTCTAGTTTCAGGTTTATATGTACATCTAATAATGTTATAGAGTCTGGATTGGGTAGAGAATTGGTAGGGAAAAGATATGCTAAGTAGATTGGCGTACCGAGTCATTTTTTAAGGCCCTACTTAGTTGGACGAGGTTTAGGCGGCCGAGTGTCCTTCGGTTCGGGACGTATTCTGTCGTAATTGTATCCATATTCATCGGGTACACCATCGTACATACTAAATTCGAAACCTCGGTCAAGCCAGGCAACGTCGGGGAACGGTTCGTTTTCGCCCCAATCAAATGGGAGTGGCTGAAATTCATCGCCCGGGGACAAAGGTGGCTCATCCCATTGTAACGGCGGAAGCGGCGGAATGCTTTGGTCCGGCCCCGGCCGCCCTGGTCGTCGTCGACCTACATATCGTTCGTCTAATGGGGGTTGCCAGATATTTCTTCGGTCATCTTGCATAAGCATGGGTAAAGGGGGACCTAGAGTATTAGGATCGAAACCAAGGCTTTCTCCATTGAACTCATAACTGAAATGCCTATTGTGATTCCTAACTGTGGCAGGTATGTTGTCTAGGGCGGTACGGTAATCCGAGGCGTCAGCACCCTCGATAGGCGCCGGCCGTGTAAGATAAGCCGTGCAAAAACAGGCTGTTGCCGTTTTAACCAATTTAGCATTTGAATTGGCAGTAACCTAATATATAGAAACAGGTTCCGAGTGCAACAGGGCAAAGAGCTTACTGCAGGGAGGAGAGGTGTATAACTTACCAAAGACTAAAATGCATCGTGCTATTGTAAGCTCCCCCCTACAATACTTATGGTCACTAGTAACCATAGCCCCCTCACCAGTACAGCTACAAGTATAACATCGAACTTGCCGCACCCTTATGACATCGTCCATACGTTGAAAACTTCCCTTTGCTTTCCAATCTGTCCAGTGCTTCAGTTCAAAATTAGGGAATTGGGGATCTAGAAACGGCTTTTGGTTGTACACAAAGTGACGAGTATGACATCGGACAATCAACCCCTTCTCGCCATAAAAGAACGACGGAGGTACGTCGACTTTTTTCGCTAGTGTGTTGTTGCTGTGCTGCGCTTCAGCTGAGGATTTCGTGGCACTACGAACTGATGATACATCCTCGCCACCATATGATTGCATTAACTCCTTGAGAGCCTCTGGTGGAAGCTGGCGTTTCGATAAAGTGGTGGCAACATTGATGGTAGTAGGCTCTGGTTCTGGTTTTCCTACGAAATGTGTGACGGGTTTGATAGACGTAGGTGAGGGCCCGCCCCGTTCCGGAATAGTTATAGTTTCAATGAACGAGAGGTTTGTAGTCAAGAAAAAGAGTAGCAATGGCGAAATTAGCCCTCTAGGGCGTAATTGCGCATGCATTCTGCGACTAGGGCAATAGACATATGAACAAGCTTAGCCTTAGATATTCGAAACCTGGGGAACGAATGCTGTTCGCAGAGGGAGAGAGTAGGATCCTTATATTATATTGCAGAGGTATACTGAATTGGCATCGTCGGCGCTCGGTCGAGCTGTTCATGGTGCAGACATCTAAGTGTGATATGTCTACTGACATGAGAGTTAGTTGGCACGCACTGAGAGTATTCTTACAACGCCTAACATATCGTTTCATCTGCCACATATATGCGTAGAGCGGTGGCTATTCTGATATCGAACACTTCAGAATTACGGGTTGGCAGCCTCCAAGTCAACATTCAGCTTCAGATCAAACGTGCGCGTACGCGGCGAGTTTTTTTTTTGCCTTAAATTCGCTGTGCGCAAATTTGTTGCCATAACGAAGTTTGAGGTTCATTCGTGCCGCTAGGGTTGTTTGGTTCGGTCCGATTCTGAGGGATGGCCATACGTATATACAGTTGGTCCCGTCGAAATTCCATATTTTTTAGCGTCACTGGATAGAGCGTGGGCAGAATACCCACCCGGCCAGAGTATACAGTACGCGATAATCATGGTGACGACCGTATGGGCATACATGTGCGGTATCACGCTTGTAAGTACAAGCTTGTGGAATGGGCCTCTACCAAGTCCAGGTGCTTGGATCTGGCCGGAATCGATCGATCCCGAATCAATTTCTCAGGAAGATTAAAGAAGAGATGACTGTTAGTTCGGGACACCAACGGTGCAGGAAATTCGCAAGTCCGCCTCAGTCTGTATTCGAGGCTAAGCTTCCGTTATGTTGTTAGTGCTCCCTCCTGGGTGCCACAAAACTTGAAGCCGTTTTCCAGCCCAAGGCTCACGACGTGTAACTTGTTCCTTTGGTGTGTCGTTTCAGCTCTAGATTCGTTGGCGGCTGGAACGGTAAGGGTAGGCAAGAGAGCTCTATTCATGGCCACAGCCTGATATTTGGGGCATGTCCCACGGATCAGACGAATACAGCTTTCGGTGCCTCAAATTAATCGATTGCCTCTGTGTTTGTGCAAGTGTGCAAGCATCTAACGTTAAGCATCACTCTGTTTTTCAGGTTTTGGGAATGGCGGGAAGCAACAGCATGGGAAATTGAGGATCCTGTGCCATGCGTGCCATGGCCATGGCCGTCTCGTAGAACAAAGAGGGACTGTTCCGAGGGTTTCTCTTACTCTTCCTCCTGAGTTCCTTCGGAGTCATAAGTGAAGGATCAGTCGAATGTTGGTTCACGATCAACTCCCCTCCCGTTGCAAAGAGTTCCCTAAATATGATTAGAAGATGACGAAGGGGCCACCCGAAGGAAAGTTGGTGTAATGTTGAAGGCCCAGCTGGTTGGGCTGGCTGAACCGAAATTAAACTACCACCACCAGAAGTGGGTCGGTTGCTTGCAAACTGTGCAGCCATGATCATTCGTAATGAGACCCTTTTTCACCGGCCCCAGGCACCTAGGTTCACTCTGCGGGTGGCACCCACACAGTGGATATCAACAAGGAATATCATAATTAATGGCCAACTTGAGGAACGGTACAGTCGGTACGATGTCACCGAAAGTCGAACCCAGACAGCTGTACAGATTGCAGACGCTGATGCGAACCGACACTAGTGTTCGAAATGTGACCTATTCGATATATTCGGTTCCCTGAATGCAATGTGAACTTCCTCTTGTAAGTACTTACATATACATACACAAGCAAGAAAGTAATTAATTACCTACTTACCCGACCCAGCCTCGAGTCGAACCCAGGCGCTCGAGGAATAGAAACATTTGTTGTTTTTGCGAGCGCGATGCAATTGCTAGCTTGCAAGTTCGAAGCTCGACGTCGTTGGGCAGCTGCGGGTTTTGGCGCTGTGGTTTCAACACGTTCAACTTTCCCAGTAAAATCGTTTAATGGAGACAAAATTTGATGATCGTTGAGCATTCCCCCCCCGGCCGCATTATAATTAGCGACTGCAGCATAAGACGAGACAAGCCCGATGCAGATGGAAGAGAGTACTTACGCAGCACAAGTATCGATATTTGCATTCCGGCATATTTCCGGCTGGTTGTACAGCAGGGCCAAAGCTGAATTCGAAGCCAATATTAATAATTCGGTTCTCGCCAGGGTATATAAAACCCGTCATAAGTCATCATGATATCGAGTCGACATATCGGTTACAGTTTCAGTCCCAAAAGATAACATTTGTGAATATTCGAGGGATCCGTCCGAGATGAGCTGCAGCGCTGCAGCTGGGGTTCCCTGACGGGTCCAGAGGGGCTCTTTCCGTTTTGCACTATTCTGAGTAACTCGCACTCTTCATCTGATCATGGTTCATGATTCACGGCGTTCATGAACCTAGCTTCTCCTGATAATCTCCTAAATCAACTGATACGATGAGAGATCGATCGATCGGCTTGGGGGGGTTGACCTGCCTCTGGTCGTTTTGCAATTGCTGCGTACATCTCCAGGCCAGTGTTGATATCACCATCGATCGATATCACCATCGATCGATATCAGCATCAACATCAACTTATATAAAGTCCGGTACAGCGAATTCGAATCTTCTTCCAGCTCCCTTTCTCTATAACTATATCTACCCCCACTATATTATTCATAGCCTCTAAGCCATATTGAAAACTTGGACAATATCTAATTATCTCGATATATACTCGGGCTAATTAACTACAATCAACCGAGCCAGGCCACCTTATATATCCTGCCTGGAGGTCCTATAAACAAAGAACGTATAGCTATATAATACGTATCTCGGTATTTTTATCAGACTCGACGAGATGCCAAGTGTGCAGGCTCAACCCACAAACCAGGAGGCTGCTCCAATTGCAAATCCTCCTTCAAGTTCCGCCAACGGCCGCCCCGTCGCTGGCGTCGGAACTGTAAGCCATATTCTTGATTCGATTCCTTTATTGTTTGGCTCTTGATTTCAATCTTACTGCTCTCCATCGCTATACATTTCTATCGTTTACTCATTACATACTTTGTTGATTAGGATGGTACCGTCACCTCGAATCATGGATTTCAGCTCTGTTACCGGGTTTTTTCGACCACAGCGGTTAAAGCTCCATCCCAAACCGTGCCGCTTACTGAGGAGCACCTGAAGCAAGTCCCCGAGGAACACAATTATGCAATCAATAGATGGCTCTCCGAGTAATCTATCATTATCGTAATAATGCTTCTTGCGGTTTGGATTTCTTGAACGGGTTATGAGAGGGCGTCAAGGAAAATATTCTTCGATGTAGTTTTTATCCTAGGTTCTTGCTTATGTCTGTCTTTAGTTTGGGGATATCGGATGGCCTGTTATATCACATTATCATTCAGCGGGTGTTTGCTGTTATCTGTTATCGATATCGTGTATGAGATACCACAATTCAGCGGGAGGGGCGGGGACGGGAGGGGCGTATGGGCACGTTCTTTTTTCATATTGTACGATGCTTGGATCGCATATCGAGAACGACTCGACAATAATAATTTTTTTTTTTTTTTTAAACTTCACCGAAAGTTTCGCAGCTCCAAGAGACCTTCAGTTACACTACGACTGGTGACTATAGGTACATACACTAAAACTCCACCCCTCCCCGTGATATAGAAAACGTGTGAGGAAAAATAACAATAAACCAATGTAAAAAATTTCGCCGAAACACCATATTTCCTATTTTCAATCATCGCTCGTGAACAAGGTGTGGATTGGATACCACCTTGGCACTTGGAGGACCCTAAAATTATGCTGTCCGCTGTCCGCTGTCCGCTGGACTTGCGAACGAGGCTGGACTTATGCCAGATAAAAGTAAAACGGATGGATTATTGGGACATGAACAAGCTCATTAGTCGTGAATAAATTAATACTCTACCATCTCCTCCTCCTCCTCGCCCCCCGGCCGTACACTTGGAACAGGTGACGGTTCTTTGTTTGGAGCCCCCAGATCCTTTGAATGTCTTCGTGAACTCTGATATTGATTGCTGGGAACTGCTGGAATGTCTTCCTGCATTGTTACATCTTCTTTATTTAACTCCTCGTCTGATTTCTCTCGTTTTTGGTCGCGAATGGTGGTGGGTGATACGGGCTGGGCTGTAGATACGTCCATCAAGTGCCCGGAGTTGGGTGGGGTCGGCGAGGGTCTGTTTCTTGCTGCCATTTCTTTTTGTTTTTCGATTACAAGTTCCTGCGACCGGAGAAGTTTCCAGGGACGGTAATACTATTGAAGATGTTAGAGTAAAGGTCACATACCATATTTAGGGGGTCTCTCTCTCGTACAATCTTAGACTTTGATTTTGTAGCCAAAAAGTTCGCCATGTGGCTTTCATTCCTTCGCCGGATTTGAGCCTGTGCGATAACCAAGCACTGTAAGCTACCACGTACACTGCAAAAACCGAACGTTGGGGCGGCGCCCTTACAGCATGGTTAGCAAATACTTTCTTCTCCTCCTCTTTTAACTCCCTATTCCTCTTTAAATCAGCCTTATCTTCTTCCTCCTGCACTCTCATCTTCTCCTGCATCTTCGCATCGACTTCTTGTCGCTTTCTAGTTCGAGAATCCTGCGACACTCGACCGAGGTTGCCGAGGAAGGAGCCGAACAGGCGTTGACTGCGGGATTTCTCATCTTGACCAGAACCTGGAGCTAGACGGGTACGCTTTGGGTTTACGAAGTCCGTAGGGGTATCATCGGATGATTCACGGCGTTTGAGGCGGGAGGAAGGAGGTGGTGAGGGTTGTGTCGCGTTCGGAGGGATGACGATGGCAGACGCGATTCTAGCGCGGATGTTAGTACATGATTCCATACAATCGCGCCGACAGAGCTCATCGGTTATGGAAAAACCTACATCGGGGTATCGGTCGACATTGTTTTCGAACTTCATATGAAAGGTTCCTTCTCTTCCCCTCTCTTCTCTTCCCTTATTTTTTTTTCTTTTTCCTTTTTTCGAGGCGAATTTCGAGAATGATGATTAAGATGAAGTGAGGTTGGGATGGGTTTGGGTCGTCCCGAATGTGTGGTTCTGCTAAGCTAAGGAAGACTAGGAACTCCCGCAGCTAACCTTCTTCTCCATAGCCACTCCACAAGTCAACCACCATCCACCACTCACCATCACCACGAATATCGTCTAGGTACGGCTTAACCATTAAATATACTCCCAAGGAGATACTGCAAAGGGATCAAGGGGTTGGATCGCGCTACGATGGAGAACCCAACATATACCGCACCGTCGCAATCGGCTGCCGGAATATCTAGTTAGTCAGACAAGCAGGCAAACGGCTTGTTTGCGTTCCAGTTGATATTTTTATCTTGCTAACAGATTTCTCTTTCACAGAGCTGAACGGGTACCAAAACACCTTGATCCTGAAATTTCAGAATATCATTGAGCTTGCTACGGTATGGATCTCTTTATTATTTATTGTAGTACATCTGAGACTCTGACTTGCAACAGGAGGATACCGCCGATTTAACTATGGCTGCGACCCAAACACACCAAATCCAAGTTCATACTGCTGCTATGGTTCGTAGCTTTCGTGCATTTTCTTCTGAATTTCCAATCCTTTGGTTTTCATATCTATATCTAGGACCTTTATACTTTACCAGATATGGTATCATGTCGTACTAACATACTTTACTCTCTTTCGCTCAGATCAAGACAGTCGAGGATCTATTAACTCTCACCAGAGCTCTCAAGGAAGCTTGGTTATTCGGTCAAATGGGCGAAGACGTCGCTGACCAGAATGGGGAGAGCTCCACCGGAGTTTCTACAAATGGCAACGAACAAATTGACGAAGATGCAAAATTCGTGGTTGAATGGCTGAGGACGAAGCTTCGCGAAGGAAACGTGACAGACGACATAGGAGATGGCGGTGATGGGAAGTGAGGCGATGTAGAAGTCTGACAAGATGGAAGCTTAAATGGGGGACGGAGCCAGAACCCTACTCTTTGGAATAACGTTTGCCACTTCGTAGGGTCTTGCTGGCAGGCCATCCTTTGCTTTTGGTCCCGAAGTTAGTGGCTTTAGCCTCTTCGACGAGCCGGTCAACCATTCTGCGATATTTTTTGCCCTTGTTTGATTTCTTGACCCCTTTGGATGTGCTGGTGGTCGGCTTTGGTAGTGTAGTCGTACTCTTGGACGTCGCCTTAGGCTTCGACCCTTTACCCTTTGGCTTCGGTTTCGGTTTCTCCTCCTCCTCTTCCTCCTCTTCTTCTCCCTCCTCTTCTATTTCCTCTGAACCTTCTTCTTTTTCTTTGGACTCAACGGTCCCGGTTTCATCAACCTCTGTTTCTTCGGAGTCACCCTTCTTCTTCCTCTTCGACTTCCTTACCTCAGACTCATCGACTTCGTCGGGCTTTCGCTTAGACTCTTGGGTCGTTCTAGCCTCGGAATGTTCTTTGTCTGTAGGAATCAAATTTCTGAGTGTCTGTTTGGAATGAACGGCAATTTTATCTGGATAAATCTTACCAGCTTTAGCGAGGTCTCGAGCACGACCGTAGACCCCATCGAGTTTTGCTGTCTTCGGTTTTGATTTTGACTTAACAGACTTCTCAGTAACAACTTTTTCTACTTCGTCGTCGTCCGTTTCCTCCTCCTCCTCCTCTTCTTCTTCAGCAGCAGCTTCTTCAGCTTCCTCATTCCCTGTTGTTCTGATGCCTCTGCCGTTTCTCTTGAAGGCTACTCTAGATGTGCCGGCATAAGCCTTGGGTACAGTTTTCGTATTGGGCCTCGACTTGGCTCTCGAGTTTTTAGACTTCTCTTCCACGTTCCCCTCTTCCTCTTCCTCCTCCCCCCCCCCTCCTCCTCCTCCTCTTCTTCTTCTTCTTCTACATCTTCGGTATCTTCTTTAGTTTCACTTCGCTCATGCTCTTTGTTGACAGTGGTTTCTTCATCACTATCTCCTGCAACTCCTGAAGTAGATTTAAGGGCCCTAATTCTTGTAGAGGAACGGGTGGCAGTCTTTGGTGTTTTCGGCAGAGTCTCTACTGGAGTCTTCGCTGAGGTCTTGGATGGAGTTTTTGCAGGTGGTTTGGGCGTTTTACCCCGGGGTTTAGATGGAGTCTTGTTATTGACTTTGGCTGCCATGTTTGCTTGTGATCACGAGTACTTTTGGTATTCCACCAGGAGGAAATGGGGTTTAAGAATCTTAGAGGCCTTTGGTTTTGTATCAAATATATATGAAGGTATATGTTACGACGAGAAGAGAGGAAGAGAGAGAGAGAGTAAAAGAGTTCTCCGAGAATAATATAGGGAAAGAGGTGGATGAATCGAATTAAGTAACAAAAGGAACAAAAGTGGGAGGGAATCATATACTTTTATCGATCGTGCGCTATTATAACTACCTACATGCAAGTAGAACCCCCTTCAGCGGGTGCAACATTTTAGCGAGCAGGCGCGCGCATCTTTGAACCTTTGAAACAAAGATATTTCGCCTCCAAACCTTGGGGATGGCATGGAATGTAGGTATTCTGATGTATATAGCGCAGAAGCAAAGAGCTAGTGGGCAAGCGCATGGCATCCTTGCGGGAGAAGCGTATACATGCATAATATAAGTCCATACGTTACAGCACTTAATCGTTTTGGAATATATGACACGAGGAGGTCAACCAGCTTATCTATTTGAGTACATAGATTTATTTAAAAATAAGCATGGAAAAATTATTATTTACTCTCGACGAAGGATTTGAATGAATACTCGGGAATCGATATTGCAATAACCAATATCTGTCTCGGTTGATCAAATATGAAGGTTGCAAGCCGAAAGCTATCACAACGAGGCCAGTTCAGTGCCATGGCTTTTAATTTTACTAGCCTCATGGCGCTTTCACAACACCAAAAGCTAAGGACAAAACGAAATGCAACATGTTGTAAAAACAATGCAATGTTGACAACATGAACTTCATTCAGGGTGCTAATAAGGGTATATATACTAAGTAAGTACCTAAGTATGTATGTACAAATTTTGGATAAATGTGTGATTATTTACAATCTGAAGCGACCAAGCCAGGTACTTGGGTGCTGTGTGTTTACCACCACGAGGCAAGGAGGTCGGCAACCCTCTTACCCATATAGTCCTGGATGATAACTGCCGGATGGAAGTTATTAGACCAAGCATAGGTAAGGTCGTTTCCGTATAGAGTGACATCGGGGTTCATTCCAAAGGTAGCTGGGTTATTCAAGACGGTGTTGTAATCAGCGTATGAGTCGTAGAACCAGAATGTAGTCTAAAAAAAGCAAACGTGCAGAGTTTATGTCAGCTGTATCCCTTGGAAAGTAAAGTTTGGGGGGGCAACGGTGAGAATTATTTCTTACCCCAGAGTGTGTAGCCTTGAAGTTGGTAATATAAGTCTGCAACTTGGTGCTCCACAGCGCAAGTGCTGCTTTAAGTCCATCTCTTGCGGCTTGGGTATCTGCCAACATCATTGGAGTCCTCTCAATAGCAGGGATGTTGGAAATCAAGAATTGTCTACCACCGGAGTTGTACATCTTCTCGACAAGTGCGAATTCAGCGGTCAACAAGGTATCAACGAAAGTAAGCCAATCGGGCTTCCACCACGAGTTGGCAATATCGTTGATACCAATGAATACAGAAAATAGTGTGTTCGACGAGCTCCATGGAGCGCTAGCGGGTTTGTTGGCATAGTAGGTGAGGAATTGGTTGGTTTGGTCGGTGAGCGAGAGGACATTGCTAGCGTATGGTTGAACGAGGTTGGCATCGATGGTGGCACCACCGTAGGCGAGGTTATAGGTAAGAACCAAGGAGCGGTTGTATTTAACAGTAGCAACATCGATCCAATTTGGACCATTTGCAGAAGTCCAACCTGGATAAGGGGGGTTTCCAAGTGGGTTTCCAATTGCTGGTTGAACACCATTGGGGTCAAATCCGGTTTGGGTGTAGGAGTCACCACTTGTATCTTGTTAGTTTTAAGATATTCGAAGATGGCACCGTAGCAGGGATCTTGTATATGCAACTTACAAACTAAACCAGTACTTAATTCCAGGAGTACCAGTCGATGTTGCGGTGGCGCTCGAGGATGTAGTGGTTCTGGTTGAGGTCGTGGTTGACTTCGTAGTCGTCGAACTTGTCCTCACAGACGAAGAGGACGACGACGAAGTTCGTACCGACGATGTGGTAGTCGTGGTAGTAGTTGTCTTGATTGTCGTGGCGGGGGTAGTGCTTGCACGAGTGGTGGTGGTCGTCGTTCCCACCTGATCGCTGGGGATACATTGCCAGTAGTACTACAATTCTTATAAGCCTAATATCCCATCTATATTTTTATTTGAAGCAATTGATTCTTACATCGTTAAGATACTTGCAGCTGTAACCGGAGACACAAGTCGTCGGACCTGTGTATTGCACACCACCACATTGTTGCCATGCTCCGCTCTGAGCAGAGACGGTTGAGGCGGTGAGCCCAAGGGCGATAGCCGCAAGAGTATTTCTCTTCATTGTCGAATATCACAACTGATGCTGTTCTAGCGCAAGGTCTTGATTGAATCCAGGATATTGATCTTTTCGGCCAACCGGTGGTATGGAACCTGGGCCCTTTTGCTCTTAAATAACTAAACTAGGTGGCTAGAGGTCTCTAATATTCGTCACAACAGATCCGGTCCCCTTTGAAGTATTCCCGCTCGGATTGATATCCGACCAGGCCATGAGATCCTCAGCGCCATAGAAAATCTGAAGGCTTAAACCGTCCCACCTGTTAAGCAATTATGTATGCATACAGACAAAGTTATCAAGAACGCGAGCGGAACCACTGCTTCCATCTCTCTTTTTGGGAAATTTGGAGCTATACGCACCGGAGACAGTGAGCAAGTTTTATATTAAGACCCGATTACCCACATTTGGAACCCAATGCATTGACAAAAAGCATGCCCACGATCTGGATCTGGTAGTCCTAGTGCAGCTATCCAGTGGAGACGATTGGAAACGAGGGCCTGCAAGGGCCACTTTGTGGTCAATGGCATGGGTGGCGTTGTGGTATTTTGCGGGCCGTGGCGCCGTTGAACCTGAAACCATGGTCTCGATTAGTCCGGTACGCTGCATGGAAGCTCAGGAACCACGTTTTCCCATGCAAAACTCGGACTCAAGATCTCCGGTTTTGTGGAATTAGGTTTTTTCTTTATATTTTTTTTTTAGATCGGATATGCATGCGGACATTGTCGGATTATTCGGATTGGTAAGTATACGTGTTACCGGGCAGCTATCGCGTCTTAATTAGAGGTTGGAAGCCCGGCCGGGTGAATTACCTACTCGGTAATGGCATACAGGCACAGTTATGGTCTTGAAATTTGATGTCGAATTCAAAAAATATTATTTGATTAAATAGCTTATTAACTATTACAGTACATATATGCAATCCACCGGATGAGCGGAAGTTGGTCATTCCAGCCAGTTACAAAGCTAGTATTCCCTTTGTGTATATAGATCCAAACATCTCCAAAATGCAATGGATGCCCGTAAAACAAAAAAGGAAAAAAGGAAAGAGAAGGAAAAGAAAAAAATTGGCTCGTCCAACTTAACTATAAAGTGTTTCGTATGCACCAAAGCGAACCCGGGCACTTTTAACGAAAATTAAGAATCAACGTCATGTAAGTAACAGTGGATAACGTTGTCTCATAAACCAAACCATGTGAACCACCCAACCACTGAACGTCAACGTTACACATATTCCAAATCTAAAATTGTACATGAATCGAATCGCCCTAACCAAGCTAAGCCAAATAGTTATAATAATAAACAGTACTAGTGCTACCGTAGACCTTTTAAAATATATAATTAGGTCGTTTGTTTCTTACTTCTCAATCGTGATCTTCGACTCTAACCACCGTAGAAATCGCACACTCTGCATATCCACTCCTCTCCAGAAAACATCCGCCCACCAGACCGTCACCGGAAAAGTAATAAAGAAAAACCCAATAACCACGATCATAGAGTGGGTTTGATCGTGTCCAGATATCAAATCCCACTGCCCAGACTTATCATTCCACCGAACTATCCCCGTCAATCTGGATCCCGTCAATACGATCCAATACCCGAGAGACCGGTGAACGTGCCCATGCATAACATATAGAGCAAACGAGATCTTCCCAAAATATTGCACGGGACGGTTAGACAGTATCAACCTCTGAGCACGGGGCATATACAACAATGCCCAAGAAATCAATATGGCCCCAATACTCTGCCAAAAGTCGTGGGATTTATCGTAGCGGGCGTTCACACCGCCTATCGGGTATTTAGACGGCGTCCAAGGGAAAAGGAATTGGTACCCCGTCGAAGTCGATTTTTGACCGGCTTCCATCTTACGTGGATAACTGGCGAGGTATAGACCCGCCGTAACCATAAACGTAAGTAGAGACGTTCGAAGAATGCCCTTAAGCCGCAGGAAGCGTTCCGGTATCTCCTTTGTAGAGGCAGGAATAGGAGAAGAGACGGCGATGACCCTGTCGCTATGTAGTTCACCGAGGAAGTAGCCGAATGCAAAAAGCGACAGTCCCCATGCATTGTTATAAAGTGTATAGGCGCATAGGATCGGGAGACAGAAAACACGTAGCCATCGTTGTAGCGTGCAGCCACCCACTACAATGATAAAAAGTTGAAGTGAACATCGGAATTCAATGGGAATAGTCCAGAGGTGAACCTGGGCGTATCGGCATTATTAGCTGTCGAACTGTCTCGTATATGTCACGATAGCTAGAAAGCTGGCGATTCTGATATATATATATATCAAAGGGGGTATTCTTAGCTCACATCGGTATTGTAACTTTCATCGCTAGCACCGAGGAAAGTAACCTTAAAAGCAAATGCATAAAAATCCCAGAAGGTATATACTAGTTGACCCCATAGACTACCCTTCATAGGAGGCCGTCTTTCAATAGTTCCTGTGATCCATGTGGGATGAGTGTCCGCGGGGTAAATCTCAAACAACCCTGCGGATACCATCAACCAACATAGAAGATAACCACCGGCACATGGGATAAACAATCGCAAGAAGCGCTTCCATATTGACGATGAAAGATTGTGTAGGAGCGCTGGGCTGTCGAGTGTGTTTTTCCTTGGGACTCTAGTGATCCGAACGGCTTTTACGGTTAAAGCGAATCCCGAAATAATATAAAATATCTTGACCATTGGCGGTCCGTGATGAATGAGCTTGATGATGGGCAACTGAAGCCAGCCAGTCTGCCCTTTTCCGTCATATGGGTATTCTAGGTTCTTGGAGAACCCATAGGCGTAGTGGTGAATAACAACAGCAACACAAGCGACCCCACGAAGACCATCTAGCCATGCTGTCGGCGAAATTGTGGCCTTGGTGATCGTACCAGCGTACCACGAGGAAATGAAACTTGGGATGAGAAAAATAATGAAATCGGCGAGTTTTTGGCGTGCTAAATGTAAGACATCGTACCCTCTAGGTATAGATCCCGAGCCAGTCAGACAACCAAAGCTAAAGGTCCCTGCTCCGTACGACCGTTTTCTTCCACGGTCGGGCGAACTCCCCAGGCCGCTAGAAGTTCTATTCGATCTTGCTATCAGTGTTTCTTCTGAATGTCTTCGACCTCTACCTCCGCTTCCTGCGTCTAGAATCTCCAGATCCCAATCAGCCGTAGGGGCCTCAGTGTAAACATCAGATGTTGGCATCTCGTGGCCTCCGCCCTAAGCGAAACTTAAGCTTTCAATTTCCTGTATCTCTCCGCCGCGGTAAGGTCTCGGCGACCCCCCCAAGAAATCTTGTACGACACACGAAGGATCCACGAGAATAGTATCGTGCGAGTAAAACGTTTCCTCGAATCCAGGTAACTTTCGTTTGGTCCAGGGGGGTAAAGGTAAGTAGTCGTAGGCGTAAATGAATCTAAAGATCGAACCGCAAACCCGATACTAAGTAGTTAAATTTTTAAAGAACGAAAATCTGGAGACTATTCTCACTCGAAAATGTCTTAAGGAGAACCACTGTTTTCATGAGAAAGTATATTTTGCCGCTCGGGATTCCAGGGGCTGAGCTGCTACTGTATAAGTTCGCCAAGGCGATTTTTTCTGACACCATTCGCCGTGTATCGTATCTGCGAACAACATATGATCCCGCCGTTAAATGATCTGTTTGGTAATAATATGCAGGTCTCGGCTCGAAAATCCATGTAAGTCGAGCACAGCCGCTTTGATAGTGCGAACGAACTACTCCAATTGGGAAATCATACAGGGCTCTATTTTCTATAACATGGGCCAACAAAGCTTAAAATTGCGTCCTCTGCACATCGTAACGGTTTCTAACAAGCCTGCCTACCTATTGCGTAGTACAAGCCAGACCAGCCTACGCGTTACGGCCTTAAATACCCAGCCAGAAAATGGTAATCCAATAGAAAGCACAACAGAGCTGAATAGACGAGTTACTCGATATTCAAGCCCGCTGCAGAAGCTAGACAGGCTAGCGGGTACGGGCAGTTTGTTTTTGTTGAGCCTGGCGGGTGAATTTCATTCCATCTGTAACAGGGGCTTTCTCGCTTAATCCTTATCTTGGGTTATCGTAAATTAAATAATAGTCTTCGTGAAGCCATAGTCTACCATTATCTTGGATTGAGATTGGTATTTTTCCTTTCTACGCATTTACCCTTTTCAAAGCGTTCTCAAACCTATATTACAATAAATTCTTCTAAGTCTACAAACTATAGTAAAAACCTATATATTAATACTATTTCAGAAAAAGCCGAGTTATTAGCCCAATGGTCAATCTTAGCATGCCAGCAATGCGGTCTCATCGCTGTATAAAATATACATCAGTTGTGTATATATAGCAGCAAGGTTCTGTATTTAGAGTATTGTGCCACAGTTGACTCCTTCCAGGTGTAGGTGGTAATTCGTATTCCTAGGGCGCTAGGACACCTACTTTTTTGTATCCAAACCCAGGCGCGCCCTGTGACCTGATCTTGCAGATTTAAAATTGGCACCCGTCAAATGTCAACGCAGTGTGGTATTGTTTTGGTAACACAAAGATCGTAAGAACCATACTTCTTATGGAAAAGGGTACGGGAACTTATCCTAAATAGGAAATACAACTGTACCAGATCCGGTTAGTTCTGTATAGTTGCCCAACATCTGACTGAGACACCTGGACATGTGCTACTTCGCTTTTGACGCAAGGAGACAAGGCCGGATAATGAATATAAAGCGACTAAAAATCCACTATAGGACGAAATTCGATGTCATCGGTCGGTACCGGTCTCGTTCCTAGCACGTTTTTTTTAGTTCGGCGCCCCGATATATATATAATATGTGGAACTGATTGATTATCTCAATCAGAGAAATACGAAAGGTCTATGCGGCTAAGCCGTCGAAACACCCCACGGAATCAGGAAAAACATACCTAGTATTCAAAGATCATTCACTAATTAGGTTTGCTTCGGGTGCAAAATAATTAAAAGGCAGAATGATGATAGTATTGTATCTAAGCTAAGCTAAACTACCATAAGATAATTGTCTCTGCCTTCCAAATTACTACCACCACCACCACCACCACCACCACCACCACCACCACCACTGCTTGCCCTATTATTCAATTCCCACTAGGTCAAAGACCTACAGTAGATGACCCATAAAGTACCTACGAGCCAAGTTCTATTTGCAAAAGGGAACTGAAAAAGGCACACCACTCCCATCGCCTCACATTCTATTCTACCAACTGTACGAATAGATGTAGCTTCTCCACATCCTTGCCACCCTTCCTCACCACCTTAAAATACTATGATATACCCCACATATCGGTTTCAGACAAGCTTGGTCATATGTGTGGGGTATTTTCATACTCTCGTGTATCTTGGGAAGTAGGAAGTACCACCATAAAAAAATATAAAAAGAAGAGGGGGGGATTGTTGAGGAAGAGATGTTTTATGTCTCTTTGGTTATTCTGGATCGTTTATCCCTCCTTGAACTATTGGCTCGACACCGATCCATAAGGAAAACAGAGGCTCGGGGAATTGAGGGGAAAGGAAAGAACAGACTAACGCAGGGATATGATTGTGAGGTTATGAAATAAGGAAACTCGTTGAAGGATTCTTCCCAGGTAAAGCAAAATACGACAAATATAGAAACGGGGACAGGAAAACGGCAGGATTCAATGAGAACACTATTCAAAGTTAGAAACGCCGTTTGCGTGATTGCCAAAACAAAAAAAAAGTATGACAGTAGAATATCAAAAGATTCCGGGAAGAAATAGAGGGATCAAGTTTTTTTTTTGTAGACCCGAGAGAGATCAGAATATGATGCTGTGTCGCTGTGAAGGTTAGTAGTTAATGAACTTTGCCAACTGATACATGTGAATTCGCAACAAGGAGACATGACTAAGGAAGAAGGCAGAAATATGAAATACTTTTGTCAGAAGAACGCCGCTTGGAAGAAAGGAAGATGGCTAGAGGAAAGAAAGACCAGCCTCCAGGGTATTAAAGGATGTAAAAGTTGTCATGAGAGTGAATGGCTGTGGAAGCAAAGGATAGAAGAGACATCAAGGAAGGACTTAACTTTAAGAAACCGTAAAAAAACAAAGTTAACAAGAGAATTCAGGGTCGTGACATAAAGATATATGTGAATCAAAAGCTAGACTGGCGGTACTGTAAACTGGTGACCAATAACTGCAAAACGGAGCTTTTGAGAAAGAACAGAAGAGACAAAAGGTGACAGACAGACCAGGAACGAGAATAATTGCCCTGTGGTAAATATACCCTGCTTCAAGTTATCTGGTAGATCGTGCGAATTAGGCACAATCACCGGAGAAATATTAAACTTGAGGGTTGGGATGGAATCAAAACTCAAAGGAACATCGAGAGAAACCTGAAAAACAATCAAAGATAAGTATCATGGCAGCAACCTAGGATATATATACAGAGGGAGATAAAAAGCCCAAATAGTCCCAACGGGATTCGAGCAAGGTTAAAAGTAACCTTCGTTGCTATCACCGGCATTAAATGAGTAATTTGGGACCGTGTTGTTAAAGTATCCGGACCCAGCATCGCGGTCAAAAGATCCAAACCGGTCGGAGCGGGAATGTTTCTTGACCTCGCGATCACGGGTTTTTTGGCGTGCTTGTCTCTTGAGACTTTCCATTCGGTATTGCTCTTCCCAGTTTTCCTCTTCTCTTCGTCGGCGAGAAGGTACCCGAGACGGTTTTTCAACTTTGGCTTCCTTGTACGCATACTCAGAGGGAATTGTGGATGAGTAGTTAGTTTTGATCGTCGATCCACGACGGGATCGCATGGACTCTACATCGACAATTTCTGGGCTAGTAGGTGGAACGCCTTCGCAAGACTGTCTTTTAGGCTCGAAGGAACGTTTTCGGCGTAATGGCCTAGATGCCGCTGCTGCAACAACAGGTGGCTGCGGTTCTAACTCCTGGTATGCCCACCATGCCGCTTGCTCTGGTTGTTCTGTAAACGAGTAGCCAGCACTCATGATTCGTGGGACTTGAGGGTAGCTAGCTAGCTCGGTGAAAGATGATTCCTCCGTCGGTACGGAAGCAGGAGGGGCCTGTCCGAAACTCATATTTGGATACGACGATGTTGATGTCGAATCATCAAAGCTACATGTTAGTTTTGGTTCCTCGGATTTGACGATCGGAGACTGGGAATATTTTGTCCTCTCGCGTTTTGTGGGCCGCGGGGGTAAAGGAGCCTTTGGTGGTGCCTTTGTCGGTGGTCCATAAGAGCCATCAACTGTGATTCCCAATCCAGTGATACCACTCTTCATGATGTCGTTCGAAGTGCTCTCGTAGTAATAGGATTCATCCTGGCTTTCCTTTCTCTTTTTGCCTTTTCTAACCTCTATGACTTCCTCTTTCCTCTCAACCTTCCTCGACACTCTTCTCTCAACATGATCAACTACTTTCTCTTCTACTTTTACTTCCTCCCTAAACTTGCGCTTCGTGGAAGTGGAAGTGGAAGTGGAACTAGACGAGGAAGTCCGTGTCCTAACTTCCTTGATCTCTCTAACCTGTCTAAACTCCTTAACTTCTGCTTCAGGATGGAAACGGACAGACTTCTTCTGCCGCCTTGCAGCCGGCGTTGGTGTGGTATAGTATGGACTACCTCCTGATGAGTATGGGGTTGGAGGAGTCGCGGTGATCGCCGGGGTGTTCGCCAAAAATGAGTCCGCCGGGGATGAGAAGTCCGACGGGGACGACGACGATGACAGGCATGATTTCAACTGACGGGGGGTTATTGGAGGCATGTATGCGGATTCTATATCAGCCCGGTACAAGCCGAGTTAGACTTTGCCTTAAACGTATAAAACTTGGAGGTCCAGTTAGGATTTTGGAGGGGCGCGTGGCATGTTACACAGGACAGTAATATGTAAATACCACATCGCGAGATTGTTTATCGACTCGACTTACTTGGGAGATGAACGGGGTTTTCTGGAGATGTATGTTATTTTTATTTTATTTTATTTAGACAGACTCGTCGTAGCTCTCCTCGCAAATGAGTGTGAATGCTCTGAACAAGTTCAGAGGCAGTTGGATATGAAACCAGATGGCCGGTTAGGAAGCCAGCGTGAAAAAAGATGGATAGAAAAACAAGATCAACGCAACAGTCTCCCGACTGTAGACGATAGTAGCAGGTTAGCACAATACCAGGCTCGACATCGGGGAATCAGATATATATGTCTAATTCTCCAGGACGTTAGAGCTTTCCAGGGAAGTGGGCAACCGGCTCCTATTATCCACTTTCGAGAGGTACCCTTTATATTAGCTTGAAGGGGAGGGAAAGGGAACTTTTATGGCGCGTTGGCTGGAGGGAAACAGCTTAAGGAAGGAAAAGAAGAAAGAAGAGTTTCGGATGGTCGAAAGTGACATATATACAGACACACCTACACGAAGGTACCTTCCCTTGCATTTTGGCGGGAGTGGTACCTACGATTGCAAGACTCATGGTTGTTTTCCTTTTTTCTCGGGTGGGGAAAACAAATATTAAATCCTTGCTTGTGATATGGTGGTGCCTTCTTGCTTCATGGTTGGTCCCGGTCCGCACCAACTCCCCATATCCCCATATTCAATATTCAGCCTCCATGCCCTTTCCGGAAAACTAATTGGAAATGTCATCGGCGGTTGTGGAGCCCATGAAACTCAACCGTTTAGAAAATCGAAGAATGACATCAAATCACCCTCTGCTTCGGTCGGTAAAAGTATGGCGGAAAGAAGCCAACGAACTGCCAGTGAGAATAGAAGCTGCTCGAGCTCTGGTGCTAGTTGTGGATGCTTCTAGGTGCTGTCTTCAGTGGTTACGCACCATGCCTCGCACACACAAGTTATCATATGGTTGAATTCGATCCCCCACCAGATGGTAGCCCCTCGGTAGTAGCTAATTTATTAGAGCGCCTTACACACTAGCTACAAAGCCTGTTGGTTCCGGCTTCCCACCTTTTGTGCTTACAGGGATTGTGAGATACGCGTTCTCACACGCGTTCCACTTAGTTGAGAACGCGAACGCACATGATGACTCGGTTTTTTTGGAGCTTCAGTCCGTCACTTGATCTACATGAAGATTACATTTCCTTCAAGGGATTTTACGTTCGATCTTGTCGAACCTGAAGTTTTACAGACATACCCCGAATATGCTCCGCTCCGAGCATGTTGAATGCCGGCGTGGTGGGACAAAACGTTCAATTGAAGTAACATGCACTGCATACCAAATACAGGGCTTGAAGGGCAGATTTTCTGATTGGATATTCGTCAGAGAGCCAACAACATTTTCTTCTTCCTGAGTTGGCTGCACGAAGCGAACCAACTGTTTCAAGGCGGCCAGGATTAGCCCTCCAAGGAGAAGGAACACCGATGTTCTTTCTAGTAGCTAGCGCAGTCACATGAAGCCGTGTCTGCAGATCCAACCATACCGCGTCCCCCTTAAGTTTCGTGGCGTCTTTCAGGCCGCAAGTACCTCAGTGCGAGGACGGGAAATTACTGTCGTTCATTTCATTGCATTGCCCCTTTCCCTTATATCTAACCCGTTGATGCATCAGAAGAGCGGGGATATCACCCTTTTGATGTTTTTATCAAATGAATTCTTATCGGAGTATTGTAGGGGTTTCTTACATCGACTCCATGATACAGCAGGGTCCTGCATGATCGATTCTGCCGTCTACACAAAAACAAGAAGATTTTCCATTCAAATCCTGGTGCTGAGCCGGCATGCCCAATGTACATAGTACCTTTTATTTCTTTTTCTTTTTTATCGGAAGGATGCATGAGAACTTTGTCATGTACGATCAAGGATCCCTTCGTAATTGAGACATCAATATCATTTCCAAAAGAAGTTAATGCATAATGGGGTTCCTAAAAAAAAAGCACGATGCCGACAGCCTTGCAACATGATTATACACACTACTTCATGGGTGGTATCCATATTCAAAGCTAAGATGGACAGAAGCTTGGAGCGGAACCTACCTAGCAAAGACGTCCTGAAAAGTCAAGGGTTCAGCTTCTTCACCTTGTGATAAAATATCATTCCAATTGAGACCAGGTCAGTGCCCAGGTTGTATTATTGTGCTACCTACTGCAGTCCATTCATCAGATTACATACATTGCACTGATTTCTAACCCGAGTTTGGTTGACGCGGACATCATCACATCGATGACCACAATGGCATCACCCACTGTCGGCACAGGCCCCACCCTTATCTATTCCCAGTATTCTGGTAACTAATCCTATTTGATTACCCCCCCCCCCCAAGGAAAAAAAAAAAAAAAGCAAAAGAGAGAGAGAGAGCCGAAGCTCTTATCTCGTAAACCATAATTAATTGCTGCTGCGGAAGCTCGGATTTTGTAATTGGCCAATCAATGTGGTGGGATAATGGAGGCCGAATCTAACATCTCCTCATATATTAGCTGAGCTCTTTGATATACTTGCCGACCCAAAGGCCTAGCTAGTAGCTATATTTAGCTCCTGCATAAGATGCCAGCACGAGCATGTCTTATGAAATCTCTATCTAGCTCTATATCACACTTTTTCATCATACCTATTTCAAAATTGGTTTATGACTTCTCGCCTACCATTTGATAGTTATCGATATAATGTTCATCACAGAGCTAGAGCCAGGTATCACGTATTCGGTATATATCATTTCCAAACTTACAAGAGGGTTGAAGATCAAGTCTAATACATCTTGAACCAAACTAACGATAACCGTATGCCGCTTAAATGCTCGTTGAAGTACTAGGCATTTTGAGTATAAAAATTTATCTAGTCCCAGGATAATAGTACTTAACTCCGACCCCATCCGCTTCTCCCAATATAGCCCTTTTCCCATCCCAGTTACCTTCTATGCCCCCAACCCTTCCTATCCTCTCTTGACAATTGATAAACCTCCTTGAGTTCCTCACTACCAGGCTCCCAAGTAACATCTAATTGGAACATATCCGGCAACTTCAACTTCTTCTCACGACAAATTTCATAATACGATGTCAACAGAAACGGCTGCATCAACGTCGGCAGCAAGTCCTTTGCGGAGAACACAACATCTTTGCTCCCCATCAATCTTCCCATATGCCGAAGCCACTGCTTTACACTTGCATCCGAATGTTCCCACATCATCATGCCGGGAAATACTTGTCGTTTGGCTTTAGGATGCGCTACCACCGTTCTAGGGTTATCATCTGTTAAACAGAGCGCGAGGTCTGTTTTGCCTGCGAAGAGGTGGATTCCTGATGTACTCCTCGGGTTGCATTCAATTGATACCAGCCGCGTGTCGCCTGGCTTTGGCTCTTCCGCAGTGTCTTTAGTTTCCAAACGAAGCTCTTCAACAAAATCGAATGCTAGTTGAAAAACTCCTTTAATCCCTACGCAACGGTTGACCAGATTAGATGATTGGGTAAAAAAAGGAGCGGTAACAGGTGGGATACCTTCAAGCCTAAGCTCCGTCGCAACGTTAGTAACATAATCATATATCCCTCTATGCTCCACGCTCTTGAAATAAACACATGAACTCCCATCTATAGTCTCCAAAACCTTGTATAACGAAAAAGCAGCTACAACGCCATCCCTGATGACCGAATACGAACAATATCTTTCCCCATAAATCCACTCTTGTGCAACCCACTTCTTTTTCATATCCAATTTGTCCAACGGCAAGTCCTTATCAGGTTTCAAATGATATACCGACTGCGAAGCTCTTCCGAATACTGGTTTTAACGCGTATTCGATTTTATCCAAATTCGGTAGATTCTTGACATCCTCTATGCTTTCGCAGAGATAATGTCTCGGTACTCCCAACCCTAGTTTCTCCATCCACTGTGAAAATTCCCATTTGTTATGTAACCGTAGGATAATGTGCTTCGGTGGTGATAGTAGTCGTTTTATGATCTCGACGTCATTGGACCCCGCTAGATGTATGATTTCCTCGTGCATGGGGATAATTAAGTGTATGTTATGTTTGCGAATGATCTCGCTAACAGCTTTTCGATAGCCTGTTTCGTCGTCACGAGGAGCTGGAGCTCGAAAGGACTGACGAACGACGTTGCTGAATTTGGCGACATGGTCTGTTAGGATGGAACCAAGTAAGCTTCAGCTTTGATATCTTTTCAAAAAGGGTCAATAGGTACAACTCTGGGGGCGTGTATCAAGAAACAAACAACCTACAGTGCATGCAATCAACGACATAGACGGTATGTCCGCATTTCTTGAGCTGTCGGGCTAAATCCAACGTAACAGGAAATCTCCCGTTCGTAAGTAAAATATTTTGAGGATGTTTCGTAGGAGTACGTCGCTTCTTCTTGAGCCTTGCTACTGGAGGGCAGGTCGAGTTCATTTTTGTATTTTCGTCGCCAAACCGGTACCGGAGTTGATGCAACGTTTTAATACAAGTTCTTTCTACTGGAATAAGATCGGAAATATTAATAAGAAAAGCCTTGTCAAGTTTCAAGTTAGGATAAATATCCCCGAGCTAACTCTTGTTGATATATGTATCTATCCCTTTTTGTTACTGGCCACAGATATTAATAAATTGTTAGGGGTTCATGATACCTATCGGCTAGACATAGATGTCTACCGGTCTTAAGTTACTACGTATTGATATTGGTGATCGAGTTGGTGGGTGATAGCTTAGTTCGAGAAGGTGAAAGCAGGATTCGGGTAGCGGGATGTCGAAACAGAACTAGTAACAATCCATAAATTTAATTTACGAATCTATATCGTATTTGAATATTCGATTTACGTTGAATATGAAAGGATAATTCTGATAAATTCCGTACTCAAAAGACGAATCATCTCGAGAAGAGTAGCTTACATTTGAAGGTCTTAAGATATACGGAGTCATAGACCTATAACACGTCGAGATCGAACTCATGAATACAAGATGCATGTTGTAAGCTAAACGTCACAGGTTCTCCCCGGACAGTGCCGTGGCGCCGTCTGGCCAGGCCTAATATGCAACAGCCGACTTATAAAAGTTCGTATACAGAGTACCATTCTGCATGTAAACGTATTCCTACTAAGGTGTTCCTATCCCACTAATCACTTCTTGAGCAATGATAGTACATGATCCACCAAAATACCGAGGGCAAATTCTATACATTAAGTGAAGATAGACAGTCCAATTTCAGGTTGGGTTCGAGTTCATCGACGGTCTGACGTCAAGGGCCATGCAATGTGCAACACATCCAATTGACGTACGAATCCTAAGTGATGAAGAACAGCCAGTATTATCTTTGTAGGGCTGATCTATTAAAAAAACAAATAACTGGGCGACTTATATGATATTTGGCCTCCATTTCCTGTACATACTTAAGTACTACTTATTCTCTGACGCAGCTAGCCAAGACCGTTTGTGTGCATTTGCTTCTCTTGGGAGCTTTGCATTTGATGCTGTGCCTGCATAAGCGAATACTGGTACCGGTGTCTATGACTAGAAGGACGATATCTAGATCTACATAGAAGCCCTTGCATTGTGCAACTTAGGCAAACTCTAGGGTCCTTGCTTCTTCGGGACTCTGCCTTTTCTAGGGAAGAGCTGGGATAAACGGAATCGTCCCATTAGATAGGCGTACTGGATTGAGTCTCGGTGCCCGTTGTCTTTGTGGGATAGGTGCTTCCGTTTCTTGGTTCGGGGTCGTAACTTCTTCCGCATGTTTTGGCTCGTTCGAAGAGAATATTGCACGGAAAAAGGTAAATATTTTAGCAATTATAGGAAACGCCATTGATCTACGGTTATCTTTTTTTGTAAAGGAGTGAAAGTACTACGTAGATACGAATATGCGTATGATGGAGAGGGCTTAATTAATTTCTGGCCGTCTTTAAATATAGAGACTGCGAAAACCCCTGCTCCTATGTAAAACAAATAATTTGCGAAAACCTTTGAAGGGCTTGAAACGCCGTACACCACCTCTAGAGCAGTATCAAGACTTTGCATTTTAGAAAGAAATGTTTGTGAAAATCCTTTACCGAGTTTCCAATCCGTGAAACCTAGCTAGTCAAGGGAAAGAATAAAGAAGCTGTACAGCATCCTCTGCATGTTGCTGAAGCTGGGTGTATAAACCCGGTTTGTGACAGCGATAGCAAAAAGTGAAACCATCAATCCACGTTTATCATTGCAATTGTCTCGAGTACTGGTAAATCACAGCCAAAGCTCTACTTTTTTGTAGGCCTTCTTAATGCTGGGTTGAACCGAGGGAGGAGATCTGGGTCCAAGAAGCGTGACATCTCCTCGCGAGTAAGAAGTCTTTCGGGGCGAGGGGTGAAGAAAAGTCGGTTTAGGCTCTGTACGGCAGCACGATCCGGGACAAGTACTTTCCTCTCCTTGGCCTCTTCTTCGTCGGTGATTTCTGATATAGTCGTGGATCTCTCTGACGAATGGAGGTGTCTCGCTTGTTGCTGCTGTGAATTCTCAGGAGTCCCACTGACTGACAACGAAGGAGGTAACATATCAGAAGCGGCAGTAGCTGGTTGATGTGTAGCCTTAACATCAGCTGGCACAGCTGGCTGTCTGCTAGAGAGTAGCTCTTTGGGTTGTCGACGGGGCATGATTGAATGTGGCTTAGATAGAATATTGATGGGGGAAGATGCTTCATTCGCAGCAGCGGGAGGGGTTCCGTGCGTGTAAGTCAAGTTTAGGTTGTTGCTCAGAGCAATAGCCCATTCAATGCCGTTGTCTCCGCCTTCGACACCATCACTCTGAACATGCACCATGGAGGGCGAATAGGTGGTCCTTTTAATCTGGTTTCTATGCATGCTCGCCCCTAAGCAATACTTGGTCAGTATTCCGGATACGTACCTAGGTACTTATATATCTATATATCCTCAACCCCCGAGTTAATGAGCCAGTACTTACTTTGTGGCCTCTGCGTTTTCTTCTCTAGCTTGCTAGTGGCAGCTGGGGGGTTATAATTGTCTTGCCCATCATTGACTTTGATTCGCTTCGGTTGGAAATCGGCCCTCACATGCTCCTCAAAATTTACGCCGGCCACCTCGGCCGCTCTTTTGTAGGCGCGAGTAACGGGCATTTCTGATTCCCGAGGGGACAACCAAGGGTGTTTCTGGATACTTGATGAGGGGTGTATATTTTTAGTAAGTGAGAATTTGGTTGATGAGGGTGATGATTGTGGATTTTGATTTGTGGGGGGTGTGTGAGGTTCAATATTGCAAAAACACCCTTCTATGCTATTGAAATCGTTGAACGGGGAACGATTTTTCAACCTTGCCTGTGAATTTTCAGGTCCCTCTGGTTTGCCGATGCTTTGCCTGTGGCTCTCCATGAGACTTTCGCTGAGCTGCAAAGCATTAATTTCCTCTTCTTCTACATCCTGCTCCTCATGAATTGGCAGGCTCCTATTCTCGTAGCATGCTTTATTAATGGCGTTTCTGTCCTTTTCTTTTGGACTTAAAGTCAAGTAAATCCCTAGGTCCTCCTCGTTTTCATTCCTCATTTGCTTAGAGACTGCCCGGGGAGGGATGATAGTATTCACGCCTCCATTCTGTCTTTCATCAATCGACTGCTCTGGTACCTGATATTGAGCAAGAGGTGACGGCTTAGGTACGTCAGCCTCGTCGATCAAAGCTCCGTCGTCCGGTTTGGATTTCTTCAGCCTGGCCTCTTTAACCTCCAAATTTTCAATATTTTCAATAACCCAGGTATTTAATTGTGGGACGCCAGTTCCTTTAAGGAACTGTAACTGATTCTGTTCTTGCCATGTACCGATATACTGTTTACGGTTTCGACGTCTATTTTGACTAAGCCATGGAGATGTACCGCCAATGAAGAAGTCTTCCTTACTCCTTATTCGGATCATTGTTGCCTATTCTAATCGGGGTTTAATCCAAGATATGTATTGCAGTTGGTCGTACCACAACCACCACAGCCACCACGGTTCCTCAAGTAGTGCGACTCAGGTTGAGAATGACATGAAATTGGCGGTCCCTTGTGTAGTACTAATTCGAACCAAAATATGGTATTTGAATATCACGGTGTATATATGTGAAGATCTTTTCTCTAGGCCTCATAGCTATCACTTTAAGCCCTTGCAGTAGCTCATGGGGCGTATATATTCCGACCTCTAGTTAAAGGGACGATCATATTGCCGATATATATGTCTGGGATTGCAAAAGCTACATTGCGAAACGGACACTAGAAGAGAAAGAAGCTTGACACTACTAAGCTATGATGTATATCTGTAGCAAACATTTTAGGCTTGAAACTTGCATATGAAACGGAACAAAGCATTGGTATTCTAGCGATACATAGACTTAAAGCTCAAGAATTGAAACAAAGGAAAGGAACGAACAAGCGAGCTATACACTAACATACCTACCACAGATGTCGGCTAGCGACAGACTGTAAGCCTACTTCCTACATCACCCAAGTTTGCTTGAACTTTGGGTTTGCTCATTACTTATAGTCTTCTGTGCTATAGATACTCTAAAAGAGTCACTCTGCATATATCTACCGAGACCTCTTGATTTCTCTTTCAGCATGAACGGAGACTAGTCATTGCATCGACATATGCAACATTGGGGCGCTTGTTGTAAAATGCGTGTTGTCTACCGATCCCGCCCAAAGCGGCAACCAACGGCTTAATTTGGTGGGATGTGACCTCGAACGATAGCGATAAGCTTCAGATCATCCCGAAATCTCTTCGAGCTGTATGTTATCGCTCTATCGTTCTACTTCCTGTTGCAGAAGGTCTTTTAGAGGTGTAATAGGCATCAGGATCTTAACAACTCTAGATAGGTCAGTCTGCGTGCACATGAGCACACACATGTAGCTGGCCCCTTGCATGTTGCACGTTCATGTTGCGAGCCTTCGATTGCCCCGTGATGATTGTCAGTAAATTTACTAACGTCTCAAATCAAATCCGGTTTATATAAGTGCTCAGCGGGGTAAGATATCAGATAGATAGACCAAGCTTCAAATCTCAAGCCCTTGTGAATAATATTTCACGGCCCTTCACTCGGAAAACTGCAACGTTAACTTCACGATCCGATAAGATGACGATTCATCCAACCTCCGTCTCGGAGTACCTCTCCACCCACAAGTACCCCGCCAAAGCCCACGCACGTGCTGTCGCCAAACACCTCTCACTCACCAGTGGCACCATCTACCTTGAATCTCAAAAGTCTCGCCTGGAGGAAGACAAAGACCAAGAAGCGCCGTTTCACCAGCGCCGATACTTCTTCTATTTGTCAGGATGTGCCCTCCCAGACTGCTATCTGACTTATGATGTTGCTAAGGACTTCTTGACGCTCTATATCCCGCCTATTAACCCCGAAGAGGTTATGTGGAGTGGACTACCGTTGGATGCTGAGGGTGCAAAAAATAAGTTCGACATCGACTCGGCGAAGTACTCTAATGAACTAGAGGCGGACTTGAAGGGCGAGGTTTTGGTCATTCCAGGCCAGGTCTCGGAAAGTGTTACACTTCTAAAAGATGGGGGTGTGACGGTGAAGCTCTCGAAGGACTTGAAGGAAGCTATCAACGAGTGTAGAGTTTATAAGGATGACTATGAAGTCGCACTTATCAAGCATGCGAACGAAATCAGTGGTAGCGCACATGTGGCTTTGATGAAGGCAGCGAAAACTTGCAAGTTTGAGCATGAACTTGAAGGAATATGTACGTTCTACATCCAAATCGAAGAAATATGGTCGCTAACCACGTTCAAAAGTTTTGGAGAATTGCATTCGACGTGGAGCTAGACGACAGGCCTACGACAGCATCATTGCTTCCGGCACCAATGCTGCAACCTTGCATTACATCCACAACAACCAGGCGTTCAGCGATCGGTTGAATATCCTTATCGACGGCGGTTGCGAGTACGATCTCTACGCATCTGTAATCTCCCGCTCCTTCGCCACTTGAGGCTATATCAGGAAACTAAATAGGCATTTAGGATATCACCCGTGTCTTCCCACTAAACGGCAAATTCACCAAAGAATCCAGAGAAATCTACTCGCTTGTCCTCAAAATGCAACTGGATGCTCTCGCCATGATCAAACCTGGAGTTCTCTGGGATACAATCCACGAGACAGTCCACAAAATCCTCATCCAAGGTTTCCTCGATCTCGGTATCTTCCAGAATGGGACTGTAGACGAGATCCTAGAGAACCGTACCAGTTGTGCTTTCCTTCCACATGGCCTAGGTCACCATATGGGAATGGATACACACGACACTGGCGGTCACCCGAACTACTCCGACCCAGATCCGATGTATAAGTACCTAAGAGTTCGCATACCGTTGAAGGAGCGGGCCGTTATCACCGTGGAACCTGGAGTGTACTTTTGCGAATTCATTATTAAGCCTTATTTGGAAAACCCAAAGCACAACAAGTACATAAACACGAAGGTTTTGGATAGATATTGGACCGTAGGAGGTGTCAGGATTGAAGACGATGTGCTGGTTACGAAGGACGGGTACGAGAATTTGACTAACGTCGTGAAGGAGATCGATGATGTTGAAAGAATAGTGAACCGTACCGCTTGAGCGCCAATAGAGAGAAAATCAAGCCAAGCAGGGCAGGTCTGTACCTCACGGGTTCCATTACCATACTTTTTGCACGTGAAAGTCACTTGTATCTACCTTTCTCAGAAAAATAAATAATTGATATCACAAGTATGTACCTCTAGTTGCATCATGCAAAGCCAACAGTTCCCCACTGCCGCAGAAAACCTTTGCCGGATTTTTGCATCTAACTGTCCAGTTCAACATCTTTGCTGTCCCCGCGACCCGCGCACTTGCCGTTAACCAGGCCTCGGCCCGTAGCCGTCGGCCTCAGGACCTCCGGGCTGTAAGCGCAAGTCTAGGGTTACGTTACACGAAACCTTCTGACCACCCTTTTCCCTTTCCCTTTCCCAGATTCTTGGGAGAGAAAAACCCTCATCCCCCCTTCTATATGCATCATCTCTTCCAATCATTGGTCCAGCGGACAAATCTTCCCACGCATTACATGTATACATAGGCAACCTTCTTTTTTTTCCCCTTCCCCCACGCATAATATTACATGTAAGTATGTACTCGAGTACATAGGCGGAAGGTAATGCAATAGGTATGCCCCTTCTCCTGCGATACAAATGCACTGTACAGTCTATGCAATGGGACACCCCCACGCTGCAGTATCTATTCCGGAAAGTCTTCTTTGCAGTTATTTAGTTAGTTTTTTGGACATGGTCTAGATCTGCACGTTCGTCTATGCCGTATCACCGTACATTCCTGACTTTTACCTGCACATTTATACGTACTAGCTAAAGATGGGGGGAATATTGATATGGATATGTATTTCAGCACCCAGAATAACCATAAAAGTCCAGCTCATCAGTGCATCCTTTTTTAAATTTTGTGTAATCTTGTATAACATACAGGATACGATCATGGTTTTAAAGCAATACTGAAATAATATGATCACAAGAGCACCCGTCTAGGATTATAAAATCAGGTGGGGGAACAATGAAAACAAGCATTTTTCTATTTTGGATTTCGGATTTCGGAAATACAAGCCTAGGGCTACATTATATGAGGTTTTTTTTTTTTACTGAGGTTACGGGGCCAGTCGACAATACCAATGGTGTACAGAAATACAGCAGCTAGCGGGGTAACATTAACAAGCAACTAGTGGAATAACAAGCATCAAGTGCAAGTACCCGGCGGGAAAGTCAGCGGGAACGGGATGTGCTCATCTTGCAGCGGACGGCAGGGTAGCGATCGCGATTCCACGCCTGCCGATAGGTAGAATGTGAGCTTAAACAAAAAAAAAAACGAAGAAAGAAAAAAAAAATGTGATATCACAAAAGTACCAAAAATTTTAAAAGACGCATATGTTCAAGGGTTTCAGGTATAACAGCCTAAATACAATACCACCATGCGTTTTGTTCTAGCAGTCTTTTTCTTCCATATAATTAAAATTCTTTTGGGCAAAGAAAAGATAGGATTAATAAAGATAGTACCTAACTACCTTTTAGCTAGCCTTGTGTAACACGCCTAAATGGATTTCTATTACATAAAATTTGCCTGGGCTAACTGTATTCTGCACACGACCCCCATTTCTCGATTGAATGGTATACCGATGGTACAAATTATCGACTGGGGGAGTGTACTATTCTTATTATTATTTTCCTGATGGATATTGTTAGGGTAGATATGAGAGTAAATGGTATTATGAGAGTCATTAAGTACACATTAAATGAACTATCGTGTCTTCGGTTCATCGATCTCGGTGGCAATATTAAGGTTTCGTAAATTGCAATTTGAACAGAAAACCAGTGCAAAAAAAAAGAGAATAAAAGGCTAAAAGAAAGGCAAAGAACTCATGAAGAGACAAATGAAGAGGAGACAAAAATGCAGAAGCTTGAAAAGTCGGGTGATTAAGCTAGCCAGTAGCCTTCTCTATCATCGTCGAAACACTCATGAATAATCAGACCGAGACAAGGTCTTCTAATAGTAATGACGTCGATGACTTCCACGACCATCAGTACCTCTCTGACGACGAGTACCAGCAGCCTAGAACATTTTCATCAGCATTTTTAATTCGGATGTTGTAGTTTTTCTTCTTGAATCATAAGAAACTTACCTTCAATCCTGGTCTTCTAGTCAAACTTCCCTTGATTCTCATCAAAGCACCACTAATTTTATCACCCAATCCTGGTCTTCTCTTTTGATGATGAACTGGTGCGACGGCTGTCGTGGCATGAGTGTGGTGATGGTGGCCACGACGAGGACGCGAGGAGCGAGTGGTTGTGGTTGTAGTGGTAGTGTGACCTCGACGACGGCCGGTAAGTCGGTCCATCAAAGTAGGCTTAGTGCGAGTGGTTCGAACGGCAGTGTGTCCACCGACAGGACGGGTACGATGAGTTCTTCTGTAAGGCATTTTGGTAGGTGTTTTTATAGTTTTTAAAAAGGATAATCGGTTTGATTTGATTTGATTTGAGGGTTAAAGATATGTTATCTTGGTTTGATAGATATGTATGTATATAGAATATTATATAGAATTCGGATCAGTTACCGAGAGATATGGGACTCTTTAAATATACATTTTGACAGTGACATTTCGACGTCGATATCGATATCAATATCAAATCAAAATCCAGATATGACGAAACCTCTGCGTCGGCCCTGCATTAATATTAACCAACAAGGAACGATCTTCTATAATATTAATACAAGCTCGGACCAGACCCTTCCCCCAGATTATTATCCACTTAGCATGACCGACTTGACGACATAGACCGGTTATCTCGTAAACCAATAAAACGTATTTTTATTATTAAAAAAAAAGGGTCCTTACATGACGTCCCCGGATTAATATTGGCCATGTGGTTTGGACCCTGACGTCGATACTATACTGTGTTGTTGTGTGTGGTAGTTGATCAAAAGCAGGGTTGTGGCTTTGCCCGCCTCCCAATGATGTCATCACTTTCGCATTGTCAACCAACATTTAGGAACTGTGACGCCACAGTTTGTTAAATACCAAGAAAGCAATACTAATAGTCTTGGCTGAGCTTGGTGGTATCGGGAAATATTACGACTTTTGGTTCCTCGAGGACTTGAGCTAACGCCTCGGGCTAGTTATTCGCATGATGGCCCGAGTATGACACCGGAGTGCTAGTCGATGGTACAATTCATGAATTCACTCATAGTTAACTTATCGATTATCGCGCAAGATTGCATCGGCTGCATCATGCAACTATAAAATCCAACAAGGAACAGAACAGTCCATGATCCAATCTCCCACATCTCACCCTGCAAATGACGTCTCTCTCCCAGGGGTCTCCAGATCTTGGAAAAAAATTGCAATCCACCAACTCCACCAAATGCGAAACCGAGAAGAAGAAAAAGCCAAATCTCGATCCTCTTTAAGCCCGGTCAGATGCAATACTAGCTACCTATTCAGTTTAAATTTCTAAAATATGTACCTAGCATGATGCATCGACACGGCTCGCTGTTTCTCCAAACCCGCCTCGAGGGTTCTTCGGCGGCAAACCCCAAGGAATTCATGCATGGAATGGACATGTGTACTTTACGTATATCAACGGCGTGAATTCTACCGAAAAGAAATACCTAAACAAGGTTGTCCGCTCGCTCTAGTAGGTTTAACCTGCATTCCGGACTTTTTTTTTGGTGCTAGACTTGATCCAAAGATCGGATCTTAACCACGGCTTCACAACTTGAGAGAACCACATGTTTAATTTTTGACTTCCATTCCAAAAAAATTACTAGCTTGAGTTACTTCTTTCACAAGCAAATACTTCTTAAGTACTTACTTAGTACATATCTAGTAAGCATACTCTTTACCAACTAGTGCGTATCACCAACGGCGGTATCTAACCAACTTAACTAACTAACCAATAGCCGGACTTCTATCCTTTTCCATCCAATCGGGCCCACCTAGTTATCAATGGAGTAAAAGATCGCTAGTGTGTGTTTCTGATACCGGTATATTCCGTCAGAAACAAGCGGGTAGGAATACACGGTACTTACTTACATACATATGACTGACATGGAAGCTACCTAAGATTACGTTATAAAGCATATGTGTATATACTCTCCGTACCATTCCGTGTCGTCCAACCGGGTAAGGTCGCATGTAAAAACCACTTTTTTTTTCCCGCTGGAAAAGCGTATATATTACGCATACACACACACACACCCTCCCGGCGGATGCCCCGGAGGAGTGAAGGTTGGTTTTTACCCCGGGGAGCCAAATCAAACGGCTAATTAACGGGGAAACTTCGGTGGTCAGGTAGGACGGGCGGTGTTGAAGTCTTGTTGCATTTGATACGACGTTGAAATGGACTAGAATAAAAAAATTTTAAAATATAAAAAAAGCCAATATCTAAATCGTTGAAGGTGGAATCCACATATGTAACAGCGCCATTGTAACAACAGTACGCTGCCTTAAAATGAGTGTTTTTTTTCAAGAAACTTAAAACGAGTAGTGGTCTATAGGTATATACCTATTTTCAAGATACCGCTGTTGTAAATAGATATCTACGAGATGTTAAATCCACGCGTTTAACCAACTCCCGACAGTGTAGCCCGTGCACATATCTACATATGAAGGATCATGAGAATCTGGGAACCAGAGGGAAATACTGCAGTGCAAAGTTATTCTCCATTTCGGACGTACGTATTCGGTGTAGTACCGAGTAAAGCCGTGGTCCCAGATCCAAGGGCGATTTGTATGAAACTCCAGTATATAGCCGTTTTGGTAGATTCATCGTATCATAGCTGATGTATCATAAAACTATCAGATTTCATCCGCTAGTATGCTTTTAAAGCTTTCTAACAAATCAAGAATGAATATTCTCATAAAAGATAAAAAATCCTATCTTATAGAAATAAGAGCCTTACTATATACTGAATTCTTAAAGCTTAAGCCATATCTACTTTGAAAAAGTCTAGAGTCATTACTCTACTCAGGGGCTTATAGAAATTGCATTCTCGGTTCTTGTTCGAAAGGAGGGAAGAAGAAAAAGAATTCCACTTACGAAAAGGTCATATAATCTAATCCAGTAATAGAGAGATCTGACAAAGTAGTCAGATCGATAACGCCTCAAGTCTGATAGTCTAAGGCCGTAGACCATACAGTCAAAACAATCCAAGTCACAAGTTCCGTCAGCTCGAGTGTCACAATATTGTCTCCAATAGACCAGATCCCCAATATATGACCTCCCCCGCATCCCAAAATAAAAAATATTTTCATATATCAGCTAGAACCCATGAATCAAATCTCACATGGTTACACAGTAGATCTTCGCCAGCACATATCTCTAAAGGGAGGGTATACATTTCGATTCAAGACATTCATAACTCCTTCTAATAATGAACATTTCCCATGACATATCGATGTATCTAGCAAAGGTCACAAGACTATCACATAAATTCCCACCTAAATTCTTCAAAAGGACCTAATCACTTGTGTTGCTACTGTTGGAGGGTTCAATATCGGGTATAGTACACTGCTAAGCACTTCTAGCTTGGGTAATCAACTACACTACAGAGCTTATGGCATTTATGTATAGGCTAATGCAAAGAATTCAAGCTCAAATCAACGAGCGAGAAAAAAAAAAAAAAAGACGCAAAGTAAATACTACCTATCCAATAAGATCCCCCAAGTCCTCCTAGTCTCAAATATTGTCCAGACAAAAAAAATATTAATTCCCGCACATATCCCCGTCTCCACTCTTACAACTCTAGCGCCTCTATTTATTGTCGATCATTGAAGACTTCAACTCGAGACGGGAGCCAGAAATCCCCTTAAATATCCCCCCTCCATCAAGTATGAATAGGGAATGGTGGATATTTCGGCCAGATGATTTAATCCTTCCAGCGGTTAAGGAACCTTTCCATAGCCTCATCCGGCATGGGAGCCGGAGCCGCCTCATTGACAACGGTAGTCTGCGCGTAAGTCCTCGCCTGCGTAACCGTCGTGGCAACCTTTGGCGCACCACCTTTTGTCGTGAAAACCGTATATGCGCTTGTAGGATTCAAGCGTTTCATATTCTTTGCGGTGATGGTTGAACCAGGTCTATACATAACGAACACCAAAAAAAATAAGATGCAAAGATATCCAATCAGCTTATCATGCAAGACTTTTTGACGAATAGAATCCTCACGAATATACAGATTTGGGAAAGATGCCAAAGAAAGAAAAAAAACCATACCTTGGCTGCATAGGCGCATATCTGATATCTCCAGTCTGTTCGCCATAGGGCACCCCGAATTCGCCACCATTAGGATCCGGCACCGGCGCCGCCTTTTGAGGATGTACCGCATCCGGTTTATCAGACCCAGCTGCTTGATTCGCAGTTATCATGGCAGGGGAGAATATCCCCAGCATACCCTCCAATTCGAATCTATCAGACCAATTGATAACGGTACCGTCGATTGTTGTCCACGTAACCCGAAGGAAGCTAGATTTGTTTTTTGATTCAAATGTCGGTATAAGACAGATCTGTCAAGCAAAAAAAACAATACCAGGTACCCGGTAATTGTGATATATGATAAGGGAAAGAGGTGGGGAAAAAACGTGAGTAGGTTTACGTACTAGTACGGACCGTCTCCTGCAATACCAGGTGGAATCGTAACCGCAAGAAGTCCATTGGCCGTGCTGAATGCCATACCGGGGGTTCCCAGCGTGATAAGTGGAAACTGCAGCGTGCGAAATATTGCATTAGAAAGACCCGGCCGGCCGTTTCATACCCCTATGTACGTATGTATGGCTGTAATGCACGAAAGGAAGGGGAGGGGAGGGGAAGACCCAAAAAAAGAAGAGGACAAAGTATCCAATTGAGTCGAAAACGTACGATCTGATCATTACTGCCTGTGCATAGATCCAACGTGAATAACCCATTCGTCGGGACTACAGGATCCTCTTCGTCATCCTTCCATCTCACTGTTAGGGCGATTCCGACCTCGCCAGCTGTATACTTGAAAGAATTTCCGGACACCGGACTGGTGAAGACTACCTCGCCGAGGATGATAGATGGAAGAACGGCGGTCAGCAGGACAATGGAAGCGGCGAATGCTTTCATTTTTTATTTTTATTTTTATCTTTTCCTTCAAGAAAATTTTTTATTCAAAATTTTTTTTTTTTTTTTTTGGCTTCAAATGGTCATATGCCAACCCCCCCAATTAGGCCGGAAGGCGCGGGGGTACCAGGTCGACGTCGACGGAAGCTAGGTGGCGACCTAGGAGGAGAGGTAGCTAGCTAGCTAGCTAGCCCTTTGACAGGACAGGCCAAGGAACAGTCCGGCGCAGGAACCCCTCGAGCTCGAGCCAGAGAGCGCTCTCTTCGTTTTTCTTTTGTTTATGATCTGCTTTCTGATTTCTGTCCTTTTCGTGCGATGCTGAGCTGTGCTAAATTTGCAGGCGCGGGAGATTTCGACGTGTTGAGTTGTCGTGGTCGTTCTGCAAGTACAACCTGAAAACAGAATTAACAGGTGCGATTGCAATGCAAAGCTGCCCCTGCCAATCGGGTATCGGGACGGATGCAGTCTGTCTCGTGTCTGGTATGGTGGAGTACAGGACCGTACAGGACCGTACAGGACAGTATACAGGACTAGTCTGCGAGTTAGCCGTGCAGGATTCGATTGTCTACGTCGGTATGCCGGTGAGAAAGTGTGTAAGTGTCAATGCAATGGGGATATCGGACACAGGAAACTGGCAAACCCGGTGCCAACAGCTCAAGAAACACCGGCCCGTACAAGGAAGTACAAGGTTACAGTTGTAATTATAATTAAAACGAGGCGAATTCAGTAAAAAAAAAAAAAGTATAGTGAGTACGTACATACCTAAGTGGGCAAGTAAGTAAGTAAGTCAGTCAGTCAGGATGCTAATCATGTTGCGGGAAAAGAGAACTCTTCTCGAAGACCCAGAGTTTGATCAATTATAACCCAAGCCAGGATTATAATTCGAAGCATACATACTACCGTACATGTGGAGTCTCGTGGTCCGGTCCGTTGGACTTTTTGCCTTACAATATTAATATTAATGTTGGATTCAAATCTGCAGGGGAACCGGTTTGAATACTTCACGTTACATTCGATACCGTTTTGATCAATTGATATCTTCCTCCCTTGGATTCCTCTTTAATTCTATTTTAGTTTCTCTTCCACGGCCTTGCGCAACCACAGCTGCTACCACCTCGATGGAGGCACCTTAGCCGAACCAGGTGTCAATGCGACTCTACATTAGCTCTGCGCCTGTCGCCTCCCCCCCTCTTTTCCTCCCCGAGAATCGATTACTTACTAAGGTAGATGTGGGAGTTAATTCACCGGATACGTAGCCTGCCTGCCTGCCTGTTCATACAGTACAGTGCAGTACATTACATACACAGGTAAGTAGGTAAGTCCAGACTCGCCGACAGACAGACAGACAGGCAGACATACATACATACATTGCGATACTATACTTACTTACCTGCTTGCATTTGCATGCTCACAATACCCAGTTTTCCTTTCTTTTTTTCTTTATTAAAAAAAAAAATTGAAATCAGATTCTGATTCCAAAATAACGTAAAGTCAAGTCAAGTACGGTGTGCATGTATGTAAGTAAGTATGTAAGTATGTAAGTATGTAAGTATGAAGTATGTATGTATTGTCCACACCTCATGACTACCTCCTACCTCCCTCTACACGTGAACCACATCGGCGCCCAAAAAACTAGTCGCCCATTGCATACAATTGACGAATTAAAACCCGATACGTTGTGGAGTTTAAAAAAAAAAAAAAAAAATCTAAATCTACTTCAAACAGAAACCAAAATCTTAAACATGTGAAAGATGCATTTGCATTTTCTTGTATTCAATTCAATTCTGGTATTCTGCATGCTAATGTAAGTACGTACGTACGTACTCTGCAAAATCTGTGGGGTGAATAATATTAATACCAAATTCGACCCCAAATTGTTCGATCGCAGCTTCAATTGGCCGGCCGGCGTCGGTACCTGCGGCCTTACCTTGCAATTGACATGCTCTGCTTTGCTTTGCCTTTGCCTTTGCTTTTACTTGCACTTAACAGGACCATGGCCATGGGATTGCTGGTCGGTCGCCAACAATTGCAATACAATTAACTTGCAACCTCCAACATTATAATATTTCCCCACGCTTAAAGCTAGGTACCTATTAGGAGCTAATGATATCGTAGAACGTTGAAAGAAACAAAATAGGTATGTACCTGGTAAGGGTAATCCCATGTGTCTACGTATACGCCTTGAAACAAAATGTTGGCTCTGCTCTGCTCTCTCCATGAAGAAGAAAACAAAAAAGAAGAACTGTCACCGCAAATATAGTTCGATCACAGTTAATTTAGTTGGGGAACAATTGTTTTTTTTTTTTTGTTAATCCTTGTATTGTTTTAGCCAGCGTAGGCTTTCCATTCTTCTTCTTCTTTCTGTCTGTCTGTCTTTCTTTCTTCCCTTGCGGATGGAAGTCTGCTAATTACATGACGCTGAAATACATCTACATGTACATTATTTTTGCTAGCTAAACAAGAAACAAGCAAAAGGGACACACAAAAGAAAGCCCGTAGACCCTTGGTGTTCTCCGATATCCTCTCCGTTGGGGTTTGTGAGACATTCCCTCCCCCTTCCCAGTAGTAAAAAAAAAACTCAATTGCAGGATAAATCATAAACTAGAATTGAAGATGCCTGGCGATCGAGCTAATGAGCTCTCTGTCCCAGACAAACCGATGATTAGAAATAGCGAGCGCTCAATGGTGATTGTGGTGACCGGAAACATCGCTGGCAACATGAAACATGCTCGACGAGGGAAAAAAAAAAAAAAAAACAAGTAGAAAATCGAGGTATCTTTCCCAAATAACGCCCCTCTTGCTAATTTATCCCAGTTGCTCAGAAAGATAATAAAAAAATATAAAAAAATAAAGATATAAAAAAAGAAGATGTCGATGGCAAGTGCTCGAAGGTCGAAGTAAAAGTCGAACAAAAAGTTTGTACAAAGGGAAGAGTAAGTGGTCGTAGAAATCTAAAAGGTGTTGCAAAAGTGATGACAATGCGTCCAAAAACCCGCTGTTCTATCTGGGATATTCTTCGATCGAAAAAAAAAAAAAAGGGATGGCTCTTTGTGGAAAATGCATTCTGAATCGAAGAAGCGGAAAAGGAAGGGGAAAAAAAAAAAGTGGGATGATAAACCGGCTTGTGAAGAATAGTGGTTAAGGATGGCGAAAGGCGTAAGAATAGAAGACGCTGAATATTATTCGGATAAATGCAAGTCGGTCTGGGAATGTGATAATAAATGCTGTATATTATCGATAGAATCGCTTAAACATCAATCATGACCTTTCGGGGGGCTGGGCTCTTGCCTCGAACGCGGCTTCGGCTGCGTTCGCGGACAATTAGATCACCCTCATCGTTCATGGCCAGTCTGCCACGCTTCATCAAGCCAGCAGTTCCAACCTTAATTTGCATCTCGGCCTGTCTCCTCAAGACTTCGGCTTGCTTTCGTAGCATGGCTTCGTTGACGTTCAAGTCAAAGCCGGTCAAAAAGCAGAAACTAACTTCCAGTTTTGATAGCTCGACTTCGCTGAGACCAGAAACTTTAGCAAACAGCTTCTGTGAGTGGGTGCAGTCTTCGATCGACTTGGCAGCAACCCGTAGGGCAGCGACCAAAGCACGGTGAACACTAAGGGTGGTGATCGGGAGGATGTTGTCCTTGATGGCTAAGCGGTGAAGGAAGAGACCGGCAGCTAGGTAGACGGAGGTCGACAGAGGACAGTAGCGATGGATTCGGAAAAGATAATCCTCAACGCTGATTGGTGGCGCCGTCTTCGACCAGAACTTCCTGGTTATTGTCGAGTACTGTGTCATATTGTCCATAGCTTCGACACCTTCAGCAATAACTTTTCCGGTGAAGCGGTCATCAGGGCTGTTCAGGGGTTGCGGCGAAGGCGAGAACGGCACCCCGGAGTCGGCGTGCGACACAGCCTTTCTCCTTACTGAAACTCCGTCAATGTTATCGACACATGTTGTGTTGAATGCGAACCCTGGTTCCGATTTCTCGGGGGATGTGGATTGCGAAGGTGGAGAGACGACAGGGGATTGGTGTCCGGGGGATGGGTTAACCCAAGAAGGATTCGATGCGATATTTGGGAAGGTCGATGATGGTTTCGCTGGAGGTTGGAATTTCGACTCGGGAGTACACGAAACCAAGAACTCCATCGACCTTGCTAAGAGCTGTAGGGCTCTAGTCGGTGGCATCTTGAAGATGTCATAGGTGGTTGTCGGATCCTCAGTCGGGTTGGAGGTCTGGGATGCGAAGCGGACGGTAGGACAGGGCCCTTCCATGTCGGCTGAAGGGTGAGAGGCAGCAGGGTGAGCATTGCTGGAGGTCGAGTCTGCTGAGGAAAAGCTACTTCTCGAGCTAGACCTTCTGCTGGAAGAAGAGTATTCGGGTGACGACGCCGTTGCTGGCGAGTCTGGGGGTGTTAACGAGGCATTTCGATGATGGACGCTCATGACGCAGGACGACGCTTTTTCGGGCACTGTTAAGGAAGCCACGAAAGAGCTATCCACATGACGGCTGGTAGCGCCGTTGAAAGGAGGAGTCAAAAGGGAAGCCACTTTGCCGGATGTGCTATGAAGCACTTGTCAAGGAGCTTGTTGAGGGGTTGGAGTGGTGGGTTAGGTATGGTCAAGGGAAGGCCTTGTGATCGCGAACAGTATGAGTCGAGAAGGCTCACTCAAGTAGGTTCCACAAAGAGAGAAAAGAATCTGTAAGAGATAAAATTTTAAATGTATTAGCCTTCTGAGTCTCCATCAGGACATGATCATATCTTTTCTTATATGATATCTTAAAATAAATAAATATGAGTTGTTCGTGACACTATGTTGAAGGGGGGGTAGCCTGATATGCGACGGCTGGAAACGAGGAATGTAGAAATTTTGGGTTGATTGAACCACCATTCTTTATCCCAGGTGGTCCGTGATATGGAGAACGTAAAGACCTACATACTCTTTTGGTTTTTGAAAGTGTCGGAAGAGGAAAAATAGGGCGGACAGGAGAGCCGGTCGAGAAGGCTGGCCAGAAAGTGCGATATGTGATGTGATGTGATGTGGAAGTTGCAGTGGAATGGTTGCGCAAAACGCAATGTGACAAGGCTGTCGTAGGAATTGGTACCTTTAGGTGCGTAATAGGAGTAGTCGCTTATCAAGTATCGAAGATACTAGCTGGGGGGTGGTAGTCGATAATATCTTATTCCGTAAGAGGGGCCAGGACAGATATTTGTCGAGGACTGGACTATGATCAATGCCGACGACGATGTTGTTTCTGATGCCGATGATGCTAATGCTGATGCTGATGATATATATAAGTATTACTTATATATAAAATAGACAAGAGTATGTATGTTTGTATGTATGTGAGAGAGGAAGAGAGGAAGAAATAGAAGAGAGAAAGAGAGAGAGATAGATAGAGGCTATGATATGGGCGAAGTCTGGGGTAAGAGTGAGGGAGACCAGTAGTATAAATGCGGTCGGTCGGTCGGGCAGGCACTGTACTGACTTGTCCTAAGACTCAAGGTGTGGTCCGGCGGGTGGTGGTGTGGTCCGAAAATCCCCAGACAGAGAGATCCCTACCCAGTACAATGCAATCGAATAAAACCAGACAGGTAGAGCCCGGGCAATGCGCTACTACTACCTGGGCTTCCTTGAAGGCTGCAGCACATGAGCGGAAAAAAACACAGTCAGCTTTCAGCTTCTCTTCGGCTGTAAATTAATGGGTGTGGGATGTGGGTGGGTGTCAATGTTCCTGGCCTGGCTTGTGATATTTTGGACACTGCAAAGGGGAGGGGAGGGGAAGGAAAAAGGAAACATTCCCAATTCACCGCCGAAATCATATAACACACCCTCTGCTTTGCTTTTGACATTAACCTTTCCGATTAGTCCTAGACGGACGAAGCAGAAGCAGTTTGGACGCATATGTTTCTCGTGCTGTACACTGGGCTCCGCTAACTAGTCTTTTTTTTTTCCTTCCTCCCTAAAGACAGCGAGAGTGCCGCCAGAAACAGAAACCCGGGCTTAGTGCCCTTTTCCGCTGGCTCTCGCTGTTCCCCCGAACCGAATACCAACCACGACAGTGACAGATTCGTTTCGGATGATGGGACGATGATGTATATTTGCAGGATCGCGCACACACTAACACCCTTGAAGATGCGGAAAATAGAGAAAGGCCTACCTAAGCTTGATTCTTTTCGTGGGGAAAAGTAACCTGGTCAGATCTCAAATCCGACTTCCTGATTCAATAAGAATTGCTCTAATTGATCCTGCTTGCGAAACTTCGTTTCCCGGCTCTGTTAGACGGCTTTTGTTAGTGGGGATAGGCTCGGATAAAGCGAGAGATTTTAAGATCACGGACAAACGCCATGTCACTATGGCAGGAAGCAAGTGCATACATACATACAGCTTTAGAAATGGTCGACTTTGGGGGGATCAGAAAAGAAAAGAAGAAGAAATTATTATGCAGTACCCCGCAAAAGATTTCTTGGAAAAGAAACAAGTCGAAAAAAAAAGTATCAAAATCGGAATTGGTGTTGAAGACTTATTTCCTAAACCGACAATGTTGCTAGGATGCTGTCGTATACTTTACAGTGTTGAGGATTCCAATAATATTTACTCGGGCTTTGGCGGCTGCGAGTGTAAATTCGAACACGGAAAAATAATCTTTCCAGAGTCAAGGTTAATTGGTGCGAGTCAGAGTTCCTAGTGATAAAGTTTTATACTTAAAACTCCAGGAGATCTGAACTTTGCAATCCAGATATGCTTAAATTATAACTCGAAACTTGATATCTTGGATCCTCGAAAGTTCAAAAAAGATATTCCTCTCGTATTGTAGTATTAAGTCGACGTAACCAGAGTATATCCAGGCAAGAATAACAGTGGAGCACCGGAAATTCTTGTTATCGTGGGCCGCTGCAGCTTGGTGGTTGCCAGAATCTGAGCAGACAGCGTAGATCGAATACTGGATCGGCAAAAAAGGACGAGGATGACAGTAGACGCTTAGTCAAGGTCTGACTCCGTATGTTTGATGATGAAAGTCGTGAGGGCTCCCTAGCCGTAGGTGTTTGATATCCCTGGTCAGACGAGAGGCCTGTCGAAGTTTGTATGTGTATGTGACTTGTCGCAATTAGTTGAGATGTTGGAAGACCCGGGATTATGTCGAAGGAGTGTCCGGACGAGTGGTATGCCTTGCCTGGGGAAAGGAAGAAAGATGCGGCAGGGTTTCAGTTCCACAGTTCCACAGTTCCAGTCGGAGTTTCCAGTTCCAGCTCCAGCTCCAGTTGCAGTTGCAGTTGAGCTGATGTATGGAATATGTATGTACGTATGTGCTGGAGTACCACCGTTTATGTATATCCAAGTATAGATGTATGTATGTATGCCTGGATGTATGTCTGGATGTATGACCTTCAACCACCAATAGACGACGAACAGTCAGCAAACCACTGAACTTCGCCGTTTACTATCGGAGTCAATTGCAATGAACAAAAGACGCCGAAAGAGAAGAGAGGCAGGCAACAATGAGGTGCACCATACATGTACATATAGAGCGGAAGGCTTGCAATATTAAATACCTTTTGTAAAACCCGTTGTAAAGTCGAAACTAGGTTTTGTTTTTCTTGGTACAACTTTCCCCAAATTACCAGTAAATCGAGGTGGCAGGACCGGCTACGACTTGTATGTCAGGTTAGATAGCTTTTAGGCTGTAGGCCGACCTCCAGTTTGGTAAGGTCCGGTGTGGTCTGAAAGCTTGAAGGGTGATGGTGGTGGTGGTTCAGGTGATGCCTTTTTGATGTGATATAGGAACAAAAGCCACACCTAAGTCTGCTAAGTGTGCAAAGCTATAATAGCAGAAAAAAGAACTAGAGCTATGCAGGGTGATATTGCAGGATACACGGCCTCCCACGCTGCAAGGCAAAAGAATGAATAAAAAAAAAGTGCGATATTGTAGACGTATGTATGAGTGTATGTATGTATGTCTCTGTGTATGTATGTATGTAGTATGGGGGTGGCCGGTGGGCGAGATTATGGGCTGACCAGGTGAAGGCAAATTAAAATCGCTGATACACCTTTCTCTCTTTTCAAACCAGCCTGCAAGGCAAAAAAACAATTATTATAATTAAGCAAATACCGTACGGGCAGATATAAGTAGTGTGTATGTATGTATAAGTGAGTAGTATGTATGTATAGCAGCAGACGTGAGCGGTTCAGACTAGCAGACAGCCAAACGTGGGGAGTGAAAGAGAGACTTTAGAATTGCTATCGAGAGAAATATGCCAGAACTTATGTGCTCGCCAGAATTCTCCTTTGATTCAACATAGCTGATTGATTAATATGATTTCGATGACCTGGCTACTGTCCGCGATCCGTTCTCGCTCATGCACCTTCGACCTTGACTGTCACAATTAAACCTCCAAGTTGGCGGAAACAAGCAGCATATACCGGACAGCCAATGTGGACCCTGGATCTTTTCCTGCCTGTCTCTCTTTCTCTCTCTCTCCTACATGCAGCCTGCTGTGTAGATTAAGGTCCCAGAATAAACCCTTCCCCTTTCGTGCTACCTGGCCTGCTTTGCCAGCAAAAGAAATTCTTTGTCTTGCTTAGAAAGGATAGGTAAGGGAGAATGAAAAGGAAAAAAGAAACGGGAGTCGGTCGGTACGGGTCACTTACGGCGGACTACATGTACATGACATGCACAGCGGCCTCATTAATTTCACATCCCCTTTCATAACCACCATACAGAAGTAGGTAGTTATGCACGACCTTTCCGAGCGAGACGAGGCGGACATCCGCCGGCGCTTTTTTTGCTAACGAGTTAGGCTGAAGGGCTGTCCATACATATCGCGGCTTCTGCTCGAGACATGTATGGATGCCCTCCTAATATACTATCTAAGTATGTAGGTAATCGAACACAGATGGACATCACGATCTTTCTGCGACGGGATGCCAGCTCAAACGCGTCTCATCTCTCAGGAAAGCAGGAACAGAACGCCAACTCACTGCTTCCCATATGTGGTAGCTCCCTTGTCCTGGACCGGATCTTGCGATTCGCAAGCTCGGGACACTAAACCAAAACGGACAACTGCTTCTCAACTCTTGGGACTCAAGGGAATATGCTCCTTGCACATCTTCACCATGGCAGGCACACTTGCCTCAGAAGTTCAGCGTCATAAGTCCCACACGGAACAGCTCCCGCCGAACTCGAATGCTTTTACCGATGCATACATCTCCCTGATATATGGACCTTAACCAAATTCTTAGAGTTATCAGTGTTCATGGGGGTTTGCGTCTTAATTTTCCAGCGAAGCCGGCTAGAAATCGATGCAAGAAGCTCGCCCTACCAAGTATGTTTGTCTCCACGTCAGACCTGCCTCCTTCCTTGCGGCTTTACTGTGTACAGTGTCCGTACTGTGGTAAGTGTCCTTAAAGCGAGGGAGGAACGGGACTTATCCAATTGCCTTTTCAGCAACAGTTATGACCAACTCAGCACACTCGCCCGTGCCCAGTTATTCGCTGGAAAGCCCAAACACCGACAAGTCGAAGCGGGTCTTGTCCTGAAATACTGCATTTATAACCGAGCTTGGAATGGTCCGGGCTTACGATCTTCATTCGTCCGCTGCGGACTATGTATGCGCATCACATCCGAACCGTTTAGCCACTGTAGCACTTGCATTACCATCAATTGATCCAGCGTCTCAGGTTTCAATTGTACGTCGGAACCGAAGTTATAGATGGTTCATAATTGATCGTGAAGGGACCCAGCCAAGCTAACTTCTTAGGTCTTTCATGCTCCGGGGATGCCAGTGTAGCGAGGGAGAGAGGATTTTTCTGGAAGCACCGGCTAAAGCAGACTGGGGGAGAAAATAAAATGCTTTCCAGGTTCGGACTTCTAAGGTGGTAGATTAGCGTGCCCTGTCGATGCATTCTATCGAAGCCTTACGTGCTACAATACGAGCTTTAAAAATTCTGTGGACGGATTATCGGCCCTCGAACCGTCCAGGAAGGACGACCATTCTGCTCAGTTCTTGCCTCCCCACGTGGAGCCAAAAGCTGGTTGAACAGGGTCGACCAATTATAGGTGATGCAGGTTCCGTTTATTTTCCGACAGTCGAACCGTCTGCCAGCAAACTGATGCCTGTGTCAGTTATCAGCCCTCGGAAAAACTATTCTTCCAGCCACATGAAAAAGAGCGAATTTCCCAGGCCTAATCAAAAAAATTTTGAATTCGAACAGCTGATAGTCGAAAAACCACCGTATCGTGTTTCAGGCCCTGCCTTGTCGATGGGAGCACTGGTCCATCGGATCCCCTCAACCTATATTCATCGAATATACCTGTAGACGGTTATTTGCATACAAAGATCCGCAATCCGGGGTTTCGAACAAGACCAACTTCCCTGGTTCGCATAGCCATTCACTTTTGTGTGCCGTTTACGTAAACTGCAGGGTAATAGGTTCAAACCGTCAATGATTTTTCTACACCCAGCGGTCACCTTAAATTTGCCTACATTCCATCCACCACGGACGGACATTTTCGATGCTCTACACTTTCTTTTCGGACTCGTCATCTCAAACGGTGAATCGATTTTCCAGCACGCAATTAGCGGGTCTTCTTAATATTCATGTTATCATGGTATCCCAGTAATCCAGTAATCAGAAAACCGCCCATTGCGGATGACCATTAGCCTAAATCTGTCGAATATTCTTTCGCCTGTAAGCGTTTTATGGTTGCGATCCACTTGTCAAAAGTTTGTGTCTTATCGTACTGTTCCCGGGATGCTAACGCCCGGTTAAGTCGGCAGATCTACGGACCCCGGTACACAGTAGCGGCCCTGAGCAGAATTCGCACCGCCAGCCTTCCGAGTCGCAAAGCGTGCGGTCCTGTGAAATCAATCCTCATGCAGGGCCTCTGGTTTTTTTCTCTCTTGTACTCCACGCCGGGTACTTTAAACCCTTCATATTGGACCAATCCCGATGTCTGTTTTGGATATAGCAGCTCGTTCATATTAGTGCCGGTTGAATGCCGAAACGCAGGGCAGCTCCAGGATCAGGAAGCTGGAGCTCAAGTTCACATCCAGAAATCGGGTTTCCATGCTTTTAGCTCTTTCTATAAATGGGGGTTTTACGTTTAACAAAATTTTTGGGGTCACATGGACCCTTTCTTCTTTCGACTAAACCTCTTTCCGTCACTAACCACGATATTTCACGAGAATTGAAATGGTAATTCTAAAGATGTGCCGAAACAATTTGCCAATTCGTACCAAATCACAGGCCTTCCTTCGGAAAGTCGACAGATTGTGCTCGCATGGGCCTACGGGAAATACACGGCCACGAACGGCCCTCGATGCCGTCCGGTGATCAGTTGGACTTTTTTTTATTTTTTTTTGGCTTGTGCCTCCACACCCACCGCCTTAAGCTTAAAATTTTAAATATTTTCTTTTGGAAGCGCTTGACAGGATGCATATAGCAGACGAATAACGATGCATGCGGATTGTCAATGACTTCGAAGAGCTCTGTGGAGTCTCCGCATTTCTTTCCAAAATATTCTGGTCTTTGGGTGGCGTTTGGACAGTTTGGACAGGCAAAGAAGGGAATTTGAAACCTCTTAGCTGCATCGCAAGAGCTCGAACCACCTCGGTTAATGTGGGATCGAATATACCCACTCGAACGCCTACCCGATGCTTGGTTGAAAGTTTATCCTAACCCACTCGATACGACCCTCAATGGCAATCCAACGATAAGGATAAACTGTGGCTTGGACTTCGAACCTGTTCTTGCCTGTGGTCCAAAAGTCTTAGCTCTTTTATCCATCGAAACTTGAACGCTTCAAGTAATTTCCCTATGCGCATACCCTCCCTTTGCATGAATTGCCTGCCAACCCCACCCTTGTTCGATGATATCCTCATAGACACACCTCCCAATCGTCTGATGTCTACGAAGCTTCCAGAGATTGGTTGATAGATGCTTCTAACCTAAAATCCTTTCCCGAACCATCGATACCTGCATGAAAATACGAGCAGGGGACTCCACGAAGGCGGTCCATTTTCGCCACGGCTGATAATTCTGAAATTAAAGAAAAGGCTGTCGTCTGATCGACCCCCATATCCTACAAAGGACGCTTCATGATCGGAGGGCATGGGTCCTTAAGGACTTGGGGATTTGTTCTGTCAGCGGAATCGCAAATAGGATATATCATGATGATACAGTGATTTGAACGAAGTATGCCAGAAAGTTGCCATGAATCATGAATCATGATAATGATATGCATCTCCGTATTTTGTTTCTCAACCATACGGATATCTTCCCCGCTCCCGTCAGAGGCGCCGATTACGCCATAACATTCCTCTTCAGAATGTCTCATCCTTTCTTCTTTTACCCTGCATGCCCAATTTGGACCCGTGGGGAAATATACCAACATCAACCCTTTCAAATCGGTAATAGAGACAAGAAAGCTTTTTGTTGAAATTCCAAAACACCATCTTCAACAAAAACATCTAGGTAGATGCCGTCTACCGAGGAAAGGTCATATCTAGATCGAAAAGTGTCAACTAAAAATGCTAAATTGCGGGGGGGCCTTGTTCCCCCACATCGAACTACGAAGCAAGCTACGCTAGTTACTCCAGACTCCATAGCTTCAAAGCAAGGACCAAGCGAAAGGTTGCACGAAACGACCCCCAACTTCCTGCAACAACACCAACTCCAACCCCTCATTGCATACTTTAGTATCATCCTTTTTTTTTTCTCTTGCGGCAGCGCGCAGATTATAATTTTTTCTCCCAACATTGATTCCTGCAGGCTGCTGTGTAAAGTTACCTAAATGCGGGGCCCGAAGTCCTTCCGCTCCAATCTTTCTCAAACCTTTGACACCCCTCCGTTATATAATTGACTTTCAAGCAAGGTCCCCATGGGTACTCCTCCCAACCAATCCGAAGCTACGAAATGCGGTCATCCTCGAAAGCCTATCCCGCAGGCTGGGAATTTCAAGACCTAACTCAGCTCGCTCCGAGCCTTCGTCTACTTCCCGCTTTGGTTTCGGCGGGATCCTTTTCCCTTGCCCGGGGAAGGCCTTCATTTTCACATTCTACTCCGCCATTGTCCGACATCGCTAGCTGCATTTCATTTCGAGGAATACTTGCTGTTTAGAGGATACTATCCACATGCCTATTTGTAACAGCTTGGAAGTTCGACACTATCTTGAAGCTCTAAGCTCCATAGTTCCCTTCCTATACTCATTCCAGTATCCGTATGCCCACGGCTGTATTACTCATGGCACCACTCTACCTGCTATTACGGCAACGCGGGAACTCAATATTCTGGGCGAAATCTCGATTATACTAACTATTCTTCTGAAGGAAATCGTCCGTTTTTTACGTAAGTTTCGCAAGAGCTGAGCTTTAAAGGTACTTAGTTTCACTATCAGCAGCCAAAGAAATAACTCTTTCCGTCAAAGGACAGTTCTATCAGAAAGAGAAAAAAAATTAAAATTTTTTTACTACTTGCATTTTCGTAAGACTCAAAAAACAAAAAAAGAGATAGAGAGAGAAAGAAGGGAAGAGAAATGCGCATAAGCATGCGATTGCGATATTTTGCAGTCAGAATTCCTTATTCTAAATATACAAAGTAACCTGTGTTATGCAAGCAATTCATCCGGTTTTCGTAGGGTCGAAATAGCTTCCAATTAGCTTGAGCTTTTAGCTCGGCAAGTCAGCTCGACAATGATCTCATTAGAGACACCATGGGGTCATATCTACCCAGAAAGAAAGAAAGAATGCGTATACATACTTAAGTACATACATACATACATACACACAGACCAAAGACGTAACCCGATCATGACTTTATTTTTTTTCAATTTTCCCATGCCGCGATTTCCTTCCCATGCATCGACGAACCCTACCGGAAAGCCGTACCTTCGTCCAAGCTATGGTTTTTTAAACGTTGCCGTGCTTATTATAACCATGTTATAGGCGGATCCGCTTTAGCCGTCCCGAGTCTGCTCCAAGATACGAAAGTTCGAAAAAAAAAAAAAAAAAAAAAAAAAAAGGGTCAAGAAATCGAACCACAGGGCCAGGCTGGGCAAATAGATATCCATGAAACCATAACCACCATGGAACAGCCCCATTCTTAAATCAACAAGTATGTCAGATCCTTATAGAATTCGAAGATCCCAAAGGAAACGCCCGACGAAAAAAGGAAATAAAATGCCTCCATCTGTGTTTTTTATATATATTTATACTGGAGTACTTGGGTACCTTCCCCAATATATTAAATTAAGAATCCTACGAGTGCGATTACAATTGATATCATTGTCGTTGACGTCGACATTTGGTATCGAGAATATTAATTCCCTACCGAAACCTAGTCCTGTAGCTACCGGGTCATATCATCGGATATCAACCTTCTAGCTTACAATTGCTCAGGAAAACCAATGCGACAATACACACATATTGCTGCGCTTACTAGTATACATGTACCTTTGCAAATCGCTATCTATACAAACCCCTTGACCTTGCTGTTCAATGTTCGGTTTCAGTTCAGCATGTTTCGTAATATCGTGAACACCACTACGTATGCCGCTGCACATGCCTCCGTAGGCTGAATGGAAATATATGCAACCTACATGTGTTGTGTAACCTTCTTCGTCACATTTCCCTTTCGAATCGCTTCTCTCTCAAACTGAATTGAAAATTGAATTGATCAGATTAATTCGGTTTCCCTTTCCCTTCCGGCCCGAGAACGTCTAGACCGTCGCAGAAGCCCTTTTTCTTTCTTCTTTTCTCTTCTCTTCTTTTATCGCTGACTCAAAATAGGAATTAATACCTTTTTTCTCGGACATCAACATCGTATGAAGAAGTTACAAATCAGTACGCTCGACTAGGTTATGTATTCAGGCCGAGGATCACGATATCACACATGCATCGGATCCTCCGTCTCCTGACATACTTGCATGCACATCTTCGTCAAGGACTCGACATGAACTTTGCATAATTTTAATTCCGTTCCGGCATAAGGTCAAAAAAAATAAAACAATAATAATAAGGTAGAAAAAAAGATATATATCTCGAACAGGCTGAGATCGCTCATACATACATACATACATACATACATACATACATACATACATACATACATACATAAAACCCACATACTTACATACACATCCACACATCCACATAGACACATCCACCCAGAAACGACGAATTAGAAAGAGAAAGAAAAGGCAACAAGGCGGGATGAAAAAAAGGGGCCAAGAATCAGGCCATCTCTTCTCTCTCTATTCCATTGCATAGTCATCTTGCGTCATGCATGAGGGGGCCAGAGTACAGAATAACTCGACGGGATCCCATAGGGTAGAACAGTTTATAGAAATACCTCACCGATGTAAGGACCCAAAAGCGAGGGGTCATTTACGATTCGCAAGCACTCTATTTTTTTCTTCGATTTCCGTCCCTGCTGACCTTTTCCCCCCGTTGTTGCTCCATTTTAACCTTGAAAGAAAAAAGAAGGCTTAATGATTTCATTCATTCGCCTTCCTCGCCTGCATCAAAATCGTCGATTGCGGTTCTGATATCTCAAAAGTGGGGTGACAGGCTAATTAATCAATATAACACTCCAAGTTTTTTTTTTTTAAACAAAAAAAAAAAAAGAGAGAGAGCGAGAGAGAGAGTCGCATATGCATGGTACCGAGATAGACGGAATGCACATAGTAGAGATATAATTAATTAACATAGGCGAATCCCAAAAAAAAGAAAAATGTGCTCACCGGCAGACAGATACATCATATGGGACGTTTATCTTAGATTTCGTCGTCGAAAAGATAATCGAATATATCCCAACTTATCGTAGTTTTCGTAGCGCAGACCGTCCCAATAAGGAGTCGACATATCGACAGGAATGCTGCTGGTGCAGAGAATGCAAACAATTATTTCTCTCTCTCTCTCTCGTTCGCTCTAACCAATGCGAATCGGTAAACCCCCCCCGATTGCATTGGCTAGACTGGTCTAACCTGTGGTACAGAGCAGGGGGGGGAAAAAACCAGCTATGAACTTTTCAGGTCCATGCGAATCGGCGAGAGAGAGAGAAAAAAAATCAGTTCTAAACAAAAAAAGAGGATGAAGATGACTATCAAATGATATGTCATTTTGCCGGAATATCATTCCATCTTTGATCACCGTAATACGCATTAATACGATGGCGCATGAAAAAAGTTTAAAATAATAACAATAATCAAAAGCCCGTGACCAAGTAACGCGCAAATCGCGATTAAAAAGAGTGGAAATCCTGTTCGTGGGTGATAATTCAAGGCAAAAGTCCGCGAACTCGAAGTCCGTACAGGCCAGGTGAGGAAGCCTAAGCTAAGATTCGAAGTGGTCTGTTAATCTGTCGACGACGACATGTTGCACCAAAAACAACACATTTTATAAGATTGTCGCCTGACGTCTGCGAAAAGGTCAATGTGAAAAGTCTGTGCCATGTCCACTTCCCAAATTTCCTCAACCTGCTTCCTTCTCCAAATCTCCATCATCCTTCTTCTCCGATCTCTATCTATGGGGGACGGTATGAAATTAATAGGTATGTTAGAAAAAAAAATAAAAAATAGAAAATCTTGCATGCATAAGTAGTCAATCATTTCCCCGGATTTTTACCCAGGCCGTCATACCTACCAATGGCGAAATCTGCAGCCCGAGAACCAAAAAATCGAGAAAACAAGTTTCCGATGTCTAAATTCTCCACAAACAATTTAAAGAGCCTGGTCGTCTCAACATGCCCACCCCCAAAACGAATAAAAAAATAAAAAATAAAAAATAAAAAAATAAAAAGAAAGAAGGGGAACCACAAAACGGCTAAGTATGAAAGGATGTCCTGCTTATCCGAACGGTGATCGACAGTGAAAACTTCTTCTTTCGTTGGCATCGTGGGCCTGCGTCTTGGGGGCTAGGACTGGAAAAGGAAAATCTATATCGTAACGTTTTATAACCCCCAGGTACATACCCGGGCCTGTCTCTCGTTTGGGAGTTGGGAAAACCGATTCTAATGAAAACATGCGATTTTTCAGATTTCCCACTACGGCGCCACGGTCTCCCATGAGATTGTGTAGATACCACCGGGGCCCGCCGGGTCCCTAGCCCGCCAGCGCACGCTGCCAGGTGGAAAAGTTCAATTCCCTCGCCCGAGTCGGGTTTGGTGAAGCCTTGATGGTGACACCGTGATACCCAGAGCTCCAGAGGGTTTTCGACGACACTATGGGGACTTTGGAAGAAGGATGGTGAGGCAAAAGTACGGCAAAAATAGGAACGAAGGGTCAGAAGACCCCAATGCGGCGAACTACCATCTACGCCCACCAGGCGGAAAGTCTGACTGAAACTGTGGCTGGAAGAGTGATGACGGGGCACGCCGCCGACGATCAGGCAATTTGGCGGTCAGGTGAACAGGTGACGTTGCTCGCCTGTGGTACCACCCGTCTATAGAAGTCACAATACTTCACGATACTTCATGTTATTTTGAGGATATTAGTGACTGGTGTTTATGGGAAAGGGACTGTGGTCTGTCCTACTTACCTATAGACCGTGAGGCGAATGTTTAAGGGCTTGCGTATGGTGGTGTTCCGATTCGTAGGCGAAGTGCGCCCTGCGTTCATGCGAATAAGGGACCACCGCCGTCTCGCCGGAACGGAGTTCCAGTTATCGGGATCTGTGCCCACGCTCTCCAAGATGGCAAGGGAAGAAGGTACAGAAGGTCTCACCGAGATTGCAATTGTCTGTGTCCGCTTTCCAAGATGGTGCACAACCCCGTTTAGACCCGCACACCCCCCTCTCCGTCAAGGCCATATTCATAACCACGAGGCCGCACTATCCCCCTATCTTCGTCGTAACATTATAGTAGCCTTCTTCCTGACGTGTATGTTGTCCCAATGAGTATGTGGTTTAAGTTTGTCCGGCAATGTTACTCAATAATATTGGCCTCCGCCCGTGGCGTGACCTGAAATTTATTTCCTCTTTGGAAGCCCTTCAGTCACCTGTCTCCCCTTTGAAGCAATTCCGCCCGGAGTCTATCAATCTACCTAGGTACATGTGAATATCGTTGTAATCTAGCATGAAACAAAAAGCGAGAACCTGGGTATATACATATCCGAGATCTCTAGCGCTTTAGAAGGGTCTCTGTATGCAGAAAAGCAGGAACAATAAAAGAAATATTTAACTAATAACAGAAACGAGGAAACCCGTTTATGCAGACCGGCAACCGTACAACCAAATAAAACGTTAAACCAAAACAAGACCGTGACTGCTCCCAAACGCCATAAAAAGAAATGGGGTATTGCTATTTTAATGTAGGAAAATTTTTTATGATACCGAAAAAGAACCTATAAGAACCCGAGGACAGAAGGAGACGAAACGATTGAAATTTGGGAAACAAAACAATCAACAGCAATGAACACGAATGGGAAAGACAAAAAGCCAAGAAGAAAAGAAGGAAGCAGTTAGAGCCCATAAACATGTGGGAAGGCTTAAGGCATTATCGAGCACCCTTTCGCTTACTGAGTCTCATCGGGTGTTCCGATGAAACTTAGGTGGGTATTAAAAGCCCTTCGTTACCTCCTGATCCTGTCGACCACTTCCTGCATCACTTACAGAAGGACTACCTAGACTTCCGCCTCTGGATCGAACCATCGGCTTCGTCGACATCAGTGCTGCCGCCAAATCATCCGGCTTTATCGGTTTAGCTATATGACTCAACATTCTAAACATTATTGTTAGTCAAAATCGGTGTAATTGCAAATGATAGACGACTCCGAACGTACCCAGCCTGCAAACACTTCTCACGATCACTGGGAGTAGCATTCGCAGTCAATGCAATGATCGTAGGTCTCTGCGAATCCGGATATCGCTTCATTAATTCTCTACTGGTTTCGATACCGTCGCTGCGAGGCATTTGAACCTAAATCCAACAATGTCAACAACAACCGACCGACCGACTCACACCTGGCGCATACGGCTAGGGAATAAAACACCTACATCCATTAATATGACATCATACTGGTTGTTCTCACTAGCCGCGACCTCCACCATCTCAAGGACTTCAATCCCATCCTTCGCATGTGCCGCAGTGTACCCCATGCGCTTTAGATGTTGCAAAGCCACCCTCGTATTCAACGGATTGTCTTCGGCGAGCAGGATATGCAGCGGGTGTCTACTCCCCAAAGATCGGATCATCTCCTGCTCCGGGTCTTCGACTTTGATTGGCTCTCGCTTCCTTGGGTCTAGCGCTTCTTGAATATTCTGGATATACCGCTGGCGCGGGGCCGGCCGCACAATCGAGGCGGTCACATTTTTATGTTGATCTAGAGCCGGCACCGTTGTCCCGAACCGCGCTTGCAGTATAATCTTAACCGAAGGATCGATTTTACTGATGCTGGCCGCAATGCGCAAGCTCTCGTCCAGCGAAAAGTCGATGATCGCGACCCGGATTCCTCCGCTCCGTATGGCCGTCATTGTTGAGATAACCGTGTCGGTTCGGGTAATCACCAGGCCTTCTCGGGAAAGCTCCTTCTCAAGGGTCTTGGAGGACAGCTCATGGGGATCGGCAATGAGTACCTTTTTGCCCACCAATCGTTTGTCCAACTGAGGCTCCTTGATTCCGATGGGGGCTAAAATTGTAAGGTGGAATGTGGACCCTTGCCCTTCCACGCTTTCCAAGCTGTAGAAGGAGACCAATTAGCATCGATGCAAAAAGATAACACTAACCAAATCCGCGTGTTGGAATCATTCCAAGGCGCACTTACACAATGTCTCCACCCATTGACTGAGCCAATTTCTTCGAAATCGCCAGCCCCAGTCCCGACCCACCATAAAGCCGCCGTGTCGAGGAATCCACCTGCGAGAATGCCCGAAAAAGTTTTTCCCTGGCTTTCAATGGAATTCCGATGCCGGTATCGTTGACTGTCACGTTTATCCGAACCTTTCCATCATCGTCTTGGTTACTGGTTGCCTGGTTCAGGTGCTCGACCCATGCCGTCACAAGAATGTGGCCTTTTTCGGTAAACTTCACTGCATTCCCAACAAGGTTGATAATGATTTGCCGGAACCTTGTAACGTCCCCGAGGACGACCTCAACCGTAGGGCACTTGTTCTCGAACACAAGCTCAAGGTCTTTTGTGGCAGCCGGTTCCGCAATGAGCTGTAAAGCGCTCTCTATGCAGTCTCGCAACGAAAAAGGTGATTTTTGGAGGTCCACGGGCCCATGCTCCATCTTGGAGAAGTCCAGGATTCCATCAATAATCTTCAACGTTAGGACAGCCGAGTTACGAATTGTTTCCACATACTCGCGCTGCTGGTCAGTTAGAGTGGTATCTAAAAGGAAAATTGCGTAGGAAAGGAGAGCATTGAACGGAGTTCTGATTTCATGGGACATGTTGGCCAGGAAAGACGACTTTTCTTCCGTAGCTTCCTCTGCCGCCTTCTTTGCCAACTCCATTGCCCGGTAAAGCCGTGCCTTGTCTATTGTTACAGCGGCTTGTGTGCAGAGGAGATTCAGCAATTCCAATCTCTGCGAAGTAAACGCGTGGTTCACATGCTTGTTCTCGAGGTAAAGAACGCCCATGGTTTTTATCTGGTTCTGGATCGGCATGCAGAGAACAGACTTGGGGTGTTTTGTGGAGAAATATGCGTCTCGACCATATGTCCCGTCGAATTTCTCATCGTGGCCATTTCGGACAATTGGTTCGCCGAGTTTCCAAACGATCGATGCGATCGAAAGAGGGACAAGATCTGGGCGAGCGTTTAGGGGTTGGTGATCAAGAATTGTAACCTTCTCCATGAAGAGAATCGTTTCAGCATAAAGATCACCATCCTCTTCTAGTATCAAAACTCCATAATCCGCCCCGGCAGTCTGTAGGACGCTTTTCATGAGCTTTACGACAACCTCATCCATCTGGACGCCTTCACTGATGTACAATGATGCCTTCATAAAGGTTTTGTAGTCCAACTCCGATTCCGCGAATGGCTCAATATTGGACGACCGTGAAACATGGGATTCATCGTCGTCTTGAATGACATTCTTGGAAGCTCTGGGGGAAATATTTGCAAATCCAGCCTGGAGTTGATGCGGTGCCTGCATCGCGCTTTCGCTTGTATTCCTCGACAAACCAGGGCGGACGGCAGAAACTGGGAGATCGGCATCACTGTAACGGCTGGGAGGCATTGCATGCCTAAATTTCATGCCTAGTTCTTCGCTGTAGGCATTTCTCAAAGCTTGCAGCTTAGCATTAGCCCCCCACCACGAATACAGCTTGTAGGCTTCCCTCAGGTAAAACAGCCAGCGCTTCGTGCCTAGTTTCGAGAGCCATATTGCGCATCTCTCATTTATCAAGGCTGCTTCGTGGTAAAACTGCGATTGATTCGCAAGTTGGATAGCTTCCTCAAACCGATCCAATGTTGTGAGCGTACTTTCGGTATCTTTGTGAAGCTCTGCCTCAAGTGCGAGGTATTTATGAAGGAAAGTTTCCTTAGCATATAACGACCAATCCTTTAGTTGTTTCACAGTATCATGAAGATACTTAATCTCATCTGGCATTAGCTTGTCCAGTCGGTCGATAAGGGCAAACCCACCATAGAAATGCGACCAAGAGAGGTATATCGACGAAATCATAAAGACAGACTGGGGCCTTGTGCCTTTCATGACACTCTCGTACGCCGCATCCATGTCGCCAAAAAAGACCGCGAGGATAAGTCTGTAGAGATTTAGAACGTATAGATGGCTGACGCTCTCACTGCACATTAGGGAGTTGAGATCATCTTGTGTCATTTCGACGCCTTCCAACTTAGCTGGGTTGGGGTTCCCAAGTCCTCGGAGGTTGAGAAGAACTTGATACGGCATTCGGAGCCACCATTCGCCTAGTCGGTAGTTTTGTCGGACAGTTGAAGCCCTGTTCGTGTTCATTTTCTGAGCAACTGATTCCAATCTTTCCCCAGAAAGCATTGAAAAGGCGGGGATTTCTGCAGACGCAAAGCCCTGATAGTCTACTTCAAAGATGGCTTGTGCTGTGACTAGGGCTAGGTGCTCGTATTTGAGAACGTCGCTCATCCCTCTATGAAAACAAGCAATGTGTCCTGCGAAGACCTGGAAGATGGCGGGGGCGTTGGTAGGAGTAACATGGTGCATCTCCTTCTCCACCAGAGTCACTGCCATATGCCCTAATTTCCAAGAGAGCGCCAAATTATGCTCCCCACCCTCCCCACTGATCATGACCGCAAGCATAACCATCGGATATGCACTCTCAATGCAAACGCCTGACTTAAGGGTTGCGCGGAAGGATGTTAGGCAGATCGACGGTAACAATTCCGGCCGCGACATATATATCGGAAGGAGGACCCCGGCGCAGATTTCGTGTAAAAGAATATCAGCGATACTGTGCTTTCGGTTTTCCATCACTTTGACTTGTGAAAGGTCGATAGAATCAAGTTCACAGGAAGTGCGCAGCGCCGCTGCATGTTTCTTGCAGCTTGCATCATCCTCAGGGATGTAATATCCTAGCAGCGACAATGCAGATAGTCCCGCAGCAGTGGTATCCTGCAGTCTTCCCATCGCCATAAGATATTTCATTTTGAGCAAAAGGCATCGACTTTTGTTCACGGAGAGAGTACAGTCATCTAGCAACTTCTGTATCGTCTGGATAGCAGCCTCATAGTCCGATTCCGCGAATTGAGCTTCGGCCAACGACATTGTAACATTGAGTCGCAGCTCACCGACGTTCACCTTCCTGATAACTCCCAAGGCGTCCTCCATATAGTTATCCTCGTCTTCATTTCCTTCGTCAAGGAGTTTCCTGGCTTGGTTGAAGTAGTTTAGCGCGGTGTTGAAAGCGGTAGTTTGCAATGCTCGTTTCCCTGCCTCGAAGTTGAGAGTAATCAGCTTGCGAGACTCCTCCCGAGTTAACGGACCCTGCCAATAATTCAGATGATTCGTTATCTCATAAATCATGAGGTCCATTTTGTCGGTACTGGTATTAGCAAAGAGCCTGGTTCCGATAGTTCTGTGGACCTGTTGCAGCTGATCTTCTGGGATAAGGGAATAAGCCGCTTGTTGTACTCGGTCGTGGAGGAAGCGATATGTGACGGCCTGTGTTAGGTCGGCGGGTACAGCAGGGTACCGATTAGCCATATAAGGTGTTATTCCTCCACCTTCAGGTTGAGAAGTAACTTCATGTGTTAAGCCCGCGTGGTATTGTGTGTTCATAGGCAACATCAATCCGGCCTGAGGTGCGGTCATGTCAGCCATTTGCCACGTATTATCACGTTATCATCAGTCGTCCAACTTACGTCGAGAGCACCCCATAGCGATTCCTCCGCCTGTTCCAAGGTCTTCCCGCATGCAATTGACAGCGTTTCGATCGAGATCTTCCCATGGCCCAGACAAGCAGCAACCGTCATTATTTCCCTTGTTTCTTCGCCTAGACTCATCATTTGCTTCACAAGAAGGTCAACGACTCCGTCGGGTAGCTCATCCGTTTCGATAGTTGACAGCGAAAACCTCCATATTCGTTCGTTGAAATCAAACCAGATGTGGCCACCGCGGTGAAGACTCTTCAGTAGTTGAGTAACAAAGAACGCATTTCCGTGAGTTTTTGCAAAAACTAGCTCTGTTAGCGTTCGTAGTTCAGCGTCATGCGGTCGGGCGGTATGCTGTGAGGCGTGTTCCCCGGATTCCTCCGTCTCGTACACCTCTAGGTCGGTTAGTATAGGCGGGAAAGGTCGATGAAATGTATCTGCCACAATCTTCCCAACACTCTCAATATCAAGATCCGCGATTTCCAAGTCGTTGACCGGTACCCCATGCTTCCTTACTCTGTCAACCATAGCGTAGAGCGGATGGTCGGCTGTTACTTCGTTGTTTCGATATGCACCAACTATAAGGATACTCTGCCCCTGCCCATTTGAATTTGCTTGCGCCGCAATATTGGCTATCAAGTTGAACTCCGTACTCGAGCACCATTGCAAATCGTCTAGGAAAACGACCAAGCTGTGCCTCGCAAATATCGACAGGAACCTCACAAAGACTGTCCGGAATCGTTGTTCTCGCTCAGATGGTCCCAACGCTGCGAGTACGTCTGGTTTATAGTCCGGACCCAGTAGCAATTTCATCTCTGGGATCACCTCGAGCAATACCAAAGACTCCCCGTCAAGCGCTCGGATTGCATCCACCCTCCACTTTTCGAGATTCTGTATACTCTCGGAAAGCACTTGTCGGACTAGATCTTGGAGAGTTTGTATCAGACTGAAGAAGGTCGTGTTCCGCTTGTATTGTTCAAATTTCCCACTAGTAAAGTATCCCTTGTTTTTGACAACAGTTTTCTGAACCTCCTGAACCAACCTGCTCTTACCGGTTCCGCTACTTCCCCCGATCAATACCAAGGCGCTCGACCGCTTCTCTTTTACGGCTGTGTACGAATCCTGAAGTGACTTCAGTACATTTTCTCGGCCATACAACTTATCCGTAACCGAAAATTGACTATTTGCATCCGCTTCTCCTATTATATAATCATCCAGGCCGAGGCCCTCGTTTAGTCGTTTTATCAGTACTTCTAGATCCGCCTGCAGGCCACTCGCGGTCTGATACCGATCCTCAACATTTTTCTCTAGGAGTTTGAGGATGACTTTTGAAACAGTAATTGGTATCGATTGGTTGGCTTCTGATGGTGCGGCTGGCGGCTTCGCAATATGCTGATGGATAAGCTCTAAGGGCTCAACTGCTCTGAAAGGTAGAAATCCAACGCAGAGTTCATACATGGTGATACCTAACGAGTAGAAATCGGCTCGGTAATCGACTACCCGGTTCATCCGACCTGTACACTCTGGAGCGATATACTGTAGCGGACTCGGATTATCCCGTAAGGCAATTATTGTTCCCGTATGGTCATGTGTGACCTCGTCCCGGCCGTGGCGAGTCGCGAGGTGCCAACCGAACAGGTAACCCTTCGGCGGGGTCCCCGGAGTTACTAGTATTGTATAAGGGTTCACATTGTTATGAATAATTCCTAGTGAGTGTATTACGCCCAATACATTCACGATATCATAAACAACGTTTAAGATACCAATCAAGTCGTTCTGGGTCCTGGGCTTTGGCGTCGGCGCTCTATTCGACGGTGGAGGGGGAGGTGATGGTGCAGTTATCGTTGCTATCGAAGATGTCCTCGACCCTCTAGCTACTGGTTCCATTAAAGGTGTCTCGTACGGCGTATCTAGCGGTTGAAGATTAGGATCTTCTTCCATTACCTTCCTTTCGGGTAAAAACCATTCCTTTGCTGTTTGATATCCCCGTTGATCATCATAAACTAAACTGATAGCACCGTCCGGGAAATAATCCATTAACATTGGGCTAGCGATATTCGGGTGACTTGAGAGGTTCGATAGCGAGTAATTAGATGAACTCGAGTGTGATGGCAGTAGTACCCCTCGCTGTGAATGAGGAGATGGCGAAGCGACTGAACTTCCTGGAACAGAATGTTGTAAAATGGTATTAAGAGACCCAGGTTCCGCATTTGAGCCAGAAAATAGCTTCCATTCCCATCTCAGCCGAGTCAGTGAGTCGACATTGTTAGCGTCTGCCGTTTTCAGGAGCATCGGGGCTGAAGTTGATTTTGACTGCGCTCTGTAGACATGCATATAGTTCTAAATTAACATTAGGTCAGCTAATTCCACTATTACCACTCCCAATTTGTACGCCCCAACTCACAATCGAATACATTAGATTTAGATTCGTATATCCATCTCCACTAGTCGTTTCGGTCATTGCCGCCGAGTTGATGGATATTGAATCATTGGAAGTTTTCCCAAATCTGACTGTAGCAACCATATCGTTCCCTACACCATTTATCTGGTGATCCGTGTCTAGTGGACTACCTTTCTCCTCGATATTCGGCATTCTTGCGTTCAGATTGCTGTACATTCTAGATCCCAAGGGATTCGGCCCTATGCGTGAAACGGGACTGGCAGATGGCGGTGTACTAAAGAACTGTGGATGGGAGTCATGACTACTCTCGGACCCGGAACCGGACCTAGAAATAGGCGGTATTGAAACCAATTGAAGGGGGCCACCAGATGACGGGCCCAGTGTCAACCCAGCTAACGAGTGTGGTAGAATTGAAGGAGAGTCTGTCGATGATAACGACGTGCTAGGAGCACATTGTGGCGAAGTTAAGGTGGATGACGATTGGGAAGAATGCCTTGTCTGGTGGGGAGATTTCCCTCTGGAACGAGAATCCCTACCGCCACCGTATGACCCACGCGGGGCGGACGAAGGATGGTGAACTGGAGCTGATGAACTTGAACTTGTATTCTGCTGTTGATTCAGTTTTGTCGGCGAGGACATAGTGAAGAGCGAACTGAAGAACTTGCGCAAGGACGCCAGTGTTGGAAGAAAAGATGATTATAACCTATCGCCGTCGCTAGAGATAGCTAGCTAGGGCAAAGGTTATCAGCTTGTGCTAAGTCGAGTTGAGTTGAGACTGCCTACGCCGTCACCAATACAATTGGAGTAGGCCTCACTCCGCAACCAAAACGAAATCCTCAAGCAAAATCCCGGCCTGGTTATAGCTGCTTCGCCCTGTTTCCTGCGGAACTGCAGTGGCACCTGCGTCGGACTGAGGATCGTATCACCGGTTTCAGTTGCAACTGCGGTGCAGTATACTATGTGTTGTTCTTGTCGTCGAGCGCCGCAAAGACCTGCACAAGCGATAGGGTCGTCTTTGAATGCAGAATACGACCTCGAGGGCTTGAATTAATCGATGAAGTATAGTATCTGTTGGGAAGGACGTCGGTAAAAGATGTGGCGGAGATGTTCATCAGCGCATGACCGAATCTAGGAAGAAAGAATTGCGGGTCCCACTTCTGCAGCACTATTGACAACCTTGGAAGCAACTATCCGTGCAAAGATTGGATGGATTTCGCTGTCCCGCCGCAGTGTTATAATGCTGGTACAATAAGAGACCGTTAGCCCTGTTTTAAGTAAAGCAACCTGGCGGAAACCTGGCGGAAACCTGGCGGCCCCCGCTGGATCGCCTGCTGCGATAACCGGATTCAGGATGGTTTGAGGGGAACCATATGATGGATTTACGGTAGCTACTTAAGTAAGTACCTGTTTTTAAACGGTAAAGCTTGAAGATGTCTATATAAAAAAAATGTGCCTCGTGGACTTACAATCCCCTAGGTATTTTATCAGCCCAGATTTTAACCACCTGTCGGAACGGCAAAAAATAATCGCCCGGTGGTATGAGTCGCGGAATTAAAGAAATGTTAACCTGGAAGATCGAACGTAGGAAAGAGCGAGGAAGAGTGATGTATAATACGGGCAAACTGATTTTCCGAACTCGCCGTGCAGGAATAAGAAGCTGATTACGAATGTAAGATTGAAAGTCTCGAAGAAACTGAAATCAATTAGGGTTCCTCCTTCAATAGTGAGAATTAAGAATCGCCGTGGAAGAGCTAAGCACAGAAGCGATTATTAGAGTTGACAACGTTAACTTCAAAATAACTTTAGTCGTCCTCGAAGTCTAAGCCAGGACTCGCCGGGGAAGAAATGAAAGATGTCGGCCGAGGCTCAGGACTATGACAGAATTTTGCCTGAAGGTTTTGAGAGATTGAAAGTTATAATCAAAGGGGAAATGCAAAAACGAACGGCCCTTCGTAGCTAGCGAGACGGAACTGCAAAGTGTAGACGGGTCACGGATTTTTTAGACAGGGAGGCATCCGTGCGGGTTTTTGCATGCTGCACATGTTCAGTCCGGTCCTGGCTACCCTAAATCCTGTTCTGTTCTGTTCCTTTCTCCTGCTTGTTCTTTCTCACGAACTTCAAACTTGGCGGGGGAGTTTCAAGGAACAGCAGGTGGGACGCAGGTCCCAGTTGGCTTCGGAAAACCCTTATTTTTGGAGGTATCGTGGTCTCCTCTGATCACATATCTGCCACTGGGAATCCATTATTCATCATAGGAAATATTAGACTTCCAACGGATGCAAAAGCCTATTAGCATCTGAATCCTAGCCATTGACGTTGCCGGTGCCGCAATGCTATTGGACATGTGTCGGGTGCCCTGTTATTGCAATGACGTCGCCTGCAGCGAGCCCAACGACTCTGCATATCAAGGACCATAATAGTAGTCCCTTTGGTGTATCTGGTTTGTCACGGTACGGGCTGCAAGAAATCTTTCAGGTGGCTCCGAACCCCGATCTCTCGATTGAAGCCAGTTAGATATAAATCCAGTCTGCCCCTGTTGAACCCTTTCTGTTCCGTCTTTCAAAAAAATAAATAAAAATTTAGACTCCAGGAAAGCTCCCCGGAAAATTTCGACCTTCAGGAGGGCTTGTACAGCGCATGCAAGTGTACCGTGTATGTAGGTGGGAGCTACTGGAAGCAGGAGCGGGTGGGACTCCAACCCCAGCCCAGGCGAGCGCAAGATCGATCGGACTTGAATTATGTAAATCGAAGACGACGTCAGGAAAACTTTTCGACCATGACTTTTCGATGTTTTAGCGTGCATCAACTCGGGATCGGGAACTGGCACAACATCGACAGTGTCATAACCCCTGTCGTTCTAGCCTAATACAGCCTAAAATTATACAACACTAACAACACTGACATACATCCTAAATATTTACATATGTCAGTCTCAGGTCCAGACTCTCGCATGACAAAATTAACTGAAAAAGACGGTCCTTAGTGGCGATGTCGATACAATTCTAGAAACTTCTAGATGGAATTCGGAATATATGTATTTTATTGAAAAAAAAAAGTTGTTAGCTGAGGTGAAAATATAGAGTGACTAGGTACCTACGTGGTTATATTATTGCTCCCATTACTGGCAACATAATAATGTTATATATATTATATTGAGGATGTATGCGGGTCGAGGCTCTGTGCAAGTAAATTCTGTTACACATTTTAGATGCGATATTACAATCTCTGAGATATAGTGCAGCAAAAGTGTCCTTTCTTTCCCCTTCTCTTAATAGTCTCGTGCATACCTAGACCTGAAAGCGTCTTCCCTTCTGTCGGCTCCCGGGACAGTTTTATGTGAAGAGAAACCAAAACTGCACCCCAAGATATATTTTACAGTTCGTTATGCGAGTCTTGTATTAAAACGTTTCGACACACCCCTATTACCCTCAGATACTAGAGCTAACATTGATTTTCCAGTATCATATCAACAAGCAGACTAAGGGATCCAAAACGCAACTTCGGTCTTAAACTCGTGTGGGTTTCCGGACGCTTGTATATGTATCTCTCACTAGGTTTAACTCGAACTCTAGTATTTATATACCATTCTCGCTCGCACGCTAACCGGAGGGCCTAGGGTCAATTTTTGATAATCATCGAAATTAATGTCAAGGTATAATCCCGAGCTTCGAAAGTACCCATATGGCTGTAATGAATAAAATCCTCTCAGGCCCTGGCCTTCCTGCTACATAGTTTACTCAAAAGCCGGAGCTTTCTAGGAAGATACAAACCCATGCATTATTTCGGTGTTAGTATCAGCCAACGATTAGTTTGTACCAGGGTATAATTAATAGACCTGAAGTGTAGCTGGCATTTTGAGGTTATATAGCGGTCGGTTGGGGTCATGCAAAGTGCCATTATATCTATCACAAAAGGAAGTATCTTCAAGGAGTATTACGAAACTTAAGTCTTCCTCGACAAGTTCAATTAAGAAATCTTGAGACTAAAGCTTGGGGGGGGCCGGTTCCCGGAGCACTTAAAAATAACATCTTAACATGCACGGCCTACAAAGTCTGGTTGCCGACTTAGGCCTGGTTTAATCGCTTCATAAATTGCGGGAATAGCTCTAGAATAGTCTCCCTTTCAAGCTTTACTATATCTCAGCCACAACCGGTCCCCAGAAATCTGGCATCAGCTTGCCAGCAACACATGATAGCGTTGCATTTGTGAGATTAGTCAGCACTCACTTGGGAACTATATTTCTTCAGTGAATCATCACGATTTTTAAGGATAGGTTCTGAACTACTTTTTGATATGCTTTTTATAGTGTCAGACATCAATTAATTTGAATTTGAAGTTAGGGTTATATTGGCTCCATTTAGATATAATAGCCAGCTATGATATCATGCTTCAATTGATCAAGCTGAAGCTCCAAATACTTTTGGGTCGACATATTGTTTTCCCATATGATCATATGAAATAATACTCTAGCCCTGGATAAAACCAAGATATCCGACCAAAACGAACAAGATTGAATAAGTTGGATATACTGAAGATTTTTGTCTTTTCTGTATCAATTTTAGTAGACATTTGTTATTCTGAAGTGTAGAAAGTAGCATGGGATTGAACTCGCACCTGCCATGCCTCCCAGCATGGGATTGTAATCGGAGCACTTTGTAATTAATCACGAAATCCACGGCGAACCTAGGATTATATAAAAATCGGGCATACCTTTCCCAGTTTATTAAAGCGCTTAGCGACAACAGGGATCCAGTAAATCCCAATTTTCCCAATTTTCCATGTATACATGCTATATTGATACTGTTGCCTTCCCCTACCTAGATATAGCTATCCAGTCCCATGATTGCAATGATAATCTCAGATGTGGCTATCTGGTAGATTATTCGGCTAAAGATATCAACGTGGCTGCAATAAATAGGGAAAATTACGAATGAAATATATAAGACCATGCATGAATGGCCCCGGTCCGCGTTTCAGAGATTCCGTCTGATACCCTGGCTGTTGGTTGGTAACGAATGATCAGAACCGACGAAGGTCGTGGCCAGACCTGTTTGCCTGCCCGCCTAGATGTGTTGCCAAGCAACACCAACCGGCGTGACAGGCATGGCTAGTAGGGCAGCCAGTTACCCAGTCCGCCATATGGTATATGCCATGTATGCCATATAATGACATGGTCATAGTCGACGCATGTTAGCGAGTGCTACGATAATTATAATCGATCATTGAAAATAAATTGGTTCTCAGAAACAAGCATCAAGATCTTTATATCGTATGATGTCGTTTCAGATCCCGGCAGGCCTGCATGGGCCCGACCCTTTTTTCCCTTTTAAATCAAAAGTCGGGAGGTTGTAACCAAGTGTTAAATGATCCGAAGTATAAAGGATCTCTCAGAGCCGGATGCTGCAGGCGCACTGCAAGGTTTCGCCAGTATATTGAGATTGCAAGCTAACCTCCTCTTCGGGCAAAGCTGTGCGACGAAATACCCATATTGCATCTACTTCGTCGACGTACTCCCGTGGCTTGGACGGAGAATAGTGGCAGCCATGCAAGCCAATCTGGTTGCAATGGTCTAAGAACTAAATTATTTAAAATAGTTCTTTTGTATATATCACTTGCGGGAATTTTGCGAATCTCGGCCTGTCATATGTCGTTATTCGGGGTGCTGTGATATTTACCGAAGAACCGTTCGAAAAAACAGACGTGTACGTAATGAATTCATGTCCATGGTCGTCAAATGCAAACTCGACTTTGGAATGTACTTTGTCACCGTCGACAGAGGAAAGGAGAACCTTTCGACCCCTGGCTATATCTGAAGCATCGGGAGTGTTGCGCTGTCGCCGTTTTGGCTGGATAGGACCAGTCCAAGGCGGGACGAAAAAAAGAACTTTGAGACGGAAGCTTGAGGTATCGAGACACAGGATCTCGGGACATGGGATGGTTAAGTTGAAGCTAGCGAAGACCCATTAACTTGTTCGGGTGATCGCCTACGCAAAACCCGCCTGTAGACGAAGTGGATAAATAGCAAAACGGGCTCATGATAGCTCTTTTTGGTTCTCTTGGACCTCCTGTTTTTCGTCTTTGCTGCGACGCTATTTTGGACCGAAGTGACGGAGTGGTGGTGCTTGGAGAGGTTGAAGTACTCGAAGTACGCACTGAACTGCTATTTCCAGCCATCACCGCGCTTAAACAAGCTAGCACTCTGCCTTATTCGAAGGACATTTAATATTTCCAGTCCTCGACAGGACAGATAACCGACAGCCAGCGATTCGTGGGAAGCCGTGTCGAGTTCTGGGTCCCTTGGCCCTGCTGCCATTTTTGCACATAACTCACGTAAGTAGCAGCGGCCGGTGCAGTGCAGCTGAACTAGCTCGCCCTCTCCTTCTTATCGCTCATACTGCCCGTGCATACACAATTGTGCCGTTGGGTTTCTTCACGTTTCAGGTTTCCAAGGACGGGCAGCTGTTTCCTTCCTGCCTTCGTTTGCCCGACCGTGCTGCGGTGCGTCTGTCTGTCTGTCTGTACTGTCCTGTACTGTAAGTGAGTATTGGCGGTGGTATTTGTGAAGGAAGAAGAGAGAGAGCTTAATTCGGTGTTTGGCCCTCTCCCAATCTCGTATGTAGTCAATCCGGCTCTCCCCAAAAAACTTCCACCCCCAATTTCCCTCTCCCTCTCCATCATCACCATCACCTCCCTCCAGATCATCTCCAACCTCGCCCAACCACCGTCCTCCTCCGAACGACTGTCTAGCTGCCAACTTTCCCCCGATCTCCATCTCCCCAGATCGTTCATTCCCGAATTGACAACATCTCCTCCGACGTTATCCCGTGAAGCTGTTCTTATTCTTGGAATTCCAGGGCCCCAGTCCACGTTTAGTAGCTCCTTACAAAGCTACCTATCAGTACGTACTTCCCTACATACATACTGCTTGCTTAGTATGTACGTCTCTATCAAACCAGTCGCAACTCGAACCCTGAATGAACCTGCCCCCCCCAATCATAACCCCTTGACCTTCCATCCTCCAAACGTTCTCTCTTCTAGGCAGGGTCACCTGCACTCATTGATTGTTGCTGCATGCGGCTCCCCCCTTTCACCTTTCAACACCTTTCCAGAGCTCTTGTCCTTACGCGAATTCCTTGAATCTTTTTTTTCGTTGTCGCGTTATCATCGCCTTGATAGCCTCGTTGTTATCGAACCCTTTCGACATCTAAAGGTCTGACTTTGATATCTTTCTAATTCTCCAATAGAACCACTTGACGAAAAAAGCAACGTCTATTATACCCTTTTGGTAACGATGGTTGTCGCGACCATAAAGTAAGCTCCAACCGGCCTTCCCTTTAACCCCTGATCGTTAATGGAGTCGTTATCGTGATAGCTAACAAGAAGCTTCTTACCTTTGGTAGATGTGTCGTCGTCGGTGACGGTGCTGTTGGCAAGACCTGTCTGCTCATTTCCTACACCACTAATAAGTTCCCATCGGAATACGTTCCAACCGTCTTTGACAACTATGCTGTCACTGTCATGTAGGGTCTTCGCTGATTGCAACTCTTATCATTATCGTTATCGTTATCATTTCTAATGTCGTTATAGGATTGGTGATGAGCCATACACACTTGGCTTGTTTGATACTGCTGGACAAGAGGATTACGATCGCCTGAGACCCTTGTCGTATCCCCAAACCGACGTCTTTCTCGTCTGTTTCTCGGTTACTTCCCCGGCCAGCTTCGAGAACGTCAAGGAAAAATGGATTCCTGAAGTCCGACACCATTGTCCTGGAATCCCATGCTTGATCGTTGGTACGCAGGTCGACTTGCGAGATGACCCCGGTGTCATCGATAAGCTGAATCGCCAAAAGATGAAACCCATTCAGACAGCCGACGGTGAAAGGTTGGCGAAAGACTTGCAAGCTGTCAAGTATGTCGAGTGCTCAGCTCTCACTCAAAAGAACCTCAAGAATGTCTTTGATGAGGTAGGTCATTCACCGATCCAATTGACTTTTGAAACATTCCTACTTACACCTCTTCTTTAGGCGATTGTCGCAGCTTTGGAGCCTCCCAAGCAGGGGGACAAGAGGAAGTCCAAATGCGTCTTGTTATAAACGCTTGTTTGAGGTCTTAGCCCTTTAACGAACAACGATGTTTATGATAATTCTGCATGCTCTTTTTCTATTTCAAACAGCGCAATACCGACTTATGTACACTAGGATCGAACGCAATTGCGGGACAGAATCTTAAATGTGCAGCCGCCTGTCACTGGGTCTATTGGGAAGCTACACAAATGCATGGGAGCCTGTCAAGGTGCTAACTGACTACAAATTCTCTTTATTCCCTCATTTTTCTTCTTCAAAGGCGAATTGGGGACTACTCATGTGGTGTTTAGAACGCTTTGCTCGATTCTTCTAGCCTTTCGTATGCAATTAAATGTATACCATCTAACGGCTTTACCATATTATCATTCCCGGGCTCTCCAAAGCGAAGAAAATAATTGGGAATCATGTTGTGCTCATCCCTCGGATATAGGACCTGTATGCTGCTTTTCTTCTTTCTTCCCTGTCCCGGTTTTCTCTCGAGCTTCCCGTTATCGTTTGCTATTTTGAATTCCTCACAGCTCCGTTTAAAGTTTTCTGTCTTTTATTCCCTGCTGCCCTTTCCGATATCTATCTTTGCTTGGGTTTTGATGCAATGCTTCTTTGATTGTGACGCGGGTTGTACTTGATTTCTCTTCGCCGCCAGATTAGTTGGTGCCTTCAATTGAAGCTTTCTTGACCTTTTTTTTATATACAAGCAATGCATTTCGCTCTTCACATTTTTTTTCTTCTTTGCTTAGTTACATTACACTACAGCGATCTTGAGTTTGGATTTGTGAGAGCGAGAACTGGCTGTTAGTATCTTAACTTAACTTCACCATATTCACCACAAGCCAGGAAAACCGAGGTTGCGAGATATACAGGCTAAAGCCAGCGTTTCATGATATCGGCTTATCAACTGAAGCTGAAGTTGGCGAGCAAGGGAGGTGACCAGGATGATTGCGCTGTAAGAGTAGCTTAGCCTGATCCAGTAGTATCTGATGTTTAACAGGCGAGGATGACGGATTGAAGACCCAAACGGTTAATGCTAGTTATCCACGTTATGATGACATCAGGATCTTACCTGTTAGCGTAACATGGTGTATCTATATTCTAGTATTCGGCTGGCCTGGTCGAGGCTTTGGTCAGGCGTCACCGGAATGGGGAACTACCTACCTGCTAGGCTCCTCCTAACCTGCTGGGACAGACATCATTCTTTAGATTTTGGTGTATATGTCATATACACAGGCTTCGAATATAGATGTCACATAATATAGGAGATGGTAGCAAATTCTTCTAAACAGTAAAATATAATTTTATAGGTCGTGATAGAAGTCAGGAAGCGTTCACCGGGTATAGAACTGACTCGAGGTTGGCGTTTTAATTAGTGTCGTTTGCATTGGTCAGTGTTGCCGTTGGCATTTGGGCTGAACCTCAACCTCAACCCTCCAACCCCGAGTATCCCCAAGCAATCTCCTTGACCAGGTCAACATCACCACAAAACTCTCCGACTATCCACCATCCTGACCTCTTACCAACCCCTCGAAATGGCTCTTCCACCTCATACTATCAGGATCAAGCGGCGAAGAAACGAGGATCCCGTACAAACCCTGCGTACGGGCAACCCCGCCCTGTCCAGACTCTCCAATCCCAGCAAGCCTTCGCTAACCCACAGGAATTCAAAATAGTCGTCGAGTCTAAACGTCGAAGAGTCGACGGGGAATTCTGTTTCATCCTCCACGATACCGTCGAAACTGCTACTAGCGGCACCGCGTCTCCTTTACCTTCCAATGGCTTGAAGCCTCAACAACTCACCGTCCCTGGAAGCTTCAAAGAGGGACCAACACGACCTGATGATGCCCTGAGAGATGGCCTTCAACCTGGTGGCCTTAACGAAGCGACGTCGTCCGACCGCGAAGGTAGGCCGATCGCAGCAGATAGGCGGCTTCCGATAGGCGGGAGAGAGATCAAAAAAGCCGTATCACCGGCTAGGTCGGTTAGATTGAAAAAGAAACCAGTACCAGTCGCTGCACGGCATCGGCTGTCAGAATCGATATCAAGCAATGCTCCTATTGACGAACTTGGACCGTTGAGTCCTACTTCAAAGGCTGAGGTGCGGAGATATCACTTATCGAAAAAAATGAAAATAGAGAATGGAGCATTTGGGCAAGTTACAGGGAAGAAACGGGAAAGAGGACTGGTGCCGGTGTTCATGGAAGGAGCGGGAAGAGTAGCAAAAAAACGGAGTGCTATAAAGATTGGAACAAACGATTACGATATTGGGTCAGACGAAGAAGACATGGAGTACGATAGCATGGAGGAGCAACAAAGGCCTCGCGCTAGGAAGAAGCCACAGACCCACGCTAAAGAGAAGGCAATGTTACAGCGACAAAGAAGTAGAGATGCTTCAAGAACTCGCAATGCAGCCAAGGAAGAGAAGCCTTTGGATAAGTCTACTGAGGGCCTAGAGTTTGGCTTCGACTCTGACGAGCTCGCGAAACAGCTGCAGGATATGGTCCTAGATTACATCTCCAACCAACCGGATCTCGACAACTATCCTGCCAACCCAAAATCACCCGTTCAAGAGAAGAAAAGCAAAGTTATCAACCCCCTTGGCGGCGGGGTTGGGGGTGGCACGTGGGCAGATGTCGAGAAGCGCATGGATGTTGATGCAGCAGGGGATGTTATGAAATTAGATAGCGACGGGGAGGAGGGCGAGTGGGTTTATGACGTTTATTTCCGCCAGGAAATCAAGAAGAGTAAAGACGGAAGCACTGCTGTCACCAACGGCGACTATGGCGTTTTGGTGTATGTTCCGCATGTATCCACGCCCGCTTCTTGATACATTGGCTGACTTGTGCACTAGGATATCGAACTCTGATGATGAGCAGTGGTGGTACGAAAACGATGAGGATGAAGAAAGTGCATCCGATGTGTGGGGTAGCGAAGATGAGGATAGCAATGGTTCGTCTATCTACGTATCATTTTCTCCAGGATGCTAGGTTAAAGCTAATCCTGTGTCAAATTACAGCGGAAGAATATTACAAAAACGACTATCCTGATGAGGATGACTACGATGCTGCTGATTCTGATAACGATTATGACAAGGTCAAGCAGTATACACAGCCCAGGATCCGTGGTCGCAAGAAAAGGGGAGTCTGGGATTACGAGTCGGATGGGTCGTATGACCTTGAGCGGGAAGATGAAAGCGATTGATCTGATCCTTGGGTGCTACGATGTCGGATATGCAGGTTTACCTGCACAGTGGTCTAAGCGGCCAGCTTATAGGCAGGCAGCATGTGGAATATTCGACTATTTAAGAAGCTGCAGAGTGATCTTGACACTAATATCTAGCCAACCACGCGGTTTTTATGCATATGTTGGAGCCACGAGGCTCAGCCGTAGGGTGTCTGGGGTATTCACTGACTTTTTATATCGATTTGATCTTTGATCATGCAGCATACAGACTCCGCACATGGGTACATACCTATATAGATACATTTTTGACGTTTTGGTCTCTCTTTGTTTTTTTTTTTGTTTTTTTATTGTTCTTTAGCGTAGACAGGACCGCATTTCGAAATGATAGCACGTTTTTGATGACTGAATACGCAGGCTGCTTATAATCAATCCAGCTGCTTGATTGAGCAATCGATTATAGCATCCAATATCGATACCTGATCTCAATTGAGCAAGCGCACGCGTCAAGGCTACACTTTCCTTGTTTGGCCTCTGGCGCTGTCTCGGACTTGGCGGGCATATTTCCATTCGAAACGCCATCTGGTGTGGAACCTGAAGAGAAGGGTGGGTGTGGGGAAACTAAACTCCATCGCGTAATGTTCCAGAAATTTTTCGACATAATCGAAGACATATGTGGTGAGCGCGCTGGTTGCCTAGAATATCGAACGACTGGGATTGTTCTTTCGCAGCTTTTCTCTTCCGCTGGTTGGTGGGAGAAAAGCCGCTTTTTAGATGATTGAGGGAGAAAGGGGTTGGGATGGCACGAGTTAGGCATGCTTCTTCTCATTCGCAGGAGAAGCTCAGTTTTCGATCAGTGCTCCACCGCCGTAGTATTGATGACAATCCATATCGACGAAGATTCAAGATGTCACTGTTGATGCGATCACAAGATCTTATCGGATTCGAGCTGCGGGCGCGGGGTCTGATTAAGAATACCTCCATGGAAAGTGTCTAGAAGCAACCACAATCATTATCTCTGAATCTTTCCCGACGGCACCATGCAGCCTTCGCTTGCAACGTGTACAGGACCCTCTCCACAGTCTTAGTTTTACCAAATGGGTTCCATTCCGTCTATACATGTATGTATGTAAGCGTGTAAGTGTGTATGTGTGTACTTACAAGGGGAGAGAAATGTTTCAGCGCCATGCGCTTTGAAGAAACCCGGAGACTTGAGGGACCCTAACGTTAATTGAAATCTTATTATTGCAAATGGGCCTTTAATATCACGAGCACAGCCAGACCTCGGATGAAAGAGCGGCGAAGGCCGTTGAGCTCGCTGGTGCCTTTTGGCTTCGCATGCGAAGTGCATCTATGGCTGAGCGGGCTGGCAACCTCGGCGTCCTAGTTATTAATCAAGCTCAGAGAGTCAACAGATTGAATAGTTTAAGGGTGAGACATATACAGACCAGCTTGTAGTATCATATCAGTGCTGAATTCCGATATATCGATTCTGATAGGTTACAATGCTTAGTGATTATCTTAGTAATGAAGTTTTTCAAATTTCAGAGATCCTAAGTCAAGTTAACTTAACTTAACATGCAAGCAAGGCACCCAAGATATCGAACCCCGCCGCGGGAGCCTCTATAAATGCCAGTTCTTAGGTAGTATATGTTGACTTAAGGAGCTATAGGCATTCAGGCACTCTTTTCTATCTATAGAACCAGACATATAACCCGTCTACTGGTTTTAAAATTCACAGGAAGAACCTTGAATTCAATCTGGATGTCTATCAATCATGGAGAATTAATTACCAGGATCGAATGTCAGAGCCTAGTTCCTCCTCCCAATGGGGCAAAAATTTCCCTCGTTCTCCTCCAACATTTAGCTTCATGGTCCAGCTGCAAGGTGCGGGCGATACCAGGACCACAATCTTCGTCCTGACAAGGGAAGGTCGGGTTGCTTCAGACCGCATGGAAGGCTGACCACCCCTTAAGTTATGGACGAGCCGGGCCAACAGAAGCTTGAGCACCTCTGGTGACGCGATTTTAAAGACATACATAGTACTTACATGCAATGCACATTATGCACTTGACATGGGGCCTAGGCTTGATCTAAGGGAAGTTACGGTGAAAGTTCGCAATTGGGCTCCATCGCCCGGCGCCCGTATTGAATCGCCAGACAATCATGATTTATTTTGATAGCTAGCGGATACTATGTCTCTCCGACATTAATTCCTTTTACCTAAGAAAAAGGACATTAGAGTTCGAAATTTTCGCTCGATCTTTTTCGCTACTTAGCTGCTATGGAGTAAGTTAACTAAAGAACGGCCTGGCGAAAAGATATATATCCTGCCGGCCGGTGCCACGGTGCGCTGCAGTTAAGTTGTCGAGGCTTTAATATAGGTAGGGTCTCAGTTCAGGTATTCCGATCGTATCGTAACCCTTCTCGAACCATTTTTAATTCGAACTCTCCCGCCTCCCAACCATTTTTATACTTCCTTCAAGTACTTGGTACCAAGGGCCTATAATATAGCCTAGGCTAAGCATTTAAACATCCTTCTTGCATTTAATATTTAATTCTGCCGCCCCAGATCCGTTCGCCGCCTTCCCGAATCCCGCAACTGTCAAATTAGGAATGTGCAAAATTGACACCTACAGCTCGCTTCTTCCAAAAGATAAATCTGCAAGTCCGTGCCTGGGCCGTCGTCTGATTAAGATAATTCTTTTTATATAAACAATCACCTTCTCCCTTCTCGACAAGGCCTCTTTTCATCACTAGGATTGGTTGTCGAGATTAATCTATATATCCGCCTAATCGAATCCCCGCCACTGCCTTCTGACAATCCGACCTTCTCAATCCGTTTAATGGGAAACAATATCAGGAGGGCTTGGATGTTGATATCATAAACGTAAGGCCATATTATCCTTGTCTTCCAACGCCCTATCTTCAAAACAAGTTGGAACCCCATAGCTTCGGACTTAACTTTGAGAGAGAGAGAGAGAGAGAGAGAGAGAGAGAGAGAGAGAGAGAAACACACCGTCTGACTTTGATGCTGTTTATATAGTTTAATCACTCGAACGACCATAGCTAGCCTTGCTATTCTGCAGAGTGCGTTCATCAGTTACTTTCTTCTTACCAAAGTAGTGCTGGGATAAATTATATCCCTTGCCCTTTGCTCTTCTCGATTTTGTCGCATTCCAGGGCCTGCTTGAGCTGCACAAGTAAAACCCGTCTTCGGTATATTTCTTACGAAATATATACTCTTGCGCATTGCGGTGGCATTAGATAATAGAAAAAAGTCGAAATACAAAAAATGGGCCACCTAACGCAGAATACCAATAGCTCGATGTCGAGTAGCCTGAACAGCTCGAGCAGCAGGTCCAGCACAAGGTCCTTTTCTTGTGCAACCGTATGCGACGAATGCGTATTCCATGCGTATGTTTACTCTGATATTCTTTACCTATTAAATCTCTAGCCGGTTTACTAAACATATACATATATTTTCTGTTTATTATAGTACCGTCCAAGGACACAATCTATATCAAGGGCCCAGAGGCGTTCCCATTCAGGTTCACATCCTTCGTCGTGCCGAATACCCTCACACCCCCTATCTCTACTGTTACAGCAATGATCAAGTCGATAACTACATCGAATTCCCAGCCTACCGACCTGCATTAGTTCGACAAACGACCGGGATAGACGATTCTTCAAATTCGGAACCAACATACAAGCCAGCTCCTATCGTCTCTGCTGAAAATAGTCACCATATCGCAGAGATAATCTACGACTTCGATTTTGGGGAGGTCACTTTCGATGAAGGGAGACGAGTCGCCCTGTTTCATGTTAGGCCGAGTTGGGTGGGGAGACCGGTGAATTTGATACTGAATTTTGATTCGCACAGTTTGGCGACACAATTCATGAGACATTTGCTGGGAGCCATTGCTTATGATAGTGCGGGAGAGACAAGTTGTTTATACTTGTATGTTTATTTATCAAGATATTTTTGGGATTTATTTTCTAGTATGGGAATTTTGGGACTAATTACTACTGGGGATATGCTAGTGAACCGAGGAGTTTTCGATTGGCAAAGGTGGGATCGAAATACCCTCCTCACGAGGGTTTGAAAGACAGGACATCTATAATTCAGATCTACAAGGATGTGAATGAGAGGAGAAGAGGGGCGATGACCTTTGGCGAAGGTCCTTGTTTTTCGGGATGGTGTATGTTTTCCGAAAAATCTTCTTGTGTAGATTTCGAGGGAGTTTGCTAATTGGTAATAGTTCATGGCCACCCGAGAACACCAGAAAATCCTCCATCGATGGATATAATTATGACGATGCAAATCACAGTCGTTGGGCGAAAGGTTCAGAGCGCAAGGTATACCGGAAAGTGGGATGACGCACAACAAGCGCTTTACCTTTCGAAGTTCAAATATAATGTCGAGTCACAAGTCGATATTTACTTCCAGGATATCACAGATATGTCGAGCGGTAAGTGCCCAACTTATTTTTAAAAAGGGATTGGAGTAGTACCTAATAATTCCGGTTTAGACTTCGCTAGAATCGCCTCAGGGTTTATCCGTGGCCAAATCCTTTGCGAACGAGACGTCGACTTTGTATTCCAAACAAACTATGGCCTCCGCGAGGAAGAGAAGCGGGATGCCACCCTTTACCTCTGTCACCGCTCATCCGGTGATATCGCCTTCCAACGCCTCATCCGTCCGAAGATGTATGGAAAACCAGCAAAAAACCTCAACATGATGGTGGAAGAAGAAGGTTATCCCACGAAATGCGCACTGGTATTATATCTTCGATACAAGAATTGGGCCCAAGTAGTCGAGGTTTCGGCGTGTGATGTCAAAAGGGATAACATCGATCCTTGCACTATCCGACTTACAAATCAACCACCTAAACCGAGGAGAGTTTATGTTGGAGAGGAAGATTCAGACCGCTTTCCGTTCTGGTCCCTAGACGACTATCTAAAACAAGAAGATTCATTCCAGCTGGCGAGGATTCGGTTTAAAACTCGGGAGGGTTAGTAAAATTGCTCATATCGATATATTGCTTTTCATTTACTGTAAGAAACATTGGATTCTAATGCGCTACGAAACAATTAGATACAGACTTCTTTATCCGACAGAAGAGCATATTACACTCTCGAGGCTGCAACCTATGCAAGACTCGAAGTCGAAGGATGCTAGCGGCGAGTTTACCACCAGATGACATTCAAACTAGTCTAAAGACTTGCTTGATGTCGAGTTTGGCGGTTGCATCTCTAATTACCTTACTCCCCGAGGATGAGGAAACCAGTCAACTCATACACCCATATAGCCATACCGTTAAGACCTTTTTACAAAGGCAAAAGAAGTCGCTCGGACAGTAGACCGAGTCAATTAACTTGCTGGGTTTGGGGAAGTCGCAAGCAAGACGTAATTTTTCTTAAAATTCGCTGTATATATTGATATTGTTATTTCATTGTATTATAATACCAACGGAAGGAGCATATATGATCGGCGTATCATGATGGTGTTTAGCAAAGCAATCGACCGATCGAATTACCATGCAATCTATACACAAGTACTCGCTTAGCTTAGAGAATTACAGTTCGTCTCCATGAACCCTTTGCACTTTAAACTGAGGTGCATCTTCATCCGAGCCAACTGATCCTCGAGACCCTACAGTCTCATATGGATCCTCCTCATGCTCATCAACCTGTATTTGCGAATTCTCTAGGTGTCTGGTACCCCTGGCTCCTTCCATCTTCGCTCTGTTAGAATCTACCCCACGTTTGACTATACTCGTTATAATCTCATAGACGATTTGTGCAGCTGCGAGTGCAGTTTGTTCTCCAGTCCCATCGTACGCAGGCGCGACCTCTACGATATCCGCCCCAACGACGTTAAGCCCTTCGAGGCCACGGAGTATACGTATCATCTCGCGAGTCGTCCAGCCACCAGGTTCTGGGGTTCCGGTACCCTATTTTCGTTTAGTATAGGTGTTCAATCTCTTCTTTTATAGGTATCTGTGTGTATATATATATAACATACCGGGGCCATGCCAGGGTCGATAACATCAATGTCCACACTTAAATATATCGGAATATCCTTGCCTAGATTATCAAGAATTCTCTGAATGACCCCATTGACGCCAATGTCGTCTATATCATCGGCTTCTATGCGGTACCATCCTTGTTTAGTATCATCTTCGTAGTCTTCGTAGTCAATACCAGAAAGTCGAGTTCTCAACCCAGCATGAACTGAGGAATTTGGAAGAATCAATGGCGGGTCATAGGCGGTTTGGGCGAGCCAGAACATGCATCCATGACTTAAGCTCATTTGTTCGGAAGACCAAACAGAGGGGTTTTTAATGGGATTCCAAGTATCCAGGTCTATAAAAAATTTTCTCAATTGTTAAAAAATAGATATTTAAAGTAGCTATGAGTCAGGAACTTACGAGCATCAAAATGCAGGACAGCGACTTGGCCATGGAACCTATTTAACGCTCTTAAAGCAGCAAGAGCTATCGTGTGATCCCCACCTAAAGTTACAATCTTTGGAATCTTCTTGTCAAGAACCGAGTTTCTAGCATTGTCACTTCGGACGGTTTGGTAAATGGCGCTATCTCTGGACAGTAACTCTTCCATGGCCTCGGTCATTTGTTCCATTGCGAGCGCATTGTCGAATGGAACGACGGGGATATCGCCACAGTCTATAATTTTAGCCCAACTTTGATACTATATTCCGTTAACTTACTCTTGATGCTGAATAATATACTAAATACCGATCCGATACGGGTATTAATTGAGAAGACTTACAGGATTAAATCCTGCCCGATGGTTGAATCCCCTAAAACTTGTTTGTCGCGCCGAAGCAGCTCTAATAGCCCTAGGACCAAATCTGGCACCGGGGCGATAGGATACTGCGGTATCAAATGGAGCACCGATGATTGCTATATCATACGAAGCGTAAGGATTGGTAAGACATCTGGTGTACGGTAAATGGGCGAATGTAGAGATTCCAGAAAATGCCCACTACGGGGTAATATTAGCTGCGTAATCAACAATTGGAACTAAATACTCCTGAAGCCACTATGACTAAAGCTTTGGATAGTATTATAACGGTCAATGGTTGCACTTACATCCCCAGACCACTTTTCGTGGAGTTCTTTCAGACGAACTTGATCGACCTTGTCGTCGTGGTGTGTTGAGTGTGCGGTTATCAGGCTTAAAACTTGCAGTTGTAGAAATACTCTAAATGCCATGATGGACAAGTGTAACAGGCCTGTTATATAGGCTGATATAGCTGTAGTCGATATCGTATCCACAGAATATAATGGTTCGCTGAAGGGGGATATTTCAACCCCTAAGGAGCCAGTTCACTAAGCTAGTATTTAATGATAGATCTAGATGAGCGGGGTTCCACCCAGGCTTAGACCTCGATTATGCATCCGAATTCAAACGCCTGGCCAAATCAGTCCCATGGACTGACTTTGCCTGTTAGTTTGTATCGCATACAAGCATTGGACCGAAATAAAATTCTGACAGGTAGGTATATATTATCAACAGCATAAAGCCCATATGTACACTACGGTGTACATACGTATCCAAGCCAAGCAGTACCTATTTTGACCGCAAATACATTTTAAAGCCGCGGTTTGTACAGTTAGAGTTGAGAATTAAATCGTAAGCCATGTTCAAACCATGTGGATTCCACTGTTCCCACACATACGTTCAACCTCGGTATAATATGCGCAACACAAGCTATGGTCGAAATACCACAGCGGAGATCTTGAGTATTAGCACATAGCATATATGACCGCCTAAGATACTGTATACTGGGGACATTCGAAAGATTTATAGCTTACGAAAGGGGCGATTTTATTACCTTTCTTACGGTGTCGGAATTGTTTTGTAGAAATATTGGAGAGGCTAATGTTTGCTTTATATAACTTTGGGTATTGGCTTCGTCTCTGATGGATCGACAACGAACCTCACCAGATTTGAACAGTTTATTCCCTCAGGTCTGCACCATATGGACGTAATCTATGAGGGCGAAGTGAGTTTTAATTGGAAATCCGCTTAGAGAGGACCATGGACTATGAGCAATGACGGGCTCTGCGAGGGAGGTTCATGGTCGTATGTTCTCCTTTATAAGTTCGCATTACCACCTCACTGCTTCCAAGTTTTACGAGCACGTACCATACAATCTTATATACTCAACGAAATATTGGCCATGAAGATTGGTGAAGGATAAAACTATACTATCACTGACCGGGAATAATTTGTCGTTTTTCAAATAACCTAGTTAGCCGTTCATTACAGGTATATATTTCTATGATTTTCTAGCCCCCGATCCGACAAATATACAATCTAATAAACTGTAAATTTCATTTCTCAGAACCACCCGATATGGCGCCAACAAAACCCCTTGAAATCCGATCTAAATCTTCCAATATCGCATTCGGGCCAACCCTCGGTGGACTGATTGGAGGATTCACCTTCATCGCACTTTGTGTCATAGGCTTTTGTCTTTTTAAGAGAAAGTTTAGGAGGAGAAGAAGAAAGGCAAGAAGGCAAGAGTACTTGAAGGGGAGAAATACATCGAAGGTTTCTGAAAGCCCTGTTAGTTCGAATGGAAATGTCAATTCTGTTAAAACTCACGGGGAGGCGAGTCTAGAGGCGGAAATGGCAAGAGGCTCGAATGGAGATGTAGATTCTCTTTCCAATCGACGGGAGCCGGTTGAAGCTTGATTTATTTTGGTGTGGGCATCATCTTGCAATTGTTGATATTTAAATTTCTGTTCTAGGTATACTTTGGGGATTGTACCATTCTGGAGGGTTCCGGCAAAACTTCTGGACAAAAGACTTCTGAGACTGGTATACAATCTACTAAATCGTATCAAGTATCTCTCAAAAAAACACTCTTAGACTAGTACTCAATCAAAAACCCACTTATTAGAGTCTAGTGCATTTATAATTATTTAGGGGCTATATAGCTATATAGTATCATCTAGTAATGGTGAACGGGTTTCCTGTCAACTTACACTAGTGTAAATCGATTAAATCTTGACCAAGTGCAAGTGGATGGGTTCGTCACCCGCAAAGAAAAATGTGACAATCGAAGCTACGGATCTGCAGGCATACCCGCATAGGTACAGTCATAACTGACCCCACTCTTGCGGCTGAAAATCGTTATCACAGAATCTCGTATACATGAACAATTTTTGGAAAGAGGTTTCCTGCGGAACGTCGGCTTGTTGCGTTGAGGCAACCGTATGCAGCCTCGCGCTGGTAGACGGTTACAACATATGCACATCAGCGCAAACGCGGATTTCTGTGGCTAGCTAGCCGTAGATATTAAATCCTGACGAATTGCTCCTTTGAACGGGGGAAAAGAATAATGTACTTAAAATGCATTTCCAGGCCTTGTAGGACGCACGGGTAAAGTCGTGCATGTATGCGTGAAAGATTAGGTTTATAGTAGGCAAGGTTCTGGGTATGTAAGTACATACATGTACTTACGCGTATACGAGGCCAACAAGGCTGGTTTCATCTACAATATATATCTACCTTCAAGCGGTTACTATTTTCTTCCGAGGTTGGAGCCCAAACGAATTTAAAATGCTTTCCCATTATACTAGTTTGGTTTCAAGTTTTCTAAATAGATGTGTCAGTTATGATCTTATAGACATTGATTAAAGTTTGATACTTTCTAACGTTCTAGGCTCTAAGAAAATGGGAAACCCAAAAGGAAATAGAATCCAAGGACGGTCTATAATGTACCGAGAAATAAGGAAAGGATATTTCACAGAGCCCCGGCCTTGTATGTCAATATGCAGTACTTGGGGTTGTTTGTAACCACAGAACCTTTTCCTGCCTCCGAGACATAAACCTAAGCTTACCGCATCGAAAATTCCGGGCCTGGTCCTGATTTTCGCCAAAATCGCCTCAACTCCGCGACATGCCGCGTTGGATTTTATATTATTCTAAATTCCAGACAAATTTAGAGCTCTCCTTAGTCCACCCAGTGGATATCGATGCTTCGTGGTGGAAGATCTGAAATCGATTCGGCGGCCTGTAGCTGTGGAGCCGTTTATCAATACCGGTTTAAATTCTGGGAGCTGTCAAACCAGTTTGATCAGCGATGCGTAGCTAGGGTCTAGCTGCGTTACAATCTTGCATACGTATAATTTCTGCGCAGATGAATCCATAGGTACTTACATCTGACTCTAAAAACTGGTAAGAAAAAGCTATTTGTTAGGTTTGCGGCTTAAGGTAATGTTGGCCACTGCACACTTACATTAGTGCTCATCAATTCCATCTGCATCTGCGCTGCGGCATGGGATTTGTATATTTGGGTACAAAATACAACATCTGTAGTAGACACACACTCAATATCGCACACCACAATGTATATATGTATATAAGTATGTACTGTCGGCGGAAGTACAGAGCTTGGCAGCATCCTCACTGAGGAAGGCAACGATATTTTGTAAAGGAAACCCCTTTATGCATTATGAACACGGCTTGGGCCATGGGGTTATTGGTGTTCCACGGCACGCTCCAGCCGAAGGGTATCTGCATCTGAGCCCATGTGACCATTCTGCATGGCGCGGGATAGACATTACACTTAAATCGAGGATGAAGTAACCCAGTTGAAGACTCTATGATCGGTGCCTCCACGAAGGCTATCGATATTGATATTCAGTGCGGTCGGTTCACCGCGTTCTGCGTTATTGTTTCTGCATGCAGGTGAGTTGGCCGTCGAGATCGATGAAGGTGAAAGCAAATGCAGTTGGACGTTTCAGAATTTCGTGATGAGCATTGGTAAGTTAATTAATTATGATTTCTGTGACAACTCTATGGATTTCATATGATCATTTAGTTTTGAGTATCTATCAGAACGGCGCTGTATAAATACAGGCGAGTCTTGCTTGATAGTCCGCCTCACATCCTTCAGCACTCATATAACAGAACCAGCAAGTACTGTATTCGATTCCAAGTTTCCTTTCTCTAGAAATTATATTAATTAGAAATCTATTACAAAATTACCGCGCAAGCATTTTTTCTGATCGTCGGATTCGCCTCGGATCTCGAAGCCTGTAACTCCAAAATGGCAACTGCAACATACATCTCCACTGGTCAATTCCCAATGATGGGACAGCCATCGATGACTTACGAAATTGATCCAATTACCGGCCAGCAAGTCTACCACGCACCCGGTGCCACGGGCTATGTCCCAAATACGGCACATCCACACCAGCAGCAAGTATTCCTCACCAGCGGCCAGCCAGTCCAGATGGTTGCAGGTCCTGGTGGCACCGTTTTTCCTCAAATGAGGTTCCAAAATCCTAATACCGGCGTCTATATGGTAAGGGCCCTTTTGATAATTATATAAGTTAATTTAGAATAATTGAGGAGATTTCGATTCTAATTCCGAAATTGAGTAGTCACACCCCCAGTCGAATATTATGTTCTCTCCATATGCGGGTGACCTACATGCGCATGCGCCACCAGCGTATAGCGACGTAGATGCGTCGCGGTTTCCGAATCCTAGATCGAGAAAATCATCCTTCTCGATGAGTTTCTCCGCTGGACAATTCGGGTTTCCTAGCAACCAAATGGGCCAGATGGGAAACCAAATGGACTATGCCTATGTCGACAGTTGTGTGCTTTGTAGAGCTAATCACCCCGGACCACACCCCCATGGACCTAACATGGGGGCGCACGACATGCCAGCCATGTCTACGCACCGTCAAATGGCCATGGATGACACAATGTCCAACTCCAGCAAAATGAGAAACAGTGCATACTCATATGAAGGACCAGCATGTGATCCAATGGACTGGAATCCTAGTTTCCGGGCCCGTGACCGACGTGACCCTTCTTGGGACTACCGTAGTGCTTCAAAGCCGGATATTCGCAACCGATCTAGGTCTCGGGGTCCTCCAGGACGCGCCGGAAGAATGCCATTCAACGGTCCAGTGCTAGTTTCAGAAATTTCTGATGACGATAACTCTGAGGATGACACTGCTTCCCGAGGAGGTAGGATGACTAACTATGGAAACCCTCCTCGTCGTTCAAGCAGCCAAAGGCCACAAAGGCCACAATCTCGAGGAGGTCGTCCGATGAGTGCCTCTGGTAATAATTACTTGTAAACTACCGGAAGGTCTACTGTCCACTCTTTTCTTCCTTGTATAAATAATTTTGGGCTACTAGCGCGCTTTTATTTTTTTAGCCCCTGTATCCGAATATTCCACAATTGACGACAGACTCTGAAGCTCGGGAATACTCCGCATATTTTCCTTTTTTTATTAGTTCCAGATTGCTCATCTTGCTTCCTGATATCTATTATTTCCTGCCGGCCTGTATCAAAACCGATTTCTCAGGGCGCAACTTGTGCCCAATACGCCTGTACTTATTTCAAAGGTAACTCAATCCCCTGTATTCAGATGCTTGAAGTATGATTTGGTTAATGTTTCCAAGATGTTAAGAAATCAAATGCTAACGTTCCGATCAATTGATTTGAAATCCGTCCGATTAATGTAATATGACAAACCAATATAATGATCCGTTGAAGCGCTATGAGTCAGTCCTTGCTCCTGTTACAGCCAGGAATATATTCAACAAGACCAATATAGTACTATATTCATTACAAATTTAATTATTTGTTGTTACGCATTGTGGGGTAGCTACTTATACCCAGAAGTTACTGACAAATATCAATGCATTGGTAATTAACGAGACTAACGACAATCAGTTCAGCAAGTGAAATAACCGATTGATCAGGATAGTCTTTCTTTCGCCGTCTTTCGATATTGGCTTGTAAATATGCTAGCTCCTCATCTCTATTACTCACACTCTCCTTCGCTTGGCCATGAAGAGAATCTGGCAGCAATACTACCCGATATGCCTGCGAAACAACGATCCAAGATAATCGATCTAGGAGAGATAAGGACAGGTGTGTGGCCGGCTTTATCGAGTAATGAGACAAGGACTCTTGATTGTGAAATAGAAAGTACATGTACCTCAAATGCAGTTGTATTACATTGCATTGTAAGTATAGAACCCGTAAACAGATCCCGGCCTGGTTCCTGTTCTCGAATCTAGCCGGTTCGAACCTTGAGCTTCTTGGCTTCGGTCGGCAGTGGATTGTCAGGATATATCGAACCCGAGTTAACTAACATAGCCAACCACCAGACCCCACTGACGTACATACACTATCTCAGGATCCACTTTCTAGACCACACCCACCCATAAATCGAACTGCAAACTCGGTACCTGTATCTCGGGTGTTAATATTCACCAAGTCACAACTCAGAGAATGTTGCATTGTCCCGTTAAGGAAAGTCCATGCGATTGGCTAGTACATGGGAAGTGGCGGGTGCATAAGGCTGCGAGGCCGGAAACTTCTCGCCAAAAAAGTGAGGGCTCCGCTCGCATGGACCTACTATATCTAGTTAGCTTCGTCGATGCTGTCTGTCTGCGTGACCCTGTGGTTCTGGAGAGTTATCGATACCAGTCGCGTGGGTCTGAACTACTGCTTCCAGGGTGGGTGGGTCATCTAACCTATCAATCCGTCAATCAACTACGTATAGATACAATTCCTAGGCTTTGTACGACGTGTTATTTACCTAAGTAGGTACATCTACTCCATGGCCATGTCACATATGGGAGCTCGAAGCTACTTCCGGGACCCTGTGCAGCGCTATCGCGATACCGTCATGACTAAATATTTCTAAGGTGTTAAGAATTGTTAATTGTTTATTCTATACCTCGAAGGTCCACGCAGCCGAAGATCTTGCCGCTGGGAAACTTTAAGCTCTCCAAATGTATAAGCTTCCAGCCGGCTTTGGCCGCGGAGGTCTCGATAACTTTAAAACCTAAAATCTCTCCGGGACTTCACGATTAATTCCTTTTTGCCCTCCGGAAAAGTATATAAGTTTTAGGCTTTCCAGGAACGGTGAACCCAAGTCAATGTTCTAGTCCTTTGCGTCTTGCTCGAGAGCCATAGATATTTATATATAATATACAGCAAAACCCCCGTGGCTGGATTCGGATTCATTTTCTTTCGTATTCTACATCTACCAAAGCTCTTGATATTCTCCAAAAAAAACTGCTATCATGTCGTCGTTTTCGGCAGCACTTAATTCTGCTGCACAAGCGAATGACCGCCTAAAGACCCTGCAGGGTCAGGTGCATCCGGCTACCCAGCAATATGATCATCCTCTTGATCCCTTATCGGCAACGGAAATCTCTGTAGCTTCATCCCTTATTAAAGCGAAGCACCTTGGAAAGCGATTCCAATTTCGTTATGTCACGCTCGTAGAGCCTCCAAAGAAGCAATTGACAGTGTACCTGGATGAGGAGCTGGCAGGAAGGGCTCCATCCCAGAAGCCGGACAGGATTGTCGAGTAAGTACCTAAACAGCTAGAAAGCTTCAGGATGTTCTTGTGTTGGGCCGCATTTGTTTATAGAATTCTAGAAGGAGTGATTTCTAATGACGGTGATGTACGAATAGGGCTCTATACTCGGTCTTCGACAATGAAACCGGATGGTCATATAAATGCTATGAGAGCATCGTGAACTTGACGACAAGCCAGGTCGTCAAAGAGCAACCCCTGCCCGAGGGTGCCGCTGAGCCGTTGTCGTTCAAGACCATGGCTAATGCACAGGAAATTCTGGTTCAATCAAAAGAGTTCAAAGATGCTGTTGCCAAATTGAACCTTCCAGAGAATATCGTTATCGAGATTGATCCGTAGGACACCTTTGCTTTCCCTAGTATGGACTATCATAATTGGATTGGAACTAATTCGATATAGTTGGATGTATGGCGTCGACCAACCGAAGGCTGGGCCAACCCGCTTGTCCTTCCTCTGTTATGCTAGGCACCCCTCGAATAACCACCCGGATGGAAATATCTATTCCATTCCGCTACCAATTATCCCGTTAATGGACCTCCAAACGATGACGGTTCTTTCTATTGAGCCGGCCGCATCCGGAGGTACCGAAGACGGCTTCACTTATGGCACCCATCCCGAAAGAGCCATTGACCACTGTATTGCGAACGAATATGTTCCAGAACTACAGCCGAAGGGGCTAAGAAAGGACTTGAAACCCTTGCAGGTCGTGCAACCTGAAGGAGCTAGCTTTACAATTAAAGGAAGGCTCGTTGAATGGCAAAAGTGGCGCTTCAGAGTCGGCTGGAACTACCGTGAAGGTGCCATCATTCATGATGTTACCTATGACGGTAGAAGAGTGTTTCATAGGCTTAGTCTTTCTGATATGACAGTACCCTATGGCGACCCCCGGACACGTAAGGCCCCGTCTTCTTGATGCCAATAATCTGCAGTCTGCTTCTAGAACTATGCTAATTTTCTTCTTCTGCTTCCCAATACAGCTTATCACAGGAAACAGGCGTTCGATCTTGGTAAGTCCACCCGAGCCGCGACTCAGATCCTAGAGTTTTTTTGGACTCTGGGAGAATTGCGAAAGCGTATCGCTAATATACATTTTGTAATTGTGTAACAGGCGATCTCGGTGCGGGATTATCCGCCAACAACCTCGCACTAGGCTGCGATTGTTTAGGTCTCATCCATTACTTCCCAGGAGCTCTGACGACTCATACCGGGGAAGGAGAGGTCAAGGGGAACGCTGTTTGCTTGCACGAACAGGATATGGGAATTGGCTGGAAGCATACCAATTACCGAACCGATAGGGCAGTCCTAACTAGAAACCGCATGCTCGTAGTGCAACAAATTTTGACCGTTGCAAATTACGAGTATATCTTCGCTTGGCAGTTCGATCAGGCTGGAGCTATCCATTTTGAAACCAGAGCTACTGGTATCCTGTCAACATGCATGATCGACCCAGGGAAGGTGTCAGAGTGGGGTAACGTCGTATCCCCGGGTGTTTTGGCACAGTATCATCAGCATATTTTCTGTCTGAGGATCGACCCCGCCATCGACGGATGGCAGAACAGCGTTGTCCAGGAGGAGGCAGTATCGTTACCGATATCTGCTGAACGCAATCCTTTTGGCAATGCATTTGTCACTGAGAAGAAGGTCATCAAGACTAGTTCATATGCGGACGCTGCACCCCATAAGAACAGGGTTTTCAAGATCATCAATCCTTCCAAGTTCAACCCTCATAGCAAAAACCCTGTCAGCTATAAATTAGGTGGGCGTCTAATGGTCCAAAAGTTTTCTTAATATACTTACCTCTAACGAAATTTGTTCGGCTCGCAGTTCCTCATACGGGTCAGCTCCTCCTGGCAGACCCAGGTAGTGTCGCAGCTGCAAGAGCTCGATTCGCGCAGCACCACATCTGGGTCACAAAACATCGAGATGAGGATCTTTGGTGCGCCGGCAAGTTCACCAATCAAGCATCCAGAGAGGATGGAGGCGTCCAGGATATGATCGAAAGAAATGAAAATGTGGAGAACGACGATATATTGGTCTGGCATACATTTGGAATGACGTGAGTTTCACTCGTTTTAGCCTCCCAACGTCCGCATGCAGTATCCAGATATCATTTGACTAACGAAGTATTTTTCTTCTTCTTTGCTTTCTTTAGGCATATACCACGAGTGGAAGACTTCCCAGTCATGCCTGTGGAGATTCACCAAGTCAGCCTGAAACCTGCAGATTTCTTTGATCGAAATCCAGCAATCGATGTCCCTGCGTCGAATCAATTGGCCAACAAATCAGTTCTATATGACGACTTCAACGCCAAGTCCGGGTCTTGCTGCTCGTAAAAGGAGAAAAAACGGTCATGTGTATGTGTGTTAGTGACAATTATAGTTAGTTCAGCATAGTTCATACATGTACGCAGGCGATGAAGTATCTCGGAACAAGCGATACAATATTTCTAAAATAATGACTGAAAAGCAAAACATTATTAGAATGGGAATGCTGCGCATGCCTGGCCATGTACTGCGCCGTAGACTAGTTCCGAATCGCATCGCCGCATCATTGAAAAACGTGGCAGCTCGTTTGGATTTTAGCGTCTTCACGCCAGACCTAAAAGGGTATTATGTCTCGGCTCGACTTTCCACATACTGGTAAGGTGTGTCTTCTCGACGCAGAAGAGTTCCTGTACCGTACGACTTGAAATACCTCTGGGTTTCAGCTCATTGAACGCCGTTCTTGCGCGGGTACGACTGCTGTCTGTGTAGACGCCCAGGGTCAGGATAGTTTTCCCAGATTCAATCTAGATCTCAACAGCCATAACTTTAAGGATCGATGCTATGAGAAGTTGCCTTTTTTCCCTGGTAAGATGGCCACTCGTTTCGTTTCAGCGATGAGATGAATAGGGCAGTTACAAGTAAAGAGAGTAAAGTAGGGGACTCCTCAATCTAATTTACATATTTCTCTCAAATTTCTATACATGCCATACTGCACTGTAGTGGAAACCAGGCATATAGCTGTAACCAGTATGATCTCAAATCATATTGATCCTCTGGTGATATTAATCTCGTCAAGTATATTTCCGAGGAGTTCAGACGAACCAACAAGGAAGTCCTAATCTTTCGAGCCGTTTTAACGTTTGAGCTTTTGATAACGGGTGCCGGCGCCGAAAGATCAACATCCATTACGACGCCACGTGCATATCTCATTATCGTGGTGCAGACGCCGAATATAATATTAGTTAAGTTCGATGTAATGTGATACGTGATACTGTTGCGGTACCTGCAGTATACTCGGGTACGAAGGTACTATCCTACCAGGCAAACACAGCAATGCCTAGCATCCATCAGGATTTAACATTTAACCGTCTCGATGCGACGATATGCATCTCCTTCGATTGGTATGCGAAATATCGATGCGGTTTGTGGAGGCATATCCAGCCAGGCCTGTAGTAATTACCTAACCCCAGGCCGAGAGGTTTTCAGCGTTGAGGCCAAAGCAGCCCGGTTCGATTAGGCAGTCGAACAGGCACCAACGACACTGACATAATACGAATCTGATCCTGGTCGACAGCATGGCAGCATGGCAGCCCACACTTAAAACCGACGCCACTGGCTGGATCTTTCGATACAATCCAGAAACTTCAATCATGCAACTTCGGCTAGGAAAGCTTCAAGGATGTTCTTGCTGTTTTTCCCGCAGCCTCTCCACGGAATATGCACTCTCCAAAAAGACAATTCCATGATCTGAATCGGTGGCTGCAAGCCTCTCGATTCGATACCTATCTATTGCCTACCAATGTTTTCCCACGTTGCCACTAGTTTGCTCGGATAGCGATGCGTCCTGAAAGGAAGTTTGGGTCGCTAAAACCTTGCCCTCGTCGTCCATTCGTCGACACTGGAAATGGGTGGATCAATTGTGGTTTCTCGCTAGGAAGATATTCTCACATGCTGCCTAGTTAACGAGCGGCGGATACTGGCCATGCATTGCCAGAAGGGTTCACGACAAAACCCCCTTCGAGATATTTTTTACTTTATTGTTCTTTTTTTTTCTCCCTTCGCAATTTTGAATGGATAAAACGTGGGAAAGCGGAAGAAGAAAGGAAAATTTTTTCTGCAGTAAGTCATTAGATCGACTGAGGAAGTAGCTTATGTCATTCCCAGCCAGTTCTTTTGAGCAGTTCATCTTAACCAAACGTATGGGCCTTTAGCACTTTCCTCTCCTGGACCTGGATATTCCAGAAAAAGATTCGATGTCACACGAAAACCACATGCTTTCTCGGTTGCCTGTATGCTGGCGAGTTGCCGCAGCGGCTTCAAAGGAGCCCTGGGAATGGATGTCGGATGGACTTCCTTTATTCAACCGTTATGAAGAATTGAATAGATGTATCAATAGTTTGATTCACTATTCGGAGTATTCCATCTAGCGAATATCTTGAAAAGGAACCAAATACTGCAGCTGCCAGTTTGTTTTTTTTCCCGCACTTCGAAACCCACCTTCGTCATCCCGCCGATTCGACAGGAGAAAAATTCCTGCAACTCTGGAACGAAATTTCCAAGAGAGATAAGGTCTGGCTGCAAGGCTCTCCGAGGCTTGGACCGATCAAATTCAGGCCCACAGCGGAAGAGGCAAGTCCACCCTGTGGGGGGTACCCCAGGATCCTCAGGTACTAGGTTTTCTAAGCAACTACTGGCCTGCATGGAATATTCCACGGATGACAGGGAATAGTTCGAATGATATTTGAAGGCTAAGGGAAATTGTTTCAAGACTTTGGAATACCCGCAGTTGATTACCGCAGAGCTATGCGGTATAAAGATGGTTGTACCGTTGTGGTATCTGGTTGATCGAGGCTAGCTGCTGCATGACACTATGGAAGCTGCGAAAGGAAAAACAGAGTTATCAAGTCACTCGACTAGCGAACGGGCTCCTATGAGAAGCAGACTTTTTCTGTTCCCACACGTACCCCTCGCTCCCTCTCTTTCATTTAGAAAGGAATGCGAAGGTTCTGACCAGGGCTGGAGATGATACTGACGACCAAAAGTCGTATTTTGATCGAGATGTATCAGGTCGTCCGCTAGCATGCATGCTAGATAGAGCATCTCGAAGTTCTCTACTCACTCGTACTTGCAGAAAACACGGCACTCAATGCATATGCAAAGCACACACCACTTAAGGGACTAGCCATTAACGCCGCTATGGAATTATATGCGATGTATGGGATGTATGTAAGTAGGTATTATGTATGTACCAGGTAGTTCGATGTGGGTACAGCGGTCCCGCAGGCAGTGGGGTGTAAGTACCGTACTGTACCGTACCGTACCGTGTATATGACGGTCTCGAAGCTACCACTCACTGCTAGTTAAAAGTTTAAAGAAAAAGAAAAGATAAAAGCAAAGAAAAACAAACGAAAAACGAAAAGGAATCTGGGAGAAGGTAGATGAAAAAAAAAAAAAAGTAAAGCGAAGGCTTGAAAGCTCTTCTCGACGTGCAGATATGGATCGAGAAGCAGCAATAACGGACTCTGCTATTGGGTCACCTCTGCTGGGTCTTCCCAGGTCTTCCCAGGTCAGCTCATGATACATAACGACGCCCATGTCCACAACCCTTTTTCCCTGCCCTTTTGACCGAAATCCTCTTTTTTTTCCACTTGGAAGCTGTCTTCTGCCTTTCTAATTGACATCTCCAACGACTTGCACAAAAAAAAGAGAGAAAGAGAGAGTCCGTCTACCGAGGGTCATCATTCTAGCCAAAAGGATTATTTTTATTCTTATCTTTTTCTAAACTTCCCTCCATTAAATTCTTTTACGAGCTGTCAAGTTACGTTACCCAACTAAACTAACAACACCGCCTGAGACATCGCCAACACTTTGTCTCTCCCTGGCCTGAAGGAAAGATCAATGCAATAGTATTGGCAGCGAGCAGTTCCAATTCATCATAGTTCGAAACCTTTTCCATCTCTAACGCCCTCAAAGCCTCAGAAGCGGCACACACTTACAGACTTAGTTTCTTTTCTTCTCCATATACTTGGGGCGTTTCGATACAGAATAGAAGCAAGGCCAGCCATCAATCCAGCCAGGGGATCCGGAACTTGGTGGTGAAATAACCCCAAAAAAATAAAATACGTCTTCTCAGACATTTTAGGGCTGCCTGGGAAAGCCTTCATCCTTTGCGGCAGCTGATTGACCCCTTCAGACTTCGAGCATCCCTGTGACGGGCTTCCTCCCCAAGCTAAGGGAACAAGCATATCGTCGATACTTCTTTTGATATTTTTATTTTATTTTTTTATTTTATATTTTTTATTCCTTGTTTCGATAATACTTTGAGGCCTTCTTCACTTACACCTCCCAGCCAGTTAACTCTCAACGTTACGTCGGTTACACTCAAAAACAAAAGAAACCACTAGGCCGAATAAGAAACTAGCAGGTTGTCCCCTCATTTGATCTCCCACTAAGAGGTCGACTAGGTCGTCTGCCATGATAAGAACATCATAGCCTGCTCACATACATACCGATCATACCCAGTCAACCTTTCTTCTGCGGAAATTGAGCACGCTTTTCTTTCTTACTACGATCCGATTACCTGGTAGAATTCTTTCGACGTGGTAACCGAACCTTCCGTTTTGTTCTGAGATCTCCACTTCATCCTTGCTGGATCCCATCGTGGTTGTTCTTGGCTCGCCATATATATCTACGGCCCTGTCGGTGCATATAATATTTAGCCTATCCTCCCGGAGTGTCTATCGGAACTTGCCAACCGTTTTTCTCCAACCGGTTTCCTATCGAGTGACCATCAAGGTTCAACATTAAACCATACAACCACATTTTTTACCAATTCCAACAAAAAACTTGCGCAGTTCTCAAAATTATATTCTTCACGGTGGCGTCGATTTCTTATATCGCTGCTGTATCAATACCTCGTGACTACAAAGCCGCCCGACGGAAATATTCCGACAATCTTGTCTGATCCGCTGATATCGAGGGGACCCCGTACTGATTCTTTCGATATAAGATTTTATTCCCCACCTTTGGCGGAGATATTTCAGAAGCACGTTCCATCTCTCTACTTGTTCCTGGCTGGTTCTTCTTTTTCCTTCTCATACAGCCAAAAAAATTTCTTGGAGGGTTCCTCCATATATTCTTCGCAATTCTTTAACTCTAACAGTTACCCCATTGTTCACTTATTCGACTTATTCATCCGAACCCGCCCTCTTTTTTGCTACTGAGGTAGTGCAGTTTTAGACTGCGAAGGGAAAACTTTTTTCCATCAATCATTTTTGAGTAAATTTTCTTTTAAAAGAGAAAAAAAAAATGTCGACGACGTCAAATACAGTAATAAGGTTACGGGCCTGCGATAGATGCGCGGCAATCGTAAGTTTTCCAAGATTCCCCAAGGATGTCTCAAGAATAACGAATGACTAATTTCTTGGTAAATAGAAGCAAGTATGTAACCGCAAAGACGGACAGAAGGACTGTACTAGATGCGCGAGTAAGTACAAATTGCGTGATCGATCTGTTTCAGAGCGGTGACATCTTCTATGGGATAATGGCCACTGACAGTAGGTTATTTCTCTAGGGCTGGGCATTGTCTGCCAGATTACGAGAACACAGAAGCCTATGGGGAGACCTAGAAAATGGCCAAGGAAAGAGAAGGTGCTGAAGTCCGAAGCTGGATCTCCACCGTCTCTGACGAACTCCCCGGTATCACCGGATTCGTCAGATAACTCTTCATGTTCCGATAGTGAAGTTGAGAGATCATTCCGTCGCTATGAAAGGGCTCCAGCCCCGACATCGGGTATGATCGTTAGCCCTATATCTTTGAAGGACAAGAGAGTCCGTAGCGGCTGTAGCTCTTGCAAGTCCAGGTAAGACTTTTTTTTTATATACATATAATCCTGGCTAGTATTTGTAGAGGACCATTTTTTAACAGTAGAATAGGAGAAAGAAGTGTGATGAGATCTTTCCAAAATGCGGCGACTGTTCAAGACTTGGTCTAGACTGTCAACGTGGATTCATGGATAGCCCTATTTCGGACCCGGCTTCTCTCATGGTCCCTTACATGGCAGCAGCTCCAGGGATTTTGCCGGAATCACATCTTCACGACGCCTTTGATTTCCCAGAGCTTTCGATTTTCGCGCCATCCATGTTCCCCATGGGTCCCGTTGGATCCGGATCCGAGGAGAGTAACCTTCTCCAACACTATGCCTGTGTTGTTTCCAGGTCCCTGTCAGTTGTGCCTGACGAGATTAACCCATTCCTGAGCTTGTTTATGCCAATGGCTTTTGAGCATCATGCTATGCGCTACGCTCTTCTTGGCCTTTCTGCCAGTCACTTGAGAAGACACCACCCTGAATACGAAACCGTCATGACAAAGTATTTGGCCTTGGCAATGGAACGAACTAGGGTATTGCTATGTGAGGCCGAGACATCCGACGAAGCTGCCGTAGAGGGTCTAGCGACCATTTTGGTGCTTTGTCTGCATGAGGTATGTAGTGACTGCTTTACAAATAGATTTTCATGCTGATTATGCTAACTTGTACACTTTTTTCGACAAATATAGATCTGTGAAGGAAAGAGTCGGAAATGGGCTCTTCATATGAGAGCAGCTTGCTCGCTAATCAACTCTCGAAGGAGATCGAAACCTTTCCCTCCCGCAGTTAGGTTCCTTCTGGAATCAGTAGCTTACTTCGACTCCATGGCCACCCTGTCATTTTCAAAACCTGCCATGCTAGAGGATGCTCTCTACCCAGAAGGATTCGAGGACATCCGCCCAGACGAGTTAATGCCGATGATCTGCGCCCCACGGAGTCCAGTTCCCCATGCTCTTTTCGGTACTGCTTCGGATCTTTTCTCTGTCATCAATGAGATTGCTGTTCTCGCCCAACAACGAAGCCAGTTTTCGGTCTCTGAATTTACAACCGACAACTTCATGTCGAAGGCTATGGCTATCGATGCCAAGTTGATGAACTGGAGGCCGAAGCCGTGTGTCAATACCATGACAGACCCTTTCCTTTGTGAAAAAATGTCTGCTGCTTCGGATGCCATCAGGTGGGCTGCTATTATGAGACTTCACCAACTCGTCTACGGCCATGACAAAGCACACCCTAAGATTCAAGCTGGTGTTAAGAACATTATCATTAATGTCTCCAAGATCCCAATCGGTGATCTTTCTGAGAGTATCCTTGTTTTCCCAATGCTCATGGCCGGTGTCGGTGCTGCAACACCCGAGGACAAGCATGCAGTCCGACAACGAATGGTCATGATGGGGGCTAACATTGGCTTTGGTAACGTCATTGAAGCCCACGAGCTAGTTGAGAAGGTATGGAGAATGGAAGAAGATGCAGAGATAAAATCTGGCCCTGGCGTTGTCAAGGGAGTGCCATGGGAAATCATGATGAGAGAGAACGGCCAGACATTGATTATGAGCTAAGCTCTTTTAATGATATCTACGATGCTCACGGCTCACGAGGCTTATTTGCATTGCGAAATACTAAACTTTTTTTTAAAAAATGGTTCTCTTGGATATGTATTTTTATTGTCAGCGGTGGTATACTGGGTATATTTTTTTTCTCTTCGAGCAAGTAATTTTCTTCACTTCGCCAGCAGCCCGGATTTTACCCTTCTATTTTCTTTTAACATTTGCATTTTTTACCGGTGTTACTTTTTCTTTATCTGTTGGATCGATGTGTCCGCAAAAAAAGGGTCTCTTAGTTTCTTTTGCATTTTCCTAGTATCTTTGGCGTTTTTCCATCCTCTCTTTATTCATATCTTGTTCCAAAAAAATGGTTATTACGGCGTGGAAAACCTTCATTACACTTTTTCTTTTTTCTTCAACAAAACCAAAAAGGTTTAGTATATACTTCTACGAAAATTTTCGGGGGAACACTTTGTAAATATATCATTACCATAGACGTGCCTGTACGGCTGTCTCATATTGCTTAATCCTAAAAAAAAAACACTCTTCTATCGACCAATGGGCCCCCTCTATTTGACGCTGGTGATTAGGCAGAAGCTTTATGAAGCCTAAGTCGCTTCCTCAGGAAACTCGATGCAGATATGAAACATTCGCAAGTACCGTTAAGATCTCGCATCTCGATTCCTTGTTCGAATCCGTACGAGATAGATGATGCCTGACGTCGACCCTTTACTTTTCCTGTTTCTGCCCCTCTAACAAGCTTAAGTAATTCACGCTCATTGTAACTCCAGATCCGCGACTACCGCTCTATGATCGCTCACAAAGACCCCAATATCCTTGAATTTGTTGGGCATGACGGCGTATCCTGTTACCTTCCAATCCTTCTTTGCCACTGAAGTCTCTCCTTCAGAGTTTTCACCCTGTCGAACTTGTTTTGATACCGAGCCATTTAAAAAAATAAAGTCGATTACCTTCTCAGACTCCCCCTCGTATCCAAACCCAGTGTAAGTATTCCGTTCACCGTAGGTCTCCGCCCAACCGACATAATTCTTAACATCAACAACCCCACTATCCTCCTCCGCCAGACGTTTATAAGCCTCCTGGGTGACTTCCGAATTAAAGTCACCAGCTAAAGCAACCGGTAGCCCCTGTTTTACATACTCTGATACGATGTTTATGATCATTTCTGCAGAGTGGAAACGAGCTTTTGAACCTTGATCGTCGAGATGGGTTGACATGAAGACTATTTCTCTATCCGTGGGGAGGTGTTTGAAGATTCCGTGGGTGATTATACGAATACAAGCTGCATCCCAGCCTTTACTGGGTTTGTCGGGGGTAGGAGATAGCCAGGTTGTATTGTTGGTCTGTGGATGAAAGATGGTGGGTTGGTAGAGGACTGGTGAGGCTTCGCCGGAGAGGTGTCCGTCGTCGCGGTGGAGACCTATGGAGGCCCAGTGGAGATTGGGTGGGAGGTTGGAATTGAGGGTGGTGATTATGTCGGTTAATTGGGAGTGGAGGACTTCTTGGAGACAGATTATGGAGGGGATGGAGGGGGTGGCGGAGGTTAGGTGGTGGAGTTGGGAGATTAGGAGGGGGAGACGGGTAGGCCATGGTTCTTCGCCGCGGAAGGGGGAAGTAGTGGCGTAACGGATATTATGGGAGATTATTCTGAGGGGGAGCGGGGAGGAGGGGGATAGTTGCATTGTTGAAGCTCAAGATGGGGGGGTGATACAGTACTAGGTATATTGATTTTAAGGGGGGGCTACTCGGGGGAGAGGATATAGAGATGCTCAGTAAATAAGATATAAAGATATTATGAAATTTATAGAGAAATAGTACACGATAATTGGTGTATAAGATTGAATACTCGAGAGAAGTCGAAATGAAAAGATTACAGGTCAAAGTGTCACCGGGGGTACTCTTGGGTAAATTCGGCCAAAATACAAGAATTCCTCGGGAGATAGTTAGTTCAGACGGTATTTAGGCCCTATCGAATCAAATCAAAGGATTCTACCACGGGCGGCCTCTGCAGGTTGTTTCGATATCACGGATATCAACCAAAGACCCCGGGGCGGGTTTGTTCTCGATAGACGGCTCAGGAAGAGATTTGGGTGGAGTTCAGGAATTGCGTTGAGTCTGTTGGATTTTTTAATTTGGAGTGAGAGGCTTTCTTGGACGTCATTTGCCGGACTGCCGCCGAGTCCGAAGCCTCCCGTAATTTGCTATTTGATAAGATAATTTATAACGATACTATCATATGATCTCGAGCAGCACTTCTTTTTTTTCTCTTGGTGTCGTAATTTGACATCCAAATTTTTACCCAGTTCCAAGGGAGGATAGGGAAGGAAGGAAGGTTTGAGTCTAGTCCGGGCTACGAACTGTCCAGGGCGATATAGCTTATAGACAACTGGAACCGGCAGCCGGCGGTTTTCGATACAGTGGCTTGGCGGGGCACAATGACGACTCTACCTCTCACTATGACCCATTAAGAATCATGGGCAGGTTTCTATCATGAAGAGGTATCATGGGAATTCTCCCGTGGTTTTATGGGTTTGTCGTAGATGCTCGTTTCGGAGGTGATGTTCGGGATAGATACTTAGATATGCCCTTACTTCGATCCATATTTCCCCTCTTCAAATGTTCCCTCAATATTATGCAATCCTTCCTTTCCCTCAGCCGTAGTTCAAGGTGGACAGGGCTGGTAAAGGTTGTGGTGACGTTTGCGGATGTAGAATTCGACGACTCCAGTGTTTAATCCGTTGAGGTCATGTAAGTGGTACTTATGTAAGTCATTTTATATATGCATCCAGGATGTATATATACTGAGAGTACCCTTGGACCACTTTCTCTGGACCGGTAACTGTACATCCACCATACCAAAGAAGTGAGTCCCCAAATAGCCTGAGTTACTTTTACTTCCCTTCCCGTCTATGAGTCGAATTTAAAGTCTAGCTTGTCTGTCTGCAAAGAAGAAGAAGAAGTGCTGTTTCCCCGCTGCAGCCAGCTGCTAACTAATTTTTCGCTTGTAGCCGCAGGACACACACAAAAACACGCCCAAAACTGCCCGCTTGAAAAATACAGTACTTAGCTGGTATTAGTTCACGAGACTCGTTTCTTTTCCTGCTTTCGATTCCCATCGTCATCGACCACCTCCGAGTCTCAATTGGAAGCGCCTGTTGTTAAATCCTTAAACCCTTCAGTTTTATCCTTTTGCCAGTTCAGGTCTTATCTCCCAAAATGGCTGAAGAAAAGAAGGAAATCGGTACCGTAGCCAACTATCTGTTTTTGTCCCGCTGTTTACCCTTCGCTACCCCGCGATCTGAGGATTTCGTCATGATGCGTACTCGAAACCGGTGAATGCATCAGCAATTTACTTCGAGAAGCGGTATCGGTGGTTTCAATTCGCCGGTCGAGGGGGAGGAAGATTCGAAGAGAAAGAAAAAAATTCGAGGAGGGGCTTGGATTGCTAATGATTATCTTGTTGGGAAACCTGCAGACTACACCCTCGCCAATCCTGATACCCTCACCAAGTACAAGACTGCCGCTGAAATCTCGAACAAAGTCTTGAACCATGTTGTCAGCCTTGTCAAGGAAGGTGCTACCGTTCTGAGCCTCTGCGAGGAGGGTGACAAGTTGTTGGAGGAGGAGACATCGAAGGTCTTCAAGGGAAAGGATATCAAGAAAGGTGTGTGTGTCTCATTATACCATATCCTCGATATTCTCTGGAATATTAGGCATATCTTTATTGGAGAGGCTTCATGAGGTGGCTTTATGAGGCTTCGGATTTGCTTAAGTGCTTATACCGATATACTCGGGATTTTAGGCATTTCCTTCCCCACGACTGTCTCTCCTGATGAGATCATCACACCTCTCACCCCCAATCCATACGACACTGCCACTCCTGAATGGGCCGTCAAACCCGGTCAGGTCCTAAAGATTCAACTTGGTGCACATATCGATGGATTTGCTGCCATTGTTGGATCCACAGTCGTCGTTCCAGCCTCCGAAGGTGCCGATGCTGAGATCACCGGCGAAGTTGCCGACCTTCTCCTCGCCACACACTACATCAACCAAGCCTTCCTGAGATTGATCCTTCCACCAAGCCTACACCCTGGTGCCGAGGAGGGCAAGGAGGTTAAGCCGCCAACCCATACCAAGATCAACTCTATTCTTAACAGCATCGCGAAGACGTACGGATGCAGTCTGGTTGAGAACACCACTAGTTATCAATTCGAGAGGAATGAAATTGAAGGCAAGAAGAAGATCATCTTGGCTCCAACTGAGGGGACGAAGGGTGAAGGCAACCCTGAGATCGGTGATGTCTGGGGTGTTGAGGTTGCTGTTGCTCTCGGTGATAGCGGAAAGGTATGGGATTCTAGATCTATATATCGCGGGTGTAAAGAGGGGGGCAATCAAGCTAATATATCTTCTGCCTTATCTTTAGTTGAAAGTCTCTGATAACAAGCCAACATTGTTCCGAAATACTGGAACTACCTTCGCACTGAAGCGACCTACCTCTCGTCAAACCTTCACTGAGATTAAGGGCAAGTTTGGAAACTTCCCATTCTCTTCGAGATACCTTACCGACCAGAAGGCTGCGGCATTCGGTTTGGTTGAGTGTGTCAGAGGTAACCTCCTAAGACAGTATGAGGTCCTTATTGAGAAGGAGGGCAAGATCACCTCGAAGGATTTCAGCGTCGTTGGTACGTACCACTCCGTCCGAAGGACCTGCCTACCATATATTGCATACTGACGATTTCTATAGCCGTTACCAAGAAGGGTCTCTCTGTCATCTCGGCTCCACCAGCTATTGATCTAGAGAAGGTCAAGTCGGATAAGAAGATTACAGATGAGGAGATCCTCAAGCTTCTCGAGATCCCAATTGGAGCACCAAAGAAGGCCAACAAGAAGAAGAAGAAGGCTGGTGCATCTACTGATGAGTAGCAGCTTTCTCCTATGAAGAGCATTACGGTGTCTTGATTTTACAGATATTATTATTTCCCCACCAGCTCTTACTACAGTACAGATGGAGCCAAATGTAGGCCTGGTTCAACGTGTACAGATAAAGAAGAAAATTCATTAAGTTACCTCCACTGTAGATAACTACAGAATATGATTGAAGCTGTTCTCTATGAGCTATCCGTAGACAACTTAGGGTTTGCGGGGCAATTATTATCGCAAAAGAACAGTTTCGGTCTGGCGGCTTTTCATAACTGTATGGTTTGATTGGTACGTCATGCATGGGGGGTCGGTCAGGTTCGAAAATTCTCACGAGAGAAGCAACAGGACGGGGACCGGAGCATTGGTAGTCGGCGGGATCTGGGATTTGATAAGGTCTGGCAATAATGTGTCTTTGTTACCGGGGGGGTTTATTTGCCCACAACAATGCTCGGTTTTGTAGAGGCTCTGAATGAAGACTCCAGTGTGACGTGCTCCTAGGGAATTTTTGAAAGTGGTGGTTATAAAACCCCCCACTCTCTCGGTCCCTCCCTCTCTTTTTCTTTCTTCTCTCTCCACCCACCCTCACCTTCTGACTTCACCTCACCACCATCACCAACCTTTCTTGCTTTTGCCTTTCATCAGAACCATCACTTCCATCACTTCCATCACTCTATTTATCTATTAGTCCTTGTACTTCCTTCTGCTTCATCCTTCTGGATAAGCCTGATCGTTTTTAGCTCCATCCGATCGCGTTCGTGGTGGTTTTTGTTCTCTCGATATTTTATCTATCTATCTGACTCGCAAGCTTCTTGGCCAAAGCCATCTACGGTTTCGTCTGATTTTCAACGGAGTCGTCAGATACCAGCTGCCAGCCAAGTTTCGTCAAAAGCCTTCTCTTAGACTAAGAAGCATCTAGCTCGAAGCTGGTGATACCGTGACGGCCACGTCACAATCACACAGACAGATCTTTTTTTGAGTAAGTAGTCTCGAGTTTTCCTACTGTTTCCTTCCAGCTAGTCGAGCAAATCCAATCGAAGCAGCCTCGTAGCTTCCGATTCGGTCTACTCTGCTTTCTTCTAGCTTGTCCGAATTCTTCTCCTCAGCTCTTTCATGTCTGTCGTTCATTGCATTATTTGTTCATTCCTCAGCCCTTCTGCATTTTTGCCAGACTGCTTAGGTAAGTTTCTTGCCTGTCTGTGGCCAGGGCTGTCGCAATGAGCCGTGCGATTGACTGGGGAAGCCGAGCTCTCCAGGGCCGGCAGTACATGCGTACATCCCTCCATCCGTTGCATTTTACGGGTCTGCAGTGCAGTGCAGCTGCCGAGCGTTGATAGCTGATTTGTTAATTGCATTGTTGTGCGTGTGGGATGTTTTATTTTATTTGACGAGACCAGTCGGGATTAATTCCAAAACCCGTTGCTGGCTGTTTTCCTTTCCTGTCTTCCTTTCCTCTTCTTCCCACAACCCCCCCCTTCAAAAACCAAACCTTAGTCCCTGCACAACCTTAACTTCCGACCCAGCACAGCTCCCTTCATTTACATCCTTCTTCATCATCATTCACCTGTGCATTTCCACACATCAAAAAAAAAAAAACCTCCCTGATTTCTCTGGCTACTAGCAGCTTTGCTCTCACGTTCACCCTTTGCAGAACGTGACATTTTGATCAGGCAAGTCTACAAATCTGCTACATTCACTCGTCGATGCATTTTTTCGCGTCTCGAATGCTTCGAGCTGCCATTATCATCGACTGTTTTCATTGATTTTTTTTTCTTCGCGTTGAGTGGCCGTTGCAAAAACCCACCCACTAAATTTGAGGGATAAAAAAAAACCTACCCTACTCTACATTCCACTTTATGCATGATTAGGATGATTAGACACATCAGACGCTAACCCTGTCTTCTCGATAGCCAGATCATCATCTTTTTGCCCATCCAGCAGGTCAGGCTCGAAGTCTCCCGTGACTCGCCTGAGTTTCCGTTGCTGCCCGGATTTTTCGACAGCCAGCCTTGAGTCTTCGAACTCGGCTGTGTCTTCTGTAGGAGGAGGTTTCGTTCGTTGCTGTTGTCCCTTGGTTGTATTGGTAGGTGCTCCAATAGCTATTCCCCATCTCTTTCCTTGTTTTTCAGGGGCGGCCGAGGGAGGCCAGAGGGAAAAGGCAGAGCTACGATCCTACATGCTTGATGGATTGTGATGGCTGGGAGCTGAAAGTGTCGGAATCCCGCCCGTGAAGACTTTTTTAGCTTCTTCGGGATGGATTCTTGCATTTTTTAGCAACGGTCAAAATTGAGCCAGCCCTGGGATTCGTGTCGTACACGACCAACGTTATCCATTTCCAGTTCTGGAAGCTTTGGGTTACGTGTAGGTACTGGGTTCCAGGCTCGGTGTGCTTTTTTCTCAGCCGAAATCATCACGATTGTCAACCTGTTTACATATTGTTTGATTGGCTGGTGATCTCTCATTTTCCTCCGTTCTGTTGTTCAACCAGAATCCTTTACCCCTTTGCCGAGTTCTAGGGGTGAGATTCTGTTGACCCCCCAAAAAAAACCACACACAAAATCCTTGCCACACATTTTTTACTAACATTTTCGCCCACAAACAGACAACCATGCCAAAGAAGAGTGGGAACTCTTCTGCGGCCAGCGGGGGGAAGCGGGGGAAGTCGAAGTCGAGGAGCCAGACACCCGCTGCTGCTGTCGCTGCTGCTGCTACTCCTCCTGTAGGAAACGGTTCGGCCGTCCTACAGGAGGACGATATGACCGTGTTTACGCCCATTAATGGGCCAATCTTGTCTCTTGGGTCCCGAGACAATGCAGAGGGGAGGAGGACGCTGGAGTATCCGGCTTCCTCGGACGAGTCGGGCGAGTCCTTGCGACGAGGTAAGCACCAATCAACCCCAATTTGCATTTCCAACGCGAGGTATCCTCAGATAAATATCTTCCGTGCTCCTTGAGCTGGTTGGTAAATATCTGGAGGCGCGTCGTATCTTCGATGTGAAATATCCATGGTGGCAATCCCGGTCCCCTATTACCCTGAATGATGAAATTTCCTCACATCTCCAAGATTGACCAAGAATCTTTTATTTTTGGAATGTGTTTGCTGTCCTTTCGGGTTTCATCATCTTTTTAAACACAAAATTTACTGACACCTCGCAATTTAGCCCGCACCCGTCCGGGGAAGTCGGTGAGACAGATGTTGATGGAGGAGAGGGAGAAGAGGGAGGAGTTAAAGGAGAGGAAGAGGAGGGAGAAGAAGGAGAAGAAGGAGAGGAGGAGGGAGGAGGAGGAGAAAGCCGGGGGTCCTTCGAGACCCCCTTCAAAACAGTCGACCCTGGAGCGTCACTTTAGGAAAGTGACTGCTCCGGAGGTCGACTCCTTGGAGGGGGGCTCGAAGCCCTCGGTGGCTGTGCCCGGGGCCGAAACCGGGCAGAGCTTGAGGTTCAAGCTCACGTTCAAGAACCGGGCAGCTTCGGCTGCAGCCAACCAGACGGTGGTCCTCACGACCAACCCACCGTCGGACCCGTTGGAAGCGGTGGTCGCTCCGGGTGGCTCGTCCCCGCCGTTGGCGCCTATTGACGCCAACGGTCGTGGTAGGCGGGCCACTCGGAATGCGGCCCCGTGTTACAGCGGGTTTCCGACGGCGGCCCCACCACCACCGTCCCCAGCACCACCACCACCAGCACCACCACCCAGCCAGCCAGTTTCGTCGCTTCCGCGACAAACCACCCCAAAGCTGGCGAGGCGGTCCACCAGGTCGGCTAGCCCCCGACGTGGTGGTACCAAAGCCGAGCCGGCTGCGGGTGTGGGGCGTCGTGGGGGCAGGCCCAAGTGCCTCGATGAGGCGGGGCGGTTCATCGATATTGAACCGCCAAAGCAAGCCGTCTCGTACGGCAACCCAAAGCTCGGGGCCCAGCACAACGAGTACGGGATGATGCCTCTGGGGGCCCTCCCACCCAAAGAGCGGGTGGAGGAGGTGTTCAACAAGCCAGTGCCCAAGGAGCCCGAGGCCTGGTGTGATTTACATTCGGGCCAACAATACTACAACTTCTGGGGGACGGCCGGGAACAAGGACCTCCAGAAGCACAAGAACGAGCAGGCGCGCGCCAAGAGGGCCGCGCAGAAGGCCGGGCGTCTCGACGCCGACAACGACTGGGTCTTCCCGGACTCAGAGGGGGTGAGGCGCGTCGTGGGGGGTGGCGAGACGCGAGGGAAGGGGAAGGCGCGTCGGTTGAGGGTGACCACTTCGCGTGGTCACGACCTCGCTGATGCGTCGTCCCCTGACCTCGTGTCAGGGCCACAGTTTTCTCCGGCTTCGGAGAACGTCCCAGAGACCCCACGGGGGGGTGAAGACCCGGAACTTCAGACCACATGCGATACTTCTGAAGCTCCAGGGGCCGAGGTTGGGGGCCTCAAGGCGCTGGCGCCGAAGCCAGAATTGAGTACTGTGATCAGGCAAGCCAAGCTTGCCGCGGAGAAGGAGGGGAATACGGAGGTGATCGAGTTGTTAAACTCGGTCGAGGTGGCGGGGAGCTCCGAGGCGGTGGAGCTGTTGATGAGGGTCCTTAATGGACCAGGACGTCTCTCGGTATGTATTACTCTTATTCCATAACAACTCGATGAACCTGACTAACTAAATATCTTCTTTCTAGCCTGCCATTGCAGGCACCAAGCGAACTGCCCTCCAGAGGGAGGAAGACGAGTTTCTGGTTTCTGGGGAAGTCGCCTCTTCCCACGGGGGGAAGAGGCGCATGTTGCGGCCTTTTGTGCCGCTAATGCGCCCAAACCGACCCGACGATGAGGACGACCTCATCGCCGCGAACATGAACAGGATGGTCGACGAGAGGCGCAGGCATCTAGGAGAACTAGATGCCCGGTACATTCCCCGGGAGTACAGTTGCTTGCGGGGAGAGGTTGAGGAACCTCTCCTGCACCCCGATCTTTCAGATCGGGAGTTCGAAAGAGACGAGGAGGACAATGCGATGGAGTGGGAGAGGACCGCTCCTCAAATCCAGCGTGCCATGGACTTCAAGACTGAAAAGAAGGGCGGACAATCTCAGGATGAGGTATCCCGGAGACGTAACGCCAAAGAGAAGTATGTCTTGCTTGCAACCTACTTGTTTCTCCAAAATAGTATTCTAACAAATTTCTACAATGAATAGGACCCAGGAAGTTGCTGGACCAGAGGACGAGGCGATGGTAGATGCCCTTCCGGCTCCTATCCCTCTCATGGATGACGAGGAGTCCCCATGTACCGTTTGTCACGGTACTGGAGCACCTCTTGTCATCTGTGATGGGGAAGGATGCCGTGAAGAACAGCACTACTCCTGTGCAGACCCACCCCTCACACAAGAAATGGTCGACGAGTTGCCAGAGTGGTTCTGCCGAACATGCACCAACAAGAGGAAGGCCGATGGAAAACATAAGAACCCAACGTACAAGGGTAACATGGGCGGACTCTTCCAGGATGCAGACCAGGTTAACCAGCGAAGTTTTGTACTGCCGAAGGAAATAAGAGATACCTTCACCGGTGTCAAGACAGGGAAACTCGGAACCTATAGAGAAGCTACCGACCATTTCGTCCTGACCAAGTCTAAAGATAAAGAGTAAGTTCTTGATAACTACCAACCCTGAGAATGGTTAAAATGGCTAACTTAAATTTGTAGACTCCGTGCATATGACCATATCCGCAGGAACGACGGATTGGCCTTCGAACAACAGTTGCTCGGATCTGATGGCAATATTGCTATCTGTTATCGTTGTCGCGAGTCTCGAATCCGCAAAGACCGTGGTAGATTGATTGGGTGTGACTATTGCCCATGCTACTGGCACCAGGATTGCTTACCGACACCATTAGTGGAGCCACCTGCTATCAAGATGCGCACTTCGGACAAACCTGAGAGAGGTGACGAGGTTGTGCTTGTGAAGTGGAAGTGCCCATTGCATATTCCTGAAGATGTTTACGTAAGTCTTTACCTTCTTTTTTTTAATAAAAAAAAAACTGTTTGGTCAAGTAGAAAGCTAATAATTCCATTCACAGCCTATGCGTCAGCCCCGCGGTCCGGTTGAAGGAGCCGACCGACAGTGGCCACCAAAACATCGTCTCCCGCCAGTTACACCAGCCTCCCGAGATATCCCATCTGGAGACTTTCACGCAACTAGGATTAGCGGGAAAGAACTCCTCTTGCCTACGAGCGGCGTCAAGATGAATCTGTTCCCTAACGTGCAAAGGGCAGAGCAACAAAAAGAATTGGAAGAGACTGTCTTTACGGGTACAGATGTACAGGCTATTGAGATCATTCGATCACTCCGAGATAACGTTCAGAGAGCATTTGCTGCCGAACCCGTCGCCCAAATGCCAGCTGTCACTACAGCTCCTACTCAAGTCACTACAATTCCTACTCAAGTCACACCAGGGCCTGCCTTCCCTACCAACAACATTGCGGAATATATCTGGAATAATGTCCCGGAGCACTTCCGTCTTGGTGGTGTCGAAGCTGCAATTCTCAATGGGGAGATCGAAGATGACGCTGCTGAACAAATTCGTCTTATTACAGCCATTCAACGAAGCATGGATGCTAAACTTGCGCGCCTTCAAGCCGCCGGGAAGTTCAAGTGAACACCCACGATATTATCCAAGTCCCTAACAGAAGGTTTATCATGCATCACCCTTCATGCACCGTTCGATCCTTACGAATTTCGTCAAAATACCATCGATCATCCTCATAATACCGGCCGTCGTTGCCCGGCTTTCAAGTTTTTTGATCATTTTTACTACACAACACATTTTGAGAGGCTTTTTTACGTCTGTTTTTTTACACAAGCCTGCTTGTTGATAAGACTACCGACTATGCACCTGCATATCTCTCGCACCTCTCTGGCTTTCACCCAGTCTCCGTATCATCATTGAACCAACGCCAGGAGCCTTCATCCTTCATTGCGAATGTTGTTTACATATCCCTAGACACATTCAATTTCTTTCGCGAAACCTTCCCCTTTCGCGCCCGGCTTTCTACTGGACTTTTCTGTACCAGTGTGGATCGACTAAATACATTGCATCTCATGGCGTTTCTTGATTTCGCTGAATCGAACCATGGGAATTCCTCTTATGGCTTTCCTCTGTCTTTTTTTGACTTTATTCATCAGTGTCGCATTCTAGCGAGCATCTCGATCAGTGTGTTTCTATTTTCATTAGATGTTCTTTACTTTGCTTTTCATTCCATGCCATTGATTTTTAGCGGCTACAGACAGAATGAGAAGCGACAAAACCAAGTGGACTGTTCGATATACGTGGGAAAAAAGCTGGAGTTAGGTGTTTTTTTACTGGGTTTGTTTTCCATCCACTACCATGTTTTCAGCATTGCATCATACTCGCTGGTGTTTTATACAACCCATCCTTTCGGTTCCTGAGATTTTTTTTGAACCTTTCCTCTCGCTCAAAGACCTGTACAATACTTTGTGTTCTAGGAGGAAGCTTTAGATGCAGATTCATGGTTTCGGTGAGGATGAAGATACTTATTTTAATAAATACAAGCTAGCTGTGGCCTGTTGATGGTTACGGTTTTTCCCTTCTGAGAAAAAAATTTCTTCCTTTTCGCGACGTGAAAAATGAATATCTCCTTTGAATAAATAAACTTAAAGCATAATGTAAGGTCACATACCCTGCTAGACCAAGATGTCCCCGGCCCGATACCTTATCTTAGGCTTGTTACATCCACACGACATCAAGATAGATAGCTAGAGCCCAAGATAGAAATGCCAGTGGCGCCGTGCATGCACACGACTTGATCCCACCTTCGTCGTCGGCGTACGTACATGTACATAATTTGTATCGTGCCGTGTCCCGGCATTAGACAGTTGGAATATTTGAGCCACGGCTAGCTTTTTTTCCCTTTCCATATTGTCACGGATCACACTTTTAGTATGCGCCTAGCAATCAAAAATCACCCATACTGACAGCGGGAACCCGGTTTTTCTGCATTGCCGGGACTTGTATGCCCCTCTTTAAGGTGCGCTACACATGGATCCTCCTTAACCCCACAGATGCAACTAACATGCATGCCAGAAAAGACTGGTGGGTCTCTAAGTACTTAGTAGTTTACCGAGGGCGATGTCTCTTTTTTTTTGTTGCATCTGATTCTTGGGTATTTCCGGGGCTTTTGGCGACCCACGACGGCCACAGAAGCCTAGTAAAACAAAAACTAGGTCGATACCTTTTTTTTCCTAGGTCCTTGCACAAGATTAAAAAGTCTTGGACAATTGTTGGAAGCTCGGGGAGTGGAAGCACGTAAAAAAAAGGAAATTGGCATTTTGTGCAACAGTGCGGGGTATTTAACAGGGAAGAATGTTATATAAGTTCAAGTTAACTTATCTTAGATCTTTTATTTTCTCTCCCAGGATTAACCCTTCTGTCGGATTTTTTTCGAGTTTTCTTCTAGCTGTACTTTCACTTCCGTCCTTTTGATCTATATCTTTTTGTACCTGACGGCCGGGTGGCTTTAAGAATCTGGGGTAATTAGAGTTTTTTTTGTCCAATCTACGTACAATATCGCGATACTGTTATCTCGGACGTACCTTGAGCACCGATCCTGGCCGCTTTTCTTTCTTAACAAAAAAAAAAGGTTCGGCTGAAAAAAGTTGGGACATTTTGTTGGAAAAAGATGGCGCCCAACGCAAAATTTGAGATTTCGTTCGCGCCGGCGACGGGGAGGGACCTTTCGTTCAGGGAGAAGGTTGGAGTTCTGGTTATGGCTGCGAAGTTAGGTCTGTTTATTTAAGATCCTTCATAGAACCTTTCCCTTTCTTTCTAGTAATCGTATCCCTTTTTTATTTATAAAAAGCCAACTAATTATAATTGAGATATTTATTTGTGTTTTTAGTCACGGCACTACCGTTCCTTGTTATCAGGGCGTTCTTCGGCGGGAAGTCAAAGTCTGGAAAATCGTGGATTTATGAGTTACGAAGTAGATTATTGTATTTCGCACTGTCGAGGCTTCATCCTAGGCAGATTAAGTAAGTCTTATATAAAAACACGAACTGAATCGGGTTCGACATTACTTAAGGGCGTATATATATATATATCTATAAACTAACAATATAAATAAATAGCCTTATAAACCCGCCATCAGCAATCAGGATCAAAGCCGTCTCGAAAGAATTAAAAGTACCCGTAACTTTCGATGAAGTAGAAGGTGGTGGGAAGGTTCATTGGTGGGGGGAAAGGAAAGGAAGAAAGGTTTTCTTTCATATCCATGGTAATTATATAAACGTTTTCCACTTGCTATTGATTTGGGGATAGGGTACTAATTCTTGATTTTTTTTTAAAGGCGGTGGATATAATCTTGGAATTGGGTTGCATCATTTGTTATGGCTGCATAGGACACAGGAGCTGCTTAAGTCGAGGGGTGTAGAAGCTGACTTCGCGATATTGGAGTATAGTATGTATAGTTTGTATCCGGTAATATTGGAGGCTGGAAAAACTGACGAAAAGATATAAAGGTTTGACTCCTACTGCACGATATCCTACTCAAATGATTCAATCGGTCGAGGGATTGAGACTCTTGATTGAAAAGTATAATTATGATCCTGCAAACGTAAGTAAAACCCACAAATGATAAGAAGTATAACAGAAATCGCTAAAACAAGCATATAAAAAAATAGATAATCATATCCGGAGACTCAGCAGGAGGGGCTCTCGTCCTCTCCATAGCTTCACACATCCTTCACCCCCACCCATCCGGGGCCATCAAACCCCTAAATCTTCCCGAATCCTCTCCAAAACTCGGCGGTCTAATCGCCATGTCACCTTGGACATCCTTCGCAACAGAATACAACTCCATGCAAAATCCAACAGGGAAAGATGTTGTCTTCCCCTATTTTGTCAAAATCTGGTCAAGATGGCTAGTCGACCGTCCCGACGAACCAAGACACCAAAGTCTTCCACCTCTTGCTGATACGGATAAGAAATACACTTGGGATGAGTATAATCAAGCCGGTCAGGCGGATCCATCTTGGTGGACCGGATTCCCCGTGAAGAAGTCGATTGTGTTGATTGGAGAGGATGAGACTTTGAGGGATTCGATTGTGGATTTTGGGGATAAGTTTAGAGAAGGGGTTGAGAAGGGCCAAGGGGTGGTGGATATTGTGCTTTGTGAGGGAGAGATTCATACGGAATGTTTGTATGATACTCCGGTGGCTAAGGTGCAGAAGGTTCCTGGGAAGATGGCTGAGGCGATTTGGTCGTTTTCTGAGGATGTTTTGAAGGATAATGTTGAGTAAAATTTAGAATTGAATTTAGGAAGGATTGAATCAAAGGATTCCTGAGATATTGAATAGATCTGGATTGACAAGATCACTCTCAATAGGGAGACTTAATCGTTGTTCCGGTCCAGGGTGGTCTAATATTTGGGGAGGATCCGGTCGAGGCTTTCCCATCCAATGGTGGTCAATCCAATCCAGTATGGTGCTTTGTTTGTACTCTATAGCAGCAGCACGTGCTTCGTCTCGTGAATCGATGTCAACGTGAAGCAGGAGAGCCAAAAAGTCTAGTCTGCCAAGTTTGACGGCAAGCTGGACGACAGAAACGGAAAAACTTGGACTGTTTTTTTTCCTCCATTCCAGCCATTCCTCTGCTGTGCAAGACTTACCATCGATATAACCTTTCGATTCATTTCTTGATGGCACAAATGCGCCGTATTCAATAAGACACCTTGCGGTGTTCATATCGCCATGCTGGATAGCATGATGCAACAGAGTATGCTCGTATACCAATTCCAATCCATTGTTTCTATCCTGCCCTTGGTCAAATAACAACGGGGAATATCTAGACCATAGCACTCGAGGATTTGCACCATTCTCCAAAAGTACCCCTAAGCACTCAAAGTTTCCTTTACTTACCATGTAATGTAGTGGCGATAGCCTAGAAGGGGGTTGCTCTTGTTGAAGCTGGATAAGGGCTTCTGGACCGCCAAACGAAAATGTTGCACGTAGAAGCTCCGGTTCTGCAACAACGACAAGAAGCTGGAGAGTATTGAGCATCTGTAGGCGGCCCCAAGGACGCTTTAACTGCTTCAGTTGCCCCCCTGCTAAGTCCAAGGACATAATTTTCTGACGAAGATCATTATGAGTATCCGATACAACTGAAAGGGTACTAGAACGGAGTCCCGAAGATTTTAGAAGAGCGATGAAGGCCTCAATCCGCTGTTTTCTATCGATCTCCTTGGGAGGTGATTTGATCCAGCTAACCAATTCCAAACAAATTGGGTCGACGTCGTCATTCTCGATAACCATACCGGTCACGACCACGGGCGGGGGAATCCTAACCCAGCGACGTGTCCATGTCTCGACGAGGAAATCTATATTTGATTCCGTCAATGCTTTGTCAAAGCCTGCGTCAAGGTTTACAAGACCCCATCCACTCTTGGTGGTAATCCGCGCTCCTAATTGGAGTAAATGCTCCAGAAACTTCCTTCTATCCGCACAACATTCCGAGCTCTGAATATTGACAAGGATGTCGAGGGGGGTTTTTTCGTTGCTATCTAGAGCATTGACATCAACCCCAAGCCGTAGAATTAGGTGCGCTGTGTCCCACCAACCGGGTTTACCAATTAGGCTGTGGAGTACCAAGTCTGACGAGATATCCAACCTTTCTCGGATATCCAAAGGTATACGCAATGATAAATCTGCACCATTTTTGATAAGCCATTCGCACCATTCCGCTCGACCCTTCCAAGTAGTTTTGTCTGTTGGAGGTTTTCCAGGCGTGAAAGAATTACACAAGCTGCATTCTGTCCCCTGGTACAAATCCCCTCTTTCATCATAACGGGCCACCATAACCCAAAGCGCAGATGTGAGCAACGTTATAACACTTTCCTTACTATTGTAAGCTCTGCAATGAATTAGTAAGAACTCCCTTAGATAGGTATTTTGCAACTGATACGCAATGTGGAAGAGACAACTGCTGTCAAAGCTTTGTTGACCGGTGCTGATGGCCGAACTATCATCCCCGATTTCCTGTAAAGCCATCGTCACCACAACATTGAAATCTCCCATCCAGAGTCTATCCCAGATGAAACCCCCTCCATCAAAGTCATCCCAAACACTTTCTCCCACCCCATCATACGCCCTCCCACTTAGACTTGAATGTGGGAGAAGAGCCTGAAAGATTTCAACGTCGTTTCGAAGAATAGCTTGAAGCATGATGAAATGAAGATTCTTGCGGAAACCAAGATCAAGGCGCACCGAAAGATCCATTTTACCCTGAATTTGAAGGACGCTTTTTTCGTATATATTTTTATACGCTCGATCCAAAATATCTGGAGGGAGGGAGGGCAGTAACGTCTTCAGTATGCTGACCTCAATGAGCATGTACTTTATAGCCAAGTGAAGTAAAATGGCCGCGTCCTCAGCCGTTCGAGCATTCATCTTATATTTTACTATAAGATTCGATATAAAAATTACCGCATCCGGAATTTTATTCTCATTACCCAGGCCCCGTGGTACATTGTCTAGAGCCATGCCACGGTTGTAGGTCTGCACAGGGAAAAATATGTGTATACCAGATCCCGATTCCCAGACATTGAACGAGGAGCCAGCTAGACAGCTGAATATCTTGTACCATGCCGCATTAGTATCAGATCGAGCCTGATTTCTGTAAATAAGGTCGGTGAGTTCTTCATCTTGCCTCCACACGAGTATGGGCAAAATATTTTCTGCTGCCATCTTGATCGATAGGATATCCAGCGAAAGCAGTGCTTTTAGAGATGGCCTGTATCCGAGTTTCGTGATGTTATCGAGAAGATCGTTGACTTGCTTGAAATGGAAAAGATTGTTCGAAAGTCGGTAAAGAAGAACTCTGAGAAACTTGAAATAGCCGCTATTGGCGACTCCACTAATTTCTTTACCGTTACCATATCTTTGTTTAATGTGTTTCTCGCAGATCTGGAGAAGATGCTTTTCTGAGGTCATGATTGGAAGCTGCTGGAGAAGTTGTATTGGGATTTTTTGACATAGAGCTTGTGATGACGGGGTATATGCCTCTATTCGGCCAAACGAGAAGGGTTTAGTCAAATCATGGTCTATTATTCATAGCCTTAATTAGTGTCCTTTTTTAAACGGGAGTATAAATTATAGTAGATTTACATATAGGGCATGGCATAAGACTTACTTGATCGCTGATATCGAAAAAGGGCTTGTTGCCCGATCGAAAAGTTCCGATCAATCTCCTTCTTCACCGCTGATGGTTTGATCGTGTAGAGGCCGTTTATCCTAACGGCAACATCTTTCTGCAATTCCTGGCAAGCACAGAAGTACGGTGCTAACCTAGTCCACTCTTCAACTGTTACTTTCTTCTTAAAATCGGCACGATTAACGTAGCCACGATATTGGATAGTCCTACGAGGAGAAAGGTTATGGTTGGAATTATTTTGCGAGGTCTAACAAAAAGTTATTCGGTTGAATGGAAAGACTTACGTCGCACCCATCTCAAACATGATTTCCATTACCTCGTGGAGTTTTTCTAGGTTGTAGCCACGGGATATATAGAGGTACTTTATTGCTTCATCGAAATCAGCCAATTTTTTGATACGTTTGGCTCTGCGAGTTTGAACCTGCGGTTGAGCTTCTGCGACATATTCTATAAATTGATCTGAGGCTGCTGGCTTCTGAGTACGAGCTGGTCTTCTTTTGCTGATATTGCCGTGGATGACAACGGAAGATGACATGATGATGTGTAGCTGTGGCTGACAGGGCACGCACACTTGTCAGATAAGGTTGATGTAGATTAAGTAGTACCGGCACGTATGTAGTATTCAGATTGACAGTATAAAGTATGAGCTTTTTGATAGCCTCCGGGTCGTATCTGAAGTGGAAGGATGCTATAAAGTAGCGTTTTAAGGCGCTTTGTATGGTGGGTTTCGGTCCACCTGTAGACTGTCGCCTGGTAGATATACTGTTATAAGTCTACTTGTTAAATTTCCTGGAAATTGGAGACTCCTTCGCGAGGAAAAAGTATACGGATAGTCTCGTACTCGCGGGGGAAGAGTCGATCTATAGTATCGTGGGATATAAAGTATATGCAGCAGATGAGAAGTCCAAGCTGACTACCAGAGTAGATACCGGTCCTGGCATGAGGTTTTCAAATCGCAAATGAAAAAAATACTATGTATGCTCGAGACCTCAAAGATTTAGGTAGAATTTGGTCTGGCAAGTGCAAAAAAGACGGATCTTAGATCGTAGAGGTTATAGAAGAAGCCGAATATTATGTCGATAGCATATTGCATATGAAGAATGAAAATAATCGAACCCAAAGGGCGAAGAAGGCTTAAGGCAGGGAGTTTATCTCTACATTCTGAGCTGGCGAGGCCGAGCATCTCCTCAACCATCCTCATGTTCCCTTCTACCAACCCTCCTCCGCCCATTTTCTGTTAAATGACTATGCAAGGCGGGTCAGTTAAAATCCAGCTCTGACGCCGCATATGCAGTGTTAGGCATAAAACTTGGAAAGGTGAACCGAAGGGAAACTGAGCCAATCATCATCTCGAGTTCCGCGTAGGTTAAGTTTACCCGATTATGGTGTGTGCGAAACATTATTTGGGCGAAATGATGATCGATGATGAGATTCTTCATATCGAGTATGATCCTTCAGAGTTAGGGACCATGCAGACACATCGACAGGCACGGTACGGAAATATTCGTCTAGGATTGGTTGATGGATTGATTGGTATTTATTTATTTGGAGGCTACGGATACGTAGCTGATAGAAGTCATTAGCTCATTAATTAAGTAGATATACAGATTCGTTATCAAGGAAAAATCCGCCACCAGAGAGTGTGTGTATGCAGCGCCGAGTAACCGCGCCGAATAGAACCAGAAACCCGAAGTCATCTTGCTGGGACATAAAGCAAGCGACACCAACAAAGGAGAACTAGGATCGAAAATGAAACAGAAAAGAAAAAGGAAAAATTGTGTCAAGGAATGACTAGGTATAATTGTTGAAAGCTTTCTTCAAACCTCCCACCATCACCCTCACCTCCCGTTCCTAACAACGCCATCACTACTACTCGGTAATACGTCTTCAAAACATAGATCCCAGTCATCAACCTCCTTAAACTTCTGCCTGATATCAGCTACCTCTTTCTTCTCCTTCTTGCTCAGCTCGACATTCGCAGCAACAGCTAACTTGGAAACCGCAGATAATAGGTTACCACGACTCCGTCCCGGTGCAGGGGTATCGTTTTCCTTATTCGATACCTCCGAGTCCTGGCGTCGAGGCTTTCCATATGTCTTCTTAGGCCGTAGAGCAGCTTCTGGCTCTGCAGATACTGCCCTGGCTTTTCCTTTCCCGCCTCGGGTCGCTCTCCTGGGCGGAGAGGCAGGTGTAGGTGGTGCTGCCCCTACAGATGACGAACGGGCCGAAGTGTCCACGTAGATCTCCCGGCCGAGTTCATCATCAGAGAGGATATCCATTCCAGCTCCAAACATTGGTTTGGGTGGAGCATCGATGGCTTGGAGTTCATCGTCATCGAGAATATCTTTTGTGACGTCACCAAGCGCAGCTCGGGACTTTGCAGGTGCTTTGCCTTTGTCTCTGACAGGCTCCTTGGTCACTTTGGATTTTGTTTTTGTTTTTAGTATTGCTTTTGGCTTGGCCCTCCGTCTGGGTAATAAGGATTGTAATGCTTTTGTTGAAGGGTGTCTAGGCTCTTGTTCTTGTTCCTGTTCTTGGAGCAAACTTTCGCCGATAGGTCTCTTTCTTCGTGGGCGAGAAGGAATGATCTCTTCAGGAGCTGGTTCGTTTTCATCTGTCTCTTCCTCTTCCTCTTCTGGTTCGGAGTCTGAATCTTCTAGTATTTGTAAAACACCGAATGTCTTTGGCGCTGGAGACCTCTCGGGACTGGAAGAGTAGTTGAAGGTAATGGTTTCATCAGGGTTTCGTACTCTCTTTCCCTTATCTGCTATGGTGTCCCCCATAACGTTCAACAAGCCCGGTACTCCATCTGAGAAGCCAGTTGGTACTCTTTCCTGACTTAACCTCCGCTTCTTAATTCCACTACTCTTCGAGGGGGTATCCGGCATAGCATTCTCGTCTCCATCACTATCCTCAGCGGCTATAAGACTCGCTGCGAAGTCCTCTTCAAAGGCAGTCCTCGAATTTCTCTTCTTCCCTCTGATGATGTTGGTAGGTGTCGATGTGGCAAGGATATTCTCAACCTGAAATTGTGGCCCGGGAGACGGAGTCCTCGAGACTTCAATGTTGATTGTAGGTCCGATCTTCCGTGCCGAGGCAGCATAGTTTGCCCTTGTGATTGTGTTCTCCGAAACATGCGATGGTGTACCCGATGATTCGGTGATAGTGTTGGAGAGAGGTTGTGTTGATGGAATGACATCAACATCAGATGTTAGCGAAAGGACGGAGGCGGATTTTGTGATATTGCTGATTCTGGTACGACGGGTTAAAGGTGGAGATGATGGGATGGTAAAGGTTGGAGCGGGGGAGTCGACATGGACGAGCTTAGAGGCAGCTGTCTCTCGCTCGCTACGACGTGAAGCCGCTGTACGGCGAGGTGGACGAGGCATTGTATTGTATTGTTTCTTTTCTCCTTTACTTAATGACGAAGAATAGCTATGAGTAAAAATAAAAGCTGAAGGTCTGATTAAGTAAGTTGATCGAGATAGGAGGCTGTAGATGGTACTTTTTGGTACTTTTGGTAGCGAGGGACCGGATGTACTGGATTTGGTATGGTGATTGATTGATGGTTGTGGATGAGTGAAGTGGGCTGGAAAGGAAAGGGAAGCGGAGATTCTGGTTCGGCTGCGAGGCTTTGGCACTTAACGCGTCCCACGTCAGGTTTGTTTTGCATTGAACAACCCAAACGGGCAAAAGTTGATGTATGATTGCCTAAACCGGAATCCAACATTTTTTGGCCACCCGCAACTCAAAGCGCTTACCAGAAGCCGGCCACATACTAAATTACACGTGCATACCAGCCAGCACCATGCAACGTTCACAAACGTTGACAATGCGATCTAAATACCATGCTTCGTGATGTTAGTGCTAATATGGACTTATTGCCGATATTTACTGTTTATGGAACAGTATGAGATAACCTGATTTTTTTTTAGGCAAAGTACGTGGAGAGAGCTAAATGTGGTAATCGTGCACTTGCAATACTTGTAAACAACGTAGGCCGGGCTGACATCGATAAGATAGATCTATAGATCTTCTACCCCACGTTTACGATCGTCTGACTTCAAATAGCCTACTACTCTAACGGTCCAGCAGATGTTATCCTCAGTACTTTTATTTAGAAGTCTATATTTCCCTCTCTATCTTTAATTCCCTCAATCGAAAAAAAAAAAAAGGATGAATATCTCAATCTCACGATCTATCACACATCTCCTACAAATCGACCATTCAAAGCTTCTAACCATGCAAGTCCTCGCAAGCCACCCTCCGAATCCCCGGAGTGGTCTAGAAATGTCCATACCAACGATAGGCCCAACAACAGATAACGCCCAAGACCTGAGCGCCAAAACCCTCGATGAAATGCGAAGGAGATTCCTAACAGAATGTCAAATCATATCATCAATAACAACTGCATCTGCCCTGCAGCTGAAATACGAAGCTCTTCAAGAATTATTCCACCTAAACCTCAACAGCCGGTCTCTGGATACCTACCACCCTGCCACAAACGATTTACTTGATAATCTAGCACTTCTACTCGATAAAGGAAGATTTGAGGATTCGGTAGCAGTAGCACTCACAGCTTATACAGGAAAGAGTATCAGGTTGGTTATACAACTGGGTCAATCAAGTCTGAACGAGAAATGCCGTCGTCGGGATCCGGTGGAAGTTATACGACATGTGGAGAGGATATTCTACTTCATTCACCTCTATCACGATTGTAGTCCCGGAGGAAGATATTATCGAAATGATATTCTAGACCCTAGGAAAGATATCTGGATCGACTTCGCATCCTACCAACTAGAACAATCTTTTGAAAAACTACACGGACGGTTTCTTCATCTCCAGATTTTCTGTCAAGAAGCTAGGAGCTTCACGCTTCCTTTTCGGGTATCAATCACAAAATCTTCAGATATTGACGACGCATATCATATACCCCCAGTCGATGTAGAATGCCCCCATGTACTGGCCCAGTTATATGGAGAGTACCTAAACAGCTTAAACTTCTACGGACGATCAATATCTCCTCCGAGAAAATCTATGATGAGACTAACACCCGATAATTTCGGAAAGTGGTCAACTGTATTTACATGGTACTTCGGAAAAATAGAGAACAGTCTTCATGGATTCGACAAAAGCAAGGTGGATTTTAAAGAGGTGGCTAAGAGACTAACCACCCTCGCAGGGTTAGTTTCAAATTCTCAACTATTTCGCGATTGGTTCAGCATCATTTCCAGAGGTATTGCGAAGAAACGTGCCAGACGCAAGTACGAAGCTGCAGTTGGGAGGACAAAGGTACCGAATTTTAGTCGGCCGCTTGGTCCGAAGTATGGCCATGAAAGGGAACCCGGCGTTCCAGATTCCCCGCCAGAGCGGTCAATTACAAAGGCCTTACAGCTGTCACTTGTTCCAAAGGGGCTACGCAAGATATTCGTGGAATTGAAAGCGAGGAAAGAGGAGCTCGAAGCTTTGAGGGCCAGGTTGGAACAAGAATTGCCTTTACCCCAACTGGGAGAAAACTCTCCTGGTTCCGAAGACCCAGAAGATTACAGCGATATTGAAGGCGATGCTGATCAGGAGTTTTCTATGATTCAAGACATCGCTAGACCAGGAATGGTTGAAAACATTACCTTTAAGAGGGTGAGTCTAATAGCCCAGACTCTATTCCTCACAAAAGAAGTTCTGCAAAGCAGACACCTCCACCGGTACATGAAAGGTAAAAACCCCGAAATCACCGTCCTCCCCTCCATCAAAAATGCAGAAACAACAGAACTCGAATGTGAAAATCTCACAAGAACAAGTTCTTGGTTACTCCCGCAACATTACGGCCCTGGAAACCAAACCCGGGAAGTCACGGTCAAAAACTTCATTTCCTCAATGAAAGAATCACTAGCATCCAGACCAGCAAAGGCACGACAATTAACCCGCATGGTAAAAGATACTCCAGAACACCCAAGAATATTCGTCCCTCAACATCCCGAACTTTCTTTATTAAGTTATCTCGCAAAGCAGAATAACGCCGGTGACTATCCGTACCCGTACATTGGCCTAGCAAAGCCGCCATGCCTAGTATGTGGGATGGTCCTCCTCGGATCGAAAAGTTATAGTGCTATGGGCGCGAATCCAGACAGTCCGTGTAGCTGCCTTACGAGAGTCCCAAAAGATCTTCCGGCTTTGGCGCAAGGCCTTATTTATAGTTCTATTGATAGACTTGCAGGGAAGGTATCGCGGAGTTTTAATCAAGAACGGATTATTGCTAGCTATAGGGGCTAGATGTAGTCTCTTAGTGTAGAATGAGTCAATACGGAGGCCAATTTGGCGGGATTGTGATTAAAAGCTACTTTTGCGGATATTTTCTTGTATAGTTGTAATATATAATTTAAACTTCTTCCTACTTGTAACTTATAAATCCAATATTGTCCAAAGTAAATAAATAAATAATTAAAGACGATCAATCGGCCCGTTACTTAGTATTTGTTTGTGCAGGGAGGTTCTTGAATTTCATAGAGGAAGGATATATTGATTGGGGCTTAATTAAATGCACACATATTTCCTAATCTGTCTCTTTAGAATATATCTTAGTCCAAGACTGCTTCAAGGGTTATATGCCTCTCCTTGTCATCAAAACAAAACTGAGGGGTTGCATGTACTCCAAACCTAATCATCGAGTCCAAGATCCTTCTTAACCATGGCTCGGCACAAAGGATGATACCACGACTCTCTCGCCCTGAAAGTCTTCACTGCCAACTCCTTATCGCACGCAGCCAGGCTTCTATATGTCGGCCTGCAGTACTTCATTCTTCCGATACCCTGCACCCACTTCGCTGCTGGCTCGTAATATTTCTCATATTTAGCCTTCAAAGCCACGCTATAGAATCTAAATACCACTTCCATGTTTCCGCTGTTATCGAAGCCGTATGTCTTTGCCAAGAGATCGACGTCCTTCGTGCTGAACGGATCATACGAGGTCAATTTATCCAAGAAAACGACCTTCTGGTTGGCGGTCCATCCGTCCATGTCGTTCGGTGTGGGTTCAAATCCCAGCAAATCCTTATTCTTCCACTTCTTTGCCAGCTCGTAGCAAATATCTACCATGCTGGTGTCGAAATCTGGCTTCTCTGGAAGCCCGGGGGAGTAATATTCCTTATCCCAATCGACCTTTGTCGTTAGGGCCTTATGGGCCTCGGGATCGTTTTCGAAGAAAGCAAGGAGTGTCTCCTTGAATACATTACTTGTCAAACTCTTGCCCCTGAATGTCTTGAAATAGTGTGGGATGAATTTATCCCACTTCTCACGGCCGACGAGTTTGTCCAGCTTCCTTAGGAAAGTGAAGCCTTTCTCATAGGGTATAGAGCTAAAGGAATCATCTGGATCTTGGTCGACGAGGTTAGGAACGAGTTTTGTGAATTCGTGATCTGGGCCATATTCGTTCACTGATTCTTCAAGGGATTTCCAGCCGATGATGGAGGAAAAGTCGAAGAACTTCTCGCCGTGGATGGCAGCGCCGATACGGCGTTCTAGGTAAACCGTCCAGCCTTCGTTAAGCCAGAAGTCCTGGAATGTAGCGTTTGTGACAAGGTTTCCCTACAGAACAAAAACATATTAGATTATGATCCTCATGTTCATGGTTGGAGAAGGATGAAAATAACATACGCTCCAGCTGTGTGCCAACTCATGGGCAATAACGTCGATATTTTCCTTATCTCCGCTGATAATACTTGGTGTAGCATATGTGAACACTGGATTCTCCATACCACCGAACGGGAAACTTGGTGGTAGAATCAAGACGTTATATGTACCCCAAGCATATTCACTATCCGTAATATCCTCGGCAATAGAGATGAACTTCTCGACTTCTCCGTCCAGCTCGGCTTTGAGGGTCACAAGCTCTTCGGCGGCCCCCCATACCCAACTTCGTGGACCAACCCTTGTTCCAGCGATATCTCCAGAAGCCAAAGCAAAGAGATAAGAAGGGATTGGAACCTTTTGTTCGTATCCATAGAGCAGAGACCCAGACTTCTTATCAAACGATCCAACAGTCGTTGGCAGACCCGAGCACAGTACTGGCAAAGGGGACCTGACGGAGAACTCGTATGTAGACTTAGCAGCCGGAGTATCTGCACATGGGAAGATTGTACGAGCGTAAGTTGGTTCGCATTGCGAGAATACGTAAGGGAATTTGCCATTTGTAGTTTGTTCAGGCGTGAGCCATTGAAGGGCGGCAGATTTGACGGTGGTCGCGAAGTTAATCTATTGATACGAATCCATTAGTATCTAAGACCGTAATTCTTTAATGAATTTTAGATAAGAAAAATAAAAGAAAGATCGATTTATCAATACCTTCGCGGTCACTTTACTTTGATAGTCTACTCCATTGACCAAGGAGATTTTTAATTGCCTGCCATAGTTGCCCTTCTTTGCCTCTTCCCCAAGACTCCAGCCCTTCAATCCAGGTCCACTGAGGATCTCCACGCCCTGTACTTCGACATCTCTGGTATCTAGCAAGATCTCATCACAATTACCTTGCTGTCTGCACTCGAACTGAGTGGTGATATCGCCCAAAAATCTCTTCTTCTCGAAATCGATGGTTATCGAAACCTTATTATGCAAGGGGTAGAATATCAAGTAATTCGATTGTGTATTTGGGTCATGCGACCCGGGAGATTTGACGAGCATCTTTGGTTCTGCGAGAGTGGTGAATCTGGCGGTATCGGCAGCGGTCAGGCTGATGGGCGGGGTGATGGCGGTGTTTATATCCATTTTCGCAGGGCGGCGATAACGGGATTGGGCAGGTGTTGGAAGCTGGCGGGTATTGACGGCGACCCCACGGAAGGACGATGTTAACGATCTCGTTTGAAGCAGCTGCAGCTGGCTTGTTCGAACGGGTTTGGAGAATCCAGATCGGAGGACGAGGGATTTTATAAACCGCATGCCCTGAGGCCAATCCTATAAATATATATTTCCCCGAGAATAGATCAGATCGATTTTGGCTGTATATAGTATACTTATATATATAATCTCGGTGGTTGTGAAGTGAAGGTATGTACTAAGTAAGGGACGAGACGGTCGACAGCCGACTGCATATGTAAAAAGCCATGTAAAGTACGTCGCACCACCGCGGGTTCGATGCTTTCTTCCATGCGCCCCGCCCCACCTGCCCGCTTTGGAGGAGCTGGCGGGTACACCCAGAAGCAGCTATCCAGTTCACAAAGTGGCAGCCTAGAGCATTTGGGACCAGCCCGGCATGGTACGATGATAATGGAACGTAATGGTTAAGGTAATTAGGTATAATTATATATAGCATCTTGATCTTGGTTCTTGTTCATGTTCTTGTCAACAGCTCTGGTCGAATCATCTCGGCATCTTGTCGACTTCTGGCTTCCGATATGTTGCACAGTTAGGCCAACACGCTTTACTTCGCCTGCGGATATGCTGGATTCCCGTGATGTCTGATCTATGATAACTATAGCGAAATCCTTTTTTTTATTTTTTATTTTTTAAAACAGTCATGATGCCATGCACTGGAGGCGCCAGGCAGCGCTGCGATGACGGATAGGTGCTTCGGAATCCGGAACAGAACATCAACAAGTTACGTTACTCATTACTTAATCACTATAGATAGATAGTATGGTGTATCGATATATTATATATAGCATCTTCACAGTAGATGTTTGATAGTTAACAGTCCCCCGACTCTTTGTAAATTTATTAATTTATACACTCATTATATTATTCTTGGACTCGTATCTCCGTATGATATACCAGGGCCATATACTACATAGAGCCATGCTTCGTATCACCTCCCGGATGAGACCCATGCATATGATAGATTAAATATAACAATCCAACAGGAAAAACCCATGAAACAAAAAAAAACTTAACACAAATAGAACCAAGCCCATGCATGTTGAAGATTTATCCAGACTAGGCTTTAACTGCGGGGGCCTCCGTCTGTCCTCTGCTGTAGGCGGCACTTTCTTCTCGGTCATCAGCGTCCAAACCACTGTTGCCGAAGACACGACCCTTGGTGTTCTGCTGTCCGGCCTTCAAGTCTACGTTCTCCATGAAGAATGTAAGGAAAACGATTGGAACAGCGCTGACCAAAGCACCGATCAACATCAATCTCATGGTCTCCTGGTAGGCCCTGTTGATGGCAAGCCTGGCCTCACCGCCAGATGGGTAAGAGCTGGCATGGGTGAAGTCGGAATAGATGAGAGTAGCATTGACCTTGACATCTTCTGGAAGGTACTGGTTGAGCTTTGGAAGGAGGTTGTTGGTCCAGATGGCACCAGAGATAGCAGATCCGATGGCCTGACCGACGGAGATGGCAGTAAGGAACAATGCAGTGGCCGCGGCGACATCTTGATGAGGAACGACGGATTGAACGCCCAATTGTGCAGGAACGTTAAGGAATCCACCACCGAGACCGACGAGGACCTGGTTGATAACAATCTGAGCACGGGTAGAGCCCTCAACACGATATCGGAGCATGAGTCCGAATCCAAGGATATAGATGAGACCACCGGCGCAGACGAAGTACTTGTAGTGACCAGTCCATTTGATAAAGAAGGAGATGATGATGGATGAGACTGTGGAAGTGAAGGAGAAGGTAAGGACGATACGACCGGCAGAAACGACGGATTGCTCATTGGCGACGACGAGGTATGAGTAGAAATATGGGAAGACGGATTGGTAGAAAGCCACTATCGAGCTATGTTAGCCATGGATCCACTTTATACGCGTATAAATTATATACGATTGAGCCAATTGGAAACTTACTGAAGTAGAAGACGGCAATGAGGGTACCGGCAAGAACAGTTCGGTTCTTAAGGAGTCTGAGCGAAAGAAGAGGGCTTGGAGCAAACTTCTTCGACATCTCGAAGAATGGGAAGGCGATCAAGCAGACACCTCCAACGACCATCATGGCAATCAAGCTTGGGTTCTTCCATTTTCCAGTGGCACCGGCGCCGAGGGTAAGAGGAATCAATACCAAGCACAAAGCAGCAGTGAACAGCAGCATTCCGATGATATCCAAATCCCAGAACGTCTTGACCAAGAAGCCACCGACGCCATGTTCTTTGAGCTTGCTTGGTGGGAGAAGACCCTTCTTCTTTGCCTTCAACATGTTGGCGAAGAGGGCGCCGAGGAGAGGAAGAGAGCAGACTGGCAAGATGATAGCCCACATACCGTAACCCCATCTCCAGGTAGTGCCCTTCAAGACAGCAGCACCAACCTCAGGGCCGGCCCAGACGGTCCAAAGGAACGGCAAATCGGGAAGCGAGGAGAACAAGGCACGATTCAACAGATCGGTGGTATCGGCAACAAAGACCTGTTGGAGAATGAGCAGGCCGGTAGAGCCAGCTGCATAGAAGACCTGGGCGCCAGCATATGTCTGAACGGAGTTACTGGCCGCTAGCATAACGTACCCGATAACGAAGAGGACAATGGCAAACACGAAGGCTTCGAAACGACCGAATACGTCGGCAACCTTTGCCATGGGAGGCTTCACAACGGCTATTCAAGGATACATATTAGCCTAACACCCTGCTAATGGACGGTACCGGCCATTGTGTAACACTCACCATACATGACACCTGTAACGATCGAAATGGTCGACAGGAGCGAATGGAACCCGAATCCAGACAGCGCATACGAGGAATACAGGTATGTTGTCTGCGCTTCAAGTGATGTCGAAGTCGCCATCAAAAGGATACTGATGGTGCCAATGCATTAGTATTTTCAACGTTACTCGTAGCCAAATAACGGCATTCAAGGCATATGTACGAAATTTAAGCTTACCCAGCATAGGCAACCCATAAGGAAGATTTCGACCAGGTCAATGCAATGGCCTCGACCTTCTGGACACCGGTCTGCTTCTCTGCAGACTCGATGCTCGAAGAGTCGTACCGATCATCTTTGCTTTCGACCTGTACTTCAGTGGCCTCGGACCTATTCGGTCCAAATTTAGAAAATAAGGACACCATTCTTGCGACTTCCGCTTTACGAAGAAAGCGAATGCTCTGTTCGTCTTTCTATCGAATTAATTGAATATGTCGATTCTTCACCCAATCCGCGAGGGACGTTAGTAAAGAAAGCCTAGAGGACAGGATGAGATGGAATGGAGAGATAAGATCCAAGAGATTATGGAATTTCCGTCCAGGTGGGAATACCCTGAAGATATACCCATACCCAATGGACTGGGAAACACCGTTCACCGTTTGTGACATGATCAAGTCGTTCCCAGTCGACCGCCTTCCTGTATCAGCAGTACGTGCAGGGCCCAGAAGTCATCTGCGCTAGGGTCGAGAAAAAAAATTCTGAACCATGCGAGACAACAGTAGCAAGAGACAGGCGAAAAAGAAAAAGAATCAAGGTTTTCCTTGACGGCACTGTAGCATGCTCCATGCTCTGTGATTTTCTCTAACCCCAGCTCTCCCAGAAAGAAAAGAAAAGGATGTGAAGCTCTAGCGCTAGTGGGACCCACCGATCGATATCCTGCATTTGTCTTGACTCCAATAGCGTGGGTGGCTCCCGCCTTGGAGCCTTTCCGCTCTTCGTCTTGATCATATCATATCGTAATCCCTTCCTTTGTGGTACCCCACGCGCAAGAATTAGGTTTTCATGACAATTAAATTGTAAGAACATGGATTTTTCCTTCTAAACGCTCATTTATCGGGCAAAGAACTCCAAACGGGCTTACTTTCCCCTCTCAAATTCCTCAGTTCTAGTTCTGGATGGACGAGTCTGTGAAAGACCTCTGGTCCCTGCAAATATTAATTCCAACGCGAAAGTTTGCGACTTGCCCGGCTCGCATGCATTATCAGATCCACCAGATCCCTGCCCGCAGCCACCAACCACGCCGAAAAGCGACCCTTCCTCCGTGGTATGACAGACCAACGACGTAATCTAATCTGATGCAGCACCCTTTATTTCATTCCCCCAGGCCTTGCCAAAGGATTAACAAGCAGATCAAATGATGGCCGACATCGGAAAACTTTCAGTGCCTTCGTGATATACAAGAGCAAGGAAAGGATTTTCCTAGCCTATTACCTAAGACGTCCCTTGTTTTGCCCTTCCCAAAAAGAGGGTGGCTCGAGAATCAGATTAGATGAATCAGATTAAAAACATGCGCGCCAAGCCAAAAACAGTGCACATGAAGGAACAACTGATCATTTAAGATACTAATTCGTAGAAAACCTTCGGTTTCGGACGAGAAAAAGGTCACTAGAAGGTCAGTCGAAAGAAAATCCTGGGAACCGGAGTGGGGTATTCGGTACGGTTGCTTTCCTTTTTGTGTTCTTTCGGCTAGTCCGTCAGGCAACCAGAGGACCAGGAGGATGCATCATTGGTCCAAGCGGAGGGGCTCAAAAAATTTTACGAACGGGATATCGCGCTAGGGATGGCTCTTCACAATTCGGCGTTTTTTACAGGTGAGTTAAACCACATTCGAGATGTGTTAGCTAAGTCATTGATGCATATTCAAATTCTTGGGTGGATTGCATCGGTCCCGTGGCCATTTATGCTCGAATGCCCGAACCTTTTCAGGTGTTATAATATGATACGGTTTACTGAAATGAATCAGGCTTCAATGTCCCTCGGAGGAGTTCCGAACCAAGACTCGAACCCCTCACGGAATCTTTCGATTCTGTGGCCCATGTCAGGTTGTCAATGCATCTGAGTGGGTTTTGAGGCGTTTTCGCTAAAGCTTCCCACGAGAACCCAGGAACCGAGTAGCGCGATCAGATACCGGATAACCTAAAAAGAAAGCAAACAGAGATCGAGCTTCCTTCGACTCCACGATGTTCAACGCCATGCAGCATGTGTATGTAAGTTTTACATCACAGGATCGCCCGCTTGTTTGCCTGCTACGTTATTGTGAGTGGTCCGTCTGTGCAGCTGTGCGGCTGAAGATGCAAACTGCAAGAGCCAGAGTAAAGTGAAGCGAGAATATAGGTCCGTTCAAATCACAAGGTCTTGATATTTGTGGTGGTTGAAACTGGTGCTAGTAAGTTTTAAATTTTCGTTATCTAATCGAGAGCTCTTTTGGCTTGGCTTGGCCGCACTGACGGCTTGAAATTTATAACATGGGTTCTATTTTTTTAAATCACTTTTCTCCCGTACTTTTTTTTTAAAAAATCTCTTCAATGAAAAATATCAGAAAGCCCAGAGTTGACTTCAAAGCTATTCTCGGCAATTGGTCAAGTGCCTTATTTCTCAATCTAGTAATCATACCCACTCGATTTCATACTTGCCCAGTAATCAAGAGGAAAGAAAGTGGGTAAAGTCTCACCTATGGTAAACTAGGTAACCATATCATATTGGAATCACACGATTGACCCGAATACCCAGTCTGCTATGCGGAAAATCTTTACCATCTGCCTGTGTTAGCTTCTTTACCACGTAAACTCTATCGGACGATGTGCAGAAATCCGGAATTCGAAGTCTAAAGGTTAGACATTTAAATCCATGGTGGCGGAAATTCCCAGCCCTTGCTAGCTTCGATGTACTATGTAGATTTTTTCTCTCTCTTTCATTCTTCAAGACAGGTATACCCATGCAGCCCATGCAGTCACTTCGTCTATCTGCTATGTATGTGAGAGGGGACGAGAATTCCAGCCACCTCCCTGCCCCCGGATTGAGATTTCGAAGTACCATATTAATACCAGTTTTATTGAAACTGGACAACGTTAATTAACTAATAAACCATGTGTCCCGCTTTATATGCACATGGGTTCACATACATGGCAGCCGCCGGGCTCGCCGGCCTCATTGGCGTTTTCTTGGAACTTTAACACCCAAGGTCCTTGGACTGATGTTAACGTTCTATGTAGGACGGACGCAAAGGCAACGTTATTAGGATTGGATACAGCTTAGACGGCGGTGGCGTATGCAAATCTCTGAAATGGGGTACATCCACCGAGAGGCTTTTTTTTTGGGGGGGGGAGGGGATCTATTACAGAGCAGAATATATAAGTATATTTTTACAATTCGGGATACAGAAAGAAATTGCTCCTAGTACCCATCAAGTCTAATCTTTCAGCTCAAGATTGAGTGGCGGCCCGATATTTACATCCATCTTCTAGCTTCTTTGTCTAAGTGATATTCTACAAATCCCATGCATGGAGCCACCAGAACCAACTCTGTAATATTTACAATATTCAAATCATCGGGGTCTTACCTACCATGCTACCTACCAAACCCCGAGTCAAATAGCCACTCGCGCCAAATCGGGCAGCGGGGTTTTCGGTTCACGGGTCATAGTAGTTGTTCCGATGTCGCTGGGGTACGTCGATCATGTTGTCGCACCTTTGCATATGTATGTAATATGCTGATGCATATTATGTCTTGGATTCCAATCGATGTGTTCTAGATCTAGCCAGCTAGCTGCTCGCTGATAACCGAAATGCCACCCCCCATGCGCTACTTTTGATTGAGCGTTATGCATTTCCTGTTAAGCCATGTGCTCGAACGTTTTTCTGGGCTACTTGTGGGATTTATACCCTGCCGTATCCCACGGATATCTAGATTGATGTTGAAGGGATCTGTGCAGTACCTATAGCTAGAGGCACACGCCCGTATATATACTAGTAACGTTCTCGTAGGCCTCCTTGTTTCGTCGCTGGACTCGTCAACTGTGGAGGTCCTCCCCACTTGTTTACAGTATCCTAATCCAATATTATTATTTTTTAGTAAATCCTGGAGCTGAGTATATCAGCCAGTCCCTAAAATATAATATTAATGTGCGAAATACTTTTATCCGGCAAGAGAATATCGTACGGCATAGTACCTAGATTATGCATATGGGAAATGTTAAAAAATGAGATTCTCTTAGGATAAGAATAGCTAACTCCAATGACACTATCTACTAGTACTTATTCTCGGTAGATTTATAATCATATAAACAGAGTCAACGGAAAAAGGAGAAGGCAAAACGCCTAACTGCGCCTATATATCTAGAAGGATGCCAACCATGGTACCAGCCCAGAATAATAATTCATATATGCTTCTATTAGCTACCATTTACTAGCTGTGACCCCAGATACACCTCTACATCTAGTCTCTTATTGCCGAAGACTAATAAATCTATTCACATCAGCATTAATTCGTGCTCCAATCAGGTCATATACGATCATAAACCGACAAATCAAAAGCCTCTGGAAGTCTACTAGATCTAAATTTATAAAATTATTCTTGTTACGAATCACAAGTACTGTTGACAAAAAAAAATGCCGAAATATATTAATAAAAAAACCACCCCTGTTAGGAATTTTAACATTCTTGTAGACATATCCACTACTCGCTGCCCAGAGCATACATGTGGGGCCGCATCGATGACTTCAAGCTTTTTCTTAGCGGCTTAGATAATTAATGCATAACCCCCAATGCACAACCGCTATTGCTGCGCCTACAATCCAAACCACCACCACAAACCCTAATCGCACGCTATTCTTAATTTGGGGCAAAGGATAGCCCGGATTCTACCGTACAAATAGAAATGAAGCTGGTTTGATTCGTTCGGGCGATTTTTTATGCCTTTTCGATCGCTCGATCGGATCCATGTAGTGACAAGCAGGTGGAGACGTCGCTAGTTTGGCGGAAATTCCACCGGGTTCATACATGTATATGCCTATAAGTAGAATAAGCCCGATGCAGTCGCTAGGATTACAGTAGTCTCTTGCATATGTAGACATGGTAGAATAAGGTATAATTGCTGGCTTTATGACGTACGGCTATCTATTATTATGGGACCTTGCAGTTCCTGCGATCGATTCGTTTTTTTCGCCTACTAGGTTACGTCAGCTTAGGAGGGTTGGTTATTAGTGGCACCATACTTGCCGAAATACATGACGAACTAATATTTTATAGTATATAGACTCGTGCTGGATACGAGACTAGCTTGAACTGATGGCTCTCCAAGGAGGGATTTGGGGCTCACTGGCCCCACATGGGGTGAGTCGATGCCCCATTGTATTTCGGAGGCTCGCGAGGGCTTTTGAAGTTTTAGGTATGCGCTTTGGAGCTCCAAAAAAAGGTTTACTGACTTTCACCGATAATTTGGCACCAGGTCAGGTCAGGCCGGCAGTCCCGTCGCCGGACTTCTCGCGAACCAGGTCCTGTTCGCTTGTGTTGGTTGTTGCATTTCGTATCCGTCTACAGGCTAAAAGTCAAGAGAACCGAGAGGTAAAATTATTTCCAAAACAATCGTTTCATTGAAGATCGATAAAGAAAATAGATGGACAAGTTATTACCGAAGTGTACTTAAATATCTGCCTATCAAAGATCCCAATAATTGTGCTGCAAACGACTTGGACTAGCTAACAATACGAAAATTACCATATTAGATTGAAGGGAAATTTTAATAAAATGATGGTTGGAAAAACGAAAAATTGGAATAATACGAGTAAAATAATAAAATCAACAGCCAGATATTTATAGTAATAATGAAACCTGAACGCCATTCCCTTTTCCTTGGATTGTCTGTACAGTGTGATGTTTGTCGTTGCCCGTTATATCGTTTGAATCGTGTCCTTCAGTCTCGCGACCAGCCCATTCTTCCCCTTTTACCGGCTGGTTCTCCTGCTGCACAGTCCCCTATGGGCGGCATTATCCCTCCTACTCATGACGAATCTTTGCTCTCGACCTGGCATGATCTTGCAATAGAAGCAACACCAGTTGTTATTTGCGAGTAGAAGTTCTTTGTCATGTTTGATATCTTCGAATCGCTTGGGGACTATTGGGAAGTCGGATGAGTCGAGTGCATAGACGAGTTGCTCGACTGAATCATCATTAATATCGGCTTTAATGAAGTTTGTTTTCACAGCTAATGAAAGTGAAGTTAGCAGCTAGCTTCGGATTTGATTAGGGATCAAAACAAAGAAACTTACTCTCGCAACAATCGTGGCATATCTCAAAGTTACATCCACATTGGAATGGTTCGTAAGACCCTTCACAATGTGAATATATCCAACCATCGCATCTCTTACACTTCCTTGCTGGGTTGCAAGATGAGCAAGTAATTTCCTTCGTTTCAGAGCATGCATTGCAAGAGATATCGAAGCAATGGATCCCACACGACGGTTTACCCTTGCACCCCTGTTTAGGACAGAAACTTCCTCCTTCTTTCGTAAAGCACGATTTACACTTGCGGGAAGGACAGTCGCCGCATTTGACAATCCTACTCCGTTTCGGATCACAGTTGTCGCATAGGAAACTAGTACAACACCTATGCATTAGTTTGTGGCTCAGAACTGGCGCTTAGGCTTATATCTACTTACTCTCCACAGGATTCGCAAAGGACATCCTTTAGGCATTGGTCGCAATGCCAACCAATCTGTTCCGGCCCCTTGTTACAGCCCATGCACTTCTTCGTGCGGGTAGATCCGGTATCCGCGAGTGGCAGGATTCTAATGAATGGTAGCTCTCGAGTTCCGTGGCAGTGTGATCTTCGCAATCGTTTCTTTGGACCTTGTAGGGTCTGGGAGCACCAGCCAACATCTGATCGAATTTTCTTCTCATTTGTATACTTGAAGAACTGGTCAAGTTTGGCCAGCCATTGCCTATGTTCTTGGTTTGCTAGGTGAAGATCTCGAATTCCATATATCTAGATATGTTGAATTAGCAGCTGTACAATTGTTACCAGTTCATATTCGCAGATAGATAAACTCACTTTAAATTCCAATAGACCGCAAAGAAGGCTGTCTTCATCTTCTTCTCCATCGCTTTGAGACTCGAACCCCGAATCGTCCCCTTCATCAATCACCCTAGCCTTGGGCATCATTTCTACAACATCATTGAAATTGATCTTTCGGCAGTATCGCACGCTCAACCGCTTAAGACCCTTTCCGCTGACGGCGCAGACAGTCAAAATTTTCTTGACAAATGCCATATCGACACTCGTTCCATCCAAGACCAATTCCTTGAGTACTGTTCCAAACGCTGGTCTCAAGGAAAACATTCCCCAGACCTTGGTGGAGTCTAGTTCCTTGCAGAAATACCTCTCAACCGGTTTCTGGATTTTCCATCCTTCCTTCTCTGCTTTCTCCCTAAGAGTTTTCTCATCGGGGACAGAGATGTATCTTTTCTGTGCCATGATCCCTTGCTGGACCTGGTAATTCAGATTCGCGAACGAAGTTTGCGGTTCATACCCGTATTTTGTAAGGGTAACGGAACGCCACGCATAGCACGAGTCTCGATATGAGGAAAGTGCAGAACATGTTGCAAAAAGATACTGCTTTTGCGGTGTAGACAGATGGGAGATAATTTCTGCAGCCACTGGAGATGCAGTGAGGAAGGCTGTTAAGAATGGGGAATCATAAGGATTCTCTGGTGGGATAGAAGGGTCCCGTGGCTGGAGGGCTGCAGCGGGGCAGGGTTTGGTGGGATGTTGTGTTGTTTGCGCCATTCTTGCGTGGGGACTGTGACCTGAGGTGGGCCTTGCGAGCTTGCAAGCTTGTTCGCTTAGTCTGAGCCCTGGTGATAACTATGATAACAGATATGGAAATTTAAAAGAGAACGGAGAGAATTGAGGAGCGTCTTATATTCTTGTAGACGGTATAATTAGTGACTCTTAGATTTGGTCACGGTCTTGTGCTTGTGAGCTTCTTTGATGAGCATGGGAAGAGCCCTTTGAGTTTCCTTGAAGGGGTGGTCCATCTCCTTATATCATTTCTCTTGAGACCTCGCCGGGTCATGGCTGTCCCACTAGAGAAGAAAAAAGAGTACTTAAAGTATAGCTAAGAAAACTATCCGCAAGCTATGGTCAAGATGGACTTCGTCGATAAGCTGATCCCTGACTTGCCACAATTGTACAAGCAAGTGGATACTAAAAAGGAAGACTTAGGGTAACGCTACTTTGGCGAAGCATCGGGACGTTTAGCCCGGAGCTGTTAGGCTACCTATGATATCACGACACTAGTAACTTTCACCAAGCCTTCGTACATGCTTTATGGAGGTATAGTTGTTTGTAATCCTTCTTCTTCTTCTTCTTCTTTTTCTTTTTTTCTTGAAGTACCGACATGTTGGTGATGCAGGGATATAATCGATGTATCCATTTGAATTATATTGGAGGTTTATAAATTTAGTTTGACCCTCAGACGCTCATGTTCAGTTTCATGCAACCTGCAATATGCAATATCTCGGTGACCCCAGGCCAGGCTACTCGTATTCGTTGAATACAATTGTTTTTGACTAGTAGCTAGAGAAATTGTAATTACACGGCAGGGCTGCTTGATTGCATGTTCGAAGTTCTATGGTGCCCACTGTGCTCCCTCCACGAAATCCCCATGAAATGGGTAATGATTTGGCCGCATGAGATGGTGTTCATGTGCTTTCCTTCCGAGAAGTAAGTTTGGTTCAGGTAAATTTACTTTTTCTCTCGTTTGTCGTTGGGAAATGCAGGATACATGCAAGAGCAGGGGTAGCTCATGTACCCTTGGAAAGCAAGAATTCGAAGAAGCGGCTCACCACATGCTGTGCTACGAAGGCTCCTCTGTAATTAGAGGGAGCAGTTGTACCGGGTACTTTTGGGACCTGTACATCTTGGAGCTGCAGGATTGTAAGCTGAGATCTTTTTCCGGTGGTGTAGTACATGGGGATACGTATGGATCTGGTGGTGATGAGAGATGAGGTATGTACCTGAAAGGCACGGTTCGTATGTTAATCCTATTGATCCGATTGAAGTGCTTGCTGGCTGCCCGCAGAACGGAACACGGATCGGATGTGTCTGGATGTTCTTTTCTGAAGCTCGAAGCAATAGGTCCTGCGATATATACCGGTATGGTATAATATTGCGATCTAATTTGTATTTTTCTACCTCAAGCTGACAATAACTAATTTTAACCTTACGATGAACACATACCTAGGTAATTATTGGGACTTCACATTGACTGTTATACTAGGGAAAAACTCTATCAATGGAAGATGAATCTTTATATAACGTCGGCATCAACAAAGCATAGCCCCAGGGTCACTATTTGACGATCATGCTGTCATGCTCAGCGGGTCTGTTTCTTCTATTGCTTCTAGCTCGTCGTCGAGAGTGCGCAACCCGCTCGCAATAGGCACTTTAGCGAGAGTCCATGGCGTCCAGAAGGGTACCGAGTGGGTCCTGGACCCTAACCGGTGGTCAAATGAGGAACGTTTGTTCAGCCCTGCACTCAGCTGGACCATACTATCCTGATGTCTGCATGGTACTGGATTGTAGTTCTGAATGCCCGAAACCTGTTGTGAATATCGAATTAACGCTCATCACGTCGATTTACAAAGGCCTCCTTGCCACCATCTTTACCTTTTGAGGGGTTGTTAGTTTAGTCTTCTCTCGATACAATACCATGATCGCACGTAACTGCGCATCAGTGGAGCCACTTTTGCAAGAAATAGTGGATAAGGCAATTGTAACTACGTCGCTCATATATGATCATAGTATAGTATAGTTCCGGAAGTCTGGATTGAATTAATTTCAACTTCGAACTCGGTTTCATCAAGGTTTATTTGATATTAATATTCTAGACCTCACCAACAGTTTTCAAAACGCCGATTCGAAGTTTAGGCGTAACGTACGTAAGTTGGTATCGTGACTTGGCAGTATTTCATTTGATCCCAGGTTTACGGATTGACTTTGCGAAGAGCGTACACATTTCGAAAAACTTGGAGAATAGGCATACGATCACGGGATTATATTATAGGTTCCAAAAAAATGCAAGAAATTGATATAGGTACTGTATACATGTATACCTGGGTAAGTTATCAAATTGCCTAACCAGGACTGCATAAACCGGTCTAACCGGCACCGTGGATTTTCCCAAGCCATCCTATCCATATCTAGATATTCAAAACCTCAGCCACTATTATCGATTATCACGGCCAGGTACTTCTTTATCGATGTATCGCGCAATCGCGGGCGTGAAAATACACCTTTCCAAAGTAACTCTCAAAGCTCGAGCTCGTTTCTTTTCGTTCGCTTGCAGTTTCCTGCATTCTCCTGCAGTCGTTGCTGTTTGAGAGACCCACTTTGTCATATAGCTCCCAATTCCTCTTATAGCGAGAGAACCCTTGGTGTACGGGGTAAAACAGGTATCGCTGTCGAATCCCGAGAATTTGGCACAAGACACACATGTAGGTTGCAGGCCTGTCAGCGGAACGGATCACGACAGGTACCTTGAAGGCAACATCAATCCTTTATCCGCCTTTAGCCTCCAATGGAACAATCTATAACATTATCGATAGAGGCACGGGTACCCCGAGCCGTCGAGCTCCAGGAAATCCACGTGTACCTGATACCAGTACCAAAAGTTTTCCCAAACCAACATCGTATCTTCTACATATTGCTTGCATTCGTTTCGGCAGCGACCTGTACTGTTTGTTATCGGTTAAAGGGCAGGATTTGGAAAACCTGTACCACCTGGCCAGGAAGTTCGAACAACTCATACAGGCAGGGCAAGCCGAGAACTTGGTGCATTTCGAAATATTTTGAAGATTTGAAGATACATCTAGACCGATTAACTCGGGTCAACTTGCTAGAGCTCAGTTGTAATTGCACCAAGTTAATGCAATGACTTTCAGCTCTTACGCGGATTCGTTGGCCAATGATCCAAAGACTCAAATCGGACAGCCCTGACTTCTCTGCAAGTTTTTTTTTTTTTTTTTCTTTCCCCTCTTCTCTCTGTCTGTTTCCGTCGCCTTCATTCCAGAGAAATATCTTAGATGGCAGAGCAATCAGTAATTGATCCTGAATCCCGAGGCTAGATCGATTAAACGTCCAAACCCAGCACAGTATGCAATGCATAGCAATTGACCTGGATCTATCATGCACAGTTCGGCGTTCCAACATCCAACATTTAACAACACTCTATTTCGGTCACTAGCTTTCAGTACTGCAGTTAATTGTAGCTTCGATAGATGCATGGAAGGTGCCTACCCCCTATTGGGCAATTCAGTAGGGTCATATGCGGCACCATACAAGCTTCTCCGTAAAGGGTGAGATTAACCTTCCCCAGTCTTAACAATTTCGTTGGTTTTCACACCTTATACTTCTAATAATTACCCGCAGCACACCATCTCGTCGACGCGAGGATCATCGTGTAACAGAGCTGTGCCGCGCCTCCGCGTCTACACTGAAATTCCACCTCGGAGATAAACCAAGGCGTAGTTACCCCGAGGTACTGTTCAAGCAGCTTGCTGCTTTCGGAATACACATAGCTACCAGCCTTCTTTAGGACCCACTATGTAACATTAGTATCGTATCTGCATGCATCTTTTCGAGAGCGCTGTCAAAACGGAGCCACCTACGACAACGGGTGCGTGAGAAGCTCATTTATACGAGGCATACGTACCTATTGGATGCACCTACTGATTCGAGTACACCCATCTCCAAAATTCTCGTGACTTTACATGACACGCATAACATGTATATCAATATATTGGGGTACACGTTCCAATATTTGGTCCCGACAGTTTGGTTCAGGAGGGGCCGATAAGCCACATACTCATGACCCCTCCGACGTTTCGGACTAGACGAGCGAGAAGTACTTTACAAATGCGCATTCACGAATACGAGCACACCTTCATTGAATTTCTTTGGGGTGTACTTTTCTAATACGAGGTTTTGAAAGCAACGTTTTGTCACGGGGATGCAACCAGACTGACGGAAGTTCCGAAAACTTGGAATTATTGCATATGTGTGGGGCTGAGACTGGCATGTATGCGCGGAAGCCGTCGGTCTAAACGTCCAAATATTTGGGTTGTTAAAGGTGTTCCCGCCGCTATGGGATGGGATTTGGAGATGAAGATGCACGTAGCTATTGCGGCAAGCCCGATGGGAGCGGGGTAGCTATCCCCCGCGCATGAAAGCATTTGTCAGTTAGTAGAGAAGCTAGAGCTCGGGATCTTGTATATGCTACTTTTGCTCTCAATTGGTCCTTAGCTTAGCTCTCCAGCTCGAGCTCGGATTTGTATTGCTCCTGTATTTGGGATAGAGCTAAAGCTAAGCTAAGACGGAGCTCCGATGAAGCGGTACATGTATACAACGATGAAATGTCTAGCTGGTCGAGCTAGCTCTAGCTAACTAATCGATAATCATTACTATCTTAGTATAAATGATGGGTTTAAATACGAAGGGTTAAATGGAGCTACATCAGGCCGATTGGGTTTCAAATGTATATTTACGAGGCCCCTGGAAGGCTTGCGTATTGCATTTGAATTCAATAGCCTGTGCAATTTGAAGTCAAAAAAAACCCCGTGCCATATCAGCTCGCTAAGCTGATCGATATCCAAGAGACCAGCACTAGCTTATCTCAATAAGACGCATATCGTTGGTTAAGACGCTAGTTCCTACGCCGGATAGCATTATGTCTCAAACCAGTAGCTGAATGATAAGGCTAGTAGTGCCGACTCTCATAAACTACTGCATGTTCGAATGGAACTTCTGAGTGAACTCAGCTCGGCAACCACTTAAAGTTCCTCTACTTGCAACGCTAACTAGGAGGAAATTTGAACCCAAGCTGTCGGTTCAGCTACCAGCGGAATCTAGCGGGACATGCACCCACTGCGCTGGAACCGGGACCAAGCAGCCGATCCAATTCCGGCGGGTAGAGTTGGCTGGCTCAATTCCCGAATTCACTGATCCCAGGTGGAAACCAAGATGCGCATACCCACCTGATGTGATATTCTTTTTTTTTTCTTGATCCCAAATTTACATTTTCCCGTCTCGAGCTCTGCGCGCATAAACGAAATATCGCACCAGACGATTTGGGCCCAATTGGGGGGACATTTTGTTGTTGGATGTTGTAATACCCATCCATTCTATGAGACGTCCACGTCTGCAAAGGTTACACCAACCTTCTCAATTCCATTCGTTTATTCGGCCCTACAAATCACAACGACTTCCTTCCCCAAAACCTTTCACTCCAGTACATAAGTAATTGCAAGGAGGGTAGAAATAAGGGGGGGAAAGGGCATGGCCTTGATGAGCTGTCTCCAGTCATCGGTCATCCTCCTAAACAAGCATCAAATCCCGCAGTTTCGTACCTCCAACGAACCCAGAATTCGAATTCCAGTTTCCTCCCTCCTCAAAGCTGCATAATAGACATTTTGTGATTAAGTCACTGCACCCGATGTCACAGATCCTGTAATGCAAATCAAGCAGGGAAAAGGGAAAAAAAAAGCCACTTCCTTCCTACTCAGTTTAAAACGCTTCAAACTGATCCAATCCCGACGTATGTATAATTAAACTGTGGCAAGCAGGATGCGTCTCGCTGTCGATCATATGTAAATACAAGGGGGGCCGATTTTGTGCCACCCACTCTTCTGTCTGTGTGTGTACAACAAGTTAAGTGCTTCTCTTCCTATCCAATGAGGTCTTCGGATTAGGTATCAAGAGAATCCGATCTATCTGTATGGACGTTGATCAACCAATTCTTATGGACCACACTCCCTTGTCATGTGCCTTTTGTGCTATCTCTCCTTGCAGGGTTTCGTACCACAGCGGGATGTTGGCGTTTCCGTCGATCAAGGTAGGGTTTGGTGGTGGGGCGAAGGGTGGGAGGTTGCAGGTACCTTTGAGAGATGTACCCAGTGCTCAAATTTGACTGTGTGGATTGGAAGGAGGCCGAGGGCAGTCTGGGGGAGGGAAGGCTCCAACCACTATGCGGTACAGCAATGTTACCTGGGGTCGTGTCATGGTGTTATTGATCGTCGGTAGAAAAGTACTTGATTAAAAGCCATGTAATATTTTCGCTATTGTACAGATAAATATGGCAGAGACCCGAACCAAACCCGGTTAACCGTTTCAAAGATAGGAGATGATTTTTGCGTAGGGCAGTACAAACCTGGACCACTTACATGTGGCCAACAGGGGATTAAAAGATAAAAATAAAAAAAAGTATAAGGCCATCAAGGGCTACCCAAAAATACCTAAAACGCCTGGCAAAATCAATATAACGGAATAGCGCCACGAAATCAAACCATCCCCAACCAGATCCTTTCATTTTTCACCCTTTTTGTTGATGACAACGTTGAATTCGCCAGCTTGAGGACTTCCCTCCTCTTCTTTAGCATCCTTCTAGGCCAAGCTAAAACGAGGTCGCTTCCTACCACCGCCCCCAGAAGGTGCGGCTGGCTCCTTCTCCTTCTGATCGAGCAAGAGGCTAATAACATCGTAACCGAATTGTGGGAATTCCAAGATGAGCTTCCGGAACTCTTCCTCGGATTCGTGGCGTAGGATGTAGGCTGTTGATAGGGGTCAATAGGTCAGTATGTGCTCAATATCGTGTTAGGAATAAGAATCTGTAATGTAGACTTACCTCTGGCGGCCCAGAATGCAGCAACAGGACCCCGAATTGTCTTGTCCTCTCTCGGAGTATTGGCGTATACGTATCGAGCGTACTGGATTTCACCTCTGGCACTGCTGTTGATCCTGTGGATCTTCTTGTGCGCCATTGTCTTAAGCTCCCTCATTCCGAACTTTTCAGCAAGAGTATACACTCGGGCGTGCTTCAACAAGTGATCTCCGTCATCAGGGTCCGACTGGGAAGGATCTTTTTCCAGCACTTCCTCTCCCTTCTGCTTGATGATTCTTGGGAAATAGTCGCCGGTATATAGATACTGAATGAAACAACCCACGGCATCCAGGTTCTCATTGGGCAATGCAACAAGCGTTGGGTTCGAAGCACCAGCAAAGTGGGCAACGAACCAAGGGGATTTGTTAAGAAGAGACTGATGTGCTGCAATCGTGGTAGTTGGAGCTTCCCCGACAGACAAGGTGATTATCGATGACTGAAGGTGGCTGAGTTCCGGAAAGTTAGCCATCTTCCCTGTTTTAGATTTCTTTCCTTTTGGATATAACGTAGACAAAATACTTGTTGTCGGTGTCTTACTCCAAAAAGCTGAGAGGTGCTGGCTGTGGCTCTTCTGGAACCTCCTCGGGAATGTCTTCCATGGCAATGTTATCCTCCTCAGCTTCCTCCATGATGTCGGACTTTGGTGGTAGGTCAATATAAACGCTAGGCTCTGCCATGGCTAAAAATGAAAATATGGTTTTATATACGATTCGATATCGGACTCAGATAACTGGCGATAATAGCGAAATTCTGGATGCGCAATTGTTCTAAGCCACCGCTCGCAAAAATCCAGCCGGCTGGTCTATCTAACCAAAGAGTGATGAAGTTGTGAAGAAAGAATAAAGTTTATGGGATGAGCCCCTGCGACCCTAAGAATGCTAGAAATGATTGGTGGTGATGATGCAATTGCAAAGATTTGTTCAGGGTTGTCTAAGTCGATGGTCTCCCCCACAAGGTGTCTCTGATTCAGGCTGCTTTGCATGGCCGTTTGGTTGCGACGGTATATGCGAATCCCACAACGGGAAGTCAGTTGACTGTAACCATGGAAACAAGTCCCAAAATAGAAGTAACACACAACACATTTCTAACTATAACTTAGGCCTCATATTAGTCACTCTCGTAATATTAGTCTCGTCAGTCTCGTAACCAGACTTATGTGTTAGTCTCGTATTGCAGACGCGGTCCACACTTTGGCCTCATATACAGATGGAGCAGGAAGGTCTACTGCACACATCTTTTTCTGTACGGAATCACTTGGCTACTGACATCAACATCGACATTCCCTATATGTTTAGGAAAAGCAGTATTAACTATGGCAGATTCATTTTAAAGAAAGATGTGATTTAGTCCAAAGTATTACTATTGTGATTAGGGCGAATCTATATCTAGATATCCAGCCATATAGAGCTTGTGTCTAAACTATCTATCCTCATTGCTTCAATTTCAGACATCGTATTAACGTCCTCCAATAGTGTCATTCTTCGTTTCTCTGGCGGAATGCCTTTGTACTTCTCATAAAATTCCTCGAGCTCCTTGGGTATTGGATACATAAGACCACTCTGTTGGTAGAGTGACTTAAACCCTTTCGTCTGCATAATGGCCTCGATAGCTGATATTGTTCTTATAGCCGCTCCTGCATAATGGGTACAATATGTTATCATCTCTTGTAAGGCAAGCCACTCCTTATTTCCAAAGTCTATCGCGAGCGCTTCTGCCAACTCCGAACCTTTCCGGATATCCACACCCGCTTCCATGAGCTCGAGTTGAAGACGTGAAAACATCGAGAGGATTTCGTAAGGATGATTGGTTTGCCATATAATCATCGTCTCCCCGCCAGATGTCAGACGACCAAGACTCGCGCCGAACATCCAAAAAACCACGGACATAGGGTTTTTCTCGTAAGTCTCCACGTAAGTTATCAATCCCGTCAACCCAGCTATCCATTTAGGAAAGCTTGTAAAATATCCATCAACGGTATCGAGCGCTCTTATGACATCGAGTACAGATCCAAGTTTAAGCTCCTGAAGTAAATTCGACGCGCGATCTAGCGCTTCCATGTCGGTATCCACGGGCTCTAGTTGGACCCTTACGTCTTCTATAACCCCAAGAGCCATGTCCGCGAGTTCTTCCCATGGCTTAGCCAGTCTTGGTGGCTTCACATTGACACCGCCTTTGGTTATTGGGCCAGAGTATTTCGGCCATTGTTTGAGTTCTTGTATTGCCGTCGCAAGTTCATACCATCGCACGTTTTCATGTTCAGTGGAAATCAAATTGTCGAATAAGTCGATTGAGGACCAGGCGATTTTCGATTCCCTAGTAGTAGTGTTTCATATTTAATCGTTAGCACTTTTCTAGTGTTAAATGTAAATGCATACATGTCTAGACGTACACCCCAGCGACAAAAAATATCGCAAAATACGTCCCTGCTGAGCAAAATAAATGTAAAGCTGTCCGAGATCGAGATTGCGAGAACATTTTAACTAGAGAAGCGACCCCCAGACTATAATAGTACTTCAGACTTGTGGAGATCCTCGTCGAGGCTACATCAAATTGTCTATACGTCTGTCTGTCGATTCGGCTTAGGGTGGAGGTGGGTGTGTAATTTTCTAAGCCGGTCATGGCTTTTTTGTTTTCATGTTGTGTTTCTCCTTGGAATCTTCTCAAATTATCTACTCCTGGAACGAATTATCTAGTGGGGAAGATAGAAGAACACAAAAACTAGCTCTCGCCCTAGACTATAGGCTGCCTAGATTTTGTTTGATGCGTACTAAAAAAGGCCCTTTACATAGTAGAATAATTATAATGTGCATGTGGTCTAATATGATTCTGAAAACACCTCGCTCCGAAGAAGAAATGGGCACTTTCGTAACAGCCAATTGCCTGTCACCGATCCGCTAGAGGTTCTCGCCTTGAATTCCACGAAGGTACCTTATCTATGATTTTGAATATATTGTCTAATATTCCAGTTAGCTTCTGGTGGAAATATATTAGTTTCGGGGGGGGGGGGGGGGGGGGGCTACCTGTGAGCTTCCAGAGTCAGCTTCCTAGCTTTGTGATCCTTTTGACCTAGGATATAATTCTCCCTTGTTTCAAAATTATGGCTGTATTGCAGCAGTTGATGAGCTTGAACGTAGTATGGCTCAGTGAGATTTTGTACTATCCTAGCCATGGCCTCGCTGCCATACCAGCATTTAATGAAACAATAACTGGCGCGCAATGCAAAGAGATACTCATCCTCATCCGGGTCCGTTTCTTGAGCCAAATATCCAAGTATTTGGCCAAGGACCTTATACGGAAGATCCTGTATTCCAACTCTTGGTGGGCTGAGCGGGATCATGCCGTATCCCAGGCCACGTATAATATCTAGGAACTTAGCATCTTCTTGGGGCCTAACGGGATACATCCTCTGTTTTTCATCCCCTCGGTATCCGGCAGGCGAAAGACCCAATTTACACTCTGTGGCCAAGTATGCCCAATATCCCTCGGTCCTCCCGTTTTGTATATTGGTTCCGTCCTCTTTTTTTTGTACAAAGTCAAAGGCTTCAATCCGTGTGAACTTCATGCTCACGTAGCCGCAGCTTTTACATCCCCGGTGTTCTACTACAGGGCGGTCGATGCGGATACAGGTCCCCCGACCTCGTTGCCGTACTAGTACCCGCTTCTCATTTTCACTCCCCTTGGAAATCTTCCCGTCTTCATGACACGAACACCTGTATGCAAGGAACTGCGCCTGACGCCAGTAGTCTGGTGATGAATCAAATGGGAGCTCTGAGAGACAGTGTAAACACATTGAGTCGTAGAAGAATTTCTCGTGAATAGGGATCAAGTCGTCCTCTTTGATGGCTTTCGGGTCTTGTACTCCAGGTGGAAGCCGATACCCAACTTTCCATCGATCATGCACCCAATATCCTATTCCAACTTCCTGGGATAGTAGTTTAGTTTGTCTCCAGTGGTAGTATTCCTTCAGGAATAATGGTACTCCAAGGTCACTTTCGGGGTTGTAATATTTATTCTTGGACAACATATCCCGTGGACATCTGTGATGTTCACACCATATTGTAGAATAAAAGTAGGTCTGGCCAGAACGCTTCTGTGAAGGATAGCTGTCTTCAAGTCCCTTTATATAACTGGCATATTTCCCTCCATATTTAAACTTGGCAAGATGGGTCGGAAATAAATGTTTTGGGAAAAAGAAGCCGCTATCGGAATCTAGAAAGAGAGCAGTTTCGCAAGTTGGAGGACACAGACGATGTTGACAATATGGGCAATTGGCAGGAGGAATGTGCTGAGGCTTCCTTCGTGTCGATTTGTGTTGACTCTGTGGTACATATTCATTGGAGAGGAACTGCCGATGAATTCGGAGGAAACATCTCAGCTCTCGTTTGTTCTCAGGACGTTTTGGACGGAGGTATTGAAGCCCCTTTGTTGTTAGGGAAAGCGCAATGAGGTCGCGAAATCTAAGGCTCTTTGTGACTTCAACGAGGATATCAATCGGAAGGCTGAGGAAAGGGTTCGAGGCCGGCGCAGGTACAACTGCATTAGCTAAAGGATCTTCCATTATAGCACAACCGGACCTGGATCTTATATGTGTGCGCGCGTGTGTTCATAAAATAACTCGCCGTGTAGAATGGTAATAGATGTAAAAGTACTAATTCGCCGTACTCCCAGAAGGAAATACTTTTTTACGTTCGGTTCCTCCGCTGCTTGGATCCTGCTTGGATCAGCTGCTTGTGGGCCCTGCCTGCATATGATTGGGAGACCTTTATATTGCATGGAAATACGAACAAGAAGTGACGTTACATGTATAGAGTTGGCTAGCGGATCATTTAGTTAGTAATTTAGCCATGGAATTTAAACCCACACTCGGTGAATAGATTAGGAAATTTAAGGCCTCTTGCCTAGGTGCGTATTGGACAAATTCAATTTCTGATATGATAGCTACAGTCGAGTATTCGATATTCCAGAGCTGCAGAGAAGTAAAGTGTTATAAGATACTTAAATCCAAAAACCTGAACCGAATGAAGTCATAACAAAAAAAGATCGATAGATCTATAGATCTAGAAGGCGAGTAACTCATAGCTTAAATTATATATGGCTCCAAGGATCCTAGGAGCGCTCGAGCCCAGAATCAAAATTAATTTCGAGTTTATGTATCTGAACTTCCAGGTCTGGGTGCGAAACAAGTATATTAACATATCACCACAATCGACATTATAAATGGACCGTGGGACACTCTGGTGAAAATAAGCCCTAACAAGCTAAGGGCCTTTGTGTACCCTTCCCACCTGTCCAGGCTTGCAGCTCAGTGCCCGATGAAATAGTGACTATTCGAATAAAAAGTTGACTAATCATCAGCAATCTGCACAGGACAGCGCACACATAGAGCAGGGTACAACGGAATACATTTTGAAACTAACGCGAAACAACAGCAAGGACACAAGGGCCAAATACCTGTGGAACAGGGCGAACGCCGGTCTCATCTGGACATATCACTTCTGTCTCCGACACCTCAAACTCTGGCTCCATTGGATACGTAGAGAAGGACTCCTTTTTGAACTGCTTGTCTAAATCGTCCGACCTGGGCGAGTAACGTGGGATCTCGGAATATGATTCATATAGCATACTAACAGCGTTATGCCATCCTTCATACCAGTCGCTTAGTCGCTTCAAGTGTATCTCAAAGTCAAAGTTAAAGTCGAAAGAAGTGGTTTTCGCCAGCCGTGGTGGGTTTTTGGCGAATATCACCCGCATTTGATCAATGGAGGCTTTAATACCTTTGAGTCTCCATTCTGTCTCATCAAGGCATGCCTTCCAAAGCTCTTGCTGTGGAGGGTCGTACACGATAAAATCCGGATCAAAGTCAATCCTCACACCGATAACACTCCAGGCCACGGCAATAAGATCAGACTCCCAACCCTTTAGGTCGCCGTTCGTGAGATCAGTTCGAATCCACCTATGAATACCTGGAACTCGATTCTTTTCTGCCGCTATTCTTTCGTATAGAGCCTCAAGGCCTGGCAACAATTGCACAGCTTGCGTATTGTCCCGGAATCCGTATGTATGAGCATCAGCTTGGCCGGCACCTTCGTCAGGAGGTTCGCGGTTCTCTTGGATCTGCCGAACGAGTTTACCGGCTCGAAAAAGTCGGCTGTAGAACCCTCTGAGTAAATACTCGAAGGTTATGTCTACATTCCGTACTCCATCTACGATTTCAGACGGATGGGTGTCTTTGTCGTTAGGCTTGTACGGGTATATCTTTCTGTATAGTCTTTCGGCATAATCTGTTGCGTGAGCGAACTTTTCTAAGGGCTTCCTCGCTGTTTGTAGGGCAAAGTAATCAATGTCTTCCGTCAGAATATTGACTGGCTTTATGTGGACCCTATTGTAACATACGTCTTAGATTTTAGCCAAATCTATTGAAATTTACCGAAGTATCAAATTTTTAATCTAGAACGAGATATATATATGTCAAACGAACTTACGGCGGATGCACAAGAAGGTCTTGGACTAACGAAGGACAACTTTGCGTCATCCATTTCGGGGAGAGCATAGCTAAAAAAAAGCCCAGGCGTATTCAATGACCATAGCGCTGCACGATAGGCCTAACATCCTATCGCAGGTTCTACAATTTACATGTAGTGGAAACAGTACTGGAAACTTAGGTTGCTTAACATACTCACTTGCGCAAGTTCTCCCCATATTCCTGAAATTGAGCTAATTGACACCAATACGATTTTTTTTCGCGTTTCAGTTTCAGTTATAAACTTAGAGCTCTCTTCGATACAATCGTAACTCTAATAGGCATGCATGGGACCATCTAAATATCAAGAATCCAATTATATAAATCCTAACTAGAAGATACTGCAACGATGCTGGCCTTGAGGATCGCGCGCGGCAGCCATCTCCTCCTCGAAGGAACATGCGGGTGTGTTAAGAAGATCAAAGTCGGTCCCTACATAAGCCGGAAGAGACCGTAACAGCCCATAGTTGAAACTCACACTCTCAGGCGGCTGTAGCTCACCTGATGCCTCGAACTGAAATTCGGGTATATTGAGTATCTCTGTCATAGTCTCAGGACCAGATTCTATATACTCAGGAACAACTAAAATTTTCTTTTGAAGCGTTTTCGGGACCTGAGAAACCCCTACGTTTTCATCGATATCGTCCTTAATATTTTCATCTTCGACACTCCCAGGAAGTGGAGGGATTGCGACATATGCTTCCCTTGCTCTCCTCACCCCCTCTCTAAACCCAGCAGCAATTTTTATTATATCCTCCATCAATTCTTTGATCTCCACTGCAATACCAAACTTAGGGCCCACCTTGAAGGTCTTTGTGAGTAAATTTTGCATGTAGTGGACCCCCGTGTCAAAAACTAAGAAATAAATATTGAGCTGCCTACTATTGTTTGCCCGCTTACCCTTGTCGTAGATAAAAAGTCCTCGATACTTGTAAATAGAGCCCCCAAAAAGCTTTGGGGCAACCCATGCACTCTCTTTCTCTTGACCTGCGACAAGATTGGGCCAATGGGTCAGCCCGATGTGGCTATCAGCCCAATCAAGAAAACCCCGGAATGTTCTTCGGACAGATAAGGATTCCTGTAGCATTAGGAAAATAGGGTAAAGCACCCGATTTACTGGTTCATCATCCCAATCAAAGCTGTTTTTCTCCGGAATTGTATGGTTTGCAAATCCAAGCGCCTTTAATGTCTGCGGCGCAGCCAGAGGGTCATCCTCTGCGATACTGTTGAGTTCGTTGACTTTATTTTCGAGATCCCCACGTAGAGTATCGAGCGTAAGCGGAATATTGGGTTTTTTACCAATAGTGCGATTTACATCCCATAACAGGGAGACATCACGCATGGTGTCTTGGAAGTGAACTATGCTAGCGGCATTGGCTTGGATGAAGGCGTCTAGTTCTGGGATAGAAATCTCAGCGGGTTCGGCTCGAACAACCCTAGGATCATATGTAACAGTAAGCAAAAACTTTGGAATAATATTTTACCATCCGAGAAAACTGGTAACATACAAAGATGCCTTTATATGAAGGAGCAGACACGCCCCCGTCAGGATGGACTTTGGGCCGAAGATCCTCATAGCTTGAGAAAAGGGTGGTGTTCCATCGCACAAGGCCCCGTTAGCTGAAATCGATCGCTACATTACATGCTGTATCCATGTTTACATGCATCTAATAGTCCTGCGTACATATTTCAGATACCTGCTCTAACTAGAGCCCACGTTCAGGTATTGAGGCAGTTATAGTAGGCCCTCCGTAGCTAGTTCGGAAGAATTATTGTGTTGGCTGTTGCAGTTCCCTATTAGGAAATTAGCGTGGAATCGCCCAATCCGGCCAGCTGATTGGCCAATGCGATTTTCTGGCGTCGACCAAAACTGCAGAAATGTTCAGCACGCGTCACAACCAGCAGCCAGATGACTGTATTTTATATCGGTTGGGGATATAACAGCTTCAAGAACTTCTCTTTTTTTTTCTCCTTTTCTTCTTCTCTTTTCTCCTTTTCTTTTATAGACAGCCGTAATTGCTATATTTCTATATAGCAGTTCCCTCAGAAAATACCACCAAACTGTCGCCGTTAAGAACGTATCCTCGTCTTCCGCTCAGCAGCTGCCGTTGGCTGTACCCCCCTGCACCACGTCCTGGTGCATGCGCCTTTCGCCGTGCCACACCTGCATTAACCACACCACCTCTACCAGCACTTCCTACTCGCGCTCTCCTCCATACACATCCGTCAATACAATCTTACCACCGACATATTCAACCAGACAACTGCATTCAGCTCTTCAGGATGCCGCCGAAGCAGGCCACATTGGGGTACGTGACCTCGGGACAGAGGACGTTAGGGTGGGAAGCTTGAGAACTCCTTCGCCACTCTAAGAGCTCGAGTTACACCAGGTTTATATCATATGGAGGCAATAAGCTTACTGTTTTTCGCTGAAATATAGTTCCTTCTTTAAGCTCCCACCCGGAACGAAGCCCCCAGTCAAAGAGCAGGCCAAGCTCTCATTCACAACGAAAGCGAAGAAGAAGACAGAAAATGATACCACTGAATCCTCACCGGCCGTTACCAAACCCGAAAAAAAGCAAAATGATGATGTTGAAATGACAGACGATACCGTACCGGAGAAAGATAGTAGTAGTGAAGTCGCAAAAACTTCAAGAAAGAGAAAATCTCCTGAACCGGAGACGGAAACCGCAAAATCGGCTGTACATGATGGGAATGTAGACGATGACGAACCTATTGTGAAACGGAAGAGGGGTAGAGCAACCAAAACAATAGAGTCCTCGCCGGAGCCTGAACCAGAGTCTGAAGCTATCGAAGAACCGACAGCCAAGAAGAGCAAGAAGGGAAGGAAGTCTAAGTCCGACGATCAAACCGAAAGCAAGAAGAAAACTTCTATGAGTCCTAAGTCGAAACGGAAATCTAAATCACCGTCACCTTCGGCTGCTGTTGATAAGCTCACACTCGAGCAAGAGGAAGACGCTGCAGCTTCAGCTTCGGACGCTGAAGCGCCTCTACGAGCGGACTCGGAGGACGAGGACCGATCTACCTTGGTCAAGAAAGCTGAACAAATCAAGCAGCTAGTTGGCTCGAAGAAACACCCGTACCCGGATTGGAAAGAAGGAGGGTCGGTTCCTTATGCAGCTCTCTGCAAAACGTTCGAACTGATCGACCAGACTAGAAAACGTCTAGAAATCACCGCGCATACAAGCCTCTTCCTACAACAAGTTCTCAGGTTGAGCCCCAAGGAATTTCTAACAGTGGTCCACCTCATGTTAAACAGGCTTGCAGCAGACTATATGGGCGTGGAACTCGGTATCGGCGAGTCTCTGATCATGAAAGCCATCTCAGAGTCTACAGGGCGAAGCATGGACAAACTCAAATCCATGCAGTCTGAAGTTGGTGATTTGGGCTTACTCGCATATCAGAGCCGAAACGCCCAACCAACATTATTCAAACCTCTACCATTAACTGTCGACAAGATATTTCAGGGCTTGTACAAAGTGGCAACGACTAAGGGAGATGGAGCCATGGGGCTTAAAGTCGCAGAAATCAAGAAGTTACTGGCAGCATGCCAAGGCGAGGAAGCCAAGTTTCTGGTGAGAGGATTAGAGGGGAAACTACGATTAGGACTTGCGGAAGCGACCGTTCTTCAAGCTACAGCTCAAGCCATGATTACACATGAGAAGACAAAAGAGGGAAAGATCGCGAAGGCATCGGATCTAGTAGCTGCGGAAGACGTTCTGAAGGAAGTTTTCAGCGGTCTACCTAGTTATGAAGTTGTCATCCCTGCGATGGTTGAACATGGTATTATGAATCTAAGGGACCACTGCACTATGCAACCAGGAGTACCACTGAAACCTATGCTTGCCAAACCGACGAAATCGATCTCGGAAGTCCTAGACCGATTTGAGGACAAAAAGTTCACCTGTGAGTTCAAGTACGACGGCGAGAGAGCACAAATTCACTATGTCAGCAAAACAACAACGGAGAAATACGCATCAACATCGGCCGATCCGAAGAAGGGTTTGGCTGCGATCTTCTCGAGAAACTCGGAGGACTTAAGCACAAAGTACCCAGACATTCTAGCCGTTCTAGATCAATGGGTGGCGGAGGGTACGACGAGTTTCATTCTTGACTGCGAGACAACTGCCGTAGACAAGGATACTGCCAAATTGTTACCGTTCCAAACCCTCCAGACTCGAAAGAGAAAGGACGTTGCCGTCGAGGATGTAACAGTCAAGGTCTGTGTATATGCATTTGATTTATTATTCTTGAACGGCGAAGCCCTCGTGCATAAGTCTTTGACGGAACGACGTCTGGCTATGAGGAAGGCATTCAACGAAGTAAAGGGCGAATTCGCGTATGCGCGATTTTCAAATACCGATCAAGTCGATGAGATTCAATCGCTCCTGGAAGAGAGTGTGAAGAGTCAGTGCGAAGGTCTAATGGTCAAGATGCTTGACGGTGAAGAAAGTTACTATACACCAAGTAAACGAAGTCATAATTGGCTCAAGGTCAGTTTCCCAAATTCTCCCAAATATTCGCCACAAAAAACTAACCACAATCCCCATTGTTCTAGATCAAAAAGGACTATCTCGCTGGCACGGGCGATTCTCTTGATCTAGTCGTTCTCGGCGCCTACCATGGCAAAGGCAAACGTACCTCCGTTTATGGCGCTTTCCTCTTAGCTTGCTATAATCCTTCCAGCGAGCAGTATGAAACGATCTGCAACATCGGAACCGGTTTCTCTGATGAAGTTCTTGCAAATCTCCACAAACAACTTGAACCGCATATTATCGCCAAACCCAAACCATATTACTCACACTCTACGGTTGCAAAGGATCAACCGGATGTATGGTTTGAGCCCCAAGTCGTCTGGGAGGTCCTTTGCGCCGATCTTACATTGAGTCCGAGGTATAAGGCTGCCGCCGACAGCGTCGATGCTAACGGCAAGGGAGTCAGTTTGCGATTCCCCAGGTATATTCGAGATAGAGACGATAAGAAACCGGATGCGGCTACAACCGCAAGACAGGTGGCGGAGATGTATAGGGCGCAGGATAGTGTTTCCGGGTCCGCGAAGAAAGGTGGTGTGGACGATGATTGGGAGTATTAGTTTTGCCAGCGGGCTCAAGAGATCCTTTTGGAAAAGGCTTGTTTTCGGGACAGCGATGAAAAAAAGAGCGTGTAAAGTCGCTGATCGCACCTTCGCAAGGAAGGCGGGACGTCGGACTGCAGGAATCCTGCAGAGTATACCGTGTTAATTTCCTACTCTACATACATACAGACATTTTAGGGGGATACCAGTTAGTGCTGCGGGTTAGGAAGGATCTAGTTTCGTTTTGCTCTGAGTAGCGAGGATACGAAATTCATTTTTTTGATTATTTGGCGATTTCGTCGTTGCCACTCATTCCCCACTTATTCCACACTTATTCCTTTTACCCTTGAGTTCGCCTTGTAACATAGAAGCCAATAGCTAAAAAAGCTCCTCGTGTGGGAAAAAAGGCATAAGCCCTACCGGATTCTTCCGATTACACCTTTAGCAATAATTAACGGAAATAAAACGACAATGTAGCATCCGATTTAAAATTTTACAACATACCAAAACAGAAATATTTCCCTGACCTTTCCTCACCACCGTCCCCATGAGTCGCCATGAATCATGCATGTTGCTTCCTCCAGAAACCATGTATACCAACATCGATCTGTAAAGCAGTGGGTTCCTGAGCAATGGTGCAGGTACATTACACAAATAAATATATCCTAGAACAGCTAGCTCTTTAGGAAACACAAAATCTACAAGCAATGATTGGAGAAGAAGGCAAGAAAGGAATGACCAATTCTAAGTAATATACCTTCGGGAATATAGGGTCCAAAATAAAACGCCACCGTATCCGCATCCAACATACATATGCATATACAACGGGATCTTTTGACGAATGAAGGGGCGAGTACTCCATATTCTTTTACTGCAGCTATCAGGGGATGGTGCCGGTGAAAGCCATCCAAGCGGGTCCCGTCAAACTGCAAGGTTGGTTTAGTTAAGGTTGGCGAAAGGGGCGGCGGCGAACTGTCAGTCTCATTTTACAACCGGCCGTTATGCATGCGAAATTCAATGTAAAGTTAGTTAGTTAGTAATATAATGAGGCATATAGTTTACTTTTGCGTTCTAATATGGTAGTAGCTGCGGCGGCGGCGGCAAAGAAAGCTAGAGGTTACGAATGCAATTGGTTGGTAATAGGTATGATAGAGGCAATCGAGAACTTAGCTAGCTCTCGATATTCTTTGATGACAAATTCATGAAGTTTGCGGGGTAGGGGGGTGTTCTCGCCGTTTATCATAGTGCAATAGTCATGATAAAGGAGGTCCAAGCAGCGAGCCTACAAGGCTCACGGGGGCCAATACAGCTTTGTGCGATGTAAAGAATGCCAGCTTTTCCAGGTGCATACGTCCTGCTGGCAGCCATATCAAAAATGGTATATGATTTGCGCTTGCTTAATAACCTGGGTATAGCGGATGAAAAAAATATTGGGGGAGGATGGACCCACATCAAGGCTGGAAAAGAGATAAAAAGTTTTTCCCTAGGCAAATCAAGGAAAACCCACGTTGTTGAGTCTTGGCTATCGTGAGCAGGCTATTGTTTAGAACCCCCTTTCTAGAGAATGACAGATTCTCGAGTTAGAAGTACCTCCCCGAGGAGGTACTTCTTTCCAAATATTTGTCTCCCCGGAGCCAACAGGGGTAGTTCAGGGTAAAGAAGATCATTGAGGGCGTATTACTTGAATAAAGGCATCTGTCAACTAGGAGCTAGTTGGAAGGAAACGGGAGTACCTGAATTCCTATTCCTGGGTTGGCGCAGCTTTAGAGGATGTAGGAAGGGATTGAGAATGGAAATGCGTCCCGCGGTTTGAGACAGCACTAGCCATCGTTGAGAGGCATGGGGTATGATGATTTGACATGTCTTTCAGTCAATATTATCGTCATGATATTAGAGCTTGTCACGACACCGACGAACAGAGCTGTACTATAATGCCGAGCCATGACTGCATCGGGTTTATGAGGGTTAAGCGTCGCTGCGGCTGTACATACTGCATAATTGGGGGTTATATGAATCGATGGATACTATTGGACGTATCCATATTGGAATGCGGACAAGGAACCCGGCTCGCCCATCATAATAGAAGTCAGGGCGAAGTTTTCCCAGGAGAATGGTTAACGGGTTTGTGCCCTCCATCGCCATGTCGGAAGATGTTGAGTTAATCGGTTAGGTGCATCTGCATCTGCATTGAAGCGGACCTCTCAGGATCCACCTTAAGTGGTCTTCAGGTGAGTTCTACAGAGACATAAGTGAGAATGGAGGGTAATAGTTAGCTGAAGGGAGCCTTGGTAGTGGAGATAGTCCCCGGAAAGTAGGGACCGGTGAGAAGCCTATTTGCTGGAAGGGAAGACCAACCTGCAACCTCGAGATTTGCTTTTCTCAATTGGGAATCGTGCATATAGCAAGATATCCTGTAGACTCACGCTTGCAGTGGACTCTACACCCAAAGCATGGTTGATTGCATGGACATTGCATGCGCATGCCACTATTGGACTATTGGACTATGTTTGATAATTAATGATCCTGCCAGTAAAGCCTGGAGGTATCACAAGATATCGCGCACTAGCAGAAGCCGCCTCGACGAAATTTAGAAATCCTTGGCGACAAAAATGTACCCCTTCGGTAGGAGGTTGAGAGACGCTACCTTCGTTCCGTTAAAAAATATCCCCCAACGTTTAATTTGGATCCGGTTTTCCACAATCGTCACTATGATGATAACAACTGCTTAGCTTCGTTAGCGAGCGAACTGTACAGTGTGTGGTGTTGCAACTTGGAGAAGTCTTCAGCCCTACACAGCGAGCCAATCAGAGATGCCGCGACATATCCATAAGGCATCCAATGATCCCTGCAAATATGCAGCTCAGCCTCGCGTCGTTTCAATGGCCCAAAGAAAGAATAGAAACAGAAGCCCTCTTTTTTGCTGTGGGAAGCACCCAATATCCTCCTTACACAGTAAAAAGCCAGGTTATCCGGTATGGGAGAGGTAACAGGCCGGTTCGTGGGCGCACGCACTCGATCACAAGGATGGTCCTCCGACGGAGCCATTCCTTTCTAAGGCCATTACCCGTCCGCCAATGCGAGGTTCAAAGACGACTGCGACCTTTCAGTGCACACGCAGGTATCATTCAGCTGCAGTCTATAGAAGGAATGACTAACCCAAAGCTTCCCTTCGGCAATTCCGTATGCGCGAGAGAAGCCGCCGTCGCAATTATAGAGTTCGAAAGGCTCTCTTAGAGAACTTCAAAATAAAGACGTTTCAAGTATTTCTAAACGTGTTCAGACATTGTGAATTGGGAAAAACCGAGATAGCTGCGGCTGTTGATAGTGTCGAACTTCGGAATTTAGTGTGGGGCAATCGCAATCGCGAGGCACATTCCCTCTTGAGCCGATTAGTTAGGCCCCTTTGATAACTTGTAGCAATATCATCGCCGAAATGCAGTCTTTGAGGCCTATCTCCAGGATCATGTTCTTGATTTATCGCAAATCGGTTCTTTGATACCTCCCCAATCTCAACGTTTTCGATAAGCCCTCGGTTGAAACTCCAACAGCGACAAGGGTAGCAGCTAGGCAGGACATAGAACCAGGGGTGCCAGAAATTCGATGAAACACACAGCTTTGGGTCCTTGAATGCCCTCAGGCCACTCAGGCTTGAATTTTTGCGACTAAATCTTCTAAAGCCCTATATTATCGACATGACATACACAGTCAGCATTTGGGACATGGAGTCTTCCTTCGCAATTTTCATCTGTTAAGCCTTCAGCTAGCTTACTTGGCAGAGCTCTAATACACGTACCATGATAAATTATGTCCCGCAAAACCATGTTTAACTCGTGCAGCCGCTGAGCTCTGACTGAATACCCAGCTGCTTTGTACGTGTTCGGCGTGCACGAGACAACTCATGGACATGGACTGGATAAATTAGCTAATCGGCCATCACTGCAAGAGTCAGTGATCATGATCACTGCAGCTTGTTTGCCTAGATGGTTAGACATACCGTCGAGTGAATCAAAGCAGGGTTTCGTTTCCAGGTTTCCGGGCCGTAGGAAATATCGGTACACCGTTGGACGGGATGATCTCCCCCCATTCGACAAACGCGGTCAAAGTGATTGTCCGAGCCCACCCTCGTCATTGCTGCGGCACTGAGGCTATGGGGAGCCGCATCCAATGTTAACCGTAGCTTGGAATGTCGATACGACTTTGCCGCAGATCCATTTGCAATTATTTTCCACCAAATTTCCCTTTAGGCTTTTGAGATTGGGTATGAAAAAAAACAATGCGGCCTCCGCGGGAAAGTTTTCCCTTTTTTGTTTTGGCTGTACAACGTTGGATCCATGGAAAGCGCGGGAAGACCGACTCCACGAGAAATTACTTTTGAAGCATATTCATCGAGCACCCAAGTAATACGATACTTTACAGTAGAAAATGTAGCTGCGTAGGCGCCACTGAGGCGTGGGTATCTACTTTTCGCCCCGCTAGCTATCACTATGATTCACAGGATCTATCTATACAAAATGGCTATGCGCTTATGTAGACACCTAGGTCTGCGTCTTCGATGTTAAACTTCCTGTAGGTGCCTATTTCTCTGGTAACACAGATTTACAAAACTTGCAACAGATATTTGGGTAGAGATCCTACTGGTGGCATTAGGCAAGATGTTAGCAGGAAGGGAATTTTCATCGAGCGGAAATAGTCCCTAATTGGATAACATATCTCGATAGATGCTACAAAGGTCTTGTTTCCCGGAATCAAAATCGCGAAATGAACTCTATCGGTATGCACATTCGCTTCGACTTCGACCGACTAATGCCGTGGAGCTCTGAAACTCGGGTATGCAGACATATATTTTTTTTCGGCATCCCGATTGCGACAAATTTGGGAATAACCATCGGGAGCTTTCGGAAGAATGCTGGGCGAAGTATAAACACCCCTAGGTAAAGAGGTTACACGATCCTGATTTTGGTAATCGTACACATGCACTATGTAGACGTCAGTGCTCTCCGACAAGAGTTTTTTTTCGCCATCGCTCGTGGGCATGGCTTTCCAAGCAATGCTGCAGTAACCTAAGAGCTCGCAACGATCGAATTAGGAATATAGAATAGGCGAGATCGAAAGCCACAGGCAAGTGGCCGGTATCTGCATCACGTATCGGTACGTCGAAGAGCTTTGCCTGCAGTTATTATGCAGCCCTATGCTATGCTGCAAGGCGGTCTGCAGCGCTGTAACCGTAACCCTGGCTCTCACCCCCCAAGTTTTTCTGACGTATGCGAAAAAAAAAACTAAATCATTTCGCTGATGGCCAAGGCCTTCCAAGTTATCATGACTGTAAGTGAAGTAATTCAAGTTTTCGTTTGTGACAATCAATTGTATTGCTTCGTTTTGTCGGTAACGCAACCCGAGGCCGATAGGAAGGCACCGCTAACGATCTCGGCATCAAAACTGCAGTGAGGCACAATATCGGCCTGAGTTCGACTGCTACGTCGCGGTAACGTATAACTTCACTATCTGGGGTAAGGTCACAAGTTAAGATGCAAATACGGAATACCGCTTACCAATTACTCACTCGACTTCCTAGGCCACCACCAATGATGCCGTTGTAAAAAAGCCGTTGACGTAGTTCCGACTCGCTGCCTTCACCGTATGCATTACAACAATGCGCAGTATAGTGCTCTGTACTTCAGCATGCACCGAAAACCACTAAAAGATGAGAAGAGGCGTTGATGCTTGAATTTGGGGATCGTTTATCCCGAAATGGTTCTTCAGGATGGCATACACCAGATATGGCAGTCTGAGCTTCGGTAGGAAACGCCAAGAGAATAGAATTTCCAGAAGCTTGCCAACTTCCAGGGATGCTTCCAATTGGATGTTAACCGAGCAGAGATGCTATTTCAAGAAACAGGGCCTTTCGCTGGAGGGAACCGAGATAGTGGCTATGTCCCCTCAATTAATGTCTGTTCTTGTAGGTAGTAACACTGTCAAGTTAGCGTAGCTATTTCGATATCACGTTGTCTTGCAGCAATTTCCAAATCAAAGCAAGCCCTTCTTTGACTAGGCCCGTTAGCCTGATAGGTTTTCTTTGGTATCGTCAAAGAGAGAAAGGGAGGTTGAATCCTTGAGGGTTTTCTTGGCCAAGTCTAAATTCTGGAAACGAACAAGCAGGCAAAGAAAAGGAGTGTGTCCCAGCCCCACGCAAAGTCAGCTCGGTGGTTGGTTCACTCACCGGCTTGGTCTTATTGTGGGATGATGAAAAAAGGTCGGTAGCTTACTATCGAGACCAACATGAGCTGAACAGTGGGTGTACCCGCTCGCCTGCATGGACCGAACGATGGGACTCCTGGCCATGATAGGCTTCAGCCAAATTAAAACCTAGAAATCGAAAATATCCTTCCCGGGGACGTCGACCTCGAGTCTGCGCTTTGACAGATTAGGACAAGATGGAGGTATGGCTCACCAGATCTATCACAACAGCGCTCTAACCTGGACTGGATTCATCTGCAGGTGTCTGTGTATGTGTCTGTGTATGTGTATGTGTGTATGTGTATATGTGTATACATGTATGTAGCTCTCCAAGAGTAGCTACAGACGACATGTAATGAAGTATGTATGTAAACATTCTTGATCTTGTGCATGCTCATGCTCATGCTCACCCGAGCTATCCCCCCAGCACATGACAGAGACGACGACGACGACGACGATTCCTAGCAATTATTAGCGTAGCATAGCAAAAGAGGGATAGGAATAAGAGGTATAATGGAAGTACTTACCTACTTACTACTCACTTACTTGCACACATATGTTTTTGTTTTTTGTTTTTTGTTTTTTCAGCCCCTCCATGATCAGGGTTCTGATCATGTTGGTGATACCCAGAGCAAAATGCGCCTAACGGTCATTGTTGCGACCGAAGAAAAGTCGCTCCTCCACTCCGCCTCAGTCCCTATTAGCCTTCCCACTATCAACCACCGGCCAGTCAGATACAGTGGCCGCCCATTTCCCACCCACGTTTGGCATGGTCTCCCGGCCTAGCCTATGAGGATTATTTTGCTCAATATCGTCGGCGTTCCACTTTACCGCATTTGTAGGACAAGCTGATGGAGTTTGTACCTTGCGGCAGAGGTACAAGCTTGCAAGCTTGCGCTCTTCCTCTGCCTGTATGTCATCTCTATGAAAACGGTTCCTGGATTTCCACGCCGGTGCCCCATCATATCTCGGAAACAACCCTGCAGCCCTTTCCTTTCCTTTCTTTCCTTTTTTTGGTCCTCCTCCTCCCTCTTCTCAGACCTGGGCGGCGGGCATTTTCTTTCTTTCTTTTTTTTTTGGATCTTTGTTTTTTTTGTTCCCTGCAACTGGCTTGCACGCTTCCTGTAAACGGTAGCCCTGGAATAGCCTGGAAAAAGGAAGTCCAGAGTATCCTAGTGCAGTGGGAGATGTCAAAGATGGATCGGGGCGTCCAACGGACGGACACTCTCTCCATGTTTGGCGATGATAATTCGCAATGGCTTAGCATCTCTTGCTCTCCACGCGAGAGCAGAAAGCAGCTTAGAGGTCTCTCAATGACCACCGTTCAACCACACACACTATTACTGGAATTGGAACGACATGCTCCCGACAGTTTGGGATGGTAGGATTCGATTTGATTCTTTGTATAAGTATGATTCAACCTCCCGCCGTTTCATATCCTTCCCGGCACATCATCACCAACAACAACGACTTTACACAATTAATTCAACTTCAAAGACACCTTTTCCTTCGATTCACCTTTGTTCGCTATCATTCGACAATTATATTAATCAATCCATTCGTTTCGGATCAATTATATTTATCCTTTTTCTGTCTTGCAAGCTTGAGCTCGTTATATTCATTTCTATATAAATATCCCTTCTACCTTCTTCTTCTCCTTCGAACCACTCCTTCGACTTCGCTCGACCGATCTATATCTACGACTAAAAAAACCCATTTAATTGATACCAACCAGTCTATAAAACAATCATCGAGCCTAGCAAGCCCTAGATAGCTCTAGCGTTTTATATACAACAACCACAACCAATTCCCTTTCGGAACACCAAGAATTATTTTAGAGGGTTCCAAAGCAAAATCACATCAAGATGTGCAAGCGTGTTACTGAGAAATACTCCGTTTGCAAGTGCGTCTACTATCAGGTATGTAATTGATCGAAAGGATCCAAAACTAAACCCGCAAAACAATATCTATCATATCGATCATTTACTAACATGTACACTGAATAACAATAGCACGGTGTTGACGCCTGCGCATCAAAGCATATGGGAGGCCACGTTATAGAAGAGAAGGTTGTCCTTGTTGGATATGCCTGCCCGTCACATATGCCTCCGCCGGGAGGTCGTGTTGGAGTCTTGCCCAGCCCTACCTGCGAGAGTTGGAAATAAGTCGATCGCATCAAGTCGAAGATTAATATCAAAAAACTGCGACCCTTCGGAAACGACATTTGACGACAGCAAAAAGTCCTCCTTCAAAATTGATTCGAATTGTACATATTTCCCATGATTCCGACTAAACAAAAAGACATAAAAAAAAGAAACAGAACAACAAACCTAACGGCCGCATGAAACGATTTTATCAGCTCTTGCTTTCCCATTCGAATTAACGACTTTGAGGAACGAAGGATGTCCAAAACTATTCTCTCGATTTTGATAGCGCTTTTCCAGCGAGCGAGTCAGCGATCTCTTCCAACCAATCAAACCTACCAAAAACACAAAAAAAGAAATCAGCATATCTTTTCCCTTTTTTATTATTTCGAGCGACCTATACCACCAGCATTGCTTGGAGTTCAATTGGGGTTTCTTTCTTATTTCCCTTTGGCACTTTAATAAACATCTCTGCATAAATGGGTTCAGAGGATCAGAACTCTGAATCCATTGGGAGTTTTTCCGGCGCAATTGGTCAATTAATTTTTATTTTTTCTTCCAACATCTCTACTTCCAAGTCATTTTCATTTCCTTGTTTTTCTTTCCGTTTTTTCTTTCGGGTTCTGGGGTTCATTCTCATTACACTTCATACACGGGATTCTCTGTTTGACTTCAATTTGCTCTTTTACTGCTTTGTTACTACCGTTTGGGTTAATTTTCTTTGGTTTCAGTTGTCCATCTTTTTTCAATTTCAGCCGGGCTTCATCATATTCCTGTTTCCTTTGCGTTGCTACAGCATTTCCATCGCCTTGACTTTAGCTATTTTCTTTCTTTCTTCGTTTCTTAAGATCTTACAAGGACGGGTTCCCACAAAGCATCATTTCGTTTGTATCATATCATACTACTTCACTACAAATCCCCTAGATCCGAATAATCCATCAAAAGAAATGAAATACCAAGTTCTATTTAAAAAACCATTGACTATCCCTATAACTATCTTAAGATCTCTCTGACATGTTGTGAGTGTTCAGTTCAATTGATCCATCAATCCATCAATCAATCGAATCAAAAGAGGAACTATAGGAAAAAGACCCATGCGCTTTCGATACGGGACTTTTTTGGCCGGCCGAGGCCCACCCCCATGTCCTGCTAAGCTAAGCTAAACATTCTAAACTGGGGTTATGATTGTGATCATGAGGTTACGAAAATTCCGGAATTTCCACAGTCATGTCCAAGCCATGCTAAGCTGTAGCACCTCAAGGGAACCTTCGGGATGACTGTCATGTGTTACGGAGCATAATCACAAAGCAAAAAAAATAATCAAACTAAAAACCAAAAACTACCGTGATGGAAATAGAACTAAAAGGGAAAGAAGGAAAGATGGAGAGAGACACAGAGAAAGGAAAAAAGGAAAGAAAAACGAAGGGAACAGGATCCCAGATCAGGCCGAACCCATGCATACCAAACCATAGAAACAGATGAACCAGCTTGTACTGTGGCTAAGAGCCATACAAAGCTTCAGCGGCTGTTCGACTTCGTCACGGCCGGACAAGCATAGTTCCAGTCATAGCCAAAGCTAGTTCAAGGATGTCAGGCAGCTACTTCGTCGTGTTCGCGACGCACAAGTTCGAGGCATCCCGTGGGATATGACATCGATAGTAGTCGATGCCTTGGTTTCAAAGCCCTCATTATCGTCGCAAAACTACCAGCGCCTAGACTTTTTTTCTGTCGAATATAGCTTGGGCTATTCCTTCACATGACTTTTTTTTTAAAAAAAAATCTATAACATGTATATCGTGTCAGTGTACCTGTAACAGGTACGACATACACATGCAGGTATGTGCGTACGTACATATGGATATCAATTCAAGGCATCATGTACCGAGGACAGCAATAAGCCTCATTGAACATTGTCGAAGTTGCGTGTGCTGCTGCTACTACTCTTGCTGCTCATTTTCGCTTTATCGCTCATGCACGTATGACTACGAATTCTCCGAAGCTCGAGAGAGAGAGACCGAAACTGTGACGGAGAGCAAGTCTGCAGTGATAGCCAGCTTAGGAATTCGAGTCTCGAACATTTGAGCAAGGATCAAGGCTACGTCTGGTTGGATGAAAGATTGCGTTGCATCTCCCCCACAACCTCAACAAAATAGTCGACTCTTCAAACCTTGACCGGCTCCACCCACATGATGATGACGACTAATCGCTGCCGGCCTTGCCGTTAACACTTACAGAAGCAAGTTGTAGGCGAACTCGAAACATTTCTTTGACAGCGGGTGGTCTTAGTCAGTCAGTCAGTAAGTCCTTGCAATGTTCCTCGCTATAATCCTGTTTGGATGCAACCTCTCTCTCCTCTCCCTCATCCTCGCCTACCCGAACGAGGAACTAGTTTCCCCAGGCCAAGCAAAACTTGCTTGCGTCGCTTTTGGTTCTATTTCTCACAAGATGTACTTACGGGCAGAGTGCAAGTCTGCAAACGGAGTACTTTGGTTGATGGAATACTTAATTATAACCAAAACCAAAAGCTCAGGATTTAGGCAGTCAACCAACCTGATTTCGAGGCGTCGTGTTCGCGGTATTCTGGACACAGAAGGAAAAACGCTCGTTTCGGGCTTGCGTTATAGGTAGCTATTCTATTAGGCCCAGAACCATCTCTATGTCGAAATCAGAGGTTGCAACCGGCAGTGCATGCTCTCATCGTGATCTCGAGGACGAAGAAGGCAATTGACCAACAATGCGCCTAACAACTTTGTTACATTGTTCAAGACTCCGAGATCCCATACGGCACGAGAAGCCAAAAAAAAAAGTGAGCCTAGGCCATCAACCATAGCCATGAAGACAGAATGAATTGGCTGGTCTTTCGCCGAATCAGGCCCCATTGGCAAAACGGTACCTTGCAGGAGGAAACTGTCAAACATACTTTGAATGACCTGGATATCAGAGAAACGATAATCTCTTGTCCTACATGTCATCAAGCTCCAGTCATCGAGCGAAAATGTCCTATTTCTCCACATCAAACATACATACTATAAAGGGTGGTCCCTGCTTTGGACCCAAGGGTATGGATGGGTTGCAAGTAGGATCATGGCCGTATCGAAACGACCATGCCAAATCTCAGCTGCGGATGGCCACATAACTGACAGGGAAAGGTTATCTCAAGTCGGCGATCTTCCAGTTTGGCGGATAGGACAAGAAAGTGAGGCTCATTGACTGATGTTTGGTAGCTCAAGTTACGTTTTCCCTCCCCTTTGCTAAGGAGCTTCCGGTGATCTACCCAGGGGAGGCTCCTAAGTGCCGTCCGGGAAGCTAGGGAGGTCTTCTCAGGTCGTAATTGGCCTGTTTTACTCTATTTTTACTATTTACAGAGTTTCATACCGAAATAGGTATGGTAGTAAAACCCTCGATTCCAGGATAGCCGGGTACTGCGCCTCCACCCGGTGAACCCTTGGTCAAGGCAGAGCTATACACACCCAAATGGAGCCTCGGGAGGGACCCAGCTGATGATTGGATATAATGATTTGAAATTTCGTTGGATTGCGAGGTGCTGAAAAGGCAGACTTTCCTTCGCGAACCACTTTTTTTGTATCAAGGACGAAACCGCTTCAAAAACAAAAAAAATGTTTACCCAAAACGACAGTCGCATGTGTCGTCACAGGCCCACGCGGAATCGGGAGGGTCCCTTAAATGAAAAAAAGATACGTAACGAGAAAGATGCTGACCAAAGTGAATGATAAATGGGACGCAAAGGTAGCTTTTTGTTTACTCCTCTCATCAACATTGCGACAACTGTGGAGCACGCATCTCGAAAGAGGATTCAAAAGCTACATACAACTCTGGCCTGGCCAAGCCGAAGACCTTTTGGCCCTCGATATCTTTCTTACTCATCATGCATCATTCTGTGGACGATCACCAAAAAAGTAGGCATGTAAGCCTCTTCTTCTATCCCCTTCCAAACCCCCCCTCCCCTGTAGGCTGGGCTAGCTTGTGATACATTACTCAAAAATAAAAGTCGCAAAAGACTCAAAAAAAAGGCCGAACACCATGACACACGTTTGATATGCTTTTCCGCAGGGCAAAACGAGGATTCGCTGATACGAAATAAATGAATGAGGCATTGTCGAGTAATCGGATCCTGCCTGCAATGCCGCAAACAGCCGTTTTTTTTCTGTTCTTCGAATGGGAGGTCTAGGGTTACCCCCGGATGGGACTCACCGGTAAATATGTATTTGTCCGGGGGGATACCTTTTCGCTCGATCAGCTTACTTTCTCCTGGTTCGACTCACTTTCGCTTGGCTTGGTTCCGACTCGCGCTCTTAATGATTAATTAAGCTTCATTGTTCCGCCAAAATGAATCGCAAATGTTTTCTCGATCATACACGCCTTGCTTATAATAGATTGTTACATAATAGCTTGTGCGTTCTTCTTTTTCTTCTCCTTCTCCTTTTTCTCTTCAATCTCTTGCAAATTTAGAATCAAGATACCCCGCCTTGCTCCTCCTCAGTCACCGGCTTGCTGACTAGAAAAGACAACCTCAACACCAGAAACAATAGTTCGATATGGGAATACACAAACCCCGAAACACCACTTCACGGACTGGGAGCAACAATAAGAAGAAGAAAAATACGGATGACAAAAATGGAAACGAAGGAAACGAAGGAAACGAAGGAAACAAATAGTATGTATATTTCTCTAAAAAAAGGTGGCGACCTCGACCCCTCCGCGCCCCACTTGTGAAAGATCCCGCACGCTCCGATGCAATTACTATCAAAGCTGCTTATCCGTCAGCACCCCGAACAGCTCCGATTACCCCCACCCTTTGCTCTTGCTTAGCTTACTGGAATACCGAATTCTCCTCAATACTTCTGCTGGCAACCCAGCTTACTCTCTTTTGCCTCGCTATTATTGCCCCCTGTTGCCCCCCAGGCCCTTCTTTGTGGGCCGTGGGGTGAACGAAACCATTTCTTCTGATATGTTGAGGGACTATACGGTTCCTATTCTGTTCGATGAGTCGGTGTACCGTTGGTAGTCCACAGACTGCAACCTTTTTGTTCTTCCCAATACCGACGAAACCTTCCATGAACCAAACCCCTTTCTGGGCGAAGTACTCCGCGATATTAGTGTCGTGGAACCAAATCGCCAAAGTCGACGGCCCGAACCACCTAATCTTACGAATCCTGTATGGTTCCTGAACGGACTCACCATCCTCGTTGGCACCGTAGCTCATAATGTTTAGTTGTTCGAGCTTACGCTTAAGGTTAACGTCGTCTGGAACTGTATTTTCAAGGATATACGGATTCCAGATATCACGGACGACGATACCGCCCCATTTTTCGTTGAGACGGATGCCTTCGCCAATATTGAGGAGCCAGTCAAGATTTTCGGTTGCGATCCAACGGTGGGTGTTGGTTTTGAAGTTTATATTTACACCTCGCTCGGTCCAGGAGAACCATGAGCCGAGCTCTACTCCCTTGGTGGCCTCGTTGGATTGGAGGGCCGCGGTGAAGATCGACTTGGCCTCCTCGATGAGCTTGGGTTTATTAGCCGTGGCAGTATAATTCGCACGAAGGCGGACCATGTTTAGTTTGTTGCTATGAGGGAGATGATTCAAGGTTATATGCACGTAAGCACTTTCCCCCTCATCAGCCGAATTTGAGAATGCGAGTTCCTTAGTAATGGTCTTTTCTTGAACAGCAGGCTTTGTTTGTTCAACAGGAGACTGTGCAGGAATGGATGTCGTCGCTTGTTGTCCTTTATTAAGCTTTTGAGGCAAGGTTTCCTGGGTCTTGACGGTTTGGCCGCCCTTTTCTTTGTTACTACGTTCGAGGGCCACCGTCGCTATGTTTGCTTGTGTTTGCGTCGTCTTGGGAGGGATTGGATCGTTAGTACTCCCGTTCACGATCAATGCCCTTCCAGGCCCCCCTTGATGTTGCTGTTTATTCGCAACCTTCGGAACAGATTGCTTTCGCCTCATCTGCGATGACGGTCCATCATACTTCTCCCGATATTGCTGCTGCTGCTGAACAGTATCAGGATGTGGAATAGTTCGCACGACCATACTGTCTACAGTTTCAAATCCGTAATGACACTGTCCCGGTGTCTCAGTTCTTGAAACGTCGAGCGAAGGGATCGATACAGCAAAAGGAAAGGAGTTTGGAGAAGCTCCTGACGATGATAGAGATGAAGACGAAGGGTGTGATAATGAAGAAGATGAGGGGGAGGAAGAGATAAAAGAGCTTGTGTAGTCGCCACAACTACCACCACTGCTGCTGCTGCTAATACGGTCTGGACTGATCGTTTCCCTAGATCTGTTGTAGTGGTTTGTGGGAGTGCTTGAGAAGGGGTTTGTGTCGGGGCTGCTGGGGATTAAGTATTCTTCTGGGAGAGTTTCTGGAATATTGAAGTAGGGATACTGCTCTGGTGGATGCTGGTAGCCGTGGTGGGGGTGTGAGTATGGAAGTAGGTGCTGATGTTGATGTTGGTGTAGATGATGCTGATGAGGTGGAGGAGGATATGGATGATATTGACCGTAGTAAAGATATGGTTCAAACATTGGCTGGCCGAAGATATCGAAAGCAGGAAGAGAGAAACGTCGTCCGGATGGTGAGTACTTCATCTTTCCTGATCCTTCTAATCTCTTCTCTAGGAATCCCTTCCTCTTTGAATGGAAGAGAGAGAAAAACAAAAAAACGAAATAAAAAAAGGAGTGAAAGCTTAAAAAACCTGGATGTTTTAAGTATCTACCGGGATACTTCTCTTTACAAACTTGATAATGCGGAAGGAACCAAGCGGGACAAGCTTATAAGGCAAACGAATCGCTGCAGGGGAAATGATGCTATTCACGATGTTGAGTATAACGACCCCAAGAAACAACCGCAATAAGAGATAAGGGAATACTTTTTCTTGACGACAAAGCTATGAAAGATCAGGAACTATTGTATAATATCGTCTACTAAACCGAAAACTATAGCAAGTAAGGGAAAGGAAATATGCGTAAGTACCTAGAATGGAGAAAAGTGGAGTAGGACGTCCGAATACAGTAGACGAAGGAAAGAAGTAAGAGAAGAAAAATAACCCGTGCTTAGAATCAAGACATGAGAATGGAAGGAGACCTAGACAGATAAATCGAGGGAAGGGGGAATGGAGGGATGTAAATATCCCCGAACCTTCTATAGACCCGCCGACATTACACCACACCGTCTACACGTCAACGACTAATACATCCCCACCACAGCTTAATTAACAGCACCCATCGGATAATCAATTGATGGTCTACATCATGTACACCTAAATTCAGGCATCTTGGGGAATTAAAAATGCACAGCACATTTCTTCCAACGCAAGAACGATGTTGTAGAACAAGTTTTGAATAACTTTTTGTTGGATTTTGTCCCCCCTTCCTGCTTCTCTTCTCCGTTTTCTTTGTTGTGCCGCCGTAACATGAGGGTAACAATGTTGATCTATGGATCTCTACAAGATCCACTAATATATTCTTTGTTTTTTTCTCTTCACTTCTTTTCTTTTCTTTTCTTTTCTTTTCTTTTCTTTTCTTTTCTTTTTTTAATTTATAAAAGTGAAGCCACCCTGACCAAAATAAGAAAAACAGGGGGACGTTGATGGGAGGGTGCATATGTCAGAGTTTGCTGCAAAAAAAAAATGCGGTCTGAATCGTTCCCGTTCTTTCATCTAGGAGAGTTTTTTGCTAAATTCTTAACACCACGATGTTTGAAATTCTTTCGTCTATGGGTTTCATGGTTTGATGGTATCAGATCTGCAGGGCTCACCCGTTATCTACTTAGTTATTCATCTTCTGTTCCTTATTTTCTTTCCACCAGTGTGGTTCCAACGTTAACATGCATTCTCATAGCCTATAACATATAAGATATTTGAAACCTCCATATAAGTACATAGATAGATGTAAACCCGAGAACTGATGATCCCCCGGGACAATCGTAGTATTGAGGTATGTATATATAGTATTATAATAAAAAATCTTCAAAGATTATAGAAAAGGGAATAACAAGACTTAAGAGGCAAAAGATTTGGCGTAGCGCTGAGAAAAAGAATGTAGACTTTCATCGCCTTTGCATGCAGGACAAAAAGAAGAACGCTGCGAACGTTACTCTGAACACCACCACTGCCACCAAAAAAAATATCATACAACTCCCTAAAACTCCATCGGATCTCATCCAACTCTTCAAAACACCCTCACTATATTACAACATCTCCCACCTCATCCCTGTCCTCCACACCATTAATCCATCCAGGTATAGTATGGTATGGCACGTTATGATATTGTAAGGTATCTTATCGTGTACCATACCATATCACGCAGCAGCCGTAGTACTAGTCGACAATAGACTAGGCTTAGGAACCCCACTCTTGGGAACCTTCAAAAAATCGCTTGATAACTGAAAGCTTTCGCTACTCCCATTCCTCAAGAGCTCCGTTGGTTCCTGAGTAAGAATATAATCCGTAAAGTTGTTTTCGTCGTTGGATTGTTGGTATTCATGTTCGTCTCTGCATCCGGCCCCATCGATCATTCCACGGCCGGTGTACCAATCTCCTCGTAATAGTCGTTTTTCTACGTCTCGCCAGTAGACGCCTTTTCCGCCTTCCTATATTATTGTTGGAGAACGCGTCAGTTTATCATATACATGGCGGTTTATGGGTGTTATGACTGAAAAAAAGGAGAAAAGGCTTCGCATACCCCAGTTTTCATATCGAGGTCTCCAACTTTACATTCAATATGAACATCAATCCCACTACCACCACCACAACTTTTGGCTTTAACCCATATCCTCACATAAACCGTACAATCCCTCAAACTCATAGCCGTACATATATCCTCCCCAATCTTGGCCGTCGTCGGATGTCCCGCCAACATCCTCGATAACTCTTCAGCCGAGACTTCCAACGTCGGGGTCGGCGGTGCTAATACTCCAACTTTCCCTCCAAAATGTGCTTGTAAATCTGCTAGAACGTGGGTAACGCAGGCAGGATCCGAAAAGTAACTCCCTAAGAGATCGATGATCGAGGTATCCAGTGTATCCAGCCAAGGTGATATTCCGTCTTCGCCTAATGCTGTATCCGTGACTAGAATCTCGGCTTCGTCGACGACTAAGACGCCGTCCTCTCGGTTTACGATCGCTTCTACTGCTCTTGTTACCCGATCGGGATCTGTTGATACTAGATCCAGTGGACAGTAATCCGGAGGAATGAAATGTCGGCCTTCTTCTCCTTCCGAGGTCACGCTGGTGGTAGATATTCCGGACATACTCCTTGACCTCATACTTCTAAATGCGCATGTCCTGCATAACTTCCAATCCTTTGGCGCATCGGGCGATTGTACCAAATACTTTGGTTTAAACTCCACAGTCAATAAATCCCTCCATCCAGCTTTCGTCAATGCCTTAGCATCCATAGAGCTAGCGGTAAATTCGTTTTCAAAGTCCTCGTCTCTTTTCTTTTCTTGACACGACTGCTGCTGTTGTTTCAAACTCTCTTTCAGTAGTGAAAACGAGCTGAAAGCATCAGTACTACCACCACCGCTACCACCGCTACCACCTTTCCCCCGCCTTTTCTTCTCTAAAGCCGCATTTGCGATATTGTATTTCTGATAAATCCCCGGTGTCATATCCTCCACCATCAGCCCCCACTTTTCGGTTTCATCGAGTTTTCCTTTCCTTTTACCAGCACCGATGTTGGGCGGTAACCCATCGGGAAATGCAGGACCGCGATCATGCTGTTGGAGTCGGATATTAAGAGCCCTTAGAACGTCCGGAGAGATTTGAACGAGTTTTGTATCGACAATTAAGTTGGATAATAATGGTACAAAGACCTTGAGGAGATGTGTGTATAACTGTAAAGTCGTGGGAAAGTTTGGGATATTCTTTCGGAGACGGATGAGATGGGGTTTCTATGTATATAAGGATAATTTAAATATTTAGTACCTTAGATATCTCTTATATTAGATAAAATGAAAGAGTAAGACAGAATAAAAGAGTGAGCATGATGCTAGGCAGAAGCTAGTGGTCGTAATACAATATAGTATCTGGTGAAGATGATTTGATAGGATTTCAAATTTGGAGGCTTTGAACCTTGAAGCCTTGTTCTTGGAAAAGTCTTGTCGTAGCTTAATATAGATATTAGGGATATCTGAAGGTATCTTAAGATCTTAACTTACAAATTGACCATCCTTCCCGGTATAACGATATAAAACATTGGCAGCGCCTTCGGTGAAGTATTCGAGATCGGAAGGGTCGGTAATGAAGAGTTTTGGTTCCTCGTCGATGGTCACTGCGGCAGCGTTTTGTGCCCGCAACATTGTACAGTACAGTGCAGTGATCGTGTCGTGGAACTCGACTGGACTAATAAGCTTCAGTGCTGCAGCCTGCAGGCGGGTTAAGTTCGGACCAACACAATGCACAACCGATGCAGACTTCGATGTATTGAATTTGTATGGATCGTAGCCGAGGAATTTAATTGGAATTTAGTGGGTTTCTAAATAAAAGCCAATGAACCGGAAGTTAATTTGAGATATCGTGGAAGATTTGTTAATATTAGTATGGACCAGATAGTGGAAGTAGTATAGTGACGTGGGGATGCCGTCTTCCCACACACCAGACGGAAATAAATAGCGGTTTATCTCGATATCAATCGTCCATATTAATATTGCATGGGACGGCGAGGAATTAAATACAAAGATATCAAAGATATCACAGAAAGTATCGATAGGCCCGGCATTTTTCCGTCGCCCAGCTGTAGCGCTAGCTAGCTGCCTGGGCCGATGCATGCGCATGCAGGAAGGGTATCTAGGATGTTACTTTGCAGATTTTTTTATAAGACATGTCTAGTTATAATTCGTGATGCCCCCGCTCAAATCCCGAAAGTGCGGCCGGCGATTCCGCGCAGATGGATCTTTTGATCAGGAAAGGAAAGGAATGTCAATCTGGTGCTTATCGCCTAGTCCTCTTCGTTCTTCTGATTCCTTTTTTTTATACTTTTTATCCGGGGATCTCTTTAGTGAGGGCTGCATGGAAATCTAGTGCTCCTTCAACCGACGAACCCAACGTCTCTGAAAGAATTTCCCTGTTAAAATCGTCTGAAGCTTGTTTTTTTCCGAGGCGGAAATGTTTTAACTTCAGGGTCTATGCACATTCGTTCGTGTCCCCCCATCCCCATGTCTCCGTGATGTCATAGCGAATGGGAAACCTTGTGGTGAATGGTGATTAGTAGTGGGCTAGGCTAGTGGACCCTGAATTTCCCAACGTTTGCGGGGCCAGGGTCGATAATCTTAACAGTTTTAAGCTGTGCTAGTGATACCCGCTAACTTTTAGCACTTAGCTACCTGGCTAGCTCTTAAGCTTTACGGCGAATTCGCGAACGTGGAAGTTTCGGAATGGGTGAATTCGAGAGTCGTGGTCTAGCGAGCTCCTCGACTTTTTGCAATTGTCCCGCCGAAGAAACTTAAATTTCTGGGAAGGGCGGATGGAGATATATATAAGCAGAGCCAGTTTTGCAGAAGTTAGAAGGGATATCTCGATATCGACGACTATATAGCTATAGGAATTACAATCGGGAGCTTAACAGGACATTTTTAAATAGGCATTTAAGTTTGAGTTCTAATTAGACGATCACGAGGCAACTCTGGCGGCGAGACAATAGGCAACTATAGTTTTGTATATTGATCCGGATCATTGCAGAAGTCTATATATATTCCTCTCCGAACTATATTGTATCGTCTATCGGGTATGCATGCGCAGCGCTTTGAACAAAATCTGATAACCTGACATCTCTGGAATATACAAGCACGTGGGTAAGTACATAGATAATATTCATATCTACATACCTTCCACTGGCACGACGACGGAACCAGCTTCAGAGTCCTCGTCAGTTGGAGCGGCCTTCTTAGCTTCAGCCTTGGTTTCCTCTTCTTCCCCAACATCCTTCTTCTCCTCATCACCACCTTCCTTCTTTTCTTCTTCCCCATCGTCCTTCTTCTCTTCAGCTCCATCAGCCTTAGTATCTGCTTCATCAGCCTTAGTATCTGCTTCATCAGCCTTAGTGTCTGCTTCATCAGCCTTAGTGTCTGCTTCATCAGCCTTCGTGTCTGCTTCAGGAGCAGGGGTCTTGGTAGCATCCTCTTCTTCGGTAGGGTTAGGGACGGTCTGAATCTTCATCAACTTTTCCTCCTTCTCGCCTTCGCCTTCTTCTCCATCTTTCTTCTCATCATCAGTCTTCTCCGCTGGTGGAGTGGTAGGCTCTGCTCCCTCTTCATCAGTTGGGTTTGGTGCAGTCGCGATCTTCATTTTACCCTCCTCGGTCTTCGATGGGTTTGGTGCGGTAGCGATCTTAACTGGTCCATCTCCTTCTCCTTCTACTGCCTCCTTTCCTCCTTCCTTCTCTTCTTCCTTCTCTTCGTCTTTCTTCTTATCATCTTCGTCGTCAACAATAGCGGCAGCGGGTGTAACCTTCGGTGCCTCTTCTTCCTTCTCTTCTTCATCATCCGGGGTAGGTAAAGGCTTGATGCCGCCCAAGGTAATACTACTCTCAGTCTCAGTCTCGGTCTTTGTCTCAGTCACAAACTTCGTTTCTGTGACTTCTTTAGTATTCGTAACCTCCTTGGTATTCGTAACCTCCTTAGTATTCGTAACCTGCTTGGTTTTGACCACCTCCTTTGTCTTCGTAACATTCTTCACACTCGTAACATATTTAACCGAAGTCCTGGTGACATAGATATATTTGATACTACTGCCCTTATTGTTATTGTTATTGTTATTGGGTTTTCTTCCACCATTGTTGTTATTATTGTTGGTGGGGCGATTATTAGGTTTCGGTGATGGTTTTGCACTCGAGGATGGAGCCGCGGGTTTGACGTTCGCGTTCGCATTCGTGGCACCGACTCTAATGATCCTGGTGGCAAGTTCGGTCACAGTAGCGGCTTTGGTCACCGTACTAGCCTTGGCGGTTTCGGTTACCGTTTCGAAGGCTGTGAGTTCTTTGGTTTCGACTTTGGCTCGTTCGATGGCATCTTCGTTGTCGATTACTGGTGCTCCGATGGCGCCGGGGACGGCGCTGTAGTTCATACAAAAATATCGGTTAATTATAATTTGTGGATTTATATTTATGAAGCAGCCAAGATTATGTATATAAGTATTTCTTACCTAAAAGCCAGCAATGAAATGAATGGAGTAAGAACCTTCATCTTGAAATATTTAGATAGACAGGAAACTTCAAACGAGAGTATATATATCAAAAATGAACGTCGTATAACCCAACGGAGACAAAAGAATGACTAGTAGCTATCCAAAGAAGATCCAAAGAGTGACAGGAGCAAATGTCCAAAAAAACCTAGAAAGAATGAAAGGAAAATCAAACCCCTCCATCGGAGATCTCCAGGTCAAAGTGATCCCTCTTTATACACCCCCTTCCATGTCGTCTCCAATTCCCTAATGCAAGCCACATTTTCTTTTCCCTGCGTTAATACCAATCCATAATACCATTCTCTCTCTGTTCCACGTACTGAACACCTTCGTGAACGCCTTCGTGCGGACGTATACAAAAAAAAAAAAAGAAAGGCCCCAAAGCCTTTTATCGTTCCGACATGGTAAGCACAACAGTTCCAAAGGCCTCTTGAACCGACAAATCCACGGGAAAACCCTATATACCGACCTTAGCTTATCGACGTCCCCACATGTCTGGTAGCTAACGCATAATATGATCTATTATACGTTTGGTCAACGCGTATAAGACAAAGCGAGCAAGGATATGTTATAAGCTTTCCTCCCCCAAACGTCCTTTTAACCCCAACTATAGCACGCGAGATCGCACTATTAGCTGTTATGGGTAGTCGCAGGACAACGCCTGTGCTGTCGAAGCGAGCATGGTGTGGTATTTTGGAAATCCCTTGGCGGGGAACACCCTCCCTTTATCAGTCAGTCCATCCGAAAGAAAGATACCACCGTTGCCCTCGCCAATTAATATTACTGAAATCCGCCAATTCGGATTGCTACAGGCGAGGTGAAGTACCCTTAGTTCCATTCCTTCAATTTGGATGCGGTTGCGTCATGGTCAGTAGCACTCGGGCGAAATATTTCGTTGGACAAATAATATCGGTGATTTCCAAAAGCTAAAACGCTAATCACAAGAGTCCGCGGCTTTGATGTCGAAGAAGTTTTCATTAATTCGAAAGCTATCACTATGCCATGCCAGTTAATTTAAAAGTACAAAAGTGTAATAGATAAAACCCCGCAAGAAGTCGCAAACCCGATCGTGGACCAGTTTGGACGGTTTGCAGTTGCTACCATGAATCAGCATAAAAAGGCTTAATGTGACGCCCATTAGTAGAATATCAGAAAGCGAAAGCAAAAAAAAAGCGAATCAAACCTCGAGGTATTTAAAATACCATACCCCATTCAATGCCTTTGTCGAAAGAAATATATCGCCCAGCAGTGATAATCTGATGTACAAGAAAAGCGTAAAAACACGTAACAAACCTCACATGTCAAGAACCCTAGAATAAGCCTCCCAAATCGTACATAGAAGGCATTCATTCATCGTCATCGTCATCATCGATATACATCTGGCTGATAACGGCCTTGCCGTTGGCTTTCCCGCGTGTGCGAGCCGATGCTCTGGTTCCTCTCGTGCCAGCCGGCGGGGAAGCTGCTTTTTTGGCTATGTTCTCTTTCTTGGGAGGTGCCTTTTTCGCAGGGACTATAGCTTGCTTTCGGCCCCCCCGCTTGACGGGTGGTGGAGAAGGCTCGTTTTCTTCCTCGTCCTCGTCCTCTTCTTCTTCTTCCGCATCATTTCCCTCCTCTTCGTTGTCCTCCTCCTCCTCCTCCTCCTCCTCCTCCTCGCTAGCTTCTGCTTCCTCCTCTTGTTCGCTATCCGCCATTTCGAGGTCCGCCCTTGATTTTGATTTTGTCGCCAGCCTGATCGCCGATTGAGGGGTAGTTTGAACCTTAGACTTAGAAACACCGTTAGACTTTTTTGGATGTTCTTGTTCACTATCCTCCTCAATAGCAGCCCCACGAGCCGATTTCTCCCATTCCATCTTCTCATCTCCACTCTCAACTTCATCCTCTTCATCCTCTTCCCCATCTTCACTCTCTGCATATTTCCCAGCGACAAAACTCGTAATTCTTCCGCTCTTTCTCCTCTCAACACTTCTGCCTGGCGTTGCAAATTCGTCTTCATCGTCGTTGCCTCTCTTCTTCTTCTTCTTAATGGTACTTGGTCGCGAGGATCCCTTCGCCTTCTTAGCAGTGCCGGGCGTTGTAGTAGTTGTTCGAGACCGCTTCTTGGCAGGGGTAGCTGCACCAAAGGCATCGGATTTTCTCTGTTTCGGTTTTAGTACAATTAGTGCTCAGATTCTCGGATGAGCTTTCGCATAAGACATGTTGACATACCTTTCTATTGCTCGGCTTCTTGAATATACTGTCCACGACATTTTCGAACCCATCAGGTAGATAGTGTTTCCTCGCGACTTCGTTGCTAGTTGTATTGTCTTTGAATCCTTTGAACAAACCCATCGGTAGTCTAAGCGTACCCGGCCACGTCTGTAGAGCCCATCCTTTAACATCCTCGTACTTGCGAATAACTACTTGCGCTAGATCCGAGAGCGTATATAAATTCTATTACCAGGAGCACATTAGCGTCCTTGATATATCGTGGAAATATTGGGAGTATAATCTTACCTCGCTGCAATCCGGCACAATTCCATCTACCACGCTCTTCATCCTCTGTGCGACGTAGTATACCAAACTCAGGTTCTCCTCTACGACCACGCACTCTAGGTAAAACAGCACGTAGCCTGCAAACTGCTTTAATACATCCTCATCGTCCCTATCGAAATCGGGATGATGCGCCAGTAAGCTCAATAGTCTTGCAAAAGTGGTCTCCATGCTGGTGTCCTTCGCCTCACGGTGAGACTTCGCTCGAGCTTTCAGCCAGCTAGATGCCTCCTCCTTGATATCTCGTTGCTTCTCATCGGCGAGCAGGAAAAGTGCGGTATAGTATCTCGCCGAGAGAGTGGAGGCTGCAAGATGTTTTTTGACCTTGTCCACAAATCGCTTGCGTACCACCTGAGAATTATATTCCGCAACAAGAGCAATTCGATTGAACACACTCGGTGAGATCAAGATCTCGTAGCCGCGAATCCTAGCTAGTTTGATGAATGCATTGGCCCCAGCCCAATACAATGTCTGTCTGTCGTCCTTGGGGGTGTCTCCTTTCTTCGACAACTCGCCATTGTTAGCCAATAAGGCATTCAGGAGCTTGTAAACTGGCTCTGCAAGAACCTTCCGTGTGCTGTCGCCATCGGCTCCTTCATCTGACCCGTGGGCACGCAGGTGGTTGATCAGTATCTTCAGAGCGAGTAACTTGGCCTGACAAGCCTCGCTTGGGACTGGCTGTCTATCTAAATCGTCATCTTCGTCATCGTCCTCGGTAACAGCAACATCACCCTCCGGCGGCCGTAGCAAAACTTCCTTGATTGCAATATCCCTGATTCGATTGATGTTGTCTGGGTCGGATTCCGCTTCCCGGCAGGCAAATAAAACCACCTGAGATAAAGTTGCAAGTCGAGCCAGATAGAACTCGCTACCATATTCCCACTCTTTCAAAATTTTCTTGATCAAGTCAGAGGCATACATATCACTTCGAGAAGAAGTACGCATAATTATCGCAACAGCATGTTTTGCCGCAATCGGAGAGGTGCCATATAGAGAGAAGTTAACAAGCGCCTCCATTAGCTTCTTATCGTGTGGCAGTTCTTTCGGGTACTGTTTAGCAAATCCGGAGCATGCCTTGATCGTATCTTCCATATTCAGGCCTTCCAAGTCAACCTCCATACCTTCTCGAGCTGAAGCACGGCCTTTGTTGCGAGGAGCGATTGGGGCTTTGTCTACGATGAGGTCACATAGGGTTTTGATATGTGCGCCAAAGACACCCGGATTGCTCTGCGACATCTCCCGGAGGACCTCATGGGCCACGAGGTTGAGCGAGGTCCCAAAGGATGTGTCTTCATCGGTGGAAAAGCGGATCATGTGGGCAATATGTGATTTGTTGTAGATGAGGAGAGATACGCGATAAAGGAGTGGCGTCATTGTTTCAACAAGGGAAGCGGTGGCCAGAGACCCAAGTTTTGTATTATTTGAGATTCGCTTTTTAGCTTCGAAGATAGAGTTCGCGACAGTTTCATAATCGCTATCAGGAGAATAGCATCGTCGAATTTGGTCATAGCAACGTCGATCATGAAGCTTTGCAAAGTTGACAAGATCCGTAGTGGATCGAAGTGTGTCCGGCAGGAGTTTCGCAAGATATGCAATAGTATTATCAAGTTTCCGGCGGATGTCTGCCTCGTCAGTCTCCATAACGCCACCATTGAAGGCTTCGCACGACTCCAAAAATGCAGTCATTGCTTTTGCATAGGTCTGTTGGTTCTTTGGGATTGTGAAGAATGCCTTCCGAGCCCGATTATTGAGCTTCGTCCGAGCCTCCTTCCGTTGTGCGTTCTGGACCGGATTTCTACTTCGGTCACTAGCAACCTCCTGCGTCGTTTTCCCCTGCAGATTGGCCTCCTCCTGTGTATCAAAATCGTTATAGCCATCGAACTTTTCAGTTGAATCTGTCATGCACCGAAGTAGTACCATCATTCTCCTAGTTCGAATTTCATCTTCAGAAAGTTCTTCCTCCGGCGACTCGGCTTGAGTCCCAGTCTGAGTTGCAGATTGCGAGGCCGATTGGGTTGCAGCCTGGCTTTCTTTGCCCTTGGATTTCTTCGCCTTGTTGTCCTTCTTGCCGCTATAGTCGCCAATCGGCAGTAGATATTCGTACAAAGCATTGTCGAGAATAACGTTTGTTTCTTTATCGTTGACGTAGATAACATCGAGCAAACTAGAAGGGATGAAGTCAAGTTCGCGTATTACCACCTTATTATTCAGAGAAATTTGTGGATATGCATCTGCCCAAAGTCGGCTCAGGACACTAATCGCAGCTTCTCTAACTGCCAACTTTTTGTCCTTGGTACGTTGGGCCAAAGTTTCTAGGATATTCTCCTCAAAATCCCTGCTTACAAGCTTATTTGTAGCCGACTCCCAGTCCAGTTCTCCAATCTTCTTGACAGCAGCAACTCGAACTCTCTCATCAGCATCGAATAGCTTGGTTTTGATCTCTTTTTGTAGTATCTGGGTTACATCTGTTCGAGCCTTCAAAATTTCGATGGCTGCCTCCACCCACTGTACTCGGACCGCAACAGATTTGTCGTTTGCTCTTCCCAGCCATGTCTTCCAAGTTTGGGGATAAGATTGTGGAAGCGACCCCGTCGTAGCCATCATACCGACTGTACCGGTAGCCTGGACTCGAAGGTCTGCTGTCTCAGAGGCCATCTCAGTTTCCAACAGGGGAAGGACATTAGAGAGTACTTCTGGCACAGCAAGATACAACTCCAACATCAGATTGTGCGCCTTTTCAATTTCCTTAAGATCGTCATTAAGATTCTCTCCTGGGTCCCCGTCGGGTGACTCGCCTCGTCGGGAAGCTGGGGAGGCGTCCATAATGACATCTGTGAAGTACTGGCAGATATGCCTTGACATTTTGTCCACGCAGTTGGCACATATTGTCTTGGCCATGTTGTACGCTGGAGGGTACTGTCGGGCTCCCAGAAGGGTCGTTTGGTCCTTTGACTTCTTGTCACCCAGGCCTCTCTTCTTTCCGGCATTTTCGGCTGTTGTCGGTGATGCCCTCATCATTTGTGCCAGTAAGACGTCGATAACTTCCGTAGGTAAAGTATTTACTTCCTCCACGACCTGCTCCAGCAGATCCGTCATCTTATATTCTACATTCTTTTCACCCTCGTTGGCGGAGAGGTCGAAAAGAGTAGTAAACAGGTTCGTAATAAGGGCGTCAGATCCAGGAAGGTCTGTTATGAGAACAATAGATTGGGTTTCATGGAGCCTGTCGAGTAGATAGAGATACTCTTGATAAAATGTACTTTCAGAGTCTTCAAGTCCTTTCAAAGTTTTGATAAAGAGGTCGAATATTTCCTATAAATCCTTCAGTTTAGCTCAACTATCCCTCCATAAGTAACAGGACAACAAAAAGCGTACCCTCAATTGGTTCGCAGTATATGGAGCATCTGGCGCATAGAGATAGAGAATGTCGGCAAGACAACATGCCAGAAAGGCCTTTATGGACTCATCCTTGTGATGGAGCAAGCCAGTCGCAGCAAGATCTTTTGCGACTTGGTCTACAGAAGGAAGATCCACCTCCGGCTCGTCGGCAAGGGATCGAAGTTCTGAGTGCAAAGCTTTGAGGCGCTTAACCAAGTGAGGAACGGCAATCGGTTTTCCTGTCTTCCAGGAGATCGGCTCCTTGAATTGGAGAGAGGCGCTGGAGGGCTGGGAAGCCGCTCCCCTGGCCATTGTGAAGAGATATAACGTGGGATCGAGCTACCGAAAACTATTTGCGAGGTGGTGTCGAGATTACGTTGTGGTTTTACGCGGGGAATCGCGTTACTTGTGTCGGAGAGATTATGGATACGAATACGAAACAGTCGAATCAATCGCAGGCAGAAGGAACGGAAGCTATTGAAATCGCTAACGGGAACTGAACATGCTCACGACACTGTGGTCGGATTGAGATATATCCCAGGCGATAGGAAGGACGGCGGAGATTGGACGATATCCAGAGAGGGAGGGGGTGTGGCCGGAGGGTGGAGATGAGAGAGGGAGATGATGGAGGGAGGTTGGATGCTGGTATATCACGTTCAGGTGGATTTAGTATGTCGCGTTCCCAGCAAAGAAACCCAACACAAAATCTCCCACACAAAATACACCCAATTCGAAGAAGGGTAGCTGCATTTAGCCTGGATTTCGACTCGGGACGAAATAGCTTTGCCGTAACAGTCGATTGGGCAAGTTAACGGTTTTGGTAACATAAAATATTAATACATCTTAGATACATCACGAATTTTAGGGCGATAGAACGTCAAGAAGCTCATATGCTACATATATTACGTCCCATGTTGAATCACGAGCCCGTCACGTTATTCCAATATATAATCTCGCAGCAGTACCAGATACCAAGAGAACCCCCAACCATATAATCCACACAGTGCAGCCAATAAAATGTACCTTATCAAGCAATCTACATTGCATTGGGTTCTCTAGATTGCCAATATGCTTTAGTCTGGAAGTCGCTTCCTGATGCTTAATTATATATATACTTCCTGAATAGGAAAGCTTCGTTACTAGTAACGTTATTATTTCCTAATTGGGCAAGTCTTTACGTCAACTCAACGCATTCTCCAAACACGGATTCCAACATTGTGCCGTCCCCGGTTGACCTTACAAGCTATGTTTCGATATCAAGAGCACCCTTTCTCATCATCGACATCAAGAATAGGCCAAACCCTTTACCTATCAGAAGCGGTGATGAGATATTGTTATATCTTTCCGCTTTTTCTAATCTTTCAACCCACCCATCCGATATGAATATGCGAAACCCACTTCCTTCATCGATATCAGTATCCACCAGAACCCAAATGCATGATGTCAAAACCAGCAAACCTCCCAAACATATACGTCCTCCCTACCCGTCTTAACGACTCCCAACGTGCAGACATCGTCTCAAACATCAAATCCAAGCATTATACAGTCGTTGAATCTCCTAAAGATGCTATCATTTTCATCGGTGATGTCTTAGGTTCCAAACGTGCCCTCCTCGAACTTAGATTCTTAGGTTTGAACACTACGGACGCCACAACTATCAAAGTTCCCGCAAAAGGTACAAAGATCCTCAAAGTAGTAAAACTTGAATGGTATGCAAAGGCCATCATCGAAGGTATCGACGCCGATATCGACGACTACATAATATATAATGGCATCTATCCAGCCAAAAGCCCGTTTAACAACCAGTCTTCGAATACGATAACGCCTGGAAAACGTTCAGCAAGCCCACCCACTCTTGCAGAAAAACAGGCTGAAGATCGTTCCCGTAGTGAATCAATCCTACGGAGAGCTAAGGCTGCCACACACCAGGCCGCTCCGGGAACTCGTCATCTCCGGCATAAAGGCCCATCACAAGACTCTCAACCTCCTCAGCCTTTCAAACGGCCAAAACTAATATCTCAACAATCTACCGACTCTCAGGAAGAAGCCGAACGGGTTGCTTCAAACCTTCCACCATTACCTCAATGGGTCATCAAAAAGCAAAAATTCTCTTGCACACGTTCCACACCAGCAGACCCTCCAAATCAAGATTTTCTCGATGCCCTCTTCAAGATCCGTCTAAACCGAATTCTCATATCGGATGAAATTGGCGTGAGAGCATATTCTACGTCAATAGCCTCTATCGCCGCATTTCCCCACAAAATCACACATATATCACAAATACATGCTCTCCCTGGTTGCGAAGGGAAAATAGGTGCCTTATGGTATGAATTCACGCACTCTGAGCCTCCTGGGCGACTCGGAGTCTTGGAAGAAACCGAAAAATCAGTATACTACAAAACACTTGAGTTATTCTACAACGTATGGGGTGCAGGCGCCCACTCTGCCCAAAGTTTCTATAAACAAGGGTTCAGAGACCTCGATGACTTGGTTGAACACCATTGGAAGAAATTAACTAGAGTGCAACAAATCGGTGTGAAATTCTACGACGAGTTCCAAGATAAAATTCCTAGGGATGAAGTCATCTCCATCCGAGATGCAATACAAAACCACGCCCGCCAGCTACTTCCCGGTGCAGAAACGGCCGTGGTCGGGGGCTTTCGAAGGGGAAAAGAACTAAGTGCCGATGTGGATTTATTGATTACACATCCAAGAGTCTCCAAAAGTAGAGATGTAGAAGAACTACTTGTACCTTTAGTTAATCTATTAGAAAAAGAAGGGCTAATTACACATGTGCTGACCATCCACCAACCATCGAGGTTTGTGGCAACTACCAGCGGCGATGTATGGCCCAAACGAAGTCATCATAATTTCGACGGTATTCCAAAGGTATTATGTGTCTGGCAACAACCAGACCTCGGAGAAGATGAAGAAGGAGATTCACAAATGGAAGGCCTCGATGAGAAGAGACTAACAGGGAAGAGAAAGAACCCGAATCCGCATAGAAGAGTAGATATCCTATTCCCACCTCCGAGATGTGCTGGTTCGACTTTGACATCGTGGTCGGGAGCAACAACCTTCGAAAGAGATTTAAGGAAATACGTGAAGGAATGGAAGTACTGGAAGTTTAGTAGTGAAGGTGTTACAGATAGAGCATCTGGATTGAGGGTACCTGTTGGGAAGGAGAAGGGTGAATTCATCGGGCTGACTGAGGAGGATGAAAATAATGGAGTGGAGGTAGATGATAACGTGGACAATAGAGCGAGAAGAGAAGATGGAGAATGGATCGGATGGGATGTGGAGGAGAGGAAATTATTCAAATTATTAGAATTAGAATGGAGAGAGCCTACGGAAAGATGTACTGGCTGAATTCTTGTATTGTAAAAGCGGAGAAAGCGAATTCGGGGGACCAAAATCTACAAAATATTAATGCTCTAACACTCTTAATTATATTATGATATGTTTTAATATATCACACATATATACTTAAGTACTTGATAGTATGCTCTGGATCGATCAGAACGAGCGTCGACTATTCTAGTAGCATCGAAACACTAGCTATTGAAGTAATTACTTAAGTACTTAAGTATGAAGCATATACGAATGCTATTCTGGGTCCAGGTGTCTACCTACTTAGGCACATAGTCTCGGTCCTAGACTACTAGGTACCTTACCCAAATGGCGTGCGTCCTCAATATCAATATAAATATTCTAGCGTGCAGATCTGTGGTGTTCTCCGGCTACAGTGAATCACACGGGTGATCCACAAGTCTCACATTTTAGTCGTCACATCTTTACTTTTACATCAAGGTTACATAGTATCACTGGGAGCTCAAGTACGAAAAAAAAACCCTGTATCCATTCTCATCATACAAGCCCACCCCTTCACCATTCCCCCAATCTGCACAAGTCATCAGACAAGTATTCCCACTAAGAGAACACTCATCGAGACTCGTGCCAGGTAGGAAAGATGAAGGGGCGGCCACACGCACGCACACATACTATCCAGGAACAGGGAAAAAAAAAAACGAAATACAACGACAGAATTGGGCCCTTGCGATGTTTCATCACTCATCGCAAGGGCCCAAACAACAAACAACCCCCCTCTCCCCCCCACCGGTCCTTATATTTCAATAATGGTTGGGGTGGCCATTTCTGGCACACCCACAACCATCTCCCCCCTCCCTCCCTCCCTCTCCTCCTCATCCTCATCCTCACCTTCCCCTTCTAACCCCCACCCCCATCTACATGGCGGGGCCAAGAGAGACGTTAGTAGGAGAAACATTCTCCTTGTCAGCATCGCTGACATCCGAGTTCCCGGAACTCGGGGTGGTGGCGGCGGCGGCGGTTTGTTTCTTGGGAGATGTCCCAAGAACCCCGATTGGGGTGCGACGGCCGTCGTCTCTCTTGGCCTTCGCCTTCCTCAACTTCTCCTTCGCCCTCTGCTTTGCCCTCTGCTTGGCTCTCTTGGCTTTCTTTGCCGCGAGAGCCAAAGCAGAGTCGTCGGTAGGGCCACCATTGACGGAAACTTCATCGTCATGGTGGCAGGGGACAGGTTCACGGACGGAAGCTTCATCGTCCTTGGTAGCAGCGACGGCTTGGACTGCGGTCATTGGGGCAACAACAGGAAGGAGAGGTTCCTGTACGCCGACATCGATTTCAAGGTATTCACCGGATACCTCGACAGAAGCAACTTCCGAAGAAGCTGCGAGTCTCTCCACCTCAGCTCTTTCTTCGGCAAGTCTACCAATCTTTCGCCAGTAGTCGTAAAATTTTCGAGGGTCGAGACCAACGCTAGTGACTGCGGTAAGCGCCTCCTGATCGCCAATGCCTCTAGCACCAACGGTATGGACGGAGCCACCGAGTTGTTGGATCTCGCGCATGACTTGAGCCAGGTCTCCTGGCATTGTGGTTTCGCCGAGCACAAACACACCTTCATCAATGAAGGTCTCATCCTTTAGATACCCTTTGGCCAACCAAGCCTCGTCCTTATCTGGATAGTCTGGATGGGTGACTGGCGCGAACGTCCCATCATCCTGTTTGATCATGTACTACATGACGGTTTATCAGCAACAAGTCTATTTACATACTATCCAGCATAGCAACAGGAGCAACGAGAAACCTACCTGAGCAAACCTCGAATCGGTCTTGACAACAAACTCATACTTTAGAGATCCCTCACCGTTCCAGAAGACCTGGGCCTTGGCGATGGGAATACGGATTTTAACAACGCGACGGAAGTAATTACCACTCTTCCCAGCCGACTCCGGAAAGCTCAGATCAAAGTAGTCAACATCATCGTCATTGGCTGACATGACTGTGATACGATTGGTCGGTGAATTCATATACGTATGGGTAGAGGAGAATTGAAGAGATCTGAAATGATGTTCTTCCGCGAGCTTGCTGAACGCCATCTTGTCAAATTGCAGTGATGGTTAAAATCACAAACGAACTGAAAGAAAGAAAGTTAAAAAGGAAGGTAGAGATGATTGGAGCAGGAGAAGCTTCAAAGTTTGTCAGATGGAGAGCTTGATAAGAGCTTTCTATCAGCAACAGGTTTTGATAACGCGTTTGGTTTTGTAGAAGCGGGTTCGAGATTCTCGATTGCAAGGAGCTGGTTTTTGTGGTTTGCGAAAATGCTTGTTCAAGCTGTCAGGAAAGGATAAAGCTGAAGGCAGAAGGTAAGTAGTGAGGATGAGAGGGAAAGGAAGAAAAAGAGCTGAGGAAGTTGAAGTGAGCCTGAAATAATGCGAAGTATCAACATGTTCATGATGCGTGTTGTTCCTTTCAAATGCGTGTTGTCGTTGTTGCATTCTCTGAATGCGGAAACCCTGCGTTGTGGTTTCAATAATGTGTTGTTTCCAGCAAAAATACGCTGCCAAGACCACGCTAACATCCCAAATAGGCTAGACTCAAAGCTTAGCGGAAAACTCTATTTCCGAGATAGAAGCCTTGGCGAGCCCATCGAAATAGATGGAAGCATAACACAAACAACATTGAGCAGGTTGCTAGCCAGGAATCCTGTCACGTGATACTTTTTGGGATCAAAATATATTTTCACTGGGTCGATGAAATCCTGTCTTTTACAAGCTTATTCATCTCGAACGAAAAATCAAATTTATATAAAAGTCACATGGTTTGAAACTTCCGGTTTCAGCGATTCCAATAAAACTCGAAACATCAAATTTAGTAATATGGTTCGGGATTTGGTTTTTGGTGGGGGATTAGTGTGGGGTTTAGATTGTGGTGATAGTTAATTCTGTCGCGTGCCATATATTTGTGCATGTGGTGGTAGTGGTGGTGGTGCGGGATCCATTGCCGTAGAGATATCTCTGCGTATGCGTCTACAGCTCACCTCGTGAAATAAATAAATACTACCGTGTTCCGGTACAACTGAGGAATATAGTGGCAGGACAATATCCGGTAACGTACGTATATGGATCTTCATTGGGATTTGTTAGATATATTCAATGGCTTCATGCATGCGCATGCTCTACAACCAATTTAACGTACTTTCAGGCTACCTCGAGTTTTTTCGATGGTATCGATATAATATCAATAACTAGGCCTATAGTAGTTTCATTCCTAAGCACATAACTAGCCAGGCCCCCGTGAAACCGTACGACCATAAACGTAGTCTGTCTATTTCAGGGCACGCTTTAACCTCGAATGCGGCTTACCTACGGAAGACGTGCGCCATCAAGCGGTTGACAAAACGTCCTATGCATCCCAAAATTGGCCCTGCGCCCAAAGACGAGGGTTTGGGTGTAATCAGACAACCCTACACCCAACAAAATTCAGTTTCAATTAAGCCTCGACTTATCGCCACATGGTCTCATTGCTATATCCAATTGGTGTATTATCGAGTGGCTTATATCTTCTTAGGTGCGTAGAGGATATATACTTCCCTAGCCTACCCTATCTTGAAGAGTCTTTAAGAAGTCAAGATATTCAGTTTTAATTGGAATTATCGCGAGATGCTAAGTTCCATCTGAAGCAGTACTAACAGCACATATGCATGGATCCACGATACAATATGATTCTATCCGAAACCTGTAGACATTTCGATAAGGCACCTTTTAATTATAATATAAAATATCGATGAAAGAGCGCTACTATTAGTAGCTTTCCCACAGTTGAGGAGTCTGGCGACGAGGCAAATACCTATGTAGCCATGGTAATTGCTCTGGGACGAAAGGCACATGCATATGATACTTGATATATACTTAAGTAGGTATATACGTATATATATATACATATATCTAGCGAGCCTTCGGTGATATCACTACGACTCGTCTCTATAGGAGATATAACTTCTATTAGTTCATATCCTCTTTCTGTGGATACTAGAAGAACTAGCTTCGATCGTGAAGCCGTTCAGACAAGAATAATTGTAAAATAGACGTAATGGTACCATGGTCCACTAGCACGCACGCGAAGAGTTGTGTGATACGACAATCGTAACGTCATACTGCGTTGAGTCTGTTGCATTTTGAAATCTCCACTTTTGACCGATTTGAGCCGGGTCATTGCATCGAGTTCGACGGCTGGATGTAAGTTTGCTTTTTGTCGAGATGTTTCTAGGATTGAAAATTAATTCGTGATATGGAAGGAGATCTAATACACGTATCCTATCGATATGAATGAACATTTATTTGGTCTTGAAGCGCATCTGTGACTACCCGCACGACCGTTCAGCCGAATTGTTGTTTGAAGATGATAATAACTTGTCACATGAGCATAACATGGAATCCTTCCGTTCATTCATCCAATTTAGCATCCTCACAACAGACAACTTGCAAATGCCATGCTTTGGGCAGATCTAGGAGATTAAATCTTGAAACCCACCATCACGAGGCCCTTTAGAACTCCCCAGGATCTAGGATATCCCCGAGCTCCCCCAAAATCGCGCGGTTTGAGCTGTCCCGCGGCGCAGAGACAAAAGCCCAGAGGCTGTCAGAGGCTGTCGGGCCAAGGTCCAACCGACCAAGGGCAATTCTTATTCGAAACCAAAAACCGAAATTCGCTCCCAAACAAGCATTTTCAGATCTCCCACACACGCCCATTTCATCCCACCGTCTCGTCCACGCTAATCCGTTCGGAAGGGCTTCTTCAGCAAGTGACGGCTGCATTTGGCTTGCCGCTGCACGGTGAACCCTGCCATCGAAGTTGTTACACAGGTCGAGATCAGCTCGTTTTCGTTCTGCTGTTGTTAGACCGCCCCTTTCTTTGCAGGCTGGAAGTTTTTTCTGAAGTCAACGGCGGCGGCTTAGCTATTAGAACCTACACACCAGGCCAGGTTTCTGATTCCTCATCAGCCCCTTCTCAACAAGTGAGTACCTTACATACATACTTTACATACATGCATATTCCGGACTCTGTTCGATCGCTGCAGCTACCATGGTAGATGATGCTATTTGAATACGTACCTGCCCGATACCCACTTCCACATTTCCTTGCCCTGCTTAAGTTCTTGGTTACGTCCCACTTGAGTATAAAAGTTTTAGGGTTTTTTTTGGGGGGCCATGTGCCGGCCAGCCTCGGGAGCAATACCCGCGTGAGTGTGATTGTTGGCTTTTTCTATGGGAAAGCTTGCAAATGCTACTCCCACGCGGCAGACATGAGGGACGAGGGATTGGGAGACCGGAGGGGAGGCTCTTTCCCGCCAGAATAAACCAGAGCTGCATCGTCGATAACGGTTCCTGTCCCGGAGCCAGGGCTACAAGTCTCGTGCTTTTCCAGCCACCGGCCTTTGATCCAAGTGACCTGCTTCGGCGCGAAGTCTGACTAGGCTGGCTGGCTGACCGGCTGGCCCACAGCAGAAACAGCCATTGTACCTGACATAATATTGCTGCTATCGCGTCATCCCCTGTCTCTCCTTGCCTTTTATACTACTGTTATATGCATTATTAACGAAGAAAGAAGATCTAGACGGCCTCTTTGATCGTTGATTCACTTGCAGTCTTATAGACACAGGTAGTTCTGGGGGCATTTGCATGATAATAATACCGCGCAAAGTGAATTCGCTTCTTTCCTTCCTCGCCTTGCCAGAAGTGTTCAGTCGTTTAATGTTTTTGTTTGGCTCCTGAAATCTCTCTCTCTCTTTTTAACCCCCTCAATACCAGCCTGAGGCTACTACATACCAGAGTACCATCCAGTCAAGTCCAGTCCAGCCTGCTTGCCTGCTAAAACCGCATCGGCACGAGACAGGCCAGGCTCAGCCCTACCAGACCAGACCGGCCAGCCAGAGATATCGCCAATCGGAGCCTTGTTTTTTTTTACTCCCTCTGCTCTGGTGCTCGTTCTACCTGTCTTGCCTGCAATCTCTCCCATCGCGCCTGCCCAGTGCGCGCCATCCCTGCGTGGCGAAACCAGCCTGCGATTGTCGCGGGAAACTCGACCTTTCTTTTCTGTTTGCATTGCATTCTTTCAAGAACTTTACCGCTGTTGCCGTTTCCAGCCCGTTTTGAGCGACCAAAGACTGACAAATCGTATCACATCCTCCCATCGAAGACCGCACTCTCCTCTCGTTCCCTGGCGCGCCTGTCTGTTATCTGGTTTGTCTTTTGCAGTTTTGATTTGGTCGAATTCGGTCTGCTATCGTTCTTCCTCTTCTTCTTTTTTTTCCTTTGCGGCTGGCCAGCGGCTTCTCCTGAGTCCGTACGCGACTGACCGACTCCCTGCGCACGGGGTGGTGGGTTCAATCGATAGTAAATAGTTCCCGGTATATTGCCGCTCCCATTGTCACTTCACTGACGCATCGTATCCGTGGTAATATCTATTGACCGATCGCTAATATGCTGATGATAATGGCAGAGGAAAAGAATGCTAGCAATTGGGCCCTCCATGCAGCAGCATAGTCCCACACCCCCGGGCTCACAGCAGCACCCACAGCAGCAGCAGCAGCAACCATCCTCCACCAACCCTTCCCCCCATCCTCCGTCATATCAATTTGCTCATCCACCTCCTTCTTCTCATCCGCACTCCTATCCGCCGTCGTCTGCTTCGTCGATATCTGCGACAAATCCGCTCATCGCAGCATCCGGTTCAACACACGGTACCCCCTACATTCATCATCAACAACTTCCTACAACATCATCCTCATCGTCGCCAAATCTCAGCAATTCTTCTATACCGCATGCTGCCATCCCTCACTCATCTTTCAACTCCTTAGGTCCCGGAAATGTTTCACCATTGCCTCCGACTAATGGATTCGCGAATCAATCATCTACAAGATCCACACCCGTGCCAGATCCTTCACTCGCCTCTCCCATCAAATCCCAGACACCAAATCCTCCGACAGCCACCTCATCGCCTAAACTTTCGGTCGAGGAGTTGAAAGCTAGGGCGAAATCGAAGGGCAAACAGCCGGCATCTGCGAGGCACTCGCCTGTCCTTAAAGAGGAGGATGCAGCCGACGATGCAGCCGACAAGTCTGACGGTGGAAGCTCCTCAAATTCTCCTAATAATTCTCCGAAGAAGCTGTCTAAGAAGAGGCCAACCCAAAAAGAGCTTCTCCTTGATCAATATGTCAACCGGGACTTGCTCCATGCGGCTGCTCTATCATCCCAATCACACGCTCATCTCGACTTAATACGGTCAAAACGCCGTGAAATCGAATCGTATAAGTTACTACGGGAAGAAAGGAGAGCCAATCCAGCGTCGGTCTTCGGTTACGGATATCAGGGTTATGGGAACGCGTTCACAGATGGAAAAACGAGAATATTGTATCCTGTAGAAAGGAAACGACCTGGTGGCAGGAGAGCGAGAGAGTTGCAAATAAGCCGCTCAGCTATGAAGCAGCAGGCTGAAACAACGGACGACTTATTGCCAATCCGATTAGACGTCCATCATGACAAGATACGGCTACGAGATACGTTTTTGTGGAACTTGCACGAGCGATGCATACCGATCGAGCTATTTGCAGAACATCTAGTAGAAGATTACCATCTTCCGATCTCGCACGGTCTGGTTGCCGCTATCTCAAAGCAGATTGTGGATCAAGTTACCGACTATCATCCTCACATTTTCCTCGAAGATACCGCGTTAGACCCTCAGCTGCCATATTCTGCCTACAAGAATGACGATATGAGGATCCTGATCAAAATTAACGTTACAATCGGAGAACATACACTGACTGACCAATTCGAGTGGGACGTCAATTGCCCGGAGAACTCACCTGAAGAATTCGCACAATGCCTTACTAGGGAAATGTCGCTTTCCGGGGAGTTTGCGACGGCGATTGCCCATCAGATTCGGGAGCAGTCGCAGCTTTATACGAAGTATTTGTACTTTGTAGGGTATCCCTTCGATGGACGGCCGATTGAAGATGAGGATCTGAGGAGCTCGGTTTTGCCTTCCCCCTTGAACTCAGTATTACGGCCGGCACAGCAGGTGAGGGAGTTCACCCCTCAACTATGGATCATACCAGAGCTAGAGCTTGAACAACAAGAGCGGAAACAATCGCGAGAAGCCCGGAAGAACAAGCGGCGACTGAATAGACGTGGTGGACCTGCCCTCCCTGATCTCAAAGATGTTCCCAAAACTCGACGGACCCAAATTGTATCGACAATCCTTCCCGGAGCAGTTGAAAAGGCATCGGATATGAAAATCTATAAGGATAAGATTCCCGGAGAGTCTGAATCCGAATCTGAGGATTCTGAACCACCATCGCCACAGCAGACGCCGCACCTCCTCTCGACGATGACAAGGCGACAGCGTACTGCCGCTGTCGCAGCAGCGTCCGCATTGAGAAACTCGGCAGCCCGAAGTGCTACGCCCGAAGTAAGCGGCGACTTCCACACACCGACACGCCACGTTCGGAGCAGTGCGCCGCAGTGGGAGCGAAGGCCGCATTGCCCACCGGGAGCAGATTCGATAGTTGTCAAACTAAAGATCGACCGCTCCAAACTACAAGAGTTTGAGAATCAGATTAGTATGATGGCGATGCAGCATCAGATGCAATCGAGGTCTCAAGGTCGGGGTCCGCTGGCACAGCCTCCAATAACCCCGCTCCAGGCAACCCCGGTTGGTATGATGTACAATACACCAAGCGGCCCACCACCACCTGCTCCAGATTTTGGAATGATGCTTGGCCCAGTCGGACAAACCAATGTGAGTACACTTGAGCTATAACTCTCCACCCTACGAAAATAATAATGTTAATATGGTATAGGTTCCCGCATGGGTTGAAAATGGACTTGCGGCCTTACGACAGTCGTATCCCAGCGACCAGTTTGAGGGTATCATGAGGCAGGTTGTGATCGATACAACCACCGGAATATCGGTACCCCACACCACACCCATGATCCCCGGCCGACATATCACAGATTACACACCAAGGATCCGTTGTGTAGATTGTCCTGGAAAATTATACACACCCGGCCCTAATGAGACCGTCGAAAACTTCGAGATCCATCTAAGGAACCGATTGCATCGGGAGCGGGTTGAGGCTAGAATAAGAGGACTCCCATACCCATCGTGATAGTGAAAGCGTATGAGGGTATCAGTGTGGTGGTTAGTTAACCATATACATCTTTGGCTAGAGAATTGGCGGTGTATCCCGTTTGGATATAAAGGGCGAGATGCTTGACTATTATCTGTTTTGTCTTTCCTTCTTCATGGCCCTCTTTTGCTCTCTTTTGTACACTTGAAAACCCACTCTGTGATATAGCTCTAGCTTTCCTTTTTCTGGCCTTGGAATAGCTTATCTGTGATTTCCCATGGTTTTCTGTAACCTCTTTACTCTTGAGCCTGGCTACGTTTTTTTACCACATTGTTTTCTGCGCGCTTTTTCTTCTTTCTTTCTTTCCCTTTTTTTCGCTGTATTATCTACTTACTTTGTTAGTGGGGCTTTTGTGATGATATAAAAGAGAAATGTAATAAAAGGAATCGGGAATACGTTGACGATTATTATATTGAGCTTAGCTAGCTGTAGTATCAGGCTTGCCGAAGCGTTTTAATACAAGACTAAGTATCAGGTATCGATATCTACCTAGGTAGGTACAGGTGTTCGCCATAGCCAGGCGCTGTTCTATTAGTCTACTAGCGCTATAGCATACTCTAAATTTTCTAAAGGTTCTAAAGGACCCGACAGTACCGCGGTATAGACGTCTCGTTTGTGTCCCTGTAACTACGCCGGTCGACCAAGACTGGCCGACAGACCCTGCGTTGAGGTCCGACGATCTAAGATGTTTCCCGCCGACCAGATGGGGAGTGGGGTTACACAGGTACAACCGTCACGTCCGTCGGCTGACGGCACTATAAAAAATTATTCAACCGCACGCTAACCCGTCGCAAAAGATTTTAAGGGCACGCGAGCTCCCAGATATCGGGGATAGGTACAAACCCGTCGGTCGAGGAGGTATCCGGATTAATTCCCAAGAACTAGAAGTTCGAAGGCGCCTCGAAAGAAGAAGAAGCCTAAGCTCTGATACCATAGTCGGGTCATCGACATGCTAAGACTCTCATGTCTGAGCTAATGTTTATAATGAGTACAACTGCGAAGGCAATCCTTGTTTCTTTGGTAGGAGGAGATCTCGGGGCATGCAAGCTCTGCTGAAGCTATTAATACATGTATTATTTACACGAAAAAAGTATTGAATGCAATGTTGCTTATCCGAATTGGTTTATGCACTAATATTGAATGCAGCTTAGTCTGACCTTGTAATCCTTTTTTTTGTCTATCTTTCAAGGCGGGCGGGCGGTCCACGAGACAATGTTCTACAATAAGCAGGCAGGAATGTCGGAGAGCTCTGATGCTTCTTCGAATCGCATGGGCCATAGTTTGTAGCTAGCTCGATCTGTAGGAGGAACATGCGAGAAATAAGAGAAGCAATTAAAGAGTAATAGTAAGAGAGAGCTAGAGAAGAGAGAAAAAAAGGAATACACCATACGCCATGCCCATCGATGGGGAAATGATCAAAATTTCCTTCCGACCTTGCATATTACACGATCGAATCGTAGAATATGCCAAAAATCGAGGCGCGAAGAGCCTATCGAGCGAGATCTTTTTTGTCTCCCCCCCTTGCACGACGAGAAGCTTGAGATTCTAGTATTTGTTATTTTTATTTTTTATTTTTCGGAATTGAGGGTAATGAGTTACTTCACGTGGGGAAGAGAGGGCAGTGTTACCCCACTTTTTGTTTGAATTGGCCCGATGAGCAAATGGGTACTTTATCCAGCCATCTTTTCCCTGGCCCGGACCACGACCCTCGCGATTTTCCTGCGATGCAATGCGATGGGGGGTGGGATGCTCGGATATAACCTATCCGCTGGGAGTTATGACAGAAGAGAAGGCAAGAAGAGATGCCTATCTTGCATTTCTATTGATTTTGAACGAATGACAGTGATTGTATTCGTGAGACATCATGCACAATCGCAATACACGAAGAAATAAAAAATACAGATGGCTGAACGATAATATCAAAATGTATATCTTCAAGTCTTATGTGTGTGTGTGTGTGTGTGTAAGAAGAAGGCCGAGGAACTATGAGACGTTCACGAGTTATGAGAACTAGTACGAGCTTTTTTGACTTGCATGAACTTAGGACCCACTCTGTCGCGTCTTGCCGCAGGAAAGACGTCCCTGGATTGTCGAATTGGAATGCAGGAGGGAAAGTACAGTGTGGGTCCCGAGCTCCCCCCTTGTCACTTTTACTCCATTTTCTGAGTTGATAAACGAACGACGCTGCTGTGAGGGTTTCTTGCGCTAGATATCATCGAGGTTAGTTTGGACTGGGGGCTTGATAAAAACCTCGAGATGGACATGGTTGATAGGTATCATTCGGGCGCATCTGTGCGGTTGTAAATACGTCTTTGACATGTACATATACATCTATGTTCGGACGAAAAAAAAGGGTTAGCACGAAGTACTGTACGTCGACAGAATTCCAGTCGACGTGGAGCCCTCTTCTTTGTTTTTTATAAGTGACTTCCAAGATGTATTTGTCTTCTTTCCTGTCGAATGTGAGAAGTTGAGATTTCAAGAAGCTTGGAGGGAAACCCCACAAATTGGGAGCTAACTAGCAGGAAAAAAACCTTAGCTACCTAACCCGTAGACCCTCTCGTGATCCCACACATTGTAATTTCTTTTTTATCGTGCCGAATTACGTCTTTCCTGCTGGGAAGGAAAGAAGAAGAAAAAGAAAAGGAACTCTGCGATTTTGTGCTTGTCGCGTCTGGGTAGGAGCTGTGTGATTCGCGCATACGGGCTGAATGGCTTCAATGAGGAGGAGGAGGGGTTCCGGTCCTGGGCTTGCAATGGATAAGAAGGAAGAAGAAATTTTTGGGGATATAACCTAGGAGCACGACCGATGAGGTGTCCCACTGCCCCTCCTCTCTCCTCCTCCATCTTACCTATCTCTAATTGCCTTTCCCTCCCTCTCTCTTTTCCTTTCAATTACTTCCTGTTTCCAAAATCGCCTGGGAGGAAATAGCGGAAGTAGAGGAGAAAGGATTAGAAAAAAAACCTCGGATCATCTTTCTTTGCCAACGAATCAGACAGTTTTTTTTGCCTTTTTTTTCGAAGGCCGGTCTATCGAACGATTGGACCGAGATACGGGAAGGCCCTTTCCTTCTATAGCTCTCGTTTTCTTGTCCTGGGGACCCTAAGCCTGCATTTGCTTTGCTGGCAAACCCTCCGACCGACATTAATAACAGCTACCCCATTTTTTGATATACGGGAGTAGCTTAGGTACCAGCATAATATCGATATCACGCCAAAACCGCCTGGATCTGTGTCGACGCTATACGCCGGACGGAAACGGACAGCGAGTAACGTTGAGACGAAATTCTTGTCATTCGTCATAACCAGTATATTCCGAATTCGAATTAGAAGTGTAATCGATAATACACCTATCAAGCTGAGTGGAAAATTAAATCTTTGATTTTTCGTTTGTCCCGTCTCTCCTTGAAAACCCCTCCAATATAATCTGTTTTGTTTGCAAGTTTCCGAGGCTTTGTAGATTGTATTGTACTGATAGAGACGAAGCTTGCCGTATCTTGCATCTGCACTTTTTGCTCTGCTTCCTGAATTCCTATTGCATAATTTTTTTTGTTCAGTATCTCCACATATCAAGAAAGCAAGAAATCCTCTAGCTTCTTACCTAATTCTGGTATCATATTCCCTTGGTGTTTGCTGAATTCAAAAAAAAAAAAAAAAAAAAAGACAAGACAAGAGCTCGAGGAAAGTAGCTTGTAGGAATCCGGAACCTGGTCGATTGATTCGCTGTCCACTCACACCCATCCCATACGCGATATCAACTGTGCATTAGCTTACCTTTCTGCACTGCACTGCATTGCATTGGAAAAGGAATTCGATAGATAGAAACTTTTTTTTCTTCAAAACGGTTGGTATCCTATCCCATCCTTACCTTGGTCTTACCCCTCAGTTGAGTTGATTTGATTCTGGCCTGTCATTGCCTCATCCTCCTCTTATCCCTCAGTTGAAGTGCACATGTAAAACCCGAAATTCTCTTTTTCACCTCTTCTTTTTCCCTTTCTTTTCTTTTCTCATTCACCTCTGAAGTTTGAAGTTGACAATTCGTTTTTCCTCTCTGTTCTGTATATCTGAATAGAGGAGGAAAGCTTCAAAAGAAAGAAAGCAAGAGATACCCAGTGTTGAAGACATCGTTTATATCCAACACTCCCACAGAAAGAAGAAACATCATCACCAAATTACCACTCTTACATCAATCTCCCCTCTCGAAACTTCTACTCTAAAACTACCTGGAATCCACCAGAATACAGAGATCTTAGACAGGAAACTGCAAAGTCTCTAACTTCTTTTTTATCGTCATCATCATCGGGAAAGAAGGTCAGTACTGTTACACCTGATTCCACGACCACAAAGGCCGGGTCCCCAGAAACAGCTTCCCGAGCCGAGAATAGCTCCACCAAGGTCATCGCCTCGCTAACTTCCATATGGGAACGCGCAGGGAAAAAATATTTTTCTTGATCCTTGGAAAGAAATCTGAATACCAGTCGATTCTTCCAGACGAAACCGAAAAAAAAGACCATTCACAATTCAGAGGTTCTTCGTTTTCAAGATATCTCTAGTCTCTATAGGATCTATATTCCAATAGAAACTTACCAACATTATTCTCGCCACCGTCCCTTTTTTCGACCACAAAGAACCCTTATCTGTTTTTTTGTTTAATTTTTAAACCACTAGAAAAATGGCCACCGAAGCTGCCCCTCAAGGTATGGTTATTTGAGTTCACACTGCTGATTGTTGTTATATTGTCTATTCAGAAGATATAATATAAAATATCTAGATATACGACGAGTATATCAAGTACAATATATAGGCTGACAACTACGTTATTCTGAATCCTTAGATCTCTCCTCCACCATCACTAACCCCTCCGATATCCCAGCTATCGAAAATGGCTTCGCTGGAAAATCTATAGAAGGAACTTCTACCATCCCCTTGTTCCATCCCACTCCCACAGACCCTTCTAAATCCGAAAGAGCCCTTACACCGGGGCCTACAGACCCGGCCACCCCACCTAATGACCCAATCCCGGACACAAACTCTACAAATCTCAATCTCTTATCCGCTGAAGATCACGCTGGCGTACAAGCTCCCAGCTTACTCAGACCTTCATCTCCCGCACCACTAAATTTGAGCGCTGCCGCTGCATCTCCAGCCTTGTCCTCAAAGAGTCTAGTGGATACACCGCCACAGACGGCTGGATTAGATGATAATAATTTTGCTACCAATAGCTCCTCGGATCCGTTAGGAATTTCGATACCCGATGCTGGTATCCCAAGAGAGGAGATTTCAACGGTTAACGAAGATCCCGTGGAGTTAGCGGCTACACCTGTGATTGAGCAGACTACACCTTCGGAATCAGCAGCAACATCGCCTCTTGTTGGAGGGGAAACACCAGCTTCACCGTTATCTAAATCCCAAAAGCTAAAGGCTAAAAAGAAGGCAAGAAAAGCAAGACAGAAGGCTGAAGCCGATGCTGCAGCGTTGGTGGAGGGTTCTGCTGAGGCATCGAGTCCGAACCCAACAGAGGAGGGTGCTCCTACAGAATCAGAACCAGTCCCGGAGACAGTTGCTAGCACAAGCACAATACCGGACGTTGTAGAAAGCACACCAGTGGTAGAAGAGGCAAAAGAAGCCGCCCCAGTCGTATCTCCCCCAGAACTTGAGATCACTATCCCCACAAATACATCTGGGGACGAGGTTCCATCGATAGCTGTTGAAGAATCCGTCCCAACATCTGCAAAAGAAGACGAAATCGCTGAAGCTAAGGCTGATCCGCAAACTGTGGAGACACATACTTCGTTGGACCTTCCCGAGACTGAAGAAACGCTGGCCGCTATCACACATGTCCCGGAGACACCGGTGGAGTCAACAGTTCCAACAGAAGAGTTGAAGAACGAGGTTGTAGCAGAGCCTACAGTCACGCTTTCCGCTCCAGCTTCTGAAGAAAAGGATGTAATTCCTGAATCCCAGGAAGCTGCACCCGTAGTCATCGTCGAAGAACCTACCACTACAGAGGAAAAGGAAACAAAAGATGATGAGCCAGTTGCTTCGACACCAGCAGCTCCGGAAATCGCGGTTGAAGAATCGAAACCAGTAGAGGTCGAAACTACAACGACAGCCCCAGTTTCTGAGGACAAAGATGAAGCTTCCGAACCTACAGCAACTACCACCACCACCACCACCACCGAAACTGTTGAGCCACCTGCAACCGTCGTAGAAGAATCTAAATCTGTCGAGCCGGAAGCTACCCTGCCAGCTGCCGCCCCTGAATCTGAAGAGAAGGATACTTCAGAGACTCCGGCCGTCACACAAGATGCTGTTGATGGACCTTCCGTGGTAGAAAACAAGGAAGAGAAAGACGATTCTGCAGTTATACCTACCGCAGAAGCACCCGAGATCCTGGAAACCAAGCCCGAGGAGCCCGCTTTAGTGGAGACAAAGGAGGAGAAGGACGATGTTGTAGTTCCACCTACCGCAGAGGTATCCGAGGCCCCAGAAAGCAAGATTGAGGAGCCTTCTTCGGTAGAAACTAAGGAGGAGAAGGAACACGATGAATCCCCAGCTACAGTCTCAACTACAGATGCCGCCCCTGCAGCGGTTGTAGAAGAAACCAAGCCAGAGGAGCCAGAAACTGCACCAGTAGCCCCAACTGAGACAGAAGAAGCCAAGGTTGAAGCCCCACCCGCTACCATTGAAGAATCCGTGGAAGAGAAGTCAGCAGATGCCCCAGTCACAACCGAAGCCGTCGAAGAACCCGCTACCAAGGCCGAAGACCTTACTGCGGAATCCAGTGGCGTTGTTGTTCCAGTAGCGGAGGAGAAGGAACAAGAAGCTCCTCTCGAAACCCCTGCTGCTCCCCAAGTAGTTGAAGAAGCACCATCTAAAGAGGAGGACAAGCATGTTGAAGCTGAAGCTTCAAGCACTGTTGTTGTTCCAATCGTCGAGGAGAAGGACGAGACTTCAGAAGCCCCAGCCGCCGAAAAGGCCGTCGAGCCAACATCGGTTGAGGAGCCAGTTCTGGAAAGCGGCAGTAAGCCAGAGGCCGACGAAGACGTTTCGGTGAAGGCTGTAGCCGACGAACCTGCTGCTGTGGAGCCTGCTGTTGTTGAGCCAACCAAGGAGGGAGAGAACGTTCAGGAGCCCGCCGAAACCGAAGCTCCAGTCGTTCCAACCGTTGTTGCAACAGAACACACAGTCGCCGACGAGAAGGCAGAAACAAAGGAATCCGAGCCTGAGGCTGAAGCCAAGGAATCCACTGAAACTGAAGCGGTGGACGCCCCCAAGGAAGATGAGACACCTACAGAAGCCGCCCACGAACCCAAGATCGAAGAGGTTAAGGACGTCACAGAATCTGAGGCCACAACTGCTGCCGCTCCGGAGACACTGGAGACAGTTGCAAGTGAAAAGGCACCGGAATTAACTATTGAACAGACCGAAACCGAGGTTCCTGCCACCACAGCCGATATTGCTATCCCCGCACCCGAAGAACCAGTTGCAGAGACAGCAATAGTTGAAGAAGCTGAGAGCAAAGCCGTCAAGGAGGATGAACCAGAATTTGCCCCAGCTGTGGTAGCTTCTGAGCTAGAGACCCTGGAGAAGAACGAGCCCACACAGGAAACCAAAGAGGAGGAGGCTGTCCCCGCTCCGGTTGTCGAAAGCCACAAGGAAGAAGAAGTCACTAAGCCAACCGAAACAGAGCCCGAGAAGACCCAGGAACCTGAAGAGGTACCACAGGTTCAGGAAGAAACTCGCACTGAGGAGACCAGCGAAAAGCCAACTTTGGACGAAGATGGCAAGCCATTCGAAGCTCCTATCTCCACCGAAGATGCTCCAATTCTCGCTGCCATAGAAGAAGTCCAGAATGCCGAAGACAAGGCCGAAGACAAGGCCGAAGTGGTTGAAACCCCAGCTCAAGAAACGGCTGCTATCGTCGATGTCCCCGAAACTTCCCAGGCCAGTGAACCAGCTACTGAAGAAACGGCGGCTCCAACGGAACCAGAAACGGAGGCATCAAGCGCAATTGTTGTTCCCGTGACTGAAGCAAACGAAGTTAAAGAAGAGTCACCCATTGTCGACGATAAAGAAACCCCAGCCGAAGCGGTGCAAGAAACGGAACCAGTCGCTACTGAGAAGGATGCTGTCCCTGATGTACACGAGGAGCCGGCTTTAGTAAAGGAAGAGACATTGAGCAGCGAGGTCACTGAATCTAGCGCGGCTGTTGTTCCAACGACCGAAGAGGCCCCTGCTGTTGAAACTTCTGAGGTTAAAGAGGAAGTACCTACCCCGGAGAAACACGAAGATGAAGCACATGTAGAGAAGGAAACTCCAACTGCACCAGCCCCGGAAGAAACCCATAGCCACGTCGAAAAGTCCGATACGGCCGAGGAGCCTGTCGCTGCCGATAAGGAGGTCGCAACAGAAGAAACCGCCAGCACAGTTGTGGTTCCAATTGTCCAAGAAGAAACCCCAGTTGTTGTTGAGGCTGAAAAGGCTGCTACTCAAGAACCGGAGGAAGATAAGCTAGCTGAGCCAAGTACCGCAGAACTTCCACAGGAGAGCGATGGTCACCTAGAACCCGAACAAACCACTGTAGTAGAAGACAAGGAAACTCCCTTGGAGCCTGTTGCAGATGTCGAAACTAAGACCGAGGAGCCAGCAGTTCCAGAAACCAACGTTGAGGAGGCTGTTGTCCCGCAAGTCGACGCTCCGACAGCCGTTGAAGAAAAACCAGAGACTGAGGAGAGCGCCGCTGTTTCCGAGCCAACTGCTGTCGAACCAGAGGCATCGAAGCCATCCGAAGAACTAGTTGCACAGGAACCAACTACTGAAGAAGTTCCAGTCAAAGAGCCTGTGGTTGACGAAGCTGAAGTTGCAAAGAGTGAGCCCGTAGACACCAAATCCGATGAGCCTGTTTCTGAATTGAAGGAAGAGATCCCAATCAAGGAGTCCGAGCCCGAAGTTCAAGCCCAGGAACCCACTGAATCTACACCTACCCCTGCTGTAGAGGAGGCCGCTGAACAAAACGAGGCTGTCCCAGAAGCTAAGGAAGAGAAGGAAGACGTTCCCGAAGCCACAGCAGTTTCTGCAGTTGTCTCGGAACCCGAGACCACTTCTGAAACCAAAGAGAGTACAGCTTCGAGCGAAGAGCCAGAGAAGTTGGCGGAGCAGGTATGAACTATTTGCCTTGAAATCGTCGTGTCGCCATTATCATAGAAATATACTAATGCAAAATGATTTTTAGCCTACCGCTGTGGAACCTGAGACCAAGGTCGAAGAACCAATAACTGAGTTGGCTGAGGAAGTTCCCGTCAAAGTCGATACAGAGGAGCCTACCGCCGCCCCGGTAGAGGAAGCCGCCAAACTAGAAGACTCCCCCACAGCTGTTGTAGAAGCGACTAAGGATGAGCCCTCTGAGGAGCCGATCTCGACCGAAGCCGTAAAGGAAGATGAGCCAGTCCTAGTGGAAGCTCCAAACGATGAACCACCAGTGGCTGAGACTAAAGAAGACAAGGTTGCCGAGCCTACAACCCAGCATGAACAGCTGACGGAAACTTCAGAACCAGTAGCCGAAAGCAAGCCAGAGGAACCAGTTTCTGAAGCTGAGATCAAATCGGAGGAACCCCAACCTGTTGTCGAGAAGGAAGAGGAACCCGCAGTAATCGCAAAAGAGGAACCTGTTCAGGCTTCTGAGGCTGTTACCGAACCTGAGGCCACCACTGCTGAGGATACCAAACCCGAACATTTGCCAACTAACGTTGAGCCTGAATCTGCTCCAACTTCTGAGCCGGTTGAGCCAGAGGCCGCCCCAGTTGAGACCGCCCAAGAGCCCACACTCGAACAAGATGATACCACAGCTTCTGCTGAAGAGCCTGCCACCGAAGAGGCCAAAGAAGAAGTTGCCCCGGCAGTTGAAAAGGCTCTCGAGCCAGCAGAAGGTACGTTAACATTCCAAAGTCATCTTGGTGATGATTTATTAACTTAAACAGAAACCCCAGTTGCGGAGACTGTTCACGAAAAGGAGCCAGTCACAGAAAGTGAGCCCGTCGTCGCCACCCCAGAGGAGTCGAAGGAAGAAGTTTCTGCTGAAGGATCGTCAACTGTCGAGGTCCCTGTGGTTATTTCGACCGACGAGCCCGCCAAACCAGTTGAACTCGAAACAGCTCCTGCGGCAACTGAAGAAACGGTTGCAGAACCCCAGACCACAACCGAGGCTGAGAGCGAACAAACTGTAGAGCCCGTCACCGAGGAAACCTCAATTGTTCCCGAAGTCGCTCCGACAGCCACCGAACCAGTCCAAGAAGGGGCTGTTCCGGAAGCTCAGGAAGAGCAGAAGGAAGAGGTTCATGAACAGCCAGTCATCAGCAGCGAAGAAGTTCCAAGCGCACCTGAACCTACTGCTGCCGCTGTCGAGGATCCAGTTGCCCAGGAATCTACTGAAGATAAGAAGGATGATTCTCACATCGCTGAAGCTGTCGTTGGCGGTGCCGCAATCCTTGGAGCTGGAGCTGTTGCCGCCGAGCTACTTTCTAAGGATGAACCTGAGGAAGCTGTCAAGGAGGTCGAAACTCCCGCCACAGTCGAGGAACCCGAAACTAAGCCCGCACCAGAGTCAGTGGAACTAGGTAAGTGGAAATGGGAACCCATTGGTGTATTAGCTCTAGCTCACATAGACATAGAAGAAAAAGTCCAGGAACCAGTCGCTGAAGCGCCCGCCGTTACTGCCACCGAACCTACTGAGCCGAAAGAAGAAACGTTACAAACCGAGTCACTCGAAGTTATCTCCTCTGATACTCTCGACAATGTCAAACCCAAGCTTGCTGACGAAGTCACCCCTGGTGTCTCCGCCCAGTTTGCTGAAGGAGAGACGGAGCCCGTGGGTGAAGAAAAGGCAGCTGATTTTGACGTTGCTACTGCCACCAGCGTTCCTACTCTGATTGGCGACGTTGAGATCGACCAAGACGAACTTCAAAAACCAAAGGAGGATATTCCAAAGGTTTCTGAAATTCTCGAGGAAACTCGGGAAGCTGAGCCCGTGGTTGAGAGCCAGCCAGCTCCAGAGTCAGTTGCAACCGAAACAATCACCGAGAGCGAATCAGTCCAACCTGTGTCCGAAGCCGTTACCGAGGAACCACACCAACCTACTCTCGAAAGGAGCCTCGAAGAGCCCCAGGCAGTCGAGGAGCCAGCCAAGACTGAAGAGGCAGTCCCTGTCGTCGAGCCTGTCGCTGAGCATGTCACTGAGCCTGTCGCTGAGCATGTCACTGAGCCTGTCGCGGAACATGTCACTGAGCCTGTCGTCGAAACTGTCGCCAAAGTTGAAGAGCCAGCCGAGGAATCTGTCAAAGAACCTGAAGCCCACTTTGAAGAACCTGTTAAAGAGCCTGAAGCCCCCGTTGAAGAGCTTGTCAAGGAGCCAGAAGTTCCAGCTGAAGATAAGGTCGACGAGTCGAACTTGATCCCAGTCATCGCTGCTGGCGCCGCCGTAGTTGGTGCTGGAGCTGTGGCTCTCGCCGTTCACGAAGGTTCTAAGGATGAGAACGAGCACGTCGAGGCCCCAGAGGAAAAACCCGTCCTAGAATCCGCTCCGGTCGAAACTGAGTCAGTAGTCCCCGAGGCAACTACTAAGGAGATTGCGCCATTAGCCATCGAGAATGCCACTGTTTTGTCCACTCAACCAGGGCATGTCGAAGAAAGGCAACTCCTTGAGCTTCCACCAGCTGGTAGTGGGGAAGGGCTCGTCTTTTCCGATGAATTAGCCAAAGAATTGGAGGCTTCTGAGAAACTACTTATCGAAGAAGCACAAAAAGAAGCCGAGGCTGCATCTGGAGCTCCATCTGAGATCCCACCAATCGCCCCTCCAAGGACTTTAGCCGATATCGTCAACGTCGAGCCAGCGGTTTCCGTTGAAGCACCAGCACCCGTTGAAGAACCAACAGTCGTTGAAGCACCAGTGGCTGTTGAAGAACCAGCAGCTGTTGAAGCACCGGTCACCGTCGAAGCTCCAGTGGCCGAAGGTAGCACCTTGCAAGAGGAGGTTAAATTGGAAGAACAAAACAAAGAGAACAAGACTGAAAGCAAAGAAATAATTGAAGAAGCCCAAGAAAATAAGGAAGAGAAGAAGGAGGAGGGTATTAGCACTAGTGATATTCTTCTTGGAGCAGCCGTCGGAGCTGGAGTATTGGGAGCTGGAGCTGCCGGTGCATATGTAATTGCGAATGGAAAGAAGGCAGAGAAGGAAGTTCCAAATGAGGTTTTGTCTGTTGAGAACAAGAAGCCAGAGCCTGTCGAGAGCAAACCAGAGACTGTGGTTTCGCTCGAACATAAAGAACCTGTAGTGGCGCCAATCGCTGCCGCACACGCTAACATCGTTGAGACTCCGCGCCAATCCGTGGAAGCTACCGAAGCACCAGGCAGCCCATCCCGCCAAAACCACGTCAAGGATCTTTTGCACCGGCTGAGCTCGCGCCCATCCTCGCCAACCGGAGACGAAACCCGGCCAAACTACTTCTCGAATCTCAGCAACGCTACCGCCACCCGCGAAGTCGAGACCGCCTCTCAAGAAGCGACCCAATACCGCGAGCTCGATAACCGCAAGAGCATGCCTTTGCTTTCTGCCGCGGATATTCCTGGTGGACCATCAACCATCGTCACTGAGGGCGAATCCAGCAAAGACAAATCGGCACCTTCTGGGCCAGCTGACGCCACGCCAGAAGGACAAGGAGGTAAGTATCCTTTTATTGCCAAAGCCACCGTTGCGATTGTAGTACTTAATGCTGCCGTTTATATGCTTAGTAGTGTCTTCTAATCAAAAAGACCGAAACGTGGAAGTGGAGGAGACAACTGGCGAGAGTGGTGATTTGGCTGTTCCGGCAGCTGGGGATGATGTTAGGCCCACCACGTCCAGAGCACCTACCATTGTAACGAGCCAGAGCAAGAATCGTCGCATTGCAACAGCATTTTTGCATATCTTCTTCTTTTCGTGGTTTGGAAGTGCCGGCAGGTTTTTCAGCGGATTGTTTGGAAAGGGCAAGAAGAACAAGACCACAGCGAGCGAGCAAGCTGCTGCTGGAAAATAAGTGTTCCCGAATGTTTTTTCTTTGTACGTTTGCTTCAAGATCGTTATACTACTATACACTTAATGCATAATGAGGGAGGACGTTTGTTTTTTATATGATTTACGATTTACACGAAGCCTGTTTTTGCTCACGGTCTCCCAGGTTTTTTCAGCGCTGTCTTTCGATGAAATGCATTTCTGTTTTTGTACTGCGTTGGCTTTGTTGCATTCTTCACATACGCAGATGCATATAGATCGTCAGTCGATACACCTCACGCGCGAATTTGATTTCGTTTTTGCAAAACTTCAGACTCAATTTTGTACAGTGTGATCAGATTTAGCCCTGTCAAATAATAGATCTATTTTCATTCCTATAAATAACTGGAGTTGACTCACCGATAGTGAGAGAAACTCCGCCTATTCTCTACGTTCTCGGACCATCCTCAGCCCAGCTCTGACATTGCATTGGCGCTTTGCACTACCAATCCCGGCCGCATTCCGGGCGTTCCTGCAAGTTAACTTACATAAGTCTAACTATAAATTCACGGAACTGGTACCTAAAGGCCCGGCCCGGCCTACGATAGCTCCATCTCCAGATCATCACACTCGGTCTTGAATTATCGGGGAGGTTGAAGACGAAATTTCCAAACTCCAAAGCTCCCATAACTATAGCAATCAATTGAATAGATATCCACATATATACACTCGTCCAAAATGGCTGAAGGCTGCTAGTAAGTACCACCAAGTCCAATCCATCAAGGGATGATGCATCAATGCAGCAAAATATGCGTGGAACATTATTAATAAAATATCTATATCATACAGTGGAAGATACTACTTCGCCTACGGTTCCAATCTCTGGCTGGCGCAGATGGCCCTCCGCTGTCCAGGAAGCACCTTCGTCTCTATCGCTCGCCTCGTAAACTACCGTTGGTTTATCTCCGAACGCGGGTACGCCAACATTGTCCGCTCGCCGGGGGATGAAGTATGGGGTATGATCTACACCCTAACATCGAATGATGAAGCAGCATTGGATATATACGAAGGAGTTCCACGTAATTACGTGAAGGAGATTCTACCGATAGACTTACCCGATGGCACGCCATTGATAGTATTGGCGTATATGGACCATCTGCACCTGGTCGATGGGGTAGTTAAGACGGAGTATATCAACCGGATGTCTTGTGGGATTCAAGATGCACGTAAAAAAGGGATGCCCGTGTCTTATGTGGAGAGGTACATGTTGGAACCGCTAGCTTTGGGGTCTAGTTTTCTAGATATGGATTCAAGGCCAGGAAGCAGTGGGGGTTTGTGTGTGAACCCCAATTGAGGACTTCTCAGACCTTTAGATAGCCCCTGTTATTCGGTTGGAAAGCCGATAGAGGCTCATATTTAGACCTAGATTGGGGAGGGTTCGTAGATAAAGCATACTTTAAGTACTTGGGTACCGAATTGAAGTCCTTCACATTATATCATATCATTACGCTAATTATTACAAAGAACTCCAAGTACATCCTTATAGAGGACTGGTATACTTTATCCAGAGATACACCAAGTTCGAAAAACGGAAACAGGATCAAGTAAACCCCCCCAGCTTCTACAAAGCAGCTGCAACCGCAGCAACAGCAAAGGCCAATGCTCCTCCAAAGGCCGGCATCGCGGTCGCCATAGCCACATTAGGTGAACTCGTAGTCGTCCTCCTCGTCGACGTCGTGGCCGGTATGCCAGTCTCGGTTTCCAAAGCCGAACTAGTAATCGATGTAGTAGGATCAGGTGTCGGTAACGCGCAACCGACGTCCCAAGTTCCATCATCTGCACCGGTAACATTCAGAGCCTTTGCCAAATTATCTGCCTCGTACAATGTTTTATTCTGGAATAGATCCCAGCCTCGAGCCTGATCATTCGAACAGTACTCAACCGTCCACTCCAACAATGCCGCTTCTCCTTCACACGCAGCGGTGAATTTGAAGTCCTGGATGTATCCATCGACGATGAGGGTAACGTATTCCCTTGTAACTGGTGGGTTTGTCAGATTCCATCTTAGATTGAACATTTGTATTGGTGCTGAGTCATTGATGAAGATCAATTGTTCTTTGAACTGGTAACCGTCCCAGATGATTGTTCTGGTGGCATTGGGTGCCGCGAGGGCCGAAGAGTTTGCAGGAGTGGGAGGATGGGTGACTCCGCGGTAGTCGAAGCTGAAGATGGTGGACCATTTGGTATTGAAGAAGTCACCGACGAGGGGGTAGATTGTTATTGGTGGAACGGGATAGGTTTTTCTAGATTGATTGATTATATTATATCAGTACGTGTACAAGTACCTAAGTATATATAGATCTATAGATGCATCCAGCATTGTCGTAAAGGATATATCATGTTCTAATATAGGCCAGAAGGAGGCTATGGATTACCTAACAGCAGTCGTGTTCGAAATCCCACCGCGCGGGCAGTCAAGCGCGACTGCAACTTGTGATATGAAACCACAGAAAACCGCGCCAACGGCCAAACAATAACGATTGAGCAACATCCTAAGAAGAGCTAACGAACGGAAGGCTTAAGATGTGGACTGCCGAACAAACGACGTCCAATATAGAATCTATGAAGCGAACGGCGCAAAAGGATATCGATAGCGACAGGAATATTAATAAGGACGATAAAAAGAAGGAAGATGGGCCATGGGTAGGGAATCGAGTGGCTTAATAAGATCCTGCAATCAATTCAGCCCAGAAGTGATCAGTGTTTTCGTTGATCCATCTTTCGATCGAAAGGGCAGGGCCAGCGCCAGGGGGCCCTTGTCGTGTCCGCCAGCAAGTCGTTATCGGGACCTGGTCTATTAATATTTGGCGGGCCGTCATGTAACATCGCCAACATTTTGTCAAGACCATGTTCAACGTTCATGTCACCAGTAAGTCTGAAGTCCAATTGACTTCCTCACACCTTGCATCGGGTTTCTAATATATTAATATATTATCTTGAGATGAATTCATGAAGTGAATCAATCGATATCATACTATGTGCTCATAAACCATAATTATAACTGACTCCATAGGAAGCTCAAGCTTAGAATATTACTCCGTGACATGCAAAAGCGATTTTCAATCTGCGGGAAATGAGGTTCACCCTTGGCGATATGATGCCAACCACTCACATTTGGACCTGCGTCTCGTTCACAATCGCTGGCAGCAATTTGGCTGACTCTGGTTACAGTGCAGAGCCCAAACATGCACACTTATCACTCGGCGCCACCCGATAGCGTGATCGGTTGCAGATATATAAGGCGAGGCTGAAGGTTATCTGAACCCGATAACGGCCCTCCAAGAGATAAAAGGCGTTCTTCGCAATCGGATTCTTGAGAATTCCAGTGGGCCAGCCCACGAACCAAACCTTGGCCTTTAACATACACCGGTGTAGTAGCACAAACGAAAAAAGTCCGTTGTGATCTCGATCAAGCAAGCTAATTGGCCTGTTCTAGGAAGGTCTGCAAATTTGACAGGGAGGATTATAACAAGTAAATAACCGACTCCCTCTCTCCTGCCCAAACTATCCGAGCCTCGAAACGAAGCGGCACTTATGTCCTACCCCAGGTATTTCTCCATGAGCGTCTACTTGGGTATGCGCTTGAACTTGGTTATCTGGGGTAAACTGGCAGGTATTGCCTCGTACCCAGCAACAGCAACAAAACATCCAACATGAGCTTACCATCTGCCTGATTCGAAGCCGATTATGTAAAAAAAAGTACGCCGTCCCGAACGTAAAATTGCCCTGCAGTGTCGCAGTTCGACACACTATAGCACTAACCCCACAAGGACATCGGTGTTCGATTCTTCTGGAAGTCCTGCAAGGGCAATTACTACAAAGTATACTCTTCCAGTTAGACACCATTAACTATGCTTCTGGTTTGGTAAACTCTTGGCTCCAGACATTTGCTCCAGGCTCCAATAGTTTCCAGGTTTGACAGAACAGCATCCTGGTCACAGCGAAAGAAAAAAAAAGGGCTTGCTTCACCAGAAAATTTTCGAAAAGAAAAAAAACTGGCTTCGAATTTACGATCACCGGTTGCCTGGTTTTGTCCTACCCATCTCAATGGATATCCGACCTAGATGGTGGAATCGCCGAGCCGAAACAGTACCGATGTAGCGCCAGTCCCTTCGAGGAAAGTGCTCGTCTGAGAATACTTAAGCACCGTCAGATGTCTTCAGACATGATAACTCCCAATTTCTCCTCCATTTGAAATTGATCAAGTGCAGGAGAGCAAGGGAGGAAAAAAAGCTTATATAAGTCCTGGGGAGCCGTTCCTCCGAAAAAACTCAAAATGCTCAATTAGCCTTCCCGAGGATAACCAGGGCGCACAATCGCAGAAACCTCGTTCTACATGTTATCTCTTCTCTAAAGGACCCCCAACTTTCACTTCTTCCGTCAATTCAATGTCGGGCCAATCGAGCGACGTTGGCGATGTTGGCGAAAAGCAATTCGACCGTAGCCATGATCACAAACAGATCGTTGATCACGCTAAGGCGGCTACCGATAAAGAGGAAAACATGACCCTGTGGCAAGGCATCAGACTATACCCAAAGGCGATTGCATGGAGTGTCTTGATCTCGACATGCATTGCTATGGAAGGCTATGACCTCTGCCTCCTCGGCAACTTCTACGCCTTCCCACAATTCAATCGTCAATTCGGAGGGCCTGATGGAAAAGGCGGCTTTCAGGTTTCAGCACCGTGGCAGGCAGGATTATCGAATGGCGCAAACGTCGGCGAATTTATAGGCCTATTGATAAATGGCATCGTATCCGAGCGGTTTGGATATAAAAAGACAGTTCTCGTATGTCTCGCCATCATGGCCGGACTCATCGCGATACCCGTTACAGCAACATCGGTCGAGGCGCTATTGGTTTACTATGTCCTTGCTGGAATCCCGTGGGGTATTTGGCAAACGTTGACGATTTCATACGCTGCCGAGGTCTGCCCGGTTGCTCTGAGGGGGTACTTGACGTCATATGTTAATTTCTGCTGGGGTCTTGGACAAGTTATTGGAGTCGGTGTTATCAAGTCACAGCTAGGGAGGGAGGATTCTTGGGCTTATAAGCTTCCATGGGCACTTCAGTGGATGTGGATCCCACCTCTCTTCATTGGTATCCTCTTTGCGCCAGAGTCGCCATGGCTTCTTGTCAGAAAGAACAAGTTGGAAGAAGCAAAGCGCAACTTATTACGATTAACAACCTCGAACAAAGAAACCGACTTCGACGCCGACGAAACTATATCCATGATGGTACATACGACGGAGATCGAAAAACAAGCCACCGTAGGCGCTACATACCTCGATTGCTTCCGCGGAATCAACCTTCGCCGAACGGAAATCACCTGTATGGTTTGGGCGATCCAAAATCTTTCCGGAAATTCGTTCACCGGTTACTCAACGTACTTTTTCCAACAAGCTGGGATTAAAACTGACGATGCGTTTTCGTTTACACTCGGTCAATTTGGTATCAATATGGTTGGAGTTTTCGGTGCCTGGGCGTTGATGTCTTGGGGTATCGGTCGTAGATCGCTCTACCTGTACGGTCTCTGTGGGCTTTTCACAATGCTTTTGTTGATTGGATGCCTCCACTTTGTTCCCGCATCAAGTTCGAATCAGGCAGCATATGCTACCGGAGGACTCATGCTCGGGTGGGCAACTGTATACCAATTGACTGTTGGAACCATCTGCTTCTCCCTAGTTGGCGAAATCCCAAGTCGAAGACTTTTAATCAAGACGGTTGCCTTGGGGCGTTGCGCATACATTGTCGTCGGCATCGTATGCAGCGTCCTAACGCCGTATATGATTAATCCTACGGCATGGAATTGGCAAAAACTAACGGCGTTCTTTTGGGCGGCTATTTGTTTCTGTTCGATCATCTATACCTACTTTCGAATCCCTGAGCCTACCGGAAAATCGTTCGCGGAACTTGATCTTCTATTCGAGCAAGGAATAGGCGCCAGGAAGTTCGCTTCCACCAAGACTAACGTTTATGAATCTGAACAGTCGGAGAGGGCTGCTTTGGAGGTAGAAAAGGAAGCGCCAGCATATCTTGAGAAAGCATAGAAGGATGAGGATTAGATCACTGTAGATCTTTACATGCCTGTGGTGTTTCTTTGAGTTTTGTTTTTGACGGTATAGTCTCCATAGACAGTACACAATCGTGATAATGCATTGTGACTTATAACGACCACACTCGTTGCATTTTTTCGAGACACCTTGTTTGATTTAATATCTTTAGCCAACAGCATATGACTTCGTTTTTTTTACAAGAGCACTGCATGCATGGCCATATGGAGAAACGGTCGTTTATTATAGTATAGGGAGAAACCTACATTTTTTGAATATATATAATGGCATAGTTCATAATTCATTCCAAGCCCAATGGTATACCGGTGATTAAACAGATATATTACATGATAGAACCAACATTCGAATGATATGTAATATACACGAAATGCTAACAGGCTAGAAACGTAGTATTCTAACGCCAAATTTAAGAGAACATGATCTTGATACTCCCCTCCTAAACTCCAGTCAAATATACAAACCTACGTATGTATGGATATATATATATACTTTGTATCAATTAATATTACCTTTCCCGATCTTCCCTTCCTTACTAACCTTCACCCCCGCTATAGCTTTTCCCACAGCATCAATAAAAGTATGCTCATCCACAAGAACATTGTCCTCCTGCCAATTAATCCCAGACTTGCCTTCCCTCTTCTCTGCCTGAATTTGAAAATACCCAAGCCCTATCATCCTCGCAAGATTTCCAAATCCAAAATACACAAATGGCTCCGGCTGTGTTAGCTCTATAAGCGCTGCGCCCTTTCTAAGAAACAATGTATGTGTCAATCCGGCTCCCGTAACACCTATAAGGATATCAGTTTTCCTTATCATTCGCAGTTGCTCCGTTACATCCAATTTTTCTAGCTTCGTGATCTCGATGTCAACATCTGGGTAGGTCTTTTGCAGGATTTTGACGTAATCGAATAGTCGTAGTATCTTCCTATTCTTCTGTCTTCCAATAATCTTGATCTTTATTTTCTCTTCGACGGTTTTTGGATTCGAATCTACGACCGCAGGGGTACGTGTATCATCATCTTCTGCTCCATAAAACTTCAAAACCTTCGTCACAAACTCATCCACCAAAGTTGACCTTTCGCAATTCCTCTCCTTCCAATGATCCTTCCAGAATGGATTCGCCCCGCCGGCTAAAGGTAATATAACGGATCTATAACACCCGTCTTTCAATTCTTTAACATCTTTAACATCCTTTCCTGTAACCACGTTCCATAATCCAAATACTGGCGAAGCATTCATTTCGCTTTCCATATTTGCTTGGATATAGATCTTTATATTCTCTTCCTCCCAAAGTTTTTCATCTTCGTTTGTACCACTGCTTATACCAAATAGCATCTCTTTAGCCTTCTGTGCCCTCTTTAATGTATCCAGCGTTAACACCGCCGACCATACTTCCATCAACGTATGCCATATATTCCCCCCTCCTTCTAATTTAACCAACATAATCGACCCACTGCACTCCTTCTCTTCGCCAATATCCCCATCCTCTTCATCCTCATACCCCTTTATACTCATATCAAACTGACTCAGTTGTGGTCCAGCCCCCGTTCCCGAAAAATATGTACGAAACTTATAAGGTGCTTGGACCCCAGAACTCCAATCTTGTTTCGCGGAACAATTCAACAACCATTCCTTTTGCGAAAAGCTCCAGGGGGAGGAGAATTGCCGACGTGTGTGACGGTTATAATACTTTTGCTTTCGTACTGCAGACGGTTTGTCGAAATCGCGTCTATAAGGTCTTGAAGGTCGTGTATTCTTCTTCTGCTCTTCGCCATCACCAGCACCAGCAGCTCCTGTATTCCTAGCAGTACCAGGCGGTAAAATCCCATCCGTGGGGAATAAATCCTCCTTTTTAAAATCTGGCCGTACCGGTGTAGCAGCTAAATCCTTATCGGTATCAACCGTATAAACCGCATTTTTCGCTACACAAAAGTTATCGGGTTCTTCCTCGATTTGGGATTGAAAACATATCATCCCTCCATCTCTGCTGCTGCTGCTGCTGCTGCCTCCCTTACTTATAGTAATAATAGGGTTTATTCCAGGATTACTACAAGAAACAGCCCAGGTATTCGCCAGATCATCAAGATATCGCGTTCCAGCTACTCGTAAGCACCAATCGTTTCCTTTTTTTTCGTCATCATAACTATAACCACCCGCAGTTTCTTGGTTATCGGTGTGCCGGTAGTCGGTATGGTCTTCATCAACTACTCTTACATCAGTAGCGGTGGTAGGGGTATTATCCTGCTTTGGAAGATTTGGTTTCGATGTTGAAATTTCAATGGGCGAGAGGTAATCACGGACGTTGGACGAGACAGCAGCGTGATAGAAGGCGTAGTTTATACCCAAAAACAGCAGGGCAAGGGCGAATATCAATGTCGACAGGAGACGTTTGTTTAGGTTTAAAATCATTATTGATTATCGTTATTACCGTCGGCAGACCAAAAGGCACGACAAGGGAGGGGGGCAATCGATGATATTAATGACGAATCGTTAAGCTCATGGTAAGGGTCTCCAGGCTGGAGAGCGATGGCCCGCAGGGCGCAATTATAGAGCTCAAACGTAAAGCCACGTTGAAATCTGTTGATATCCTTAAAAATAGCGCATGGATTAAATTACGTGGTCTGATTTGTTTTGTTTCTTTGAGTGTAGGGTCTGTGAGGTTGGTTCGTGGCGAGCTATGGGGATATATCTCAAACTTCGCGTTCGTTAGAACTTTAATCTGCTACCCAGGTTAGAGTTGGTTGGTCCCTGCGAAAGCCAGGGGTCCAAGCTGCAGCCAGAGGTGCGCTAAGCTTTTTCGGAACCGAGCCTAGGATAAACCCGCTAGAATTCGACAAGGTGAAGTTGATTTCATTATCATCAGCGTCCTCCAGACTAATTATCATCTATTCGGTCTAAAGGATATGAATTCATGAATGGTATTTTGATTCAATTTCAGAAACATCAACCCCACATGAATACAGAAGAGAAGGAAAGAACAGCAGAAACGAAAACCGAACGAGAAATCAACGCTAACGTATAACTGCGTAGTTGCTATTAATAGTAAATGAGGGGGGTGGGGGGAAGAACATTGTTTCAATGTTGTGTTTTGTCCATGAAGGGAAAAGAGATAAGAAAAGGCTACCGTTCCAACCCCTCCCGTATATCTTCGAGTTGCTTAGACCATCCGGGATAGCTAGGTAGCTTTCAAAAAGAAACTTCGGCTCTATGAGAAATATCGATGAACCCGAAAAGTAAAAACGGTAAAAACAGAGGGAGAAAGGAAAAAGCCGGCGGTGTCCGAGTTTGGTAAGATGTGGCCATCAGAGAGCGCATATACACTGGGTTCCGGTGGGATCTAGTTTGGTATACGGCCCATTCCACGGATGTGCGACGAAGAAATCCCTATAAATTCACAAGTTATTAGTTCCAGAACATGTAGAATGGCATGGAAAGAAGCTTCATACTTCGGTTTTGCCAATGTAACACTAGCGTCTAAACCTTCTCTCATCGCCTTCATCTCCTTGTCGTTCAAGCTGACAACAATTCTTTCACCACCAAATTCATCTCCTTCGTTATAAGTCGACTCATTAACCAAGTTGCTCTTATAGTTCTTATGGACCTCCAAGAAAGCGCTGAGATCGTTGACATCTTGGAATGGCTGGACTGTCTTATCCGTCATCGTGTAGGTGTTGACATGAGCGGATCGCTCATGGCAGCCGATGTATGTTAATCCGACATTCTTCATCTCATTAAGCTTCTTTCGACGCATATCGATATTATCGAGATATGCTTCGAGATTCTTGTACTCTTCCTCCGTGAATGTAACGTAAAGCTTCTTAAGACTTAGTCCTTGTCGGGTTTTTGCCTGCGCCTTCATGGTATCGTGGAGGGCAATGAGGCTCCTATTATCGATTTCGGTCTCAAGTCTTTGAATCTTGGGAAGACGGCAGATCTTATCCCAGAAAATGCCAACATCTTCGTAGTTTGAAAGAGGCTCTTCAATCCACAAGCTCCTGAGGTTACGAAGCAAGATCTGACCATCGGCGTGGTCACCCATGAAGCCAAGAATAAAGGCTGGAAGACCGCTAGGTCGGTAGGTGTTTACGACAAAGTTTTCCAATACACGCATATCAACGGCGGCCATTATAGCTTCGACTTTCTTAGGAAGGTCGATGAAGAACGTAATGTCCATGGTTGTGAGCTTGAGCTTCTTGTCCTCCTCTCCCTGGCCCTGCCAACCATCAAAAACATCAAACGGAGAGAGTCCCTGCTTGGCCGCAATTACAAGCTCTCGGAGGGTATCTTTGACACACCAAAGAAGATTGCGAAGCTTCTCAGTTTCCAGGCGAGTAAGCCAGAGAAAGTGGAGCGTACGGATGTTGGAAAGGACCGGCCCGAGAGGTTCTGACGGGAGCAGGGAGCTATTCAGCGGTGGGAGCTTGGCGTAGAGACAATCAACACTAGAAACATCCTCAAAGATAAGCTCCTGCATAGCCACTGTTTTCTGGGTTGGATCATTAAGCTTGGTGAGCATGGACTCAAGCAAGCTGTTGTCGTCGGAGCAACACATGGCGTATCGGAAGCTGGTGAGCTTCTTCATGGAGGCCAACTGGATGACAGGTTCGATGGTGAGCGTTGTGCAATCGGAGTGGCGGCACTCATTGGTGATAACGACAGTCCTCGTGTGTTGAACGAACGGCTTGAGGTTATCTTCTGGATCCGAGTCGAAGTATCCGGATACAATATCTACGTCCGTCGTAACCCCGTTCATATAGCGGTAGTTACACCAATATGGTCGAGGGACTGGAAATATACCGACAGCGTGACGTGGTGGGAGGTTCTTGGAGTGATATCTGTTCATTGAGCGCTTTTTAGCACGATCTCGACGGGCTGCCGGGTTTCCGAGATCGATGGGTTCATCGACTTCAACTTCTTTGGCGGCATCGACTTCATTACCGGTGGTGGGAGGGAGTGGCTGTAGTTGGAGACAGTGTGTTTGAAGACCGACAGAAGAGTACAAGATCGGGATAGCCCATTCGCGGAATTTCTTGCATGTTCGAGCAGCTACTGTAAGGCCGTGGATATCGCGGAGGTCATGCATAGACTGGAAGATTTGGAGCCATATTTCCGCCGGGATGAAGTGGAGGTAGTCTACATCGGTCTCCTTCCCTTTGCCTTTCTCGGTGAAGGAAGTCATTTTGCGAAGCTGGCTAGAAGCTCGAACTATCTAGCTGAGATTATTCGGACCGGGATAGGGCAGGTAGGTAAGGTAGGGTATGTAGGATTATGTATTACAGAACGAATTGGCGGTAGTGGAACCGGACGTGAGATTAGCTTTCTCGGTTGGGTTTTTGGTTTTAGGAGTGCTTTGGATCGAATGCGGGGTGACCGTGACGATATTCGAAGGATCGGTACCTCAAACTGCCTCGTTCTGGCCGACGTGGTCTAAAATACTATACAACGGATTAATAACAGACCCGTCGAACTTGCAAGTAACGATGATGGCTACGCTGCAATGGCACATATAGTGGGAATCGGAGAGATGATAATTACTACTTACCACGATGGGATTGTGGGATGTGCCTTAGACGGTGTGGTCTTGTTTGTAGATTGCCTAAGAGGGGGGTTCTAGACTGAACAGGGTCGGCCGAGGAGGATGGTATGTTTGGGTGGATAATAATGTATGTTATCGATTAAGTGCTTAGTTATGCCGAGAACGAGCACGAGTGCTAGCTATGTTGCGCTATCGTTCAACCCAGCAACCTCCAACACTACTAGTTAACAGGGATGTTGATATTGATGTTTGTCAGCAGGAATGCTCTTTTGTTGCTGTTCGCTTTCCAGTCAGAGAGAGGGGTAAGGGGTGGTGAGGTTGAGAATGGTGATGAGTGATGAGTGATAAGTGATGGGTGATAGTGAGGTTGAAGAGGTGAAGGAGGAGGAGGATGAAGGGGAGCTGGAGGAGGGGGGAGGAAGACCTGAGGGAGCTGCTACACAATCAATCTCAACCACCACCACCACCACCACCAACGTTGCAAACCAACAGGGCTGCCTACAAATTGCCAAAATTCCAAACTACTAGCATAAAATATTTAACCTAAGAAAGTAAGCACTTGAATAGCTAATCCGGGAATGGAAACCACGGAAAGGGACGATAATTCTGCAAACGGTAGCTATTCGTTCTCATTCAGATATATAACCTTGGCTATTATACTGACTGGTCAATCAATCATCCGACACACATCTGTGCTTTAGAATAGCAATATTCTGTAAATATGCTGGTACCAGGACCCTCCTATGGGGAACATTGGAAATTCGTAGTGATATAGCATTAATACCCTGCCCAAAGAATTATTCTACTTTTGTTTCCAGTGTTATAATAAAGAGGATATGGCCGACAAACGGCAATGCAGACGCGCAAGTTCAAATCCAAAAGATGGCTAACGAGAGTAGGAAATATAATAATATGAACATAAGAAATATGCCAGTATAAAGGTTACTAGGTATGATATGGTATACGTATGGTAATGCACGATGGGGATCTAAAGAGCCAGCCAATCATCAAATACAAAAAAAAAGTACTACACAGACAAGGAAACTTCAACGATTACATCTACGGCTTCCCGTAAGCGTCAAGCCTGTTTCCGGCACCACACTTCTGGGCTAGGTTACCCTTGCAGGCGAAGCTGCATTCACCCGTTGGAACAGGGCCACCACTTGGGGACACGTTCAGGACATTACCGCACCAACATCTATTGTTAAGTAAATTCGTTAGCCAATGTCCCTATTCGCTCTTGGAGAAAATCATATATGGAAACTTACTCTCGTCCGTATTCGAGACCGAAATATTTGTAGGCAGCACAAGCAATGGCACACTTCTCAACCGTCATGGTGTCATCCGCATATAAAGCATTTGGCATGGCGCGGACACCGCTAGGCTCCTTATAGCAGCCCATGGTGGTGAAGGCACCAACAGTGCTAGGGTTACCCGTCACTACGACAGCTGTTGTAGTTGTCGTAGGTGGTCTTGTGGTTGTAGTTGTGGTGGTAGTCGTGGCTGCAGTTGTGCTTGGTGTCGTAGTTCGTGATGTCGTTGTCGTAGTGGTTGTTGTAGTCGTCGTGCTTGGAGTGGTCGTCCTCGAGCTAGTGGTGGTGGTGGTAGTCGTGGTCGTGGTCGTTGTGCTTGACGTAGTTGCGCTTGACGTAGTTGCGCTTGATGTGGTTGCGCTTGATGTGGTTGCACTTGATGTAGTCGCACTTGATGTAGTCGCACTTGATGTAGTCGCGCTTGGTGTAGTTGTGCTCGACGTGGTTGCGCTCGATGTCGTCGTCGTCGTAGTGGTGGTGGTAGTGGTGGTCGTGCTAGACGTAGTCGTTGGGCTCGAAGTTGTCGTGGTAGCTTAAAAACACATGTTAGTCTGCACGTTCAAATACCTCTCAAGGTGTGAGAAATGTAAGGTTTGACTTACTCGTAGTAGTAGTCGTAGAACTTGGTGTAGTCGTGCTGCTCGAACTTGTAGTAGTTGTCGTCGTCGTGGTCGTAGTAGAGCTGACAGCGGCGGGGTCAAACTTGTAGTAATTGAACTTGCTTCCAGCACCGCATTTCTCTGCAGGATTTCCAGGACAGTCAAAGCTGCACTGTTCGATTGGTAGCTGCGTGGCCTGGGGTCTAATGGAAGACCCGGCCCAACATTCCTGGCCGTATTCGACACCGCAGTGAGTAAATCCCCTTTGGATAGCAGCATCAATACACATCTCGATGTACATAGATGAGTTGGCCGCAATTAGTTGAGGCAGAGCGCGATCACCACCAGGTTGAGCATAACATCCCTGGTTAACGAAGCCCTTATAAACTGATGGGTTGGCAGTTTGAGTCGGGGATGGGGTAGTCGATGTTGGTCCCGCCGTTGTCGTCGTTCCAGAAGGCTGTTGACCAGGGGTGTACTTGTCAGACCTGGCGAAGAGGGAAATGAAGGCACCATTATTGATATTAGAAAATCCATTACCACCACAAGTCTGGGAATCAGACAAGGAGCATCCGAAGCTACACTCTCCCTCAGGGACGAAATCCTTTGGAACGGTATTACCGCACCAACATTCGGAGTGGTATTGAGTACCGGCGAATGTCCATCCGGCATTAAAACAGGCGGTGATACAGGCCTGGTTGTCGTTAGGGTTGGCGTTTTTAGAGTCCCTACTCCAAAGTTGAGACTGTAGCTGACGGCCAGGGTTGTTCTCCTTTGCACAACCGACATATCGGAAGAGACCAGTAGTGCTGTTTGTCAGAGGTCCAAACTGTTGGGAGATGGCATTGCACTCAAACTGGAAAGTCTGCTTGCCGAAAGATGGATCGTTGATGTTCATGGTCCAAACAGCGGTTCCCTTGTAGGGATCAGTGTTAACTTGGGTCCTTGGGACGGAACAGTAGAGAGTAGCAGTTTCGGATTGACCTGTCGGGATGAGAACACCCTCTCCGAGGTCGACACCGTTAACGGCGCCAACAATGCTGCCAGAACCAACAGGAGGCTTCGAGACAGTAATGGAGAGAGAGGCAGCATTTGGTCCACCATTGTTTGTGATACGGAGCTTGAGATTGGTTGTGTTCTGCTGAAGAACATCACCGAACGAGAATGGAACATTAGGGTCAAATGGAGCCCATCCGCCGTTATTCGGCCTCTCGAATTCGACAACGGCCTTTGGTGGATCTGCAGCAGTGGCTAAGATGCTGGCAGTCTTGCTTCCGGCGCTAGTGTTTACCTTGACATAAACGGTATAGGACGACGAAACGGTAGTGTAGAAATTGACGTTCACATCCGCGCCGCTATTTGCAGACACCGACGTTGGGAGGTCGTAGAAAGTGAACGGACCGACTTTCTGGGTGTTCCCACTGACGACAGGGTTAACCCATGGGCCAGTAGGAGACTGAGTGGAAAATTGATATGAGGTGACTGTAAGCGGCGAGTCACCATCATTAGCAATGATGAAAGTTTGGTCGACACCAGTGTTAGACGATCCAGTGATGTAACCAGCGAAGGTAACAGTTTCAGGGCGAATGGCCAAGAGAGCAGCGGGCGAACGACCGGTACCAGACAAAGAGACGGAAACTTGGGTAGAGTATCCAACGACATTGTTGACGGTGTTGAGGTAGACGTCAGCAGTCAACGATCTGACAGACTGTGGCTTGAAGAAAGCCGTAAACGTAAAGTTTGAGCCAGCGGCGATATTAGTCGGGAGAGTGGGAAGGGTACCAAGCTCGAAGTTGGTGGCAGATGAGAGATCAGCACTGGTAACCTGGAGGGCAATTTTAGCCCGGCAGGAAATAGTCTTCGCGGCGGATTTGGTGCCGATGTCAGTGGTACCAAAATCGTATGGGTCTGAGCACTCGAAAGGAGAATTGACTGGTGACCCAAATGCGTAGATGAATCCCTGGTTGGTACCGATATAGGCAATACCATTACCGAACACTGGCTTTTGGAACTTGGTTACACCAGGGACAGAGAAGGTTCGAAGAGTTTGGATGATTCCGTTTTCAGGAACAGCCTTGTAGACACGGAAATTGAATCCTTGGACATCAGATACCCAAACAAGACCACTGTTCGCCTTTCCTGGGAAGGAGGTAGTAGTACCGTGTCCGACACCAAGAACGTAAGCATTCTTCTCAGTACTGTAGGCGACTGGAACAAATCGAGGGTTTCCGTTTGCATCGCAGCTGAATTGGAAGACACGAGTGGGATATTGGATAACGTTGATGTAGATATACCCGCTAGTGGCAGACAAGGGATAGAAGCCAGCACCGGAATAAACTGAGTTCTCGTTCTGATAAACGGCGAGAATAGCATCCTGCTTGGTAGGACTCATACAGTAACCCCCCAAGTTGTCAAGGTTGAGGAAATAGGTTTTCCCGTTTTTACCTGTGATAACACCGATACGTTGGACATTTGGACAGCTGTAAGGAGATATGTTAAGCGGGGATGTTCCCAGATCTTGATCAGCACCGTCGAGTGCCTCTTTTTCGTAAGGCATGAAAAAGTCGACGACAGCAATAGAGCCGTCCTCCTGAATGGTGGCATGAACGGCAGCTTCTTCTAAAGCGGATGGAGGTTGTCTACCAGGGACGGGGGTACCATGCAGCTGGGAAGCATAACCATTACCAGTCGCGAACCACATAGAGCCCTTGTTATCGGAGGCAATACCACCACCGGACATCCAAATACCACCACCTTTGATGTTGATGTTTTCAGGACCACCCTGCATAGCATAGCTTTCGACGATGGCTCCGGAACTCTTTTCCCATCCGACCAACCAACCGGAGAAGTTGTACTGGACACAATGGGAGGCGAAACCGGCATAGATGAAATTATTGTGCTGCATCAAGGCTGGGCGTTGATGTTGGTTACCACCTTTGAACAGTCTCTTAGGGTTGTTTCTGGCGGCGAGATCCTCAAGTGGTACAGGGAAGTTCGGTCTGTCGTTAAGAGTGGTCGTATCAATAGCATAGATGAAATATCTACCATTGAGGCGACCCTTTTCAACGTCACTTTGATCTCTGTATGTTTTGATAGTCAAGTACCATGTTTCCGTCGCGGGATCGATAACACCAGTAGCCTATAATTATATAAGAATGCAAGTCAGAAAACTGCCATTTTCCACAATTCCACAATTTTAACACGCACAGTATTTCCAACATGTGGGTTGATATCCAAACATCCGTCGAGGTCAGCGGTCAAGAAAGGAACAGCAAGATTACGGCTGGCAACAATATCACCAGTCTTGGCATTAATCTTATAGACGTTGTTCTGAGTGGTCGATACGTAAACGTATTGCGTACCATCACCGTTTGGTGTGAACACTAGAGGTTGAGCGAACATCTGCTCTTTGACATTTAGGTTTCTGTAGTTTCCGGGGAGCGCCGTCCTCCACAGTTGACCAAAGGCACTAGATGAAACGACCGCGGGGTCCATGTTGTGATTTCTAAAGACCCATTCGTTAGCATAGGAGACTTCAAAGCTACTTTGAATGTATTAATATGTTAGGGTAACATACGTCTCGTAACATGCTCTCGAGTTATCACCACAACTGGTGATTGTATCCGTAGCCCCCAGAGACGAGACTAGAGGAGTCCAATTGAAAACGGCCAAAGCCGTGGCGAGCAGGCCGCCCGCAGAGCGAAGGTACTTCATAGTCGATTACAAGCAAGTACAGAATGAAAGATTTATTGCATTAGGTCCCTCCAAAGAAAAGAAAAAGCTAAGAAGTATCACCAAGTCTATATTCCCGCGTTGAAATTGTTGTAATTTGTCGTGTTAGAAATGAACAAAACCGACGCCGTTTTTCTGCTGGTGTCCGATCGATTATAAAAAAATAATTACGATTAAGTATAATACCCCGTCGGAACAACTTCGCCAACCTAGTCGAAATAGAATTGACGACGAAGCCGATTGTGAAAATTTATGAACGAGTGAAACTACGCAAAGTGCGTATAACGGGGCAATGGGCGAGAAGTGGGCGAGAAGCAAAAAGGCAGAAGAGACCCGCGACGAGCGATGGAGGGGATCCAAAGCTCATATACTCAGACAGTTTCCGAGCAGGGGGCTCGCACTTTTGGCGGCCTCCATCATTCAGCGCGACTTTCAGCTCTGACTTGGCGTGCTCGGCCAGAAACAGCACGATGGGCCCAAATTACAACGGATCAGACAGGTGCTTCTGTCGTTCCTTGCTTCCGTAGTGATTCGAAATTTAGTCCAGGGCGCCATGGGGGGTCTCGGCAGGCCTGCAGGCGGGAGAAATAGGTCGTGGCACCACCGCCTGCATGGGCCGAGCGTTTGCCAGGGGAATGGTATTCGCCCTAAGGCCTAGTCCCACCAGGGACCATCCTCACCGGGTTAAGGCACTGCCCATTTAATATTACTGGAGTAGTATGCAGTCAGGATAATATCCAACTATCGTGCTATAATTTCGTAATTAATTCTATCAGACCACGAGTCTTGTTGAGCCGCAGATAAACCCCCGCGATCCTCGGACCAGCAAGATCAAAAACGGGGTTTTCAGTCTAATCAACGTTCCCCATCCGTGGTGGTATCAATATAATATCATGGGCGAGTTGAGTCGACCAAGTCAACGGATGCTCAACATTGAGTCCAACCATGCACTCACTCACGGCTTTTGCAGAGAATAATTGAATTAGACCCCCTGTGCCAGGAACCCAGTCGTGCACGTTGCTCAGCAGGAACTGCAGGAACTTCAGAGTTCATGCAATACTCCCAACTCCTTCCTACCGCCATCGTCACACTGGTGACGAGAAAGAAGGAGCCTGCCTAAGACGGCGAAACAAAGCCTCCTAGACTTTCCAATCCACTTGGTTTTTTGACTAGATTCTCCTTGATTCTTTCCTCTTTTGTTCGGCTGGGAACCTGCAGCCACGGCGGTCCCACAATGCTTTTTCCCTTGGTGCCTGTACTCCAGACACAAACTCGGCTACCCGGTACGGAAAACACTTATCTTTTTTGGTAAAAGGGGTAAAATACCAAATCGACAGTTAACGTTCTACTGCGCAGATACGTTCGCCTCTCAATACCACAAAGTATTTAAACAGCCCCAGCTGTATGGAATGTCGTCAAGAAAGACATGATCATGAAGTTATGTTGGTTTTTCTGATAAAACAATGTTGGCTTTGACCCGAGTCCGGGAAAATAGGGCCCGGATAGATTATCCGTACTTACAATTGTTGGACCCACCCAAATTAACTAGTGGGCTTGAAGTTGATTGTAATTGATGATATCGTATTTCGCCTGCCATGCAGCACAAAAAAAGTACCTTTTGATTTTCCTTACAGGCATTTCGGGTTAAGATTGCCAGTTGTTCGGCTCAATTGGAAGGCGGGATTCTTCCTGCAGAGGCCTGCATCCTTTTTGCGATTGCGATCACTATAAAATGCGAATGCTGTACCGACAATGAACTGATCCTGAGGTGATGTTTTCGCGCTCCTTTCATAATTTTATAAAAAGTGAACACAAACATGGCATTTTAGGAATATGAATAATACTACATAGTAAGTTCCTTTTACAAACGCCACGGCCATGGAACAAGGTTCTATAGCTCAGCGCGATGCGACTGCGCAGGATACATAGTAGCATGCTAGTATAATGTATAACACGAAATGTTATCAAGGTTCGTCTCTCGTTAGACCTGGTTCAGGGTTGCTTTTTCCCCAGTTGCAGGATCAGGACCTGCTTTTGATCTGCACACATCTATCTATTGTTAAGTTTTACCCTCTGGATCAATTGCAAGGGCTCGATATGAAGATAGCTTCACCGGTCAAGATCCGCCCTGTTTTGGATCTCCCTCCAGATTTAATTTTTCCCACCAAGCAGTTGCACGCTGATTCCTCTGCTAGCAATAAGATTATTATTTTTGAATATGAAATTGCTGTGACGCGGGCGACTATGTCCGTCCCAACGCTAATTAGAGGTCCCGACGGCATGCTCCCATTGACTCTGAATAAAGGGGCCGCGCAAGGCCCCAAGGACCACAAACTCCATCTGAAGCCGCAACACCAAAGCGCTGTACGTCATCTCACCAAAGCGAAATTAGGGAAAGTGTATTTTTACACAAGCAAGGGCTGCTTCACCAGAGTCTTGTTCCGTCTTTACAGCACACTTTTGAGCAATGCATAATCATGCGTGAAGTTGGACCAACCGGAACCGCAGTGGTGGGTTGAGAGGCCCAATGATGTTTTGGAACCTCAACCACCATCCGTGTCCCAACTGCAGGATGAACAGTCATTGTTATCGCACGTGTATTCCTTCTTACGGGCTGAAAATGAAAGCTGGCGCGCTCAGGAAACCCATCCCTTGGCTGGGGCTGAACGTTGGGATATTTTACATACATGCGTATCTCTCGGTCTGGATTTAATTGATACAATTGATTCGAATCCCTCTCTATTGCTTCCGTGTTATCCGGCCTCCTGGCCCGCGATATCGGGAAGGTAAGGATTCGGAGTTGTATCCGATCTCTATCGATATCACATTGGCAAAACCCCAAGATTCAAGAAGATCATAGCCCCTTTTGAACCTTCCACGGCGGGATACTCTACCGGGCTTAGTCTGCAAGAAAAGCGCAAAAAGTTTTCCCGGTGGGATTTTTTCGCCATGAATGAATTGTGGCAGATCAAATTTGGAATTTAAAAGAGACTCCTCGCTGGCAAAGAAGGATCGCTTATGCAATGCGGTCGCATGGGAGAATCCCTATCCTCCCTACCCTCCCTTCCCCCTGGCGAATGCATCAAAGTCCTCAGCCTAGTGAGTTCTGAAGGAGATTTTTCGTTACAGAAGCGACGGCTGAAATACTAGATTCTCAGATTTAGCGCTTTGGTCTGAAAAAAAATAAAAACTCCCCTCAGTCAATGACTCGCTAATCCTCTTTCACTTGGCTTTGGCGTTCTGCTAGCTGAAGTGGACTGATTTTATTCGTTCTTTCAAGTGACGGACTTGGAGTAGCTAGTAGTCTCCATCAGTCTAGATGTTTTGTAAATGTTAGTCAATCTGTTGTAAATTGGACACGAACAACGCATCAAATTTACGAAATCGACGGATTTGAAAGATTCGCCGACGGCTGGACTCAATCGACCTTGACATGAGCCACCAGCTGCATCTGTAAATGTCAACATCCACAGGAAAAAAAAAAATCCCAACAATTCCGTAAGGCTGAAATAAATACGCGTTTTCCTATACAATAATTACCAGGTGTATATTAATACCGCAGCTTGAATACACAGATCTGCATCCGCAGAGGTGACCAGGTTGATCGTTTTGGACTTCATGCAGCCAAATTTGCAAATGCGATTGCGACAGGGCGTGGGGGTGCGCCACCATCTTCACATCCTAAATGTTTCCTATCTATCTATCGGAATATCACATATGAAGCCAATATATGTACTCATAACGTGTCTGCATATATGCGGGTGCGAGAGCTCTTACTTCAAGGCTTAAGTTCCACCAAAAATCGATACGCCACGGCGCTATCCAGACCCGTGCGCCAACAATAGAAAGGACGATTTCCTAGCTAGCCTCGTAGGGTCCAGAAGCCTTTGGCGTTCTTAATGGAAAAAGCGATTGAATGCTGGCAAAGCAGCTTGTCGACCCTAAACCGTAACTAAACTACCTAGACCAGACCCAGTAGCAGACGTTCCCGGTAGATACTATATTATCTTTTAACTCCGCTAGACTGCATCCAGTCAGGGAAGAGTTGGATGTATGTTTTTATAACCATCAGCCGCATCCGAAATGTCAACTGTCACAACAGCTTATTTCCCGCATCAACTGCAGGTGGCTTGAGCCGTTTTCTGGCGCCAACGTAAGTATATATGAAAAATTTTCTTATTCCTAGCCTCACATTCGTATAAATTTCTCAAACACCCTATAAACGATTTATGGTCGTAAGAATGGCGCTGTGTGGAACTTGAGATGATATTGATAGATAGCAGACAACCGTACCAATTTAACAGCTTGATAATAGGATCACCATTCCAATCTCTACCATGCATTATCGATGCTAAAATACTCCAAGAACCGGCCTTGAAGATCTCGAACCCTAGAAAGCAACGAGGGCTGTGTCATTTTCTCGCGTCTCTCAATGATCTTCATTTCTTGGTCCAAGGTCTGAGGACAAAGATATGTGACGACCCGTAGCTGATCCTTCTGTAATGCACAGCTAACATAGAAGTGACTACCACAGCGTTCATTCAGAAGCTCAGAACCACTGTTATATATCCATCACAATTAGTCTTGTTCTTAGAAAAATGGAGCTTAGAGACCTGCTCCAACTTACTATATACTGTTCAAAGCCTTCTCGTAGTTATCCATCTGAGGCAGCATTTTATCCGCATTCCGACGTGTGGAAAAGTACTTCCGCAACCTCACCAGCACTTCTGCATCGTTCTTGCAAAATGAAATAGGTGAAATATATACTTTCGGTGATGCTGGCTTCCCTGCCTTGACTGTAAAGTAGAACCCAGGGCCGGCTCGCTCGGCACCCCCAGTTGGTAGAACACCTGGTGCATCACCAATAAAAATCTTCCAAAAATCCTTGACATCTGTGAGGGCTTCGGCACTATACTCTGATATATCGTATCTCCCCCCAAGTGTAAGCGCGTCCATGAGATATTCCGCTGTGGTATTTGGAGCTCGAGTGTATATCTTGATTCTAGATGTCGTCGGGGATGTAAGATCGAAGGAGAATATACCGGTTTCCATTCCCCATTTTATCGCCGCATCGCTGAGATAGTCTAATAAAGGCTCCACATTGAGAGATTCGCATTGGGCCTGTGGAAGACTTCGAATTGCCTGCATGACAACTTCTAGACTGGAAACTCCAACTTCCTGAGCTCTTAGCCCTGGGAAAATATATAACTTAACAATCGGTCCTGATCGATCGATGTCTCGGGTAACAAATGTCCCGGCCTTCGGTGCGAGTTCGAATTTAAGCTTATCTGTCATCTGAACATCTTCCAGAGACTTTGGTAGTAGCCTTTCAGTAAAATGATTGTACCAATCTAGGTCGAGGCCGACGACAAGCCCTTGATTATCGAGATATTTGATCCAGGCATCTGTTTCGTACCGATTGAAAGGATCGATCTCCGTCCCTGCCTGTGGCCCGATAGGTTCAAAAGATGTTCGTATAACACCTTTTCCTTCGAGGCCCCATTCCCAACTGAGATCTAAAGGTGTCCCATCTGGAGTCTGGGGGCTTCTCCATCTTAGATACCCGGTTTCGTCTGGTGATGGACCAAGCTCTGGGACTATATGCAGAGCATAGAAAAGTAGTTCGTTGTATTGTTCTGAGTAAGTGTATCCGGCATATTTAAGAAGCTCGGCAAGGTGGCTTCCGGTTCTTTCCCACCAGAATTGATGGTCTTTGTTTCGAAATTGTATAAGAGAGCTTACTATTTCGAAAGGAAGCTTGTCTTTTGAGTTTGAATTAGAGCACATGATGATGATGTTATAATTATCCAGTACAGTCAGCCTATTTCTAATGATCTTACCGATTGAAGATAACTGGATAAGAGTGGACTGTGATTCGGAGGGTAATTTCTAACGAAGACATATATCGGTTGGGTCATTTCAAGACTTTATATACCGTGAGTTTTCATCTAACCTTGCTCTACCTAGCTCAAATACTGGGTCAATTAATCAAAATAATGCAGAAGACCGCCCCCTATCGTACTGTGCCTCTCGAACCACATAGGCTTCCCGATATGCACGTAACTCCTTTTTTTTCCATTCAAAAAAAAAAAGCAAAAGTGAGTATGATCTGGATCCGAAATATATTATTATAATAAGGTATAATAAGTATCTACTCAGCTGGAGGTCGTAATACCGTACCAAGCAATTCAAGCAAGAGCTTGACATATCGGTTAAGGCTTGGTTGTCTTACACTCACATCACGAAAACCAGACATAGACGTATATACTGCCGAAGTGGAGAGATCCCAGGTACGATCGACGTGTATGACATCCGTTTGGTTCCGGAGTGGTCTCGCTATATATGCTTAAAGTGTTGGCCTTTGCACATGAGTATTCGACTACAACATTCATAATTTTAGACTCAAGAGCATTTTTTTGTATACGAGCTTTAGTTCTATGTAAATGACCGGATAACCCTTATGAGACCCCAGTCAGTTACCAGCAAACCCCTATATAAAATCCATTAAGACTTAAGTTAAACATGATCAAGTGCCGAGCTTCCAATTCTGTATTTGAGATTTCCAGCTGCCTACGCTTACTTCCGAAAGATCTTCAAAAAGGTGGTCTTCATCTGATGCGACTCGGCATTTATGAGCGTTTACAGGGAAGTCTCAAACCACATAGACGCATTTCACCACCCTGGAGGGTAGTAGATCCATGCATGGTCGTACAAGGGTAAGGTAGCATTGGTATTCAACAGCCTAGGTGTTAATTAAACTTCGCAATGGATATGGTTTTATATGAGCCTCGATATGACCATTCGGGAAGGCCCGAAGGCGTGATATGTCTCGATAGCCGAGTTATAATGCAAATTGTCCAGACATTCCGCTTCGGATCCGAGATGTCCATGATTCGTTCTCGCAATTATTGCCGACAATGTCGGGTTTGACAAATGCCGCGTCATAGGCGCGGGTGGAAATGGGTTCCGGTTTGCGTCCTTTCCATTTTCAGGAGCCTGATGATTGCATTTAATAATTAAAGCTTTACGATACATGAAATATTTCAGTTGTTGATTTTGTGGTATCACCCAAATGGCGGATCTTGTGTCACCCCCTTATATTACCACAGAACCAACGCATGAAGGTCAAGACAGTCGGCTTCTTCGAATTCAAGTGCTCTTTAAATAATTATTCTTGCAGATGAAATCTCGAAATACGTCCATATGTCGCCCAGATAAAGCTTCCCACAATCACATTCAACAAAGCGGTCCGTGCAAAATTTTCCTCGCCGCTTCCCCTTCCAAGTCTTGTGATCCATTTCAGCCCAGACCTTTGCAAACTTTAGTTGGGCTTAAGTTACGCCGGATTGTGCTAGTCCGATGCAAAAGCGCAAGTTCCCATGTCAAGTTTCTTAACTGGCGCCCCAGGTGAGATATCAAAATCAAAGATATCCATCGGCAGGCCCATCGTGGTACAGGCGTTAGGGATCTACGAGCATTGACGTTAGAAGACATTGCGACAACTTGGCCAATTGGGTTGTTTGGAGGAGATGCTCACATCTACTATCCCTGCTATATGCCCTTGTACCGGTGCGCAGGAGAGCAACAGATAGATTTGATAATCCGAGTAACCTTTGTTTCATCGACTTAATCAGCAACCAAGATATATACCATACCCTTTCTCGGGTGGTTAACCAGTCAGTTACTCACCGTATCTTCTCAAATACTCAATACACCTCAACGATGTCTGCCTATATGCCACCGTTGCATCCATAAAATGCTGCTTCCCATTCTCATCCACCGAAAATCCTTCAAAGTATATATACCTCCCAGGCCCAAACTGGGGTTCCACGGGACCCGGGATATAAATTGGACTTTTCATCCCAAGTTCCGCCATTCCGTTCTTCATCACACTAAATTTGATAGTAATACACCCCGCCATCTCTATCGCCCCACAGAACGAAATTTCACCATCACCTTGCGAGAAGTGAAGATCTCCGACAGAGAACTTTGCTCCTGGAACATGGACGGGGAGGTAGACCTTCGATCCTCGGGATAGATTTTTAATATCGCAATTACCTCCATGTTCCGGCCTTCCTGGGATTGTTCGAGCGCCCTCTTGTCCAATCTTAGACTTTAGGTCTCCGGATGCGGTACCAGCGTGGACATTGACTGGCTGCGGGGCTAGAGCTACAACTCTATCCATGTGAGAACATGATGTGATAAGTTCTGATTCGCGCTTATTCCAAATTGACAGGACTTCTGGGGATGGTGCACATCCAAGGATACCGGGATGGATAAGGCCAGCGAAACGGACACCTGGTATGTGGCGAGAAGAGCAAAATATCCCTTCAAAGTCCCAGATCGCCTTTGCACTAAGAAGCTCAGCATATCAGCACCATTCAATCTACCCCCAACCAATCGCCAAGAACGTTCAAACTCATAAACCGTAATTAACATACGCTTTAGGATACATATCATCCAAAAACCCACCACCATTCTCCTTAGCAAAGATACCAGTGAAACCCCAAGGTTGATCCTGCAAGGGCTGGACATCCTGAATTTCAACAACAAGAACGTCCCCTGGCTCTGCTGTTTCAATTTCAAAGGGACCAGTAAGGTAATGAACTTTTGTCAAGTCGACATTTTTTACATCGTCGGCGCTGTCGTTGTTTCCGATTTGTCCACCGGTCCAATCTACGCATTCGATTTTGACGACTTCACCATTCTTGATGGTACCGCAGTTTGGGACTAAATTAATATTAATAGTTTTAGAATGGAAGTCATGATATAGAAACACAAATTCAGATTGAGGTCGTGCAGTAGGTTTTATACGAGTAAATCGCCTTGATATGGCAACCATTGCATGGTTTCTAAAATTCAATGTCAGGGATGGAACATACTATCAGGGTGCCATCGGTTCTATAGAATTTCGTAATTGTAGTTAATATGGGTTAGACCTAGCAGGGAAGGGAAATGGGTTTAAAGGCCAGCTTTGGCTTACATGTAAATACGGGAGCGTCGCAGGGTCCTTCGTCAAGTCAACTTTTGCGGCGTAACGTAGTTCCTTGAGTCCCATCTTCAATTTTCAAATTTTCTCTTTGGGTATAATATCTAGTCTCAACCTTATAAAATCGCAGATATATAGTAATTAGTACTATTGATTGAAATAATTGAAAAATCTAGATAAATTTACGATTGGAAGCTTAGAAAGAAAGGGCCAGTGTCCAGGGTATTTGTACTCCTCAAAGTCACCGAATATCTAATCAAATTCAATCAGTAGACACGGCTTGTATCGGCCTTATGCGATATGACTTCTACATTCCTAACGAACATGCGGGATCGAATCCAACAGTAATACGTATACGCACCCCGCACCGTAGTATCTATGCCTAGACACGGCCGGGCTAGAAGATCAATTGATAATGATTACGGCCAACAAACCCTAGCAACCTCATCGAATGGAACCTTTTCGACGCTAGCTTTAGCTCGGTAGGCTGCCTTGATGCCCCATGCAGCGTATGCATGCATGTATGTATATTCATGGATCCCGAAGTTTAGCATGCTTGCGCGGGTGGGTTTCGTGCGGGGCCGTTTTGAACCGCTATCTTGTATCGCAAACCATTGGCATTGGGCAATTAATTACGTATTACCCCAGTCGAAACTTGGTTATCGTGCATATCGAACGGTGACTTTACATATGTAGTTTGATAAGTTATTTTATTTTATTTTATATTTTATTTTTTTGCATGATAAGTATTGTACTTGACGATTATATTATGGAATTTGACATATCTCGACACTGCCGATTCCCAACATTCGTATACATACAACCCCCCTTCCTAAGCAAAAAAAAACAACAGAGGGCAGGCAACACAGCATCCAATTTCTTAATTTATAAGATCTAATTACTCATGCTGGCTCATATCACAGGAATCAACGGACCATGCAACTTCTAGACATCAATTCAACCCCCCAAGAACTCCACAAAACCTCTCTAACCCTTCCTTCGCCCCCTCAACATGAAGGTAAACATAAGGCTCCAACATCTCCGCTTCAATAACCACAAACGTCCCATCATCCCTACCCACCCCATCCAGTCTCAAATACCCCAACTTCCAATCCTCTCCATACCCAAACCTTCTCCTAACATATTCTATAACCCTCCTTCCAATCTCTTTCCCTTCTTCAGGAACCTTCGAACTCTCCAATTCGCCAATCCGAGCGCCATACTCTTCAATAGCTCTAAAATCCGTTTCCACAGGTCGTTTTAGAATAGTATGACTGTATTCCCCACCTAAGAAGATGATAGAATACTCCCCGTTTTTGATCGCTGGTTCGAACGCTTGGATCATGACTCTTACTGATGATGAAAGTGATCGGGCGTATTCGTATACTTGTGCCCAATTCGCCTGTGCTTTCAATGGATCATATTCTCCAGAATTCAGATCGGGAACTCGATGCGTCTCCTTCGCCGATGCAGAGACAGAAGGTTTTATAACCACTCCATGACTTCCCATCGCTCCTCGGTGGTTCAATATAACATCTTGATACCCCGGAATCTCACCACCACTGTCACCACCCGTCGTATCAACAAATATAGTATCAGGTATAACAACCCCTAAATCGTTCTGTAAATCCTTTAAGTATATTTTATTCGAATTCCAACGTATCAATTCCACGGGATTAACGACTTTGATACCAGATTTTTGTATTGGTGTTATTACTTCATCAAGGAATTTATGGAATTCGGTGATATGCAGGTTATAGTCCCAGCAGGCGAGGAAGGTTATTGATTGGTAGGCCGTGGTTAGATCTTTGGGGGTAAGTGATTCTGGAGATGGATACCAGATGCGTTCTTCGACTTCAAGTCCCTTTTTGTGAAGTGTTTCTAGGAGGAGGGTGTAGCTGGGGTCCATGAGGGAGAGGGGTTTGGTTGAGGTTTTGAGGAATAGGACCCGGCGTCGAGGGGTCGGTGGGGGGAGTGGTTCCATGATATTGATATTGGGCGGTTATTGAATTGTATTCGACAGTAACACTTGACCTTTAAGTTTCCCGGCTTCGCTTCTTTCCTTCTCTCCTTCTCTCTTCCTTTGAAATTTGAAATTTGAAATTTTAAATCGAATTAGAAAATACGGTATATTCTCTGAGGAGATATTTAAATATTCGGTGTTGGTCTATACCTATAGACCCCGCAATGTTAGCGTGAAGGGTCGTGTTATATTGTCAACCATCGGCCCCTCTTTTGTCAATACACGCCCTACCGGTCTCGTTGACACGCCCTACCAATGTTTTTCTTCTTCGAAGTCTTGATTCAATTACTTAAAAGGATAGCTAAAGGTAGGTCAAAGCGAACACCGACGCCCTAAATTTCCCAAACGCATAGTAAATTAACTTTTGAATCTCCAAAAGTGACCGAGCAAAACAAATTAGGTAATTCTTATGAAAAAGATATCAATTAATTCCGCTTCGTAGTAAGCTGCTGTTCTGAAATTCTGCTATTTACTTCGATTTTAATCATGCTATATAAGTAGCCGGTTTGATAAAACAACTGGTTGTTTTTTTCTCCAACGCGCGCTATCGAAACATAAAAAGGTCGCCTCTTTGCTACCAGGTTGACGTTAACAACAATAATAATAATAATACAAAAAAATAATCAGGATATAATGCTTAGATCATGTCAGAGAAATCCATGCACATGATGATGTGGTGGTGATGATGGTGGCGGTGATGGTGATGTTGATGTATATGCGTATCCCAAAAAAAAAAAGGTCTGGATGAGATAAGGAAAAGGGAGAAGGTATTTAATGCCATTTTGAACTTCGCTGCAACCAAGAGTGGAAAGGAAAAAAAGAGGAAGGATTAGACAATACCAATGGTGAAAAGGAAAGGACGGGGTGTATATATATGCACAGAGCCCACTATGCAATCGACGTTAAAAAGTAGAAGGAAAGGAAAGAATGATTCAACAATAATAATAACACAATAGAAGTGAAAGGAATGAAAGACAGCTTCGTCCTTTTTTTCTCGTTCAGGACGGTGAAACAAAGAAAGTGAATGCGGTATAGACATTAGAGAGGCAACGAGGATTATAGCTCTTGAAGGTCTCTATGATACTATATAGTTCTACAAAGCAACGAACAAGCCGCTGCCAAGTAAAGCCATCGCCATGCTGCCCATAATAACAGCGAATGCAGCCAAATCGAAAGATGGAACGACACCAGCGGCCCCATTCGGCGAGGTTGAAGCTGTGTTGGTTGTCCCCCCATCTGGTCCGAAAGTGAAGCCAATGTTTGAGGTTCCGGTAGGGCCGGATAGACCGGTAGTTGCAATATCAGTCTCGAACCCACCAATACCAGCATTCCTTGAGGTGGCGGTGGCAGCAACGGTCGGTTGGTTCGCGATAGTGGAGGCAGCAGAGACGATCGGTCCGGTGATTTCCACGATGTTAGAACCCGTGGCATCGGTATTGGCCTGAGCGATACCGATTTTCTGGCCGTCGAGATCGTAGACAACATAAGCAGATCTTAGGAAAGTGTCGCCAAAGAGGAGAATATCGCCAACATCGCCAGGCTTAATGCCGAAGAGGCAATATTGAATACCACCGGCTCGGAGGAAGTCTCCATTAGAATCGCGAATTGGAAGGACTAGTTCACCGAAAGGAACTCTAATTGTCGGACCGTTGGGGCCTCCGAATTGATAGTTGAGAGTGGCATTTGCATTTCCCACGTCGCAGGCGACAAGGTAGATACCGGACGACTCGTCGTAGATGGCACCGGCAGCGTCGATAAGTTGGTTGGCGATTTGGGAAGGGAGGACGGTAAGGGTGGTTCCGGAATCCAGATATGCCGGCTGATCGAAGTCGCGGGTGGTCAATGGGACCTCTCCATCACCTTCAGTTGTGATTGAAAACCCAGTCCAAGCGACGATGAAGCTAGATATTATCCTGTTCTCATCGGGTTGGATATCAAGTAGAGCCAAGTCGCCAAAGTATTTCTCAGTATCGTATCCGCCAAAAAGAATGTTACCAGTAGCAGCATCTTTGTCGTCCAAATAGAGGGAATAAGCGCGAGTATTGATGAGAGATTGGTTGACCATTAGATCGATGATGTTCGGGTACGAATTTCGACCGCCGGTTTGAGCGAAGATAGCCTCGTTTTCACGATAACCTAGTACTTTAATTAGCCATCAATCCTCCTTTAGTCAATTCAGCCATGTCCTTATATAGCCAACATACCAATTCCCATGATGCCAGTGGGAACCTGCTTTGCCCTCTTCGCCAGACCCATTGTCAATCCCTTTATTTCAGCCCCTGCCATCTGCACATCGTCGCGGATGTAGTCGCCATGGACACCAGAACCAGGTGTTACATAACTGATATTGAATTCTCCGTTGTATAACAGTTCGTAGGTACTCGACTCCTCTGGATCGACTAGAAACAAGGAGTTTAAGGATTAGCTAGGCTGGTTTTATCAGGGAACCCAAAGGATGAACCCAAACCACGAGAGAGAAGACGGATGAGTAGGAAGATGAAGAAAGAGAAGAACTCACAGATACCACCAAGGCACATTACATCATCGCTTTTGCAAGCCTCTTCACTGAACATCCACAGATCGCTAGAGCCGGTATCCAACTGCAGCTGTATTGTCTGACCTGGAGTTCCAATCGTCGTGTTGACGTAATAGATACCAATCGATCTGGTGCCTCTCTGGGCATTACCCAAAGTGACCGAAATCGAATCCCGTTTGACTTTATCGAGAGTTCTGGCATCCTCCCGTCGAGCGAAGGGCATCGACAGGACCTTCGGCGCCCTTTGTGGGGTTGACTGCGAGCCAAGGCATGCCGTTGATAGGAACAGGAATGTTGTCGCGACCGCGGATATCCGTAATGGCGACGGCATTGTTATTTTGTGTTGTTGTGTATATGCGTGTGCTACGCCGCACTTTGAGATTATACACCCGTCTGAGCCTCCCTCTGCAGCTGCAATTGGCTGTTATATCTTATAACGAAAGGACTTTTTGATGCATGAAACGGAAAGGAAAAAAGATCGAAAGGATGGAAAAAGGATTGATTGATTTCGATTATCGATATGTACCCGAAAGCTGAATGCGAAGTAGAATGCAGGTATGTAGCAGGGGAAGACTCCAAGGCAGATGCTGTATCGATACTAGTACGGTCGGTATATTATGTTATAGGAGAGGCTGACCAGGAAACACCAACAGGCTTGCTGCGGGAATGTATCAATTGCCTATTTCCTATTTCCTTTCTGGAATCAACTGATCCCGGCTGCAGAATTACTATTCTGTAGAACAAATGCGAATTCGGATCCGAATATTCAAACAATGCGATTCTTTAAGACCCCGGCTGTAAGACACAAGAGAGAGAGAGAGATAACAAATACTGGGCCTGGCAAAAAAACAATAAAACACCACCGGCGAACGAGGGAATAAAAGAAAGGATATGAAAAGAGAGAGCGAGAGAGGGAGAGAAAGAGAGAAGGGCGTAATTTACTGAAGCAGATGAGATGGGATTGCGAGCAGACCTAGTACCCAGCTTTGTATGTAAGTATTGAGCCTCAACTGGGTACCCGCTATATTTACTATACTAGCTATAGCCTTTTGATCCTTCGGATTTTTTCAATATCTGAGAACGGGCCCCTATCGAAAATGACAATCAGGGCTGGCGTCTTTCAGCCAATGTGAGTGCGCAATGATAATATGAGGGGGCCTCCGCAAATGTTCTGATGAAACAGGCTTGCCAGCTTTAGTGTGCAGGGGATCCGGATAGCATCTGGCATCTGGAAGGGATGGTAGGGAACGGTCCAGTACATATACCGACCAGCGACATCGCCTGAGGCCGGATTATCCGGGATCGATTACGCGGTCAAAAAAAAAAACTGGATTCACCAGATGTCTCGGGGTTTGTATGTTCTGTTGTAGTAGATGTCTATGATCGTGAATTATAATTTAGACTTTCGAGGTCGACCGGTCTGGTACTCCCATCTGTTTGGCACCTGCAGCTGCTCAGCCCCTCGTTTCCCCACCCGGTGCGTACGACTGGATGGCCATCGACGGCTATCGGGAGGCCAAAAAGCAAGAATTTGACGTCCATGACGAATCTAAAATATATACATGTACATACATGTAGGGCGATGGCAAATACATTTTCTGGAAAGGTATTTTCATTCGGAATATTTATGGTCATATGAAGTTATGACATATCATATGCTGCAGAGTTTGATCAGTAACAGAAATCAAATATATCCCGTTCAACCGCGAATCGAATACCCGAAGTAATATACATATACAATGTACAATATTACTATTATCGCTGATTCTTACAGTGATTTAATATGTATATTGTATCTTAACTTGCTATATCTTTAGAGGTCAGTACTTTCAATAGATTTGGAACGTTTTCGGTTGAGTGTTCCAATTAACATATTCAAGCAGCTTCCAGCGACCCTATCATTGCCTGATTGATACCCAAACTTATATATCCGGCAACGATGCCTCGTTCGTACTTATTTGACGCAAGAATGCATTCCTCCATCTCTTTAAAATCGTCATTCATATCTGGATGATGCTTTAGAATTAATATCCTACATAAGCTGTTTGATCCAGGCTAAAAAAAAAATATGTCAATCGGCGAGAAAAATCGTAGGTATGGTTGCAAAAACCCCCCCAGCTTCAATGTCTTATCATATCT